CAGGATCAGGCCAAGGACAAGGGCGGATCATGTGGCAGCACCGTCACAGGTTTCTTATGTAAGCACGATAAGGGACGATAAGGAAGGTACGTACCGGTCATGCATATCTGCATGACCGACGCTGTGCCAAGAAGGATGGTCACCAATATCTGCATGACCGTCAGGACCAGATTCATGACCTGGCCGCGACCATCGGGCTCAGAGTCATGACCACGATGAAGGACAAAGGATATATAGAGTACGGAGGATCTCCTTGTGGACAGTCATTACCTTTGTACTTCAGCGATCAATCTAAGTATCATTCTCACCCTTCACTTGACCTAGTCACTCAATTGACCCGAGTGTGATATCTCGCAAGAGACACGAACGACAACCCCTCGAGAACACGACAAGCACGGAGTCAGTATTGCATAAGGTCGCTACCTACCTTATTCAGGACATAAACCCCACAGCGCCGATCAGACGGTTGACCCCGGAGATCGGATCGTGACATCTAAGTATCAGTTTCACCCACACTTGAACTAGTCACTCAATTGCCGAGACTGGTATCTCTTCCAAGAGACACGAACGACAACCCAGAGAGAGAACGACAGCAGAGTGTTAGTTGTTATTGTACAGGCTTTACCTATCTTGCAGAACAGCAACCCCAGCGCCCTGCCAGACGGTTGACCCCGGAGGCAGGATCGTGACATTTGGCCCCTTATCTGGGAATGCCCTCACTCTGGCCCAGGGCCAGAGTGAACCTCGCCGGAAACACCGCCGAAAACTGGCAAGCGGTGAACTCCCTTCGGTCGTGGTGGTTGTTTTGTCCCCGATCAGGAGAACCCTCATCCGCCCCAGGACAATATCCCGTATTCAAACGAAGTGAGAACCAAGGGGTTTATGTAAAGGAAAGGGGGGAGGGGTGACCCGTATAAGAATAACGAAAAATAGCCGGGTTACCCATGGATTAACCGCGTTATTATTCTCTTTTACTAAATCCATTATTTACGGAAGCCTTCGAGATACGATGGAACATTAGCCGGAGAGCTAATTTCGGCGAAAATTTGAATGCTAGAGGGAAGAGATCCTTATTAGTCTAATCATCCGTATAACGTAATCCACGGGTAAGCGGGTCACACGGGTGAACGGGTCACCTTCCAGTAACTCGTACGACAATATATAAGACAATTTAACCACAACGCCTTAAATCAATTCAAACTATTCAGAATCCTCTTCTTCAGAGGCAGATACAACTTTCTGACACGTACGAGCATTATGACCGGGCTCGCCGCAGACGCCACATCGTCGCGCGCGCGTTTCGGGCCTCCTCGTACGACCACTATTCTGACTCGTTTCCGCTATTAACTGCTGCGTCGCATCGATTTGAGCCTTCAAATCCTTTACCTGATCAATCGTGAGGGACCCTCCTTTCTATAGCTGCTTTCTTTTCGTACGACGACGGCGGCTGAGGCGGTCATTTGCATCTCGAAGTTCGGCGAGCTCTTGGCGCATAAGGTCATGCTCGTGTACCATCATTATAACTCCTTTTCTCAGCTGCCGTAGGCTCTCAACAATGGACGACGGTGAGCTATTCTGGTGTCGTACGATGCGATTTTCAATATACTTCGTCTGCGATTCGGTCTCAATTAGGTTGTTCGGCGTCTTTGAAACCCATGGGGGTGGTAGTCCAGCAGAGGAACCTGGTGGTGTCGGCGTATGAAACTTCATATCTAGCTGCGAAATCACATAATTCGGGTCGTACGGTACTAGGCCTGTCGCTCTGAAGCCTGCCTGGATGTTTGATTTGGTCATTGCAGCGTCGTACGCCTTATAAAAGGCTGGGAGGAAGTCCTCCTTTGAAACGTGGGTTACGTGCGCCCGCATTAGACCTTCGATTTCTTTACCGTACGCCCGTTTCAGAGGTCCAAAACACCCAACATCGAGAGGCTGGAGCTTATGCGACGAATGAGCAGGCATACAGAGCGTGACAATATTCTGTTCCTTGCAGTAGAGCTCGAAATCGACGGAATGGTAGCTCTCGTAGCCGTCGAGGATGAGGAGGCGGTAAGTGCCCTTCGTACGACTCTTTATATAGAAATCGAAGTGTTTTACCCACTCTAGGCCTCTCTCGTTCATCGTCCAACCGTTCTCTAAAAGCGCGATTACCCAGTTAGCCGGTAGAGGGCTATTCGCGGTCCAGGAGTCGAGGTGGACCTTCCCTACGAAGATGATATACGGCGGGATCGAATAGCCGTACGACGCAATGCCCTGGATTACTGTAACCCATTCCTAATTCCCTTGTTGTACGGCTCTTGGCCTCCCGCGTCGATCGGAGGTCGTAACGATAGTTTCGGCGGAGATTTTACCCATCGCGAAGCCCGTTTCGTCGAAGTTGTAGATATCGTCATTGTGGATCCCGTATTTCGCGATTATGTTTCGTACGAGCTCAAACCACGCGCGATACGCGTCCGGATCCTCGCAAAGGACCCTCTGGTAATCGATTCTTCGATTACAACGCGTACGGAGCTCAGGTCGTCGTCGTACGAAGGTTGAGGCCCAGTTCGTTCCAACGCGTGGCGCGTCGCGTACGCGGAGGAGTCGATCCGCCATTTCTCGAACACCACTTAACCGCGGTGGAAACGAACGCGAATCTAGGTCGAGTACGTATCGTACGATACTCTCCTCTTCGTATGAGGTTAATTTCTGGCAGGGTGGTCGGGTGTCGTGTTTCGCAGCTCGGCCGTGGTATCGTTGCTGGAGTGTCGTACGAGATACATTATAGATCTGCGCAGCCTTTCGTACGCTTAATTTTGGGTCGGATTGGAGCGCATTTAACGCTAGAACCAAATCACTTTCAATTGATTGTCGTCCCATGATTGGAGGTGGAGAAAAAGGAGAAGGAAGTGAACCTCAATTAAATTGCAGTAAAGTGACCCGTTCACCCGTGTGACCCGCTCACCCGTGGATTACGTTATATGGAACTGATGTTATAACGTAATCCACGGGCGAGTGGCCCATACGGGCGAGTGGCCCACTTTCATTCACTATACCGAATCCAACTCTTCTTCACGCGTTTATTCCACCACGAAAGATGGAGACGCCTTCTAAAGAGAGTCAATTGTTCCTTGCTATCCAAGCAATGGAAAACGACCCAAACTTAAGCACCCGACGCGCTGCCGAGATGTTCAACGTCCCCCGAACAACCCTACGACGCCGAGAGAAGGGAGTACCTGCCCGACGCGAAAGCCCTCCGAATTCTACAAAATTAACCAAGCTGGAAGAGGAGAAGATTGTCGAATACATTCTCGACTTGGATGCGCGAGCATATCCTCCTCGGCTAAGTGAGGTTAGAGAAATGGCGAATCAACTACTCGCGAAGCGCGACAGGCCAGGTGTCGGAATCAACTGGGCCTCAACCTTTGTTAAACGACGACCAGAGCTCCAGACGCGTTTCTTTCGCAAGTACAACTATAAGAGAGCCCAGTGCGAGGATCCCGACGCGATAAACGCGTAGTTTCGGCTTGTGCGGAACGTAGTTGCGAAATACGGTGTCGCGGACTCCGATATTTACAACTTTGACGAGACAGGCTTTCAGATGGGCGTTATCGCGACCGGGATGGTTGTTATAAACGCGCAAAGACGTTCGAACGTTAAGATGAAGCAACCGGGTAATCGGGAATGGGTTACGGTCATCCAGGGCGTCGGCGCGACCGGATTTTACGTCCCGCCGTTCGTAGTATTTGCCGGCAAATATCACCTCTCGACCTGGTACTAAGACGACGCGATTCCTCGCGACTGGAGAATTATAACGCCCCTAAACGGCTGGACTACAAATGAAATTGGTCTAGATTGGATTCGGCATTTCGATCAGCATACAAAGTTGCGAATAAAAGGCGATTATCGCCTCCTCGTCCTCGACGGCTACGAAAGTCACCACTCGGTCGAATTCGAGCTCTACTGTAAGGATAGTAAGATTATTACGCTCTGTATGCCTCCTCACTCGTCTTATATACTCCAGCCTCTCGATGTTGGGTGTTTTGGTCCGCTGAAGAAAGCATACGGTCGGCAAATCGAGCTCAAGATGAAGGCGGGTATAACGCATATCAGCAAGGAGGACTTCCTCCCCTCGTTTTTAGCAGCATTCCAATAAACAATGACGGAAAAAAACATCTAGGGAGGCTTCAGAGGGGCAGGACTTGTACCCTATGACCCAGAAGCAGTCTTATCTAAGCTCGATGTAAAGTTCAAGACGCCAACGCCCCCAGGGACGCCTCGGAGGTCACCCGAGCTATGGACTTCCCGAACGCCTACTACAGCTATAGAAGCCCGTTCACAGTCTGATTTTATTAAAGGTCGAATCTCTCGTTACCAGGGAAGCTCTCCAACGTCAATTATTGAAGCAGTTGAGCAGTTCACGAAGGGGGCAAAGGGGATTATGCATAAGTTTACCTTAATGGAGGCAAGGATGAAAGCCCTTGAAGACGAGAATGCAATACTTAGCAAGCGTCGTAGGGCGAAAAAAACACGTCTCAGGAAAGGCCAAAGCATGACTCTAGGCGAGGGACAAGATCTCGTAACCCAGAGAGAGGTAAATGCTCAGGTAGTACAGGAAATGCAGGAAAACTGTGGGGGTGAAAGTCGATCTGCACCAAAGCAGCGGTGCTGTAGCGTCTGCGGGAAACCCGGTTATAACGCAAGAACTTGTTACATAGTTACTCTTGGGTCTGAACTAGAAGATAGCGATTGAGCTTAATTGATTTAAGGCGTTGGGGCTGTGTTATCGAGGGTGATACCTGCAAGACTTGGTTGGGGTGGGCCACTCGCCCGTATGGGCCACTCGCCCGTGGATTACGTTAGAGTAAGGTTTCATGACCTATAGAAGTCAGCGGGCAGAAGTGGCTCGATGGAATTGGCGCCGACATTCTGGAAGACGGTGCTGCTCAAGGATGGAAAGAAGGTGATGCCGATGCACGGTCTCAATCCCAATTCGCATTCGGACTCCCGCCAACCCAGCTACGCTAGAAGTGATTCGGGCCAATCGGAACGCCAATGATTGCGAGTAGGGTACTGATGATAAATAAGCCAGCCGTCGTAGCAGTTGCTGGGTCTGATAAGGGGCTCAGGAACACGCTTCTGGTTGTGCACCCGGAGATGGGGACGCCGTTAAAACGGGCCTTGAGGAAATTGAGGACATCGCCAATACTGAGGGCTGCCTCGGTGAAGTGCTCACCAGCCGCCTCCCGAACGTAGGTGATGGACACGCCGGCATTACAGTACTTCTGAACAAGGGCATCTGAATCAGCAATGGGAGAGATCTCGTCGTTCTGCGCCTTGTACCAGAAGACTGGCATGCTTGGGACGCCGTGGAAGCCCTGGTTGCAGTGGTCGTTCAAGTAGCGAGCAACAATGGGATCCTTCACGATGTCTGTCTTGAAGTAGGTAGATGTGTTCTGAAACGCGTAGCTCACGACATCGTCGTAGAAGCAGCGTTCAAGAGACGCATAGAAGTCGTTTGCTTTTCCAGGGACCAGTTGAGCATCAATTGCATTCTTGAAATCTGGAAAGATCTTGGTGAGGCTTCCGAGAGCTGCGAAGCTAAGGCCGGCAAAAAGACCGTTGTTGATGGTGTTGTAGACGTTCTGAACATTTGGCGTAGTGCCACCAATCGCCATGCCGATAATGTTGAGCTCTGGGGCATAAGAAGCCTGTAGCTCCGCAGCCCACTCCGATGCAAGAGCACCTATCTTAGCGTTAGTTACCGTCTTTGGCACAAGCACACATGGGCGGTGATCCAATACTGACCTCCGGAATAACCCCACATTTGTACATCCGCGCTTGGTTTGACGCCAGTGAAGGTGGTAGATTTTAAGGCGGCGCGAATGGAGTCTAGAGTGGAGTACGCCGCTTGGAATCCTTCGATGAAGCTAGATTGAGGGCCCTCCCAGTCAGGAGTGCTCACGACCCAGCCCTGCTTAAGGGCCCCAGCCATAAGGAGAACCTCTATGCTGCCTGTGCCAGCGTAAGCCGTGTTGGAGCCTGTCTGCAAGACATACGAAGGAGCGCAATTGATGTACGCCGCATCTTCGGCGATCTGGTAGGAGACGACCTTCGAAAAGTCGGCGTTGTAAGGAATAATAATAGTGCTCACGGAGGCCTGTGGGTTTCCCAAGGCGTCAGTGCTTCTGTAAGAGACCTGCCACACCTCCTTGACGGTCAGGGGGATCGTCTGGAAGGCTGCAAGCTTGGCTGGTGCCTTGCGAGACGCCAAGATATCTCCGGGAGAGGCATTTTCGTACCCGGCTGGGGCCTGGTAGAAGGGATCCTCTGACGGAGGTGTCAGAGCGCGCCTCACGAGTTCCTGAGTTGGAGGAGGAGTAGAAACGCCTCCCAGGACTAGTGGAAAGAAGAACACGGAAGTGAATAGCTTAGGTAACATGACGATGGGTAGTGTTTGGAGCTAGGAATTATAACTTGAGAGTACGAGAGAGCTAAAGGTAGAGAGCTAGAAGGCATGGTGAACACAGCGAACAAGCTGATGATATGTATATACAGATAACCGATAACTGAGATGCAAAAACATTACCGGGCAACGCAGTGGGATCGACATCGCATCTACCAGCTAGGAAGACAGCGCGAGAATACCTTAGTAGCCGCTGTAAGGTACGTGCGAGTGGACCATTCAAGGTCACTGAGTTGAGAATTAGAGTTCGATAGTGAGGTCGCTGACCTAGGCCTCAAGCTTGCGTGTGGGCGCCAAGAAAAATGCCCCAGCTGTCCCGACCTGATCGACCACCACTACTCCAAGTTGAGGCACTTTTTTTGGCATCTACCTCGGCTCGGTCCAGAACACCTCGTTAGCTAATCTAGGCAACATACGGCATAGGACAGACAAACTTTTGCTGGACTGAAGATTAAAGGTATCTTAGCGAGGTTGGTGCCAACAAAAGTGCCTCAACTTGGAGTAGTGGTAGTCTACCCCAGCGTGCCGAGCGGTTTGCGGGTCCCGCGCGGGGAGTTTCTGGATTTAGAGACCGCTCCAGGTGTCCCGGCCAACATTGTCCTAGGCGCAGCAGATAGAATGCCAGGGGGTGGCAAAAGGGATCTACATATAGACTAGACTAACTAGAATAGTGAACATTACATCAGACGTCCTACTGTGCCTTGAACATAGTTTTTTCTGTTGAGCCTACCGCGTATACTTGCTTGGTACATACTGGTAGGTACAACAGGATGGCGTGCACGAATCTTAGCTGCTCAAACACCAAATCTACCAAAACATCCGCCTTTTGTCTACTGGAAGCATGTAAGCACCGCCTGCCTAGCATTTGAACCCCACCTTCCGGATCATCCTTGGGCCGAGCCGTGCCTGCACCTTGGATCTACCTATGTACTAGCGCGGCAGGTCCATCACTAAAGGGCCCTTCCCCACATAGATGGGCGGGGGTGCGGAATGGTTCCGGGCTGCGCCCGCTAATTTTGCGAGGTCAGGTCAGGCGTGAACATACTTAACATTTCCCACCTGACCATCATTCCCGGCCGGGGCACACATGGCGCCCGCCCCCAGCAGCCCGCAGGCCACGTCTTGCTGTCGGGATACTTGGCCGCGCGCAACTCATGCTGGCGGCTGACACTGGTTAATGCTCTCATTGCTCCGGCCAGTCCAACTTGGCGATGTTCGGGTTGAGACCCCTGCCGTCGCTAATGCAAGTGGCTGACTGCCAGCCCAGCCCCTGTCCACCTAGCCAGCGACCCATTTCACATTGTTCCTCGGCGCAACCGGGAGACTGCACTGGTGCGATAGATCACATGGCAGGCATATTCCCAAGGACCCATCAAAGGTATTGACTTAGCATACGTCCTGACGAAATTGTCTGCACGCCGCGACTCTGATCTGGCGCACGACAAAGAGGGCGGATTCATAAATGAAGGGAAGCACCATTTATCTACGCTTGCCGTTCCCCTTGTACCTATGACCTATAGACTGACGGCCTGCTCAAATGGTTGGACTACTGCACCAGCGATCTACTTAGCTTTGACATTTCTGTAGACATCCACGCGGTAACGGCCACAATGTCGGCACCGCAATTGACAAAGTGGTACCCCTCATTGTATTTCTGCGCAGCTGTGCCAAGAAGACATGGTTGTCAGGTCAGTAAAGAGCCCAAATCAATGATTTAGGGCTAGGGCACACTCACCAGCGTCTGAGCTCAGGGCAAAGTGGCCCGCATACTTGCCGGCACGCAGAGTGGCGTCCAAGACTCTCTTCGAAGCCTCTTGGACCTCTGGGATGGACGCATGGTCGAATGCGACGTATCCCATTGAAGATGCCAGGTCGTTGGGACCGATAAAGACCATGTCGATGCCCTCAACGGCCACGATGGCTTCGATGTTCTCGAGGGCCAGCCGCGTTTCGATCTGGATGCAGACCATGACGTTGTCGTTGGCACGGAACAGGTAATCGCGGCCGTTCTGGTTAAAGGCGGCCGGGGCAAACATGGCACCCGCCCCCCGACGGCCCGCAGGCCACTTCTTGGTGTCGGGATACTTGGCCGCGCGCACAATGGCCTCGGCCTGGCTTGCCGTCTCGCACATGGGCACCATGATGGCGTGCGCGCCCGCATCAAGCGCACGCTTCACCATCCACGGCTCGTCCGTTGGGATCCGTACGATGGGCGACACGCCGCTCGACGAGATGGCGCCAATCTGTAGGTACATATCGCGGTCGTCGATGTTGCCGTGCTCGCAGTCAATCAGAACCCAATCTTGGCCCAGGGGCGCGATGGTCCGGGCGAGTGTGTAGCCTGGGAATTCCAGCCATTGTCCGACACTGGGTCCTTCGCGGGCTTTGGCGCGTTCCAGAGACTGGCGCAATCGCGTCTTGCCAGCCGGGTCGACGACAGGCAAGGCTATTTGGTTCGACATGATGGTTCCGATGATGTTTCGAAACGGATTGTTTGACAGTTTGGAGATCCGCCAGCCAGAAAGAAGCCTTGGAGGGGGTTTATGCACGCCGGATGTGAGCGGCCGGAACTCGGCCCGGATCTGCAAGAATACCGACAGGAAGCTGTCTATCCGATGGCGAATGAGAAGCCTGCGGTATGGTTCTCGTTGACGCACTCTGTGCTTTCGATGCACAGTCGCATTGCCGATGTCTTAAAAGTTCTTTGACAGATACACGCAGCTCTGAGATGACGAGTTGGAACAAATACATCCTGCGATCTAGTACTCTTTTCTGCACAAGTAATCATATTGGGTGCGTGATAGATCAGACAACATGCAAATTCTTTCTCATTGACATCAATACTGATTTTCCTTCTTCTCCATTGTTCAATCAAAGTTGTCGGGTCCAAACCCATCAGCAAAAAATTGCCTGACGCTCTTGGCTTTGCCAGCTGCCGCTATCTCCTGCACTTCCTCCTGGGAGAGCACAAAGTTAGGCAACTCGCGCAAATATTGTTGCAAGCGCGTCTTCTGGCCGCTGGTTGTGATGACAATGATTCCTTGGTCCACAACCCATCGCAGGAGAATCGAGGACTCACTGACGCCATGTCGTTCAGCCAGCTTGGAGCAGATCTCGTCAACCGGACCGGCCCGGACCTTGAAGGGAGTGAGGGGGGCGAACCCTTGCAAGACGATGCCGTTCTCCCTGCAGTATTGGATGACTTTCTGCCGCTGGAGGTACGGGTGCAGCTCGATTTGGTTGACGGCCGGCTTCACCCGGGCTGTCTTGACTAGAGAATCCAGGTGTGTCGGGAGAAAGTTGGAGACGCCAATGTGGCGAGCGAGCCCCTTGTCAAGACAGATCTCCATGTCCGCCCACGTCTGCTGGAGATCTTGCTCGTCCGTTGCAGAGAATGGTTCATGTATGAGATATCTAATAACAGCTCGGTCAACTTTACCAGACCAGGATATACAAGAAGTCGAGCGGTCCATCATCAGTTCACATACAGGTCGACATGATCCGTTTGCAACTTTCGACAGCTCTCTCGTAGCGACCCCTCGACGTCGACGTGTGAGACGGCCTTTGTTGTTATGAAGAAATCGGAGCGAGGGACACCCGACTCGCGGATGGCCTGCCCCAATTCTGCCTCAGTGCCGTAGTCTCCCAAAACCCTAGTCAGTCGAAGTGGAACACAGCAACAAGCGGTCGGAGCAGAGCATACATTGTGCTCCATCAAGATGGCGGTAGCCGAGTTCTATCGCCTCTTTGATACCATCAATCGTCTTCCGGTCTAGACTGTCCCCATCCTGTTTGATCCACGTCGTCCCAGTGCCGTACGCGAGCTGCGAACAGATTTGTCAGCGCACTAGACTTGAAGCTCTTCTTCGCTGAGCATGTCGCCAACTTACCACAGGGACTTGGGCTTCCGAACCGAGTCGAATATTTGGTATCGCCATGTTGCTGATGAACGTTGTCCTGGCTATCTCGTCGAGACTCCACCACAGAGGCCTTGTGCTGAGTGTCGGCTTGCTTTGTTTTGGAGCGGGGGTTGGCCCATATCCGATGACCTTCATCGGATGAGTTCCGCCCGAGGGCCCGCCTTTGTAGGCGCGGATGGCCTTTCCTCCTTCCTCTTGATTGCAAGAGGGAACGCCACAGCGAGATACGAAGCACCTGGGATCAAGAGCCTTGCAATGTAGGCTTGGCCAATAGTGACGCCACCCACAACCGAGCCTAAATGTGCATCCTCTTCATGTCCTTCGCGGATGGCTGCCGTGATTAGCTAGGGCTCCTCGGGATGCAGCGTCGGCTACGCCCCCTACTCCAATCTCAATCTCGGCATACCCCAACGAAGCCGATGACCTGGTGACCCGCAGATAAGACCCCGGACAGGGCGCATTGGGCTCGAGAGTTCCCAGCATTAACGACATGAGTTGGCCGCCTGGTGTTTGATTGTGGACTACAACGACTCCCGAGTGTCACTTCCCGCCGCATTAGGCAGAGCAGCATCACCATGGCAAGTTCGAAAGGGTTACCGTTGGGGTTCTGCCCACCGGACGACGCGGCTCTTCAGGTTTTAGGCCCCCACACAGCTGGACAAGCAGCCGCGCGCGTTTGGCAAGCCTGCGTAGCTTGCCGTCGAAAAAAGGTGACAGCGGCCCACGCTGCAGGTCTTTGCCCGTATACCTTGAAGGGAACCTGTGCTTATGCGAAGGACCTTGCGACAACAGATCAAATGCGACGGCCAGCAGCCATGTCACAACTGCAGTTCTCGCGAGGCGCCATGCGACTACCCCGGCAGCAAGGACAATGCCTCTCACAGCCGCAACTACGCCATGGCATTTGAGACACAGTGCCAGCAACTAGACGTCTTCTGTAGACGGCTTGAGAACTTGACAGGCGAGCTCCACCGCTCCATTGAGACCCTCAAGCAGCAGCAGGGCACAGACAAGGACAACGCGACCTCTGCTTGTCAGTCCGCCGAGGAGGAGCTCCTGCAGGCTGCACATGCATTGCGCTCCCTGCCGCAGCCACGCGTGCCCCAGCCTGACCGGGGTGTGTGTGCATCGCAACCAAGCCGGACTGACCCAGCCGATGTTGAGCTGAACAACTCGTCGATCCTTCTGCGGGACGACGAAGATGAAGATGAAGAATATGATGATGATAATGATGATGATGACGACGACAACGGCATTCCCCAGACCCTGAATGATGTTGACCAGGGCGACTCGTTTGGTGCGTGTGCTGGGACTGCCAGATTCGGCTCTCTGGTCACCGATTCCTATGGCAGACTCAGGTTCGTTGGTGGTGCAACCAACGACATGCTCATCGAGGCAGTCAAGAGTCTAACCCCAGGGCACTCAGTTGACGATGCACAGTCGCCACACACGAACATTAACAATGCAGCGCGAGGAGCAACAACTGGCCAGGACCATGAACAAGCGCAGGCGCCATCTCAACGACAACCCATCGAGATACCTCTTTTCACACACGGCCAAGTCTGGCCTGAATTGTCTCTGTTGCCTGGCCCAGAAAAATTGAGTCGACCGCCGCAATATGTTGGCGACCTCCTCGTTGGGCTCTACTTCGACCAACTCCATTACATGCTGCCGGTGCTCTATAAGCCGGACTTTATGGCTCGCTACAGACAGATGAAGGCGTCTACCACCGTGGACAAGAGGTTTTTAATGGTATTCTTCGCCATTTGTGCTTGCGCCTCCAATCTGATTCCCTCAGACTCGGGCGGGTCCAAGACGGCCAGGTTTCCAGGTATCGACTACTACCAAAAGTCGCTGCTGCTCAATTTTGCCACGACGGGCGAGGCGAGTCTAGAGAGGGTCCAGTGTTTCGCTCTGCTGGCCATGTGCTCAGCAGGCTGGAATACACTGTCTCAGAGCTGGACATTCGCGGGCCAGGCCGTGCGTGCAGCACAGGATCTGGGCATGCACCTGAGCAACCTTGCAGCCCCGTCATCGCAGCATTTGTCCGCGAACCGGTTGAAGACTGAGATATCACGCCGTGTGTGGTGGAGCCTCTACTGTCTGGATCGGTGAGTAAACACCGTTTTACCTATTCATATGCCAACGGCACAATTGACATGGCGAAAGCGTGACCTCAACATGTCTCGGGCGGCCGATGGCTGTGAATGACGCCGACTGCCACTGTGCACTACCACAGTCAGCAGACGACGAGGCGCTTCACGAAGTGAATCAACAGGAGTCTATCGCTGTGGCTCGAAAGAAGACGACATCTTCTTCAATGGCGGGATTCGTCGCCTTTGCCCGGCTGTGCCACATCGCCGGCAAGATTCAAGCTCTCCACTCTCCGGCTCGGATACAGGAGCTGGCTATGCCGCAGAAGGCTAGAGGGTTGGCGAGGTTGGTCGCGAGGCTGGACCGTTCCTTGGATAACTGGCTTGGGAATTTGCCTGAGGAGCTCGGCTTCTCAACAAGGTATGCGTCTCGCTGTAAACGCGCCAGCGTCGTGTCGACGTCACTTGATCCCAGACACTTTTGATCACAACCTGTTCCAGGTTTGTTCTTGCTCCAGTCACATCCGCCCCAAGCCCGTCTTCCTCGCACTCTTGAACCACGGCTATTCGCTGACATAGGGCTCCATCATTCGCACCAGTGTCGCGAACCGTGGCCCAACCTCAGCTATGTCTGTTGTCATGTCGATAGTTCACGCCGGATCGCGGCTCGCCCTTTACAGGTCATTGGGCGGTAAGGTAGACACGGCCATGCTGACTGTCGCCGATCCCGTCCATCACTGCATCACTGCCGCACGCAGCTGTATCAACGCTGCGGAACTGCTTCGGGAGCTTGTGCCGCCATCTCACCACCTGGCAATTTGCATACACTATCTAACACTTTCGGGCATCGTATTGTAAGGCCAGGACTCCGTTCAAATTACTTTCAATGACGACAAGTATAATAGAGCTGACCACTATCAATTCTGATTTAGACTACGCACGACGGAGCACTCAGACAGGTGTGTGGCCCAAGATGTCGACAAGTGTGTCGCCATTCTGCGGGACCTCGAAGCGGCATGGTCAGGTGCGAGAAAGAGTCGACTCATTCTTGAACAGTTGATGAAGGAACCTATTAGTGACAGTAGCGGCGGCGGCGGTTACGATCAGGATCTAATTCTCGACTTCGAGAACGTAGGTGTGCTATCCTGGCTGCAGATGCCCGCCGGCACTTCAATGTTTAGCGATTTTGACAACAGCACAGCTCTGGACCCCTTGGAAACCTGGGAGAATGTGAAGTGAGGCGCCACGAGTCGTCGAGACACGGCTGGATTCAACGAGATGCTTCTATTCTCTTTACTCTTGGTTCATAATGATGATCTTGATATCCTTACGCGCATGCTGCGCCTCGAACGCTTCTGCACACTTGGTCAAGGGGAAAGTAGACGTAATGAGCGGCTTGAGGTCCACTTTGCCTCGAGCCAAAAGGTCGATGGCATCTGCAAAGCACCCCGGAGTGTAGCGCACGGTGCCTGTTTGTCGAGATTTTCTGTCAGCCACGGCGTCATATCACACCCGACAGAGTCTTATCATGACAAGTTACTCACCTTTGATGGTCAGCTCCCTGGCTGTCAGCATGAACAGCGGGACAGAGGTAAGCGGCTTGCCCAAGCCAGCCTGTATGCACGTCCCACCATTCTTCAGCAAGCATAGTGCCATCTGCGCACATATCTCAGCCCCCGACGCCTCCACAGTCACGTCAAAGCCGTTACTCATGCCGTGCTCCTTGATGACCTTGGTCGCATACTCCTGCGCAAAGGCCAACGACTCCTTTGACTGTTCTCGCGCGGGCGGCACAAGGCCAGCGTCGGCACCATACTTGACGGCGAAGTCGACTCGAGACTGCTCAACGTCGAACATGACGATCTTCTTGACGCCATAGGCCCTGGCGACAGCGAGTATGAGGAGCCCCAGTGGGCCACAGCCCAAGATGGCGAGGCTCTGGTGGGCGCCGAGGTTGGCACGCCTGCCCAGCTGGACGGCAATAGCCAGCGGCTGAATAGACCCGGCTTCTTCCCAGGATATGCGATCGGGGATTGGCACCGTCATGGACGCCCTGCAAGTCACGTACTGGCATAGCGTGCCGTCGGTCGGGTCCATGCCGCAGTACCTGAGGTTGGCGCAGGTGTTGGGGTTGCCACGCAGGCAGAACTCGCAATCCATGCAGGCGAATCCCGGCTCGACAGCGACCCGCTGCCCGACCGTGCGATCTGTGACAGAAGGGCCGACCTGCTCGATGATTCCGGATGATTCGTGGCCCAGGACAAGCTGGCGCGACACTTTGTCACTCTCGTAGTTGTGGCAATCGGATCCGCAGATGCCCGTCGAGATGATCTTGACGAGCACATCGTTGGCACCGACAGGTTTCACGGGCCGCTGCTGGACCTCGACCTTTCTGGCACCCACCCAGACGCAAGCGCGGTTCGATTCTGGTAAAGTCATGTTGGTGTCGTACTGGTCTTGTGCTAAGGAGAGCTCACCCTGGAGGGAAGAAAGTCCATGAGCAACTGTGTCATGAGTAATTGTGAGTAATTATGAGCGTATGCATCAGCGCAACAGATATGCGTAATGGGAGCGGAGGAGATCCGGCCGTACACGTCGTGCTGCCCGCGGCACGGGTCCCGGCCCGTAGCGCATGCAGTCATCATGCGGAAGCAGATAGCTAGGCCCGCCCCCCACGAGTCTGGTCTTGGGACCCTGGAATCATTCATGAGCACAAATGGCACTTGCCTGCAGATCCGCTAATCACTGCTCAACTCGACTGTCTTGGCGGCGGCAAAGCACAGGTTCTACCATTGGACACCCTGGCGGTCCGTAGACCACCGGCTTACCTGCCGAGGTCCGCGCCGAAGCTCCCAAGATAATGGATGAGTGAGCACCCCAATGTACAGGTGCGACACTCAAGCCATCGCATCCTTGTGCGCGAGCAGATATAACTCCAAGCTACATCGCCCTCTCCCCTTATCTGTGAATCTCTCAGTGCTCATGTGTCCGTGGTGTTTTCCACAACAGACACAGCGACATGGACGACAACAAGAAAGAGGCCGGGTCGAACATGAACAGTGACCAAGCCGCTTCGGTGGCGTCGCACTCAGCGACGCCCTCGGCAGCAACATGGACCGCCGCCGACGAGCATGCTCTGGTGCGCAAGATGGACCTGCGCATATTCCCCACGATGATCGTCCTCTTTATCCTCAATTTTATTGACCGCAACAACTTTGCAAATGCACGTCTGCGAGGCCTGGAGGCCGACCTGCGCCTCACCGATGTCCAGTACCAGACCTGTATCTCAATCCTGCTCGTCGGCTACGTGGCCTGCCAGGTGCCCTCCAACATGATTCTCAACAAGCTCACGCGGCCAAGCTGGTACCTTTGCTCGTGCGTCGTCGTTTGGGGCATCATCTCGGCAGCCACGGCGGCCGTCCACGACGCCACGGGTGCCATCTTGTGTCGATTTTTCCTGGGTTGCGTCGAAGCCTCCTTCTTCCCAGGCAGCATATACTTCCTGTCGCGATGGTATACCCGCAAAGAGATGCAGCTGCGCGTCACGCTGCTCAACGCAGGCAATCTCGTGGCGCAAGCCTTTGGCGGCCTCATCGCGGCAGGCATTCTGGCCAACATGGAGGGCGTCGGGGGCATCCGAGCCTGGCGCTGGCTCTTCATCCTCGAGGGCGCCATCACCGTTGCAATTGGTGGCCTAGCCGTCTTCATCCTCCCCGATTACCCTCGGTCCACCGGCTGGCTGACGGTCGGCGAGAGACACATTGCCGAAACCCGCCTTGCGCTCGACGTCGGTGTCGCCGAAGGTGCCGAGGACGAGGAGGGAGGCGCTTTCCACGGTCTCAAGCTGGCCGTCATGGACCCCAAAGTCTGGTTACTTGGCCTGGCCTATCACACGACTATCATGGGTCTCAGCGTAAGTGGGATTGCACCACTCGTCTGGAGTTGCAAGTAAGCTGATATGGTTTGTGGCGTACAGTTCAGTTTCTTCTTCCCAACCATCACACAATCGCTCGGCTACAATACGACAACGACTCTGTTGCTCACCGCGCCGCCATGGATCTGGGCCTGTCTCGTGTCCCTGCCCAACGCCTGGCATGCGGACAAGACGGGTGAAAGATTCTTCCATTATCTCGGGCCCGCAATCACGTGTATTGTCGGCTACATCATTGCCATGACGACAAGGTCTACAGGTCCTCGCTACTTCTCCATGTTTTTAATGACGAGTGAGTCGTCCCCCTCCAGTTTTTCTTTTCCCCCGGGCAGTCCCAGAGACACAGGCTGATATGATCACCGCAGCCGGCTATGCCAGTGGCTTTGTCATGCTTGCCTGGATCAGTAATACAATCCCTCGGCCCGCCGCGAAGAAAGCGGCTGCAATCGCCATGGTCAACGCCATGGGGAACATCGGCAGCATTCCCGGCTCGTACATTTACCCTGTCCGGTGGGGACCGCTTTATGTCGAGTCATTCGGTGTTGAGATTGGCATCCTCTCACTGGCGTGTGTGTGCGCCTTCGCCCTCCGCACCTACCTGCGGAATCTCAACAAGCGCCTGGATAAAGGCGAGCTTAGCGCCTTTGAGGTTTCTGCGCATGCAGCTGAACACACAGCAGACATTGAGGGCAAGCCGCCTCCAGTGGTTCTGGAGCAGGCGCGGCAGTTTAGGTACTTGTACTGATTGGGAGGGCCATTGTTCATCGCATACGGCCTTTCTACTATGTACACGTGACGTCGTTGTTGGTCACCAGCAAACTGCCTAGAAGGGGGCCTCGGGTCAAAGCCGTTGCTCTGTGCATCGATTAGACGGCTCAATGCGCGAGAGACCCGGAAGTATTGACATCCATGTGTTCGCGCATCTCTTTGATGTCAATCTTTTAGATGCACGAGAAGTGCAGTGCGATACTCGTGTTGGCAATGACGATGCCCAGATATGTGATGCCATGTGCCTTCAGCGTGTTCCTGGCGCCTTGCTGTCTATCTGGAAGAGAATAAATAATGTACATTCTGCTTTTGGCAGGGCATTTTGAGACTCAGCAAGAGTGTTCGTGTGACTTCGTATAGTAAGCTCCTAATCAATGTCACGGCTGGCACGAAGCTTCCTGTAACACTGTGTGAGGTGACAGGGCCATGAGTCTCCACCATTACACGCATTAGATCAGTCTCCTCTTCCATGCTACTGCCATGGTGAGACCATCGTTAAGGGATACACGCGAGTGGTTATCTTGGGGGCTCAGAGGTCCCACAAATCCCGGCTGGCCCCACTTGGTCACTCACAGTCTCGAGGATGGCAGCCTCCTGGACAGCAGTGTCTTATCTATCATTTGTTGTGTGCGGTAGGCCGACTGCTTGCGTCAAGTCTTGTCCCCTTGAGATTGGTTGCCAAGGAATCTGATGCTGGCACTTCATATGACCTTGCTCCCGCATATGTATTTTGAGACTGCGGTGAGTGCCAGCGATAGGGAGATCCGAGTTGCTGGGGCGTATCTTCCGGCTTCGGCGTATACCTGATTGTCGCCAGTGCACAAACAGACAGCTACCTTTATCAGCCGGCACTGGCCGTAGGAGTGGGAGCACGAGCCGACTCGACCAACCAGAAAGTTAAATCACCGCCTGGACAGATATGTATCCATAAAAGGGGATTGCAATAATTCAACTCAAGGCACGCTATAAAAAGTTGATAAGAGACCGATCGCTCATAAAAACGTCGCCACGCTGTTCTATCATCCATGGACCGCCCATCCTAATCCTTATTGATACAATCACCACGAGTCGCGGCACATTGGGATGGCTCAACGTATTGCCCGATAGTTCCTTGCTAGGCATCAAAAGCCTTGGGGCGGCTTTCTTCGTGTCGTTCGTCGAGCTCGATATAATCATCGCTCACTTCCGAAGGGACCTGTCTGACGGAGTGGCGGAAATGTGTCACCGAGCTATCGTCATTCAGGGCCGTGAACGGGTTGCCGTCCTTATTGATGCTCTTTTTGGCATTCTCATTCGCCGTAGTGCCCGTTGTCTTGAACCTGCTGGGTCCAGTCGCCGGAGTGCCGTAAGACGACATAAAGGTCTTCGGGAGTAGCGGACGCAGGCCAGGGAGACACGCGCAGATGATTCCTGCCACTGGCTCGACGCCTGCGAGGGACCACACGGTGCCTTCGTCGTAAAGGTTTTTCCACTGATACCCATGCGTGAAGACGACACGGGCAAGGGAAATAAAACAGGTGCTGGGCATGGGGTGTTAGGGACAGCTCATCACCGAACAGCCGAGCTGCAGTAGAGTTGAAGTGACGAGGAACGGAGGACACTTACATGAAACCAAAGCAAAAGGATACAATAATGCCAATCCGTTTCCCACGGTTCATATTCAAGCCCCAAATTGCCTTGAGCGGGAGGACAAAGATCAGGAAGTCCGTGAAGACCGTCAGGCTGTCATAGGCAATATTGATGTTCGCCATGGCTTCGAATTGCGCCTCCGTGGCATCAGCCCAAGCCCACCATTTCTCGATTGGCTGTACGACTGCGAGATAACCGACGAGGCTGCCTACGAAGCATCCGATAGTGATGCCCGATGCCACGTATATCAAGATAGTCATTGGGCCATTGTACCCGGCGAAGACGCGATGGTATAGGAACAGGATCGAGGCTTTGCACGAGTAAACCGCGAGCACGAGGACCAGGTTGTTGGCATAACCGATCTAATAAGCATACAGTATATCAGCCAGAAGACCACCCAAACAGCATTCACCGTGCCTTACCTGGTCGTGGATCAACGAGACGTCGGTTGGCTCCGAAACATCTAAATACGGGTATCCGGGGATGCCAATGCCGCCGTACAGAAGCACTGGTTTGTGAGTGCATACGTTAGCTATCGAACCATGGCGGGAGCGCGGTCTGTTGCATGTGGCCAATAGAAGACCTACTCAAAAGCAGAAGGACGAAAAAGATGTTGGTGAGGATCTGTCAGGAGTGTTAGAATGGAACCATCAAGAGCGATGGCTCATCAGGTCAGAGAACTTACAGCAGACACAATGATCATCCAGTCACTCCAGCCATAAAGACCTCTCGCTTTTGATTTTGCGTAAAACCGAAGCCCGACCACAAACGTTGACAGTAAAGGCAGAATGATCCAGGTTGCGACGAGCTCCCGCTGCCGAGGCAAGTAAATGGGGAAAGCTTGAACCATGGCTGTTGACTTGCGCAGAACAAAGTTTTCGGAATAATGGCTGCAAGATCACGGAGATGCAGATCGTTGCAAGGGAGCTCCATGTATATAATCGAGGAGGTTAGCTCGCTCCAGGCCCGGGCGAACATTCCGTCCCATTTCCGTTCGTCTCAAGTGAACTCTATCCTTCCGAGTCAGTCCATGCTCTAACCCCTGTGGCGTTGGTGGTCAATGAGTCGCATCGCTAGCGTGGGGAATCTGGCTTCACACCATGGAGAGCTGCGAGAGGAACACGCCACGTTCTGATCAGCCTCAAATAGGCATTGCCGGCTTACTTGGACATTTTTCAGCTCGAGTCCGTGCCCTATGAACTACATAGCTTAGCGTCGATTCGCAATCAGAGACACCTTGTCGTCAGCTGTAGGGTCTGTTATCGAGGCAGTCTTGGCTTTGTGGCTGTCTGCACTAGCGCAGACTAGATCTACAGCTGGTGGCGCGAGCCGACGCTAAATGACTCGAACCACAGCCATCAGCTGGGTGTTCTCTTGCTTATTGGTAAAAGCACGAGGTCCTCACTATGAATGGCATCAGTAGCGGAAGGCATGCCAACATTGGATCATGTGGATGAGGGAGCTTGATTGCTTCCTTTTCCCTTCCGTATGCGCAGCGCGTCTATAGCTTGTTTCCGACAACTAACCCTTATCTCATGCCTTGCGACTGTTGAAGAATGGCGGGTGAGGAGCCCCGCTTTGTCGTTGATGGCACATGCCGGACCAAATCCTACCGGCACTCCGACACCTCGCATAAGCCAACTTGACCGGTCCGCAATCCTATTCGTTCAGCCTTAGTCGGTGGGCCTCGAAATCACCACATCCGGTCTTCCAGAGTTGAGTGTGGACGCGGTCCAGATTCCGGATCCCCGTTCCTGAGGGGAGGGTTTGACAGCTACTGTATTCAGGGGCGCTGTTCTGGGGCGGCGCTCGTCTGGGGTAAGGCCATCCTTATCTCCAGCTCTCCCGAAGCGCTTTCATGACCCAGCTTCGCGCACGTGGTTTATCCACGCTACGTTCGCCTGCAGCATCAGCTGCACGAACAGGGTGCTGCCCAGCATGAACTATTTAACTGCAAACTGGAACGAGCAGGTGCCCGGTGGCGTCTCATAAGTCTGGAGATACAGAGATTACGATGCTCACAACCCTATTGTACACCTCAACATACGTATGTGAAAGGGGATCTTGAGAGATTCCGAACACTAAGAACACTAAGAACTACGTGGTACACGAGGCTGAAGCCATGCTCGCTAAGGCAGCCAATTGGGAACATCCACTAGATAAAGACGCGATCGATATGGAGTGGCTAGGAGCGCCATGTTTTAGCAGCGTACCAAACTGTTGCCCCTGACGTACATTAATTCCCTCATCGTCTCGCCAGGATTTCGCGTTGTGTCAAGTGCCGACACGCGACATGGATCATATGTAGGTTCAGCATATAAGATAGTCCTGCTTGCGTTTCAGTCCTTGAACATCTGTTTCGCGGCCCCGAAAATCTCCTGTGCCGGGCTTGGGTCTGCCAGCATATCTCTAACGTCCCGACACAGAAGCACCTTTGGCCAAAGGGCCCCGTCATAGCATGCAGGCTTTTTCTTGGGGCCCGTCCGACGTTTGGCCTCTTATCTGTCAGTTCAGGAGGAGCTTCTTCGAGGTACATATATGTGCTAAGTTGGACCGCGTTTGAGATCAAGGATATATCGCGTGTATCATTACTAACTGGAATCTCTTCGGCTGTGTTCCGTGCAGAGCACAGCGTCGACGGCACAACTATTATGATATGATTTCGTGGTCAAATTGTTCCTAGAGTTGAACACTACCTAGCCACAAATGTGTGCTGTAACAGCTATGATCTGACTCCCAGTGATCCAGGTCCCCTCGGATTTGGCCATGTTGATCACTTGCGCAGTTGGGCAGCCTCTACTAAAGCTCGTGGTTGACCGATGCGGGTCCTCCTATCTCGTTATGCATGCAGGGCTCGAAAGGTTTAGCTCTGCTATGGATCTTGAGCAAAATGATCGCGCCGCCACTGACCCAGCCTGGTAGGCATTGGTACGTGCGGTATCAGTCCGCGTTGGTACTAACTTAAGAATAATAGAACTTACACGATTGGTTTGATTTATTTCAGCCAAGTCGAAATATGACTTTACTACGTCACATCTCCAGCGTGAATGATTTTACATAATCTTCTACGGTTTGCCATGATTATAACCACCAGCCAAAGAAGGTTAATAAACTGAGTTTCTGTTATTTTGCAAGTTCAGGTCCAGGCCATTGATTGCTTCAGAACACCTTCACACCAGGCTGTCACACTAACGGCGAAAGGTCTGTGCTAGACACGGACACAAACTACAAGACCTGTTGAGTCCGACTATTCATTCAACCACGCGCCTGGTACTTGAGCAGTGCATCTTTCTATGCCGGATGAGGTTACGTCTCAAAACGGCTCATGACTACTGCTCATTTTGCAGGTTTACTAGAAACATCTGCTGCTCTAAACATGGCTAACAAGCTGTCCACATCGACCGACCCTTTATCCGTCTTGGGATTACCTGCATCAACTTTATCATCATCTTGCTGTACCTCTTTCCGTTTGGGAGGCACTTCCTCGTCTGCACCATCCACGAACTCAAACTCGCGATCCTCCGCATCCCGAAATATGTACCCATATCCACCTGTATCGAGCGTGTAGATCTTCGCCGGCGTCTCGGACTTGTTGCTGGTGAAAATATGCACCCAGAATGGAACACCGCGGACATCGCCGAGCTCTTTGGCTGTCAGCCATGACACAGGACAGTCACCGAAAACGCATCGGCGCCCATCTTCAGAGTAGTACGCCATGGTCATCTGGTCCTGCCCAATCGTAACATGCAGCCGCATGTTACCATCATTCATTGGTTTGCCATGGTAGAACCACTGCGTCGGTTTGTCAGCGCACTTCCGCGCCGCCGTGGCGGTCACGCCGTTACGGACGAGTATGGTGTCCGACTTTCGCCCGGTCAAGTCGTTAAGACAGTTGCTAAGGACGATGGAGAAGACGACGTTTTCGTGAAGATCGCAGAGGTCAACTGCAAAGGTATAAACAGCCTTTGGATCTCCAGTCTGCAAATAGATGGGCCCCGCCGTGACTTTCTGGTCATGGCCCGGGGAGCCCATGTTTCCATACTGTTGCCCTCGGCCGGCATACACGCCAGTGGCGATTTCAGCTGGAAACGCGAGCTCCTCTGCTGGCACTCGCGTGGCTGCTACGAGCGGGATTTGCGGAACTGGAGGCAGCGTCTTCTTGTGCTCCTCGAAGCTCTTCCTGACTTGTTCCTTTACGCGGCGCAAGCCCTCTATTGAGACGAACTCGGCTCTACGGCCCCCGCCCTCTTGGGGCACGTACAGAGACACGATGGCCGACATAAGGGTTGCGAATAAGGCCGAGAGGGTGCATGCTTGTGTCCAGGTGCCGGATCCGTATCCACCAGGTGATTCTGCGCGTAGGATATTGAAGCAGAGACTACTGAGCCCTCTGTTATTCCCCGTCGCGTTGTGATGGTAGACATCGACGTTGTAGCGTCCGGTTCTGGTGTAGAGGTGCACGATGGGAGGAGAGGTTGGATATGTCTCGGGAATGTAGAGTGCGCCAACAAGCGGTAGGTGAGCCATGGCGCCATCGTTGGGCAGCATGATGAACGGAAAGCGCGTTACATCGTCGCCAGGGTCGGGTTTGACGACGGTGCGGAGGTTGAAGAAGTCATCGTTGACATCTTCAATCTCCTTGTATATGCGCTTGAGCACTTTGGCTTCCATCGCAACTCAGATGTGGACTGGATTTTGACTCGTTACTGGAATTGAGCCGAATCACCCAACTCATCACACGGTCTTTGTTCCTTATAAGCATGGGGAGTTCGCCGTCTGACTCGATTGCGGCCTGCTCTGACTCACTTGACTGCACTCCGAATACGGATCGTCTTACACAACGTACATGGGCGGGAGGCATGGGTTATGCACATGGATAGCACAATCAGGCACAAAATCGAATTGGACGAACCCCAGAGTTCTGTTGGCTCTACCCCGGCTCGTTTGACCCTATGTTGGCTCTACACCAACACTTGCAATAGGGCTGCTGCTATTCGCGTAGCAAGAGTGTAAGCACATGATGCAACAGGACGAGCCGTATGACTTCTGTATTTCATTCCTACATAACCAAGCTATCTATTGTCGTGCAGACATTTGCACAAGCTGAAGGAACCTACTTGGGCTTCGCGGGGTGTAGAATGGCGTTAATGTCCAGCCCGATTTTCGACGAGGCCTGGAATTGCAGGGGCTCGTCTTTCTTACGGGACGCACTGGCCTGTAGAGCACACATTCATTAGTCATCGGTACACCAAGCTTTGGGAACGTTGAACGGGTTCCTACTTACTGTACCACTCGTTGGTGGCCTTGCAGGTGCCCTGGGCACAGGTCGTCGGGCCGGTCCAGCCCGTGCCGCCGCACTGGGTGTAGAGAGGAGCCCCAGAGCCCGAACCGCCACCGCCGCCAGTGTTGCCTCCACCACCAGTGTTGCCTCCTCCGCCGGTGTTGCCCCCGCCGCCAGAGCAGTTCAACACGGCAGGGCCGGGGATGGAGTACGCCCGGCCGCCGTTGTTGGGGGTGCCGCCGCTGCCGTAGATGTTGACAGTGATGCCCGGGTCCGAGGCCGAGTACCCTCCTGGGAAGCTGACCGTGCTACCACCCGTGCTGGTCCCAGACCCCGTCACTTTTATTTGGGCACACCCCATATAGAACTGGGCGCCTCCCGCGCTCCCGGCGTTGTGCAGCGCAATCAGCTCGACCCGCATCAGGTAGTCGCCCGGCGCGACGCACGACGGCATGGTGAAGTAGTGCCAGCCGTTGTTGGCAATCAGCGTGTCCACGGCCCACGTGCCGCCCGACAGCCCGCTCTCGGCGACCTTGAACCACTTCTGGCCCGAGGTGCTCGCCGACGCCGCATTGTCCACCTTGGCGAGGTACACGATGATGGGGCCCTTGTGGCTGGCCGCAATCGGGTTGTCGGCATCGTTGCTCCCCTGAGGGCCACCGATGACGTGCTGGTACCAGGCGCCGACTTTGGCGCCCGCTGGCACCGTCAGTATGTTGTTGTCCTTGTACGCGATGTTGTTGTTGCACGCGAAGCCGCCATCATTGACGTTCTGGATCGGGTTGTTGCTGCTCGTCGCCCGGACACCCTTGAGCTGGCCCTGGTCGACACCGTTGATCGAGACGCGCTGGAAGATGGCATGGCCAGAGGCCAGGGACGCCAGGCTGAGAAGGGAGGTGGCGAGTTTCATCGCGTCGTCGTTATTGTACAGCACGTGGGGAGTGGGAAATTTGCGCTGCTTGTCGAGGTGTATTCCAGATGAGCGCCGTGAAGTACTTCTGATATATATACATAGATCTTCAACCTTTTTGGTTTTGGTTTCTGTCCCAGACGGGGCTCCAAATCCACTTGCGGCAGGCGGCCCGTCTCCCTCCGTAGTAGCGACCACGCACGGCCCGGAAGTCTCTTGGCAGCACCAATCACCTACTTTTCGGGCCAATCAGCACCTAGACACATCGGTCTTTAATTGATTTGGATTCTGGGGTATTGGTCTCGTGCCTTGTGATCGATCGTCGGCGCTTTTCCGGGCCTTCGACAGCAGTGGAAGGCAGGGCACGTCGCAACAAGCTTATTCTCAGACTTTGACGGGATCATAAATCAGCGTTTGCGCGTGGTTGCACAGCTAGTCATCCTTGCCATGTATTTGATCGGCATTGAGATCCATCCTTAGTATGGCTGGCGAGTCACCCAATTATTTCGAAACAGAAGGTAGCACCAACCTTCAGTGTACTGACCCGCGCGGATTGGCCAGCAACCATGATCAAATAAGAAGGTCGACTAATGTAGCCCGCCAAGCGCGAGTACAGAGTCCGTGATAGATACATGCTTATCAAAAATGCACCCTTCCATGATTAGGGAGCGGCGCCGTGGCCCGGGATCGTTGGCGACAGTACAAGGTCGAGGTGTCAAGGTGTGTCGGAGATGCTAGCTCCGTGGCCTCTCCTAAATCGTTCCTTGTTCTTGACGTATCAGGCCGCCAGAATGCTCGACCCGGCATCGTGAACCCCACTCATCTCTCCTTCTGTGGCTCGGAGAAGTTGATCCGGTGCGACTTCTGTCTGGTAGAACCTCTACAACACCACTATCTTCGCCCCAAATAACACTGCGAGTGTATCGCCCACTATCGCTGCACATGCAAGTTATTCTGGACCACTAGAGGATGACACGTTGACTTCAATGCCCATCAGCGCTGTGGTCAACCCGGTATGAGAACAGCCATCTCAACACCGAGAATGCTACACACGATCTTACATTGTACCTGTTATCTACACCCTTGAAGCTTGCGATTGTTGAGAAAGATTCAACCTTCGAACCATGAACCTTGACCGGGACCGCTGGGGGGCAACAGCTGTCGCGCCTTATCTTCACGTACGTATCAAGGACATTAATCAACATCAAATACTTTGCGTAGAAGCAAGCTCGGTATGGCGAAGCCGCTGTTTCGGCATCTGCATATGCGTCTCTATCATATCTAAACTGGTAGTCTAATTGGTGGGAAGAGCCTGTGTACACAAAAGCCCCGAGTCAAATGCAGTACTCTGGAAAATCTATCAGACCACCCCAGAGATGGCAACGATCAGCTAACTACGCTCTTTACGCCTTCAGCTTGCCCCAGTTGGACACGGCCTTGAACTCGGGCATTTCCGACAGCTCCTTGAGCCAGGCGACTGTACTGGGCGCAGTCTTGAGGATATCCTCCCCGAACACCGCGCCGAGCGAGAAGACAAGGGCCAGGGCCACCGTGATGTCGGCAAAGGTGATCTTGTCGCCGACGAGAGTCTTCTTGCCACCCTGCAGCTGGGCCTCTACGACGGCAAGGGCGCGCTGGAAGTTGGCAGTGCTGCGGTCGACGACCGCCTGGTCGAGGGGCATGAACTTGTAGTGCGTCATGTAGGCAACCGGGTTGGTGTGGTTGGTGAGCTCGCCCTCGGTGAAGAAGGACCACTCGTCGATCTTGGCGCGCGTCTCGGGGTCGGTGCCCAGCAGCTGCGACGCCAGAGGTCCGCTGCCAGCAACGTAGCGGGCAATGGCGGAGGACTCGGCCACACAGAAGCCAGTGGCGCTCTCAAAGGCGGGAACCTTGCCCAGCGGGAACTTGGCAAGGAACTCGGGCGTCTTGTTGTCCTCCTGCATGGTAAAGTTCTCGGCATAGACAACCTCGAGGCCGTTGAAGGCGGCCGCGACTTGGGCCTGTGAGGGGTTGACTTGTCAGAAACTGGTAAAACGTAGTGACGTGACATCTCGGGTGTGCATTCTGCTACTTACACGCTCAACGCGCCAGCTGCCGGGGTATGAGTAGATCTTGCCAAAGGGAGCCATGGTGATGAAAGATGTGTATGGGAGTGTATGATCAGTCCTGTGTGATGGTGGAAGAGTGAGGGCTGCTTGCAGACCTGACCGCTGTTCACCGACCTTTATTCCCGACGCACTGCCCGCTCCACCGCAAAATCTTCTGCCATCCACTGGTTCTGCGAGCTACGGAAAGATATCCATAACTGGCCCCTTGTGGGGTCGGGGACTCGCGTGGGGCCTTGCCGTCGGGCATTGCCGCTTGGACGGAGGCTAGGCGAGCAGTTATCATCTTTGGAGAGCTCCAGCTGGTCATGGAAGGATATTATATCGGAGACACGAAACGAGCTCGTCTGATGCATGGTTTGGGTTCATCCCAAATGTTGTCATTTGGTTCTTGGATAACGTCATTGTGCCCCGAACACAACTCCGGCTCGGCGGCGGGCCTCGGAACGCAGACGGGAGTGCTCATTGGATGTCGGATACAGGACCCTCCATAGACCCGCGCACGAGTCCCCACGTTTACGATTGGCGAGACAGTCTCGACCAAGCACTTAAGCTTCTGTTTAAATGCCTAGCGTTTGAGCTGGTTTGGGCACAGGCCTGTGCCGTCGGCTCTGTTTCAGCGCAGGGCCGAGGGCCCCGTTTGGAAACTCCACGGCAATGTCAACTCTACCTGACTGCAGAGACCGAAGGAGCCGAAGCCAAGGCATTCTCATTCCGCCTTGAACACAAGCCGATGACTTCGGCGACTGCATCCCTGCCATCAAGAATGGACTGCTTCGCTTGACTGCCATGTCTGATTTGATAAGATGTTCACTCGTAGTCTTCATCACTATTACTTCTCGTTCTAATTGCGGGCAGGCTTCATTCTAGCTTCATTCCTGCTCTACTTCAGGCACTGCCACGTCCTAATGGCGAACCCGACGGAGAGACGCGCCTGGCTCAAAGATCATAAGTTCAAGTCATAAAGAAGTTGGGCTTCCGCACTCTACCGTTACTGACTCTCCGCCGATGCAGCCTATGTCAACGGTACACATCTCGCTGTCTCCATTGGCGTTTGCACAATATCAGCAATGACTGCAACGTGCAAGGTTCTCAGGGTACACAGACTCGCGAGAAGGTGGAGGCCCGCGGTTGATACGCACCTCATCACCACCATCAGCCTTGTGGGCCATGTACCAGTGTCTGGGCTGTCACAATCGGAGGTCGGGCGGTGGAGATGGCTATGAGAGGGCGCAGCTAGTGTTGCATTTGCTCTCTTGGACCTTGTCGTGACTGTTGGCGAACATGCCATCCGTGGTGGACAAATCCTAGAGCTGGACCCGGTCAACAGTCCCATTGCGTTTGTGGGTCGTTCCGGCTAGAATCCCCCAAAGCCCCCAACCTGCGAAATAGATCGAGATCCGTATAAAGGGATGAGTGTTTTGTGTCGTCGCGATATGGCAATTTGCAATATGCCGGCCGAGTCAGTTTGCAAATTTGCAGACGCTCGACGAGCAAGGTCAGATGCCGCAGTCGCGCCGTGTTGCCCAGACAGGTGGTGTGCCAGGACTACACACTCGCACTTATTATGGCATGCTGGTCCCCGAACTTGTTCCCCACGGTGGCAGGCTGTGTCTTTGTGGGATATGGTTCGGCGCGCGGAGTCTGCATCCTGCGTAAGGTCTGCGAACTGGAAATTGCAAAGATATCAGCCTTCCCCGCAGACCCCTCACCTAGCCAGGGGTCGTTGAACATGTGGAGAAGACGATATCGGCCGAAGCGCACCTATCCGCTTCAAGGACGCAGTGGCCCCGCGGCATGGAGAAAGTCGCAATCTCAGGCCACGATGAGGAACGGCAGCCGGCCCTGTTTCTCCCTTTTTCACAACCTCGGCCGCCTCACCACGTAGGAAGCGTGACCTGGCTCGAGACGTCCGCAACGATTTCCACTCTCATCATGGCAGCTTCGACCACAGGCACGCCCGACTACGCCAACCTCGAGGTCATCCAGCGGAATCGGCTTCCTCTGCGGTCCTACTGGATCCCCTCGACGTCGCTGCTGCTCAATGGCACCTGGGACTTTCACTACGCGCTGAGTCCGCTGGAGGCCCCCAATCTTGCGACCAAGGCAGATGGCCTGCAGCCTGATGACTCGTGGACTACCATCAACGTCCCCGGCCACTGGCAGCTTCAGGGTCATGGGCGCCCGCATTACACGAATACCGTCTACCCGTTTCCCTCGGATCCGCCGCACGTCCCCAGCGACAACCCCACGGGGACGTACCGCCGGTTCTTCAGCGTTCCGACTGGCTGGGACAGCTCTTCACAACTGCGCCTCCGGTTCGACGGCGTCGACAGCGCGTACCACGTGTGGCTGAATGGCAAGTTTGTGGGCTACTCGCAGGGCAGCCGCAACCCCGCCGAGTTTGACGTCAGCACGGTTGTGAAACGGGACAGTGATGAGAACGAGCTGGTGGTGCAAGTCTACCAGTGGTGCGAGGCCTCCTACATTGAGGACCAAGATCAGTGGTGGCTCTCCGGTAAGCATCGTGCGCTGCTATCCTTGGCCACAGCAAGCCTGACATTCGACGACAGGCATTTTCCGAGACGTCACTCTACTCGCACTTCCCCAGACCAGGGTCGAAGACTTCTTCGTCAAGACGGACCTCGACGCGCAGTACAAGGATGCTGTGCTGCAGGTTGAGCTGACTGTCGAGCAGCCGTCTGATGGCGCTGCTCATGAGTTGGTGCTCACACTGCGCAACGCTTCCAACCAGGTGGCATCGTCTACGCGCCAGCTCAGCGCTACCGACAAAGCGACGAAGGTCTCGATTGATGTCGAGAACCCGCACAAGTGGACCGCAGAAACTCCCTTCCTCTATCAGCTCGAGATTGCTCTGACCAGTGAGGGCAAGACGACCCAGTCCATCACTCAGAACGTGGGCTTCCGGAAGGTCGAGATCAAGGACGGGCTCATTACTGTCAACGGCACACCACTCCTCCTCCGTGGCGCCAACAGGCATGAGCACCACCCAAGGCTGGGCCGGGCTGTGCCCTACGAGTTCATGAAGCAGGACCTGCTGCTCATGAAGCAGCACAACATCAACGCGCTCCGGTGCAGCCACTATCCATCCCAGCCGCGCCTGTACGATCTGGCTGACGAGTTGGGCCTTTGGGTGATGGACGAGGCCGATCTCGAGTGCCACGGTTTCTACGACGTGGTCATGCAGGCTGCCAACATGCCACGCGACGAGGACTACGAGGGCAGCAAGGACATCTTCTTCCCCCGTGCTGCCGCCTTCACCTCGGACAACCCGGCGTGGCGCGAGGCCTATGTCGACCGCATGCGCCAGGTGGTGCAGCGTGACAAGAACCACCCTTGTGTCTTTTCCTGGTCCCTCGGCAACGAGGCATTCTTTGGACGCAACCACGTGGCCATGGCTGATTATGCTCGAGAGGTCGACCCGGGTAGGGTCATCCACTACGAGGGCGACATCAAGGCAAAGGCCGCGGACATGTTCTCGTACATGTATGTGCCACCCGAGAAGCTGGTCAAGATTGCCGAGACGGAGGCCGTGCGCGAGGATGGCAAGTTCGACAAGCCGGTCATCCTGTGCGAGTACGCCCACGCCATGGGCAACGGGCCTGGCGCCCTGGACGACTACCAAGAGCTGTTCCGCAAATACCCTCGGCTGCAGGGAGGGTTCATCTGGGAGTGGGCGAACCACGGCATCTGGCACGAGAAGGGTGGTTTCTATGCCTATGGTGGCGACTTTGGCGACACGCCCAACGATGGGACTTTTGTCATGGACGGACTTTGCAACAGTGAGCATAAGCCGACCCCAGGCCTCACCGAGCTGAAGAAGGTGTTCCAGCCTGTTAAGTTCGACGCCAGCGACGATGGCAAGGTGTTCGTCACGAACGAGTACGCATTTGTGGGGCTGGGGCACTTGGCGGGCACGTACGCTATCGAGGCATTCGGCGACAGGTAAGTCGATATTATGACTGAAGACAAGTAAGGGGCGCCTCACAACTGACACAACTGTATGGCTAGCTCGAAGACACTTGAGGCGGGCGAGATTCCGATTCCTGCCGTAACCCCAGGGACCAGGGCAGAGCTGCCAATCCCTGCTGACCTCCAAAAGTACCGCGACCATGAGCAGGAGGTATTCCTCACGATCCGGTTCTCTCTTTCCGCGGACACGGCATGGGCTCAAGCCGGTCATGAGATTGCTTGGTTCCAGCATAAGCTTTCCGCTGTTGACTATGCCAGCACGGCAGTGGCGGCGTCGACTCCGTCTCCTGCGAGGCTCGACATTCAGGAGAGCCGTACCGAGCTCAAGATCGCGGGGCAGGACTGGTCAATCACCTTTGATCGCGTGCGCGGCTACCTGATAAGCTGGACGGGCGGCGAGGCGGGGACGGCGTTGCTCGAGGCAGATCCCAAGACGAGGGCAGCCATCTTCCCCAACTTCTGGCGCGCTCCCACGGACAATGACAAGGGCGGCGAGGCTCTGAATGACTGGCTCAAGCAGCGCGTCAACGCAGTCACATCCCAGCTGCGCTCCTTCACCTTCAAGGAGACGCAGACCGACGGCGGATCGGGCGTCATCGTGGAGACAGACACGTACCTGGCTCCTCCCGTGCTCGGCTGGGGCTACAACGTGCACAGCACGTACGCTATCTCGCCCGAAGGTTCTTTGTCAGTCAAGCTCAGCCTCAAAACGTCAGGTGAGGGTCCCAAGTATCTTCCGCGTGTTGGTCTCAACCTGCGCCTGCCAAAGCGACTGGACCAGGCGTCTTGGTTTGGCCTCGGACCGGGCGAGTCGTACCCTGACAAGAAGACGGCCCAGCGCACAGGCATCTGGTCGTCGAGTGTCGACGGGCTCGAGGTGCCCTACGACGTGCCACAGGACAACGGCAACCGCATGGAGACGCGCTGGGTGCAGCTGGTCGATGGAGCGGGCAGGGCGGGCGTCAAGGCCACCCGTCGTGACCAGAGCACTTTTAGCTGGACCGGCGGAAGGCTCAGTGTCGAGGCCATCGAGTCCGCCAAGCACCCCTGTGACCTTGTCCGGGAAGACGCCTCCCTTCTGACTCTGACCGCGCAGGTTTCCGGTGTGGGCAGTGCCGCCTGTGGGCCAGAGGTCAGAGAGGACCTGCGCGTCAAGTTTGAAGACTTCGAGTTTGAGTTTTTGCTAGAGAGAATATCCACTTGATAGGTCTAGACTACTTGTTTTCTCTTCAATCTATCAGAATCCTTGTATGCTAGTAATGATCTCGTTGGTGACTCTGCTTCTCTGCAGTTGAACATTGTCCACTTCTGGCGCCACACCAGCATCGTCCGGCCAGGGACTCTGTACCTCCTCAAGCTTGTCGTCTAGAGCTAGCCAGTGTTCAAGAAGGAAGCGCATCATCCACCGGTCAAAGCGGTAGGTGTCCTCCCGCATTGTGGACTTCAGGCAGTTGTCCTGGAATATGACGAGTCGTTTGGTCTGCCGTCAGGACCCGAAGTGTTAGTAAGCTGAGCTCGAACTAGAGTGGAAAGGGGGAAAGAGGAGTTGGATGCCAGGTCTCAACCATACGTACCATGGTCTCAACACTGGGCCAATACTGTTTAAGCATTACCAGTGTGTCAAAGTTCGATTGGAGCCGTGCTTTCGCAGCCGGGAGGCCCTCGACGTCTCCAAAGAGGTACGTGTGAAGCAGCACCGACGACGATACGATAGTCACGTGAGTGACAATATTGTAGACGAGCTCGCACCCCTCACGCTCGCGGGCAGTCCTTAGAATCTCGCTCACCATGTTGGCGTGGTGCTTGCATTTGTCTGCGCATGCCTGCGCGGCGTCGTCGCAGTTTAGCGTGAGCTGTGCCTTTTCTGTGCGTCGCTGGTCGAGATACATGTAGAACAGCAGTGTGCAGTAATGATGGTACCCGAGGTGAAAGGCGAGAAAGACTCCACCTAACCCCTTGGAGATATGCCAGTCGAGGTTGGCGGGACAGTATGACATGTTCGATGCGAAGCTGGACTCCAGGCTCCGCATCTGGTAGGCGAGCCCGTCGACAGCAGCCAAAATGGCATCGTCGTCCCACTGCTGCGAGGTGGCAATTTTGACGTGAAAGTCTTGAATCTGGGCATAGATCTCGATAAGCTCAGCGACACAAGCGAGGAAGCCCCGGCCCCGTACTTGGGGCTCCTGGTCTCCCGGCCTGAGGCCGTGAAATAGTGTCTCTTCCATGGGAAACCGTGGTCCGTTTCCAGGCCGATGGTCGACGACAAGCTGCCTGCTGAGGCTGGCACCACGGCTCGACCACGTGTCGAGGATGCAGCAGGTCCACCAGACACGCAGCTTGACCTCTCGTGTGATAGCATCATCCGTCTCGTTCTCGGCATTGAGCTTCAGAATGTGCACCATCCGGTTGGCGACGGCTTTGCACAAAGTCAGCGTGCTATAGAACAAGGGCCAGTCCAGCAAGGTGAAGATGGCGGGCCAGGCTCACCGGAGTAGATGGATGCCGCGTCAAAGTCAGACTCCCCTGTCGAGACGGACATGAGCAAGATGGTGGCCTGGGCATTATCCAGGGAAACGCGCCCAATGTCTTGGCCGAGCAGCTGCTTTGCGGTCGCTGCGAAGTGAATCCTGCGTGCCCGCAGCTCGGGCTTAGGAGAGAATCTGTTCGCAAGCCAGCAGGCAAAACGACGTCAGTCTCGGGCATTATTGCGGGCGGGCTCGACGGGGCGAGTCTCGTCCTCAGCAGATAGGTGCTTACCTGGCAGAGAGACCAGCTATGGCCATGAGCAGCGAGCGTGGGGCTGTCCCTCGCACGACGGCCTCGCGGAATGTTGCCTCGTGGAACAGGCACAGCGACCTGTCGTGGATGTAGCGGAAGTAGATGTCCACCGACTCGAGCACGTCGGTCTCAGGCGGCGGCGGCAGCACCGGCTTCGCCCGCAGGGCCGCCCCCACGGAGCCGGCCACCGGACCTGTCCTCTCGCGGCGGTCCGCGCCGGAGTACGAACAGGCCAGGCCGCGCCGGCCGCACGGGAGGCAGCGCTGCGAGTCGCCGGTCCCGGCCCGGGAGCACCGCCGTTTCGTCTCCCGGCACTGCGCACAGGCCTGACCTGGCCGCTGGACCATTACGTGGAATTATCCTTGTCTGCCGGTCGGGTGCTGTGGTCGGCTCTGCGGATGGGGGAGGTCCAGTCAGTGAATCCAGAACTGGGAAAACACGCCAGCCCCTGGCTTCTCCACACAGCCACACACACGTGCGTTTCCGGCCTTGCTGCATGTTTCCTGCGCAAAAGTGGGGTCCGGGAAACCCAGCCTTGGCACTGCCAAAATGGACAGCATCGCTCAACAATGGATGGCTTCATCCCGTGACTGAACTCTGGTCGGCATTGCGTTTTGACTTGAATTCCATGGGAGATGCCAATCACAGGTCTTGGTGCCCACGTGCATCAACGCCAGAATTGTCCCAGTCCATGTTGAAGCAATTCATCCAGGGGAGAAAAAGAGTTGAAAGGAAAAAAGAAAAAAAAAGAAAAAAAAAAAAGAGAGAAAAAGATGGAATCGCATGCATTTTCGATTTGAAACGTGGTGTTTTTCACCTCAAGGCACGTGTATTCCTCCGAATTACAATTGACCCGAAAACGCTATGTGTTCTCGAAGAACTTGAAGTGATCAGGTTTGGGATGTCTGATGAACCATGTTCACAACCTGGATCAGCGCTGTTGAGCATCAAGCCAGATAGCTAGCTGGTCCTGTTGATGAGTAGATACAGGCCGAGATATGGAAACCCCATTCAAACGCAGAATACGCGCCATGGGACCAGACCGTTTTGTCGTCTTCTCCCTCCATGCTGTGCTTCAAGTCCCGGGGCAAGGTTTGATCCCCGGGGCAAGGTTTGATCCCCGTGGCGCTACACCCGGCAACGCCCATTTCTTTACTTGGAGGGTGGCTTCCGAACTGAGCTGGTTTCTCATAAACTTTCGTCTATCGGGGACGAGTTGACAGAGGCCAAGCTGCTTGAGCGGGTTACGACGCGTTGTGGCAGAATGGGAGAGAGAGCATCTGCTTCCAGATCAGCCAATTGGAAGACGGACCGAACAGGATGGACAGTGCTCGGTGCTCTGCCCGGAAACGCGACTGCGGGCCGTGGGACACGTCATGCCAGCGCCGGCTTCGGAGCTGTTCATGGAGATGCTTGATCCGGGCGTGTACTGCACCACGTCCTCTCGCATGCCCCAAACGCGTGCTTTCCACAAGCCAGCTCGGGCAGCGATCGAGCGAAGAAAAGTAGGAGGAAGGTGTCTGTGCGGGTGGCCCGTCAGCCCGCTATCCTCACACCTCCCTCCCCTCAGCAGGTGGTCCAGATCGGAGGAGGCTAGCGGCCAGCAGGGATGTTCTCCACACTTCAGGTCATGCCCTCCCTTGCTCTGATCAGACAGCCAATCATAAAAGATAGACGCCGGAGTTTCAAGCCAATCACCGCAAGTAGAGGCCGGCGCAGCACAGACTAGCATCCGCCCCCAGCGCCATTCTCGCCCTCCGCACCTGTGGCGCGTGGGAAAGCATCTGCGGGGGGCAACTCTGGGGTTCGCGACTATGTGTTCCGAGAGAGGCTTCCGAGGCAAGATGGTGTTTTGCAGACCATGCTAGATTCGACCAGGGCACCAGCGTGTCGGGTCTGCATGGCATTTTGCCTCGAGAGCGGGGAATGCACTTTGCAAAGCCAAGGCGTGAACTGACGGGCTCAGACCACAGCACCAGCGGAAGCAGCTGAAGTCCCCCAACAAACGGCGCCATTCGGCAACCTTTGCCCAATCAAGCCTCTGACAATCTAGACTCACTCGAGCATTTGGCCAAGTGACGAGAGACACATGACTGTAATAGATCTAGGTCGACGTTCATGGCCTGACTTGCAGTCAGGGTCAAGGTGGAGGAGTGAGAGGCTTCGGGTGAATCCGGCCACAGCTAAGAGTGATGAATCACCCCAATCCACCTCGACTGGCGCATCCTTGCTCCCGCTCCAGATCCAGCTGGCCGCACTTGCTTCCCATAAGAGTGGTTCTCGTGTGAGGATCTCAACAGAATGAAGAATCACGCTCACACACTGACACGCTTACAGCGTTCATCGTACACGAGGGAACATGGCCTGGCACAGGTTCCGGGTTAGAGTCTGCGCATCGACAACACACGCCTGTCGAGTGTTGCCCCAGACTGACAAAAGGACAGCTCGCTTCAAGCACATAGCACCGCAGGACGATCAGATGGCAATTTCAAGTCAATTATCTTTCGTGGCTTGCTCGAAGTTTATTCTTGGTGGAGTTGTAACCTAACTAGCCTCGGAGCGTCGGCTATACGCTGCAAGGGGAGATGACGGAGCTGAGCTCGACGATGCCGCCGGAGACGATGGTAGATATGGGCTCAGAGGTCCACGGCGAACACCGGTCTGTGGCAGCGACGGCTGCTGTGCCAGCGCAGCGACGTATCGTGAAATGCCATATTCCGCAGCAAGAAGAAGTGCCTGCTCCTGGGGAATGAAGATGGCGTGGTCGGGACCACGGAAGTCTGCTCCGGGCAACGACCTTAGATGCTCACGCTCCATCGACAAGTACTGGTGAGGAGCGAGGGGAAACGCCGCAAGAAATATCCCGTAGGCAGAGATGTAGCCATCACTGCTGTACCGAACCACATCCACGGAACCAGGATTTACACGGATCCCTAACCTGTTCTCGATCCCCGGCACGGGCACTTGGATCCGGTCCAGTTGATGCTCGGTACCGTCGGGACCGGTCTCGACATCGAAACGAAGGTCGCAGCTCAACAACAGCAACCCATCTGTATCAACGAATCAGCATCATGTGTTTGAGGCCGAAGAGAGTTTGGCTGGATGGGGGAGAGGGACGGACTAGGGACGTCGTCTTCGCTTGGCAACGCGTTGTTGCGGTACTCTATGGGAGGGATGGTGCTTCTCGGCGCCGAAAACACTGGTATAGATGCCGTCGAGTCAGAGGTCGAGACCGGATGATGAGGACCGGGCTGGCGCGAAGGGCCAGCGCTGGTCGAGGAGCTTGCAGCGTCCGCGGCGCCGGGAAGGCTGCGCTGCATCGTGGAGGAGATCGCGGTTCGGTGGGAGTACTCGAGGGGTGTGCGGCGGGCTGCGGGTCGTGGGTAGTCGGTCTGGATGAGAGCGGCTTGGTGGAGGCGGTTCGATATCGCGAACCAGATGGCAGAGCACTGGATCATGCAGGATCATTGGCATCACTGAAGATGCATGCACGCAGGGCGACGCGTTCTGTCTACGTGTCTGCGCAAGTGACCGTCTGTCGAGAGGCAGGAGCGCCTGGCTGGAGGCCGTGGAGGCCCCCAATGATGACGGCTCATTGGGACCTTGATATCACAATCCGCCAACGAGGAGACGGGGCTTTCGCGGCACAGGCTCAATTCAAATCGGTCCCCAACAGGAACCTCTGGCAATCAACAGCTTTAGGTTCTTTGTACAGGGCCATTGAGCCTTTGTTTGATACCTCAATCATCACAACAAGTGGCCGAGGCGGGGGGAGGCTGGACCCGAGGCAGGAGAAGACGGCGGCAGGCGCAACCCACGACGCGTTGAGCGCGTCGTCAAGTCAAGCCCAACATACACGCCCATGATGATGCTTCTGGCGTTCTCCTCTCCTCTTCTTCTTCACGCCTCCCAGACTGCTTCTCGCCGCCTCCGCCTCCGCTTCGGCCTCCGCCGCCGCCAACGAAGACGAAGACGACTAACACCGTCACCACCGCCACCACCACCACCACCATCAGTATGCCCCTCAGTCACCACTTTAGCGTCAACCCCGGGAATACAGAGCTCACAATACTATTCCAGTGCCTCAGGACAACCAGCGTGGCCGCAGCGCCTCCAGTCCCCGTGGTGTCCGCCCAGCCCAGCCCACGCCTGCGCCGGCTGCCGCCGTCCTCAGTGTGGAGGACGTGCACAGAGTCATTGCCGTCGTACGTCATATCTCCCTCCTGCGTCTCATTTGCTCGGTCATTAATCATTTCTACAGGAAGTCTTGCGCCACCTCGGGCCAGGTCTCGTCTCCCGCCAGCAGCAGCAGCAGTACCAGCAGCAGCAGCACAACGAGGACGCTGCCGCTCCGCGCCGCCGCACTCGCCGTGGTGGCAGAAGGAACCGTCGTCGCGTACGTGAATCTCTGTCTCAACCTTGACTTATTCTGGGATTTATCTAATATTCTATTCCCTTCAACAGAACAACAACGACAGCACCACCACCAACAACAACAACGACAACAACGACGACAGCAATTCTGGTCGTGCTGGTTCCCGCGGCCGGTCTCGCTCGCCCCGTCGTGGCCGAGAGCCCCGTGCTCGCTCCCGCTCGCCGCTCCGGCCCCGCTCCCCCGCTCCGGCCTTGCCTGGAGACCGGCCGCAACCCCCGTCCTTGTCTGTGCTGGGCCACTCCACCGGCATTACTGTCGGTAATGGTGGTGCCACCAAGCGCGTCGTCGAGAAGATCAAGAAGGAGGAGGAGGAGGAGGGGGAGTGACGAGGAGGAAGAAGAAGAAGAAGAAGCCGGAGACCGGTCCGAAGTTCAGGTTTATATCATTAATAAAGACCAAGCAAAGGCCCTGCTTTCCCCACTCGCAAAGACCTTCTCTTGGCGTGAATGAAGTGTGAATTCCGATGCCATGTCGTGACCAGCTATCACGCACCAACAGCGATGCAATTGTCGTTTGGCTAGAGTGTCTGTCTCTAGTTAAATGCGCGGGACACATGTTCACCTTGCTTGTTGCTCGCGAGTTTGACAAACAACCACGCCGATAAGCAAGCGGAATGGGAAGGCGGCATTCGAGGGCCGCCCTGGAGCTGGCGGTGGTGAAGATCGGGAACGACCCGCCTTTGCGCCTATGTCGACCTGCGAGCCCGGCTGGGACCCGAACCAGAGGCAGGTCTTGAGTACATGCGAAGACATCTGCCGGACAGTCCCAAGCAAACATATTGCGGTTCAACAATGGAGCATGGATTCGCCCAAGGTCTTCCTCCATCCTCCCCCGCCTCTAGCTATCCTCACGCCCCAGCAGGTCCACAGGTGGTCTGGATCCAGCAGCCTGGAACTCTGCAAGGGTGCTGTCTCCACCTCATCTGGGGGTGCTAATGGCCCGAGCTTCACAGCCAATTGGACGTGGCAAAGGCCGGGGCAGGAGCCAATCACTGAAGGTAGACGCCGGAGGTTGCTCCATCAGCTATGCCGCGTGGGCAAGCCTGTGCGGGGAAATATTGGGGAGCCGTCGAGCCAATTTTGCATGACTTCGGAAGCCTCCTTGGTCTTGGCTGGCTGTAACGGGTATGCGGGTTGGGTCTATGATGGTGCGACCAGATGCGCCTGGGCCTCGCAATTGCAACGCAAGGTAAAGACAAGCAAGTTCAGGTGGAATCGATTGGCTGGCCCTCGCTCTTGTACTCTTGAAGAAAATGACGGATAGAAACCCCGAGACTCTTTGCTTACGTCATGTTGAAATAGAACATTGTCTGCTACAGAAATCAAGAAGCGTGGTGATAAGGATTAGTACCTGCCCTCTTTTGTTTCTTTTTCTCTTCCTTGCCCTGTCTCATCCCGCCACTCCCCCTTGTCCTTTCTGAAAGTAATTATGTGCAATACAGTAGAACCCAAGTGCACCTGTAGCAAGTTCCTTCTTCGGTGTTGGCAGATGGACCAAAACAGTCCCACCGGCAAGCTATGCGAAGCTAAGCAAGGTTTTGCCCGAGGCTCAACCATGGAATGCCCTGGTGGCGGAGCCAGAAGTCTACTGCAGAGCACTTCATCCAGTGCGGCTGGATGTGCAGAAGCGCTCACGTCTCAATGGCTGACCACCAGCTCGGACAAGACGTGTCATGTGAACCACCAACAGGCAACGGCAACGGAAGAGGGAGATAGTCAGTCTTTCAGTGTCACTAACGTTAGATGACTTTTACCGCAATACGATTGCCACGAGATTAGTTAAGAGACGAACAATTCTTTGTGTTTGCGTAAAGTTACTCAATCCTCCTAGTCAGAAACCCCGCCTTGCTTCCCCCTCATCCACCGTCCGCTCTACACTTTGCTAGGAATTCTCTTCTCCTCTCCTGAAAGGGCAATCTCGTGCTGCTCTGCAGAAGCCTCGCCAGAGATGGCGCTCTTTGTATTGACCTCGCCCAAGTGCTCCGTCGCCAGACCGTCGCCGAATAGCTCCGCAATCTCCTCGAGCGACTTGCCGCCGGTTTCAGGAAGGCAGAAGAAGAAGAACAGTCCGCCGGCCAGATTTATCGCGACGAAGACGGCGTAGAATTTCCAGCCAATGCTGGTCAGGGCGATGGGCGTGATCTGCGAGAGGATGATGCTAAAGACGGCCTTGAACGTCATGGCGAAAGCCAGGCCTTTGGAGCGCATGAACAAGGGGAGAATCTCTGTTGGAACGACCCAAACAAGAGCATTAAACCAGATGGCAAAAGACGCCGAATAGATAAAGATAGAAGCAACGGCAGCACGCGCGCCATCTTGCGAGGAGCCAGGCTTGCCGTAGACGGCGCTGAGGGCCATGCAAATGACAAGCAGAGAGCACAGCACAGCAGAGCCGCTCCACAGCGTGCGGGCACGTGGCCATTTGTCAGCCACAACCCAGAGGTAGATAATCTGGCCAATAATGCCCATCATGCCGTAAATACCGCTGATGAGCAGCGCGGAACGGCCCGTAAATCCAATAATTCCATAGAATATTGTCTGAAAATTTTGGATGACGGCAGAGCCGCTCAGTTGCGACCAGGAGATGATCAGTGTCGCAGTAAACACCCGGCGGATGTACTGGCGCGAGAACATGAGTCGCAGTGCAGCGAACCAGTTCAGGCCGCCCATGATTTCCCGCTCGAGGGCAATCTGCTCGCGCACCTGCACAATCTCCTGCTCGACAAGATCGTCGCTCGCTGCGACGTTGTCCTTGTCGTGGTGGAGTTTGAGGAGGACGGCCTTGGCCTCTTCGTGGCGGCCCTGCATCACAAGCCAGCGAGGCGAGAAAGGCAACCAGAAGACGAGCACGCTGAGCATGAGCGGCAGCGGCAGCTGCATCGCCAAGGGGATGCGCCATTGGGCATCACCCTGGGCGAACGCGCCGGCGTATCCGATCCAGTTGGCCACGCCAAAGCCAATCGCAATCATCATGCCCTGCAGCCCGACGAGGAAGCCGCGGCGCGAGGGAGGAGCAGTTTCGGCGAGGTAAGTCGGCACGACGGGGAGGAGCTGGCCGCAGCCAATGCCCGCAACGGCACGGCCGGCAATCATCATGCCGACGCCGGTGGCAGCGCACTGTAAGACGGATCCGATAATGGCTGTTCAGAGACGGACAGAAAGAGTCAGCTTGTGAAGAAGATGAAGGGCAGATGGAGGCAGGGTGTATATATAACATACTCAGGATGCAGGCAATCAGGATCGTGTACTTGCGGCTGAACTTGTCGGCGAGGAAGCCTGTCGACATGCCACCAACAGCCTGTCCAGCGTTGTAGCACGAGACGATGGCGCCCGAGAGGACCGGGTTGATAAAGGGGCCGCCGTACATCTTGATCCGGAATGAGTCATGGCCAAACGTGGTGGCGATGATGCCAGTGTCGAGGCCGTAGATGAAGCCGCCCTGGGCGCTCACCAGGGCGATGGTGATGATGAGCCAGTTCATGGCGTTATATTTAGATGTTGTCGATGAGGAAGATGATGGTTGGACCCTGGCTCAGAGACTGGGTTGGCAAATATCCATCCAGACGAGGAGCGGGCGACAGCGATTCTTTTTATCTCTGAGCGGGAGTGGCCAGCTCGGAGCGCTGACAGCGATGCAGGCGTGCTTCGGAAGCCCGGGGTGGTGGCGCTGGGGAACGCGGCCTGGACGACTGGGGACCCTGCGTGAAGTTGGGGTTGCCGTCTGGGGAACCGAACAGGATGCGGAGTGACGATGAGCGGTGGAAAGGCCGACAAGTCTGGGGGCCAGAGAAGTCTGCAATGAGGCCAACGGGAGCTGGCCGCCGGAGCGGGTTCGCCCACTGCGAATCAGGCAAAGCCACCGCGCCAAGTGCCCCAAGCTGGATCGTATGGAATGCGTGTGGGGAAGGGGGTGTGTCTATGCCTGTGTGGACTGAATCAGGGGGTGGGGTCCCCACGGGGACCAACTCCCCCTAGACATGGACATGGACACGGACAGTCGGGAAAGCGAGTGATAACCGTTGGCCGGGATCGAACCGGTCCCCTGCGTCCCGCTCACTTCGGTTCTTACTGTCCCGTGACAACTCGGAGCTGATTTGGTATGCCTTGTTCCGAGGTCTCGGTCGGTCGCCTCTTCCCCGAGCATCTTTCTGTCGCCTGGCACTCCTCAAGTGCGACTCTACTCTCGTCACAACTCCAACGCCACTACTGAATCGCACTGGCCCCCCATGAGCTCTCCCACAATCACGCGGCCCGTCTTCGAGCAGCACCACAGCGGCCTCGGAGTCGACTGCTCACAACCGAGGATATCGTGGCAGTTTGAGGCCGACGAGGGCACTGCTCCTGGCTGGACCCAGACAGGCTACGAGGTCGAGGTCACCTTCTGCTCTTCCTCTAACGATGCACACACTTACAGCATCACGAGTGACCAGTCGGTGCTGGTTCCCTGGCCTGCCCGACCGCTGCAGTCGCGGGAGAGCGCCACAATCCGCATCCGCGCGTCTGGGCACAGTGTCACATCCGATGCCATCACCAGAGACATCGACTTCTCTCCGTGGTCCCCAGCTGCCACCGTAGAAGCTGCCTTGCTCGAGCCTTCCGACCTCACCGCCGACTTCATCACTTCCTCCCAAGACTTTGAGCCGCGAGGCCCCTTGCGTCCGATCCGGTTCCGAAAGACCTTTTCCTTACCAGCCGTCTGTTCACAACACTTCCGTCATGCTCGGCTGTACATCACAGCTCTGGGGGTTTACGAGGCGTACATTAATGGCGAGCGCGTGGGCGACGAGTACATGGCTCCCGGCTGGACTACCTACAAGCATCGTATTGCCTACCGAGTACACGATGTCTCAGAACTGCTGAGGCCGTCCGAGGAGAACGTGCTGGCGATTCAGGCGGCCGAAGGCTGGTACGCAGGACGCTTGGGCTTCCGCGGCGGGCAGCGCTTCCGATACGGCGACAAGATCGGCATCCTTGCACAGCTCGAAGTCACCGGCTCGGAGAGTGAGCGCTGGACTTTGACCACGGACCACACGTGGCAATGCGGTCCGAGCCCACTCGTGACAAGCGAAATCTACGATGGCGAAGTCTTCGATTCCAGGGAGGAAGATGATCAGTGGAACACATGCGGCCGGAGCCCTTCTCGCAGCGACAAGCTCAACATCCCCGTGACGGTGCTCCCGAAACCTGCGGCAAAGCTCTTCTCCCCAGACATGGCGCCCGTGCGAGTGACGGAGGTCAAGCCGTGCATCGACGTCTTTCAGAGTGCCAGTGGCAAGATTATCCTCGACTTTGGTCAGAACCTGGTCGGCGTGTTACGGGTCAAGTCTCTGGCTCCAGGGACCGGGGCCGAGGTCTGCTTCACCCACGCGGAAGTCATGGAGCATGGCGAGCTGGGTATCCGGCCACTCAAGTTGGCCAAATGCCGAGACATTGTGATAGGATCTGGCCACGAGCTGGGACCGTGGTCACCAAAGTTCACCTTCCACGGCTTCCGATATGTTCAGCTCGACGGCTGGCCAGACGCTGGACCACCAGACGCAGCCAACTTTGAAGCCCTTGTACTACACACGGACATGACGCGACGAGGATTTTTCGAGTGCTCCAACGGGAGTGTCAACCAGCTTCATCGCAACGTCGTCTGGTCAATGCGTGGCAACTTCCTCTCCCTCCCTACAGACTGCCCACAGAGAGACGAGCGACTCGGCTGGACGGGTGACGCGCAGGTCTTTGCGCCTACCGCCTCCTTCCTGTACGATTCGACGCCCATCCTGAACAACTGGCTCGAGGACGTTGCCGCTGAGCAGTTCGAGGAGGGGCAAAACGGAGTGCCGCCGGTCGTGGTCCCCTTCGCACTAGGCCCCAACTTCGCGAGGAACATGCCCCAGGCCATCTGGGATGATGTGACGGTTCTCATGCCGCACGATCTATACCGCTATAGCGGAGACCAGGCCGTGCTAGAGCGGCAGTTCCGCAGCATGCAGGCCTGGCTCGACGAGGGCGTTGCCAGAGCGCCCGATGGTCTCTGGGATCCCAACGTGTGGCAGTTTGCCGACTGGCTTGATCCCAGCGCGCCCCCCGAGGACCCAGCCAACGGCAGGACTGACCCGAGTCTCGTGGCGAATGCGTATCTTGTCCACACGACACGGGTCTTTGCGCGGGTGTGCCGTCTATTGAACAAGTCTGAGTTGGCTGAGAAGCACGAAGCCGACGCAGACCGACTCCTCCAGCTCTTTCAGACTCGCTACATCACGCCCGAGGGCCACCTGATGTCGTCAACACAGACCGCTCTGAGTCTGGCGATATCATTCGACCTCTTCCCGTCCAGCCTTTCCATGCGGAAAACCGCCAGTGCAGCGTTGGACCGGCTCGTCCGTACTGCGCGCTTCACCATCGCCACAGGCTTTGCTGGCACACCAGTGATCGCCGGTGCTCTGACTGCAGCGGGCATGCCCCAGCTTGCATACCGGATGCTGCTCGAGACACAGTGCCCAAGCTGGCTGTACCCGATCACGATGGGCGCCACGACGGTGTGGGAGCGCTGGAACAGCATGATGCCCGACGGGACAATCAACCCCGGCCACATGACGAGCTTCAATCACTACGCTCTCGGGGCGGTCGCTGACTGGCTGCACTCGTCAGTCGGAGGGATCAGTCCCGCGGAGGCTGGCTGGAAGGTGATCCGTGTCAGGCCGATCCCGGGCGGTAACATCGCGAGTGCCAAGGTTCGATTTCACGGGCCGTATGGGTTGGTAGCGTGTGAGTGGGAGTGGAAGGACGGGTCGGCTTTTTCAATGAAGGTTACTGTGCCGCCGAACAGCACGGCTGTCGTGACACTTCCTTGCGATGTAAAGCCGTCTTTCTTGAGGACGGCACATGAAGGCAAAGGCCGGCTGGTCAACGGTGTAGATCAGGAGAACTGCCAGACAGTTGGATCAGGCGTCCATGTCTTCACGTGTGACTTCGTGGCAGGGGAGTGGCCGCCCAAACCGTGGACACCTCCTTTCCTGCCGCCGCCACCAGCCACCATCGCGGAGTGATGTAGGACTGACTGGCATCAAGGAGGACTACCATTTGAGCCTTGAACACAAGGAGTTGGCGGGGGCCCGTCATGGGAAGAAAAAGCCTCCCTTCGGCGCATTGTCGATCCTCCTGTAGAGTAAGCATGACTTGTGTATCTTCGCACGCTGCGCCAAAAAAAGTCCCCAACCCCACTGTTGCGCATCCGGCCGAGAAAGTCTTGATCTCAATCTCAATCTCTACAGGGGTTATTGAGCAGGAACTTCGCCGGAGGGCCTCTGCTTGTGAGATTCAGGGGTAGTATCCCACCTCCACCAATCACGATGTTGTTCTTCCGAGGGTTGCTGCACTCCTTCATGATGTAAGCAGTTTCAATCTGACTTGCATGAAAAGTCAGCACTGCGGCAAGTGAAGTGCCTTGCAATATGATGCAGGTGGTGGAGATGCTCTGGAAGTCAGGGCTCATACCATGTACCGCAGTATGCCGTTGGATGAAGGATTTCTCTGCACAGGGGTTTTCCGAAGTACCCGGTATCCGGGGTAAGACGGGAACAGCCGCTGCTGCATGATCCGCTGGTTCGACCTGGCACTTCACGAGAAAGTATCCATTTTGTTTAGTGGATTGATACCAAAGCTACACTAGATCGGAAAAGCTGATCTTACGAAAGGATTTGTTGTGCAATCCTTCAGAGCCACAGCACTCTTCGGGACATTCGAAGCGGGTTCCTACCTCGGAAACAATTGGACATCAGGCAGCGCTCTACGTAATAGGCGAACTCCTCGAAACATGCCACAGCCGGCCCCATCAAACTTCCGGATCTTGGCTTCCTATTGGTACAAGTGTGATCCAACAATTCCTCTTACGTGAAAGTTCTGGCAGAGTCAGAGGAACATCCAGATGGAGGATGCGTCTTTGCTTGTCGAGTCGTGGGGGATCAGCCTCGCCGGATGTCCATTGAAACTGGATCAGATCCCTCCTTTCATAGCACGATGAGTATAAGTACTCAGAAGTTCACACTCGAAATCCTAAGAAGACTCCTCGCCCAACCCTCGACAACCCCAAATACCATTCACTACACTCTAGCCCTCCCCAACCAGTTCACTTTCACCAACAATATGGTTTTCTACAAGTCTACCGTCCTGGCCTTCCTCGCGGCCACCGTCACCGCCATTGACATTCGATTCTATCGCAGCGACGGCTGTGGCAGCGCTTATGGTGTCTGTCCCAACTCGCTCCCCAACTCGTGCTGTACTATCAATTCCAGCGACGGTAATTCCGCGGTCAGCTTCAACGCCATCCCGAGCAGCTGGAAGATCACCGGCGTCGGCTACTGGCAGGAAGGCTGCCAGGGCGACGCCGCATGGTCAGACAACAACTACGGCAAGACCGACATGTGCTTCACCACGGCCCGCTACCGGGCTGCCAGCTACTACTTTCCTGGTGGCAAGCGCAGCACCCAGCAGGGCCCGTGCCAGACGCCCGACCTGCTCGTCTACGAGGACGGCAGCGAGGTGGACCTGTCTGGTCTGACAGAGGAGCAATTCAACGAAGTGGTATGTCAACGTCTGGCTCATGGCCACGTGAAAGTGACAGAAAGAAACAGAAAATTATCAGTGTCGCTAACGTCAGTCATTATGTAGTAAGCCACCACCGAGCAACAAACCCATCAACGATAGTCTCGTGTCTCTAGCCCGACTTCCAGATCGCAGCCCATGCCTACCTCATGCTTATAGACACATCGCTAACTTATTTCACCTTTTGCTAGCTGGACCGCATTCACCGCTGGCGGCACCTCCGAGGAAGTCCAGGCCCACATCACCGCCCTCCGTCTCTAAGCTCGACGTATTAGCGCACTCCCTGTGCTGCTCGACGACAAGGCGTACTAGTATTATCCCCAGATGAGGACGTCTGGGTAACACAACAGTACCAGTTTACAACATATTCACTTCTACGCCGAGCGGCACTTTCTGTTGGTTATCGCTCCCGTGGGTAGCTAAGAAAGGTTCAACCTCGCAAGATGTCATTAGAAATCGCTCGGAGAGGGAACACAGAGATTGACTCCAACTGCGATGGAAAGTTGAGTATGGTGATTGCGTTTCTCCTATTGGGTCATGGCCCTCAGCTAGCCAGCTCTCAATCACTCGTTTTAGTGGGCCTTCTTGACTTCATGAAATGTGGCAACGGAGATAAGACAAATGGTGATCAACAGGATGGCAGGTGCCACGTTTGTTAACAGACTAGCAGATCCATTGGAACCACCGCCAAGGTATGTTCCCGGACGCGACGTGACCATGGCTGTAATGGATTGTCGTGCTGGGTGTGAGACATATAGTGACGTCTCACAGCGATGGAGTCCGAAGGCTCGAAGAGGGATCTACCATTAGCCATTACTATGAAACTAATTCTTAGAGTTCCAAGTTCTCTATGAAGAAGTACACGCGTTTCGGCCACGATAGAGTGTCATACCGATAATCCTAATACGGCCCCTAGTATCCTACTATCTATATTCTCCATACCCTCGGTACTTGTAGCAGCCGGGGGTGCGTGGGCAGAGCAGGTGGGGAGTTCGCTCAATTCAAGCACGTCCTCCATCGAAACCCGCAGCCATGGGATCCGCTGAGTGTGCGTCGTCCAGAGCCTGTGTCGTCACCCGTCGGCCGACACTAAAGGAGAGCCGGGGGTGGTGAGGCGGCGCTAAAGCTGAAGAGGCTAGACTACCACAGTATTACAGCGGGTCGGCGCGTGCCACTGGGGCTCTCGAATGCACCTTTTGTTTAGTTTCCGGCTGAGGCGCAGTGCTTGCGCGGAAGAATTGGGGCCTTTCAAGGCACGGAAAGTCTCGCCGCTCCGAGCCCGAAGATTAGGGGCACGGAAAGTTTCGCTGCTCCGAGCCCGACCCGAAGATTAGGGCCGTGGCCCATTGTGGGCAAGATCTCCCATTGTCTGTGGCTAAGCGATTTTTCAAGGCCACGGCATAGAATCGCAGTCCGGTATCGATGTCGTGCATGACCATTGGAGTCGCCATATGGTCCATGACTCACACGTGGGTTTGAATAAGTGCTGACGGGACGCAACGCTGCCGGCAGTTTTGACAAATCGACAATCACTAGCCGTGCCACGCCGTCCTTTGCCCATGTCACTAGAACTTTTGGCCCTGGGCAGTGGAGTACCGTCGAGCGACAGAGCGTTGTGGGCCCATGGCACGCTATCCCCATCCTTACCATGGAGGGAAGAATCGGCTTGACCATGGACATGGACTGCCTGGGACAATACCCATACTTGACCCGAAGCCGTCAGGGACCCCGGACGGCCGGTAAGTCTGACCTCTGTAGCAGAACAAAGGAGATCAATCTTAGCACTCCGTACTCGTTCAGGGCAAGCCACGCCATGGTCTCGGGGGTGGACCCTTGTTTCCAGGCTGCCTATCCCAAACGTCTAAATCCCTGCAGCGCAGCGGATCACGTACGTCGTGGTTCAACGGGTTTCGCTGGTTTCGGAACCCTCAGGCCACCCGACACGCCGTCTCGGGATTCACGATTATGGTGCAGCGCTCTGACGATAATGTGCGCAATGCGCTAGCGACATGATGCTAACATGCTAGCACCTTGGTGCCTGTCGACGGCGTATAACAGAGCTCAAATGCCATTAGTCTTTGCGATATTTCTCGCGTTCTCATCAACAACAACTTCGACACCACTACGACCACTACGACCACCACCCTTACAACCGTCTGAGCATCGGATTCCAGTCATAATTTCAAGCCGACCACAGCTCAGACTGCGCACCCGTGCCCTAGAAAGATGGCAGTCCCTAAACCACCATTCAGAGTCATCATAGCAGGCGGCGGCATCGCTGGCTTGACCCTGGCAAACATGTTCGAGAAGTTCGACATCGACTACGTTATACTCGAGGCCTACAAGGACATCGCTCCACCCGTGGGCGCCAGCATCGCCCTTAAGCCCAACGGCCTGCTCATCCTTGACCAGATTGGTTGCTACGACGGCGTTGCGAAAGTAGCTCACAGTAGTGCCGATGGCGAGGCTTGGGTACGCGATCCTAATGGAAAACCCATCAGCATGCAAAGGTTGCTCTACCAGCACGTCGGAAAACGGTAAGTGCCACAGAATCTCACCCCAACGACCTGCTAGCACAAGTGCGTGGCTGACATGGGCTCAGCCATGGCTACAACATGCTGTTCTTCGACCGGCAGTGGCTCCTAAAAGTCTTGTACGACCATCTTCGCAGCAAGGACAAAGTCTTCGTCAACCAAAAAGTGCAAACCATCACCACCGGTCCATTGGGTGTCGAGGTCAAAACCGCATGCGGCGACATCTTTTCTGGCTCCATGGTCATTGGAGCAGACGGCATTCATAGCGCCGTCAGGCAAGAAATGCGAAGGCTTGCAGATGAGCATTCTCCCGCAGGCTTTCGCCCAGATGAGGAAGACAATGTCCCCTGCTATTATCAGTGCAGCTTTGGCATTGCGCAGAACGTCGAGAAATGGAAAGATGGCGAACAGACACATACCTGCGGCCATGGCAAGGCGTTCCTCGTTGCTCCTGGCCCTGGAGGTCGTGTTTACTGGTTCCTGTTCATCAAACTGCCCCGCGTCATGCATGGCAAGGACATACCGAAATTCACAAAGCAAGACGAAGAGAAGCTGGTTGCGGAGAATCGGAACCTGTTAGTCAAGGAAAACCTTACGTTCGGAGAGATCTTCGATCAACGTGTCAGCTCCACCTTGACGTCTCTCCACGAGGTTGTCTATGAAAAGTGGTTCTACGACCGCATGATGCTCATTGGCGACTCTGCCCACAAGGTTCGTAGAACCCAAGTTCTCCCCGGTATTGGAAATGCCATGCACGAAGCTAACCACCAACATGTAACAGCCAAATCCGATTGGGGGCATGGGTGGTAATGGTGCCATTGAGTCGGCAGCCGAACTTGTCAACCATCTTCTCGACGTTCGGAGCGAGCGCCAAGGCAGCCTCGACGGCATCAGCACTGCTGAACTCCAGGACATCTTTCAGCAGGTGCAGCACGCCCGCTTCAGTCGAGCCAGCGAGGTCGTCGAGCAAGCGCACGAGCTACAAGCCCTCTTTTCATACGAGAGACCCTTTTTCTCCCAAGCCGTCCTTCGAATTGGGGCGCTCCTGGGCGCCAAAGATGCAACACTCGCAAGGATAGGAGGTCTGGTTGTTGGCGGAACAAGACTAAAGCATGCTCCGATACCTCGTCGTCCTCGCGTGATCCCGTTTGATTACGAGCTTCCCGCGGCTCCTTTGGGTGCAAAGTCTCATATGGCTGTCCGAGTTGTATTCACTCTCGTCATGATAGCTCTCTTGTTCACGACAGAGGGCTTGAATCGAACCGTACCTTGGGCAGGCCTGTTCCCAGCCAGCCAGCATCTGCTGGCCAACTCCAAAGCTCAAGCTTCATTCTTCGCAATTCAGCTCATCTCTCCCCTGCTGGTTTGGGTTATCGAAGCCCACAGAGTCGGTAACCAAGCCAGCCTTCTCTCGTTGGCTTCACTCTTCGCACTTGCCACCCCATTTCTGGGCATCTCTCGGGCTGTGCCTCTCTACGCCATCGCGCTGACCACGTCGCCACTGATCAATGCTGCTCTCCGCGAGATTGAGCCGAAGGCAGTCAAATCTATCCTGCCCGCTCTTGTCCTGGCTTATGTTATCCCGAGTATCGTGATCATCGTCCAGGCTGGTGGAGTCGAAGAATGCACGACACTCTGGCGTTTCGCGCCCGCTCTGTTCTCCTTGAGCACCACCATCATCTGGAAGGCGGCAACACTGCTCAGCAGAAATCGCGGCGGCGCGATACAGCTCTCAGATGGCGAGAACGACAAGGAATTGGATCGCTACAAAGACCTCGAGCTTCCTTTTCTGAACATCACGTACTTCATCGCATTCATCGCTCTAACCGCCACCCACATCTTGGCCCTGTTCTGTGCCAACGTCTCCCACGTGGATATCGCCACCACTGCGATTGAGGTTATTGTCGATCAATTCGCCAAGGTGAACCTAATGTCTGCCCTGCCGGCGGTCATCCTGCTCGAGCTCTACAGCGTGTACGAGATGCGGCGACTCGGTCAGATCACAACCATCACAGCTGTCCTTGCGGCCGGTTTCGTCTTGCTGGCTCAGATCCTGGTCGGTCCGGGCGCTGCATGGATTGGCCTATGGTTCTGGCGCGAGAATACTGTTGCCAGGCTCTCTACTCTCAACGATAAGCAATAGTGAGTGAGGGGAAGTTGTACGGCTCCTGTGCTTCTCGTTGGGAGCTAACCACAACATATGACAGAGTGGTCAGTTCGCTTACTTTTTTGTCCCTTTTTTTTTCTTTTTTTTTTCTTTTATGTCCAGGTGCTGCACCGGTCGCCTCGTTGCCCTGGATACCGATGTGAGGCATCGCGGAACTTGAGGATACCTCGCTGCGCGGGAGCAGCGAAGGAGTGGCGCCTACGCAGCATGAGCGACACGAGGAGTGGCCGTTTTTCCATGAATAAGGCGAGGCAGCTGGGCACCCTGACACTCTTTCTTGACGAGGTTTGGCTGGTGTAGAGCCATCCTCTTACACGCGATGATAACTATGAGCGTTGGCGCCGCTTAGGCGCGGAGAAGACGCAGCGTATATTTTGAGTCCAGCCTAACGGCACGGTTTATTACACAATAGATTCGTAGCACCGCTAAACCCCTAATACTAGTGGGTCACGCGTACTATAGATAATAATAATAATCTTTTTTCCTTTTCTTGTTAACATGCCATCGGAAAACCGCCAAGGGAGGGAATATAGAGGTTGAATCCAATTGCGACTGCAAGTTTGGCGGGTCAATTGCGGTTTTCCTATTGATTCATGGCCCTCAGCTAGCTAGCAATCAATCATTTATTCAATGCCCACTTGTGACTTTATGAAATGAGGCAAGGCAGACGAGACGAATAGTGACGAACAGCATAAAACGCTTCAGGTTTGTTAACGGGCCAGCAGATCCATCAGAAGCACCAACAATATACGATCCTGGACGCGATGTGACCATGGCTGTGATGATGATCGTGCTGGGCAGGGGGCGAGAGTATAATAACGATCCAGCAGCGATGGAGCCTGAAGGATCGAGGAGCATACTGCTGCTAACCGTTGCTAATTGCTAAGAGGAAGCGATTTGGGCGTGGCCTTATGCTTCTACACTACCAGGAACTCGGTCTACGCGACGGGCTCTTGTGTGTAGGTGCGATTCGCACGTCCCTTCTTATCGTTGTCGCCTTTTTACGGCCACCATAAACCCGCGCTGCTTCGCGAACCAGCCGTTGTCCATTCTCCACGTAGCGCCCGGCTGCTCCAGCCCCCCAGCGAGCGAGAAGTCAAAGTCCCTCACCAGCCGGGGGACCAATTTCGAGATTTCAAGGTGGGAAATGTGTCGACCTATGCATGTGCGCGTGCCCATGCCGAACTATGCCGAGTTGGTATGTGAGCATCATAGTACAGAGACGAATAAACATGGGGGGCGGACTGGGAAGTGGGCAACGCGACTTACAGGCATCCATGAGCGCGTCATGAGCGCAACACGCTCCTTGTCCTCTGACAACCATCTCGACGGGTTGAACTCGTCTGCATCTTGCCCGAAAACGGCGCGATTCCGATGTTGGACCCAAGGGTTAACACCCACAATTGTCTTTGCATATCTGATCAGCTGGACGAGGCCAAAGCGGGGGCTAGGAAGGGAGGTAGCGACTTACACCTTCTGGAAAGAATTTGTCCGCAATGGTTGCTCCACCTTGAGGGACGACGCGCTCCAGAGGCATCGCAACGGCTGGGTGCAGCCGCAGGGCCTCTTTGATGACTGCCTGTAGGTACGGCATGTTCTGCGTCACATTGAAGGGAAGGTGGTCAGGGTTGTCCTGCGCCGCAGCGTCGACTTCGGCCCGCAGGTGGTCCAGGCAACCAGGATTCTTGAGCAGATAAAAGATACACGCTGACAGACTGATGCCCGTCGTGTCTGAACCGGCCGCCATATTGACCAGACACATCGAGACGAGACTAGCCATCGGCATGGCGTCAGGCTTTTCAAGGTGGCGGCGACAGAACTTGGCAAGAAAGGACGGTTCCCGCCCAAGGCCACTGCTCTCCTCATTATAGTCTGCTTCCTCGCCCTCTTGCAAGACCGCCATTTGCCTTTGGGTAAAGCCGATCAAAGCGTCAACGTCCCCCGCTCCTCGCCAGGCCATCCAGCGGTTGCGGAGCGGCAACAGGTAGGGGTGTAGCGAAGCATAAATGCCCACGACGAAAGCATAGTAGTTTCTACTATCGAGCGCCGCCATAAGGCCGTCGACATCCTCACCGGCATCGAGGAAGCCCCAGCGGCGGCCGTAGGTGATGCTGCTGATAACATCAAAGGCGTAGCACTGCAGCCAGTGGCCCAGATTGAGAACGGCGCCAGCCCTGTGTGGGCTCTGGCCAATCAATTCGTCCAGCCGTTGGGTCAACAGGTCGCCGCACAGGTTGACGTGAGGTTCGTAAGCCACTAGGGAAGACAGGCTGTAGGTGCTCTGGAAGAGCTTGCGTTCGGACGCATGGCGCTTAATGTCACGGTCCGCGAAGCTGTTGTGGCCCTCTGGCCTACGCCAGGCATCGTACCAGGAAGACTTTGGGAACTGCCGCGTGTGGCTGTAGATGATTTTCGCCGCTTCAGGGTCGTTGAAACTGAACCTACGCGGGCCGTAGCGGACAATGGGACCTGGTTGTTTGCCAACAGAGTTAGGTCGAAACAGAGATGGGGAACATGCCTTGTGTAACAGCGCAGAGGGGATGTTGGACTAACCATGCTGATGGTGCAAGCGCTTGCTGGTCTCTTGAAACGTCTGTCCTCGGCGTTGCACAGCTGCAAAATACCAGATGTCTGAGAATCGTGCGATCCAGGGTCCAGGGATGCTCCTCAGGGGCGACTTCAAGGCAGCCCAGACGTGCGAAAGCACGTATAGCGCCACGGCTCCAATCGCCGCGCCGATCCAGAGACCGAGCTTCATGGTGTGCAGCCTAGGTATTCTTTTTACCCTGCTGTTCTTTTTCCCGCCTGGCTGTACTTGGCGTTGTCTTTGTCTCTCTTTGCCTGAGGGCTGCAAAATCAGGTTTTGACGATGGCGTTTGAGCTGATGAAGCCACTTTGGGCAGACTCCCTTTGCATTTTACTATATAATAGACATCTGTGCTCTGGGTACCTGCGCAAACTCTATTCTGCATGTCGCAACCTGTTTCCTCCCGTGTCTGCCGGACGGTCCCGAGGCAATTCACTCCACCAGGCTCCGCACCGCGCCACACCCAACCCACATCCCAATAGAGTTGGCGTATCCCTGTCATGATCCCAGCTCCTCATGGATCTACGTGTACCGCTCGGTATGTCGGCACTTACGACTCCCGACTCTAGGTGACCCTAACAAGGCACGAAGCTCCGAGTGCCAACGAGGGGAACCCCATCTCGCGCTGCCTTGCTGCTCGTGACTCGTATGCCGCTTTCAAGTGCTGATGCTAGCCTGGCCCCATCTCATAGAGCCCACGTCATGAAATGTCAGGGCAGCAGCAAAGCTTCAAGCACGGAGGGCTCAGCACAGCACACAGGCATCTGCCAACGACCGGGTGTCCCGCAAAGAACGGGGAATCGGCGACCATAAGCCCCGGTCTCTTGCAAAGCCCAACGGACATTTCTCGGAGATCCAAGCTCAACTTCGGCATTCACGGCATTTCAATGGCTGGCAGTTGTTGGCCAGGTTTGGAATCGATGCAGGGACCCAGCCCCATTCAGCGAGGAATCGCTGGCGGGCAATGATCTTGGCCTGTCTACGACGGGAGTGAGCTATGCCACTGTCCTCTTCGTTTCCAAGTCAAAGATCCCATCAATGTCAGCGTTTGTTACGCCACAGCTGATGATTGCTGTCCCTTCAACAAGTTCAACAAATGTTTGGTCCCGCTGCAACTGTCTTCGCAAGCTGCTGCGCCACCACGTCGTGAATCGGGTAGGTTGGATGCAGTGCGTTGAGCCAGAAGTACTCATTGACAGGCACGCCACAGGTCGCAATGAACGTGTCCTTAGCTGGTGTACCACTATGCAATGACAATTTTTCGTTATTAGCTAACCCCTGAGCCATTGGATCTCTGCGGGTAAAAGTAGACCTCCGCAGCTGCGGAGGAAACTTACTTCTGATAGTCTGCACAATACTTGTCCAGCACCTTTAGCGCAGATGTCTGGGTGAATGATGTCGGGTTGTCTAGGACTTTGTTGAAGTCGGCTGCGGAGCTGTACACCCACACATTCGCGTCAGGTTTCCCCGTCTTCAATTTCTTTGCCATGTCCTTGACCAGGTCGTTCCATTTGGCAATTGCAATTTTGGAATTCTCCACAGCATAATCACCGGATTGGATATACTGCGGCGACCTGTCGACGGGTGGGACATCAACAAACACGATGTTTCGCGCTCCCTTCGCGTACAGCGTGTTCACGAGGGTAGTGTACTCGGCAAACACCTTGGCCCAGAGAGTGGTGTAGTCGGTCCACCACGAGTTGCCAACGTCGTTGATGCCGATCCAGACCACGAATAGCGAGTCCTTGCCACTCCACTTGGGTGCGGACGGAGCTTTGGGCGACGAGCCGGTGTATCCGGGCACAAACTCGGAGTTGACTTGGTACTTGAGTGAGAGGACAGATGGATCGTAGGGCGCAATCAGGTCTGAATCGACCGTGGCTCCACCGTAGGCGAGGTTGTAAGTCAGCAGCTGGGAGGTGTTGTACTTGACTGTCAGGAAGTCGACCCAATTCGGCCCGTTGGCCGAGGTCCAGCCTGGGTAAGGCGGATTGCCTAGGGGATTGCCAACAGCAGGCGGTGTTCCCGTGAAGTTGAAGCCTGCCAGAAATAGGTTGTCAGGATTAGGTCTTTGCATCTAGGACCTGTGACTGGAATTGGCGTTAATTACCTGTTTGTGAGTAGCTGTCTCCACTGTGTCAAAGCTCGGTCAGCAAAAGACAGCTCGATGTGAGTTTTGTGGTCGTGCACGCTCAAACGTACAACGTAAACGCATATTTGATTTTGGCCAGTCCCTTCCAATTTGGTGTGGACGCGCAGCCCTTTTGCATAGCAGCACCGGCTGCGACAGAAGAGCCGTAGACGGCGAAGGCCAGATAATAAAACTTCATCGTGAGAAGCCCTGCAACATTGGTCTGGACGTCCAGAGAGTTCTTTGCAAAATGAAAGCTATAATGGTCAACGAGAACAGCCTGGGACCCGAATATGTAGCACGATGGATGAATTTATTACAGTGGAAAAACTGCTCGAGCACACCAGAACGACGCCTCCCATTTGTCGCGATTGGACTGTTGGCCGCGCCAAATGCGGAGTTCCATGGCCCCGTTTTGTGGTTTCTAGAATCAGTGTGCGTCCCTTCAAGAATCACGTGCTGCATGATATCGAGGTGGAGGACCCGCTGGGAATGCAGAGGAACCTGCGCCGAACGACACGGTTGGTGGATAAATCGGGAGGTGTCATGCACATACTCCAATACACGAAATTAATATTCAGCTCTTAACTGCATTGGGGTTTCTAGTCAAGTGCAGTGCCTTCCAGGAAGGTATCTGTTCGCTGCTAGCGGACCACGGTTCCAGCCCAGGTTGACCGGAAGGAGAAGACCGTGGGACACGAGGCGGAGTGGTCCGACAGATACGCAATAAACCCCTGATGGCCGATTCTCCAATCGCTTTCCTCGTGTGGAGGATCCTCTGAAAGGGCCCCTCCGAAGTGCGGGTATGATGCTCTTTTGGACCTGGCATTTGCCTCTGGTGGTTCGGAGGGAGTCCTTCCGCACATGCGACCCTGAGGACAGGTTGTGGATGCAGAGCAGCATACTGTTGCAAATACTCTCAGAGCCAAGTCAAAGCCTCGGGATAGAATATTTCCTGCACTCAGAAATTCTCTGCCGAATACCCCAGGTTACAGTCATCGCCTCGATACCTTGAGCTTATCAAGTTTGAAACTACGATAGAATACCCAGCGCTATGCTCAAACGTCAGTTATCTCCACTCAAAGCGTAACAACAGTGATGACTTACCGAGAACCAGGACGGACAGAAGTTGACAAGGAAGCCAAGCATCCACGCGAGCTTCCCTTCCCAGATCTCACTGCTCGGCTTGGGCCGCAATATCTTGTCCACTACCGACTCGGCGTACAGGCGCGCGGGCATTCCCGTCCTGTTTCCCTCGTACTTCATGCGCTCCGTGTCGGCCTTGATCGGCAAATACAGTGAGTCTGGGGGCGCGACGAGGCCGTGGTGGAGGATGTTGCTTTGCACGTAGCCTGTCACGACCTCGGTGACGCTGACGCCGAACGGCTTGACCTCGAGCCGCAGTGTGTTGGTGTACTGGCTGAGAGCCGCCTTAGACGCATTGTAGACGGACTGCCAGACGACGGGGACGTTGCGCGTGACGCTGCCAATTTGCACTATGCGCCCGCCACGGCCCTCGCTGGCAGACTCGCGGAGCATAGGGAGGAAGAGCTGGCAGAGGCGCATCACGGCAAAGACATTAATGGTGAAGAGCTTCTCGGCCTCGGCGATTTCGAGATCTGCTGCGGTGGCGGCATAGTGCGTGCCTGCGTTGTTGATCAGGATGTCCACACGCCCGCCAGTCCTCTTGGCCACGGCATCACGAAAGCTCGCGAGGCTGTGCAGGTCGCCCAGCTCGAGGGGCAGGGCGATGATGTTGTCGTGCTTTTTGGTGAGGTGGGCGAGGGACTCGACCTTGCGGGCTGTGGCGACGACTGTGAGGCCCCGGGCGGCGAGCACCTCGGCGAGGCCCTGCCCGATGCCGCTGCTGCAGCCCGTCACGACCGCGACAGTCTTTGTGTTTGAATGGGCAGGCATCATCGGGTCCTGATTTCGGCACGTATGTCCCTCCAAGGAATGCTGGCTGATTGTCTTCTGGGCTGCTGATAGCAACAAAAAGGTGCGTCGCCAGCTGAGCCGAGGCTGCTGTAGTACGGCTGCTTAAGATCTGGATGGCTGGGTGGCGTGCCCTAGCGGCAGTGACCCCCACAGGACCGGAAGGGGTCCTCTGGCTGATGGTGGAGAACAGCGGAGATCTTCCGTTCTGTAGCAGCCAGCCTCGTCATGGTATAATGCAGGCGATGAGTAATCAGAGTTTCGGGGTGGATACGGCGATGAGTAACACCCTTCGTGTGAGGCGAGCACGTGTGATGGAGAGCAGCTAGAACTCGAGTCTCGAAGTTCCATATCGAAATTCCATATTGTGCCTCTGCAACATTCCGCCAGGACAGGATTCCAGGAACCCAACAACGAAGTGTCCTCCTCACACCTGCGCACTAGCTTACGAGGACACTGAGCTGGCTCATCATCTTTGACTGTTGCGCGTGACTCCATTGCGTCCAACCTGTGCCTGACCATCGACTGATCTGTGACTGTCTGCAGGAGGTCTGCCTAATGAGCCTTGTATGTACACAGGATCTCGCATAATAAAGACCAAGACCCTTGTCTATGCAAGCAACCAGGTGCACTTGGTCGACTTCAGCACCCCATGCCTCAGTCTCCACCGCCAAGACCGTGTTGTCCAAGTGGGGGTGGCCATGACGCTGCTGCCTCGATTCCCACCGCCTCAGATTCCACGATGGCGCTCTCATCAAGTCAATGACCCGTGACAAGCAAGTCATGTTCCGCCATCTCAAGAAGCGCAAACCTCTAGCGCCGCCAGAAGTCTTCGGCTACGACCGGGATGTGCTGGTCGCGCTGGTCCGCCGTCACTATGACCTCCTCGTTGTGATGGGGCACCTGCACCCAGCCGCCCTGCAGGCTCCCCTGGAACCCGACGGATGGTCCGACGCACAGCTCAACGTCGATGCGCTGAGGGCACTCGGGCGGTCAGAGGTCGTCATTGATCTGCTGCGGCACCTCCCGTACCCGCGTGCGGGGTCTGGCCGACGCGCCGATGCGAGTGTGCACTATGAGACTAAAGTGCTGTCGTACCTACGGAACACGTGGAAGCCAGACGAGATGTGGGATGCTGAAGACGAAGATGAAGACGATCTCGATACTGTGGCCAAGAAACCGAGGCCACAGGAGTGGTGGGACAAGCAGTCTTGGGCCATGCTTCGCCTCGCGCCGTTCGACAAGGCGCTGCCGCCGCACATGATCTCGCTTACGTACGACGAGGCTGCGATCGGCTGCATTTGGATCATCGACACGGAGATAGGTTCGCACTGCACCGTGAATGATTTCGTGGACTTGTCAATCTTTGTTTGGGGAGGTACATAGTGGATGCTAACGGTGCTGATGGGGTCCAGGGTGTGTTTACCCGCACGGAGACGACTACTATCTGTACGACGATGCTCCGAGGGAGGCAGAATCTCAGAAGCTGTGGCTTCGAGCCAAGCCAGTCTCTTTCACGACCTTCTTCAACAGCATGCATGAGCAGATTACACGGCTCAAGATCATCCCATGTCCAGCTGCAGGCAAGCATCGCGCTGCCATGTGCAAGCCGGGGGATACGGGGGCGAAGGTATCTCCCCCTTGAAGCCGGCCCTCTCCGGTGGGGAACTCCGATATCAGGATTCAGGCCAACAGCTAATGCATGATTTCACAAGGTCGTGCGACAACTGTACCGAGAATACGGTTGGCCTAAACAGTTCAACAAGGACGGCTTTCGTCGAGCGGCAGTTCCGGCTCGACAGGCTGCTCTCAGCGAAGAGCCGGACTGGTCAGGTGCTTAACATTGAACTGTCTCTATGTAGACTCCATCTTGGTTCGAGACCAGGTGTTCGTTTAGGAGCAACCCTTATGCTCTCGCAGCCTGCTGCTGCTCAAACTCAGCCTTCACCACCCCGGCAAAATCCTCATCAGACAGCACCTTCCACGCAGTTGCCGCCATACCCTTGGCTGTGGCGATGGTAAGATCATACGCCTGGTCCGTGATGGCGGCCGCCGTGAACTCCTTGGTGTGGTTGGCCGCGCCGTTCTCGGACGGGATGCGATACACAGGGTGGAAGCCTGGGCAGACCTGCGTGACATTGCCCTGGTCTGTAGAGAAGGATCCTGGGTGCGGGATCGCTCCTTCGCGGTCGTCAAAGGGCAGCTGCGGCAAGCCAATGTCGGCCAGGAACTCCGAGTAGACTCTGCAGAGGGCCCGGTTGGGGACGACTTCGGCATAGGTGTTTGTCCTGGAATACCGTCAGCCTGTCGTAATAGAAGTGTCCAGAGGCGATGAAATAACAAAAGGACTTACTGCTCAAATGAAAGTTCACACCCGGTCGCCACTGCGGCTCCCTCGAAGCACTTCTCCACGCGAGCCTGTAGCTTCTTGGTCTCCTTGATCGTCCGGCTGCGCACGTTGTAGTCCAGCTTGGCCCGCGAAGGGATGACATTGGCCTTCTCCCCGCCCTCCATGATAATCCCGTGGATCCGCTCATATGGCAGGATTTGCTGCCGGAGCATGCTGATGCCGTTGTAAGCCAGCACTGCCGCATCGAGGGCATTGATTCCGTCCTGTGGCGCGGCGGCCGCGTGCGCCGTCCGGCCCGTGAAGGTGGCCTTGAACTTGGCACTGGCGACCGAAGTGCCATACGGGATCCCGTGCGCGTGCTCCTCGGTCGTGCTGTACATCATGCCCGCCATCGGGTGCGTCATCAGGCACGCGTCAACGTCCTCAAAGGCCCCTGCATCGATGAGCTTGATCTTGCCGCCGCCTCCTTCCTCTGCGGGCGTGCCTAGCGCGCGCACGCGGCCGGGTATCTTGAAATGTTTGAGCAGTGCCACGGTGGCGAAGAACCCTGCTAGCGAGCCTGTGGCGATGATGTTGTGCCCGCAGGCGTGCCCGATGCCGGGGAGGGCGTCGTACTCGACGTTGAAGACGACGAGGCGCCCGCCGGAGCCATACTCGGCCTCAAAGGAGGTCTCGAGGCCGTAGGCGTGGGGAGTGACCTTGAACTCTTGGCTCTGGAGGAGGGCGACGATGTTGTCGTGTGCCTGGGGAGAAAGGGATAAGCCGCGAAACGTATTTCATTGCAAGAGGAGGGACTTACCTTGTGCTCAGCATAGCCGAGTTCTGGATTGCTGTGAATCTTGTATCGTGTCAGTCTCTTTCAGATCCGTCTATCAACCAGCAGGACCTGGTAGCACTCACCTTGTGGTTGATGTCGCGCAGTTCCTTGTCAAGGGCCTTTACGGCATCAGTCAGCACCTCCTTGACCTCGGCGTCTACTGTGGGCGCCATCTGTTCTCGCCAATCGGTTGTTCTGCTAGATCTTGGCTGATGAGAAACACTGGTCTTGGCACCGGGCCTGATTCTTTGGGTGTCTGTCGGATGCGGTGGACAAGATTTTGACGCAGGTCACGACTGTCCCCGCAGTTGTCCCCGAGTGCACAAGGGGACGGGAGGAGGGGCTCCCGGCTCCGGGCACCGTCATCGGCCTTGACGTACGTCCCCGCATTTTCTCAGCATCGCAGTGGTCCCCGAGGCGGCCGCGTGGAAGCGTGAAGGCTCCAGCAGGCATTTCGGACCCTTTACTAAAATCAAGCGCCAGGATTGGCCACTCAGCCGACGACTATGACTCTCCAGGATTTTGGTCGCCTCACGCAGTTTTGCTGCAACGAATTGCAGCCTGCACGCTGATTCCATCAGCCCTCGTACCTCGCCGGTGCGACTCTCAAGTGCACATTCCACGGCTGAGCGCTCTAAGTCTTTATATCATGGGGAACCTATACTACTCTGATCTTTCGCCGATACACTGCCAGGTCACTCTTCCTTCTGGAACAAGCAATTGGGGTCGCATCGCTAGCACACAGTGTGGAGGCCAATTTGTAGGATTGCGACGTCCTGGCCGCCAGCTGCGGCCTTGATAGGCTTCTAGTGCACCCAAGAGTGGTTCTACAAATGGGCTCACACGAGAGAGCGGTGGCGATATAGTGCCAATAAGCATGCTTGTCTTGCCTGAGAAGTCTCGGGACATCTATATACTGGAAACACACTCAGATCAATCACGGCTGCGACGAATTTTAAGACATAGTTCTATTGCCTCCAGAGATTACTAGCTAAAGGAAACCACCAGTAAACCACGAGCAGTGTGCTCGATCCTTTGAATGAATGGCAGAACCATGGTCTTGGTCTATATAAGTTTGGTCAATCCCATCTCGGCTTATCTTTCCGCAATTTGAACTCGCAGGCCTGTCAGCTCATACCGTCACTGGTGTCGGCCGTCGTGGAAGGATTGTAGCACTGGAAGACACTGTCGAATTTGCCCGTTTAGAGAGCATCCTCGCCAGGGAACATGGTTCCGTTCTCGACGGCGCCGAGGTGGGCGCGGACAACGGCACCGTAGCTGGGCATCCACTTGTCGAAGAAGGGGATCATCTTGGGACCCTCAGGGGCACGCCAGTCGCGGAGGAGGCCAGTGGCAATGGCGAACCAGGAGACGACGTTGACACCGGCGGCTCTCATCTGGTCGTTGGAGATGTCCCGGACGAAAGTGGTGGTGGTGCCGGAAGCCTCGGCGTTGGCCCAGACGCTGTAACCGGCATCCTTGAGGGAGAGAGCGAGGAAGGCAGTGCCTATGGTGGAGGCGGGCGATGATTAGCTTCTCGGGCCGACACCAGACTCTTTTTTCCACGGTGGAATTTGGAAAACACTTACAAACATCGGTCGCAATGCCAGCAATGATGATCTGCTTCTTGCCAGACTTCTCAACGGCCGCGCGGAAGTCGGCGTTGTCCCAGGCGTTGATCTCGCCCTGGCGCTCGACGACCTTGACCTCGGGGTACATCTTCAGGATCTCGCTCGACGTAGGACCGTTGGGGCCTGTTTAGCACGTGGTGTTAGTTGTCTCGAGAGTTCACTGACTCCAGAAGGGGCCGAAGGGGTTGGGCTGGGTCCACCAAAGCTTACCAGTCTGGGCAGAGGTCGTGATGACAACGGGCAGGTCGAAAGCCCTGCCGAGGTCCGCGTGGGCCATGATCGCGTTCTTGTACGTGACCGCGTCGAAGTCGTGGACAAGCGAGAAGAGGCCGACCTGGATGTCGATGATGGCAAGAAGCTATTCCATTTCATTGTCAGCGAGCTACGCTCGATCACCCCAAGAGTTCCTTGGCTCAACGTACAGTGTCATTCTTCTCAAGCTGTTCCCAGGCGCTGGCAACGCCCGCCAAGGGAAGGAGAAGAGTCGAGAGCGAGAACTTCATGATTGCTGATGGCTTGGCTTGGCTTGGCTAAGGCGTTGTGAATCCGACTGATTGAGATGGGATGGGGAGAAAAAGAAATCCCATCAACTTTTCGAGGAGCTCGGCGGCATCTTATAGCCAGAGTATCGTGAAGTTCAATACCGACTTTCTGGCAATGTCACGTTGCTGACGCCAGCAGGCCGTTACCCCCGGATATGCTGTCCCACATCCACGCGCTTGGGAACCACAGACAAGTTCCAAGACATGCTGCTGTGGACTCTAGAGTACAAGCTACGATGTCGGTCACTCAGGCATGCCGGCGTACCTGACTCAACCCAGGTAGCTGATTCGTGATCATACTTCGACGCTGACCACGGCTGAACAATCGCCACGGTATGCTTATTGACGAGGAACAAGATCACCGCGCCGCTGCTTTCGAGTTCTGTTCCTGAGCTGCCGTGGGCGGCACATGCAAGTCGGGGCGCTGCAGGGTCCGGCCCGTGGGGGCGCAATAAACTGGGTCTTTCGGCAGGTCCCGCATTGTGGCTTTCGGGAGCTGACCGACTCGACCCCTGTCATCTGTTTTTATTCAGAGTGGGTACAATTCTTGCATAAGGCGGAGTTCGTATTGACAAAGCCTGAATAATGGCCACACTTTCATGACTGAAGAACCTGCAGCGTAGCATGGCGCTGAGCTAATACTCCATTCCCGCCAGAAAATCATGAATTACACAACCTCAGCGTATGATTATCCAATCTTACGCAACTCAATCGGGACCTGGCCCTGGAGTTCTGTCTTCCGGGTGACCTCTAGGTCAAGTAACGCTTACTCAGCCTATACCTCTTAGAGCCTTGGCTGAATGGGGGGAACTAAACGTCCGGTTTCATGCATGGTAAGCACCTTACACATGCCCTGGTCTGCGCGCATACGAAAAACCCCCTATGTCTAAGCCATGTCGGGCAGCTGCGAGATATAACCTGACTCGATTGCTACCTCATGACGGACCTAGTGCGAGATCCTTAGTCACGCCCACCCATGCATCTCCATCGCCAAGACTTTGCTACCCCTGTCGTGTTCGTTACTACCGTGGCATTATTAAGAACCCACCCAAGGCTTGCGAAGACCCTGAAATTGCATGGCTTCTTCCTCGGCACTCTTGTTTCCCTCGTCATTTCGGGTCGCGCCCGATCATGCTGCGGGGTGCCTGCCGGCACAGTGCATTGTTCTATGACGATGGGCGCACAAAATGTGCAGTGCTAATGCCGTCTCCGACCGCTCGAGGTGGTCGGTGAGGCAGGCTCCGCTGCGTCACCGCTCGAGGGTCGAAAAAAAGAGCATCTCCCTCAGCATCTCGTATTGGGACTGGCACCATGTGCTGTACTCGAAGGCTGCCCCAAGGTTTGAAGCTCGTGACTACCCGAAGTGTTCAGTGTCTTCAAACACAGCAGGGTCTTCAACTCCACCTACGGTGATCAGACTCGGCCAACCCGCATACAGTCTCACTTGTTCACTCGTTTCTCAAGAGAGACAGCAAGACGCGAGAACGCGGAATATAGATTCAAAGGGTAATTCTAAGAGCCAACCAAAAATTGGAATGTTGCGATGGCGTGCGTATATGACTTCCGCCAGCTACACGTAACGCGTTCGACCTACATTAGTCTGCTCCTTCCGTTGCCGCGAACCGCTCCAAGAGCTGGCGTATATGTTCATTGCCATTCGTCAGTGCGTATTGAATAGCACCATCAAAACCCGTAAGTCCAGGAACCGCGCTTCTGGCCCCTACATTCAGCAGAAGCTGTACTGTGTCCAGTCGCTGCATATGTACTGCGACGTCTAGCACGCTTTCTGGATTACTGCGCCATGGCTGCCGCGCAACCATATCGCATCTTGCTCCGTTGTCAAGCAACAGCATGGCCAGCTCAAGATCGCCATTACTTGCAGCTTCATAAAGAGCACGTCGCCCGTGCAGACTCGTGGCGTCCACATCGGCGCCTCTCTCTATGAAATAACGAACCAGAAAATTGCGGTTCCTCCTCTCTATGGGCGTCGCAGGTCTTTCTTCACACGCCGCCTTCAACAATGAGTTGTTATGTCCGAACTTGCCATGCAAATCGCCGTCTTGGGCTTCGAATTGCTTTATGATGCTCATATTCCAAGACCTGCATCCTTCTTCGGCTGGATGCCAGTAGTCTTCTGGATCGAGGCCTTCTTCGAGGTCGATATTGACCCGAACACCTGCACTCAGCAAGCCATTTATCAAAGTCTCCGGCGCTTTCTCGTGAAGTGCGTATCCAAGTACGTCAGGAGTTGGTGGTGCTCCGCGGCTGATTGTTGTGTCGAATAAGTCCCAAGCCTCGCGGCCGACGCATCTTTCTAGGAAAGTTGACGCCTTTTTGTCCCGCAAATCTAGGCGAGACAGGAGTGGGAGCCAGGTTGACGGCGAGTAATCATCCGAACATCCAATCAGCGAACTCAAAAAAGAACTGGAAGGACTCTCTGCCACGTTCGCAATCGCCCTCGCTCCCAGATCTATCAGTCGAAAGCTCGCCTCGGGGGCAGATAGCCGAGGCGTGGTGAAGTACTCGTGGAGATAACGAGAGGGAAGCGGGACACCCCAAAAGGAATCATTCACTTGCTCACGACCAGTTTCGCTGAGCGCAGTTTTTCCGTAATTGTCGACAGCGGCATCTACACTGAGTCCCTGCTCAAGAAGCCAATTCACGGTTGCATCCCCAATGTTGCTCGCTGCCACAGCGAGAGCTCGACCCCCGTACGCTTTGATATCTGCTCCAAGCTGCTGGATCTGTTGCAACGTGTCGATGGTATCGTTTCTTGAAACGGCTGCAGCTACGACCTTGTGGCAAATCGTGACACCATGATGTTGAAGCCATTCTATGCAGGCTTGTATAGCTGGCCGAGAACCGAAATGTTTGAGGTGCCACACAGCATGGATCATGAGAGTGACTCCGTCTAGTGTTGCAAACGCGTATCTTGAACCGCGACACTCAGAAGTAAGGAGCAGTGCAAAGCCAAAGAACGCAGCTCTGCATGTTTCAATGTCTTCGCTGACGCGACCAAGGAATTGAAAGACCATCTTGTCATAGTCGTCTTCAACGACACACCGTAGTCCACAGAGGGTCTCCAGTTGCGCAACTGTGGAGTCCATTGGATTGACTGACAGCGATTTGCGCACGACCAGATCAGATACACAGCAACCAAGATCTATCATGAGTCTGAAGATCATTTGTTGGTCGTTGAGGCCCGCGGCGATGGAATTCGTCAAGGTTGAGTCGGGAAACAACCTATCCGCTTCATGCCCCAGTGCTGCTACGAGGATCGGCTTTCCAGCGATGAGACTTTCACTGTGAGCTAGGCCTTGGATGTATCTCAAGACTGAGGGAGAGAGGTCATTACTTCGCAATTTCTTGCTCAGCCATACCATCAAGCTGCTGAAGGTGTGTTTTGGCCCATATCGCAGCGCTCTGTCACTCGACTTGAATACGGCTTCGATAACCTTTTCTACTGGTGCCAACGAGCTGAGGAAGGACGTCAGACATTCTCGAGCATTGCTCGCCGCCAATTTGTGAATGATTGTTGGTGGATGTGTCCACATGGGGTGCAGATTGAGGAGAAGCATGGTTTGAAACGCATGCGAGTCATCCAGGTTCAATGTTACGATCATCAACCGTTCCATAGCAAGCTTGACTACAGGCAGTTGAGATCGGGCGAGGGCGGACCAGATCGGAGGGGATAAGCGCGCGAAGAATATTGTGTGAAGTCGCCAGTCTTCTTGTGTAGAAACTGCATTCGTCATGGTGTTGGACAGCTTGAAGAGTGCACCGGCCAGAAATTTTGAAATATCGAAGCCGTGAATCTGGAAACGGTTATGTGTTAGATGGATCCCACTCCACTCGTAGGCGCTTGCTAAGATATACTCCAAGCGCTGTTGAGGCATCCTTGGGAATCTGAATGATGACTGCGAATATTGCTCGAAACGACGGCTTGTGTTCCGTGCAATTTCGGACTCGGCGTCGCGTTTTGTGAACACTTCCTCCAAAAACTGAAAGATTTGAAGACATGGTAGATTGTCGACATGATAGCGCGTTGCAAAGCCCTCCTGGTGGTTCCGAGAAGGTACGGCCAAGTGGCTGGGCGGCGAGATGCCTATTGACTGTGAAGAATGTGCAGATACTGGCTCTGTAGATGGCACCATGCTCGGTCTCAAGGGCGGGCCAACCGTTCCTGCCATCGTACAATCATTGATTGTTGTAGCTTGGCCATGAGCCACGGTCGGCGAGGTTGTGTCGTGATCTTTGCAGCTTCCTTCAACCTGTACGCCCTCGCTCGAGGGTGTAACTATGGCAAGGTCGGATGGCGCTGAAGGTATTCCAGAGTCTGGTACGGCTGAACCTGCGGATATGGCGGCCGCCTCCGGTGGTTGTGCATCATTTGCCTGCGCTAGCCGGACGATGACACCCCCAGCCAAGGGAAGAAGATCCATACCTGGCAAAAAGCTCATCGTAATTAGCCAAATAGTATGACTGGCTTGCAAAGGAATGCAGGCGCTGACATACTCCTAGATACTTTGTGTGCGCCGTTTCTGCGTATCTCCTTCCAAGCCTTCACCCATGGAATGCGATCTCCGTTGAAAAGGATCTCGGGGTCTCCCCCGGCATTTTGGATCGACCGGCTGTGCAACCATATTGCCAGCCAATCCTCTTTCTTCAGCTTCTTGCGCACACCAAGGAGATCTCGAATCCGCGTTTCGAAAATGGACAATCTAAGGTGAAGTCAGTGATCAGGTTCAAACTGACTGGCTGACAGGTGAATTGGTCCTTACGGTAGATCAGGGAATGCATGCTGGTCGATGAGTGTCTGTTTGACGTTGCTTAGGTTGTGGCGCTTCCCTCGTTCACCACAGTAAAGTCGCTTGATTAGCGCCTTATGGTCTTGCCAAGTCTGTTTCGAATCTGGCAGCCTTTCTGCTCTCTGAATGGGTGTATTCATGTTTGACTACTGTCTTCTGAGCACTTGATTGAAAGGCGCATTCAGAAAGGAATGGCAGGAAAGGATGAGGTGGGCAGCTGGAATTGACGATTTGCCTTCAGACGCTTCCGCCACAGCCTGTGTGGTAAGGGTCTTGGCTTTTGTCTGCCTAGCCGTACCGAAAGACAGGGGATCCTTTTCGTGGAGGTGACCGCAGGGGCCGCTGCTCGTTGGGCAGGCTGTGCTGTGCTCTGGCAGCCAATGTTATATGTGTTAGCCGTCCCTGCGACCCATCTCCCGTTATTGGACAGCTGCAAGAGAGTCCAATCTCTGGCCAGTCAATTGTGGCCACGACCCGCGTTGTGCAGCTGACCTGCATAGAAAAGGGGACGTGATCGTAGCCACTCAGCCCCGGGCAGCTACGCAGCGCGGCATCCAACATGCAGCCCGGCAGAGCCTTGGTCGAAACCCCCCATGTATCCACCTTTGACGCCTTCGGAAGTTGCGTCACTTGTTGAGCACAGCCGCAGGTGGCTGCCAGATATTGGACACCAGAAAATGGACACCAGGAAATGGACAGGCTGTAGGCGGACGCTCGATCGACAGGGTGTCATGCTCCACCATGATTTGGACACACCAATCATTTGAAGAAGCCGCATTTCAGGTCAGCCTGATGCTCGCAATGGCCTTTCGCCAGCCAAATCTGCGAGCTGCGTCCAATTCCTGGCGGCCTGTCCAATGTTCTCTCCTGTCTCCCGGCGTTATGAACCACCCCTGACGCTATGCATCGCTTGTCCCAATCCGTGCTGCCATCAACGGGCTGTCCAATCCTGTCTGTCCATCTCCTGGCCACCCGATATTGGACGTCCAATTCCTGTTCATCCTTTCCTGACTTTGCGTGGGTGTTCCAACGTCCAAAATCTGGCAGCCATCATCTTCGACCAAAATCTGATGTGGACAAAGGCACGCGGCGCCTCACGCAGCCCGGGTTGTTGGTTGCCACAATGAGTTCTCGCCAGATTTGCATATTAACATGCTTGCCAGCCATCGTGGTCAAGAATGTTAAATAGAACCCGGGACTCTTTAATTCCACGCTCTCGCATCCACTGGCATCATCCACGACCACCCCAACCATATACCACATGACAACATGACTCTCGACATCGCAGAGACAATCGCACTCTTCACTCTCCTGGTCGGCTGCGTGCCGGGCCTGTACTGGTTGCACAATACGGCAAAACACCGCCAGTGGCTGCCCTTTGCTCGCCGATGCCACCGCATCGAGTCTGCGCCAAACCCTCTGCTCCCCCTCACCAACAACCCTCTCCACTCCCAATCAAACCGTCCAGCCTCTCCATCACCTCTCGACACGATTGCGACAGCCGGATTGGGTGGATTTGCTTCCGGAATGTATTCGACTGCTCCCCAAGGATCTACCTCCGTGCTTGAACATCTCATTAGTCCTCCACCTCCTGCACGACTAGCACCAGTGAGAAACTCTTCCAAAATACCCATAACAGCATCACTCAGCTTTCAGAAGTCACCTAATATTTGTGCACAACAGGACAGCCTGGGAACTTGCCCATCACAATCCACGCATCTATCGACTGGTCACGAACAACCATCCCGTGAAGAATTCGGAGTGGTCGCTGCCGCCACTCCTTCTCCGCGGCCTCACCCTCTCCGTCCAAACCCCGACACACTGCATCCAGGGCGAGACACGAACAGGACTTAGGACACAGCCTGTGTGCGAGCGATGTGGCTGAGGCCCCTGTACCATATATGGCCTCAAAGGGCGATGCTTGTCATGCAGGACTGGGCTATCCAGCCTACTGCAAGAGTTTCACATCCCCATAGGTGAAGTTAGCTCCGCTTGTCATGGCCAGCTATGAGGCAGGCTTCAGGAAACTGGTTATATATGCGACAAGCATGCATAAGTCATCCACTTCGTGCAAAAGTGAATTCGAACAGTGAAAGGTCCTTAGTCAGCCAAGGACAGGCCACTCATTATTTCCCTGGTAGTTGTGTTCGAGCTGCCCGAGCTCGCTTGATGTGGTGCGCAGAAAATAGTTAGGGTATTTCTAGAGTAGATAATAGATGTATATAGCTCATGTAAATCATACAACCCAGCGCCTCGAGCTGTTAGCCGCAATAAGAAAGAGCCAGTGCCATGACCGTCAATCCGCGTGCTGCCGTTGAACGCAAATTGAGATCATCTACAGCAAATCTTACAGCACATGGCAACAGAAGGTTCAGGGTACTCTGACGTCTCTCGGGTCAACGCGGCGTCCCCCCCCCAGGAACTACAGATGCATGGAAAGTTGATATTTAAAGCAAAAAGTGACTCTATTATTGCAGAGAAGAAGTTGACTAAAGCACAAGAGCAGTGCAATATCTGGGTCGGTCTGGGCATTCGCTAAGCCCACATGGCCAGGCGTGTTTCCGCCCATGGGCTCTGCTGCTGATGAATGGTGCATAGACCTGGACTATGATCCAATACAGCTCGGCTCGTAATGTCGCATATCACAAGCACTGTCGCTGAAGCTGCCTTGTGCTAACTAAATATAATCGATCTTAACAGACAGACTGTGTCGGGAGGGGCGGGGCAGGGTTGCGAGCAGATAATCAGTTCTTCTTCTCCGGCTCCTCCTCTCCCACGCTGCCTGCGACCTCGGAAGGGATCTCGCGGCTGGTAGCCTCGGCATCTTGGCGCAACTGTCGCTTGTGCATAAAGTCGGCGAAAACTGTTGTGTAAATGCATATGTCAGCGAGTCCGCAGCGATCGATTACACGAGCATGTTGTTATGGGTCTCTGCCATGAGGATGGGTATGCTCGAGTTGCGAGAGAATTCAAGGACGAAGCATTCCGGTGTAAGGTTTCTTGTGTTGAGATTTTACTTACTCATCAGACCACAAGCGGTGAGAGCGAAAGCCAGGAGCGATGGGAAACCGCGCTGGAACTTGGGCGCCATTGTCTGAGGGAAGATGAGGATCGGGAGGAAAGAGTTGGTGGCGTAAAAGAGACCGTTCATGCTCGAAATCGTGAGGGCGCGCTCTTCGGCGTTTCCAACGTTGATCTCATTGGCCCAGGTCTGGAATGATAATGTCAGTACGGCCACTCTTGTGTTACTGGCTCACAATTCTGGGTTTGGGGGAAGATACTGACCCAGGTAATGCCCGTGACGAAACCACTAGCAAGCAGGAAGAAGGCAAACACACGAACGGCATCAGTGTTTGGCCATGCCGTCAGAATTGCCGAGCCCACGACGGTAGTGCCCATCTAACGCAAAGTCCTATGTCAGTACTGTCAAAGTTGGTGAGGCAAATGATGGTTGGCGTCGGCCGTTTGACTTACAATGGGACCGACCATCCACCAGACACGGTTCTGGGTGTAATCAGACATGAAACTCCAGGTGAAGTCGGTGACCATGGAAACAAGGTTGGCACAGCCAGGGATGATGTTGCGCTGGGTGACGCTGTAGCCATTGTTGCCTGGGGTGATTGTTAGCGTCTCAAATGAGTCCACCTCTCAGCACGGGTGGAGGAACGAGACAGGGTACATACTGAGGTAGATGGCGAAGTAGGCTGCGCCTTGGCAGGAGTTGCCATACTGCAGGTTGCACAAGTCAGCAAGAGGAACATTGGCACGAAAATAGCCTCCAGAAACACTTACGAAGATGTACGTGAGGCACAGAACCCACCAACGCCAGTTGGTAAACATGCGCTTGGCCAGAGCCCAGTCCAGCTTGCCCGTGACTGGAGCCTTGCCCTGGAGCGCTGAACGCCGAAGGGCAATCTGCTTCTCCTCCTCCGTGATGTACCAGGCTTTAGTGTTGTGGGGAAGGTCAGGCAGAAGGAACCAGACAGAGAGAGCAACCGGGAGAGACATGCAACCGCAGACTAGCGAGCAGGACAGAAAGCGTCAGTTGGTCCAAAAAAAGACGGCGAGGGAGCGGGCGAGGCATGCCCTCTGACAAAGCACTCACTGATGTACATCCAGCGCCATCCGGCAAGGCCGAGGCGACCGTTGAGGGTCTGGTGGATTGCGGCCTGGAGGAAGCCAGAGGTGGCGGATCCGAAAAACCCGGTAATATGCCAGATTGCCATTCTCTTGGCCAGTTCTGCCTTGTTGTACCACGAGCCGAGGAGGAAGATGATGATCGGGGAAAATCCGGACTCGAAGAATCCGACCATGAACCGGAAAGCGTACATCTGGTTGGAGGAGGTGGCAGCAGCCTGCGCGAACCTGTTTTGCAGCAGCAGAAGACGCGTCAGTCAGGAAGTGAACCTCAATGTCTAGCATGGAATGTCGGATGTGTGCCTTACGTAAAGGCTGTCCAGCCCAGCTCACACACCACGATGCAGATACGAGGGCGGATCTTAAGAGCAATGGCATTGGAGGGAATCTGCATGATGGCGAATGCGATGGTATAGCACACTGTTGTTGAACCACCCTGTTAGCGCTGAACGCAGTTGGCAAAGAGGATGCCATGGGAAAACTCACTCAGCATGTAGGTGTACTCGTTGGCCTGGATGTTGAGGTCCTCCTTCATACCGCTGACATCTAGATGAACATGCGAGGTCAGTAAAGAGGTGTCTGAACGTGATCAACAAACAACGACGCGACTTACAGGCATTGACAATGTTGTTTTGGTCGATGTATTTCATCCACTGTGCCCGAAACTGTCAGCAAGGTCTGTCCGCGATGCTGTCTTCAGTGTTGAATGGGGGCCACGCACCCAGCCAAGCGTCGCGCAGATGAGGATGCCAAAGTCGAGCTTGCGTACAAGCCTGCGCTCCTCGGGGCTTTTGAGGTGCTGGTCATTGTCCCAGAGATGGTAAAGAAGCCGCTTGCCAGCGGAGACCTTCTGCGGTGGCATCTCTTCAGCAGCATAGCTGGGAGTCGCGGCAACCTGGGGCATGGTGGTGTCTTTCTTGTCGTCCATGGCGATTGTTCTTTTGATTCAGAGACAGAGACAAGAGCCTGCACCGTGGAGCATGCCATCACGACAAGGGTTCAAGGCTTTCCAGACCATGTTATATGTTGTCGATGTCCCTGCGTCTACCCCAGGCGGCTGAGTGGTCCCCTTAGCGTTGTTCCCCATGGACACATGAGTCGTGCGCTATCGCGTTGCTAGCTCATGAGATACACCAGATAAGGGTCCGCGTCACCTTTCGCCGATACAGTAAGCCAATGACAAGCCAGCCTCTCCGATCCGACAAGCCGATCGGACCGCTATCTTCGGGGCCGTCGGGCAACAGTGTCGGAGCCACAATGGCTGTCCAGATTGTCAGCACTTCCCGAACGAGCACAGCTGGAGTCCTCATTTTGCCCATGCACAGGCAATCCGCAAACACGCTGACGACGCCCACCAAACACAGCGTAAACGGTCAATCGATCCCTGAATCTCTAGCAAGTCAACACCAGACAACAGCATCTCACCAATACTTCGTAATCATGGGATCTTGCGTCGACGAAAAGGATGTGCTCGCCGAGGCGCGTGCACTGTGCCGCGACAATCTGGTCAAGCAGACGATGCTGGACAACAAGTTGGCGACTTCCTTCGGCCTCCGTGTCTGCTTTTCGGTCGAAATCCCCCTCATCGCCAGGCGGGCAGGCTATTCGGCCGTCCTGATGAACCTCGAGCACACGCCCATGGGCATCGACGCCGTGAGAGACATATCGGTCTCCTGTCTCAATGTCGGGTGAGCAGCTGCGTTTCCTGTTAGGCTCTGCCAGGAACAGCAGGGAACCCGGACAGGAACTTACTAACAGCAATGGCTGTGTTAGAATCACCCCGATGGTCGTTGTGCCTACCGGCGAGGCGCAGTGGATTTCTAGGTGTCTCGACGCTGGAGCTCAGGCCATCATCGTGCCGCATGTCAACACCGTCGAGGAAGCGCAGACATGTGTAAATGCAGCAAAGTACCCGCCACTGGTAAGCTTAACGGAAAATCCTTCAACCCACTAGGGAGCAACTGCTAACCAAAGACTTGCCGCGCAACTCCCAGGGCCGGCGCTCGTTGACTATGGTGCAACCCATGATGCAATACGCGTCGCATATTCTCTATCAGATTGTTTCGGACGTGGTCAACGATGCTGTACAAATCCTGCCCATGATTGAGACAACAGAAGGATTGGCAAATGTGGAGTGAGTGTTTCTGAGTCCTTATCACGTCTTCTGGAGGCGGGCTCCAATCGTGTCTAGCGCTGACATGTAATACTTTCGCAGAGCCATTGCAGCCGTCCCAGGCGTTGATGCTCTCCTCATTGGGTGCGCAGATCTGAGTGTAGAGTACGTACCGCCATCTCCTCATCCCTCTAGACGGCGCTCGCTAACATTGAACTCTGCAAATGTTAGATTGGGCATCGGCGGCAATTATGACGCAAGCGAGTTCCATGAAGCCCTCGGGAAGATTGCCAGCGCGGCGCAGAAAGCGAGCGTAGACGGCCGCCGTGTCTTTGTTGGCCTTGGCGGCATGGAGATGAGACCAGACTTGATTCAGTATTTCGCTAAGCGATACTCCAACATACGGTATGTCAGGTTCCAAGTGTAAAAGTGTCAGTGTTTTATTCAAAGCAAAAGGAATATGGTCGCTAACCGATGTGAAATGTACCAGATTCACTATGGCTGGTCGCGACGTTTCGATGCTTGCTGCTGGCATGTCAAGGCAGGTGGCCAGCATGAAGGAGATATCCGCCACGTTGTGAGAGACTGGAAACAACTGGAATAGACGAAGCATAGCATAGCGAGTATGACAACAAAGAGCAATTGATCTTTTCTACACTTTACGCGGTGGGAGCCTTGTATGAGCGATAGGTATCAGCATCATCCATATAAGTGTTCCATGAACGGTTATTGAAGTGGTATCTACCTTAAGCTGTCATGACTGCTGTATCCTCGTTATGGACCATTCTACTTAGCTGCGAAGGCTGTAGTAGTTGGCGACAAGCAGAGTACAGAACTGGCAGCAGATCGACTCCTGCTACTTGCCAAGCAGCCATTTCAACACAACTGAACCACGGCGCGGGCACTGCATGGGTCTCGGCAAAGTATGAGGTTTGGGACTCTGTTCGTCGATTGCTATGCTTTGGAATCTCACTACGCATGAGAGAACTCCCTTATTCAAAGGAGACGAATACTCTCATGCAACCCTAGCAGACAGGCGAGCATAAGATAAAGTCCATGCCCATTCACGCCGGAGAACGGAGAACTCAAGTCTCCTTGGCGCTTTCAAACGCCGCCCGCACGCTTTGCCTGAATGTGCTATCAATCAACAACCGCACAGTCAACATGGCCAATCCCATGCCAACCCTGACGGCTCGGTGTAAAGCATCCGGTGTCGCTGCGGCGGCCGTGAAGCCGGCGGTGTGGTTCGATGCACTGCCCGATTCGATGCCGTATGAACAGTGGAAGGACGGTAATGCGTGCGAGACGTTGCCTGTGGTAGCAAGAGGGATTAGCGCTTTGACGACAATATAGGAGAGATCATGGTTCTTACCCATATCGGTGGACGACGAGACAGTCTCTTTGGCGATGGGCAGGAACTTGTCACCCAGCAGGGCCATCTCTTCGGTGAAGGCCCCACAGAGCGTCGGGTTGAGGATTTGGTCCGCGTAGAAGAGCTCACTGTGGCCAGAGTATCACAATCAGCTACAGAGCGTGGGACAGCGCCCGGATGTAGTCGGGCTCCGGGGAGAAAGGAAGCTAATGGGAGCTTACGTTTGGGTATTCACCTTGCAGTCTGTGGCAGTGGCCGCAGCCTCGAAGCAGTTCTTGACCCTGCGCACCAAGTCGTTGAGTCCCGCGGCCGACCTACTGCGGATGCCATACACCATGCTGGTCTTGTCTGGGATGACATTTGGAGCGACGCCGCCATTGGTAATGACGCCATGGATGCGGTCCGCGGGCTTGATCTGCTGCCGGAGCATCGAAATGCTGGTGTAGGCACTCACTGCGGCATCGAGGGCGTTGAGGCCCTGCCACGGCGTCGCCCCCGCGTGGGCCGTGCGGCCTGTAAACTCTGTCTTGACCATCGAGGCGGCAATGGTCACGAGACCGGCCGCGCCTGCGAGACCCTCCACCTCGGCGATGCGGTTCATGCTCGTCGGATGCGACATGAGTGCCGCAGCGGCACCCTCGAACGCGCCGGCTTCGAGCAGCTTGACCTTGCCGGAACCGCCCTCCTCGGCGGGCGTCCCCAGCAGCCGGATCCTACCAGCAAAGCCAAGCTCGACGGCCGCCTTGGCCGCAGCGACGAAGCCGGTGATGCTCGACAGGGCAATGAGATTGTGCCCACAGGCGTGGCCGATGCCCGGGAGAGCATCATACTCGGCGCACAAGATGACGATCTCGTCGCCGGTGCCGGTCTCCGCCTCGAAACATGTCGGGATGCCGTACGCGCCGCGCTGGACCGCGAAGCCGTTGGACTCGAGGAACTTGCAGATGGTGTCGTGCGCAAACACTTCCTCGTAGCAGAGTTCCGGGTGTGCGTGGATGTCGAGGCTGACCTTCTCTAGCTCGCTGCGCAGGCGGGCGGTCTCGCTCGCAATTGCACGGCGCGCCTTTTCGGCAGATTCGATAAGCTGTTCGGGAGCAAGCATGGTGATGATACCGCCGGGTAGTCTGGCGCACAATCTTGACTTGGCGTTTATGCGAATCAGGGATCAATCAACGGTATCAAGATAAGTCGCGGGAAAGCTGAAGAGCAGGACGCCAAGATAGGGATCCAACCATTCCGGAAGTCGGAAAGCCTCTTGTCAAAGAGGCGAGTTCTACATCCGAACAATTTGTCTTTATCTTCGAGAGGTATCAGTGGCTCTACGAGCCGAAAGCGCAAATGAGCTAGTGAGCAGGCGGGTCTAATCTGACGAGCCCGACGGGCGTGCTGCCCGATGCCGATGGGTCTCACAGCATCTCCGATCCGTCGGGCCGAAGAGTCGGGGGCCAAGGTTTGGCTAACGTCAAGCTATGACGTATCTGCCCAGTCTCGCCCCTCTAGATAAGCCAAGCTGAACCTTGGCCTCGGTAGTAGTCCAGGTCTGGGCTCCGACGGACGGTGTGCCTGGGATGCGGAGGCGGAGCACTCAGCGCACGGATACTAGTGTCGCGAATCAACCACGCAATAACTGGACATATTGATTTCGGCCCTCAATCTTGCCATTATCTTTGCCAAGATAACCATATCGTCACATTATCGGAAATTATACTATCGCATCATTACTACTGCGTCGACCCGTGAGGATTTGACAATGGCAACAAAGTGGGAAAGCCTGGATGCTGAGGAAGCGGCCTTCCAAGCCGAGGTCCGACAGATCCAAGCCTGGTGGCAGACAGACCGCCAGAAAGACATAAGACGGTTCGTGATGATGGCAGCTGGTGCATCTTTGCTAGCCACGATTATGCGAAAGATTGGCTCTTCTAACAACATAGGCTGTGCATTTCCTGCTTTATAGGCCGCATTCAGCCGAGTCGATTGCGGCACTACGCAACATCGGAACCAAGGCTGTGTACCCATCGAGTGCGCAAGGGCTCAAGCTATGGCACATGCTTCAGGAACACAATGCAAAGGGCACGTACGAGTTGACATACGGCACCACAGACCCCTTGGTAGCCAAGGAACTGACTGCAAGCAGTAAGCAACCACCGTAACCAGACCAGCTTTCACTCCAGCCGCGGCATCGCCACAGCGTACAATAACTCACCCGCCTCTGTTCAATAGTGCGCACCGTATACGTCTCTGGAGGACTTGCTGGATACGCCCAGGCGTTGTTTCCTGGAGATGACCACGCCGATTACCCGGCCGACCTAGTTCCGTCCATTGTTCGCCGTATCTTCAACATGCAGCTTTTCCAGGACCAGCGGCAGCATCAGATACGCATGCGAGTTCCTAAAGCGGAGCGGGAGCACCTCGAGTGCGTAGACTACATGGCCCCGATCGTCGCCGACGCCGACATGGGCTTCGGTACGCTCACGGGCTGCATGAAGCTGGCCCGCAACTTCGTCGAGGCCGGCGTAGCAATGATACACATTGACGATCTCGCTCTGGGGCTCAAGAAGTTCACCATCGGAGAGGGCAAGACCATCGTGCCTACCTCGGAGTATCTGACCCGGCTTACTGCTGTGCGGATGACCTTTGACATCATGGGGTGTGTCATCCAGCCACGAGACCTAGACCCCTGAACAACATTCCGAGACCACAGACTGACCACGGCCAATGCAGAGTAGACACCATGCTTCTTTGTCGTTGCGATAGCGACCATGCTGAGTTCATCACTAGGTACGTCGTCCCAGATGACCCCGCTGATGACACCCTCTGTAGCTCGGAATTTCTCATCCGCAGCGCCACATATATATATGATTGCTAACAAGGGCCTCGGTATGATGCTATAGCGTAGCAGATCCGCGGGACCACGCATATGTCCTCGGCGCGACCAAAGACGTGGCGCCTTTTGCGCAGGCGATCGCAGAGGCTCACCGCCAGGGCAAGGACTACACGACCGCCAAGGCGGAGTGGAAAGCTGTCGCGGGACTGATGACGTTTGACGAGGCAGTCCGGGCCGCCGCCACCACCAAAGAACAGTACCAGGCGTACCTGACGAAGCTCGATGGCCGGGTGGACGTGGCGCTGCGAGAGCGGCAGGCATTGGCGACAGAGGTTCTGGGCCGGCCTCTCGTGTTCGACTGGGAGCTTCCAAGGACACCCCTAGGGCAGTACATGTGGCAGTGGTCACTCAAGGCCGTGGTAGACCGGTGTCTGGTCGCTGCGCCGCTGGGTGATTTGACGTGGAGTCGCCAAGGTATGTCCTCTGCTCTCCTAGCCCACCGAACAATGCGTACTTGTCCCGGCTCATCACTGCATATGAGACCTGTTTCTGAGCGTTGGCTAACCCATGAATGCTGTCGCAGACAAACCTAGTAAGTTCTTCTATCAGTCTCGCGCCGTCACAATTTGCGTCGTCGCATGCATTTTGCATCCTAGGCCAACTTCCTCCACGCTCCCTATCAGTGTTGACTGCTCGCCTTCGCCGAAGAAAGCAGAGCTAACAAGCGTTACTCCCTTACACCAGACAAGCAAACCATGCACGACTTCCACACGGCCATCCGCGCCGTGTATCCGAATCGACTCTTTGCTTTCGGCTTCACGGGCGCCTACGATTTCGCGACGGGAGGTTACACAGCTGAGGAGATGGACTCGTCGGCCTTCCACGCGGACCTCGCCAAGATGGGCGTCGTGTGGCAGTTCCAACCTGTCTGGGCGGTCCAGGGCCCCAGCTTGTATGCGCGGCAGTCGGCGGCTGACTTTGTGCGCGGCGGCATGGGTTATTACAACCGCGAGGTCGCGGGGCCGGCGATCGCCGCGGTGCCCAAGGGTCGGAATGGTCACCCTGCGCCGGCACGCAGTGGAACGCTTGCTGATGCATTCTTCGATGTCGCGGCTGGCCGGGATATATCCTGTAGTGATTGATTGGCGTAGGTTCATGACACGGAGCCAAGCGCGTCGCCGGGATGGACATATTCGAGTCCTTGCATTATGTAGACGCTGCAACTTAAGGACATTTTGTCAAGGCATATTATTCGGAAAACAATTTCGTGCATCTCAGTGAAGAATCGATTAACTTAGATGACTTGTATTTAGGAATGTCCCCCTACTGACCAAATGGGGCTGTCACGCTCTCCTAAGGGCAGAAGTTCGTCACCTTGCGGAGGCGACTTTGTTGCTGACCACGTCATTGCACGGTGTCTGTGTCTGGCCCGACGTAGCATTGCCCAAACTCCGGTCTAGTGACCTGTCCCGGGGCTATGATTCGCAGAAGATTCTGGACAAGCCACCCAGCGACAACTCATACTTCCAGGGCACCGTTCAGGGGGGGCTCGAGCCAATAGCGACCAGAAGATTTTGGACAAGGCAGACCGAGGTGCGCTCGTAAGCCCGAGGCCACCCTGCAGGTGGCGCTTGCAGATGCACGCCAGTCGTGCGCGTCGATTGGCTCGATATTGGACACCCATGGCTGTTCGTCTCCGCGCGCCACGTCTCGGCAGGCTGGCGTTGTCGAGAATGCCGAGTCTCTGGCATTGATTTTGGTTGACAAGGCTTCAGCCGTGGGACATAAAGTTAAATTCCGCCCTCTCACTCCTTCCGCTTGCCCCTTGGCCGTCCTATACCACATACCACTCTTCGCTTCATCTTTTGCTTCTCAGTGCCCTGCTGTCCTGGTGTCTTTCCTCGCAGACCTTGCCATGCCTCAAAACACGCAGGGAGTGAACGCTGTTGACCAGCTTTTCGCATCCAAGAAGGATTTCATCCGCGCGACATATCAAGGTGACCACAGTCGCGGCAAGACCTTGAAGCAAATCAAGGATCTCTTGGAGAGGGACCACGGGTTCCCCTCGCTTCCGTGAGTATTAGCAAATGCGTCTTCTTCATCATGCTTGCGAACCACAGGCTTACCATTCACCTGTCAAGTTTGTCAACATACGAGGTCAAGCTACGGGAGCTGACACTGAGGAAGAAGGTCAGGCGGAATGAATGGCTTCCAATCTGGCAACACTGTCAACACATCAAGGACCAAGGGGAGAGGCCGCAGGTTTATCTGAACGACACTCCTCTCGAATGGGGAAAAGTCTGGAAAGAGATACGCCGGAATGGCGCACACAAGGCGCCACGACGTAAGTACGAATGTTCTTGGTCGCTATGGCTGGTGATTGCCAGAACAAATCGAAGAGGCTTGCTGGATTCGCGCTAAAACGCGTTTTCAAAATCGTAGCACGGCGGCTCCCTACACTGCCAGACGATATTGTTGTGAACAAGGCAGCCAACGATAGTACCAAGCGGTCGCAAGAGCACTTTCTGGGCCTTGTGCTACCATCGCCAGATTCTGGCCACGAACACCTCTTCATGACTTCAGGCACCGGTCGACTCTTGACCGCTGGATACAGTGAAGTTCCATCAGCAGGTACATTGCTGCCACGCTCCAAGAAAGAGCTTCTGAGAAATCTACCGTGGCTCGAGTGTCTGTCATTATTGCAAGGTGAGTAGCTTTCGTTCGTGCATCGCTGAGCATACATTGACGCGTTGAGACAGCAAAATTTGAGAAGTTGGACCTCGTTGGGACGCAGAGTAGAGATAAGTCCGGGCTATCTCGAATGGGCTTTCAGTCAATGTTGGCTGCGTACACCAGTGCAGAGTTTGATCCTCTCCAACTTGAGCACGCCCACCCTGCTGTCTTCCGAGCTCACAACGAGAACTTGGCATCCAGTACCGCGCTCATCATGGAGTTCGACGCGACATACTTCCTGGCAAAGGCTGTACTTCACTTATCGAATAACCTCATGAATGAGATTCATCCTTCACAGGAGGACCTCCTGATATACAGAATCATATTAACCCGGATTGCGCCACCCATACTACTGGCATTCTTGAATGCCAGTTGTAGATCGATAAGGGCCGTTCACAAGGCACTCATAACACTTTCGAAGATGCAGAAGGAACCAGAAACCTTCAAATTTCTCATGAGCTCCAACGACCATTACTTGCAACGGCAAATCGGCTGTACCCAGACCGTGATTATGGCAGCACTTGAACTTCTGCAAGTGGAGGTTTTGCGGGATTCACTTACCATGACGTCAAGCAGCTCTCAGACCTGGGATCTACTTATAGGACTCTGTGGCCATGGAACAGATACCGTGCGCCTCCTTGCTTTAGAAAGGCTTGTCGAGCTTTTCGATTCAGATTCATCAAATTCTATTGCCCTCGAAAAAGTTCGATCTGGTGCACTTGATCTATACAAGAGGGTTGTCGACAAAAGGGCCTTGACGGTCTTGCTTGACTGGGGATTGAATGTGGACACACCATGGACAAACTGGACGGTGGAAGATTATTTATCTGATCTCCACGACCGGTGTGACGTTTCGATTCGTTGGCAGCTATCACTGCTCGACTATGCGTATTATGAGCATGGAGAAACCGGCCCCTATTCTGTAATGAAAGCATACAGCCGTCGACAAAAGCGCCGGTTCGATCGCGCCGGGCTATGCCTGGCCGCCAAGCGTGGCCCTGAGTTTCTTGTTTCATATTTGGAACAATGGGACAAGGATTCACTCGAAGATGAAGATGAGCAGTCACGGTTTCTCCAACTCTTTCTGGCAGAGCAATTTCTTCGACACCAATCCTGCTTGGATTGGCAAATCATCCATTGCCTGCTCGACTGCGGCGTTGACCCAAAACTCCCAACCTTGAAGGACTCCGAGATCACTCAGAGCATCTTGTGTAGCACAGTATGTTACCTTTCAGAACGCGGTATCGGCAACCCAGGTCTCGCTGTGTTGCACCGACTTATCAGCCTTGGTGTGCAATTCGACGTGGGGTCAGTCCATGCCGCGGTCACGCCACGGGGAATCCATGTTCTGAGGGTGATCGAGCAGATTGGGGCAGACATAGTGGGCCCTGGAGGACGGGCACTCGCCTTGGCTTTGCGCTACGGGAATCGCGAGGCCGTGGACTGGCTCCTGCAATGCGGAGTTGATCTAGCGGCGGAGATTCCAGAACCTTACTATCATCATCGAGGCGTGACCGTGCTGGCGGCCGCAATCATCAACAGCCCGTGGGGCTATCGGCACAAAGAAATGCACATCATTCTCAAGATGCTGCAACAGAAGGAACCGCCGTGCCTGAGCCCGGCAGGGTTGGAACTGGTGCTTGAAGTCATAGAGAAGGGCTTGCGGCCTCGGCACAGGCCTGCCGATATTAATTCCGACGGATTCCTTCGCCTGTTCGTGGACAGGCCAAATTACTGGCGGGATGGTAAACCACTCATCTCAACAGAAGAAGATTTTCAAGCGATGCGACGCCTGCACGAGGCCGGAATTGTTCCGCAACGCCCTTCCGTGCTGCTTGAGCATGTTGCGCAAACCGGCAACTGGCCCATGTTTGAGCGCGTGCTCGTCCAGGCGCCTTCCGTGAGCCCAGGTAGCCCGCTTACAGTGCTCATTTCCAAAAGAGCGCCCACTGAACTCGTACGGAAGGTGCTGGTGATGACGTACAATCTGGACGACTCCGTGATAACAGAAAATACCTGGCGTCATGGGATGACGCCAGTAGAGGCTGCTACGTACGTCTGGGATCTGAAATTTCTTGAAGAGCTCCTCTCACGAGGAGCAACCTTCCGTCAGACAGCTTCAAGGAAAACAGGAATGACGTTACTGCAACACGCTTCCCGGTCCAACGCAGTCTCCGCAGCCGAGGCCCGAGCCAAAATGGATACAATCCGCTACCTGCTCGGCCATGGGGTTGCCTTGGATCACCCCATCTCTTATCCCATATCCTCTGACTTGAAAAGGACATCGCTTCAGATGGCCTCCCAGGAAGGCAATCTCGAGCTAGTGCTATTGCTACTCGAACATGGAGCCGACCTCAACAGAGCCTGCGCGATGCCATTCCTCGATGATGATTTCAAAATGTGCACAGCCCTTGACCTTGCTTCAAGCAAACAACGTCTTGATGTCGTCCAGGTCCTTCTCAACGCAGGCGCTGTCAGTGCCAAGGCTGGCAAAACCCCCTTCCACGGAGCTATACGTAAGGCGTTCGACAAGGATGCTGATTCCGAAACGGGCAAGCTAATCTTGAGGTTCGCTGTATTGAAAGGATATGTCTTAGGAGCCGAGGACATGGCACTGATTCAACAGGAATCATGCTGCTGAATCACAGCATGGTCTCCTCGTAGGTAGTTCCAAATACTGCTTGTCACGCTGGGGCATTTCCATCTTGTCAAGTTATACATACGACTAATGCAATGCTTGGTTACGTCGACCATATTTTCACTGGGGCAGGAGCGGATCCGCAAGTGAGATCGCCAAGTCATGTTATAGTCGCTGCCCTTAGCATATGGAGTTCATGGACGATATCAGATCGGAACATCACAGCAAAGCCGACATTGAGCTTCGCTGGCCCATTGTTCCTTACCCACAGAAATTCCTCATGACAAAATAGCTGGGCTCCCTCCGTAGCGCGGGACCAAATATCTCTGTACCCCAAATAAAATGCACAAGACAGTCGTGAACTTTGGACACGGGAGGGAGCAAGGCACCTGTCGGTGGCTCAGCCGGCCGCAGGTGCCAAGGTGCAGCAGCAGGTAAGGCGCACTTTTCCCTCTACTTGCTATCTGCCGCCGTGGCTGATTGCTCATCACAGGCGACACTGCAATTGGGTTCTGAATGATTCCACAAAGCAGAGACAGGTCATAAAAGGGCAAATACATCCACAGCAACTGAACAGGAGATGATTCATCGCCCAGCAGGGTAGTTCGAATGACCTGACAGGTGAACCCGTCAGCCTTCGGTGTGTGGCGCATGCTAGCAGGAAGGACTTCAAGGCTATCTGGCTATGCAGGATCCCTGTTCGTGCGTGCGGCTTCATAACCCCGCCTTTTGCGCGCGGGCAAGCAGCCAACAAGATATAATTAGTACCCAACAGCGACGTCCGGTGTCAAAGCTCACGCTCCACCACACATCCAACCTTTCTGACACAACGGACCGGTCCTCGACGAGAGGATATCCTCCACTTCTTCATCATGCGCCTCCTCCGAAGCGACACTCTCGAGCCCGTGGAGTTCATGCCGAACCAGATCCCGCCGTACGCCATCCTGTCACACACCTGGGAAGATGAAGAAGTGAGCTTTGAGGAACTCATGGGCCACGACAAGGCATGGCAGAACAAGGCTGGCTGGAAGAAGATTGTGGCTTTTGCAGAGATAGCCTCCTCCGATGGCTATCAATATGTGTGGGCTGACACATGCTGCATCGACAAGAAGAGCAGCGCCGAGCTCCAGGAGGCCATCAATTCCATGTACAAATGGTATCGCGACTCCCAGGTGTGCTACGCGTACCTGTCAGATGTGATGATTGGTCCTCCGGTAGAGGGACGCTCAGCCGTGGAGGGAGTGCAGGGATCCGCATTTCGGGAGGCCCGATGGTTCCGCCGAGGTTGGACGCTCCAAGAGCTTCTCGCACCCCATCACGTCGTGTTCTTTGATCAGGAATGGAATCAGATCGGAGACAAGACCACGCTCCTCGAATACCTAGAGGAGATTACAGGCATAGACGAGCGCTTTCTCAGCAGTCCGGCGATGGTGCCTGAGGCAAGTGTCGCCGAGCGCATGTCCTGGATGGCCGGGCGGCAGACTACAAGAGACGAAGACATTGCGTACTGCATGCTGGGCATCTTTGGCATCCATATGCCGATGTTGTACGGAGAAGGACACACCGCGTTTGCGAGGCTGCAGGAGAAAATCATGAAGGTCAACGATGACTCGACTCTCCTCGCTTGGGGCGCCCTTCTAAGACCACTAAATCAGGGAGCACCGCTCGACGAAGCGTTCCACCCGCATCTCCTGGCCAGCTCACCCCAAGACTTCGCAGGAGGTTCTGCCTTGAGTGCCAGAAAACAGAGCGACGGCGGCTACATTTACAACCGCTTCTTTATGACCCAGCGTGGGTTGCAGATCACTCTCGAAATCGCCAAAGACCCCAACTTTGACCGGCTGGCCTATGGCCTTCTCAACTGCCGTTGCTCAGGCTATTGGGAGGGCCCCATGGTATTCCCGATCCTGCTTCAGAAAAGGCCGGCGGTCACCTTCAAAGGGACAAACGCACTCGAGATCCTCGAAGGACACGCCATCGTTACAGGCTTCACGTGCCTTCCCCGGCGCTTCAAACGGCTCTTGGAGTTGAAGACAATCTGCCTCCGACCCAGCCCGCCACGGCACCAGGAAAGCACCAACGTCGGGCTGAGCCTCAGGGTACGCCGGCGCTACCGGCATTACCTCGCCTACCCGCCGTGCCACCTGTGCCCCGTCACCCTCTACACCAAGCCGAGCAAGAACGGTGGCGGCAGCGACGGTGGCAGCGTGCTGCCCGATAACGTTCTCCATCGCATCCTCATCTGGCTACAGGACGACAGCCCAGGCGGCTGCAGTGTGCTCCTGCGTTTCCAGTTGCTCGATCGTGGTCTTTCCGAGAAGGAGTGGGATTTGGAGGTAACGGAGTGTAGGTCGACGCCCTCGACCATGTTCTTCTCGATGTTATTCCTCGATGACAATTTCTGGTCTGACAATGAGCCATGTGAGCTGTACGACAACGAGAACACGGTGATACCCAGAGAGGAAGTGTTTGAGACGTGGAATCCGCTCTGAGTGCGAATAGAATTATACAGCCTGAACGCCAACATGGACGGGTCGGGCGGTAAGGGGGCCTCTGATCATAAATGATTTGACATCAAGAAGACAAGGAGGCAAAGAACATGCGGATAAAGTGCACGGGTTGAGCAGCCCAGGAATTAGTCTCTTGTGGCCTTCGCTACAACCTGAAGGGGTCTGAAAAGTCAAACGTGTCGAGATACGTCGGGTACTCGATGGCCGTCTCGGCCAGGCTCTCGTCTGCCAGTCCCAGCCCATCAAAATACAGCCCCGACGGGGTCGCCGGCTGGAAAAAGTGCTCTGGCAACTCGTGCTCCTGCTCCTGTGATCGTGCCTGCTGTGCTTCTGTCCTCCTATCTCCTGCTCCACTGCCTCCTGCCCCCACTGTTGCTCCATGTGCTCCTGGTCCATCAGCCGCCGCGCGTGACGCTGTAGCCATGCCTCCACCGCCGCCGCCCAGGCCATCCCTATCGGCAGCCATGGGGCCGATATCGCCGGGGATGACGGGATGTGCGGACCCGGCCGTGGCATCGAGAGCATACACGGGGAACTCCTCGGTCGCCATCTCGCGGATCATGCGCAGCGTGTCGCGGTGCACGACAATGTGCTCGAGGTCCACCAGCAGCTCGAGGAGGGCGCGGCGGGCCTCGTCCCGGACGCGAGGACGGGCCGGCACCGCCGCGGGCAACGGATGCTGTGATCTCGAGGCCGTCGAGGCGGCGGACATGGGTCCCGCGGCTGCGGAGGAGGATGTCGAGTAGTGCCGAGCAAAAGCGTGCTCGGTCAGGGGCACCTCGCGGGCGAGCAGGTCGAACGTATCCCGGAGGCAGCGGGACTGGGGCCAGCGCTCGCCGATGAGGGTCAAGGTGATGCTGCAGGCGCGGACAGCCTCGGGAACATCTGGGTGCTCGAACACCGGCGGACGCAGGGCGGGAGGCGTGGCGAAGAAGGTGTACAGCAGGGCGACGCCGCACTTGAACTGCGTGACGAGCCCCAGCCAGAGCTCGGTCGTGTTGGCCGTGTCGCGCTGGAAGCGGCGGAATATGAGCAGCGCCTGGACGCTGGCCTTGACGGTCCACGCGCCGGCCGAGTCGAACACGGACGTCTTGGTTGGGCGGTACAGCATGCCCAGGCTGTAGCTGTACATCATGTCGATCCAGTCCCAGTTGCCCGTGCCGCTGGTGTTGGTGCCGCTCCCAGGCTGCTCGTAGCGCTGCCACAGCACCCGCCAGCGGTCCAGCTTGTCGAGCACGCGCAGCCGCCAGCGGTCGTCGTGGCGGTGGTGGGCCGCGTGGTTGCGGTGCAGGGTGAAGTTGAGGATCTCGCTCTGGATCTGGCGGCAGTAGACGACGTGGAGCGCCGCCGAGACGTCGGTGAGCCGGTCGACTCCCCGGACCTCGCCGCCGCTCCCAGCTGCACTGCCCACGGTGGTGGCCCGGCTGCAGTGCTGCTCGAGGTCGGGGTCGTCGACGTTGGCATAGAGGCGGACGGTGATGTGGGAGTCCGAGACGGCACAGGGCAGGTGGAACGTGGCCCCGACGGTGCGGTCGAGCTTGTAGGCACACCAGAAGACGCGGCGGCGCATCTGGATGTGGACCCGGGCGGCGACGTCGGACGGCTCCGGCTCGGCGGCGGCGCAGTGGAGTTGGGCCATGACACAGGCACGCATCGCGGCGGACGCGAGAGTAATTATGCGCTCCGTAGAGGGCGAGTAGACGGCGTGCATAGCCAGCACAAGATAGGCCTGGACATGCAGCAGGCGGTCTGGCTGCTCAAAGACGGCGGCGAGGTGGCGGGTGACGGCAAGGCGGTAGTACTCGTCGTGGAGGCCAGCCGCGGTGCCGCCTAGGTTGGCCAGAGTCTTGTCCACGAGCAGGCTGATCGAGTAGACCATGGCTGTGAAGAAGGCGGCTCCAGGCTCCCTTGGTCTTCTCCGGCTGCTACTGCGGCTGCTGCTGGTGTGACTGCCGGTCCGCAGATGGTGCAGCCGCAGGAAGGGATACCGCCACTGCACCTTGGCCTCATACGTCCGTAGGAGGGCCTCGTGCGTCTCACGGTCCAGATCGAGTGCCGGCTCGTCCACTTCCAGCTCTGCGGCCACGGCCGAGGCGCTGTGGTCGGTCCGAGTCAGCAACGGCGCGGCAAAGGTCCCCAGCAAGGCTGCTGCGGGCGTGCTCCGGGAAAGTGGCACCGAAGTAGCAGTCGAGGCGTGGACAGCAGCCGCCACGACACTGGGCTGTGGAGTTGCCACCGGGGCTTGGGCGGCTGACGCCGGGGAGAGTGTCGAGTGTTCGAGATGGGAGATGCGTGCCTCGATGGCGGCAAGGTCTGCGAGCCGGCTGAGCGGGCTTGGGCTCGGCCCCGGGCCCGGTTCCGGATTGACATCGTCAGCTAGGCGAGAGGAGGGCCTGAGGGCCGTGGATGCAGTCATGGTGAACGGGCCCGGTCCTGGTACAGCCGGCCGCGGCCGCGGCCTGGGCCCGGGGAGCCGGGCAGAGGAGTCGGCGGAGCAGACCTCGCCCGCCCTCGCACAGTTCTGGCAGGGCCGGTTGTGGTCGCATCGTTGCTGCACACATCAGGAACCCTGGTCAGCAGAGCAAGAGGGACCAAGGACCGGGCGGAGGAGAGAGTGTGTGGATACTTGCCTTGCGTCGCCGGCAGCGGAGACATGCGCGCGTCCGGAGCCGCTTGGGTGGCCGGGCATCGCCGTCCGTGTCGTCGGGGCCTACCGAGGCCGGGGACTCGGGCCCCGACGCAGACAACGACATGCGGCGCTGTGGATATGGGGACATGGTCTCCAGTATGGTCGGCATGTACGAGGGGGAACGGGGTCTTCAGAGAACCGTATGTTGTGAGGCTGAATCGGCAGAGTGCCGTCGTCGGCCCGACACGCGTGACTCGGTGCCGACGGAGCTACCCAGTGTGTCCACACAGTCCAATAGCACCCATGGCACTGTACCGCCTAGTGTCCACGGCGTCGACCCCGAGCTGCGAATCCAACCGACAACTAGGCCTCAAACCACCCCCCAATGTCTTGCATGGTGTGACTCGTTGTGGGATGTAATAGCCTGCTCTTTTTTCCTCCAACCCTCCTTACAAGGCCAGCTGTGTGTACTTTCATGCGCTTCGGCCCCATAAGTGTAAGAAGTGCGACGAGAATGTCACTGCACCAGCCTTAGACCAGGGAAATCAGGTGAATAGATGGTTGCCGCCCGCCAGACTCCCAATACTTCTAGTTGACTAGGTTTGTATGCTGTAAGTAGGGAGGGAAGGAACAGCCATAGTCATCCACCTCAGGCAGGCAGGCAGGCAGGGAAGCTTAGACAGCATGTTACAGGGGTATTCGACATCATAGGCAAAGTCATCCAATCATGTCTGTTCCATCCATAGCGACACATCCCATGCAGCCCTGCCCCGCTCTCTTCTGCACGAGGGACAAGGCTCGGTCGTGGTCATGCGAGACATGCAGCACCTTTGCGAGAGCAAGGCTTTCTGTCGAGCAGGGCGAGACACCCAAACCTGAAGTTGCTTGCCCTAGGGACCGAGGGAGAAGATGGCCACCGCGAATCAAGCCGACCCAGCGACCAGACATGGCCAGTACAGCAATGACGCCTACACGGTGGGCTGGATCTGTGCCATTTCGACCGAATATGTCGCGGCCCGCGCCTTGCTCGATGAGATCCACGATGGCCCGCAACACACAGCCCAGCACGACAGCAACAGCTACACCCTGGGGACCATAGGGCGCCACAACGTCGTCATCGCGGTCCTGCCCGACGGAGAGTATGGTACAAACTCGGCCGCCGTCGTCGCGCGCGACATGCTGCACAGCTTTCCCAACGTTCGCGTCGGGCTGATGGTCGGCATCGGCGGCGGGGCACCGAGCAGTAAGCACGACGTGCGGTTGGGCGATGTCGTGGTGAGCGCGCCCCGAAACGGCCACGGGGGCGTGATGCAGTACGACTTTGGCAAGACCATACAGGACCGCGCATTCCAGCATACGGGGTTTCTGGCGCAGCCGCCGATGGTACTGCGCACGGCAGTAAGTGACCTGAGAGCACGTCACGAGGAAGAAGGCCACAATATCCCGGAAGCAGTCGACAAGGCCCTGCAGAGAAAGCCCAGATTACGCAAGAAGTACTCCCGGCCTGACGCCAGCACTGATCGTCTGTATCGTAGCGACACTGTTCATCCAATCGACGCAAACGATGCAGAGTGTGAAGCAGTCTGTGGCACCGCTTCTTCTGCTCTGGTCACATGGAAAATTCGTGACGATGAGGGCGATGAGCTGGTGGTACACTACGGCCTCATAGCGTCTGCAAATCAGCTGATGAAGGATGCAACTTTACGTGACAGGCTCGCCCAGGACAAGGACGTTCTCTGCTTCGAGATGGAAGCAGCAGGTCTGATGAACCACTTCCCATGCCTGGTCATCAGGGGAGTTTGCGATTACTCGGACACACACAAGAACAAGATCTGGCAGGGATACGCGGCAATGACGGCAGCAGCATACGCAAGGGATCTCGTGAAGTTGCTCACGCCCAGCAGAGTTGAAGCAGAAGGCAGGTTGGCTGACGAGTTGTTCCGAGGTATGGATGCACGACTCCTCTCCTCTCGTGACAGGCAAAATGACTAAAAACGGCAGCAGTCAATGAGAAGCTTGGATCCATATCGTCCGACGTCAAAGAGCTTGGTTCGACTATCGGGGTCCTGAACTCTCACAGGCAACGTGACGAGCTCTCGAGGTGGCTCGCAGCACCCGATGTCTCGAGCAACTACCACAAAGCCCTGCAACTGCGCCACCCTGGCTCTGGACGCCGTCTGATTGAGTCCGAGGCATTTCAGACTTGGCGGGATCAGGAGTCGTCTGCTGTCCTCTGGCTGCATGGGATTCCTGGTTGCGGCAAGACTGTCCTGGCCACCACGGTAATCGAGCATCTGCAGGTAGAGGAACCGTCCCCGTTGATCGTCCTTTATTTCTACTTCGACTTCTCCAACGTCGAGAAGCAGCAAAATCGCAACGCCCTTCGATCGGTTGTGGATCAACTATATCACAGAAACGAGAAGGCGCATGCAGAGTTGGAGGCCCTCTACGCTGCTTGCTACGCTGGAAAAAGGCAGCCTGATCCACAGCAGCTCCAGGAGACTTTGGCGAAAATGGCACGGGCTTGCGCAGAGACTAAGATCTACATCGTCCTCGACGCATTGGACGAATGCACCACGCGGGAGGAGCTCTGGCCATGGCTGCAGGAACTGCAGAGCGTGTCCAACGTGCACGTCCTCGCCACAAGCAGGGATGAGCTTGACATCAGATCAGCCATTAGTTTGCTCACAGTCGAACAGCAGAGAATGTCTGTGCATGCAAGCTTGATCGAGGCTGACATCGAGAGCTACGTGCGCGCCACGATTAGGGATCATAGCAGCTTTGCCATCTGGGCAGCGCAGCCAGATGTTCAACGAGAGATTGAGACAACGCTGGTAGAGAAAGCGGGCGGGATGTAGGTGTCACTTCAAGCTTTAATGCAGCTGATGGATCTGACTCGGCTTTATACAGGTTCCGTTGGGTCTGGTGCCAGATCGATGCGCTCAAGCGATGTCGGGACAGGATCACTCTGCGAAAGGCTCTCGCGTCCTTGCCCCGAACTCTTGACGCAACCTATTCCCGAACCCTCAAGAGTGTACCGCCAGAGTATATCGACCATACTGTACGCATCTTGCAGTTTCTGACGTATTCGGTCCGACCAATTCTCCTGGACGAGGTGGTCGATGCGATCGCAGTCAACCTGAAGGCCGCGGCTCACGGCGGCCGACGGTTCGATCCGAGAGACAGGATGCCGGTACCAGCCGAGGTTATTGGATACTGCGCGAATCTCGTCACCCTGGTGCGCAGAGACGATCTTGTCCGATATGACGGGAAGACAATCACCGTGGTCGAAGAACTCCAATTGGCACACTTCTCAGTCAAGGACTATCTCACATCCAACCGTGTAGTGGAATTCCTCGGTCGTGCCATATCCAAAAAGAGAGCGTGCACGCGTCTTGCCGAGGTCTGCCTTTCGTACTTGCTCGAGCTCGGACCAAGCACGGTTGCAGCAAAGCTGGTAAAGGATTTCCCCTTCGCAAGGTATGCTGCCAAGTTCTGGAAAGTCCATGCTCGTCAAGGGTTTCCCGACTGTGACACCATCGCAGCTCTTGCGGAAGAGCTTCTCACCAACCCCGAGAAGTGGCTGAGATGTTACTTAATCACCAACCCGTCACTGCAGGATACCTTACCAGAGGAGAAACCATGGCACATCGGGCGCGCATTACACTATGCTTCCTATTACGGCCTTGCGCGATGTGTTCAGAACCTTATCAACCAGGGAGCAGACGTCGATGGCGAAGGGGGATATCATGGCAATGCATTGTTTGCCGCATTGGCGGGGGGTCAAGAAGCCATTGTCAGAGTCCTTCTTGACAACGGTCCCGATGTCAATCTCCCGAGCGCTGCTTTCGGCAGGTACGGGCATGCTTTGCAGGCAGCCTCAGCCAGAGGGCAAATTCGCATTGTCCAGATGCTTCTCCAGGCTGGGGCGGACGTTAATGGCCGGGGCGATGAACACGACACTGCTCTAACAGCTGCCTCGCGCCACGGTCACATTGAGATTATCAGGATCCTCCTCGATGCCGGCGCAAATGTCAACGCCGCCGAGGGCCGGTTCTACGGTACAGCCCTGATCGCTGCCTCGCACGAGGGTCACATTGAGACCATCGGGATCCTCCTCGATGCCGGCGCACATGTCAACGCCGCCGACAGCCGGTTCTACGGTACAGCCCTGATCGCTGCCGCATTCAATGGCCAGGAGGAAGCATCCTTAATGCTCTTGAGGAGGGGAGCAGACATTCACATGGAATCTAAGCGCTTTGGTAATGCTCTGGTAGCAGCCTCTATACGCGGACATGCTGAGGTTGTGCGGATGCTCATAGCCCAAGGCGCAGATATTGATGCACCGAGCGGGGAATACTTCAGTGCCCTGCTAGCAGCATTGATGCACAACCACCATGAAGTCACTCAGGTCCTTCTTGACGCAGGTTGCAAAGTCACACCATTTGTTCAAAGACTGTTCCGGTCTTCCCCATGGTTGGAGCAGATGAACAGGCGAATGAAGGGGCTCCAATCAGAAGAGGTTTGAACGTTTTCAGATAAAATATTGCCTATTGAAAAAGGGAAAGCCAAAAAGGGGAGAGAGAAATTCATGTGCCTGGAATGAAAATGCCCACACGACTTGATTCCTCGAGGATATATTGTGCCGGCTGGAGATTTGTGATCAATCAGCAACAATATATGGACCACGAGAGAACTAGTTGTTGAACATGGAATAATGCTTGATCCGCAGACCGCAGCTTGAACTTGTGAAGACCCAAGGTTGTGGATTAACGTATTCAACGTGAGGCTCATGCAAGCAATCGCATTCTCGCCAACGATTCCCTGATCTGCCGGCCTTCACAGTATCTGTACACAGCCACCAGATCCTGTACTTTCTATCATATTGACCTCGTCTACTACATATTCGAACCGTATTGAGGAGTGGTGTGTGTGAACGAGCACCTCGAGGCCATCCCGCGAGGTGTTGAATATGATAGAAAATGTTTCGTCATAATTGTTCTGGTCGCTGCACAAATCTAGATGTCTAGTCTATATAAGCGGACTTGATGATGAAATAGGAGCGAGAGAACGAAAACGAGCAAGCAACCAACAGAAAAGTCATGTAGTCTAGATATTGCTAAAATACCATCATCATGAGGCGACATGACACGTGAAAATCCAAATAATCCCAAGCTGGCAGTGCCGCAGCAAACACAAAGGAGTAAAAAACGGCGCCGCATTTTGTTATAAAATTCCAATTTTTATGCAGGATTCTTTTGCCTCCCAATCTAAGAATCCCAGATGGGCCCAAAAGCAGGAACACCCAGCGCCTCGAGGTCGAGCACGAGATCAATAGTGAGCTTTGGGTTCGAGATGACGATGACGGCCTCCGCCTCGGACCGCTTGTACATGTCGAGCACGGTCGGCAGCGTGTTTGGCCGACCCTGGGTCGTCGTGTTGTGGATGATGGCGTTGTCGCCCATGCGAGGATCATGTCGCCAATCTCCTTGCCGTAGGTCTCGAGCGGGTCGCGCGTGGACCAGTACAGTGTGATTTTAGTCTGCTTGGCCAGGATTACGGGCAGGCAGGGGGCGATGCCGGAGCCCGTGGCGACGAGGACGATGGACTTGAACATGGGCGCGATGCGCAGCACGCCGCAGGTCGGGGTGCGGCGGACCCAGAGGTCGCGTGGAGGGTCGTTGATGAGCTTCTTGGTCCAGTCGCCGGCGTTGCTGATGATGACGGAGAACCCCTCCTGCTCGGGGTTGTTGACCGTAGCAAAGGCGTGCCACTCGAGCAAGGGGCGGGTGGCGAGGCGGATGGTGGTGCCGGGCTGGGGCCTGGCGTACTTAAAGAAGATGCGCACGGCGTGCGACGAGAGACGTTCCGACACGACGCGGATCTTGCGGCAGTTCGTCCAGGTCGAGATGACACAGCAGGTCGAGATGAAGACGAGCCAGAGGTTCACGCTGGAGAAGACCGCCGCGGCCAGGGGCTGGTTGGCGGGGTTAGTGATGTAGACGTCGAGGGAGATGAGAGTGAAGAGCAATGCGAGAGCAGTCCAGCCAGCGAGGCGGTGGACGAGCTCAAAGGCGTTGTGCAGCTTGGCGCGGAGGGTTGGGTATGCCATGGCACACATTGCCATGAAGAGGGAGTCGAGCACGTAGATGACGACGATGCGAGCCCACTGCGCCGGGGTCGGCTCAGAGATATAACAGAACGAGTATGTCTTCTCGATCGTGAGCAGGATGAACCAGAAGGTTCCAGCAACAGCGCAGCCGCTGTGCAGGCCGCCCAGGTGGTATATCCTGCCAGCACGTCTGCGAATCCATAGGGGCGCGGACGTCGGGAACGACGTGAAGATGAAGTAGAGAGAGTTGACGACGTGTTCTTCGCGGATCACAATGGAGATGGCCAGGTTGATGGACGCGGCGAGGGCGCAGGTCGACTCATTGGGCCGCCCCTCCAGGCCCCATTGCCACAAGAAGGCGACCATGCCAATGAGGTTGAGGAAGAAGATGATGGTGAACAGGATGCGGTACTCGGACGAGATGAAGCGCAGAAAGCGGACCAGTAATGGCCGGCTGGCGGCCGCGGGCTTTGGGGCCGCGGGCTTTTCTTGCGTGCTTGTTGTCGAGACCGACACGGTAGATATGGTTGCTGTCGACATTGTGGATCGTGTATAAGTGACTGCAGAATCCAAAACGCTAACGCCCTGATGGAAGACGTCCCTCCTGGAATGCCAAGAAGGCGGTAGGTCGAGCTAATGCACAAGGATGTAGGTGAATGTGTTCGTGCGAAGGACCAGAAGGAGAATGAAGGCGATGCTAGGTTCTGGAAGTAGGCTGGATGAAGAATAGAGGCATACTTCAAAAACACCGGACAGACAGGGGCACGAGGCGGGCCTAAATATCTTGAGAACAGACCTCTTCACTCTTGGCGGGAAGAGCCGCGAGATCATCGTGGCCCGAATCCACACCACACCAACGACCTCGCAAGCAGGCCAAGGAGGCCGTGACGGGCACATGGCGTCGTGTGTCGGCGTGTCCTATCTCGGCCGAATTCGTCGAGGTGTGGTTGAGACGTTGCTGCATACACGCGTCTCGAAGAGGAAGGGCTGGGCTGAATCCCTGTGATGGCTTGCTCGACGCCACCACTGACAGCCAGCCGCTGCGACCCTACCGGACAAGGTCGAGGGCACACCGACGTAGCCAGGGACCGGCCTGGTTGACCACGGCCAGAAAACGCCCCCACCCCAGCTCCGGGTGTCCCGTATGCTCAGCTGGCGCCAGGCTAGGGGGGTTTTAGCACCGCCCCGGGGGCAAGCCACGGCGCCGTGTCTCTGATTGCTCCGTGGCTCTGCTTGGAGCTTGAACGTGTTTCGCGGTGACCCGGACGCCATCCAGTAACGTTGCCTCTCGCGCTGGAATGCTGAGCTAGGCGGCGTGCGCTGCCGAATGTGGATGACGCCAGTCTGGTCTACCGGTACTGCACCGGACCCCTGACGATCTGCCGGCATCCCCTCTCGTTTCGCAATGGAGTTTCTGCTCCTAGTGGTGGATCTTTCAAGGAGGCTTGAGCACTGGCACCTCGCAAGTAGGGTAAGGGAAAGCACCCAGGGCTGGCCCAATCGGTGCGTGCTAGCATGCGATTGTCTTTTCAAACTTCCTATCGCAGGCTTGGCTTTGCCCTTCCCGGCGCCAAGAGGAGTGCACGTACGCCCGTGCGCACCAGGGACGCTTGCTTACCTTGCATGGGTTTCTTAGGTGAGCTATCAGGCGAGCCGGTGCCTACCTACATAGTAGGACGGAGGCTCTCTCTGTGCTGCAGGATGGATCTGCTCTCGGACACTAGCAGCGTCGATATGTTTGTTGCGGCGGCGCGCCTTGCAGGGGGGTGGGCCATCAGCTTCGCCTCCAATGTATGCACTACGCTCTTGATAACGAGGCGTCGCCCATTTCGAGCCTCACAGGGTGACATCCCACGCAACTCTAGGACTACCCTCATCGCGTGGGGGTTCCCACGCGTTACACTCAGGGCCACCACCACCTGCATCGCCTAAGCAGATCCCCTTCCGTTGCACGACACCTCGAGTATCTCTGGACGCACTGCCGTGGGAGCGCAGCACAAAATTGCAGGTCAGCCCTGCTTAAATGAGCAGACATCTCCGCAGGCTGTGAGGTTGCAATTTGATAGACACCAGGCGCTCCACGGACGGTCGTAATTGCAAAATGCGTCCACGGTCTCTGCGTGTCACGACGAATGCTTGAAAAGGCGTGCGATAGAGTATTGATGACGATTTATGAGCCAATGGGTAGGTATACATGAACCCCAAGAGCCCGTCTTCTGCATGGCACTCTGTGGCCGTGCGACCTTCTGTTCCTGGTCATGATCGGCCCAATGCGTTACTCCGGGCATATCAGACAGGACAAGATTCTCGCCGACCACACAAGTGAATACTATGCCGCCTGAACCAAGACCTCCAAGCACTTCAAAGTCTTCTCACAGGTGGTCGCTCTCCACCCCTTGCGCGGATCTCAACTTGGGGGGCGGGCCCCGGCAGGGTTCAGGGATTTCACCCGTCCACATTGACGTCTATCATCTTGTGGCTAGCGCGCCGGGAACTCTGGCCCCGGGCCCTGTTCCCGCCTCTGCCTCCGCTTCTGCTTCCGCTCCCGTGCTCCTGGGAATCTTGATTGCGCAGCGTTTGCTCCAGCCAGTCAGCCAGCTTGTCAGCCTGGTCCGGATCTTGTGCCGCCAGAGAGAAGCGAGTTGCGGCAAGTGTTCCGATGCCCTGTAACCAGGAACCACCCAGGTATGCTTACCTCCGATATTGTTTGTGAATCGCATGCATGTCGCTAGCATTCCGGATCAAAGGGTCTGTCTGGATCCAAGTCACATGTAAATTGGAGCAAAACAAACCTGATTCTGTAGAACTCCAAAAAGAAACCATCGCGATTCCAAATACTAGAGATAAGGCTCAGATAAAGGCAGACTTCTGCAATACCACCTGCAGAACCCCACCCAGACGGACTATCCCGATGATCGTCTTGGAGGAGAAATACCGCTTGTCACAAAAGCACAAGGGCGCCACCACAGACCATCACCGGCGATTGCGACTCTTCAGGCCCTTGCCATTTCAATGAAGATTCCCCAAAGTTCCACCAGCCAAGACTTCGCAGACGCAAAGAGCACGTCACACACGTGGCGCTAATCTGGACATTACGACCGTGGGTACTATGATGCAGGCCAGTTTGGCTAATAGCCGAAGCCAAGCCAACGAGGGGCAGGGATGACCGAGTGGCCGCAAGCTGCCACGAGCAGCAAACTCTGTTTGGTGGCTGCGACGCCTCGACGACTGTGGCTGCGAAGGAAAAAGAGCATCAAGCTGCGACACGAAGACTAGACGCATTTTAGTCTTTTTGAGAAAAGGGAGCATTTGCGCTAAATGCCACAGATGACGTCGACTGGTGGTACATCCGTCGATGTCCGGTTCACAAGCACAACACCCACCAGTTCTTCCGCGCCTGTCTATTTTTGGACATTCGTGATTGGTGGGGGGATGCGCCAGCTTCGCTCGCTTCCACGCAAGACACACAAGCTGAGAGACTATCCCGAGATGCTGCACTGGCCTGGCCTGGCATGGCCTGCATTGCGTTGCGTTGTGTTGTGTTGCTTTGCGCTCGCGAGCCACGTCCAACTCTGGCCTGAGGACTGTCTGGAAGGGGCAGTTGAACCTGCTTCCCTTCGCCCGAGCTGGAGACCGGCGGCGACTTGCATGCAGGAGAAAGACGTTCACGCACATATGTACATACGTCAGCGTCGCATTACAGAAATGTGATGCGCGGCCGCCGCTGCAGGTGGCAGGTGGTAATCAGTGTCCAATGAGCAGGCCGCTAGGACCTTTTTTCTTGTCGGCCACAGCACGCTCTGTTGTCTCTCGGTGTCTCTGTGGTTGCTCTATCTCGCACAACCTTATCACGTCTTTTTTTTTTCTGGCGTCAACAGCGTCTCATTTCGCGACAGATGCCCTTTGGGAAGTTTTTCCTTGGCTGGCATTTACGGGTTCAACGCCACTATCAAACAACCACCCCCGCCCGTCATTCATGATACTTTGCCGCCAGCTCTTTCACGTCCAGAAGCCCAGCCCTCTCCTTTGCGCGGAACTGCACCGCGCGACACATGCAGTACAGCGTCCTGACCACGGGCATCTGCACCCCGGCCCCTTCCCCCAGCCGCACCGTCTCCCCCAGGATCACCTCGCACTCGACGAACCGCCCCTTCTGCACGTCCTGCTGCATGCTCGGCAGCAGGAACTCGGCGATCGAGTCCGCCTCGACGACGCTCTCGAGCAGCGCGTCCGGCAGCTCGACCTGGTGAACCGCCCTGGCGGCGGCCTGGATCTCGCGCATCGCGGGCAGGATGAGGTGGTCGAGGACGTTGTGCGACTGGCTGGGATCCCTCTGGTCCTGCCGCGCCGAGAGGCGCAGGCGCGAGGTGTCGCTGTCGGTCAGCGCGGAGAGCGGGTTGTAGACCGCGTTGTAGAGAAGCTTGCGCCAGCGCGTCCACGGCACGTCGGCGTCGTAGCTGGCTTCCACCTTGGCCGATGCCGAGTAGAGCCTGATGAAGTCCCTCGCGGCCTTTTCCTGGGTGGCGTGGTCAGGTAGGCCCGGGTTGGGGAAGTACCCGACCATGAGCTTGTCAGCGTCGTTGTGCACAATGTGGCCCGGCTCGGGCTCGATGACGCCAATGAGGCTGATGCCCGAGAGCACCGCGTTGTGCGGGAACGCCGCGATGAGGGGTGTCTCGATGTTGATGCCGTTCTGGATCAGCACAATGGCCGTGTGGCCCGGCGTCACGTACGGCTTGACGAGCTGAGCCACAGTCGGGCCTGGGCCGTCGGGGATGTTCTTGGTGCTGCAGATGACGTAGTCGAACTTGATACTGCCGGTGCGATCGATGTGGCTTATTGTTGTCGTCGCCGTCGCCGTGTTACCGTCTGCATTGGCAGGCTGACGACCTTCTCGGGCTGACGCGAGGATCCCGCCACGCGGCTTCCAGGCATGAATCTCGCCGTGCTGACAGGAGTCGATCCTGAAGCCTTGTCGAGACACCACGTCGTAGTTTGAGCGCAGGATCATGGTTGTCTCGGCCAGTCCTCCTGCTTCGAGATTGTATGCCGCCATGGTGCCGACTCCGCCCCCGCCCACAATCATGACACGGGCTGTCATGCTTGCGTCTTGTTGTTCCGTGGTATGCACGGATGGTGCTGTAGATGCAAGTTGTCTCACTTCAGCTGGCTGACCCGATCCAGAGAGGGGTGTGCCGGCAGGGAATCAGTATCTCCTGCAGAGTCTCTCTTGTGCATGGCTGGCAGCCTTGTGAAGCCAGCTGGGCTGAATAGCAAGATGCTAATCTTCGTGGCTTATCTACGTACGCACCGTAGGCAACCCCCTCCTCCGAAAGCGGAACTAATTAGACAGCGCTCTTGGTGGGGGTGGGCGGAGCTACTATTCCCTTGTAGTATGGGCCTGCTCCGTGGGGTCTCAGGTAATCAAAGGCATCCCATGCCATAATTAATCACTTCCCACGGCGTGGGGAATGCATGTCTCAGATCTCGGCCTTATAGCCGCAGCTAAGCAGAACTAGTGCTGACCTTTATCAGAGACACTCGTGCGTTTCCGGTAGTCCCTCCGAGACCTCGAAACGTTCCATCGCGGGGTTCAGCCCTAGCGTGGAACATTCTTCCAGTGTTCTTTGGGCCTTCCATGGCTTCCCTTGTGGCTCCTGCTCAGAGACATACCAGCCAGCCCTGTGCATGTCGACCGAAATGCAGCCTCCTTTGTATGCTTTCAGATTGACATTGGCATTGGGATGAATTGACGTGTGGCAGTTCAGCCTCAGCCCTCCAAGTTCAGTTTCGGGGATGATGTAACAAACCACGGATGACTCACCTCAGCCACATACATGCCGAAACACCACATCAACCACAACAGGAGTCCCAACTCGCCATGATTGTCTTTTCTTCACCTCCATTCTGGCGACACGCCCAAGGAGATTATTGTCCGCATTCGACATAATGTCCGAAGCGCAGCAGCAAGCGCTCTTTGACAGAGTGAGCGACGCCCTGCGCCGCACCGAGGACGACACGCGCCCGATCGTGCTCATGACATGCGGGCTAGCAGGCAAGACCACTATCTTCTTCCTTTCATCCGGTCTTCCAGCTCAGCCTCACCTCGGTTCTACCAAGGACTAACCAAGATCGGTCGTTCCGTCCCCGTGCGGCCCCAATAGGCTCAGGAAAGTCTACTCTCGCCAAGGCGGTCACCGCCCGCCTGCCAAACTTTACCCGCCTCTCCGTCGACGAGATCATCCACTCCAAGCACGGCGTCTACGGGGTCGACTACCCGGCCGACATGGCGCTGTACCAGGCTTACATGGACGAGGCGGGCCAGATCTTTGACGACCTCTTCGCGACGTACCTGCGCGACGAGAGGCGGGACCTGGTGCTCGACCGGAGCTTCTACGCCAAGGAGGACCGGGACGACTTCCGCGCGCGTGTGGAAGCCCTGGTAGGAGGAAGCGGCGGCGGCGGCGGCGGCGGCGGGGCCAGGGTGGTGCTCGTCTTCTTCCGGCCCACGGACAAGGAGGTCTCGTGGCGTCGCATCGTGGAGAGGAAGAAGGAGAGCAAGACGGCCAACAATGCGCTCGAGATTGACCGGCAGCTGTTCGAGATGTACTGGGCGGGGTTCGAGGACCCGGTGGGCGAGGGGGAGATTGTCATTGATGTGGTCTGATTTGTTTTGTGCGCTGTCATGTATCATGGCCCTGGTATAACTCCTCCGCTATATACCCTGAGCATTCCATAGGTCCATGCGCGACTTTGTTTCACTATCTCGGATTACTACCACCTCAATAATTACTTGGACAGTCCATTATTTCGCTTTCCGTCCAGCTCCGCCGCCTCCCTCTCGGCCGCAAGCTCTGGCATCGGCACTGCGAGCTCGGCCCTTCCTGCTATCATGTCCTTCCCAGTGACCGTCTCCTGCATTATGTACAGCCTCGCCGGGTCCATCGAATCCGAGTGCAGCTGTGGCTTGTCCGTGATTTCCAGCCTTGCGGCTGCGGCTCTCGCGCGTTGTCGTCGCTGCCGGTGGCGACAATGCCCCAGCAAAAAGGCGACAAGGAGGATGGCGAGGACACCGAGGACGCTGCCAACCGCTGCGCCCACTATCGTCGCTGTGGTGGGACCAATCGTGACTACTTCAGGCCCAGGGGCGGTGGTGTTGGGTGTTGTCGAAGGACTAGTAGGTTGGGTGAGCGGACCGGGTGTGGATGTCGCCGACGTCGAGGGCGGCTGCGACCAATATAAATCTGGAAAGACAACTGAGGCTGTGGGTGGAGGCGCGTCCATGGTTGTGGTCTGGCAGCTGGTCAGACTGTCGTCGAGGTGACAGTCTGAGTAGATACGAGATCTGAACGTTGAAAGTAGCTCGTGCCGCCGATTTTGCGCGATAGCGTGGCCCTGAACAACACCAGAAGGAGCTGGCAGCCGAGCGCCGCGAAGGATACCTCGTGGGAAAGTGAAGGCTCAGGCTCTGCAGAGGGGACTCAAGCTTGATCTTAAAGGGGCTTCACGTAACAGAACCTTGCACAAAACCCCATGTCCTGTCAACCATGTTACATGTTCAGCCTTGCGATAAGGGCAAGGGGAACTTGGTCGCGACAATCGATGGAGCCTATCAAGAGTTGCCGCCAAGGACGTGAGGGCACGTCATCGATGGTCTACCAATCACTTTGGCGGCGTTTATGCCGGTCACATCCCCCTGCCAGCCAACATGTATTATTGTGGGCGTTTTCAGAAGTTGGCAGGCTGACAATGGCCCTAGCGCTGCTTGATGGGCACACCTCAAACTTCGGTGGAGCCTGCCCAGAAACCAGGCTGGTCATCCTGGTGTCCTGAGACCAGATAAGGCTCGCTCTCATCTCAAGGAAATAATGACCAACAACCAAAGGTATTTCACCTCCTGTCACCTCCAATGGTGCTTTTTGCAACGCGCACTTGGGCGGTGCGCCTGAACAAGGCCATTCCCAGATCCTAGGATAAAGTGTTCGGATAATGGAGTTATTAACGACGAGACGGATTCAAAATCATAGGGTGTTATATGATCAGAGCATTATCTATTAAGCACCCTATAGTGCGCCGTTATTTATCATTGGCCTCAGTATACTTCCCCTGGTATGGGCCTCGCGCATGCTAAAGGTCCATGCGCGACTTTGGCACGGGAAGTTTTCGAGATGACCGCGAATGTCCGCGTTACTGATCTCGGGGCGTTCTGGCCTTCCTATCCTGACGTTGCTATCCCGGATAATGGCTACCTTAACAATTACTTTTACAGTCCATTCTGTAGCTTTCCGTCCAGCCCCGCCGCCTCCCTCTCGGCAGCAAGCTCTGGCATCAGAGCCGCAACTTCGCCCTCCCCACAATTGTGATGACAATTTCCACGATCGTTTCTCGCACCATGTAAACATATCCATGCCTGTCTGTAGAGCATGGGTATGTCCTTCCCAACGCGTTTGGAAGTGGTGAACATACCGCTCCATAGCGCCTGGTCGAGTGTCCTTTAAAAATACTGTAGTGTTGGTGACTCTGCTCATAGAAGAGAGGAGGTTGGGCGGAGCACCAGGCGCACCAGGATCGCGGTTGGTGTGTGGTCGAACTCGAAGATGGCTGCACGGTAAACGTGGGTAGCTGTGGCGCGGTGGCCAGGTTTTGTGAGGGCGGGCGCGTCCATGGTTGTGTATTCGGCAGCGGATCAGATGGGCGTCAATGGAGCCTCGTGGCGATATCCGAGCATCAGAAAGTCAAAGAGATCGTGGTGGCGTCAGCCATGCGTTTGGGCATGGGTTCTGCACAACATCACAGAGAGGTGGCAGATCAATGTCTCCGAGGGCGTCTGGGCCGTAGTGCCCTGGCGGAAAGTGAGGGTCTCCACGGGAGTATTCATCTTCACGGGGTTGCATGCGGCGTTGGTTGGCGCATGAACCCATGTGCAGTATCCTCTCAATCAATCGGGTAACTGGGCCAGATAATGGGTGAGAATGATACTTGGATTGATAGATGAAGTGCAAAGGTAGTGACTGTGTATCTAGGAGTTCCTCCGCCGTATATTCTCTTTGCCATGGCTGGCGTATCGTCATTCAGCTCGCTTTTCTTTTCCCTACAAGAGGATATGGCCTTTCCCGTGCACTTTCCGTAGCTCTGTGGCGGCGGGCTTGGCTGCTTGCACGTAGCTGCCTAACTGCGTTATGGTTAGACGGCCGCAGAGGCTATGCATAGCAATTCGGGAAGGGTATCTTTCCGCAGCAGTGTCGCGCCGGCCGCCGAAGCAAGGGTCTCATTCGACAACGTCTTCATCATCAGGTCGGCTCGGCTCGATTGCACAACGTGTTAGATTGAGCCGGTTGCAAGAGGCCGAGTTCAACCGAGGTAGCGGTCTGCGTTCACAAGGATATTAATCCTCTCTGATCACCCCCGCCCCTGTGCGTTTTTTACCCAAAAAGCAGTCCTTCCACATTCTGCTGCATTCGTGCGTCGAGGGTCCGTGGTACTTCCAATTTTGGACCTAAAGAAATCACGCGCGTGTCCACACGCTTCTGGTTGTCCTGGGTTCCGTATCTAATTATACCGAGCGTAACATTGGTAGGATTTAGCCTATACACAGTCTAACGACGCCTCGATTGCCAAGAAGACGGGCTGGAAGTCTGTCATGTTGGAATCATATAAGGACCAACGCTACTCCTGTTTGGGCGATAGCACTAGTGTGCGAGGCTGCTGTCATCATTATCGCACAATCGTTCCTACTGCCGCAGCTACAATGCATTTCAAAGCTCTCCTTGCCAGCGCCGCGCTCCTCGCCGGCACCGCCACGGCCATCGACGTGCACTTGCACTACCACCGCTGCACCGAGGATTCCTCGTCTTGGTGCACCAATCTTGAGCCAAACACGTGCTGCCAATCCCTTGTCGGCGCCGGCTACGGCTCAGCTAGCTTCCGCGCCATCCCTTCGAACTGGGAACTCGAGCTGCGGCTGCATCAGGGCGAGAGGAAATGCGAGAATGTCCTCATCTCAGGCCGTTCCTGGGGCCAGACATATGTCTGCCTCCCGGCGCCGGGCAGCTTCCATGGGGCAGGGTACGGCTTCTTCGGCAAGAAGGCGCGCGGTGAAGAGCACGAAGTGCAGTCCGAGGCCTGCCAGCGTGTGGACAAGCTCCGGCTTGCGGATGGGACAATCTATACCCTCGAAGACCTGGACGACGCACAATTCACTGAAATGGTTAGTGTGCACCTCCATGGATTCACGATTCTCTGCTAATAGTATTCGTCCCTCCTTTTAGTAAGCTACCGAAAATCAGTTGCCGACGTCATACATCTTTTTGGATCGTGCGGGATCCTTTGAGCACTTGCTGGAATGAAGCAGAAGCTCACCTAGCAGAATGAGCGAATCGGCTGCTTCCCTAAAGATATGAATCGTGGAATAAACGCTAACCAAGTTGGCACCGTTAGAAACCAATTTGCCGCGGCCGGCGGCAATAGCACCGACCTTCCGGAACACTTCTCAAAGTACCGCGTCTGAATACATCGGCAGTTCCTATAGGACCGATCTATCGGGAATCTTAAGAGCAGACCAGGAACGATTATACTATACAAGTGTTATTCAGGGTAGGGCAATGTCGACGAAGGCAGGATGATACGCCAGGGGATGACATTCCGTGTATATATTAGACTGAAATATACACACCGTAACCTGGTCAATTTTGAAATAGCACTCTAGTTCTATGCATACGTTCCGCCCGTGCGAGTAGCTGCAATCCAGAGCCGACGAATTAGTCGCGTGATACAACCTTAACGGTACTGCAAGTAGATAACGGCCGCTCGATAACAGCCGCTCGATAACGTGCTTAATCCAGCGGGACGATTTTACAAGGCAAGAGGGAGCACAAATGGCTCGGACAGAAAGCCATAGATACTAACCATCACAGACAGTGTCTACGATTAGCTTGCTCGACGTGCTGAAAGACAGGTAGTAAGGAAGTGTATAGATTGTTCAGAACTCGCTAAGTAATAGCCACAGAGATAGTGATAGCGATAGAACTAACATAGGTATAAAGGTAGCGGCCTACTTCCGCCCCTGTAAGGTACATATCGAGGTCCAATTGCACGAAAGCCACGACAGTCCTCAACCAAATGTTTGAATGATAACTTTCATGATAATTGAAAATGCGAACCGAACCGCGCCGCGCTAGAGAGGGATATCCACCCCAAGAACAACATCAATGGAAAGAATAATCTGCTCGAAGAAAGAAAAAGCCAGTAGTCAAGGACCAGATCTACTAGTCATCCTCATCATCGCTGTCGTCACCATCACCACCTCCTTCATTCCCACTGTCCTCTTCATCACCACTGTCTCCCCCATTCCCAGCCGCCGCTCCAGGCACAGCCGCCACAGCTGCCCTCGACGCCGGCACCGGGGCAGTCCTGGCCACCGTGGCCGCGACCGCGTCGAAACCAGCCGTCATGGCCTGCGCCAGCCTCGCGGTGAAGGGGCCGAACCCGCGCTCGTGAAAGCCCAGCCGCGCGCCGGGGTCGCTCGGGTCTCCGATCGGCGGGCGCTCCGACAGCGCCCAGCCCATGACGGCCGAGCCCGCCGCGATGGCCTCGGGCCCCAGCCCCAGGGTGCTGTCGAGACACTTGTCGCACAGGAACGTGTACGCCAGGGAGGTCTGGTTCACCGAGACGCCGGTCCCGTCGGCCCCCGGGATGGGCTTGACCGAGAAGGCGCCCGTCACCTCGGCCGGGTTGTCCTCGTCGATGGCCTGGCGGAACGAGGCCATCACGCCGCCCTTGCCGTCTGGCCAGGCCGCGAGGATGAAGTTGCCCTCCATGTCTCCTATCAGGCCTAGGGCACCCCATCCCTGACCCTGGCTGAGTGGAAAGGTCATTTGGCCGATGAAGGATCCCGCCGTGCCTGCCGCTGGTGGTGTGGGGGGAAGGGCAAATGCGAAAGAGAAGGATGTGCGGGCACCGAAGAAGCGTTCCATGGCGAGGCCGGTGGTCTGGTCGGTAAATGGGGTGGAGAGCTGGGTGGGTGAGGAAGTCGCGTCGTTGGCGAGGGCGAGACCAGGTAGGAGGAGGGCTGTCATGGCTATACGGTATGGGTTGGTCGAGAGGCCGTGCTGTGAGGAGGAGCGCACGCCGCGAGGGCTGCTCGAAAGCCATGTACTGAGCGTCATGTTGTAAGGGATGACGGATTGCGACTCTCAAAGCAGTCTTTCGTTATAGTCGAGGTTATTGAGAGCGTAATTCAGTGTGGAAGTCGTTGCTTGTGTTGGCAGAGTGTGATGTGAGCCTGGTGTTTGGACGAGAAGCGCAAACTCGATCCAGCAGCTTCCTTATATACGTCCACAAGGCCGGCACGAAACAAGTCTTTGTCTCTTTGTTTCGTCTTGGAGCACGAACATGAGCAGCCTGTCCAAGTCCAGCCGTTCAAAATCCCGTCAACCCCACGGAACTCGGCTTGGCCTGCCAGGATACCGGCGCCGTCCAACCCAGCAACTCGGTCCACTTTGTTCTTAATCCGACTGCGGCTATTGGCCTGAAACGGTGAGAGGCGCAGATGACAGCCCGCCTGTATGTTTTGAGATCGGGCAGAAACAGTCCAAAGAGTGCTATTTTGAGCACCACCACGAGCCACCCCTGTCGGGTCTGCAACGGCTTGAGAAACAGCTTCTGGGCACCAGCATCCCTGTCACCCCAGGCGCGGGCCAATGGCCGGTGCGCGACGGCGCTGTTTCTCCACTCTTGAGACTCAAAGCCAAGCCTCAAACAAGCAAGCTTGGCTTTGTTCGTCCCATGCGGCTGTCCTCGAGCTAAAACTGGAGGATCAGTCCTTTGGGTGTGGAGTAGCTGGCTCGCCTTGCGAATAGATACCTGGGCACCCACATTGCCAAAGGCCAAGCTTCTACACGCCTGGCTTCCTGCCGCAGAGGAGAGCAGAACGTCTGATTTTAGTAAAGTGACCCATGAGATGGTACCCCTCGGCTGTTCCCGAGTTCTCACGCTGCTTCCAAATTGTTTTGTGCCGAGGGCACGCGATAGAGCTCGCGGTTGCGGTGCTATTTCCAGCGAATTTCAATGTTCCGGCTAAAGATGCACAATCATGACGGCAGCGTGACACGCGCTGCAGTTCGAGGGCCCGCCGTCCCTCTGTCTGTCTAGCCTTATCACAGACGACCCGGGCCGGGCGTGAAACACATTGTCCACCAAGAAACGCCCAGGGTGGGTTCAACCCACCGATGTTTGTGCAGCATGCTTGCAACACAATCTGCATGGGCGGCGATGCCGCTTTTCCGGGTCGCTGTCGCGTGCCGCATTGCCGTGTCTGGTCGCTCTGCTGGCCCTGGGACCAGTAGGTAGCCAACATGGTTAGACATGGTCAAGCCTCTGCTCTCCCTCAAATTGCATCGTGCTTGAAACATTCATTGCCTCGCAGTTTCTAGGTTCAGGTTTATCACAAGCCCGGGGCGTTTGGTCTTCCTGGCCAGACAGCCGCTACAGGGACATATGGAGAAGGTGGTTTCGGTACTCCAGTCCCATTTTCACATGAGGCACAATCTCGCCGATAGTCCAGCGGCCATACTGCCCGTTGTCACTAAGTTTAACGGGAGAGCCTACTCAGATCCGGCTGCCTGCGCCACTCTACTCCAGAACCCGTCGCCAGCGCGGCCTCCCTCCCGCACTGAACCAGGGAATCGTGGTCCTCCTTTGATTAGTTATCCTTGCTGGTGAGCCCTCAACTATTACAAAGTATATCGGAACTGCGGATTCTGTTGCAGCACCAAACACACACCCAGTCAGTAAAATCTGATCCCCAGCCGACAATGCCTCATCACCGCGAAGAAGAGAACCAGCCAAGAGATAGGAGAGAGAGAGAGAAAGAGAAAAGAAGAAAACAAGGAAAACACACCTTCATATCCGTCAGGTCGTCCTCGTAGGCATTGTCGAAGCCCTCGCCGATGCCGCGCCGGTCGCGCCGGCGGTTCTCCCAGATGCACACAAAGCGGTACACTATGATGAGCAAGGCGACGACGACGGCGGTGACGACGGTGGCGAGGAACCCGGGCCCGTAGCCGGGGGCATCTTCGGTCTTGAAGAGGAGGGGACCGACGAAGTTGCCTTTTTTTTGGGCGGTGAGAGAAGATAGTTAGCCCGCTGGGTCAGTGTGCTCAGCCTCTATCAGAGCATTGGTCGTTCTTGACTTTCTCATCCTCACCTCTTTCCAGCATCGACACCACCCCCTAGACCGGAAACAGCCACAGTGATCGATCGACTCGATTTTCGAACAATGGAAAAAAAAAAAGGGACTGCAAAACTCACCGAGACAATATCCGATAAAAATGCCCGAGCTCGCCACACTCCGCTTCGTATACCCAGCAGTATTGGCGACCTGCAAGCCCATGAGCACTGCATACCCGCCCCCAAAGCTGGCCAGGAAGTAGCACCCAAACAACAAACCGCCTTTGCTACCCCGGGGCAGCAGCCACAGCAGCAGTGCCGACATGACGGTGCCGACCTGACAGATCGCAATGATCCACGTGCGGGCGTTTTTGAACCTGTACGCGCAGTACGACGCGAGCAGCTGGATGGTCCCGATGACCGCGCCCGCGGGCATGGTGAGGAGCAGGCTGTTGAGGGTGCTGAAGCCGAAGTTGGAGATGAAGATGGGGATGAAGCTCGAGACGGGCCCGTTGGCGATCATGGCGAGGAACGCGCAGCCGAAGACGAGCCAGAACCGGATATCCCGGCCTACCTCGAGGGCCTGCTGCCACTTGAAGTGCGTGTTGCGCACGCCCGTGTTGTTGACGCGCAGCCGGGCCACGGCGATGTAGCGCTCGCGGTCGGTCAGCCCGCGCGCGCGGATCGGGTCCGGCGGCAAGAAGAAGTAGATGACGGCCGACCAGGCGACCGTGATGCTGCCCGCCACGAGGTACATGTATTTCCAGGGGGACAGGCCGCCCGAGATGTGGCCTAGGCCGTAGTTGATCAGGGGCGCGATGACGGAGACGTAGCCGGCTGGGAAGTTCAGGGAGGAATCAGTGTTGTTCGGAATCAACGAAGAGACTGAACCAAGACACTGAAAAAAAAAGTTGGATGGGGATGAAAAGGACTTACTGGCGGAGTACCACACGCCCATCCGCAGAGCCTGCTCATTGCGCTTATACCATCCTTTCGCATGGATAAATCAGCTTCAATACAGTGTTCTGGACTTCATAAAAGACCTCTCCCGGGAAAGCGAAAGATACATACCACCAACCACAAGCATAAACATTGGGCTAACCCCGCTCTCCAGAAACCCTAGGAAGAACCGCTGGACGTAGAGGTCGCGCCAGTCGCGGCACGCCGCAGTGGTCATCAGGCAGACGCCCCAGACGAGCACGATGCCGGCGCAGACGCGCTCGATGGGGAACCGCTGGGACAGGAGGACGGCGGGGGTGGCGCCGCAGATGAAGCCCAGATAGAAGATGGCCGCCGAGAACGAGTACCGCTCGCCGACGTTGAGGGCGAGGTCGGTGCGGAGGCCGAATAGTGCCTGGAATTTGCGGAAACACGGGAGACAGGGCCACTGGGGTTAGCGTCTTGTTTCGCCGCAATGAGGCTTCACAGACAATGTCGACAAGACTTGGCATATAGCTGGAGGAAAGTGTCGAGAGCAAGATGTGCATCTGGCACAGTAGTCTAGGTTTGCTTTAAGAAGGACTTACCGCCTGCGAAAGCATGGCCTTGTCGTAATACTGCAGCCCGTACGTGAGCGTCAGCAGCACGAGCAGCGTCCGGTCGAGCCGCCGCACAATGGCCTTCTCCTCAGAAGGCTCCCATGTCTGCTCGCCCGTCCAGCCCGACAGGATCTTGAGCGCCTCGTCCTGGTGTACCGTGTTGACTGTCGGGGTCTTGGACAAGCCCGTACCGTTGCTGTTGTCGTTGTTGTTGTCGTCGTGGGTGACGGAGATGGGCAGGTTTTGGTCGAGTGGCGGCTTCTCGGCGGAGACGGGGATCGGGTCATCGTGGTGGTCGCGCCGGTCAGATGGGATGGGCGTCGAGTCAACGGCGTGGTCGACATGTTTGGTGCTGGGCTTGTCGTTCGCCATGGCGGGCGGGCGCAGAGCTGGTGTCGTGCGTGAGTATCCTGGCTGCCTTGCCTGGTCTACCAGTAATGTGGACAGCTGTGACGATATGGCATTGACCCAACGGGGTAATGTTCAGGCAATTGCTAGGTTCAGAAGCATGCAGTAGCCTACGTGGACACTGCAGCGCTGGACAGCCTATTTGTGTACCCTCTCATTCCATCTCCAACTCGACTGGTATACTTTTCCGAAGCTCCCCAACTGGGGCGCTTGCCCCTGAGGGGTACATGAACTCACATCCTCCGCTGTCTCCTCATGTTCCGTGTGCTTCCAGCTCCATGCCAAGAAAGCTGGCGTCGATTGGCGGCCGGGTTGACCAGTGACACAGAGTTGATGGAAGAGGCCAAGCTCAAGCATTGGCACAAGCTTATTCGCTGGCTTGGGTCTGGTCTGTGCTGGGCCAGGCTTGGCTGAGCTGAGCTCTGGTGGGTGGTGGTCTGATATGGTGCTCGAGGGTGTGGAGAAGCGCCATACCGTCCCCTCAAAGCTTGCAAGTGTGTTGTGCCCGCCAGGACTGGCCATGGTGATGGTCCAGGATTGTGCGTGTACGTATTGGAGACATCGGGGTCGATGCGTAGCCCGACCGCCGTTGCCGTTGCCGGGCTGGGTAGTCCTATGCTAGGTCCCTGCGGGAGGGAGTAAGACTTTGGGCATGGGCCATGTCCGGACGCGGGACGAGCTGCTGGTCTATGCATCATTGTTCATATAATTACAGTTTGATATAAGGGGCCATGGCTTGCAGCTTGTTCCATACATGACCATTGCCTGATCTCGACTCCAAGGCTTGGTGCTTCAGCTTGTGTCATCAGCCAGTGTGAGCGTGTCCAGACTGTGCTGCAGTGTCACACGAGAAATGCCTCGGTCCCGTCAGTGTCTGCAGCCACCGGCTGGCAACCCTGGTCGTCGTCCTCTTGCCTGCTCGAGTGTCACTGGCCTGGAAGACACGGACAAAGTGCCGCCCCACGCAGCGCTCGCCGTGTGGTTCATGCTTGCTGTTGAGGCACCACAAGCAAGCTGTCAAAGGTTACATTGAGGCTTGGGATGCCCCGTCTTCCCCGGATTAGCTGTCCCGCCACTTTGGGGAAACTGCCGGACCCACGAGGCGCTGGCCACTCACTGTCTCTTAGGCCAGGCGGCAGTGCCTACAGAACACAATTCAGAGACATGCGAGGGTCTCTAAGGCGTGGAATATCCTACCGATTACGCTACTAAACACGCTGGCGGTTGCGTGGCGATAGTTCTATGTTTCACTACAGTGTGTCTTTTGCCATCATGCGAATTCACAGCGCTAGCAACAGAGTCTCGGCTCGTTGTTGCCAAATCGTGAGAGGTTGTCCGTGGGACATTCTTGATGCGGTGTACACCGGGCCAGCCAGAAGCCACTCATTTGAACGACACGGAGGCGAGCTCCATCAGACAAATCTCAGTACACTCGTGGCCTTCTTCCTGCCTCGTCACTCCTGGGCCTCACACTCGCAGCTGGCCTCAATCTTGACATGTAGTCAGCGACGACGCCTGCTAGTGAATGGTGATGGAAGAGGAAGTAGAATTTGAAAGCCGCAGAGCGATGTTGTTTGCACCGACAAAGTCCGGGTGCCCACATCGCGCGTCACGTTTGGAGCCAGTTCGGCGCACAGCAGCAGATTGTCGCGGTCGAACGACCTCTATCCCAAGCCCGCTTGACCCGGTAGTCACAAAGTCACAAATGCTGTCGGTGCGTTGAACGGAGGAGAGGATCGGTTCGGTGAATTGATGAATGGTAGTCCGTCGTCGAGTCCGTTGTCGAGTCAATCGGTCATACCCGGCACGGTTTGCTAGGGCTGTCGGGGACGCGGTGAAAAAAGCAACTCCTGCCTGACCAGTGATCTTGCGCTACTCTCTTGCAGAGAACCTCGAACAGGGCCAAGGGGGAAGGAGGGTCTCGACAGTCCAGGACTTACCTGCTTCACAAACTAAAAGAGGACACGGACACACAAATTACGGACACACGGACAAGACATCGCGCCACAGCACCCGCGCCTCCCACAAAGAGGAGGGACGACAGCTGCGGCACGACCAGGTGGTTTTGGTTTCAGAGGTGGATGATCGTAGCAGAATATGTGTGGAGGGTGGGAAGAGGGGGAAAAGACTAGGTTGCGCCGGCCCATTGCTGGGACGCGACACATACACCACGAGGCTCTCTCTCCTCTCTCTCTCTCTGCTAGAATGGCCAAGCTGCCATCTCTCCTACTCCGTGCTCTGGTGGCAGCACTTCCTCCTCTCCGCGCTCGCCGGGTTTTTGGTTGGGTGTCAAGATGTGCTGCTGCTGCTAAACTTTTGATTCTCGCATGGATGCTGAATGCTGGCCAGAGGCCGACAGACAATCAGACCGACCGGGCCGACATGATCAGCCCGCCGCTGCACCGCCTTGGGAGACGGCGCGGCGAAGGAGGACCAGGGGACTGGTCAAAGAAGCTGTGTGCTGAACATGGGAAAGTAACCTTGACGGGGGCAATGCCTGGGGAGCAGACACTGCTTAGTGGTTCTGGGGCTTGGCGTGGCTGACACGGATGTTGCGGCCGTTCAGGCTGGAGTGGGAGGGTGGTCAAGTCAGCTCTGGTGTGTCTTGGAATGTCATGGCAAGTTGAGGATGACGGTGGCAAGGACTTACTCCTGCTCGTTGAGGCCGTTGATGGCGTTCTCAGCGTCGGCCTCCTGCTCGAACTCGACGAAGCCGAAGCCACGGCTGCGGCCAGTCTCGCGGTCCTTGAGGACGTGCTGTGAGGGCGAGGTGAGTGAGTGAGAGGTCGCAAAAGACGCGGCGATTGATGTGCGCGCGTGCGCGCGCGCGCAGGAATGAGGCAGGGGACGACTTACAGCCTTGACGACGTTGCCGTACTGGGAGAAAGCCTGGTGGAGGGCACCGTCATCGACGGACCACGAAAGGTTACTGCAGGAAGGACGCAGCGCGAGTCAGTCATTGTGTGGGAGCGCCACTGGAGGGCCGACGAGGCCGGCGGGCAGCGGGTGTGAGATGGTGAACATACCCAACGAAGAGTCTGGCAGGCATTGTGAAGGACGGGTATGGTGGTCAAAGAGGACGGGATGGTAAAGGGCGTCGAGGTGGCTGGTGGTATCGCGAGAAGTGGGATGTGGAGGAGAGAGAAAAGGCAGGAGGGGGAGAGGAATGGGCAGGCAGGTAAAGGGACCTGGGAAGGAAGGGTCTGGTCCAGGTGGAGACACTCGAGCAGCAGCAGAAGCAGGAGCACAAGCACAAGCAAGGGCAGGCAACGCAAAACAACGCCACTTTGGATGCAGGTGGAGGGGGGGACACTCGTTGACCCCTACACTTGAGCTACTGTCCTGCACGCCCAGCCGTGCCTTGCTCCTCCTGTCCTCTCCCCTCCTCTCCCGCCTCTGCCGGCCTGGCCAGGGTTTTGTTTTTTTTGTGCGGCAGGCGACCCCGCTCCTTTCCCGCCCAGTCGCCCCCCGCCAGCCGCAAATTCAGACGGCAGAAAAGCAACGAGCAGCGAGAGCAGCGAGAGAAAATTCTGAAAAGCACGCAAGAGAGGGGCACCGCTCAAAGATTCCTGTCTGCGCTGCCCCCCGCTTAGTCAGGGCTGATGCCTCTGTGCGCAAGTGCGCTGCCCAGGTGATGCTCTGTGGGCGCCAACCTTGAGGGCGCGTCCCCCGTCCATCCCAAGTGAAAGTGACAGAGTGCAGTCTAAGTTACCCACCGTGAGGACCTCGCTGGGCCCATGGATCCCCATCCCATCCAGGTCCTCTGCTGCATGCCGCCATCTTCCAGCCCAGATGCGACATGTGCGCAATTGGCCCCTCCCATTTGCCTCTCAGGGAATGGCGGGGTCCCAAGCCCAGCCCACTTGCCGCCTTCGGGTCGCCACCAAGCGGGGCAGGGGACCTCCCTTGCTTATGTAAAGCAATTTAATCCAAAATCCCTGCTGTGGGGCCCGCGTGCCTGAGGCTCATCTGGCTCTCCGGATCCGCTGTGGCTTGCTGCTGGTGCACTGCCACTGCTCTCCCCTCTGCGGCCTCACTGTGGCGGCCTTGCAGGTTTCCCAGTGAATCAAGAGACGCCTGCTCACAGAATATGAACGGCGATCCCCGTCCGAGCAAGGACTTCGACTCTAGTCGCGACGGCATCTGCTTAATTGCCTTCTCTGCGATGCCACAGGCTCACTGGAACGACTCAAAGTGCGTGCTCAGCGGCTCCAGAGCTCTGTTCGTCTGTCCAACTGCTGACCTCCCAGCTTTCTGGGCTGCATTGCTTTCATTGGAGCTATCGCTGAAGCTCGTTATTGCGCGAGCGCCCTGATGCCTCGTGTCGCAGCTTGAGAAGGTACAAGGGTACCACTTCAAACCAATGCAAGGCCCACGTCTGTGTCTGTACTTGAAACTGCATCAACTGAACAGCATTATCAAAACTGATTTTGAACTGTGAATAACACCAATTTTGTTCGATACAGACTAAAATCACTAGGAACTAATTCATAACTCTGGACATCATCAATTCTGCCCCACATAGACGACCGTCGTAACAATCACAACAACCAGTGCGCCACATGGTGCGGTTTCCAGGAAAACTGCCATTATCTCCCCTCCACCACCATACCCAGCTCCTCGGCCGCTCTGTCCAATTCCCCAGCAGTGTGTTACTTTTCGGCCCCTGTGGCACAAAATCTTTGGGACGTTGGTTGCAGTGTGATCTCGGATAATACTTTGTCACATAACACGCCTTTCCATCGACGCACGGGCGTCCAATTTTATCGACTGGCCGGACACGCCCGACCCAGAGAGCAACGGTCCAGTGTACAACACGCTCGGTTTCTGGTTGACCAGGCCCGGCATGGTCTGGGCCAGCATGACCTGGTACCCAGCCGTGATGGGGCTAGGCGTGGCCCTCGCCATTCTCCTGGAGAGCTACTTCCAGGTCCGACGAGGTCGAGAAGAGATCCCTTGCTGGGCGCTCGTTTCCTTTTTCATGCTTTGTGTCAGCTTGTTCGCAGCTGGGATGGTGGCTAGCTTGCATCGGGGCCTTTCTCGGTACTTCTTGCCCGTTCTCTGCACCCCAGTTCTGTGCGCCTTTGACGCTTCAATCTGCGTCTGTGCTTATCTACAGTCCTGGCTGCGGGCCCGGCATTCCCACCCGGAAGCTCCTGAGCCACATTTCCATGAGTAGCTCACCTCACCAGTTGGAGAACCATGTTGATCATCTGACACGAGCATCACCGGCTCCCTTGAACCAAGCGCCATGGACAGAGAGTCCATCTCTGCGTTTCATCACTTGACAGCTAATTATAAACGCACAAGACTCTCCACCGCAAAGAAATCAACAAGACAAACTCAAAGTGTTCTGTCACGCACCACCGCGTTCGACGTATAGAGCAACTACCGCCGCAATAACCCCGGTGGCCAAGGCAAGCCTGATGTTCTCCCTACGCCTTTCACGGTGGGCAATTCCTCCCATACGCTCGAGGAAGGCGAGGGGTCTCTGCATCTCGTCGTTCACCCATGCCGCCATGCCCGAGATGAGATGACCATTCTCTTCGTAGGCGAGATCTGACTGGATCGCGGGTGCGTCCACTGTTATATCAGGGACGCTGTCGATGCCGTAACCTACGGCAAGTGGCGTGACGCGTCGCCCGAACTCTTCGAAGTCCTCGACGGAGAAATCCGTTCGGAGCTCGGTTGTAAATCTCCCAATGATCATTGCTAGATTCGCATCATCTCTCTGGGAGCTTGGCGATCTGCTCGAGCAGGCTCCCGCCTGTCCCTCGCAGCCTCGAGCGCTCGCCCAAACATGGCCAACAAATGGCGGGCTGTGGTTTCGTCAAACGCGCCAGAAGTCGCTCGTTTGATCCCTTTGGTCTGCTTCGTCGTTTATCTGGCAGCTTCTGTGCGTGGCTGTGGAGCACCTGCAGACCTGGGTGCAGTCGCCGAGCCTGCAGTGTGAGTGTCGTTGGATGCCATGGCTATTTGCGGCCTGGTTGATTGAGCTCGGTGTATGGGCGTTCTTGAGTTCATTCATTTGCACACGTGTTCGTGTCGGAACGGAGGTTGCAGCCTGCGAGCGCCTCGGCGGGGAAGTCTATATATATGCCAGATAGGGTTCACAAAGACTACGGTGGCAGCCAACGCACTCTCTCTCACTCTCCCGCCTTGATCATGTGGCCCAAGGTCGAAGGCAGCTAAGGATATTGTACGACTCAACCGTGGCATCAAAGAATCTGTTGAGTGCTTATGGTGTAGCTGACTTGGAATTTTGGTACGGCTTTGCAATCTCTCCAGACAATGGAGTTGGAAAGTACCTCGTGCTCCATCACGTTCCACGCGGCGCAAATGAAATCGAACTAAAAGTAGCTATGGTAATGCTCAGCATGTTTAAGAGCTCGCAGGTCGCCCATCTCGACAATGTCCAACCGGTGTGACGCGTGTTGTTACTTGTGTCGTGTGCAGCCTTCCTCCATCAGGTCGAATACCGTACAGGCAGCTAACATGACAAGGAGGTCCTTGAATGAGATCTCTGAATTCCCTCGTTCTGTCTTGTCCATAATATCCTTCACGAGAGGTCTAAAGAAATTCACCCCGGCCTGCAGCTTCCTGAGTTGCGGCATCTGCGGTGCCTCGCACGACTCCATCCCAGAGGCACCCGCCTTCTTTGTGTTGGTGGATGACAGACGATGCATTAGCCTGCTAAATTCGGACAAGACTTTCCCTGCTCCCGCTTCATGACTTTTCAAATTGCTCTTGAGCTTTCCGATCATCTCTTCGAAGCCGGTAGTGTTTTCTGAGTCTCCATCGATGGCCTTGATGAAGGAGGCGCGGGATTCGTTTATCAGCTTGACTGCCATCCCGTACTCGCCGCTAAGTGTTGCCAATGATGGTGCAGTTCGGAAACGGTTCATGTCGATTTGCAGGGTCCCTTCCGTCATTTTAACAATAATCTCCAGTGCCTTTGAAAGGACGTCCTCATCAGTGAGTGGCGGTTCCATGCTGAGGCTGAGGGCTGACCCTGGCTGCGTTACAATGATGGGAAATGGATGGTGTACAGTGTACAAGAGGGAGGCAGGCAATGGATTGTGCCGTGTACGCGTTGAAGAAATGAGCGCAAAGAGATGTCGCAGGATCGGGGCTCGAGCAGCGCCCTTAATATTGCCTGGCTGAGACCACCGGGCAGCCTTTCGTCTTTGCTTGGCCAGTCCTCGCCCGCTTGCAGACGACCTGCCTCGAAAGATAGCAAGCATGGTTCTGCATTCCACCACTTAATATGAGCGGCCAACAACAAAACCATCTTTGTTACAGTAGTTGCACATCCATGAACATAGGCCGGCATAGTTGGTCGCTCAGTGTGTCAAAGAAAGCAATCATTCTCCACATGCCAGAGCTGTGGCACCAACGACAGACAAAGAGCACGGAGATGTTTGCCGCTGCAGTTCAGCCCGGTGGCAGTAAACATTGGCCAGGAGCACCTCGCAAACGGTACCGAGGGACAACATCTCAACGCACCCGATCCCTTGGACGTCAAGGGCGGGTCTTCACTAACAGATCGCAGTGGCGTAACGGATGGCGGGTGAATCTTGCACCCAGGTGAAGAGATGATTATGAGCCCCCTGCACAGCGCGACTCATATCCCCTAGTACACGAAGTCAGACATGGCCCACAAGCGACGCGCCTTCATCGAGTACCGCCCCGCGGGGAGTGGCAAGCGTTACTACTCCACCAATCTTGTTACCGTTCGTTGGCGCACTCTGAGCCTCGACGTTGGTCCCTCACGCCGCCGTTCCACAGAATTGGCATTTGTTGATAGAGATAAAATGCCGGTGCTAGTGTTGCTCTTAAAAATGGCCACGCAGCTATGCGGGGGTGAGGGCATTATCCAATTTCGGAAAAGGTCGTCGAGTGCAGCTGAACCTTACCTGCTTGTCTAACAGGTGTCGAGCATTTTATCATATTCTTCTGCTACAAAAAACCCCCAAATTCGCGTCTTGACCCTTGCGCACGGCCCGAATTGATCCAGTCCCCTCCGCCTGATCGACAAGTCGCTCTCTTGGCGCACGGACGTCAGGGTCCCCAGAGTCTGAGCCTGGCCAAATAGGGTCAAGTATGGTACCAAGCTAGTGGTCGAGATTAAGATCCACGGCTGCTAGTTGCAGCTTGGCACCATTGGAACCCCAGCCCAAGACCCGGGTTGCAAAGTATGTACTAAAAAGGGCGAGGGATCGTCACAGCTGAACATTTGTGTCCACAATGGCGTTGCCCGAGCTTCTTGTTTACTCGTCTTCAGACCGCCATATATAATGCCCCGTATTCCGCACGATATTGCCTCTGGCTTCTTCCACTGGGTCTGAAATGATTTCGAGTAGGCACATACGCAGCATCCATCATGAAGTTTCTCGACTGGGCGCGGGCAGCTGCCGTCATGGCGGCGCCACTAGCTGCCGCCGCTAACGTGCAACCATCAACACCAGAGGCTCTGCCTGGGTCATACCTCGTCGAGTTTAGTGATGACTACAGCCACCTAGTAAGTAGAGCAGCATTCAGAAGCAGTGGCACTACGATGATCAACACGTACTCGGCTTTGACTGCTAGTTATACCATGCTGACCACATGGACCTGTCTCGGCAGTCTAGCGAGGACTTCATCTCTCTCCTGGCTGCGTCTGGAGTGCACGCCACACCTCGTCGCACTCTCTCCTCCTCTGTCTTTCGGGGGCTATCCTTCACCCTCACCGATATCCACGGCGACCAAGACTCGACTGTGCAGTTGATCGCCAGCATGCCCGAGATTAGCTGGATCTCGCCTGTCCACTCGATTGCAGCCCCCGCAAACCGGTTCATGACCGCCGGCGAGTCTACGACGTGGGACGTTCCCCACGCCATCCGCGCACGCCAGGCCGAGGATGTCGAAGTCATCCACCAGCTCACCGGCGTCGACAAGCTGCGCGAGGAGGGGTACTTGGGCACTGGCATCAAAGTGGCGGTCGTCGACTCGGGCATCGACTACACACACCCGGCGCTCGGGGGCTGCTTTGGCGAGGGCTGCCTGGTCTCATTCGGCGCGGATCTGGTGGGCGACAGCATCCAGAATCCGGCCCCCAGCGACGACCCCTTCACCAGCTGCCACGGCCACGGTACTCATGTCGCGGGTCTGGTGGCGGCCCAGCCCAACGAGTATGGGTTCACCGGTGTCGCGCCCAACGTCACGTTGGGCATGTATCGCGTCCTGGACTGCCAGGGCCGCGGCTCGACAGACTTCACCATCGACGCCTTCCTCCGGGCGTTTGATGCAGGAGCAGATGTCATCACTGCCTCCCTCGGCGAGTACAGCGGGTGGTCAGAGGAGAGGTGGAGCGTCGTCATTGCCAGGATTGCCGCAGCCGGTGTCCCTTGCCTCGTAGCGGTCGGAAATGACGGGTTCTATGGCCCGTTTTATGCTTCAAACGGCGCTCCGGGCAAGGACGCGACCGGGGTAGGCTCTTTCAATGGTCCGCTCGCCAACATGTTCCTGGTCAAGGCCTCCTATTCAACCGGCCATGACAACCTGACCGCTCCTACCACCAACTTTGGATACTCGCCCGCTGTCGGAAAGGATTTCTCCAATGGGACATATGCACTTCACGTCTTGAGCCGCGACATCACCGCCTCTGCGGATGCTTGCGAGCCCCTACCTGCCAACAGCACGGTGAGCCTTTCCGACAAAGTCGTTCTGGTGCGCCGTGGAGGCTGTTCCTTCGCCGTCAAAGCCCAGAACGTCGCCGACGCTGGTGGCAGGAGGATCCTGTTCTACAACAACGAGCCGGGCACGTATGAACCGGGAGTCAACACCAAGGGCATCGAGAGCGCAGGCATGATCCCCCAGAGCACCGGCGAGGAGTGGATCCAGCTGCTCGCCAACAGCACGCAGGCCATCACAGTGCACATGGTCGAGACGGCCAGCGCCGGCAAGCTGTACAAGGTCGAGGAGAACAAGCTGGCCGGCGGCTTCGCCAGCTACTTCAGCCAGTGGGGCCCGTCCAACGAGCTCAGTCTCCTGCCGACTGTGCTGTCGCCGGGGGCCTTCATGATGTCGACATACCCCTTGGCCAAGGGCGGTTACGCAGTCGAGTCGGGCACTTCCATGGCCACGCCGTACCTGGCTGGCTGCATCGCGCTGATGATCGAGGCGCGGGGCAAGATCTCTCCCGGAACCATCAACGCCCTCTTTGCTGCCACTGCCTCTCCTAACATGTTCCATGACGGGAAGACTGAATATCCCTGGCTCGGCCCCGTCATCCAGCAGGGCGCCGGCATGCTGGACGCCTACAAGGCCGTACACTCGGACATCATCATCAACACAGCCAGCATCAGCTTCAATGACACGGAGAACCGGACACCCCAGGAGTTCACCATCCACAACCGCGGCGCCGAGCTGGTGATCTTTAATCTCGGCAGCGTCGGGAGTGGCACTGTGTACACGCTCGCTGCCGATGGCACTCGTATTCCCTCGGTCTTTGACTATGCCGATTTCCCCGAGACGGTTACTGAGTACGCGACACTGTCGTTTGACCCAGCGGTGGTCGTCGTGGGCCAGGATCAGACCGTCACCGTGCGAGTGTCCGCGGAACCCCCGGCCGGGCTGGACGAGAGCCGCATCCCCGTGTACAACGGCTACGTCACGCTCAACGGCACCAACGGAGACTCGTATTCCATCCCTTACCTCGGTGTCGCCTCGGCCATGCGAGACGCCGTCATCCTCGACACGGAGCACGGCGAGAACCAGCTCTCGTCCAGCACAGACGCGGAGCCGATCCTCACCCCAGGCCACACCTTTTACCTGCCTTCCCCCAACTCCACCGCAGACGGAGGAGGGAACATCTCCTACCCGGCATTCAACCTGCGCCTGTCCATGGGCTCGCGCCTCGTCGAGGCGAGCGTGATCCAGCCCGGGCCCTCGAACAGCACGACAAACTCCACCGGCACCGCGCATGTCGTCGGCTCCGTGCCGAACTTCCCCAAGCTCTTCCAGTCCAGGCACGTGAGCGGTCCGCGCACGTTCTGGTGGGACGGCACGCTGAGCACTGGCGAGGCCGTTCCCGCGGGCAAGTACTCGCTCCTCGTGCGTGCGCTCAAGATCTTTGGTGACCAGGAGTTTGAGGAGGACTATGATGTCGTTCAGACGCCCGAGTTCTTCATTCGGTATATCTAGATGTCCATATGCACAGGTATGAAATTGAAAATGGACCCATTGATTCATATCTTTAACACTTCTTGCATGTGCATATGATTGCACTGAGTGCTGGAAAAAACACCATTGTTCGGTTTAGCCTTGAGTGCTCGTAATGACACAAACCGCAACGCCCATCAGTTCTACCAAGTCTTGAACCGCCATGCCACTGGTTCTCTGCTCTTTCCCTCGTTGATTTCTCATCCTCCTAGGACCCAAAGCTTCAGTCCAAATGCTCCGTTCTATCGCCCCTTGCATTCACCATGGCCTCCGCACCAATTGCCCTTGACTCTAGGTCAGTCTGGGAGGGAAATTACCAAGGCCAAACCGGCAAAAGCCAGTGGCAGGAGGGGCTTCTGGCTGTGCGTCATGTGCGACCTCGTCGTGGTCAACAGTGTCCTTGGCCCTGGCGCTCGTGGCCTTCGCGGCCTTCGCGGCCTTCATGTTCTCCGCTACCTTCGCGTATTCGTCCATAATATCCTTGTTCGCAAGACCCTTGGCCACGGCCCGGTAGACGTTGCCCTCCAGCTTATCTTCCGCAAGCTTCGGGTGGTTCTGACTCCACGCATCGCCTCCGGCAGCTGGTGCTGCGAGAGCCGGCACACAGTCTGGGCAGTCGCGAGGGTGTTCTGCTCCCTCAGACTCGACTTGGATGCCCTTGCGCCGCTGATTCTCGACATGCAGCGCATTCGTGGCGACTTCGAGGTTGTGGATATCGTCCTTGAGGTCTTTGAGGGCCTCGAGACACGAGTGGAGGAAGGATTTGTAGGTGTCGAGGTCGATGAAGCGGCGCGCGTCCGGGTCGTCGATGGTCGGCGCAGTCAGGCTGGAGCTCTGGTACGCGCTGCTCACCAGCGCGAGCGCCGCGGTGGGGAGGCGCTCCTGCCTGGTCTCCATCCCGGCGAAGATCCTGCGCATCTCTTCGTCGTCGAAGTGTGAGTACTCGCCAGGAGTAGCAGTGCATGTATTGTTGCCGGCTCTGAGCTTTTCGTAGTCGGCGCCGGGGATGGGTGGCCAGGTCACCTCGAGCGCCTTGCGCGACATCTCGACAATCTTGGCAGAGATGCCGAGGTTGTACAGAAGCTCATGCGCCAGCTTCTGCGTTTTGGCAGTGATGTTGCTCGTGGGGAGCTTCTCCGGGCATGGCAGTGCGATCAGCTTGGCCAGCTCAATATACGCCTCGCGGGAGGTGTGGGGGAGAGGCTCCGCGTCGGCAAGCGGGAAGTCCTCAATAGGACGGGGATGTCCAGGTGGGTTCATGGCGAGTGCGTTTCAGTCCGATTGTTGTGAAACTGGATTTGTGATGGAGTTCGTCGCCGCTGTCAAGTTGGTGAATATTCGTGTAGAGTGGATATTGGGTGTTTTGTCGATTTCTGGAATAGTCGTGGGCTGTTCGATTTGATTTATATAAAGCTGAGGTTGGCGACATTTTGGATCTCAGGCACCAGCGTAATGTCGGAAGGTGCCTCGAAGACTGTGCTCGCAGGTTGGGCTTACCGTACTAGCTCTCGCTCTGCCATAGTCAGAAACATTTCCAGTCGTTCAAAGGCGTGCTGGAAACAATCTGACGTGCTTCAGGCATCCCTATGTATGACTGGCTTAATAAAGCAAAGTCTGGTGCCATGTCACAAACTGATGCCAGAATGCAGCTCGCCAAGCAAGGAGGCAAACATGTTGTCGCGAGGCCGTTACCAGCATGGGGCAGTCAACCGCAGCGGAAGGCCTTGGAGACCGCAGGAAGGAGCGGACCATAGAAAGTTTAATGCCTGAGCCGCAAGAACAGAGGCATGATTGAAAGCCGGATGTCGCTCTCCTGTGTCATTGCACCCTGCCGACCGGCGGCGCCATTGTGCCCAAGGCCATACTCCTGGCAGTATCCGCAGCTGTGTCAGCAATCAATGTGGTGCAGGGCGTGAATTAACGTTCTCCCGGCTCCTATCTTGATCACACGGAGGCATAGGAGTAGTCAGCATTCTCTTTGACGCCTGGCGCAGGCAAATGGTTTGCGCTGCCGGCCACTCTGAACGTACCTATTGCGTCCCCACAACGGGTCGAAGAAGTCTGTCGTAAGCTGTCTGCCGCGGATAAGGATCAGGCCCAGTGGCGTGACTGATCAAGACGCCAGGGCGATTGGTGCACCACCCCCGCCGCGATGAAACACGCCTCATTAGCAGGCATGCTGGTTACATTGGGGACGATGCGTGTTCTGGACGGCCATCGTGGGCTCCATAAATCTCGATGGATTGGCTCCGTTCCCAACGGAGTCGCCGTTCCAAGCCACATTGACTTGGCCCACAAGCCCTGACTGGCGAGACAGTTGCCTTGCGAGGGAAGCTACATTGATCAATTCTGAGTGTCAAGCACTGCGCACCATTACTGGTCATTAGTAGCAGCCCCTCTCGCGACAGCTTCAAGGCAGGCAGGCAAGCCGCCTCGTCTGCAGACACAAGATTTTGACAGGCGATCGGGTGCGCCACACCATCTGCCAGTGCCTCTGATCCGATTGGCGGCCTTTGCAAGGCCACGCTGTGCCGCCCACGGCCCCTGGCGACGGGCCCCTGAAAAGGGCAGCCCTTGCGTGCTCCGTCGCCCAATGCGGAAGCTCACGCTCCGCCAGCGTCCCTCAAGGACGAATTACTGCAGGCACCCACGTGGCTACCGACAAGTTGGAGCGCATGTGGCGGCATTGGCGGGCGTCGTGATTTCGCACCAGTCACACCCTGGCTGGCCTGCGGCCGACCCGATGGCCATCCAGACGCCCTGGCTCCTTGGGGCATTCTTCTCCAGCTGTCATCAGCAAAAACGACCAGAAGGGAACTGACAAATGCAACATTGATCTTATCGGGCTGGGCAGTCCCCGGCTCGGGGGCTAGGGTTCCCCTTGCTTAGGGCCCCGGCACTTAGATTACTGACCTGTCGAGGGCGGAGCACTGCCGGATGTTTCCACGTCGTGGATTGATGGAAAACGGGGCTTGCCAAAGCCGGCCATCCTGGTCACGACAGCCAAAGCAAGGTCCTCATGGTGGAGGCTGCAGAACGTTCAGTCGCTTGATAAAAAGAGCCTCGCCCTCGGCCGGCTCAGTCTCGTTGCTCTGAAGGACCACCGCAAGTTTCTTGCAGCCTCTCGTTATACCGCAGCAACTGACCAAGACGTTGTCGCACTTTCACCAGAACACGCCCCCAAGATGCACTTCACCGCCATCCTCGCCGCCACGGCGGCTATGCTGCTCAGCCCGGCCGCGGCTGCAGGCGTCGTCGGCGCCGCTGAGGGTTTCGCCAAGGGCGTCACCGGTGGTGGCAGCGCCAGCCCTGTGTACCCGGCCTCGACCTCGGAGCTGGTCAAGTACCTGACTGACAGCTCGCCGCGCGTCATTATCCTCACCAAGACGTTCGACTTCACCGGATCTGAGGGAACCGCCTCCGAGACTGGCTGTGCGCCGTGGGGCACCGGCTCTGGCTGCCAGTTGGCCATCAACAAGGGTGAGCTGCATCACAGGCACATCATGGCACACCTCATAAGCTAAACTTTGCGGCACAGACAACTGGTGCAACAACTACCAGGCCTCGGCGCCCAAGGTCAGCGTGACCTACGACAAGGCCGGCCTCGCGGGCATCCAGGTCAAGAGCAACAAGAGCATTGTCGGCCAGGGCACCAGCGGTGTCATCAAGGGCAAGGGCCTGCGCCTGGCCAACGGCGTGTCCAACGTCATTATCCAGAACATCCACATTACCGGGCTCAACCCGAAGTATGTCTGGGGTGGAGGTAAGGATTGACGTTGGGCTATTATGATGGAAGCGCCGGTCTAACGTATTCCGACAGATGCCATCACCCTAGATGGAACTGACATGGTGTGGATCGACCACGTCAAGGTGAGTTGATGCCAAATACCGCAAAGTGCCATGTGGCAACAGATTCACTAACATGGCTCAAGACCTCTCAAATCGGCCGCCAGCACATTGTCCTCGGCAACGGCGCCTCCAACCGCGTGTCCATCACCAACTCGGAGATTGACGGCTCGTCCTCCTGGTCGGCCACCTGCAACGGCCAGCACTACTGGAACCTCTACTTCACGGGCTCCAACGACCTCGTCACCTTCAAGGGCAACTACGTCCACCACTTCTCGTGAGTGCCACCTTCGTACAAGAGAGTCCCGGTCTTACTCATCTGACAAATGTCTCCCCGCTGCTGCAGTGGCCGCGCCCCCAAGGTCGCCGGCAACACGCTCCTCCACTTTGTCAACAACTACATGTACAGCTCCACCGGCCACGCCTTCGAGGTCGATGCGGGCGCCAAGGTCCTCGCCGAGGGCAACGTCTTCCAGAACGTAAGTAAACAATCAATTATAATCTCCACGCCAAAGGCGTCGCGGAACTGACAAAACGCCCACCCCAACCTACAGGTCGCCAACCCCGTCGACACTACCATCGCCGGACAACTCTTCACCTCGCCTGACGCCAACTCCAACGGACAATGCTCGTCCAGCCTGGGCCGGGCCTGCGTGATCAACGCGTTCGGCAGCTCCGGCGCCTTCAAGCGCACCGACACGGGCTTCCTCACCAACTTCAAGGGCAAGAACATTGCCAGCGCGGCGGCTGCGAGCTCCAGCTTCAAGGACAAGGCGGGCGTTGGCAAGATCTAAGCCAGCCTCGGGGAGTGGCGGTGGCGAGCAGAAAGGGAACGGTTTGGTCAAGCTGTTTTTCCGGCCAGGCTGGAGGTTCTCAAATTGTGTAATGCACATATCTTTCAATTCTTATATAACATGACTCTTTGTACATACTTCTCAGGATATTGGCAATCGTATCGACAGGGCGATGAGACAGTCCTCTTCTATCCAGCGGTAGACGTTTGAATGTGGTTTTGTTGCAGCACTTCTTCCTTGAGACACATTGTTTATCTCAACCTGTACCTCCTTTCGGGACTACCCCCTGATTTCCTGATTGTCTGCCGCTGTCTCTGAGCACGCCAGACCGCCTCCGACAAATATCCTGGCCAAGCTATGACCCCCGCACATGCCTGGCTGTCGGTCAATGCACTTGGGAACCCAAACGCCATGATGGCCCCCCCGCTCCAGCGTCCAGAAACCTTGAGCCCCTCCCATCCTGGTCAGCTCATATTTGAGGAGAAGGACCAGACACCCCCCTGTGCCCTCCTTTTTCCCATTCTTCTCGAGACCAACAATTCACAATAAGATATTGTCCCGCGACTTCTGCCTGCTCTACTACTACTACAAGTGCCACCATGCCCGCCACGGACGCTCTTTGTAAGTCGCACCCCTCAATTATGCACTACATAAATGATGGCATAAAGAAAGACAAGCGACTGACTGACCCAATACACTGCAGCACCGCCCCTGACCCCAGCAGAGCGCCAGGTCGTCAAGAACTACGGCGGCTGGACCCAGTTCATGCACAGCTTCGGCCTGAAAGCGCACGACTCGGAGCATATTGACGAGGCACACCAGATCGCCCGAACTTTTGCTGCCGGTGGTGAGGCCGAGGTCGAAGCTGAGCCGGACAATCGAAGCGCCCAGCAGTCGCAGCAGGGCGGTGGGCAGAAGAAGTAGCGGGTAGGGGCTGTTGTGGCAGTCGGGGAATAGTGAGGGTGTCAAACCCCGTTGCGAATTCTAGAACAAGATGAAATCGGGGAGTATGGCTAGTGAAGATCAAAAGGCTTGTGCTACTCCACGTGCCGAGTCAAAACACGCAGAGGGAAGGGACAGGAGCTCCACTGTTCATGTGTGGAATGGGTTGACTGATGCGTGTTATTATGGCAGAAACAGCTATGAAATGGAACTCGAGAAAAAGCTGTTTGTTCGCCCTTGCGAGTCATCGCAATAATGCCCGCCAGAAGCCCTCTTTGCTCTTGAAAAGCTACACAGCCAAGCGCGATGAATGCTGAACTTTGGTCTGGCCTGGCACCCAAAACGACATGGCGTCTCAGCGGCCCACCCCATCAAACCTGATCATCTTCTCGGAACCCTCGTGTGTGTCATGCCGACGGTGCTGAGAATGACTCTTGTGATGCGGGACAATCTACTTCTTTCCACCGCTCTGAGCCTGGCCCCCAGCATTGCCCTGGCCCTGGCCCTGTGCCTGTCCCTGACCAGCGCTGGCATTCGCATTGCGAGCACCAGCAGCCTGGGCGCGAGCAGCGAAGCCGCCGGAGCTCATGTCGCCGCCAGACTTGGCCTTATCCGCCCCCGAGACGAGAAGCAGTTAGCCAGAAGAGATCTTGCAAGAGCGACACGGCGTGGAGAACGGACGAGAAGATGGGCCGTGGGCGGCGCGGAGGGGGAGGGGGGTGCGGGAAGGAGATGTACGACGACGGCGCTCGGATGCGCAGGGAGTGGCGCTTGTGGTGGTGCTGGAGGAGGAAGGCTTCAAGACAAGGGTTGAGGCATACCTGGCTGGACTGGATGCGGGCTGCGTCCGAGGAGCTCATCTTGTTGTTGCCAGGCATGGTGTTGGTCTTGATGTTGGCAAAGACTTTGTGTTGGTGGAGAGGTGTGGATTGAGTGTTAGTCAGGATGTGTACTCTTGGGTGTGCGTTGATGTTGTGTTTGTGAAGAAGGAAAGAATCAGATGAGTCGACACAGGAAGAACCAGGCTCATTATATCCTCTTCACAGGCTTCTTGTCGTCGCTTCATGCCTTGCCACCTTGCAGCCTGATGGCTTGCGGGTGCCTCGTCTCATTCCGGCCGCCTTCTGCTGAGTTCTGCCGCAGGAACATGGTCCTTCGCAACACGCCGAGCCACGTCAGCTTCGCTACAGAAGGCAGGCCTCTTCAAACCATCCAACACGCCTCAGGCAATCATATTTCAGACAGAAGCACCAATTAAAGTTATTGATGAGGTATCATGGAGTCTGAGTGCAGTCACGGCCGGAGCTGATTCGAGGGTGACTGAGGCTAATGCTGGAGGCCAACCAGAGAAGAAAAATGCCTCATGAGGCGTCGCGCCGGGTGTTGTGCCTCCTCAATGCTACTTTCCCTTTTGTATGGTTTAGTGAGGTTGGTGGTCGGCTGCCTTGAGCCGCCTGGCAAGACCCTTGGTGTGCGCACAGCTGCCTCGAGCAATATAAAGCTTGAAGCAGCTTAGACTTTACTTTTTTGATCAGGCAACATGCGCGCACGCCTGGCAATCTGAATGGCCCTCATCCGCGCGCGAAGTGCCAAGTTTCATAGATGCACCTAGGGCCGCAAGCATGGGACTTCGCGCTCCGCGACTGGCTGGAGGACAAGTAATTTTTCTGACATTCTGTGCGGATGTCACCACAATTGTTGCGACGGGCTAGTCTCATTCATGCGCTGCATCCAAGAAGAGACAACAGAGCATCAGGGGCTAAGTGGCGGACTGGCCTTCAAACAGGCACAGTTGATGATTCTTCTTGCGAGATGAGTTGCTGAGCAGCCCGTTGCGGGCGCTCATCATAATCAAGTGCATCTACAATACATAATATTCGGTCAATGTTACCACTTGACAAGGTTGAATCATTGCCACTTGCTAGACCTCTTTGCTCCGATCATTGAAAGTAAGATGCGCCAATCACGCCAGCGTCGACGGAGATAGCGAGCGCTAACCACATCGACATTTAAACTCCGTCAACCACGCCATGCCAAATAAGGCCCGCATGCGCTTGACGTGATGACGCGCAGATGTGCGCCTCAAACAGGGGTCCAGCGCTCTTTAGCTCGCACCACAATCGGCCTGTGCTCACCTCATCAGTTCTGCAGCAACATACGACACTCGCGCGTTCAGATTTGCCAGGCTAGCTTGGTAGAGCACTCGGGTGTGGTGCGCCTGTCTGTGGCTAGCCTGGGACCGTTCGCGCTTTATTTTAGACCCTGCCCCTGTGTCAATTCTTTATTCAGACGACAGGGACTCCCTGCTTCATACGGCTTACACTCGAACTCTATAGCCGTTCTTTGATGAGCTACAACCGACCACCATGGCTCCCATAATCCGCGACGCAGGCGGGCTCTCTGGCGCGGGCACCACGATTCTGATAGTCGTCGGCACTGGCGGCTTTACTCATGCTGGTGAGTCTATTCCCCCTTCCCAACTTTAACCCACATCTTGCAGTAACAAGACACCTAACAAGGGAACCCAGCCCCGATGCTCGAAATCGGCCGCATCCTCGCCCAGCGCGGGCACAGGATCGAGTTTGCGACACACCAAGGCCAGGAGCGGTGGCTCACGTCCCCCAACCCCCGGGAGCAGGACAGCAAGTACAGCTTCATCTCGCAGGTCCACCTGATGGGCCCGGGGATGGACGTGGCCACCGAGGTCGAGCACTACATGCAGATGCAAGAGTCGGACGCGCGGGTCGACTACCGGGCCTACGCGGCGCCCAAGCTGCGCGTCGACGCCTTCTGGGAATCCGACTACGCCGCGCTGTGCCGGATCATCACCAGCGGCAGCGGCAGCACCACCAAGGGAACCACCACCACTACCCACCACCACCACCGCCCGGACCTGATCCTTGCCGACTTCTTCGTCGACATGGCGGCCCGGGACATCCAGCGGCAGTTCGACATCCCGCTGGCCAGCATGTGGCCGCAGATGCCGTACGGCGTCCTCGCCGGGGTGCCGTACATCCCCGGGCCTCCGGGCCTGCAGATCGACGCGCTGACGAGCGAGCACGCGACCCTGTGGACGCGGGTGCGCGCCGCGCTGAGGCCGTTCCGCGCGCTGCCGACCATGCTCACGTACCTCGGGTTTCTCCGGAGCATGCGCCTGCGCGCCGGGGTTAGCTATCTGCTACCTTTCACGAGCAAGCCGAACCATCTGGTGCTGGTCAACTCGTTCTGGGGGCTCGAGACGCCCAGGGACCTGCCGCCGCTGGTGGTGCCCGTGGGGCCGGTGCTGGCGGACAGCTACGAGGATGTCGAGGGCGAGCTGGGGGCGTTCCTGGAGAGGAAGAAGAGGGTGCTGTACGTCTCGTTTGGGACGCATGTGATGGTGCAGTATCGGGACTTGGAAAAGCTGCTGCTTGCGATGCTGGTGCTGTTGCTGCCAGTGGATACGCCGGGGCTGTTTCTGGGAGAAGGAGACGGGAAGGGAACGGCGATGGGGATGGGGGCAAGGCAGACGCGGTATCGCGAACCGGATCCCGAGGTGGTGTATCGCGAGTCTCTGTCCCGCCTGTCGTCTACTTCGTCACCATCATCAGCACCATCTGGTATCATCGACGGGGTAGTCTGGGCCATGACCCCAGCCCAGACCAAACTCTTCTACAGCAACCGGCCCCCTCCCGTCAACGACGCACAACGCCGCCTCCACGAGCAGCAAGACCTGCTCCTGTCCCGGATCCTCGCCAACGCCCACCCGCAGTGGCACGTCGTGCCCTTTGCCCCGCAGCGCGGCGTCCTCGCCCACCGCCACACGAAGCTGTTCCTGACCCACGGCGGCGCCAGTAGCGTGCAGGAGTCCATCTTCCACGGCACGCCGATGGTGTGCCTGGGCTACTTCTTCGACCAGCCGCTCAACGCGCTGCGGATCAGGGAGGCCGGGGTCGGGGAGGGCCTGGACAAGGCGGACTTTTCGGCGGGCGAGGTTGTTGAAAAGATGGAGGATATTCTGGGCGACGGGGAAACGGGGAGGGCGGTGGCGAGGAACGTCGAGAGGATGAGGAGCATCGCGCGGGTGGCGAGCCGGCGGAAAGAGCTCGCGGCGGACCTTTGCCAGGAGGTGCTGTTTGATCACAAGTTTGGCGCGGCGGTGGGGAGTCTGACGACGACGGCGACGACCGCGGACGTGCTGGGGGACACACTTTTGGACGAAGGGGAGGAGGAGGAGGAGGAGGAGGCAGACGAGCGAAGTGGTGATGGTGATGGCGGCGACGAGGAGCCGTGGGTTACAAGAAGGGCCAGTGTTAACGCGAGAACACTCGAGGCCGGGCAGCACGATCCCTCGTCATCATCATCGTTGTCTGCCTCGAGATCACGAACACAACGCAACAAAACCCCGCGGCGACGACATCTCCACCACAGTGCCCACAAGGATAACATGACCAAGCGCCGCCCGATGCACCTCCAGACGGCAGACATGCGCATGTCGACATGGCGCGCGCAGAACTGGGACCTCGTGTTTGTCGGGGTCGTGACGGCCACAGCGATCGGCGGAGTCGGGTGGTTCGCATGGATGAGGCTGGGCGGACATGAAAGTCATCAGCCGATATGGTGGTGGTAAACATGAGAGGAAATCTGACTGCTGATGCCTGGGGCGGGCCGCCGCGCACACACATAGCAGAGGCAAGGAGTACTCTGGTTCAAGCGACATGCTCTCTTTCTTGCGTGGCAATGTTTGATTCGTTGTGTTCTGCAATGTGTTTGTTGTCCCTTGGCATCCAACTTGGAAGTGGCCTGTCTCTCTTGGCATGAGGAGCAAGCGTCTCACCAGCTTCCAGGTCCATTGACCCATCCCCCAGTCCTTCGCAAAAACACAACACGATTACAACCACAGCATACCACCACCATCAATGCATCCCAAAACTGCAAACATCGCCAGGCAAACGAAGAGTGGGCCCGCCTCGTTGTCCATAGTCATAAGTGTCAATAAGTTGCCGCCTTCTCATTCGTCGGATCCTCCCCCCAAACCTCCGAGTCAAAGGGGTGCTATCGTCCAGTGGTTAAGACATCACGTTGTGGTTGTACACATCCCAAGTACAGTTAACACTATAAATACACTGTCACGCAAATACATTGCCGTGAAAACGCCGGTTCGATTCCGGCTAGCGCCAACAAAAGGTTCCCATCCCGACTTTTCTTTTCTTTTTTGGTCCTTGTCTCCATCACAGCTACAGATGCTCCATCTGCTCCAATTTTTCGAATGGGGCCTTCTCACTCGGTAGCCTCATGGGGCAAGACGAGGCGAGCGAGAGCAGGGATCGTCCGTGTTGTTGTTGGTTCTGGAGTTTTTGTTGTGGAGCGCGGGCGTCTTTAGCTCTGATCAGCTGAGCGTTTCTCTTGCTTTGGGTTGGTTGGAACTTGTAACTTGTACGACAAGCGTGGGGGGCAGCGTGCTCGACAGAGAACAAGAGAGCTGGAGAACAATGAAAAGGGCGAATGAAAAGGCTAGAGCAATGGTGCCACTGCTTGGCTAGCATGTAGTCCGGCGCCCCGGGACATGACACAACATAGTGGCCAACAGCCAGCCCGCCAGCCAGCCCGCCAGCAGCGGTGTGAGATGCATGATCTCCAGCCGGGCACGCCTTCCCTGTTGTTTTCGCTAGCGAGAAAGCGAAGAAGCAAGCAAGCAGGCAGGCCGGAGAGCCCAAGAGGCAAGCAACAACGACGTGTACCTTTGGGCACAACCACAAAGTACCGATCATGTACTCGTCATGTACCCAAACAAGTGTCCTTAGGTATGGTATAAGTCAATGCCTGCCAACTCAACCCACCTTGCCTGCCTGCCTGCCGGGCACCATGAAACACGGATCTCCAAAGCGGCCAAGGGGTTGGTTGCATTGTCCTTTCCGGCCGGGACAGAAGAGGCAGGAAGGCGACGATAATCACTGCAAGTCGTCGGAGGCACGGCAGGCTTGTGGCCTCGTTTGGTGTGAAGCAGCTTATTAAGGGAATGGGAATGGCCCTGCCAGTGTGTGCCTGCCCAGTCAGTAAGGCATGCATAATCACATCATGCCATGGCTGCACAGGGAGATCATACGACCATCCCTCCCACCTTATTCCCGGCAATATGACATGCATATTTGGGACAAGTCCCTTTCAGTCATGTCCAACTTTGATACACGCGCGCACGAGAATATCCGTCTCACCCAGTCCGGGGCGCTTGTTTCGTGCAAGTGCTCTGCAACGCACATGCGTGCCGCAACTCTTGGAACTTGGCGACCAACCCGATTGTCCTCTAATTACTGCTCGTCCTGCTACTCCTGCTTACCACTCCTCCTCCCCCAGCGCTTGTTCCCCCCTTCCTATATATGGTTATGTAAATATACGTATATACGCTTACTGTACTTTGAGTCTGCAAACATGCATTGTTCAGCCTCGCGCTTGTCGCTTGACATGGCGCTGCCGGATGGGTGTTCCGGGCTGTGCCGCCACTGCCTTGAACTACGTAACCAGCCGGAGCCAACACACACACACTAGGGCAGCAGTGCAGCCAGGGGGGTGTTTCCGGGGGGCAATGGCGGCGGTGGCGGCGGCGGCGGCGGCGGCGGCTGATGGGATGATGATGCCGTGCATATGGACACATACATGCACACAGAGAGCACGTACGCACATGCATTGCATGCAATGCAAGGCAGGGCAGGGCAGCGGGCAAAAACCCGGGCCGAAATACCCAATACCCAATCCCAAAATCACCTTCCGCCTTCCCCCCCGTCCCGAAAAAGCAAAAAGCAACAACCACAGCCACAACAACAGCAGAGAGCACCCCCGCAGATCGGGGGTTTTTAAATGAAATGCAAAAGTTCGGAAGGACCCTGACCCGGGTAAGTGGGTGGGTTCAGGCGTTAAGCAACATCACCAACAATGAGAAAAGACCCCCCCCCCACATTGATACAAAAGTACAAAGGCGACAAGAACGAAAGGCGTCCAATCGCATCCTTTCACATCGTTTTGTCCCACCACACCACCCCCGCTCGCAGATGATTGGTCCGAAACCCCTTGATGGCCGTCGGGATTTTTTCCGGTCGGGGCGGGCAGCGCCTTGTCCGCGCCCCCCTTTTCTTTCGGCCCGGCTTGGCTGCCCAGAGATGCGTGCCTCCCATCATTATGCGATCTTTTGTCATCGGCCTCGCTTTGTGTAGCGGGCATGCAAGGCAAGGCAGGCAAGGCCACGCAAGGCAAGGCAAGGACCCTGGATCGACATCAAGGGTCATCTTGTTTCGGTATCTTGCCTCTTTCCTCTTTCTGTCCAGATTGACACCCCCCCCCCCCCCCTTCCCCCTTCCCACTTCCCCCTTCCCGATCTCCGTGCCGTGTGTGCCACTACGGACGTAGTATCTCCCCCCCAATCGGAACTTTTCTCGTACCGCCGCCCACGATTGATTGATGATTGATGATGGATGATGCAGCCCGCCCTCTCGCCCGCCCTCCCGCCCGCCCGGCTGCGCGGAGCTGGCTCCGTTAAGGAAGGAGATCATTTGCTGCTTCGGGTATCCAGTTCGTCGGCGTTTTTTTATACATACAACCAGGGCAGATCAGGGCAGGGCAAGGGGTTGGTGGGTTGGGTGGCCCTTTGATTCCTCAGCATTTGAATTTCTTGTTTTCTTTTTCTTTCTATTTTCTGATTTGCGAGGACTTGACTCGTGTGAACCAACAATTCTCACATGCCTTCACTTCACACCCTATTCCTCGATGCTGCAACACTCAGCATCCGTTCTTGCTTTCACTTCTGGTAGAACACACCGCTGCGATGTGTGTGTGTGTGTGTGTGTGTCTGTGAACTATCAGACTTTCATCTACTCAAAGGGCCAATGCTCTATGGACTGCTATGGACTGCTAAAGAGAGAGAAAAGAGCAGAAAGGGAAATAAACCCCCAGTGGAGGCCTGGATATCATGTGTGTGTGTGTGTATGTGTGTAGACGCCATGGCCCAATGCTTCGCGCCCGTTTGTGTTCGTGTTTGGCGGTTGCCTCGATCAATGTGGGCTACCGTGCTCGTATGTGTATGTGATGTGCTCTTTTGTGCGCCATGCTGAATAGCAACCTCGCTCCGTCCGCCCACGACAAGGAAATATGCCCGTCCCCCTTTTTTTGTTATGCTCCCCCTTCATGCCATGCTAGCGCACCGTGGGGCCCAGCTGTTGATCCGCAATCGTGACCTGCCCCATCCCCCGGACCAGATCCGTAAGCGAATGGCTGTGCGGCTTGTCCGCCATCGTCGTCGCCATGGCCGGCCACTGCATCTGCACCGCGTGCATCTGCATCACCTTGCCCTCGTCCTCGTCGACGCGCACGACGCCCTCGCTCACCAGCAGCGCGTGGTCCTCGGGCCGTATCTTGGCCTTGGTCATCCGGAACAGCACCTCGCACACGGCGTTGTTGCGGCTCTGGTCCCGGAGGCCCTTGATCATCAGGATCAGCGACGAGCGCGCCTCGAGCACCAGCTCGGGCTCCGTCAGCGTGCCCGCCTGCAGCATGTCAATGTACATGTTGGCCAGCGAGATGAGCGGAGACCCGACCCATGAGTCGGCGCTCTCGTAGCCGTGCCGCAGGTAGTACAGCCGTGCCAGCGTCGTCAGGTGCCGCCTCGCCTCGGCGACCAAGCTGGCAGGGCTCGGTGTCTGGAGCGTCGCGACGTCCTGCAGAGGACCGTAGATGGACACTTTTAACGTTTGGAAGTAGCAGCTACGACGCAGGTCAGCCAAACGAGACGGGAAAAAATATGGAGCGCGGGGGAAGCTGGACCTACTGTAGCTGAATGTGGCTTGGCAGAGCTATTTCCTTGGCTGCAAGGAAGGAGGGGAGCCCTTGCTTCCATGCTTCTAGGCGAGCGTAGAAGCTGTTGGCAATGGCTAACGCCTGTCCGGGATCCCGCTGAACGTTCTCTGGGCTCATGGGAGAGTCTGGACTGTAGTAGGCTAGCGACAGGTCGGCCATGATGACTCGGAACTGGCATCTCGCCTTGAGCACGTGACCAAGGTGTGTGGGTGATAGTGATGCCGTGTCCGGGTACTTTAGTGCGACATCGCCATACCAGCGCGGGTGCTCTGCAAGGTCGGGCAAGTCCCATCGTGGAGGTTGGGTGAGCTTCGGCACGAGGAAAAAGTGGTAGCTGACGAGCCTGGGCAGAACTGGGTGTCAGCAAACATTGCAACAGCCAGGCCTTCACAGTACAGAGGGCCACTTACACCCCCCAGTTGAACACGGCCCAGGCGGTAAAGGCCAGGTTCGTGGCCTCACGCTCTGTTACTAGGGCGTGCGAGTAAGTGCCGTCATAATTGAACAGGTCAATCTCGCTCGCCAGTTGGATTACCCTATCATAGTAGGTCTGGCCGATCTTGTCCATGCACGTGAGGTTGATGGTCATGTTGAGGACAATGCCAGCCTGAATGGTGGTCAGCCGGGGTGGCCTGGCGTTGCCATGCTCGTCCAGCAGCACGACGGCGGGGCTCGCCTCGAGTTCCCAGAGCCGCTTCGCCTCGACCAAGAACTTGTAGGACAGTGTGTCCGGGTTCCAGTACTCGGACCGGTCCTCAAAGGGGAGATAGGTGCTCTGCCGCAGCGAGAGTGGCCAGTCAGGGTTAGTGACATTGCAATGAGGACCGGGACGGATGGAGACTTACACAGGCATGCGCGAGGACGGCATTGACAAGCAGTGACGAGCAAGCATCAGACCGACCCGTGGCCATGTCCTCGAGGAAGTAGTCAATGTGGAATGTGGCATGACAAGTGTACTCGTTCTTGAAGTAGCTCGTGAGCAGGTTCCGCATGAGCACGTCATCCTTGGAGACGCGGGTCCAGGCTGATGGGCATACGGAGCAGAGACGCGGGATGATGGCCTCGGCGGCGTGGTAGGGCATGACGTAGAGGCTCTGGATCTCGTGGCGGTCGTGGACGCGCGCAAGCTGGCGCGCCTTTGCCGGGTGGCTGTCCGAGGCTGAAGGGAAGAGAAGGGCGGCCTCGTAGAGCACCGAGTCGAGATAGGGGTTATCGCGGAGGAGGCTTGCGGGCATCTCACTCATGAGCGGGAAGACGTAGCGGAAGCGGGCCTCTGGCTTGACGGCGAGCTGGAGCAGGGCATTGCCGGCGGAGAGCTGGCCGAGAACGAGCTCTGGCTGGTCACCGGCGCGGAGGCGGCGGAGGATGGCGAGGGCCTGCTCGTCGGAGATGTTCTTGAGGAGCTCGACGAGGTTGCGGTGGGGGCCTCTTGGCTGTGAAGCTGGTTGTAGCGGCGCTTGAGGGCCTGGCCGCGGGTCTCGGAGACGGAGGTGGTGTAGTGGCAGGCGGAACCCCGGCGGCTGCAGACGAGGCAAACAGGCCGCTCCCCGGAGCACTTGGACTTGCGGCGGCGGCAGGCCTCGCAGGCGGCGAGCACGTACGACTTGCGCGGGCCGTCCTTGTGCGGCGCCGGCGAGGAGACGTGTGAAGAGGCGCGGCGCGGGGCTGAATTCGGAAGGCCGATGCCACCGCCACTGCCGCTGCCGCTGGCGGGCAGGAGCTGGCGCAGAGACGGAGTGGCCGAGGTTGAGGCAGCCGGGCTGGTGACGGTGGAGGCGGTGCTGGACGAGTCGGAAGGGGTGGCCGGCGGAGGGCTCATGGTGGGCGGCGGCGGCGAGAGACGTCAAGAGGCAGCAGGCGACAAGGAGGGCGGGAGCGGCAGAGCAACACAGCGGGCGGTGGTCGAGGAGGCCATCGAGGGAGGCGGTCTCTTTTGGGGGGGAGGAGGGCGCTCGCGGAAATAAAGCCGGCGCCGACTCTGGCGGCGGACGGGGGTGCCGTGCTGTTTGTTGTGGGGGAGAGGAGGTGGTGGTGGTGGTGGTAGTGGTGGAGGTGGAGGACAGCAAGGAGGCGGACGAGGAGGACAAGGACCAGGAACCTTAAGGAGGAGCAGGAAGCGAATGCAGCAGGGCCGGCATGGGAATGAGCGACTGAATCAGTCAATCAGGGCACGGCGCTGCCAGCACCGGGCCGGGGGGTTGCGCCGATTGGGCCCGCTGGGCTACAGCGGCGGCTCCAGTCCGTACCCTACCCTGCCAGTACCTGTAGACTGCACCCTGGGGACTTGGCCAGGTACCTCCGGCACCTCGGGAGGTACCTAGCCCGGTACGTAACTGGAGTGTCCAGTACACTGAAGGGTCGGCGGAACTGGCGCCTGCACCGGGGGAAGGGGCGCTCCTGCCCTTGAGAACCCGACGGCAGCAGCGCAGCCCTCTTCTCCTGCTCTCCCAGTCACCTGCAGCAGCCCCAGAGCAGAGTGATCAGTCAGGCACCAAGGCACCAAGGCAGTGGTAACTTCAGTCCCCCGTCATGCATCATCAGATCTGCAGATCTTCAACATCTTCAGTCCCGCCTCTCTCCTCCCCATCCCAGCAATGCACTCTTACGACTCTATCAGGACCAGACCAGTCCAGTCCTCGCCTGGGCCGCCGCTGTCCCTGCCACGGGCCATGCATGCCCTGCCCTGTCTGACTCGAGAGCCAATCTGGCAGCACCACGCACCGCCCGATCCCATCTGACTGATCGCCTGCGCCAGCCCATGTCCCACCAGCACGATCTGATCCAGATCTGCTCTGCGCCTGCCAGCCGCCCGCCCACTTGCTTGCAGCCAGCCAGCCAGGGGGTTCCACGCCAGCCAGCGCGCCCTCGCACCACTGGCTGCCCATCCGCCCGCACTGGCCTGGGCCCCGAAGCTTGAAAAGTGGGATGCCATTCCCCTCGTCTCGCCTATGGATGGAATCGCGTGCCTGCCTGCCTTACCCTGGGCCGCCGGAGTAACCACGGCAGAACAGAGCCTCGAGCCGACCGGCCCCGGGATCCGGTGGCATGGGTTGGTGGGATGCGTAACGCCATCGGCCTCCCTTTGTTAGTTGTTGCAGTTGTTGTTGTTGTTGCTGATCTTTGCCAGGTGTTGTTGATCCCTGAGGATGCCTCCCACCACCTCCACAATGCCCAGCGTGCGATGTCGGCAGACGACGGCCTGGATTGAGGACAGACAGGGCACATCCCCCGCGCCCCGGTCCTTCAGAGGCTCACCCGGCAGGGGGCATCGATACGGCCGGCGGGCTATGATAATACGGCTCGATATGAAGGAAAAGGGGGCCCATCCGACCCAGCGTTGGATTGTCGCAGCCCACGTTCCGTATGGCAATTGCAGGCCGGGCTAGGGGTCCCTCCACCACCGCCAACTTTCTTCTGACGACAGGCCGCCCCTCTCTTTTTCTCACACCCACACACAGGTGACGATGCCGTGTCTCACCACCAACACCACCACCCATCCCCAGCCACGTTGACCTGCCTCTGTGCTTGTTCCGACCCAGGCCAGGCCAGGCCAGGCACTGCTCTTCTGCAGCCGTCACGCCAGCCGTGAGCGCGTCCGCCCGCCCGTCCGTCCGTGGGCCCCTTTCCCGGCCAGCATGCTCCAGTGGCTGCGTCTCACCTCACCTGCTGCGTTGCTGCTCATCGTCGAGTCTGCCCTGCCCTGCGCGGCTCGCGACTCGAGGTGATCGGTGTCTCACCCGACACGGACGTCCGATCCGACCGGCGGCGTCTCACCTGCAGCGACACTGCCATCTCAGACGCCACATGTCTCTGCTTGGCCATGTCGTTCTTGTCCAAGATGCTGGCCCGGCGCAGGGACCGCCGCCCTCCCAAGCGCTCGGCCGCCCACATTCCCCGCGGCATCGCCACCGACCTCGACGACGATGTCTGGAACGGCCCGTCGCTGGGCCCCGACGTCATCCCCGCCATCCCCCGCTCCCCGATCGACTACGCCTTCAACCAGAAGCGCAACGTCTGGGAGCCCCAGCCCCGGCCCGTCTCGCCCATCCTCCCCATCCAGGCCGATGCCAACCGCCAGCAGCGCCTCCTCGACCAGCAGCGCCAGCATCGCGTCCGCCACCAGGCCTCCACGGGTGACCTCGAGCGCATCGTCTACTTCATGTCCTCCCCCACCGCCTCCACCTTCTCCTCCACCTCGCTGCCGCCCCTGACTCAGCAGGACGACAAGCCCCTCCACCGCCCCGGTAGCAGAAGCAGGGAGGCGCTGTCACGATGGGGGTCGACCACCAGGCGCCAGCAGAGCCCCTCGAGGGTAGACCGGTCCTCCTCCGCCACCCCATCCCCGCTGAGCACCCTGGAGTCCTTTGACGTGGGAACCCTGCCCATTGAAGGGCCCGGCGGATCGCTCGCCTCGCCTGCCGACGGGTCCTCCTCTGCAGGCGGCTCGGACACGTCCGAAGAAGACGAGCGGCTTCCCGGTCGTCGGTACATGCGTGATGCTGTTGCACGTCTCCCGGCTGACCAGGAGGAGTACTTTGAGCCACCCCCGCCACCACGCGAGCTGGCGCGTCAGAAATCTTTCCAGAAAATTGGCTCGCAGCAGCAGCAGCGCGGCCTGGCCGACCAAGTCGAGTACCTCTCTGACGGCACCGACTCCGACTATGATACCGAGAAGGACCAGCACGAACCGCAGGGGCTCGAGCAGTTCAGCAGGAGTAGCAAGCAGCAGCAGCAGCCGCTTCAGAGTCCCAGTATGAGCACCTCGACGGCTACTACAGGGCCATTTCTCGTGGACACCATGGAGGAGGAGGAGGAGGACGACGACGACGACACGGATGACGAACTCGCCAGACTCCGCCAGCTACAGTCTCAGAGATACATGCAGCTGCAGCCGCGACAGCAGCAGCAGCACACTAATCACGAAATAAACGATTACCAAGTGTCGGACGAGGACGAGTATGATGACGACGACGACTACGACGACGCAGCATACGAGGACGATACCGTGAGCGAGCTGTCGTCGTACTCAGCCGCCGCCGCCGCATTCCCCCTCGCCGCGGCGTCGTCGACCATCGGAATCGCCACCACCGTCAACGGCAAGAGCGCCGCCACCGCCGCTGCCGTCGCCGACACTGGAGGAGAGACTGCCTCCACCTTCTCCTACCAGAGCACTTACCAGAGCACTTACCAGAGCCAGATGGACATCAGGGCCACTGCGCTGTCCCCGCCTCCACCTGCGCGGATGTCAACTGCGGCAAGTCATAGGCTTACTGATGCGTCACGCTACAACTACAACAACGACCGGGCAAGCAGCAATGTCGTCAACCTTGCCACCTTGGAGGCGGATAGCAGCAGTCGCGACGGGACGTTCAGTCGGACAGACAGCAACTTCAGCAGCGGTGGTGGTGGTGGTGTTGCTGACCGCCATGGTGATGACCGAGGCCGGACGAGCTGGGTGAGCAGCGTGTCGTCGTACTACGGACAGCCTGAGAATGCGCGGTGAAACGACAGGGAGAGTCTGGCGGCGATGGCTGGCGGACTTTTTCTTCGACAGGAACCTCGCACCACAAGGAAGAGGGGGCAAGAACGTGGAGATGAGAGGCGGGACATAATTACACACGCTCGGACTAATGCCTTGGAAGATACAGCTGGTGCTCACTTGTCTCTGTCGGTAAAGACGAGGGGGTTGAGAGCACCACGGTGGGTGGTCAGGGGAGGGGTGAGTTATAGATATATTTTTGGCCATGTCGTGAGCAGGAGATACCAGATACCAATAATTGGGAGCACAGGCAATACCATGATCAGCGATTCTTTTGACGAGTAACAAACCTGCCACATTGAGGCTACGAACCTCGAACCATAAAACCATATGCACATGGCCCTAGACATGCAATGCCTGCCCAACCCGGCCCGGCTGGAAGGCACGCGAGATTGGTGCCGCCTAGTTCATCCAGTGTTGCCTTGCCCATTCCGGGACGAGCTGGCGATCAGCACAGCTGCATGATCAGGTGCTGAGAAGTCACCCTTATATTCGTGTCATGCGACGGCCCTCTGGAATAAATTGTGCCGGAGCGTGTGTTCCATATCAAGCCAAGAAGACGCCGTTTCAGATACTGTCATGTGGCAGACGCGACATTTTGACTCGGGTGATTCAAGGTTAATCAATAAGTGGCTCCAAATGCTGCTCTCGCCAGGTCCCGGAACTGAGCCTTCGATCTTTAGTCGCAGACCCGAGAGCAAAGTCAATTCAGGTACCACAAGTGGCTGCTACCTGATATAGGCTTCAGCGAATGCTTTTCAGATGTATTGGCCTTGAGAGTATATTTCGTCGGTTAGCAATCGAACTGTGTTTTCACTTCCATCTAAGAGGTTGCCAGAGAGCGACTTACTCGCCTAAGGTCATCCCAGGAAGCGATAATGCTGAGACCAGCAGCAAATCCAAGAACATGCGAGATTGTGTCATGAACTGGACTGTGCCGCAAACTCGCCACGGTTTAGTCGGAGGCTGGTCATAGAAAGTAGACCCTGGTCGCTGGTGACGTTCATGACCTCGGGATTTCTCCAGCTCGGCCAGGCTCGCCAGCCAACGGCGGCAAAAGCTGGAGGCTGTTCGTAAAACACATGCAAGTACTCGTGTCGAGGATGCATTGGATATGCCGCAATGACTCCGAGCTCGACATTGCTTGACACCTGCGGTAGCGGTTGGCTGTCCCTGGACCTGCGGGCCCCCCATCTAAGGCAATGCTGGAGACATAGTGCAGCCGTGGGGACGACAGTGGCGAAGACACCGATAATGGCGATGATTGCCTCTGTACTGAGAGACATGGTTGCTGTTGGAGATGACTTGCATGGATGAAGATTGAACTCCGGAAAGACCGGTTTTTCTGGGCTTTTATCTCCCCTGACGTGCAAGCTGGTAAGCAACACATATATCTTTATTATCTCGCCTTTTCTCTTTTCGCATTTCGCATGTTCGCCTTTTCCGTTTTCATTTTTTGCAAATTTCCCTTTTATAAATCCCCCTTTTTGTAAAGGGGAAATTCCCTTTTCGCTCTTTCTTTAAGACATTTTAGTGCTTAGCGATGACAAGGGCAAGCTGTCTGCATGTCTCACGTTGTCGAATCAAATCTTGTGGAGAGAGGCGCAGTGTCTTGGATCCGGGCAGCCGGAATTATCGGCTGCTTTGTACGTAGGGCAATGTGTCGGCGTGATCTTGATCTCTCTCGGTCCTTGTAGCCTAGCCTGCCTGAACCCATCTTGATTGAGACCATTGTGTAAAGGAGGAGTTGCCTGACATCAGCGAATTGATTCAAGCAACCTGGGACAATTTCTTTTCCTGGATCAACCGTCCACGTGCGACATGGTAGGACTAAATGGTAGGACTTAACGGTGTGCCCGTTCGCTGGGCTCGTCGCGCCTGGCCAATCGAGAGGCCATCATGCCAGCCTTCTCAGGCTGGCAGTGGGGGATTTGGGACGCGCACCACAGCCCCTGATTCAAAAAAAATAAAAATAAGCATCATGATGCAATGGGACAGTTCACGAATCAGCAACATCATAACTACACAATAGAAAATAGTTTGAATTGTGAAGATCAATACGTGGATCCATTGCAACTGTTTCTGGCAGTCAGAGCACAAGGTCGTATCATCCTGCAAGTTGTGCTCTGAAAATAACCCTCAAATAGATGCCACGCCGAATACCCCTAATCTGTCGAAGCTAAAGGCGACCAGCGGCTAGCGAACATGGGTCGTCTAGAATGCCGTACTCCAATAACATCATGTCTCCCGCTCATATCACACCTACTTTTCCTGGACCGCCGCGGCCACAATCCCGTACTGTCCACCAGCGCCCACCCAGATGATCTCCCGATCCCGGATCGCCGAGTTGGCGATACGCTCGGGCTCCCTCACGTCCTCGTCCGTGCCGAGGCCGGTCTGGTAGTTCGCCGAAAATCCCCACGAGTAGACGTGGCGCCAGGCGTCTATCGCAAAGCTCGTGTCCGTGCCGGCGGCAACGAACTCACAGTGAGGAACTGGACGCCCGGTCATTGTGGTCAGTCACTGCGTCTCGGAAGAGGCGCGCGCGCCCGGAAATGCACGTGTACAAATATATAAAGGGCAAAGGAAAAGCGAAGAGACGTGGTTCAACTCACTATCGAGTACTTGTGGCTGATATGTGGCCTTTGGCCGCCCATGCTCGTCGTGGATAATGTAGCTCATGCTCATCCCCAAATCGGACCGGCCCGTCTGGCCTCCGTCACAGCGGCCCCACGACAGCAACACGCCGTCCTGCGTACACACCACAGTGTGATGCTCTCCCCCGGCAAGCCACGCCATGGAATGGTGCGCCAGCCGCTCGACCAACTTGGGCGTCGTGATGGTCGTGAACCCTTCGCCAACCTCCCTCTGCCCGGCCTGGCAGTAGTTGTTGAGGCCCCAGCCGTACACCTGCCCCGAGGCATCGATGTAGAAGCTGTGGTACGACCCCGTTGCGATATTGATGGCCGCGCACTCGGGGCGCGAGAACCGGAAACAGACCTCGGGCTTCAGTCCGGTCCTGGCGCCCTTGTCTTTGCCGCGCGTGGTGATTCGCCGGCCCAGCTGTCCCTGCCCGGGGGCGCCCCAGGTCCATACCTTGCCGTCCTTGTCCAGCGCGAGGACGTGGTTCGAGCCACACGACAGGTTCATGATGCCCTTGACGGGTATCTTGACGGGCGTGTTCTGTTGGTTGTTCCCAGGGGACAGGAAGCCGATCACCCCGTCATCGCCGCGAAACGTGCCCCAGCCGTAGACGTCGCCTGTGGCTGTGACTACAAAGGAGGCCGAGCTGCTCGCAGCGACTTGCGTGAAGGTTGTGCCGTCCGGGATGGCGCCGTAAGAAATCTCCCCGGGCGTGCTTTCGAGCGGGTTGATGTTCTTGAAACTCTCGTCGTCGTCATTCTGATTATCATCCTCGGCGTCTATATCCCGCGTGCCGCCAGACCAAAACGTGTCCCGGCCCAGGGCCCCATGGTCGTTCACTCCCCAGGTCAGGATCCGGTTGTCGTGCGTGAGCGCGATGACATGCATCCCGCCGCAGGCCAGGAGGACCACTCCCCGGCCCTGCAGCAAGTGGTTGATCCGCGGCCTTTTGACGTTGACTGGCTTGAGCTTGTTGTCGGGGCCGTACCGGGAGTTGCCGAGGCCTAGTTCCCCAAAGCTGCCCTCGCCAAAGACAAAGACGTCCAGCTTTGTACTTGGTGCCTGGTTGATGACTGCCGGTGGTGGTGGCGGCGCCCGCCTGGTGCGGGCTGTGGCGGTTGTCGCGTTGGTTGTTTCCTTTTGAGTGTTGGCAGTGCGAGAGCGCTTCGCTGGGCCATTTTGAGGCGCATGGCTAGACGAGGAAGTGTGGCCTTGCGCTTGCCCGTCGCTTTCTTGGTCGTGGTTGTTGAGCTCTGCTGTGCGGCCACCAACCGGGAGGTGAGCTCCTCGTTGCCGGACGAAGCACCACGCGCTGCCTTGCGCGGAGGCATTGCAACCTGTCTGCGGCCTGCTGAGCTAGAGTATCAAAGGATAGCAAGTGCTCTTTGATCCTGGGGAGCAGTTGTCGTGAGATTTCGTTGTGTACGTGTTCTGTTGTTGAAGTGAGCTGTAGTTTCAGAAATGTGGTTGGCAGGAAGAAGTGTCAGAGGGAAGAAGAGGGCGCGGGCGAGACTCGAGCTTTATGAGCCACTGCCCAGAGTTTGCTGGATCTTGTATTTGCCACGAGACAATCGCTACTCCCTCAGTGCTCCTTCGCGACGTGCTCGTTTGTTGGTTGTGCATAAAGAGGCTGAGCAAGCAGCCGTGTCTCGAAGCACAGGCAGCAATCCACTCCACCCAGCAAGCAACTGTAAGCTGACAAAACCGCTGTGGCCCGGATTCAGGTAATTGGCTGGCAGAGTTGCCGCCCAGCCTATGGGGTGTCCCCCACGTTGCCTCTGCCCTTGGAGCACACAGTAGAGAAATCCTGATGATCCAACGCCTGAACTGGTCTACCTCAATGCACCCAAATCTGGCACGTTAGGGTTAACACACAACCGCCCATCAGGGATATCTGGCTACGAGCTCTAGCTATTCAACTGGCAGAAACTCGTCAAATGGTTCCTGTTTCTGGCCATTCAAGACTGGCAAGCCCCCCAAACAACCTCCTGCACAAATCATCCCCCCCTCGACATCAGCTACTACAAGGGGCTTCAGTACTCGAACCTCCACCTGGGATCAGAGTCACCCTTCCAGTTCTCAACCTCGCCCACATTCTTGATCTCCTCGGCCACGCCCGCGCGCCTCTGGTTCTCCTTCTTCAGCCGCCAGCCCAGCACGCTCACCACCACCACATTCATGAGCAGGTACCCCAGCGCAAACGAGTGGCCCACAATGTACCGGGGCTGATCCGCCGGGCGGTACAGCTGCGTGCCCAGCACGGCGCCCAGGTTGCCGATGCTGATCTGCATGGCGTTGGCGATGCCGCGCTTCGTCTGGCCCGAGACGTTGATCGCCGGCCAGGACAGCACGAGCGCCGTGGCCGGGTAGATGCCGCCCGCGGCGAAGAACGTGCCGAGGTACGACACGCCCGGCCGGGCGGTCGGGTTGGTGTTGCTGAGGAGGATCGCGTAGCCGATGGCCGCGAAGAGGGCGGACCCGCCGATGAAGATGGCGCGGTGGCCGGTCCGTTCGGACAGGATGGCGACGGTGAGGGTGGTGATGAAGGCAAAGGCGTAGGGTGGGACGGTGAGCAGCTGCGCGTACGCTGCCGTGTAGCCGAGGCTGGTGATAATCAGGGGCTTTTCGTTGTGTGATATATGTGTTAGTAGGTGGGCTCTAGATGTCGCAGGGGGTCGTGCGAATATCTGGCTTACCAGGAATAGAGACAGCGTGTACAGTGGCAGACTGCACGTGTGGAACCCAAGGCCATACAGCCAGCAGTTGACGTCCGTCAGAGCCTCGCGCACCGCAGCCCAGCTAAATTCTTCGTGGTTCGTGGCATCGCTGTCGGCAGCCAGGCGCTGGTGGATAAACGCTCGCTCGTCCTCATTGAGGAACTTGGATGTATCGGGGTAGTTGTGGATGAAGCCGAAAGCCAGGAAGGCTACGACAACGGTGGCAATGCCTTCCTAAAACAGCGAGGGGAGCAAGTTAGATTCAAACTCAGGTCTCAAGCGGCAGGCAGGCTCCCGGAGAACACTTACAAGGATAAAGATCCACCGCCATCCGGTAGACCACACCACACCCGCCATTTTGCCAATGCCCTACGACACGGACATCTAGTTAGTTCTTGAAGCAAAATGGCAACACAGAACAGACCAGCCAGACTCACATAAGCCAAAATTCCTCCGAAGGCCCCTGCAAGGCTAGCTGCTGAGAAAAATAGAGAGATGCGGTACTGTCGCTCCCTTCGCTTGTACCACATGGAGAAATAATACACGACGCCGGGGAACAGACCACTCTCCGTGACACCAAGGAAGAAGCGCGCGGCCCAGAACCCATCGCGGTTGTGTACCACCCCGAGCAGAGTCGCGACGATGCCCCAGGCAATAGTCAGCACGGGGAGCCAGAATCGTGGAGTCGTGCGCTTGAGAACGATGTTGCAGGGGATCTGCGTGGGTGGCGGTTCAAGCCATGTCAGAGCGAAATACCATTAGCAGGCGCGTACAATTGGAGACTCACCTCGAAGAGGACGTAGCCGACAAAGTAAAGTGTGAGACCCGTGAGGTACTCCTCGCCTGTCATGGCCAGGTCGACAAGGAGACCCTCAATCCGCGCGTTGCCGACTGTGCATGAGTTCTCTCGTTAGTGCCTGTGTCTTCAATTCTGCAAACGCCGCAGAGACTAACCATTGCTCCTGTCCAAGAATGACAACAGGTAAAGAATCCCGACGGCGGGCAGGAGTCTAAGGTCGATCTTTCGCAGAAGGCGCTTCTCGTTGATGGCCACGGGCCGGCCGTTGTCAATGTCAGATTCGTCTGGCGTGCTGCCAGGAGCCCGCACGGTTTCCTTCTCGTCGGGCATTTTGTGGCTGCGTTTCTCGCGCGAGGTGATTGTGCGAATGGAGACCCGCTGGGTAGTATTCGTGGAAGAACTCTGTCCGGGTGTCGGACTATAGGGAGAAGCGCGAGAGCGCCGTGCCGCGGACCTTAGAAGTCACGACAGTGTGAGAATTCAGGGAAGAAGCGCATCCGATTGGGGCAATGCGCGAGACCGCAGCATGTTATAACGTGGACAGCCAAGTCGAGATCTGCACGGAAAGCCACTCCGATCGCGTGCGTTGACCCCAGGCTTTCGTCAGCCAGCACGAAGAGGCAGGTAGAGGCAACCTTGCAAGCCCCATCCCATTGGTACTGGATAACGGTAGATAGCAGCCCCAGAGAAACTCAGATACGCCCCGGACGCAATTGCATCATGACGGTGCGGGTGCGGGTAGGCGGCCAGGGACGATGATGTCCCATGATTGGTCAATCCGAAATGACGTTCACAGGCCGCTGCATCGCGACATCGTGCGGAGTGAGGAGAAGGTGTGCCCCCCACAGCGGATCACGACATGGGGAGGCAGTACCGTTCGACACTCGATATCGGGAGGCGGTGATTGGTAGACCCTGTTCTGGCAGAGTCCCAAACAGTCGGTAAGCATGTCCTGATGCGGTTCGGTGTTCGGAGAGTGGTTGCGATTGCAATGAAGCTGCAGGTATAATATCATGAGACTGTATACGTGCCTCGTTGTATATATGAATGAATCGAAAATGAGTACATTAAATCCATCGCTTGCCTCGGTCGGAAATGAAATCAAGAAAACACAAGAAAACCTCCGCTCTCGCTCCCCGGGGTATAACGTTTACTTCATGTGCGGGTGCGCCAGCCGCTCGTCGACCCGCATCGACACGACCTTGATGTCTCTCTGCACCGCGATGCCAGAGCCCCTGACTTCCTCACCCCTTCTCTGGGCTGCGATGCCCCCTTCCTCCTCGTCCCCCTGACCCCGTGGCGAGGCAGTCACCTCGACCTCCCACTCGGCAACGTCCCCCTTGCCACGACATCCACCATCATCCTCATCACCCGCCTTGCCGCCCCAGACGAGACTGGCACCGGCCTTGCCCAGCCCGAATCCAGCGGGGACGGCGCTCGCAGCCTCGGCCTCCCGCTGCGCGAGCTTGTCCTCCCGCCGGAGCTCCTCCTCGGAGCCGCTGTCCAGCCTCGACACGGCATGCGTGCTCTGTGAGCCCGTCAGCAGCGTCGACAGCTGGATCGAGTAGCCCCTGCCGTGGGGCTTCTTCTTATTGTCCCCGCGGATCGAGTACCGCCGCTCCTCCCAGGACATGACGATGGGTGACTTGGGCCCGCCGCTGGACGACGACGCGCCGGCGCCGTGGTTGTGGTTGTTGCCCCCCGTGCCTGTGCTGTTGCTGCCGTCGGCGCCGCAGTTGTCGCAGCGCATCGCGGCTGACGCGTCGGCCCGGCCACTGCGGCCGTTGCGGCGGGCAGAGGCCGCGGAGGAGTTCGAGGCGAAGCCGAGCTTGAAGCGCTTCAGCAGTGGCTGGAGAGTCACGAGGGAGCCGGCGATGATGCCGACACCTGGTTCGAGGACTGCTACTGTGGCGATACCGCTGTCGGCGCGAAGGCGGTGGTGGTTAGCCATCGGTCGGAGAGGTTAGGAATAGACAGTTGATGGGATGAGTATATGAGTGAGGCGAGTCGACAGACTTACGTGGTGGCGTGCAGGAAGTCTGCAGAGATCTCGATGATCTTGAGGAATGGGATGCGAGCAATAAGAGAGATGCCGCAGCTGTACGAAGCAACCAGCAGTCAGCCATCTGGTCGTATGTGAGCGATTTGGTCCCATGACAACACCCTTCTGTTGGAGGCACAACAAAACTTACAAAGCACCCATTCCCAGCACCGTCGCGATGGCAGCCTTGGTCCGGCGATTGATCCTCACCGACCACAGCATTGCAATCGGCAGGAACGCCAGGGTCCAGTCCAGGATCGCGCCCAGCACGGCATGCACAATCGTCGAGACCGGCACGACCGCCTTGTCGATACAGTACCCCTCGGCACCCTTGTGTCGGAGCCAGAAGTACGAAAGCGGGACGCACTGCACGACCAGGGGGATCATGAAGAAAACAGAGACGATCCCGTTGGCCCACATGACGCCCTTGATGACGCGCTTGTGCCACCGCACCACGGCCAGCCGGAGCAGGAACCACGCAATCGACATGCGCACGCAGAAGCTCATCGGCGGGTAGATGACCTCGCAGATGGCCCAGATCCATAGCGCCATCTCGATGCCGTCATTGGTCAGCTCGGCCGTCCAGCGGCCGGTGCCGGCGACCGCGGGGCCATAGGCACAGATGATGAGATAGGGGATGTATATGAGCTGTGTTTGTGAATTTGTTGTGCCCGAGTCAGCAATGTGTTGGCCACGTCAAGAGAGGTCTGTGGTTGTAAACGTTGAGAGGAAAAGGAAAGTGGAAGAACTCTCACCTGTGCCGCCATCATCCACCAGTCGTCTGGCGTCACCTTGCGGTTCATGAATAGCTTGACATACATGCGCAGGCCAAAGACACTCAGCGACAGCACGAGCGCGATGATGCTGACCGCGAACAAGATCGTCCCGCCCGGGTTGATGCTGTAGTCGAGATTCTCCTTGACGGTGACACCCATCTTGCCGTTGAGGATTGGTTGGGCTTTGGCAGAGGCAAATCGGCGTCGATGGGACTAGTGTCGTCAAGGTGCGGTGGGGATCTTTGAGCCTTGCAACCAGATGTGATGATGGAGATCCTGCCGTTGAGAAAGTGGAGAGGATCCTCGGGCCTAGATATATACGAACGAACTGCTGGGCTGAGTTGTGCAGGGTTCGTCAGTTTGTCACGGCCTGTTTCAATGCTTGGCACGAACGCCTCCTGGCTGCTCTCTCCTGTTTCTTGTCATGAGGCGTTATGCTGGGTTGCCCTGTCTGGGGTATTCCGAGTCGGCAGTTTGGGATGTCATGTGGAAAGGAGGCAGTGTAAGAGGCACAAGTCCAAGATCGCAGCTTGGAGATGGCGCCGCGACCAGAAAAAGCCAAAGCCCCAACCTGCATTGGCGTGGCTTCCAAGGTGCGGCGATTCAGCTTGGGGACTGATACGCTGGCGAAAAGTGTTTGCTTCTTTTATTGTTCGTTGCAGGGGTAGGGTGACTTGTCAAATTACGATTGCAGTGTGACGCGCGAGGGTGAGTACGAGCCTGCCTCTAACTCCCAAACTCCTCCAGGCCAGGTTGGCTGCGCTTCCATGGGGTAGTCTGACCAGGGGCTTGCATGCATCTGAGATATGACAGGCCCTTATATCCTGCCCCTGCACTGGCTGGCTTGCTGGCTGGGCACTCCCCCGCGACCACCGCGAGTTTCGATCTCGCACAGGCATCCATCCTGCTTGCACTCAGCTGCGTTGGATCGGGCGGCTGTCATCCCGCCACGCGCGACAGGGTCAAGGTCTGGAACTCGAGGGGTCTCGTGGTTGCCGGGGGCTCGGCGAGTCGCAGACTACGACTGAGCTTTTGGCCATTTTCCTTGCGCCAACGTGGGGATGCGAGTGAGGACCAGGATCAGGGGTGCAATTTGGAGATGTTGATTGCTCTCTTGAACGCCACTACTCGGGGAAGGGAAGCGTGCCAACATTATTGGTGATGTAGATGTGATACCGTATTCTCGGGTCCTGAGCTTGGGAGAGTTCTGGATGTCAATCCTTGCCCTGAGACCGCTCTCGACACGCAGCATGATTTCTGGTGGCTCGAGACCTGGTTTGTCCCCTGGCAGAGCGGCTGGATGCGGGAAGTGTTCGTTCTCGAGGACCAAACCGCCCCGAGCCACAACGATGGCGCGAACTGCAGGCCGAGAAGAGGACCAAGAGGACCAAGAGGCCCATGCAACGTTGGCAACCAACAGCCCACGAGCCCGCAGGTTTGTCCCGTCCATGGATCGCCTCGGCCCGGTGGTGCTCGTGCAACCTCACGGGAAGCCCAACCCAACGTGCGGTTGGACTGCCGACCAGGGTTGTCGTGCACCTCCTCCCACTGCCACTGTTCTAGATCTCAATTACGTAGCAAACAACGTGCAAATGAATATATTGCATGCAACCATTATCAACTTGGGGGCCCTTGGCAACACGATGCATGCAGCTCAGGCGAATGCAGCCCTTTCTTCCCACCACCGCCATCGCCACGCCACGCACGCTTGCCAGTTCATCAAGCCATCGTTGTTGCCACATCCCGTCGGGCCCCTGAACAAGCCTAAGCCGGCTGGGGAGAAGCAAACTCGTTCGATGCTCAATGCAGAGCGGTGACGGACCGCAAGAGGAGTGCTGTGCTAAAGGGGGGAACGCGCGGTACGCAGTATTACCGTCCTGTCATATTCGTCACCACTCCTCCACAGAGTATCATTTCTGACATGCGCCACCCCGGAGACGGTTCCGGGCAGGGGGTTCGCGATCCACGGACAGTCAGCGACAGGCCTGACAGGCTCGACGCGCGCGAGGACGTTGCCCCCGCGTCCACCCACTGCTCTGATTCGGCCCTGGCTGGCCAGGTCCACTGAACAAGACAGAAGCAGGCTCAGTTGCGAAGACCCATCCCGGCATTACTGACGTTCATCGTCAAGCAGTGCATATTGATCATAAAGTGCCGGTGTTTCGCTTCCCCCCACTCCCGCTGTCGGACAGGGACTGAGCAGCATGGCTGGTCTCCCCGCTATAACCAAAAAAAGATTTGCCATTGTCCACTGTTTTCTCAAAGGGTCGAGACAGCCCGACATTCCTGTTCGACTCCATTGATGATGCACATCCAGGCACATGTAACATGTCTGCATTCTCAACAAATTGTGGCACCATCGTGCTCAGCAGGAAGTCTGCACCCTATTACAGCTAGCCCCAAATACAGGTCGAACCATTCCTCGTGGCGACTGGCCGGTGAGCGCGCACGCCGCCCGTAGCTGAAATCGGATGAGTCGCATTGCAGGGGGCAGAGGGTTCGCAACAGTTCAGCAGCACAATTGTGGGTGTGCCAGGCCTCCTGCTGCTGAAGGAATCCAAAGATCGTCCCGTTCGCATCAACCACGTTTGGCTATTCGCGCACTCGTATGTTTGAGATAAAGAAGCAGAGCGTGGGCAAGGGCTAGCTGTCACATTCGGCAGGCAAGAAACACCCGCCGCGAGCTTTTTCGTCAGCTCTGCTTGTCATGTTGCGCGCCGAAGAAGAATGAGAATGAAACACCAAAGTGGGCCAGAAAAAGCAACATCGCAACGGTGCCAGCAGACGCGATTGGACGGCCGCGCAGGCGGAGCACATAAGCGTCGATCGTCCCAGATTCGCGAGGCCGGAAACGGGCACGGAATGTCACGGTGTCGTCACTTGAGCTGCCGCGAGACTGACAGGACGCACATCCTCGCATTCATGCACCGCGGGGGGAAGTGGGGGATCCGCGGTCAAAAGAGCTGCGTGAGCGAGCATGCGGGTTCTGTTTGATCCCAATTCGTGAGAATTGCCGGATGAGGTGACAATCCCCACACAAGGCGGGATCTGCCGAAGCCACGCAAGCGCAAGCAGTGCTGTGATTGTCAACTGCCTATTCTTTTGGTGTGCTGGTCCTGCTGGATCGGCAGAGCGGTCTCGGCTTGAAGGACGAGCACGGCTAGTGGCTCTATCCCGCGGGCTCCAAGATTGCGGACGAGCTGTCCTCTGCCCAAATAGCCAACGGCGAACGGAATAGATAATTTTTCAGCGACCTGGGCTGAATAAACGGCGACTTGGACGCATTCGACAAAGGCCACCGCGAAACTGGCACTTTGGGATCGACTGTTCCAGGTCAAGCTTGGCAGGGACATCACCTCAGTCGCCCAGTGGCCAGCTGTACGACACTGGTCTTCGGCCGCTCTAGAGAACTGCGCACCTTCATGTCCGTGTACACAAAGTGAAATAAAGCTCACTCATCTCAATCACAACAGCCTGGTCTCGTGGCCCAATGGCAAGGCGTCTGACTACGACGGATCATGATTCAAACATGGTTTATCCTGAAATCAGGAGATTCTGGGTTCGATCCCCAGCGAGATCAACTTTTTGCCTGTCTCTCAGGCTTGTGCGGGGTAAGCTGAGTACTGGGAAAACTTGCAGATTTTTTTTGGTCTCTCTCCTTGCTCTCTGGTGGGACTTGTGGATAATAGCCTATGCACCTAAAAGCCTGGCGGGACTGCACTAGGGACCGGGGCGGGCCGTGTGTGCCTGCGCCCTGTAGGGCGGTGCGCAACGGGCGTGGATCGCCTGATTGGTGTACTTGGCGGATATCGCCGCAGGAGATCTGAGAAGCAGAATCTGCTTTGCTGAGCACGAGACGATGCTAGCCTTGCACGATGCTATGCTACGTCGAAATCAAAATGGCCTAGTTCCGTGTTCCTCCTCATGACGGGAACTGCCTTTGGCACGAGAATTGCCACCCCTGAGTGTGCCCGATGATAACGTGCCATCCCCGACAATCCCAGACACACGCGAGATCGGACAAGTGTCTCAACACGAGCCGACCGCCTCTTGCTTGAAAAGGTGCCGTCTCCGACAATCCCGCCTAAATTACCCCGACATTGCCGTTCCAGTCCGCGGATGTTGCCGCCTGATGCCCGGTATTGCCGCTTGATTTGCCCCCTCCTACGAGGGGAAATGCCAGATACTCGTCTGCGGGTTGCACTGCATGGAGCGTGCCGATAGTGCTGACCTGCTCCAGTAGAGCACCACCTCCGTGGCCAATCACTCGTGGGCCCAGTGATGTAGTATGGTTGCAGTGCCCCGTTATCCCAACGCAAGGATATGACTGAGCAGCCTGCGAAGGGGCGGGGTGCTTTTGCCCGAGCATAGAGTCTGAGACAGAGTGCCTGACGCCATCATGTCTGAACATATATGCTGCCCTCGGCACTCAGCTTGTGCGACTCTTTGTCTTCAACCCCAGGCTTCTCAGAGGGCTCTCGGACCAAGCCAGCAGCATCGCTAGAGCTACGATGGCCTCGATCCTAGGCAGCGAGGCGCTCACGCCACGCGTGGTCACCGCCGCGCTTGGCGGGCTGGCCCTGACGACCACGATCTGGAGCTACATTCGCGCCTGGTACCGGCTGCGACACGTCCCAGGCCCGGCGCTCGCATCCGTCTCGTACTACTGGATCCTCCTGACGACGACGCTGAGCGGCAAGCAGGCGGCGAACCTCGACGCCATCAACAGGAAGTACGGGCCTCTGGCGCGCATCGGCCCCAACGACGTCCTCACAAACGACCCCGAGGTGGTCCGGCGCATCAACGGGGCCAGGTCGACGTACGTGCGGTCCGACTGGTACCGCTCGCTCAAGATGGACCCGTACCACGACTCGCTCAGCAGCATCCTCGACACCAAGGAGCACGACAAGCTCAAGGCCAAGCTGTCCTTTGGGTACGGGGGCAAGGAGAACCCGGGCATCGAGACCGGCGTGGACGAGCAGCTCGTCGCCCTGACGCGGCTGATCAGGGACAAGTACCTGTCCTCGTCGACGTTGCGGCCCATGGACTTTGCGATCAAGATCCAGTACTTTACGCTTGACGCGCTCACGCAGGTGGCGTACGGCAAGGCGTTTGGCTTCCTCGAGGCGGACGCGGATCTGCACGACTACATTGCCTCCACGGCTGGACTGCTGCCGCCGCTACATGCCGGCGCGGACGTGCCCTGGCTGGGCGACATCCTCCTGTGGCCGCCGTTGTTGAGCATGATGGGGCCGAAGGCGACTGATGAGAAGGGCTACGGAAAGATGATAGCGTAAGTCAAGAGAGGGCGTAGGTGTTGGAGGCCCAAGGGCAGTACAGGTTATACTGACACAACACACGTAGCGCCGCAAGCCGCGTAGTGGCAGAACGATTTGGCGAGGACGCCAAGGACAGATTCGACATGCTGGTAAGGCCTTAAAAGCCCACTACTGCGAGCAGACGCGTTTGACTGACATTGCCATCATCACAACCACAAACAGGGTTCGTTTGTCCGCCACGGCGTGCCCCAGCGCGACTGTGAAGCCGAAGTGCAATTCCAGATCATCGCAGGCTCCGACACCACTGCCACCGCCCTGCGCGGGACACTCTTGTCCCTGATCACCACGCCGACCGCTTACTTTGCCCTCCAGCGCGAGATCGACGCCGCCGTCGCGGCTGGCCAGCTGTCCTCGCCCATCGCCACCGCCGAGGAGGGCAAGCAGCTCCCCTACCTCCAGGCCGTCATCTACGAGGGCCTGCGCATGCACATCCCCTTCTCGGGCCTGGCCATGAAGCAGGTCCCCCCGAGGGCGACACCATCGCCGGACACTTCCTCCCGGGAGGCGTGCGGGTGGCCGTCAACTTCCTGGGGGTGCAGCGGAGCAAGGAGGTCTTTGGGGAGGACGTGGACATCTTCCGGCCAGAGCGCTGGCTGGGTCTGGGTGCCGAGCAGACCGTGGCCTGGAGGAACCACGTCGAGCTGGTGTTTGGCTCTGGGAGGTGGGGTTGCAGCGGGAGGAACCTGGCCTTCATGGAGCTGAACAAGGTTTATATCCAGGTGAGCGATGGTGGTCCGCGTGCATGCCGGATGTGCTGTCGAGTATATTTGCTGACATGGTGTTCTTGGTCTTTTAGCTGCTTCGCAACTTCGATTTCACCCTTATCAATCCGCGAAAGCCAATGACTTCGAGCAATTTTGGGATCTTTGTCGAGAAGGATATGTGGGTGCGCGTCACGGAGAGGAACGTATAGTTTGCGGGGTAGAATCGATAACAGGAAGAGGGGAAAGCGGGCTGCCACGGGGAGCCAGTATCAGGACCATTCGAAAGACACTCAAGCCGGGCTTGGCTGTGTTCTCGGATCGCTTGTGTGATATGCCTTTTGATGTCAGTCAGTAGGTTGGTTGCAGAATATACGACACGTCACTCCCTACTTAGGTATTCTCCCTTGTGACAGCCCTGCGACATCGTGTCACCCATAGCATCGAGCTCAACAGCCAGCATCCCGATGTCCGGGAAAGAAAATCTGACCAGTAGGGTAACTTGACTCACTGTCTTTGTGTAAGAAAGCGACGGAGGCATCGCGCTGGGAGAATGTGTTGCACTTGATAACACACTTGTTGAGCGTGCCGGCTTGCGTAACCTCTCCAGTATTGTCTAGGTCCACCACTTTTGTGGGCATTCCTGATTTTCGAATTATTGGGGAGCAGCATGGAGCAAGGCACAATTGACGGATTGGGCTACAGGGAACAGCGTTACTTGTTCAAGGGGCATGACGGGGGTCTTGCTCGACATGTAAATGAAGACCATGGATAATACGCGGGCTTTGCGTGCAGAAAACCACGCTATATGAAACATCGCCCGCGAGTCATGATGCTTGCCGCAAGCACTACGTTTACCCGTTGCAAATCTTGCGGAATTACTGCTTTTGGAGAGAGACGGCGATATCTTCTGTGACCCCTAGATATCGTTTGAAATATCTGCCCAAGAATGATAAGCATGATACATCATACAGCAAAGGGCCGCCCTTGTATCCGCATATCAAGTCTGCAAACTCTTCTCTGGGCATAAGCCATGCACGGTCATGCCCGTGCAAGCCTTCCCGAGCTCGTCCGAGTTGCGCGTTTCGTCTAATTTACCGTCTTCTGTGGCCGTGGAGCGGGTGTAGATGCCAGACCTCGGGGGAGGCGGGGTCGACGCCAAGATTAAGTGCTGGGGCCCCAAAAAATGCCTGGTCTCCCGCGGAACCCCGGATAACGCCGGTCCAGGCACAATATTACCCAGACTGGAAGCATCCTTGCGGCGATTGTTTGATGATCCGGGTCGTCCAGACATGGGAGACCAAGATCTGCGACGAGCCCGGCAAGCGCGTCAGCTGGCGGATGCTGCGCCGCCCATTACCATTACTGCGTTTTACACAGCTGCCACGCGGCTGCGGATGTCTAAGCAAACATGATGGCTACCGCGGACGCGCGCCAAGACCGGGTGCTGGCAGCACGTCATAACAAAGGCCTTGGTGACCCGTGAACCAGGCCACGGGGAGATTCTCCCTCAACGATGCCGTCGATGTCCGACGCCAAAGTAAGTACTCATGTGGCGCTATGGTTCGTCTGTGCTGGAGTGTCTGTGCTCCCGAGGCACCCCTTGTCTCGCAACTCGGATCCGGTTGGTGATCCCGGCTAGTTCTCATGCAGGCCCGGAGTATATTTAATGCCATTTGTTCAGGCAAGCAAACTTATCTTGCAGCAGAGGTGCCCTCCTCCCCGCAGCCCTGCCCCTGGGTATCAGTCACAGCGCCCAGACAGGGTCTGCTGCAATAAAGTTCTGATTCGCAAACAGATGCGACCAGCATGGGCAACCCCGAGCAAGTTAATTACTGCGTGCAGAAAGGCATGGAACACCTTATCTCAGAGTTCAGTTGAGGCTGACGGGCAGTCCCCCTCAATTTGGCCCAATGTTATCGAAGCGGACTCGTGCCTCGTGCTTTCAAGATTTATTCTCGGTGCGACAGAACTGTGGGTCGGCCTCTGGCAGGCAGGCAGGCCTGCCTAATTTGAGGGAGCGAAAAAGAAGTCCCATTCACAGGGCTTTGTGGGGAGGTTCTAGCGCGTACGTGTCATGTCCAGGGCTCATCGCCAACAGTCAGGAGCGCTGGCCAAATGCTACTGAAAAGACCCACGGCGAGGAGTCGTCCATGTGCAGCCTCTTCTAGGCCACGCCCACTTCCCGACCAAAGTGGCAGACTATCCTTCCCCCTCCAAAACTTTGTTAGAGTGTGAGCAACTTTGATGATGGTCTGGTGTCACCCTGTATCCTGACGACAGGAGCTTGTCTCGCTGACATGAATCAGTTTTTGTTGCACTAGACGCAACCCGCGGACCAACGGACCCAGATGCCCTGTAGGTTCTGCGTAGCAAGAACGAGAGACCTCGGTCAGAAATCAGGTAATCAACTGGAGAAAGGCTGGCTGGGGGAGGGCTCCCTCACCATAAACAAGGCTGTTTCTCAAGGAGGGAAACCAGTTCCTTTTGGACCCCATGCACTCACTCAGATGAGTTCCCGTGCCGTATCGATACCGGCCTCCGTGCACAGGGCTGGGCTGGGGTTGCATGATCCGCACGTGCACGTCTCAGATTTGCACCACGTCGACACGATCGTAGCAGTGCCGTTCTGTCAGTGGCAAGGGCTTACGTAAAGCTACCGGATTCTTCATTTCCAGCAAGGCAAAGACGCCTCACTCTGTTCTTAACGACAAGGCATATAACTCGGGACGCAGGGGTCTTTTCACAAGTGACCGCGGCCCCGCAGGAAATTCCTGTCTCCTCACGTATGTAGTACGCAGCTAGTGCCACACGCGCAGCGACGTTGCAAGGATTAGACGGCCGCCCCTATCGAAACTGCGACACTCTTGGCTTCATGTTCCGCGACTCGGTGTGGTCATTACCGTTACAGAATGCAACCACGGCTTCTTGACACTGGACCAGGGACCCCGGTGTAGCTCAGGCTGCAAAAAGGTTTAATCAGGCCAGAACCAGGAAATCGAGCCTGCCTAGAGCGCTCGTGCAGCATCACTGCTACCATCTTGAGCCAGGGACTTTATGCGCCACCAGTCACAGCTGCCCGGCCCCGCGAATAGCAAGCCCGGCTCCAATAATGTCCGAAAATCCTATTGTCTGGTTGCAACGCCGGGTGAGCTCGGCCTGCATCCCTTTTGAGTCGCTACCGTATGCATGCAGGGCCACAATGCAGGCAGGCTTCCTCCCTCCTGCATTAGAGGGTCTGGGCATTTTGTTCAAGTGCCGTCCCTGTATAGGCCAGTCTTGCAGGACAAGCGCAAAGCCAAAGAGATATATACCTCCCGTCGTCGCTGCCGTCGCCGTTGGCGTTACAAGTGGACGCTGTGACTAGACGCAACCTTTTCGAAAACCCGCATTTCGCGACGCACAACCGCCATCATGGTTAACTTGACGACGGAGTACTCCAAGGAGCAGGCCATCGCCCTGGCCGTGGCGTTCATGATCCTTCCCATGGTGTTCTATGCACTGCGGGTTTGGGCGAGGCTGTTGATCAGACGTTTTACTCTGGACGATTATCTGGCTGGAGCGGCGGTCGTAAGTAAACCCCATCCATCAGGTCTGTGCAAGATTGACTTTGGCGATCTAATGCTTACCTCTACGTTATCTCTGCAGATCCTCTCCACCATCTGCTGCTCCCTACAGTTGGCGGGTAAGTTGATTATCCGGAATATCCCGCCCACCATTGACCGTCGATCGATTTCTTACATGGTGCTGATTGTCACTTGCAGCGGCCGTCGAAGGCCGCTTAGGCACCCACCAAGCGCTGCTCCCAGATGGCACGCCAGACATGAACGATGCCGGTCTGGCATTCTTTGAAAATGTTGGTTCCGCATCCCCGCCCCGAGCTCATCTCTGGTGCCGCGGGCGGCACAATGAAACATGGACTCGCATAGCTAATCACCGCGCTCTTCTCCGCAGTCCAAGTTCGCTCTCAACATGATATCGATCCTGGGCCTCGGCCTCGTCAAAATGTCCATCCTCGTTTTGTACCTCAACCTCTTCCCCAGCCCCACGTTCAAATGGGTTACTTGGGGCATAATGGGATACGTTGGCGTGTGGACCATCAGCTTCTTCTTCTCGCATCTCTTCACCTGCTATCCGATCACCACGTTTATCGACTTCTTCGAGGACAAGACTTGCGTCAACCAGACGGCCATGTTCCTCACAGTACTATACACAAACGTCATCGCCGACTTCGTCATCCTGATTTTGCCAGTTCCCATGATCATGGGTCTCCAGCTGCAGTTCAAGACGAAAATGGCGGTCATTGGCATGCTCAGCTTGGGCGCTGCGTAAGTTTTTCCGTTCCAAGCTTTTTAGTCGGGAGAAGAACTCTCGCGCGGCTGTGAGATCAAGTGGATGTTTCGACTGACCAAGCGATGTCCAATCAGTACCTGCGCCATTAGTGTCACACGCGTGCTTGCCATCACCAGCGTTGCGAGCGAATACGTGCGCCATCCCAACGATATCATCTGTAAGGATCGACCGACTACACCAGCTGCCTGTTTCCCAACATCACCATGTAAGCCATCTACTGACACCGCGCTTTCTGATCCAGATTACACGGCACCTGTCTTCTACTGGACCAACATCGAGCTCTCCATGGCCGTCGTGTGCGCCTGCCTTCCGACCCTGCGACCAATCTGGACACACTTCTACCCCAAGAAGACGGCGACGGGAAACAACTCGTACGAATACGGCTACAGCGGCTCGAACAGCAGGAAGGGAACGGGCAGGAACAACATCCGCAGCACGCCGTACACGGAGATCGACGAGATGGAACTGAACCCGACCGGTGCCAAGAGTGAAAACCCGGCGTACCTGGACCAGCCAAACCGTCAGGGATCTAGGCACATCGTCAAGCAGACCGTGATCGCTCAGACGGTGGATGATGTCGAGGACAGCTCTAGCACCACGGACTTGCGGCCAACCGAGCAAGGGAGGTGGAATGGCGGATATGGTCGTGGCGTGTAAAGCAAGTTGGGCCTTGTGGAGGATTGCGTCGGACTTGATTTGATGGTGGGTTTGTTTTGGGGGTGAATGCAGCGAGTTTGGCGGGTCACGAACTCGTCTGTGGAATCTCCGTTTCTACCTATTGATCGGCAAGTTTGGAGTTCTGTCGGATTTCAGGGGACCTTTCTTAATATGTCTTTTGTACGAAATTCACGAGCGTTTAGCCATATCTTCATGTTCAACACTCGTCCCCATTAATTCTTGTGCTGTCATAAACCAATTCCGTGACTTATCGTGACTACACCTCAGAGCGCGGAGTGCTTACGAAGTCGCATCAGTGACTATGCGATCGTGGGTGAACTCTCGAAACCCCATCCAATCTGCCACCAGCTTCGCCACCGAAGGCGACGCCTTCTGGAAGGGAGGGCGAAGCCGTCAAAGGTGCAGCTGCTTGCGCCACCACCGCAGCTGGGAGGACAACAAGGTTGCACGGAAAGTTCCAGGCCCACCTCTTGCGAGTCCAGCATCTCGGACGAGTGTACAGTATCGGCTAGTCGTATCGTGGGAATGTTGGATGTGCGCAGGGGTTGCATGCGGCCGAAACCCAAATTCGCGCAGCAGAAGGATGTGGGTGGGCGTCGCATGATCCGGGAGCTGCGACCCCCTGTCGAATAAGCCACGAAGCTGCCGGGATGCTCTTGGAGGAATTTCTCCTTTGGCCAGGTTCGGCCACGTTTGGCTGCGATTACGTACATGGCTTGGCAGAACCCCGAGTCAAGGGTACGGTATAGCATGGACAGCAACATGATCGTATCATCTCTTGGGTTGCACTCGGAGCCCACCATGCGGGGGCAGCATCGTCCAAGAAAGGGCTGTACGGAGTTCCGCGGGTGAGTGGATTGCGATTGGCCCAATGGTGTCGGGGGGCATTGCACATAGAGTTTACTGGGGTTGGCTGCCCGTCGGAGCGAACTTTTGAGGGCCAGGCTCGTGGTGATCTCGGGGTCCATGCGCGTACCGTAAGACCAGGGTTTTGTATTAATGGGCGGTTATTCGGGATGAAGCCTTTGGCACGGTACGGATCGGATGGGGTAGGCATCGCCGGCCCTATGGCTTTTTAACCAAGAAGCTCCCGTCTCGACATGTTCTCGAACCTTGTGCTTGGCCGTCTGTGTTCTCGGCGCTACCCGTCCCCTCATTCATTCTTTTGACCCGTCTATCCATTCATTCATTCCTTCCCGTGTAATAACACACCATCCACCCAATGGCTATTCTTAGCACTGCCCATCGGCTTCTCGCCGGTCTGCAGCTCCTCAGCTTGGGCGTCGCGTCGGTGGCCGCAGTGGCCGTCACGCCTCGCTCCATCGCAACCGACCTGCAGGGCTTGGTGCGCACCTCGGCTGTAGGTGTCACCCTCCGCGAGCGGTGGAACGAATTCGAGGCCCCGCTGCCCGTCGTCGTTGTCAACGCCACCTGCGAGAGCGACATCCAGGCTGTAGTCAGATACTGCAGCAAGAACAACGTGCCCCTCCTGCCCCAGAACGGCGGCAACGGCTGGGCATTCTTCGACAAGTCCAAGTCGGGCACGCCTTCGGGAGTCGTGCTCAACTTGGCAGGCCTCAACCAGGTCAAGGTCAGTGCGGACAAGCAGACCGCCATCGTTGGTGGTGGCGCCATCATCTCGGACGTCGTCGCTGCTGCGGATGCTGCTGGCGTGCTTGTGCAGACCGGCAACTGCAACTGCGTTGGTGCTCTGGGCGCCGGCCTGGGCGGCGGATATGGCAACCTCATTGGCGAGCTCGGCATGGCTGTCGACAACATGATTTCGCTGCGCGTCATCACGGCCGACGGCAAGGCCGTCACCGTCAGTCCCACGTCCAACCCAGACCTCTGGTGGGCGATGCGCGGCGCGGGCCCCAACTTTGGCATCGTCACCTATGCCACCTACAAGGCCGTGCCCACTGCCGACCGCAACGCCTGGCTCATGAGCCTCACCTTTGACGGTTCCCGGGTGGCCGAGGTCGCCCAGGCCGTCCAGGACCTGCCCCTGCTGCCCAACCAGGTCGTCTTCTTCATCCTCTCCAACCAGGCCGTCGTGGTCACCGGCTTTCTGCGCGGTGGCGATGAGGAGGCTGGCCGCAAGGCTTTCAAGCCTCTGTTTGACCTGGGCCCCTCCACCAACAGCTCCTCCGTCAACCCCTACCCCAAGTGGAACGTGCCGAACGACTTCTTTTGCGCCCGTGGCGACCGCAAGCCCGCCTTTACCACGACCCTCTCTGACATGAAGGCCGCCTCCTGGCCTGCCGTGTTTGACCTCTACAATGAGTTCCAGAAGCTGCCCACCGCCGAGAACTCTGCCATCCTCGTTGAGCGCTACAACCTCACCAAGGCCCAGTCTGTCGGCCGTGGTGCCACAGCCGTCCATGACGAGCTGCGCTTCGACTCGTTCGCCCAGGCCGTCGTCATTCCCTGGTACAAGGACCTCGCCCTCGACACCCAGGCCCTCGATTTTGCCTCCAAGGTGCGCGACATCTGGGCTGGCCCGGCCGGCGGCAAGAAGAACTCTGCGTAAGTTATATTCTTGCTCTTTTGCCGCATTTCCGATCTGCTTCGACTTGGTCTCTCCGCTCTGATGGCTAACATCTCTTGTTCCGACAGTTACATCAACTTTGCGCATGGCGACGAAGACCTCATTGCCGTCTACGGCTCGAGCCTTCCCCGTCTCCAGCAGCTCAAGAAGAAGTACGACCCAAAGAACGTCTTTGGACAGTGGTTCAGCCTGCAGTAAGCTTCTTGTCACTAGATAGATAGGGCTAGGGCAACCTCTCCTCGTGCAAATGGCTCGGCAGTTTCTTGGCTTAGCATTTTAGGACTCATAATAGAGAGACTGTTCGAGATCTCTACTCTCGATTTAACCTTGGTTGTATGGATCGATCTGCGCAGTGGATGTGTGAAACTCGTAATAGCGTTGCTGGCGGGCCGGCTTTACATGAAGTAGGCTAACCAGCCGGGCTTATGAGTGACTGCAGATGACAGCAAATCAAATGTGTAGACTATATAGGCTAGATTGATAAAAATAACGTCAAGACAATATGTGTACTGGCCACTACAAGTCACGGCTTTCAAAATCACAAGATCTTGCACCATTCTTGTCAATAATAGTCAATTCTCATAGGAATGACCGAACCAAGCAAACACATTCTCTTCGACCGGTTCACGGCTGCCAAGATTCTCGGAGCTAGTCAAAAGCGACGAGATGTAGAGAACTAATGTTCAAAGCTAACCAGATTCGACCTCAACATTACCTAGTTGTGTCGTAAACTCTTCAGTGTTCTCAAAGAGAGCCATCGATCGCCAGTGGTGTAAGGCCCGTCTAGACTCTTCACCTCATTTCGCACTCTTGCGTGTGTCCAGAGGTTTCCAGCAGATTTCAGCCCGACAGCGAAATCCGCAGTCCACGGGTCCTTGCCCAGCATCAGCACTGTGGCCGCCACCGTCACCTTTCCCAACGCATTGACGTACTCCTCGGAATACTGCCACCACGGGTACGACATCTCCTGAAACCCATACATGTCGATGTGCATGGCCTTGAGCCAGCATATGGCCATGCCGTGCCCGAGCCGAAATTTCAGCTTGAAAACCACCGTAAGGTTCAACCTGCGCACCGTGAGAACGACTTTGGTGGCTGACTGCAGGCCCGACTGCCCGACGGAGCTCTCCGGTTGGCCCTATGCCAGTATGGTCTTGGGCAGCTTGATCCGACCGTGTAAACGAGCATGCCAACGGGAACCATCAATCGGACCACCTTAGCCACTACCCCGCTCGACACAGCCCACCATTCCCTCACGCGTTGCGTTGCGGCCAGGTAGGTTCGAAGGATTACTGCCTCTTGCGCGATCGCAATGGTATCTTCCGTGAGTTCCGGCAGGTCCTTGGTAATCAGGACGTCCAACCAAAATATTCATTGGTGAAGACATCTGTGATGTTGCAGTCGAACCACGTTACCAAATCCACTGGGCTGTCCAATGTGCCAGACAGCCGCTTCTACAACCGTGATGTACGCGATAACTGTTGTCTTTCGGTAAAGCTATTGACTCATTAGCGACTCTCTCCTCCCAGCTGGCTACTCGACGCAGTCTCATATACTCTCTCTCCGCACAAGATAGTTGGCCCTGCGGCGGACCCTTCTCGTATGGGCACCACTCTTCAGGGTTTACGATCAAGTTATCGCACTCTCGCAAGCAATTGTCAACCAGACGCTCCCCCGCCATTTTGCCGCCCTGGACGCAGCAGTCCAGTTGTTCCTTTTCAAAGCTGCAGCAGGCGTGCCAAAGTACTTGGGCCCACGGCGGAGCTCATCGACAAGACCGGCCACGACAGCGCACTCTATCTACATCAATTGTCCGGGCGAAGGCGTGTACAACGCTTTCGCCAATGTTGACAACGACCAGCTCCAGCAGGTGGAGATCTTCTCGAGACAAATACGCGTCGAGAAGGATGACGAATTCGCCCCGCTCCGCTCAACTCTAAAGTATCCGAGTGAGGGGGGTGACACACACGACAAAGTCGTTCGAGTTTGTCAACTTATCCTGCAAGCCAGTCTGCCGCGTCACCACGCTCACTCAGCCCTAAGCCCGCAGCGGCAAATCAGTCATCGAACAATACTTAGGTCTGGCATGGGATGAACACGCCACTCTGGATGGCTTTTTTTGCAGATTGACAGAGATAGGAACGCTTCTCAAGACAAGATATCTGGAGGGCTTCCGTATGGGACTGTGGATGACGACCAACATCAAAGCTGTCACAAGTACCGGCGATTTGCAAGTGGATTCACAAAGCACCCTTCTTCCCCATGAATTCGAAGACATGAATGTTTAATATTGACGGTTTTGGCCAATACCTTCCTGCAACTGTGCATACACAGCTCGACAAATGGGCGACGAATTGCCTCGATAGCTACAAGGAAGCGAAGTCAAGGGATTGGTGCTGACCTGAGAGAGATCCACACTGTGTTTGAAAAGACTTCCAAAGATATCCAGCTCGATCTGATCAAGGGGGACAAGGTTGTCTTCCCTGGCAACAGTACATCCGACATAAGCATCCAATGTTTAGTAATGAGTGGTGGTTGGCCTACAATTGATCGGTAAAGAAAACGGAGTCTGCTCGGGCCGGTCGGGTTTCGATTGGTGACAAGAGGCTTGATGAATACCCCGAGTCACACGTATTTTCTAAATCTTACTCGAGTTTGCTCAGTTGGCCTCAAACCCGGGTCACCTGAGCACAATTCTGCTGAGGCTGTACAAGGTTATGTACGTTTGTGCGTACATTGACGGTGATACTTGTTGATGCACATACACACCTATCGCGGTCTTCCTGATTAAGCATGAACCAGATCAAGTACAGCTGCGGCGACGGGATGGTTGCACAAGGGATTGATGGACCGTGCACATGACTTTCTACCTTGACCACTGCGTGGAATAAGCCTTCTCTCTCACAGGGACACGACGATACCAAGGGAACAGGTTGAGTTAGGTGACCTCTTTCCTACGCAGGAATCAAGATAGTCACCGTATCAACCACGCAGAGCAATCGTGAATCAGCCTTCAATGGTGCGCCGCTCTTGCGTGAGTGGCGAAACAACTTTATCTCATGGGTGCTCCTCACAGCCTCACCGTTCACAAGGGAAGCACCCGTTGTGACTGAGCATGTAAGGGGGGACTTCGTGGAGACTAATAGAAACTGTATTCATCAGTACATGTCCCTCACGTCGCGAACGCAACTGGTGACCGACGGAAGAACTCCTTATTCGTGGATCCTGAAGAGTACGACGATGACCAGTCAAGAGTGGCTTTCTGTCGTGCCCATTTCCGGAGACGTCGTGTGCCGACCCAGCCGATGACCTGGTCGGGCGATGTGGTTCTTGTTGGAGAGGATACTGCAATGATTACGTCTGCCCTGCATTTACGGGGTCTGGCTTCGTAGGCATGTCATGATCCCTGCCAATGCCCCATCGTCGAGACCCGGCTATGGATCCGTGTCGCCAGTTTCGAGTTTGACGGGTGGGCCCAGACAGCCCTGTAATTCGACACTTCGCACGTGGGACACCCCAAAGCAGTCTTGCTCCCGCCCAAACTGAGCCGGCGGAGGCGAGGTGGCCGTGATTGCGCAGGCCAAATCGACGTTTGCAGCCAAACCTCCCCTGGAGGCTCAGGGGCACTTGGCAGGGCACCCTGGCCAAGACGATGGCGATTGGTGGAAACGGGGGAATCATCAAATCGAAACATTGATGTCGCGCACACACGGCTATCTCGATCTTGTGTAGGATCGTTCAGCCAGCGACACGTATAAGAACCGGCATATTGCGCCAAGAGATGCACTGGAAGCTTGGCACATCACCGGCCTCGCCTTGGCAATCAGCCTCATCCTCATTCACTACCGCACTTGCAGCCTTATTGACTTTTATTTCCAAGCGACGACAATGATTGCCAAGGCTCTTGTCGGCCTCTGTGCCCTCGCCAGCGTCAACGCTGCGCCGGCAGCGCCTCAGCACGACGCGCGTGCGTCTTCCAGCTGCACCTTCACCACGGCCGCAGCGGCCATCAGTGGCAAGGCATCATGCACCGCCATCACGCTGAGCAACATCAAGGTGCCGGCCGGCACGACGCTCGACATGACAGGTCTCAAGGACGGCACAAAGGTCACCTTTGAGGGCACCACCACCTTCGGCTACAAGACGTGGGCCGGTCCACTGGTCTCCTTCTCGGGCAAGAACATTCTCATCACGGGTGCCGTGGGTCACCTCATTGACGGCGGCGGTGCGCAGTGGTGGGACGGCAAGGGCTCCAACGGCGGCAAGCAGAAGCCCAAGTTCTTCGCCGCCCACTCACTCACAAACTCCAACATTATCAACCTCAACGTCAAGAACACGCCCGTGCAGGCCTTCAGCATCAACAGCGTGACAAACCTGGGCGTGTACGGCGTGACGCTCGACAACTCGGACGGCGACACTCAAGTTGGCCACAACACCGACGCCTTCGACGTGGGCTCCTCGACGGGCGTGTACATCTCCGGCGCCACTGTCAAGAACCAGGACGACTGCCTGGCCGTCAACTCGGGCACCAACATCACCTTTACTGGTGGCTACTGCAGCGGCGGGCACGGCCTGTCGATCGGCTCTGTGGGCGGCCGTTCCAACAATGACGTGAGCGACGTCAAGATCCTCAACAGCCAGATCGTGAACTCGGACAACGGCGTGCGCATTAAGACGGTCTCCGGGGCCACGGGCTCCGTCTCTGGCGTCACTTACTCGGGCATCAAACTGTCCAACATTGCCAAGTACGGCATCGTGATCGAGCAGGACTATGAGAACGGCAGCCCAACCGGTGTACCAACCAGCGGCGTGCCCATCACTGGGCTGACGCTCGACAAGGTCACTGGCACTGCCAAGTCTAGCGCCGTCGACGTCTACATCCTCTGCGCCAAGGGCGCTTGCTCAAACTGGAAGTGGACTGGCGTGAGCGTGACTGGAGGCAAGAAGTCGGCCGCATGCCAGAACATTCCATCCGGCAGTGGTGCATCCTGCTAGAATGTCTTGAATTCAGGCCGCAACCGCGGAAATTTATGATTCCGTGCCATGGGGGCGAAATTCTCCATGAACATAGCTTTTTAGTTGCAGTACTTTTGCGCGAGACTCGCGTACATTCTGATATACAGATGGTGATGCTGATAAACGAGTCGCAAGCTTATGCTCTTTCCGGTACAAAAACCAAAGTGACCACTGACTGACTCGTGCCAGGCCACACCCGCGGCACAATCTGATTCCTTGCCGCCCTTCACTTTCCCTCTCGAGGTTGGCCTCAAATCACAACCCCATCATTGTGGATGGCACTCAAAGCTTGGCGAGCCAGTAGGATCGCGCAAAACGCGCACGATGCAAGACATCGCTAGCCCCGGATACTCCCCCGCTGCGGCGCGACCCGTCCTCATGTCTCTCGGGCTCACACCGGCTGTCTTGCATGCTCCTATCCGATTGGCTCAGGTATCTGCTCGCATATACGGGGTTGTGTGGGGATCACGTTCTGCCGTCGTCGCCCTTGTCTCAACAAAATGCTCAGACATAGGTCCCGTGACTGGCAAGATGGCTTGAATGCGCCCACAGTTCGATGTTGGCAGTTGTCTCAGTAGGCGTACATCGTGGGTACTGTTCTTAGGCCAGAGTCTGCAGCTATTATGATCCGAGGGGGAAAGAATCAGTTCTTCGCTTCGAGTTCTTTTGCAATCTCCACGACTCGACACAGTTTTCAGGTGCTGGGCAAGATGACAAGTTCGTTTATTAATGTAGAAGAACATCTACAGTCATTTAGATATAATGCCTGGTCATCCAAAACGACGCGGCAGCTTCCATCATACACTCCTCTTCGCATCAGATTGTACAGGAACCACTGTTTCTGATTCAGAATGAGCAAGACGGGCATTGACTTCCTCACCAAGTGCACTGCCAGTCACAACCGTGCTTACTCTCGCTCCGAGATGGACAAGCGGCTCTCGATTAGTCTCTTCCCAGACACTGGTGTGCAAGGTCAGATTCAACCATTGGCTGTCACATCGCGCAAGGGATCTGCACGTTCCGGAGCTTTTTCCAAAGCGGGAATGTGAATGAGACATACCCATGAGCAAGATGAAGTCTAGGAGGCCTTGAGTCTGAACTCGTTCAGTAATCGAGGCCCGATACTTGATGGTCTAGCTCTCGATGGAGTCGTTGCGCTGGAATAATCGACGAAATGCGCTAGCGAATGAAACCAGCATGGCTACGTCGCCAGCGCATCTTATAGAGAACAGGCTTGTCAGTGCTCGGATTCTGAGACAAGAACAGTGGCACTCGTGGAAGTCGTTAGCGTCCGCAACGAGTTGCCGCTCCGGCGCTTGACTACTTTCGAAGGGACGCACTGATAGTCAAGAAAAGCAGAACATCGTGTCGACCATCACGATCCCATCCGAAGTTCGATGGGCTGTGGCAGCATAGTGCGGTTAGATGAGAGAGTTCTGAAGCCTTGCGGAGCTCGCTAGATTTCCAAGGGGATATTAATCACGTTGCCGACGCAATGAAACTGTGTCTATATAAACTTCAAATGATCCCAAGTCTGTACAGGAAAAAGGGCATCAAGCAAGCACCATTCAAGCAACTCGAGCCACGGTCCAATACCAATTCCCTCCGCCCTAACATCTCTGCAAAAATGCTGTCCCTCAAGTCTTCCGTCGCCATTGCAGCCACTCTGTTCACGCAGTTGGGTTCTGCCGTCCCAGTCAACGATGAGCGTGATCTCACTTGCCTCATCCCGGCGCCTCAGAATGCCGACTATGACGACCTGACCGGTCTCCCCGGCATCAACCTCAACCCGCTGCCCTCGCCTTACAAGGGACTCGACTACCAGGGTTTCAGTTATGCCAATGTCCTCCTCCCCGGCCTTCAGCCAGGTGTCAAACCACAGACAGGTAGCCGGTATGCCCAGCCACTAACCCTCCCGCCACACCAATTTCGAGATACTAATCATGTTTAACACACAGCTATGCTGTCTCCAACCTCATCACCCAGCTCGGCGGGGCCCCGACCATCTCGGCGCTCTACGACGGCTCCATCATCAGCGGCTTCGACCTGCAGTCGCTATACTTTGGCTGCGCCATCAACCTGGCCCAGGCCGTCGCGGGCATCCCGGTCGAGTGCACCATCACGGTGACCGGCTACCGCGGCAAGACCAACGACGTCGACACCGCCGTCCAAGCCTGCTCGCGCACCTTCACCTACAAGCCCACCTCCATCTTCTTCGCGCAGAGCATGGGCTTCTCGGGCAACGCGGCGTTCGCCGGGTGCACCAATATCCAGTTCGCCAGGGTCACGTACTCGACCCCTGGCCCGCTGTCGCCTGCTGCTGCGGCAGTGAGCGTGGTCATTGATGACCTGCGCTATGCTACGCGGTCTTGCCCATTGTAAGCGATTCAGGCGCTGTGCTGGAGATGCCCGGGCTGGGATTAGAAGCACCCGCGGATTCGAGACAGCCAAGACATCGAGTTGGGCCATAACAATTGGTTGAAGATGGTCTTGACCTCCTGGAAATGGCATCTTGGTAGCATATGGAGCGGAGGACGGGTAAAGCATAAAGACGCAGGCGGAGTCTTGATTTTTGCGCGCCCCCGGTAGAAGCTGGTCGAGAAATGAATCACCGTTTGAGATGCATTGTCCTTCTTTAGGGAGTATGCGATAGCGATCTTGTCGGGATAAGGCATGTGAGACACCGTAACCTTGACGACCGCTGTATACGAGAAAGTGCCCACTCTTCTTAGACCTCGATATCCCTTTGCCAAGCGCGACACTAAGACCGAATCCGTGAGTTGTTTGCGCAAAATAACGGTCAAGTCAAAGCATATAAAGCTGGCGTGCGCCATCAATCCGGCAGTTGCATCCCGAGAAGGTTCTCTGCAAGCCACCATCAAACGATAACTCAATACTTCCTAGCCCTTCAGTAGCACTTTCAACATGGTCAACCTCATCAACGGTACCGTGGTTGCCTTTGTCAATCTTCTCACGCTGGAATGCCTTGATCTTTCGAATGGTTCGTACTGTCCCCGCTGTGTCCTTCCGCAGCCAGGGATTCTCAATTGATCTCGTCTGAGTCGCTGAACCGGGACTAACCATCTGTCAGGCTATGCCACGGACAACACTCCCATCATCGGCTACAACTGCCACTCAGGAGCTAACCAGCAGTGGACCCTGATCGAGCAGAACTCGGTGGGAGCCTGGCCTGTTTGGTCCGTGATCAACAAGGCCACCGGGTGTAAGCCAACACCTCGCCCCATTCCCCTCCTTGCGTCGTCCTGTGGCCAGAGAGCGAAGCAGCTAACATGTCCTGTGCATCATAGCTGCTATGGACCTCGTGGTCGGCCCCTCGAACCCCATCAGGGGCTTCCAGCCATCCGCTAGCAATGCACCTGGGCAGAGCTGGCGTCTCGTGTCAGCTCAGCCGGACTTTGGGCTTGTCATGTAAGTGCATCGCTCCTCCCTTGCTACAAGTCGCAAGGCCAGGAGAGCCTCCTGCATGCTGAGCTATTCCAATCGTTTCCCGCATAATCTGTGGGAATGATGAATGTGTGAGGGTTCACGGTGAAACAGTCAAGAGCTGATATCGTCTTACCAGGATCCAAAACACCCTGACGAACACCTACGCAACCTTGCTTGACACGAGCGTTGATGGGTAAGCATAGTTCTCTCATATTTTTCTGCAGCAAAACAAGCAGTACTCCGATTATTTCAGCTCACTAATAGTTCTTTATGACTGTAGTGGACACGCCATCGCTGGCTACTCTGGCTCCGTGGAGGAGGCTCAGCAGAGCCAGCTGTGGAAGGTTTCTGTCGTCGGTTAGGAGCATTGAGCGATGAATTGGTTTTTGTGCACAGGAGCAAGCACAGCCGACTCTGATAAGAAAGACTTGTGCAGGTAACACTCGATATCTAATATACACTGGATATTCACGTGCTTTGGCGAGATGCTTATCGAATTCCATTTCTGGTTGGGTTTAATCGAGGCTTGTCCTGGTTGATGATCTATACCCGCTGGGGCGGGCCTGTGGCCTTACTCATCCATCCGATTCTAGCCATACGAACTGGAAGACCCTTGCCGGATGCTCAGGTATAACTAGCCTGCATCAGGTGTCTTTTTGCGCTGGTGTCAGCATGGGGTCATCATCCACGTCGTAGACCCACCACGCTCTGCCCAGATGGGAAGGTCGTTGGCATCAGCACTCTATCGAGAGCGTAGAGCATTCTGTGAGCGCCTTGCAACGAATCTGGGAGACGCCATCGAGACTAGCACGAGGAATTGCTGCGGTTGGCAAATTATTTCAACTCATGCTTGACAGAGCTCCGATATTGAGCATCCAGTAGCTCTGAACTCCTCGAAGCACAATTGTGAGCCAGTCAGTAAACCGCCCCTGGCTTTGAGCCAGCCCTATCTCTTCAGCTGAATACGAGGCAGGGATATGAGCAGTGAACCCTGTAGCCACCTGCAACTGTGGAGAGCCCCTTGCTTGGGCCATACAACGTCGGAACTTGGTACCGAAACCTATATGGCACAAGCGAGTACTTAAAGCCCGAGTATACCTTCCAGCACGCCATCTTACCTCGTGGGTTAAGCAGCTGATGCGAGCAGTCGTGCATCTGCCTAGATCATCCTACAAAATGCGGACTTCGCAACTTGCCGCGTTCAGTTGCGGCTTGGCGACAGCTGCAGCGGTCAGTGTTGCGCGAGCCTCTGCGGCCGACAGCCTTCCTCGGCGCGAGTCATACCTCGTCCCGCAGAATGCCAACACTGCCAGTACGTCTAGTCGAGATATATAAGCGTTATGCAGGATACTGACAGGCCCCTCGCAGAGTTCGCTGTTGACGGCACCGCCCTCCCCGACGTCGGCTTCGACATTGGCGAGTCATATGCTGGCCTGCTCCCTATCAGCAACAATGAGACGGACCGGTCGCTGTACTTTTGGTTCTTCCCTACCGCCGACCCGGAAGGCCAGGACGAGATCACGATCTGGCTGAATGGTGGCCCAGGCTGCAGTTCGATGCTCGGCTTGCTGCAGGAGCACGGCCCCTTTCTTTGGATCCCGGGCACGCTCAAGCCAGTAAAGAACGAGTGGAGCTGGAACGGGTTGACAAACATGGTGAGTCTGCTGGATATACTGGGTTGCAGGATGGGAGTGCTCATTCAAGTCTCGCCTCCAGGTATACATCGACCAACCCGTCGGCACGGGCTTCAGTACCGGCGCTCCGCGCGTGACGAGCGAAGAACAAATCGCGGCCGAGTTCATGGGCTTCTGGCGCAATTTCATCGACACCTTCAGCCTGCACGGCAAGAAGGTGTACCTGACAGGCGAGAGCTGGGCGGGCTACTATGTCCCTTACATTGCCTCGGCTATGCTCGACTCGGCTGCGGCAACCGCTGCATCCTCCAACTCGTCCAAGCCAGACAAGTACTTCAACGTCAAGGGCTCGCTCATCTACAACGGTCTCATCGGGGCCAGCGACACCCAGGGCGACGGCGAAGTCGTCCCGTTCATTGAGCGCTGGTCCCAGTTCTTCAACCTCAACGCGAGCACCATCGCCGAGGCGCGCGCAGTGCATGAATCATGCGGCTACAAGGCCTACAAGGAGACCTACTTCACCTACCCGCCTCCTCAGGTCCCTTTTCCCTTCAACGAAGCATCCTGGGAGGATGGGTGCAGCGTATGGTCGATCGTCTACGATGCCGTGCTGCGCATCAACCCGTGCTTCGTCGAGTACGACATCACCGCGCGGTGCCCGAAGCCGTGGAACGTGCTCGGCGAGACCGGCGCGATAGACTACGTCCCCGACGGGTACGAGATCTACTTCAACCGCACCGACGTCAAGAAGGCCATCAACGCGCCGCCCTCGAAGCCGTGGTCGCAGTGCGTGAGGGGCGTGTACCGCGAGCGCAACGCGCCGTCCTCGCTGACCGTCCTGCCGGGCGTCATTGAGCGGAGCGACAGGACCGTCATCGCGCATGGGCACTGGGACTTTGCCCTCATCGACTCTGCCACGCGGTTCTCGATCCAGAACATGACGTGGGGTGGCAAGCAAGGGTTCCAGGAGGAGCCCAGGGACAAGTTCTTTGTGCCGTACGAGCTGAGCCACGACGGCAGGGCGGGCGCGGGGGAGATGGGCATCACGCACACCGAGCGCGGCCTGACGTGGGTAGAGAACTTTGGGGCGGGCCATCTGGTGCCGCAGTTTGTGCCGGCTGCGTCGTACCGCCAGCTGCAGTTCCTGCTGGGGAGGATTGATAGCTTGACAGAGTAGTCTGTGATGATGGGACTTGAGCATCAGTTGGACAGGAATGGAACAAGCATCTCATCATCTTGGAAACCCTTCTCGATACACACTCCACACCTAAATGAAGAAGCAGACCAGTCCGGATAACCAAAAGTTCTTCCTCGTTCCATCAACACCCCTACCCTAACGCGCACACAGATCCAGAAGTGTTGCTGCATCCCGGAGTGGGTCACCAGTAAAAAAAGATTTCCAGGCTTTCCAGCGCCTAAGTTGAGAAAAAAGCCAAAAAATTGATCTCGCTGGGGATCGAACCCAGAATCTCCTGATTTCAGGATAAACCATGTTTGAATCATGGTCCGTCGTAGTCAGACGCCTTGCCATTGGGCCACGAGACCAAGTTGTTGTGATTGTTGAAATGCAGCACCTTGTCAAATCTCATATTGCAAAGCTACACCCTCAGTGCCTAAACGGGGTCCGTTGTCGACGACGCCATCTTCGCAAAAGCTTCAACATCACAGCCCGCGGCCCACAAATTGCGTCTTACCTTCACCAAGGCGATCGGCTTGCTTCTGATCCATAGGATCCCGTAGTTACAGGGCTATTTGGCAATGCTATCGCTGTACTTCTATGTGACTTGTTGCCCGATCATCCTCGGTTAGTGTTCTCTTGACAGCCGGGTAGTAATCAGGCACGGGCTCAATTGTGAGGGCGCGGCGCCTCAAAGGAAGGAGTGGGTGGACCTGCTGAAGAAGGGGCCCACTACATGTTGGCTACACAGATGGTGCCCTAGGAATGCACGTGGCACCCCGTCCATTTTGCCCCGGGTGACCGCGTCTCTAGCTGGAATCTTGTGGTGCGTGTTATATAGCTGTTCGTTTGTTCGATCCCCATGCCATGCCTCTTTCGCGAGCACAGCGACAGGGGCAGACGTTAATAGAGCATGGGCGATGCACTGTGACCGGGCACAACAGCGCCGGAGCTGGCTTACTGGTGCCCCAGAGTATACCCATACAGACGTGACTGACTGGCATTTTTGTATTGTCCTCCTTCAGATAGTGGCCGGATGGTGCACAAGAGAGACAAAGGGTCATTCCCAATCACGCAGCAACTCCTCGTTTGCAGTTGGGAGCACGTCTCCACATGTGGCACAGGACTCTTGGGGACGTGCTGCGTTCAACAATATGGCTGTATCCTGTTTGTTCAGCTTCTGGTCCTATACTTGTCTTTTTTGGACTCTGGAACGTAACACTGCCAGAAGGTGGCTCAGGGAAAAGAGACGCGGTATGTTGGTCTGTCTTAAGGCTTGGCATGTACTCAGGTCCGACAAGCCCAAAGCAGCACAGAGCAAACATTTGCTGGCGTCCTTTTACGTCGGTCGAGCGACCTTCTTTGTTCTGAGAGCCAGATCACAGACTCTAGAGTGTCAGATGTCGGACAGCCGATGTTGACGTGACCTCCGAGAGGACTCTGTGAGTGTACATACGAGTCGTAGCACAGAGATGGCTCAAAGACCACGATTCCTTCCTGTGCGGTCTAACTGCGCATGCGCCGTGGCCTGTATAAATACAATATGATCCTTCCATGCCTCCTGGACATGATCACAACGATAGCAGGATATCGACAGTAGAACAAGACCAGCCAATTCGAAAAAGTTTCCAAGACCACGCCCAGCATGAGCCAACGTCAGATCACTCAGGGTTCCCCTAGGAGAACCGAAAGCGATGTCGAGAGCAACCGGGCGCCAGCCTCAAGAGTCAACGCGAATGAGCGGTGGCTCAATACCGTGCTCATCCGCTTCGCAGAGGCTTTGCTCCGGCACTTATACAAAGCGGCGGAGCCCAGCCAAAACCAGATCCAGGCCGGGCTGACCAAAAAGGAGACAACAGAGGCCTGGGAAGCCGTTCAAAAGATCTGTGAAGATCTAAAGCTGCAGATCCCGCCCGGCAAATGTGGGGATCTGTACAAGAAACAGCTTGCGGATGTGTCCAAGCATACCAAGAGGATGGAGACACTGTGCAACATGATGCTCAAAGGGTTAAGCACAGAGCACCGTGAGTTGCTGTCGTGGGCAGACATGAAGGATAAGCAGGAGTTCCAGAACCATGCCATGATGGCTGCGATCGAGTGGTCAGTCGCCGGAAGAACAAACGCGCTGAAAATCAAACTCGAGGAGCTTTGGCAGAAGCACGAAGCTGCAAGTAAGAACCCGAGCTCATCCATCCAAGGGACATCCGCCCAGGGTCAGGCCGAGCCGAGTTCGGGGGCATCCGCCAAAGACGGGACCTCGGATCAGGAACTGACGCGCTTGAAAATGGAGGAGGTCGCGGCGTTCCTCGACAAAGTGACATCCGACATGTGCAAGCACGCAACGGAGGTTGGCAAAATCACCAAGGACAACACGAAGCACGCGATATCCTCGGTCAGTTATCTCACTTCTTGGTGGCAGATCATCTTTGGTATTGCGGCCGGCATAGGCACCGTCATTATGTGGACGCAGACTATACTCCCACATCTATCCAGTCGTCCAGAGCTGTTGAGGACCAACAAGGGGCTTTAAGCGGGTGGTATGGCACCACCGTCTCCACAAGCCATTCTATTGTCACCGATGCCTCCATCTGGGCAAGGCAAACTGCGATGAGACAAAACTTGTCTAGCCCTGCCGATGCCAACAGCTGCATTTCGTTACGCCTGTCTCCTTCCGCTTTCCTTTCAACTCCTACCCGTTTGTTCCCACGCTCATTGGATTTGGATTTCTCGTATCCGGTTTTATTGCATGTCGCATTTTCCTTACTGTTTCGTCGCACAAGCGCTCATCATTGTTGCAAACCACGAACTTCTACCCCTTTGCGACGGGTCTAATAGAACAATACAACTCGTGCTAGAGACTTATTCAATCCAGTTGATTGCTTCTGAGACCGCCTACCGTTGATCGTGCAGACTGAGAGGGTGGGAAAATCACTCTTGCAAGGTCTCTGCCTTCCAAACAAACACGTCCCGGAACATTAATTCTGCATTCGTGTCTCGGAACTCAAACCAAGTAGGGTGTTTTCCCAGACTTCTGTCGCGACAAGCACCTGCTGGCTCCTATTGGTGATGATTGCAAGGTCTTGGTTTTGAGGGGTGGTTTGTCGCGCATGCTACGTCTCTGTCGTGTTCACAACGACCCTTGCCCACCAGGGAAATTAAAAGTTTGCACTCAGCGGTTCTCGCCTGGAACCTCACAGGTGCAGAGTTCCGGACAACTATTGATGAGGGCAGCCTTGCGCATTTCTGTGCCTGGTGCATTAACCCTTGTCAGGGTGGTGGAGTTGACGCAACCCCGAAGCCGCCATTTTGAGCATCTTGGCACGTCAGCTTTCGGGGCGGAATAAAGGCACCCAATCTGACAGATGTCAGCATCGTACGACTTGACACTCTTCCTTGATCATCATCCGTCAAGTTTGCTGATGACTCGCGACACGGCACCTTTGCCATTTCGCTGCCATTACCATGAGTGTAATCACAACGACAACAGCTACATCCGCTCGACGCGAGCTCCAGCCTGCGGTGCCGAGCGAGCCGATCGAGCTGCAGGCTCCAGCTCCTGAGCAGAATGAGCACGACGAGATTGTAGCGCCAACTGGCACGCGCTATGCTGGACTCCTGGCCGCGCTAACGATGGCACTGATCACTGTCGGACTGGTATGCAGCACTCTGTCTTGATCCCGGTGGCTCCAGTCGAGATGAGGGACTTTCCTGACCGCGCGCATCCATGACCGCAGGACTTCAGTATGATTGCCGCTGCGATTCCGGCCATTACCACCGACTTCAACACCATCTCCGACATTGCGTGGTATTACTCGTGCTTGTAAGAATCCTCCTGACTCGGAAATCTCTCTAAGATGTCCCTTGAAAGGTTACTGATCCTTACACAGCCGCCTGGCCATGTGTGCGACGCAGTTCCTCTTCGGCAAGCTGTACCATACGCTGTCGATAAAGGCCGTCTTCTTGGCGTCGGTGTGTGTCCTCGAGGTCGGCGCCCTGCTTTCAGGCCGCGCCGCTGCTTCGCCGATGCTCATTGTCGGCCGGGCGATTGCTGGCATCGGCGCTGCGGGTGTGTTCTCTGGTTGTTTTGTGTACGTTGGACTTTCCTTGTCTTGCTCTGCTAGGCCCCCTTTTGCTCGTGTCCACAGCAGAGCAATATTTTGTCCTACCGCGGGCCCGCTAATCCTCTCGTCTCTGTGCATTGCAGCATCATCGGCCGTAGCTTCCCAGCCCAGCAGCGCCCTGTGTATGCTGGGCTTGGCGCCGCAGTCGAGGGAATCGCCATGGCCGGCGGCCCCGTGCTTGGCGGGGTGCTGGTCGACTCGCTTTCGTGGAGATGGTGCTTCTACATCAACCTGCCGCTAGGCGCGGTCTGTTTTGTCCTCATGTTCTTCACCTTGCAAGAGCCCCCGGCCGCCGCGGGCCCCTCGAGCATCGACTCCAGAGATGCCAGCCTGGCCCGTAGTTCGGGGATCAAGATAGTCGACTCCCTCCGTGAGCTGGACCTCGTTGGCACTGCCATCTTCGTGCCCGGCATCACCTGTCTCCTCCTCGCCGTGCAGTGGGGGGGCTCGACGTACGGCTGGACGGATCCGCGGGCGGCCGCGCTCTTCGCGCTGGCCGGCGTGCTGGGTGCTATCTTCTGGTGGCAGGAGCGCCGCAAGGGCGACAGGGCGTTGCTGCCCAGCCGGGTGGTCTGTCGCCGGGGCGTCCTGGCGGGCATGTGGTTTGCCTTTGCTAACAACTCGGCCTTTGCCGTGGTCGAGTACTACGTAAGTCGTGGAAGTTCTGCCAACCGGAGCCCGCGAGACATTATGGTGTGCTAACCTCAACTGCTCCCCCGTGCCACGACGACCGCACGAACAGATGCCCACATACTACCAAGCCGTCCGCGGCCTGTCCGCCACCCAGTCCGGCCTACTGTGCCTCCCGCTCGTTATCGGTCTAACCACGTCCACCGTCATCGGCACGTCTCTGACCAGCGCGCTCGGCTACGTCACGCCGTTCATGGTGCTCACCGCCATCCTGTCCCCCGTGGGCGCCGGCTTGATGACCTCCGTAAGCCTCGACATGTCCCTGCCCCAGATCCTCGCATACCTCGCCCTCTTCGCCGCGGGCGTCGGGGTCGGGCTCCAGGGCCCGCAGGTCGCCGCCATCACCACCTTACCACCGCGCGACGCGCCGATCGGCGTCGCGGTGGTCCTGTTCGCGCAGAGCCTGGGGCCTGCCATATTTGTCGCGGCCGCCCAGGCGCTGTTCACGAGCGCGCTGCACGACAGGCTGTCCCGCGTGGTGCTGAGCGGCGGCTCGTCGTCGATGACGGGCGAGGATCTCATGGCGATGGGGCTCTTGGACATCAGGAACCGTGTGGCTGCCGAGGACCTGCCCAGAGTGCTCGAGGCGTTCAGCTCGGTGCTGACGACGGTTTTCTTTCTGGCGGTCGGGCTCTCGTGCTCGACTTTGCTTGGAGCTGTAGCGATGGACTGGGTGAGCGTAAAGAAGAAGCGGGCTTGATCGGATGACTCGGACCGGGCGGTGCCTTTGTCCGTTAATATGAAGACCGGAGTCGTAGGAGGGCGTGTCAAAGGAAGATGAGTTATCAACATCACCAAGACTGGCGTGCGGAGAAATTCAAGTACTTGCGGTCGGCAGCGTGATGTGTTACATGTAGACGAGCAGACTTTTGGAGAACAATTTGGGGGTTCAGTTCAGATTATGCGACTGGCGCTGAAAGTCAATTCTCAGATATACCCAGCCGTCGCAAGAGTATCTTGACACTAGTTAGTGAGACAACCGACAGCCATCACACCCCCACGGGCAAGGCTAGCACTTCCCCCGTAAACCAACTCAGTACTTGTACAACCTCACCCTCTCAGCCCCCTGCTCCCTGATCAGCTTGCGGTTCCTCCAGCCATAATACACCCTCAACATGACACACCCGACAGCCACCATAAGCAGCAGCGCCGCGTTGGTCCAGTGGCCCGTCGGATACCCCAGCTTCGCCTCGTCGGCCTTGTAGGTCCACACCCCGACAATCTGGCCGGGGGCGCCGCCGAGCCCGATGTTGAGCGCGATCGCGAGCCCCACCGAGGCCGTGCCGAACGTGTTGCTCGAGAGCCACCCCAGCAGCGGCGGGATGCAGGCAAAGGCGCCGCTGGCCGCCACGATCAGGCACCCGTAGCGCGAGGCGTACGCGTCGACGGGCAGCGCCGCGGAGCCGATGAAGCCGGCGGCGCCAATGGCCGCGAGCGCCGCCGAGTGCAGGGCGCGCATGTTGAAGTGGTCCGCCGAGTAGCTGGTGAGGACCTGGACGACGTAGGCGACGGCGTAGGGCGGGACGGTCATGAGCTGGGCGCGCAGGTCCGAGAAGCCCAGGCCGGCCGTGATGGAGGGCGTGAAGAGCGAAAGCGAGCTGAAGGGCACCGAGATGCCAAAGTAGACGACGTAGTGGCCCCAGAGGCGCCAGTCGGTCAGCGTGTCCCGGGCCTCGGGCCACGTCATGCTGCTGTGGTGGCCCTTGGACCCCTCGAGGCTCAACCTGGCGACGGCGACCTCTCTCTCGCGAGCAGACAGCCACAGCGCGTCCTCGGGCCAGTCGGGCAGCAGGAACCAGACGGCTACCGCGGAGACGCAGGACGGGATGCCCTCCAGGATGAACAGCCACCGCCACGCGGACAGGCCGGAGACCTGGTTCATGTGGCCGACGCCGTAGGCGATGGCTCCTCCGAAGGCTCCTGCCAACGTAGCTGATGCTGCGGCGTTCATTACCAGTTAGTGTTGCAAAAATCGAATTGGAATGCCCAACGGGTGTTGTTGCGGCGCTCGTATACTTGTCATTGGGCCTTACCTAGAATGAGGGCGACGCGAATGCTCCGCTCGTCCGTCTTGTACCAGAAAGTGAGATAGTACACCAGCCCGGGGAACAGGCCGGCCTCGAAGACGCCGAGGAGGAATCGGACAGCAGTCACGGAGGCGTAGTTGTGCACTCCACCTAAGCTTATCGTAAGCCCGCCCCAGGCGAACATTAAAATCGCGATCCAGCGGGAGGGGCGGAGCTTCTTCAGCAAGATGTTGGAGGGTGCCTCGAAGACCCCGTACGCAACTAGGAAGACCATGAGCGCAATCGTGTACTGGTAGGCCGTCATGCCGGTCTCGGTCATCAGATCGTTGCCCGTGCTAGAGTTGAGGATCTTGGCGTTGCCAATGTTGGACCGGTCCAGGTAGCACAGGAAGTAGATGCCCGCCGACAGCGGCACGATGCGCTTGTCCTGCTTCCAGCGCACGGCGCGCTCTTCTTCGGCGGTCGCGCCGATGGCAACGAGGGGGTCCTCGTAGGCACCTGGTTGCGCGTCATCAGGGATTGGAGAGTTGGTGCCCTGTTCGTGACCGCCCGGGTCTTGGTTAGATTTGTGTACGGAAGGGAGAAGGGGGTTCTGATTTGCAGCTGCATCCTACTGACCGATTGGCCCTTCTCAAGGGAGTCGGCGTGCTTGTCCTCCGCCATAGCTGCCTGCCTTGGCCGTATACACAAGTTGTTGTCGTTGTTAGTGCAGTGGCGTCCGGGCCAAGCGGTCAAGCTTCGCGGGAGGCGCTTGGAGGCGAGGAAACTCTGAGCTTGGCAGGGTCTCTTGAGGGGAAAGTTACGACCGCCAGCTTCTACCCTACTTATTGTTGGAGGGCATCCTTCCTGTTGGCTGCTTGACAGCACATGACCCCTGGACTAAGCGGGACCATTAGATAATTACCCCGAGCAACCCCACCTGTCTCCAAGCAGGTATCGGCTGATTTTCGGCCCGGAATTGATTTCTATTCGTCGAGGGAACGCGAATCTCAAGAGTGTGGAGCCTGGGGAGAGATGATCAGTGGCCGTCTTGAGCCCCAACAAAGAGCGGTCGGTGTGGGCGGCAATGTTTTCTCACTGGACCCTGGCTGTGGGGGCCGCGGAGGGTTTCCGGGTGGCTAGCCCCTAGCTGTCCGGCCACTCTGTCGGCGCATCTTGCTCGGCTTGCCGCGACAGAGGACGTCTGCCGAAGTGGTTGGGTCATCATTTCGGTCCATAAATTCATCCTTACAAGTCTTGAGATAGGACGGTAACCGCGCATTGTTCTGAGGCTATTTATCTACTCATTCGACAAAGAGTTTGTACGTGGTGGCAAAAGAAATGCAGGTGTGCACGTTAAATTAGGAAGTGAAATTCGGGTTTGTCCAGATACCTTGACTGCGCAAACAACTGCTGCTACGTTCGACTCGGCTGAGTCTCGTAGCACATGCAATAACGAGCAGTCTATGGACGTGGTGTGATGAAAATCCATGCCTGGATCCTGGTAAGTAGACACGGGCTGTACGCAGTGTCATAATCAGAAGTCGACCCAAGTTGGCACTCAAACATATGTGCTTCTCTTTACAGGCGTTCTTGAGCATCAAAAGTCTGTGGGAAGATCCCGATCTGCACCTTTGGTGATTCCACGGCCTCAAAAGCGCTGGAGAAATTCTTCTGTACTCGACAAAGCCGACACTTGGGCACCAAGGCCGGAAGCATGCTCGCAGTGATCTTGGCAACTGCAAGGAGTGTGCTCGCAATAATTCAAGCTGTATCTTGCAGTCAAGGAGCTCTCCATCGACCGGATGACTTGTACACGAGCAGAACAGCATTTTAAGGACGTTCAAACAGATGAGTCATCGCCTCAGCTGGGTGTTGCGCCATATTGACGTGGGCTATCCTCCACAATCCTAAACCTCCATCCTCCACTGGCCGACTCCCACGTTCCTCTCCTCTCCACATTGTATTTTTGCAGCCTCCTGCAGTAGGGTAGAGATCTTATGGCTTTTCAACGTCTCGGAGAGAGTTCAGGCAGCACTTAGTACTTCTGTCTGCCTGTGACTATAGCCACTGGCCTGTTCAAAAACGCATTGGCATCCTGTCCGTCTTCAAGACATCGCACGTTCCGGTGCCTCCTGCAACATATGAAGGGCTTATTGGCGAGGCTATTGCTGTTCTTTTCTCAGAGAAAAACAATGTAGCGAGGGCTGATCACGTTGTGATCAATGATCCTAACAAAAGCCGAACGCTCGTATGATAAAATAAGAAAATTGATTACGAATGCACCGAATAGTGATTTTGAGTGTGCAATAACCGTCGGCAACAAAGCGAGCGGCCGTAAAGACTGCAATTCGTCGAGATGAGGTGGTCATGGTTGCCTAGAACTATGGGTTGCGCAACACGTTGAAAGCCTAGACGTTATGCATAATTTATATGACATTGATTTTAAGAGAGACAATGGTGTATCTTATGGACTTGCTCAGACAACTTCAAGCTGCGTCAGAAATACAGGAAACAAAGCTAGCCAATGAAAATACCTCCGCAATCAATTATATCTCGACACAATATTCGAACAGAAAAGTCCCAGTCAGGTGGTTCACGTCACTCATTGCAGCGCCTCGAACCTCTTGAGCAGCTCCTCGTCCTCACCAGCGCAGAACTTGACAGTCCACTGCCATAGGTCCTCCTGCTTGGCCACGTCGTAGCTGACTTTGCTCGAATCAATCTCCTTGGCTCCTTCAAAGTACTTGCCCGACACGCCGCGCACGTCCTCGCCCACCGCCAGCCGGGCCAGGTTGGCGCCCGACACGGAAGGATGGTGGATGTTGTCCATGCCCATCAAGAGCCTGAGCAGGGGCAGCACGCGGGGCAGCACGCGGAACCAGAGGAACCGCTCGATCGCGGTGCCCTCCCTGGCGAGCCCCGTGCCGGGCATCAGCCCGGGGTCCATGGCCGTGACGGTCCAGCTCGCGTCCGGGTGCTGCTTGTTGTGGGCCTCCAGCCGGCGGTGCAGGGCATACGTCCAGAGCACGTTGCACAGCTTGGCGTTGCAGTACCTCGCGCGGCCCTTGACCGCGCCGGGGTAGCCGCCCGCAACCTCCTGCGCGGTCGTGTACACGGCGTCGGGCATGCCGCTCTTCTGGGCCGGGTCGTGGACGCCGCTGGCAGTGATGACGATTCGGGCGTCCGGGGCGAGCGAAGGGGCGAGGAGGTGGAACAGCTGGGCGTGGCCGAGGTGTGTGACGGCAAAAGTCTTTTCGATGCCAGAGGGCGTGAGAGTGAGGTCGTTGGGGAACTGGAGAGCGGCATTTAGGACGACCGCCTTTATGGGCGGGTTTTGGGTGTTGGAGCTCCAGGCCATTGCGAAGCGGCGGACGTTGTCGGGGTCGGCGAGGTCGAGGGCTTGGAAGCGTACGTTAGACTGGCCGAGGGCGCGGTTGATGGAGTCGGCGGCGTGCTGCTTGTCAGAGCGCGAGGCCACGACGACGAGATAGTCGGGCCTGTCCTTGGCGATCTTGAGGGCGGCCTCGTAGCCAAGGCCGACGGTGCCACCAGTCACGATGACGGAGCCTTTGTATGCCATGGTGTGGGCGTGGTTGGATGTTGGAGATAGCGACAACAGAGGTTTGCGGCTTGGTGGCTGGTGAGACAACGTGGTAATGAATATGCGAGTGGTATAAGTAGATGATGCGATGATGCTTTGGTTTATAGGCTGGGAGGGAGTGTCTGTCTGGTCCGTCGTCCTCCCTCCAGGTGTACTTATACCGCGACGAGGGACAGCCGGTGTTGGCTCTATGGATGGCACGAACCAGCATTACCTCCGTAAAGCCCGACAATGCCAGAGTCTGATATTCGAGATGGCCTTGGATCTGGAGATGCACTTGTCCCGAAGCCGTGTCGGCTAGCAGAGATTGGGGCTGGAATAGCATCCGTGCGGATGAATGCCATCCGGCCGGTCCTCCGCCCCGGGTCCACGCTAAGCCCAATGAGGCCAGCAGTCGATGCTTGGCACCGCCCGATCGGGGCATCAGTCGAAAAGCGGGGCGGTGGGCCCTCGAGGCTTAGTTCCACCCGCCCATGTGCCCCGTCATCAGCTTTGTCAACTCCGCCGTCCACGGCCTCGCTATCTCCGGCCGGCCACCACTGACTGTGTCCCTCTCTCTTGTTGCTGCTGTCGTCTCTCATGGAACATGAGCCTCAGACACAGCCAGCTCACGTACGTCCCCCTGCCGTCGCTAGTCCTCGCACAACCAAGCCGCCATGGAGGACCCTTTCATCGTCACGACAGATCTCGCAGGGATCAAGCCCAAGGGCGACTCGCGGCGCCTCATCCGCCGCCACGTCATGAAGGGCAAGAACAAGCGGCCCAGAAAGGACTCTGGCCTGCAAGGCTCGACACGGTCTGCAGCGTGCCAGCAGCAAAACCAGAGCAAGTGGCTTGAGGCTCCTGGGCCAAATTTGTACGCCCATGTCACTACGATGGACCTGGCCACCATGGGCTTCCCCACAGACATGGAGCCGTACATGATCAAGCTAATCACACAATGTAAGGTCCATGGCATCCCAAACCATTGAGATGCTCCAATACTTTGGCCTCTCCACTATTGGCTGACCGCTACCACCTGTCCTCACCACAGTCTTCGTCGTCGTCGAGGAGACAGGCTCTCCCCTTGTCCGTTGCACGGAAAAAGGCACTCCATACTCACCTTACGACCTCATATACAACGACCTAGCTCACCTTCACATCACCCTGTTCATGGCCCAAACATACTTTGACAGAAAAGCCTTCCACCACAGCATTGACGGCAAGCCGACGAACTTTCCTAGTGGCTGGCCCAAGCCCCAGGAGCCACAAAACTTGCCACCGCTCAGCGGCCGAGCCATCCTCCATATGAACAAGGCCATCGAGTATCTCCAGCGCAAACTCGCCGTTCCGGACTTGGCGACGTCGTTGTCGGCAATTTTCGTCGTTCTATGCTTAGGGACGTGTGCCGAGGGACTGGGGGACTACGCGTGCGCCGAGAAACACCGGCAAGGCATGCATCATTTGATCGAGGCAAGGGGCGGGATCGAGTCTTTGGCATCGTACCCTCTCGTGCAGTTGAAGTGTTGCAGGTCAGCCCGCATTTGCTTCACCACCCACCACCATCCATCATGCATCTCTTGTCCCAATTATGCTGACCCTTGGAGAAAATCTTCCTGCCGTGCACAGGTTCGACATCAGTCTATCTCTCAAGACCGGCCACAGGCCGACACTTTTGCATCAAGTGTCCTGGAAAGCCCATATTCAGAACCTGAACGGCACCTTGTTCAAGGACCATCAACCACACGACAATTTTTTATCAGCGACGCCGACCTCACCGCGGACATGTTTGCACCGACTCTGCCGGACGCCTGACGCCCGGCTGGTAAACATCTGGACTGACCTCTCGGGAGTGTGCAAGTCGTTCAACCTCGCGCTGCAGATGGGGCGGAAAGTGAAAATGGTCCTGAGCAGTGACATTCTGGTAGCCGTCATGTACCGGCTGCTGTATCTCGACGGTGTATACTGCCCTAGAAATCTGTGCTCCGACAGCCTCGAGACGGACGGCAATCTGTTCAAGGCCTCGCCGCCACCGCCGTTGTCGACATCGTCGCCATCAACAACGTCGTCGTCATCACCTGGATCATGGTCCTTGTCCACGACACAATCATCGCTGTGGTCGACTCCCGCCAGTGCAAATGTCCTGCACACTGGCAGCGGGCATGGTATCGAGTACAGTCCAAGCTCTCGAGACCATGGCGTTGGTGGCCTTCAAAGAGGAGGTGGTGGAGGAGGGTTAGTGACCCACCCCGAAGACCACGAGTTGCTTCGCTTGGCCATGCTTGCCTTGACCTCGACGATATTCTTCGATACATACGGCCTGGAGCCCGCATACCCGAGTTTGGCGGGACAGATGTCCCGTGCGCTGCTCAGCGCGCTGCAGGACGAAAAGGGTCTGGCCGCCCAGCCGACAGAGACACGGCAGGTGCATCTGTGGGTGGTCTATGTAGCGTATACTGCCCTCTTCTCCGGCAACGCCGGCTACAACTCGATGGTGGGCAGCAACAGCAGCAGCAGCAGTGATCTAGGCATGAGCTTTGCCGCGTGGCTGCACGAGAAGCAGTGTGCTCTGCGAGCATCGCTAGGCTTGAACACCTGGGCCAAGACGAGGGCGGTGCTCAAGTCGTTCCTGTGGGTCGACGTGGTAAATGACTGCCCGGGGAAGCTGTTTTACGACACCAAGAGCTCTGCCATTGTCGGTGATCAGGGCATGATCGGAGGTGAGGGTAGAAGGGGGGTTAGCGAGCTTTTTGATGTTGAACGGCTTTGGGAGTGAGCGGTAAGGCTGTATACTGCGACAAAGAACCTGGCGGCACTACCCTTTTTCTCTTTTTCTCCTTTTTTTTCTTCTTGAGGGAGAGAGAGAGAGAGAGAGACGGCAAATGCAAGACAGAAAACTGCTTAGCCATTGCTTTGACCGCGTCTAACTGGGTACTTGGCCTGTGCTATTCCAGGCAACGCTGACGAGTGATCCCCAGGCTGCTGTCTCTGGCTGGGGGTTCATCACGTGATCCCACACCCATCGGGCCCGCCGCCAATCGGGACACATCACGGACCCGCCTCCGCGGGCTCCGCACGGAAGCCGCGGAAGGCACGGCCGGGACACCCACCCAACCCCAACCTCCTCCTCCTCCTCCTCGTGAGGCCAGGTTGACGAATCCTCGCACGTCGCTGCCTTGCGTCACCCTCGATTATCCTGGACCTCGGCAGAGACCGTCTCGACGCCTTGGACCTCTTCGAAAGGTATATTCGCGCGTGTCCTGGACGACAGCACGGCCGCCCTGTCTTTATCCCCTCTGCTTCCCTTACGACGCCCGGCTTGCCCAGTTTTGGTACTCAACACACAACATGTCAAACACAACCATGGCTCCGAACAAGAGATTCTTTCTCTATCCCGAGCCCATAGCCGCGTGAGTCTCAGCAAGGCTTGTCTGCTGCCTCTCCCATTGGTAGACCCCTGCTGACAATAGCCCTCTTCCTTCAGACCTCCGTCTCCACCACGTCCAGAGAGACAATCAAACCCGGCATTATCAGGGCTGGTCCTTGTCATCGCTACCTGGCTGTACGTGTTCTCCACCAGAGACGCATCGGGAAATCCTTGAATGCTGATATTGCACGTGCCCCCCAGTCTGGAATGGTCCAGCCTGCTCAGGCAGTACATCTGGAAAAATGCTGGTTTCGGCGACCTGCGCAATATCCGGGGGAGCCTAGAGTCCACCGAACCGCGGTTTGACCCTACCGTCTTTCCCCTCGAGGACGAGGCGCGCCCAGATTCCCCGTCCGAGACCAATGGAAGCGGCAACGGCAACGGCACCGCCGCCCCGGAAAAGACCAGCAAACTCGCCCCCGTCGGACAGCGCCACTACACCGTGGCTGACTATCGCGAAATGTACCTCTCTGGAGAGGTCACGCCTTTGGACGTCGCGCACGTTATCCTTCCTTTGATCCGTCGGGACACGTCCCCTCCCGGTCCGCACTCGCTGGCCTGGCACGACGTCAAGGTCGAGCTGGTCCTCGCTGCCGCCAAGGCGTCCACGGAGCGCTATGCCGCGGGCCAGTCTCTGGGCCCGCTCGACGGCGTCCCGTCCGCGATCAAGGACGAGTATGAAATGACCGGCTACACGACGACGCTGGGCTCGGCAAATGAATACGCCATCGCGAAGCTCGAGGACGGCAAGCCGGATGCCTGGAACGTGCGGCAAATGGAGGCCGCGGGGATCGTCATCTTTGGCAAGGCCTCGATGCACGAGTTTGGCATGGGTGCGTGCTCTACACCGAGTCCCGTCCCCCGTGATGGTCAAGGAGATGATTTAGAAAATCCTTCGCTGACAGTTTCTTTTTTCAATTGACCAGACACATCCGGCAACAACATCACCTTCGGCACGACCCGCAACCCGTTCAACCCGGCCTACTACCCGGGCGGCAGCTCGGGCGGGTCCGCCTACGCCGTCGCGTCCGGGCTGGTCCCGATCGCGCTGGGTAGCGACGGGGGCGGCTCGATCCGCATCCCGGCGTCGTACTGCAGCGTGTTCGGGCTCAAGACGAGCCACGGGCGGCTGTCTTGCAAGCCCGGCGAGAACCACAGCAACACGAGCGCCGTCAACGGGCCCCTGGCAGCCGACATCCGCTCTCTCGCCGCCTTCTATGGCATCCTCAGCGAGGCCCACCCCACCACGTATTTCCCACAGCGTTCACCGTTCAGTCCGGCCCCGACGGCGGACCAGATCCTCTTCTCTCCCTCAGCATCCCAGATCGGGGGACAGAACAGAAAGAAACTCCTAGGCATCCCCGAAGCCTGGTTCACCCGGGCAGACCCGTCGGTCCAGAAACTCTGCCGCGCCACAATCGCCCGGCTCGTCACGCAAAAGGGCTACACCACGGTTCCCATCGACATCCCCTTCCTGCACGAGGGCCAGATCGCGCACGCGCTGACCATCCTGACCGACGCGGCGAGCCTGCTCCCCCCTTCGCACCCCACCGTGGCCCGGTACAAGCGGGACTACGCGCGCCTGTCGGCCGCGAACCGCATCCTGCTGGCCCTGGGCCGGACCACGACGGCCGTGGACTTCCTCCTCGCGCAGCGGCTGCGGCGCGTGCTGATGCAGCACCTCGCGTGGCTGTGGTCTGCCGAGCAGTTCGGTCCGGAGATGCTCATTGTCACGCCCGTCAGCGCGTGCGCGGGCTGGCCGATTGGCAACACGGACGTGCGCGGCGGGGAGCTCACGCGGGGGCTCAGCGACGGGGATCGCACCCTCAGGACCATGGAGTTTGTCTGGATGGGCAACTTCTGCGGCGTGCCCGCGTTGTCGGTGCCGAGCGGGTATGTCGTGCCCAAGGAGGGTAAAGGGGGTGTCGCCGGCGAGGCGGTGGGTAAAGGGGAGGTTGTCGAGGGGATGGTGCCCGTGGGGCTGATGGCCATGGGCGAATGGGCGAGCGAGGAGGGGTTGTTGAGGTTCGGACTGGACGCGGAGGAGGTCATGGGTGCGGAGGAGGACAACGTGCAGCGCCGGCCTGAGTGCTGGGTGGATGTGTTGAAGCTTGCAAAGGAACGGAAAGGCAGGTCATAGAGGAGAGTGATAGGAAGTGAAGACACCTTATTAGATGCGACTAGATGTAGATTTGACCTCGGCGGGAAGTCTCGCAACGAGCCAATTACATAGAACAATGCGAGCTATGATTGAAGAAGATCCTCCGTTGCAGATCTTCAGAGGATCACGCTTCTTCATGTTGAGTTGATGGATAATCAGTTGTTTCTCTGTCCATGCTAACAGTGGCCTGCCTGATGCTACCTGGTCCGCTGAGTAACGTGGGCCTGTCCATAGCCTAGATGTATAGACAGCAGTACGGGCATATCGCTGTCCTACGCTTCTAATTCGCCTTTCACCTCGCGCCGTCTCTGAGTTGCTTCTGTAAAGCACGTATCAGCACAACTTTTGAGCAACAGAACCGGGGGCACATCTTACCAAGGCATCGCCCAAGGCTGTAAAGAAAATCATCTTGACGTCATCCGCGTCGCTGACGCCACCTTGCACCTCAAAGGTGGTCTTAAATGCTGCGAGATGCCTCTGACGCACGGTATTGTCCAGGCTTATCGTGTGGTTCCACGCCTCCTCGTTCACGAGTCTACCAACATGGCGCCGAGCGAGCAAGTAGAGCTGCTCTCGGGTGCTGATTCTGATTCTTTGGGGTACTAAAGGCCCTGGCATGGCTGACTGCTGGCTCCTTGAGGCGCTTGAGGTTGCAGCTTGGCTAGAAACTACTTGTGTCGGGCTGCCTCGATGCGGAAGGACAATCGCGGCCGGACTCCGGCCTTGTGATCCATTCAACGTCTCGGAAGGTTGTGGAGGCTCCGCCTGGGGAGGCCTCATCTGGGGGGCAGATTGCCTGGTCTTGGTCCTGGACGCTGCCACTCGCGGAGTCCCAACGTGCATCCTGATCTCACTGTTTCCATTGCCTTGAGTCGCTCGTCTTCCGTCCGTATCCGCAGTCGCGACAAGGCTGACGCCGCCGTCAAACGTGATGCGTTTCCTCACCCGGAGTCGCATGTGGCGTGGACCGAGTGCTTGCAGCCGGCCAATGTTCTTTTCACCGGGCACCAGCATCTGCGCGGTAGGGCAGAAGACCAGTGCCTCGCCCGTCTGCAGCTCTGTGATCGACCGGAACACGTCTTCCTGCTTCCGCTCAGAAGCACCCGCACTTCCTCCTGTGACGCCCGCAAGGTGCCCCTTGAGGGTGCCGTACCAAGCTGGGGACGAAAATCGATGGACGAATGTGGCATTCGACAGGTCAATGAGTTTGGGGGAGAGTGTCGGCTCTTGAGTGGCTATGAGCACCCGAGTGCTGACGTGCCGCTGTTGTCGGATGATTGAGGTCAACTCCTCAGTGAGGACTTCGGCGGCTCCGGACTGTGTAAGAAACTGGACAACCCATCATCAGCGAGTTGATCAGCAACGCATAAACGCGGGAAACCTCATCATTACCTTGTGGGCTTCGTCAAGAGCCACTACTCGACTGCAGTTCGACCGCTCTTGCATGAAGATGGAAAGACACATGGAAAACAAGCTACATGCGTCGTCCGCTGACAGGAAGGGGTCGCTGAGATCGACAATAGTCAGAGTGCCGGGCTGGAAAGCCCAGATGTCCTGCTCAGCAGCTGCTGGTTTGGTCGAGTGAGGCGTCAGTTTCGGCGTGAGGAAGCTGTCCAACAACTCAAGCCGCATATTGAGCGCCACCTCCTGGTCGCGCATCAGGGGTGTATCCGCCAGGCGCTGTCGAAACAGGCTGTACGTGAATGGGCTGCCCTCCATGGCAATCTCGCGGATGATTCTCATCACAATCTCCATGTACAGAGGCGCAGCTTTCCCAGTGGGGTTGAACGCCATCAGTTTAAGGATTCTCGAGATGTTGAGCTTGGAGTCGTCAAAGTATAACGGGACGATTTGCGGTCTCGGGCAACCCTCAGGAAGACCTTGAAGGTCGCTGTACATGCGGTCCATGGCCCATATGTTTGACGGGGCTACGAGGATCTTGACAGGTATGCCTGAAGAGCACAAGTATGCGGCTTCGCAAACCTGTGTTGCCGTACTGCTCGAGAATGTGTCGTAGTGGAAGATGAGGCCTGCCATGGGATGAGAGAGCGTCCCCGTCGGATTGTTCTGGATCAGACACGATTCAAGCAAGCAGGAGAGAGTGTGGCTCTTGCCGGCTCCCTGGGAACCGCAGATGAATGCTGACCAAGGGACGTTCAGGTTTGCCAGAATGAGCTGATCCTCAGGGCTTGGGTTGAGCTCATCGACGTCTTCACAAAGGCCAATTAGCCCATATTGTGGTACTAGACCACGACTCGTTGATTCTCGCCGTGCAGGCGTCTCCGCCAGCGTCCGAGCCGCGACACTGAACAGTGGTGCATTGGCAAAAGCCTGACATTGCCTTTCTTGATCCGCATTCAAATTGCGGGTGTTCTTGTAAGGCGCTGGCGTGTAATTTAGTAGATCCTGGATGTCCAGTGCGTTTTGTGGCATTTCCACTCCGGGTTTCGCGTTGGTTTGCCGGAAGTAAGAGAATATCGACATGTTGACGGAAAGACCCAGCCACTTGAGCAAAGAAAGTCATAGCTCAAGGACAACAAATGACCTTGTGAATGTGGGAGTGTTAAATGGTCAGCGGTGGACATACGGCCCGCTTTGAATGCTCAGAGGTACAGAGCATACGGTCCCGGCTGGACACCAGTTTGGTGGCAGCATCCCGCCAGCGATATCAGCTTCGTCTCAAAGTCTCGTCGGGTGCTTCCGGCGGCCGGAAAAGCAATCAAATCGTGCATTAGCGCAGAAATATGTGGCTGGGTCTCAACAGTGACAACGGCCTCACGCTGCACGCCGGCAAACGCCGCACAATGTTGCAGCCCGAGCTGCATCTGTAGGAGGCCGACCACTGGTACGCACAGGTCATGGTCGACCATTTGCGATGCTCCAGACAACAGTCCATATGTTCCATAGCTGGGATGTATCCCGTGACCGCTCAATGTCTTACTTGAGTGCTTTGCAGTCCACCTACTCGCATATGCAGGAGGCCAGCCAAGACCAGCGGTGTCTTGCTGGCAACGCTTCGTTCAAAATGCTGCCCTCGTACCCAACGTGGCGCACATGCTGCAACTGGCAGCTCGAATGGAACGTCAGCCTTTATTTTTCCTAGCGGAAGAACGACTCCCTATGTGCATCACCTGGGCTGTCAAAACACTAGGTCACGCCCATGTATAGCACCCACGGAAACAGTGTAGATTTCTTGAACTGTTCCATATTTTCTCAAGCGTGCTTTTCTAGTTGATAATCTTGCCCTCAAATCCAGGCACGATCACCTGCCCGTGATCACTCCTGTACGTCTTGCCCCTCTGCTGCTGCCACATCTGCTTGGACTTGGTAAACTCGCCCATGTTCGGCACCGGGTGGCCTCCTTGCTCAAACTCATTCTGTGTGAAACCTTCCCTCTTGAGCAAAGGCGAGTCCACAGTCTTGAGCACGAGATCGTTCTGCGGGCGCGCAAAGTACAGGAGGCCCAAACGGTCGACATGTCTCTGGTCCTTGGGCGGCACAGACACGCGGTGGATAGTGGACTTGATATACCCGCCCGTCAGGAAGCTCAGCGCGTCGCAGGTGTTGACCGTCAGGCTCGCGTCCAGAGGCTTGGCCCACTTCCACTGGCCCGTGGCGTGGTCCTTGATCTGCAGCGCGGCGACAGGCTGGCGGAAGAGGAGCGTGATTGTGCCAAGGTCAGTGTGGCCATAAGACCAGAGCCCGTCGCCAAGTTTCTCGATCTCTTCTTCGCTGAACTTGGAGTACTTCATGTACCGGAGGTGGGACTCGTCGTGTGTCTCCCACTTGTGCACGTTGGTGAAGAAGTCCTCGGGAAGCTCGAGAGCGAGGGCGATGAGGTGGTTCAAGGGGTCCAGGACGCGGTCGTGGAGGTCCTGAGAAAAAGAGGTCAGTGGTGCTATGCGGGAGAGGAAGAGCCCATTCGTGCAGTTAAGGATCACCCACCTTTGCGAATTCCTCGATCTCCCCCTTGTTCTCGTTCAGCAGCTTTGGGAGGGGCTGTGTGATCCGACCATCGTTTGCTGTGCAAGCCCTGGTTAATCATGCTCCACGTCGAGGATTGTCGAGTCAAGACATACTGGCCATGTTCCACACCTCCGTCTTGTCCGCGACACCGCCACCCATGATTCTTCTCCCAGCAGGGCGGTAGCCATTGTAGTTGCCGTTGTCCAGGTCGGGCGTATACTTCTCCTTCTCTTCGAGAGGCAGCTCATAGAATGCTTGACCCAGAGCGAACTGGCGGTCCACGCGCTCCTGCGCGATGCCAAAGTTGGTCACATAAAAGAAGCCCTTGGTCCGGATGGCCTCGATCAGGGTGTCGGCCAGCTCCTTGTTGCCGGCGGGGGTGCCATACTTGGCCAAGTCGATGGTCGGAACTGTGGGGGAAGGATGTTAATTGCTACTCTTTGTGCATGTAGGAAAAGAGGCTCATCTAGGATTGCTTACGGTCAGCCCAGTCCAGGTTCTCCTTTGTCTCCTGGACATGGGAGTACTGGTAGAGATGTGTTGCAGAAGGCATCTTGGCACCGATAAGGCAGGCTGACGGATGATGATGATACAGAGTCTGGTCTCACAAGACACGACAAAGCCCTGATGGATTGCGAAAGGCACCCTGTCGTGTTTATAGTACTTGGCACTGGGCGCACTCAAATACCTCACAGGGCAACGGGAACTGACCCCCCATATTCTCCGCGTCATCCGTGAGGGGAAGCAGGAGGAGGTGCTGATGGAGCTACTCATCTCGGGTCCGGTGCGGAGCTGACCCGACCCCATCCCTCCGGCAGTGCCTTCTCCACCTGCCACCGCCTGGGCGAAACGGACCGGGCCCGTGACGCCATCACGGCCAATGTCACGCAACTGGCTCACCACACGCGCTCATTCGCCCATTGCCACCACCACGCGCCAGTCAGACCAGCTGCACTCCAACAAGCGATGTTCCCCTGGTCGGTCTTGGGGCACGACTCGCCCGCGAGTCAGAATGTCCCGATTGCTGGGGCTCCACCTACTCAGGAGACACGCGCGAACCAGCAGCACGGCACGGCGCATTGCGTGATGGCTGTGCATGTTGCATCATTGCACTGCGCGCGGGGATGATAGTCTTGTTTCCTCATCTCGCCTCCCCTTGGTGCAGCTGTCACTACGGACTTAACCCCTGTCTTCGTCGCTCACAACACGAGAGCTCCGAGATAGGCATGATGCAATGTCATATTCATATCACACAAACTGGGCCAAGGTTCTTGGCCGATAACGTCCTGGTGGAATTCGCGCAGCTTGAGGATGGGTGTGTAACTCTTCAATGCCGTCGGAAGGCCCCGCCGATCCCTTCACTACCGAGTGGTCGCCATCATGCCGGTCGATGGCGAATGCACCCCTGGATCCTGGCCCAGAGCGTACTTTCCGGAGAGTTTGCCCAAATAGAGGTCGACGAAGTAGAGGCACGGACAATCGCCGGCGGGAGATTCCCGGGAGAGATCCCGCGGAACGGGGCCCATCAGGTTTTCTCACAGGCTTTACTTGGCATTGTTGTCGTCGTCCACTAAGCGGCGAGATAATGCAGTGGGCAGATTCTGCACATACCACAGCCACTCGCTTATCTAGACAAAGATCCCGTCACATTATTTCACCCTGGAGTGTCGCTGTTCCTCACGCGTCAGTTTGCAACGATCGACAAGCGCCTTCCCGGAAAAGCCATCTCGAGCAGTCATCATGGGGTTTGTTGGCCATCAGCTGAAGAAGACCAAAGTCGGGGCGGTGATAGTTTCCGTCTTTGACTGGTACCGTGAGTCGGCCTTGAGTTGAAGCATGTACGTGCTCCTACTGACAATACCTCTACGCAGCCGCCCATTATCCTGCAGAAGAACGAAAGCTGCTGCATAAGCTTGATCTCGCCATTTTAGTGTTCGGATGTCTAAGCTGTGAGTCGTCTATATTCTCATTCCAGATATGAATTTCGCACTAACTCATTTGTGTGCCAGTCTTCTGCCGCGTACGTGAACGCCCGTCTTTAGCGTGGTCCTGACCAGTGTCTAACAACATCACAGTTTCTTGGTCAGAACAACATCACAAATGCCTACGTGTCGGGCATGTCAGAGGACTTAAACGCCCATGGCAATGAGCTCAACTACTACCTCGTCGCTTGTATGTATCTTTTGGTGCAAATCAGCTTGGCTTGTGCATTAGGGGTCACGCAAGATGGACATGACCGTTAACCCCCCCCACGCAGATAACACCGCCTATGTCATTGGCCAGATCCCGTTAATGACACTGCAGACAAAGGCTAGAATGTATGTACCAGTATTGCTCCCATCGTCGACCGCAGGCACTGATATCAAGCTTCAGCGCGCCATTCCTGCTGCCAACTTTGCAGATCTTCTGGGCCATCATTGCATTCTGCCAGTCTCGTGTCACACAGAACTGGCACTTGTACATTCTTCGGGCTACGACGGGCTTCCTTGAGGCTTCCTCATTTGGAGGCACACATTTGATCCGTAAGCTAGTCTCATTTCGACCTGGCTTGACCACCTGAGAAGGAACCCAAAACTAACGTTACATGACCCATGTAGTCGGCAGTTGGTTCAAGGATGAAGAACTTTTCAAGCGTGCCGGAGTGTGGTTCACTTGCAACGCCCTTGGTGGTGTCATCAGCGGCTATCTCCAGGCCGCTACGTATAGCAATCTTCAAGGTGTTTTGGGCCACACAGGATGGCAGTGGCTCTTCCTTATCCGTAAGTGCTCGTGAACTCCATCCTCTGCCCGCTTGCGAACATGTCCAGGGCAGTTCGTCCTTCACACATCCTTGATCGGTCGTCACGATGACGGACATCTTCAACAGAGGGTGTCATCACTCTTCCCACAGCTTTCATCGGCTTCGCCTTCTGGCCAGGTCTTCCCATCTCGCCGAAGCGATGGTACTTCACCGATGAGGAGCACGCGCTGGCAGTCAAGCGCATTCCTGTCGTTGAGAAGGAAGGCATCACGTGGAAGACGTTCAAGTACACTCTTTCCCGGCCGATGTGGTGGATCTGTGTTCCCTGCTACATGTAAGCATCCGCTGTATACTTCCGCGGCTCGCTCCTTGGCTGGCTACTGTCTACAGGAAAGAAACTGATGATTGGGATTCAAATAGCTGCCTTTGCCAAGCTGCCTACTGGACGGGTTACATGCAGCTCTGGCTCAAGAGATCTGGCTTCTCGGTACAGCTCGTCAACATCCTGCCGACATTCATTGACATTATCCGTGCGCTGTCGTCATGGCTGGGCACGACACTGGCCGGCTGCCTGAGCTTGCGCGGGATATGGTCCTTCCAATTCGTAAGTCTGGGCTTCACCTTCAGGTGTAGGATAGGCTTGCTGACACTAGGCAGACCTTCATGTTCTTTGCTTGTATCGTCCTCGCTGTGTGGAATGTCCCGGACGTCCTCAAGTTTGTCGCCTTCTACTGCGGCGGCTTCTCTGGCATGGCTTCGCCAATCTTGGTTAGTGAAACACCTCTCCGAACAGTCCTCCACCCAAGCTTTACATTTCAAGTGGCTAGATAGGCAAACAGTAAACTGACAAGATGCCGATCACTAGTACTCCTGGTTGAACACGACGCTCAAAGAGAACTATGGCGAGCGCGGCCTCATCATATCCTCCATGATGACGCTCGGCTTCTGCATGCAGATCTGGGTGCCTCTGTTTACCTACCCAACCGTCCAAGCGCCTCGATTCCCGAATGGATACCCGGCGTCTGCAGTCTTCGAGTTCGCCATGTGGGCATTCCTCATGTTCGGATCCTGGTACATGGCGCGCTGGAAGCTGCGTCAGCAGGGGCGAAGCGACGTGGAGAACCCCGCCACCACCGGCGAGACGCGGGAGAGTGGCGATGTCACAAACCTGAGTGTCGACCAGGACGAGAAGCGTGCTGCAGTCTCTGGCGTTGCGGTCAGCGGCGTCGAGGGCTCGACCAGTGGTGGGTCCAGCATTGATGGACGTAAGTCAGTGGACGAGATTTATGCCAGTGGCCGTGAGGGGGCGAAGACGCATTGATCAAGTCAAGCTCCTACATGGTGGCGGAGCAGACGAAGGGTGTACTGTTGTGGAAGGGACGTCCTGAGGGCAGGTGTCCTAGGTGTCGGTCATACCCAAGGCTCAGCGACGGATGAATCACGACTTGCGGCACGGTACTGGCCTTTCAGCCCACTTAAAAGCCAGCCTGGATGTGGTAACGTCACCGTACGAGGGCTGCGACCATGCCGGGCCCTAAAGTCAACGACAGATATAGACAGCTTGACAGCGAGCAGAATGAAGTCCCACAGGGCCACGACACCACTCCACATAGCTGGATCTCGATGAGCTTCTGTTTTTACGCGCGAAGCAGCACCATCTCCAACTAAGGCGCTGGCCAGATTGTATCCTCCCAAAAATATCTCTCCTCTCACAGAAGATCCTCCAACTTGAAAGGGGCGTCTGTACTCCGCGGTTTCCCGCCTATTGGCGGCTAATAATAGTACATACCCGATGTGGTCCGAAGAGGGATCCTTCTATTGGTGTTACGTAAGTGGACATTGCTCAGAGCATGGGTTGCCCAATAAGAAGATGAGGCCAATTGTTGCACGTCACTGGCCAATGGATCTGCAGGGCTGGTTTTCCAAATGTGATGTCATCAGAGCCTATCGCCCTGACTGTCAACCGAGCCCGGTGCCAATATCAATTACCAATATGGCGGAAGATCAGGGCTTGTCTTGCACGCCATCAGCTACAGCAGCCATGAGTTCTGCGTGAGAAAAGAGGTGGAAATGAGGGTGTGTACCTAAGTCGCGACAGATGGAATCCAGGGCCGAAAGCATGGCTCCGTCGGATGAGGGCCCTCTCTAAGCTTCAAGTACAGCCCGGCGGGGTGGTGTTGAAAGGTTGTACTACCCAGAACGAATGCAAGAGCAAGGATGCGATCGTGTTCTCCGTTGTTCAGGGCCGGCGAATATCATTTCTATTTTGAACATCATGTCTCAGTCGGAGCCGAACTGACTGCGTTACGTGAAGTTTTCAAATTGCGCCTGTGCATCTATACCTTGAGCGGTAGCATGTACCGATCGACAAATCGGGACTGAGCTTGTAGGCTGCTTTTGGACCTCTGAGAACGTAGTTGTGACGAATATTCTACTACATCAAGGATCTCGCGGGTCTTGCCGTTAACCCGGGCTCAAACCGATACTGAATTTAGAACATCGTCACGGACATACCGTCATCAGTGTTGTCAAGAGAAGAAACAACGCAGTACGATTGGAGATTTGATGGAAGATCTTTCTCCATCGTGACAGATGACTTGAACGCACCAGACTCAGATATCCTCGGACTTCGTGACCGCTTAATGACGGTCTGATGTCAAAGCCCAGTCTATAAGTAGTCTCAATCGGTCTTTCTTTCTCGAGGCAATCCATTTGCACCATCAATCACAAATATTGAACATAACAACAACCACGAACATCATTCTCGAACCTATTTTTGCTACCTCATCTCAAACACACTTGTCCTTTCACCACAAACATCATGAAGTTCACCTCCACCATTAGCGTCGTCCTGGCCCTCGCCACCTTCTCCAACGCGGTCCCTTCGGGTAACGGCCTTCGTGCCCGAGCCGCCGGCCATCAACTTGTCCAGCGCGATTGTGATTGCGATTGCCAGTCGGACTGCCGCCGCGACTGCAGCAACGGCTTCATCTCCAACCCGGTCGGGTACTCGGTCTGTGTCCTTGCCTGTGGTGACACTTGTGGCTGCGGGGCCAACACCCTCTGCTGCGAGGACGGATCCTCCTGTGAGGGCTCGGGATGCTGCGAGTGAAGAGAGGTGAGTTCCACCGCGGACAGACTCTGCCCCGCGCCTAGTCGCTTGCCCTTCGCTGACGCCTTTACTTCTGTCTAGGATTCTTGGAAATGAAATATAACCACAATATAAATATGAACAAAACACCAAGATGGTGGGCCAGGAATGCTGCGGCGGCAGAGAATTGGATAGCAGACCGAACTTTCATTTCCGCGTATTTGTCGTAGTTATCCGACATGTATAAGTAGCCAGGAAGCACTCAATAGGACACTCGTTTTGCAATAGCACACTTGTTTCAAGGATGTAACCCAATGCCTTGTAGCATTCTAAATACCATGACTGGGAAACTCGGCACACTTCCGCGCTGGCCGGGGATCGGACTGCGGCGCGCTACCGCTTTCAACACTAAAAGGCCTCCAGGTGGTCCGTAAAGCGCCATGGTCTGATTCATGTGCACTTTGCGCGGTTCATGCAGATTCACAGGGACAAACAAATGCTCATTGCCCGTTCTGTCTAAAACAAAATATCTACGTGGACGAAAGATCCAAATTTATGCAATGAACATCCCACCACCTTAGAAAAACTCTGGCAGGCTGCCAAAGTTGGGCACCGCATCACCGCACTTCCAGCTCTTCTGGTACGCGAGCTTTGGCATGAACCCGCCCTTCCACGCGGCCTCGTAGCTCCACAGGGGCGCGCTCTCGGTCTTCCACGTCCAGTAGAAGTAGCCCCAGGACCGCTCGAACGCGGACATCTGCGCTTCGGCCCAGGTCTGCAGGAACAGCTTGTACTCCTTGGTGTACGTGCTGGGGTCGGCCATGTCGCGCGAGCAGTCGCACTTGTCGTCCTTGGTCGGGCACGCGGGCGAGTTGCCGAAAAAGGTGCCGTTCCAGCGCGCGCCGTTGAACACGCCGTTGAGGTGGAGCGTGCAGTCGGTGTCGGCCTGCGACCACTCGCCGACCATGGTCGGGCCAAAGGAGCTGCCGGCCACGTCGTCGGCGAGGAGGCCGCAGGCGTAGTTGATCTTCTCCTTGTGCGTCAGGCCGATCAGGTACTCGTCAAAAATGAGGTACTCGTGCACGTCGAGGACCAGCTTGTCGCCGTGGCCCTGCAGCTGGCCGCCCCACGCGGGCAGGCCCTTCATCGACTCGCTGAACACGATAGGCGCACTGATGCCGTTCTTGGTGACGAGGTTGAACGCGTCGGTCGTCCAGCTGACCAGGTCGGCCGTGGGCACCTTGAGGGCAGGCTCGTTGGCGAGGCCGTAGAAGGCGATGATGTTCTTGTACCGCGGCTGCGCAAAGAACTTGCTCAGCTTGTCGTGGATGTCGAGCGAGCGCTTGCGGTTGAGGTTCTGCTTGGGACCGGGCTGCGAGTCGGTGCCTAGGATCCAGTTGAAGACGTTGATCGAGTGGCCAGAGTGGTTCCAGCCGTTCTGCGAGCCGGGAAGGGCGTGCAGGTCGAGCTTGACGCGCAGGCCGTACTTGCGACACCACTCGAGCGCGCGCAGCAGGTACCGCCACGAGATCTGCGGGACGTACGGGTCGTCGTCATACGTCTGCACCGCCCAGTAGGAGAACGGGATGCGCACGTGGTCGAGGCCTGCCGCGGCAATGTTCTTAAAGTCCTCCTCGGTGATGAAGGTCGCGTAGTGCTTCTCGAGGACCTTGGCCGCCTCCGAGGCGCCGAGGTGCTTCGTCAGAGTCCACTCGTCAATGATGTTGAGGCTCTTGGGGTAGTCGAAGAGGGAAGGCGTGATGAAGGGCTCGAGGGACAGCCAGCCGCCAATGTTAACGCCGCGGATCGGGCGAGACGGGCCATAGGCGCCCCACGGCTTGTTGAGAGCCGGCACGTTCTGGTTCGCTCGGCTGTCGTCGGACCAGGTGCTGTTGAGGCCGAGCAGGGGCAGCCCGCCGACCGTCTCAGAGGTGAAGCTGCAGTTGAAACCGTCCATGGTGAGCCATGTCGACTGGTCCATGGCGGTGCCCTGGAACTCTTTGGGCAGGTCCTTGGGGTCTGAGCATTTCTGGGGCGCCTGCTGGCTGTCATCGTCCTCCGTGCTGACTTGTGTGCCAGCGTTTGTTGTCGGAGCCGGCGCATCTGCTGATGACGATGATGATGATGTGCTGCTGTTGATATCTGACTGCGCATTGGCGCCCACCGTGGCTGTGCTAGAGCTGCCACCGATCATGTTCCTGGCGAAGAGCACGCCAATTACTGTGCCGGCAATAGCAACGACCGCAATGGCGAGGCCGATCCATAGCCCTATGCATTCCTATAGTCAGCATACTGCACTCCGTTTCCACAAAACTTCCATGTACACCGTCGAACCCGGCGGTGCAAGCTCTATCGCGTCGTCCCAAAAAGGCAAAGTGGTGTCTCACATATCTTGCGCTTCTCGTTGCTGGGCTTCTGTTGTTTCCGGTCCCCGCTGCCCTTTTCCCGCATCTCAATGCCATCATTGTCATCGCTGAAAGAGGCTGCCTTTGTTGCAAAGCTGACAGTGCTGTCGCTGAAGGTGACTGACTGCTTGACGGCCATGGTGTCTGTCGTTTGGGTCTTGGTCCGGTGAAAGATATTAAGTATTATCGAGCTGATGAAGTCGTAAGTCGAGTTGAATAGTCGTGATTACTTTTCAAGCCGTACGTAGCGAATGTGTCGAATTAGATTATCGTGTAGCGATCGTGTGGTAGCGAATGTGGTGTCGGCAACGAGGCCGTGGTGATTAGAGTCGAGATGGGCTACGAGTGCGATTGCATGATGCTGGCGATGTTCTCAAGCAATGATAGCCATGACGCTGCAGGCGATGTGTGTCAGTCGTTACAAATCGTCTCCAGGGCAGACGGTGCTTAGCACACGAGGATGCCAGACATACAAGAAAGGACGCGAAGGGACGAGAAGGCGACGTGGGGAGAAGTGTGGTGGAGGAAAAGCCCAGGCCAGGGCAGCAGACGCCAACATGGATATTATTGATTCCAGAAAAGCATGGTGTGCCGCCGTTCGTGAGTGTGGGGGACGCCATGGGTCGTCCCATTGGCGCCCCGTGCCCATGTCCTCGTGTTCCGGCCGACGCCGTTCCCAGCCTGCCTGGCGAGATCGCGACATGGTTGTGAAAGCACAGTGGGGACTGTTGGTGGTCGTTCAGCTTCGTGAATGTGTCAGCCCCGTCTCGTTAGGCTGGTCTTGGCAGGCACCGGCATGGGTGCTCATCTTAAAAGTACGAGAGGCTAAGCTTGTTCTGGGACCCGGCACGGGATTTCCACAATTCCATTGTGCCGCCGTCCCCGGTGGGTGCGTGATCGCAGTGCTCGCCGTTATGTTGGGCCACTGCAGGCTCAGAACTACACTTTGGCATCGCAAAACTTGCCCTTCTGCTATAAAATTGTCTGATCAGTACATGATGAAGGTCCGGACGGACTGTCGGGGGCCCTTCATCTCGTGTTCTCTGCTCCCCCCGCGCCCGCTCAAGCTCGTGTCCGCCTGCCGCCCGGGCTAGCCAGGCCCAATGAGCGTGGATCAAGGCGCGAAAGCTTGCAAGCTAGCTGCGCAAGGCTGTGGTGCCTGCATGGGTGGTCCCCTGAAAGCAGGGGCAATTTGACTCAACCCAGGCCGCCAGGCCAAGCTTTGTCAGGCCATTCCCCCTTGTGCATGTATGTACATTACTGGACCGTCCGACCTCTGCTTGCTCGGATGCAGGTTGATGGGTCGCAGTGTAGCATCGTGACTAACGACCCATCCTTCGTGTCGCATAACGCCTGGGTCACGTTCCGGTGTCAGGATTTCCGGACCATTTCTGGCGCTGCCCCGGCCAAGACAGGGCGGTTCTCTGCACCGCCCTCACCAAGCCGAGCTGGCATACGAACGGCACAGGTCCAAGGAGTGATCCGCCGGTGGCTCTGGGGTAGTCCGCGGGCACGACATGACGATCAACTGCTGGATGCCCACGGGTTCGGGTCACGGTGCCGCATCGAACCTGACCTGCGGGTCTCACCTCGTATCCATCGTGTCGCAAGGACCCCTGGGTCTCGTGCAAGCTGCATCACACCCATCGTTCCCGTTCGCTCGTGTGGCAGAACCATTGTCGCCGTCGGTGCTCATATCTGCATGACTGATTTGAGGCATTTGGCAAACGGCTCCGAGGTCATGCGCCGTTCGGTTGGCGGACAGCCGGACACGGAAGACACGAGCTGGTGACCCCATGCCACAGCAGGATGGTGCCGATTTAGTCGATGAGAATGCGTGGGGGAGCCATGTTCGGCCGTCGTGGTGGGATCGGCGAAGGGATTGTGAGACTTGGGGCCCAAATTTGCAGGCTGGGCACGCTTTTCCGCAATGTCTCACTTCAGCGACAGTCATCCTATCAACCAGTGATGCAGAGGTACTGTTTAAACAAAATCCAGAGGCGCCTGCTGCTTGGGCAGCCTTGCAGAGCTTGCCTGTGAGGCTCTATTGGTCGTTCGTGAAGATCTTCACACATCTAAGTTGGAGGTCTTCCATCATGTTGCTTCTGATGGCATGATCTATATGCCCATCCGAGCCTACTGACTCGGCTAATTCTCAGAGCCTGAAGACATCGAACCTGTCCTCACAGATCAGCTCCTGCCATCCCAGTGTCTCATCACCCTTGTCCCTCTCGTTTCCTTTCTCCGTCCTCGCCGCCCATACTGTCTCAACAAGCTCTTTCAGCAATGCCACATTTCCGAAACCCAGCTTTCTTTTTGCTTCAAACCACGCCCTCATCCTCCTCTGCAGACCCGGCCCGTCACACTCTGCACCGAGCACCAGCGCCGGCCACATCATGACCGACCCCGCTGACCCGGCCGACACGGCCTCGATGGCCTCGAGCTGCCTCACGCCGCTGTCCACGAGGACCTGCACTGCCGAGAGCGGCTGCCGCCGGACACACCGCTGACAAAAGACCAGGCTCGCATAGTAGAATGCCTGAGCCATGTGGTGCAGCATGAGGGCGTGCGTGGGCGCCAACATAGGGGGGTGTACCTGAGCAGCACCACCGCCGCCGCCGCCGCCGGCATTGCCAGTCATGGACGGGGGGAAGTCAAGGTATAGCTGCAGCTCGAGCTGATCGAGCTCCTCGTCCGTGTGTCTATCGAGCATGATGGTTCCTCCACGAGCCGCGACCGCCCGTGCCGTCACGAGAGCGTTCATCCGGTCCAGCCTGCTCAGAAACCCTCTCGACGCGCCATAGTACGGGAACGTCAACTCGAGCCTGTTGCCTGCGCCAGGACTGCCACCACCACCACTGCCACCACCGCCGCCACTCCCGTCACTGCTCCCCTCACTGCGACCATCACTCTGCAGAAAATCCTTGAGCTCCTCGGGCAGCGACTCCTCCTCTCCGCCGAACCCGCACAGGATCGCCATGGACACGAGATGCGCCTGGAACGCGGCGAAGACGTCATCGTCGTCGCCGCGTGGCCCCCGGCGGCGGCGGTCGCGCAGGCGGCGCAGGTACGCGAGCCCGCCCGTGACGTGGGTGCGCCAGCGGCCGCTGGTGGAGCCCGAGATGGCTTCGATCGTGATGCACGCCATGATGGCCATGGCGGAGGACTGGTCGTGGTGGGTATCGGCCGTGGAGAGGTTGTGCCGGAGGTGCGAGATTGCCTGCTGGTCGTGGGAGAGTGCGAGGGCGTGGTTCTGGGTTGCGGCGGTGGTGGCGGTGGCTGAAGTGTTGGTGGTGATGTCCGGGCTGAGAGTGGCAGGGCCAGACGTGTAACGGGTTGAGGACCCGACAGCGGATGAGGAGGATGCGAGGGTATGGAGGTTGTACAGGTTGTATGCCGCGCAGGCGCAGATGGCGTGGAACGTGGCTATGTCTGCGGTCGAGCTCTGCGCGCTCGAGGTGATGCCCTTGAGGGCCATGGGCAGCATGAGAGTCCGGCATGGGTTGTGCGCCTCGTCGACCAGGACGAGTTTGGTGCTCGTGTATGTCACCCAGTGGTGGATGAGGCGCTTCTGGGCGGCAGGCATGCGCAGAAGGTCAAGATGTGTCTGAGGCCGAGGGATAGTCTGGTGTGTCTCCCCATCGGAGATTCTTTGGTCGTTGGCCACATCTGGCCAGATGTTATCATTGCTTGTTGGACGTGATTGGTGATGCGATGTTGCGCGAGCTTCGACCTGTGTGTCACTCCCGTAGTCCTGCTCTCTGGAAGGAGTTGCATAGTGCAAGGGTGACAGATGTGTTGTCTGAGGGCTGACTTGGCTATGTCTGGGTATTGCCTGGCCCAAGCTGGTCTGGGAAGGCTCGCAGGGAGATGCAAAGCCGTCAACATGTTGCCTGCTATACGACGAGCGTTGGGCAGGGTAATCTGACGGCTCTGTGGCAATGGACTCGGGCGTCTGCATGGCGCTGCCGGGTCTGTCGCTGCTCAACACCCGACCAGTGCTCCCAGCTGCCGGCCCGTACCCGCTACAGTCGACCCCGTAGCGAATGCAGCGCAGACAGGCTGGCTTCTGCTCATCGCACTTGACGCGGCGCCTGCGGCAGGTGCAACAGCCTGTCGAGGACTTGTGGTGAGGCCGCAGCCGGGAGGGCCGGACGCTGCGGCGCATGAGGCAGTGAAGATGTGGGGGAAGGAGGATTCTGGGTCTGGGTTGAGCGAAGTTGCTGTCAGTGAGCGAGATTGTGGTAAAGTTGCACCTCGCATCGGTTGAGGCGGATATGGTCGCAATTGAACAGAGCAGAGTAAGCGAGCATCGAGCGAGCGACGTGGGAACAACAGCCAGGGGCCCCGACCAGCCCTAGACCAGTTCAAGTGCGAGGCTGGTGGACGATTGGCTGGGTGAGCGAGGAGCGAGCACAAGTGGAGTCATCCTCGCTCGCTCGCTCGGTCCCCTCCTCGTCCACCCGTGCGAGCATTGACAAGGAGTAAGAATTAGGCTGTGCCTCATACGCTCAGAACGACACCCCAGGGAGACTCAGACAACTGAGTATCTGGCCATGCCTAGACTATAAAATGAATCTGCCACGGCCAGCAGTCTCCCTCCCTCTGAAAACATCATCATCACTTCCCTCCTTCGGAAAATTCTTAAGTGACCAAGAACTGGCCGCATTTGTATCATGGCTCTCGCACAGAGACTGGCGAAACCAGACGCGCCACCCCCAAAGCCCGCCACCACCTACAATGACCAACTCGACGAGCTTGAAGGCATGCCTGCCGACCACATCGAGTTTGGCGGCTCTCTCGGCACGCTCGCCCTCATGATCGGCTTCCCGCTCCTCATGTGGTACATGTGGATCGGCGCGGTCTACTACGACGGCAACCTTCCCCTTCCCGCCGAGCAACAATCCACCGGCGAATTCGTCCAACACCTCGTTGACCTCGTCTACAAAGGAGCGTACCCGACCGCCAAGGCATGGAAGACCTACTGGATCTTCTTCCTCATGGAAATGGCCTTTTACTATACCCTCCCCGGCGTGTCCGGCTACGGCAAGCAGCTCCGCCACGAGGGCAACAAGCAGCTCAAGTACTTTTGCAACGCCTACGCCAGCTTCTACGCCACCATTGCCGTCGCGTCAGCGCTGCACGTCACCGGGGTGTATCCCTTGTACACCATCATCGACGAGTTCGGTTCCATCATGTCGGTCGCGATATTCTCCGGCTTCATCAACAGCGTCCTCGTCTACGTCGCCGCGTTCGCGCGCGGGAGGACGCACCGGCTGTCCGGGTACCCGATCTACGACTTCTTCATGGGCGCCGAGCTGAACCCACGTATCGGCATTCTGGACCTCAAGATGTTCTACGAGGTCCGCATCCCGTGGTTCATCCTGTTCCTAATCAGCTGCGCGGTCGGCGCGCGGCAGTACGAGGACTACGGATACGTCTCGGGCGAGGTGCTGTTCCTGATCCTGGCGCATTTCCTGTATGCCAATGCTTGCGCGAAGGCGGAGCAGTTGATCATTACGTCCTGGGACATGTACTATGAGAAGCTTGGCAGGTTCCCCCTTTTTCTACGGCACTGAAAAAAATATGGGGGACTTATCACTAATATGAAAATTGTCCCAGGTTTCATGCTCACGTTCTGGAACATGGCCGGCGTGCCCTTTTCCTACTGCCACTGCGCGCTGTACCTCGCCAACCACCCCTCTACCACCAGCACCAGCTCGTCCTCGTCAACATTCTGGTCTGCCCACCCGCTTGCCCTTGCCCTGTTCGTAGCCTTCTACCTAGTCGTGTACTGGATCTGGGACAGCGCCAACGGGCAGAAGAACGCGTTCAGGCAGATGGAGCGGGGGCAGTACGTCGAGCGCAAGACGTTCCCCCAGATGCCGTGGCGGGTGATCCACGACCCGCGAGTCATCAGGACGGACAAGGGGGACACGATCATGGTGGATGGGTGGTTCGGGATCGTGCGCAAGCCGCATTACCCGTGCGACATGTGGTTCTCGATCTCTTGGGGCTTGATCACCGGGTTCAAGTAAGTTGGGCATTTCTGGCATTGGGGACTTGCCCTGTCTTGGCTCTCTCAAGGTGGCGAACAGGGTCTCGGGGGTGGACGATAGGAATCTGGCCCACAGCTTGCTAACGGCATACGTGTAACAGGAGCCCCTTCCCCTGGTTCTACCCCGTCTTCTTCTGCATCATGATCGCCCACCGCACGCGCAGAGACATCATCAAGTGCCGCAACAAGTACGGCAAGGCGTGGGAGCAATACGAGAAGGAGGTTCCGTATCTCTTCATCCCGGTATGTGTTCCCTCCACGACCCGAGCCTAGGAGAGCTATTACTATTGCATAAACCAGCTTCGCCTAACATGTGGCTTCGCAGTACATATTCTAAACCAGCTAGCGCTGCCTGGCCCCAGTATAACACGCTTCGAGAACGATGAGGTCCAGACCGTTGTGAGAAACACACCAGGATATCATGGCCGCCACGGCGCAATGTACCAAACACCGTTCTTCTACACTCTTACGATGCGTTTCATGGGAAGTTGGGATAAATGGCTTGGTCACTCCAGATGTTGTGCTGCTCGCCGGCAACAGTACCGGTCTTGCATGATGTTGGTCGCGTCCTGCAACTTGCTCGCATGAGAAGTGCTGTTCTGTCCACCAACATGGTTGGGGTCACTTTGTCAGCCAGCCAAGACTTGTTGGCTGCCTAGGCCGCTGGGGGTCTTGCACGCCCCAGCCTATCACTGTATGGACAGCTCGAAATAGCCTAAATGACACTTGAATGTAATGTGCCAATGTGACCAGCACTCGAAGCTGTTGGTCCTGAGCGCCACTTCTAGATCGCGGCCTGTCACGATTTCGTTGGCTCATCCTCTTGACTGTTAAGGGTAGTGTGCTCCAGGAATCAAGAGCTTCGTCGCCCATTCACCCATCACGCTGCGAATCTTGTATTCATCCAGGGCCCTACAGCATAAGCATCGAGCTCCGCTACCTTGGCCTTCAATTCTACTTTACTCAGTCTGCCATTGACCATGCAGAGAGAGCGCGTAGACTGCACTGCACATCACATCTCGCTCTGCACAGTTTATCATGAGCATAGCCCGGATCACCGACGCGTCGATAACGGCTGCTGAACGGCAGCCCGACTTGGACTCCGCAGACCCGCCGGGCCAGAGTACGACTGAAGGTCTTCCAAAATGGCGAATCTACCTCACCAGTCTCGCCTTGGGTCTGATGGGCCTGCTGGCAGCCTTCGACGCGAGTATGCTGGGTAAGATGTCATGTTTCATTGTCGTCCACGATAGACCTGCCATTCATGACTGACACGAGCCTTCACATCCACTAACCTCCGAAGGCCCTGCTCTCCCCGCAATCACGTCCGAATTCCAGGCTCTGGACCACATAGGCTGGTACACAAGTGCATATTTGCTATCTCAGATGCCTTTCCAGCTCGTTTTCAGCCGGCTGGCCCCTTTCTACGAGGCCAAGATCTTTAACATCGCGTCGCTGGTCGTCTTCGAGCTCGGCTCGGTCCTCTGCGCGCTAGCGCCAAACTCGCCCGTCTTCATCCTTGGGCGTGCGGTTTCGGGCCTCGGAGCCGCCGGGATGGTGGCCGGCAGCTTTGTTGTTATTGGCAACATCCCTATTAGTGAGAGACCTCAGCTGTTGGCCATCTTCTTTGCGCTGCAATCATTCGCCTCGACCGTTGGCCCAACCTTGAGTGGGACTCTGACAGACTCGTATCTGACGGTGGGTGAAAACAATCCTGGGATTGCATTCGCGGCAACGTATCGCCGCTGACAAGCCTGTCCCATCTTGCAGTGGCGTTTTACCTTTTGGATCCAGCTTCGTTAGTGTTCCCAACCCCGACTCCCTCTTTCAGTGGCCTCTGTACTGATTTGCCCCCCCTACGTGGTGCAGCCGTGGGCGCTGTAGCACTCGGCACCTTTTACTGGGTCGTGCCCAAGGCACCCAGCTCGAAAGCCCACCTCCCGCTATCCGAGAAACTCAGGAGCTGCTATCCCTTGGACACGACCTTACTCATCGCATGTCTCGTGCTGCTCTTTCTGGCGTTCCAGTGGGCACGCACCTCGCGGTCGTACTCGCACCCACAAATCTGGGGCTGCCTGCTCGGCTCGGGCCTCTTGGCAGTCGGCTTTGCAGTCCTGCAGGTACGAAACAAGGGCAAGTAAGTGCGATGCAAGGCCCCCTGCTGCTCGGGTACTGCTCGATGCTACCACGGACGGCCCAACGATACTGACTCTCAAACCCCCTTTTGTGTAACGGTATAGTGGCCTCGTCCCGCTGCGCCTGATAACCCATCGAAGCATCGCGGGCAGTTGTCTCGCCTCCCTATGTAACGGAGCCTCCAACATCACGCACATCGTCATGCTCCCGACATATCTCCAGACCGTATCCGGCCTGTCTCCGACACTGTCGGGCGTCTGTCAGCTGCCAATCACAGGGTCTAATATATCCGCGATGGCTGTCGCCGCCATAACCGTCAGCAAGACGGGCAAGCTGCTCCCTATCCTCTACGCCGGCCCCCCCCATCTATCTGGTCGGCGCGGTGCTCCTGCAGCAGCTCCGGCCTGACAGCCCGCTGTCGTGGGTTCTCGGGTCCGCGATCCCCGTGGGCGCGGGCTTCGGCTTCACGGTCCAGGGGTGCCTGCTCGCCGTGCAGAACGCGTGCAGTACCGCAGAGACCAGGGACGACATGCCGGTCGCTGCGGTCATGGAGGTCTTTGCGCAGCAGCTCGGGCGCAGCGTGGCCATCAGCATCGCGCAGAGCGTGTTCGTGCAGAAGCTGTACACTGGGCTCGAGGTCTTGGCGACGGCGGCGGCTTCGTCGTCGTCTTCATCGTCATCATCATCGCCGTCATCATCATCGCCGTCATCATCGTCGTCGGATCAGCAGGACGTGCTGCTGGGTCTGGCGGGCCAAGGGCTGGAGCAGATGGTCCGCACCATGGACACGCTTGAGCCGGGGGTGCGCGATGCTGTCAGGGGCACGCTCAGCTCAGCTGTGACGTCGGCCTTCATCTTGCCTGTGGCCGCGATGGCGGTCGCCTCGGTGGCCACGCTGCTGGTGGAGAGGAAGAACATTGATGTATCCAAGGAGCCGCCGCCGCCTGCGGTCGAGGCCAGTCCTGAAGTGGTTGGCGAGAATCTGGTCTCGAGTCCTGTTCAGGATACAAGTCCCGGAGACGCGGAGAAACGTACATAGTCGACGGGAGGAGTCGGCTGCAGCAAGGAAGGGTGCCATGCCCAGCAGGCCTGGCGCGGGAGCAATTTCGTTGTTCAAGGAGTGTGGGTGAAGATGTGGTTCAAGCTATATCATTTGCAAGCTAGAAAGAGCCCTGCAATCAGCATTTTGAACCACGAATAAGACGTTTGGGCAGGAGACTGTCCCGGCCAGATCTCGATGTTTCTGGGTCGATGATTGTTACCATAACCTTGCCGTACTCGTCGTGGCGCAAACCATGAAGCGGAACGAATTGCAACGGGAATACCTGCGTCGCTTCACGTGTGCGGACGCGGCAACACTGGCGAATCTGCTCGACTCGTTTGGCCGGCTCTGGGAAACCCTTTTTATCGGCGAAGCAGGGGGCCAGGGCAATGACGCTTGAGTACTGGATGGTCACTTTTGGCAGTTTCAGTCCTATCATCCCTGAGATAATGTGTATGCCTTAAATTCCATGGCCAGTGACATTGATCTCTCGGGGGGGGCGGGGGGGGGGGGCTGCCAGAGTACTCGGAGATGAACACGGCGAACAGCCTGTATGGCCGAACCGTCACGCACATGATCAGCCGAAGCAGCTCGATCGACATTATTTGCAGGAGCACGAGAACGCAACTCGGTCTCGGACCGAGTTCCCATATGCCTTCTCGGATGCCCTGGTTTGGCACACGAACTATCAAATGCTCCCCCAAGCACGAAGCCGCCTCCTGCTGCCCCTGTGATCTTGCAGCTGCAAATCCCCGGTTGGCTGGTTTGACCAAGAACCAGGAAATCAGATCATTTTTGGACTCGGTAGACCTGGTATCCAACCTTCGCCGATGTGCAAAGATGAAAGAGACGGGCGCGTTTGGGTTCGTGTCGGGGGCCTTAACGAACTTGTCTCGCGCAGAGCGAAGCTTCAGTTGAGCAATGCGCGTTGGCGACTGCCCTAGGTTTTGGCGCTGTGCAGGAGTAAACTCCTCACAAGAGATAACTTGGTCATTAATTCGTATATAACCCCTTAAACCATACGCTTTCAGCACCACAAATCTAATCACAGACGAGACCTATGAACCCCCCTCGACCAATCTGCCAGATTGGCCAGGAGCCCCTTCTCTGTCCTGCGCATTGCGAGTTGCGCATCTAGCCCCCCTCCCCAGCCCCGATCATGCGCTGCGCCTCGCTTCAATATCTGCCACGCCGTGGAATGCTCTCTAGTTCGCACGCGCTTCGCCTCCGGTTCGTGCTCTAGCAAGGGCAAGGGAAGACGCAGAAGTCGCAGGGAATCGGGCAGGGGATGATGAAGCAGAAGCGGCCGGGACACATGCCGCCCCTGCCGCGGTCGCCGCCGCGGAGGCCCATTTCTTGCTGGCTCGGCTCGGGGTGTGGCTGCTCGGGGTCTGTGAGACACGACATCTGGTTAGCGACAGGTCGTCTTTTGGGGGGGACGACTGCGGGAAGCGCAGCAGGAGCAGTGAAGAGCGAGGCTGGGTGCAATGGTGGAAAGAGGGGAGAGGGGGCTTCGTACTCATGGGCTGCGAGACGATGGGTTGCTTGTGGACGACGGGCGCCGGCTGCGCGATGACGCCGTCGACTGGCTGGGCGGGCTGTGTGTTGGGCGTGGCCGTCATGATGGGCGGTGTTTGTGGTTGTGGTCGAGGAAATTCGGATCGCGGGCTTAAGTCGGGTGCTTGGTGGGCACAAGAGCGGTGGTGTTGTCGAGAGGACGGTGCTGTGTGTGCTAAAGCGCAAAGTGCGAGGGCAATGGTGATGATGTGAGATGGTGTTGTCAGTGTGAGAGATCCAAGAGCTGAAACGTCAGCCGTGGCTGTGTGTGGAGGAGAGGCTGAGCCAAGCTGGACACCTCCTGGGGCCCTTGCTCGACTTGCAAACCCCAAGCCTCAGCGACGCGTGGACTGCGCCAGGACCGTGACGTCACTGCCGTCATCCCCCAGCAACGGGCTCCATCACCTGCTGTGTGTGTGCAAACAGGAATAATCCACTGTGTCTCTTCCCAAGCTTTTCTCCCCCGCCGCCTTCTTTTTAACCTTATTTCCAGTCGATCCACTTGCGCCCATTGTGTCCCTTGGACCCCTCCCTTGGAAGGGGACATGGGCCCGTGTGTGCATCAACACTTTTGCGATCCTCGGCACCGAAAACAGCATTTGAACCAGGGCACTGAATGCGCGAAGCCCACTGCGACAAGATCCCAGTCGACCGGATCAGCAGGCCAGACAGATTGTAATGGATAGCCCCAATCCTGGGACGGCTTGAGATGGCCCTTGCCATCAAGTCGGGATTTGTGATCACGGATCACTGCGCCGCCAGAACAAAACAGAAAGATTCTGCAGTTGCTTGTGTTTCCATTCGTCTACAGCAAGAAGTCGCACCAAGGACGTCAGCCCCCCAACCTAGACTGCCATCCCGCTGTTCCAGGCTCGCCCGGCTTTCGCGAACTCTCAAGCAGAGCCGGCGGCATCCCTGCAAACTTGACATTCGCTTCAACTTGTGAGTTGTAGAGGTTATCGCCAGGCGTGATCTGGTATGGCCCCCATCGGTTATTCTGCCCATGATCGGCGCTCAACTGGATGTTCTCCGCTGCCGCCGCCGCCGCGCTCTCCTTCCTCACGAGTGTCTTGTCGCTCTCCCTGCCATGATACCCTTGCTGTCCTGGCGGCGCATCGTAAAAGTCCCCGTCTATCCAAAATGCATCTCCGGTAGCTGCCTCGTTTCCATCTGCCAGCTCGCCAGGGGCGGGGCTTGGTGCTAAAGGGCGCCGCTGTCGTGCTTTAATCTCCTTCCACAGACTCCAGAATACGGCAAAGAGGAGGGCAAGGCAACAGAATACCACGGCAGTTATGGCGCCACCCAGGACCGCCATGCTTTTCTGCCAACCTGTCCAAGTCAGCGGTTCGAGTGATGGTGATGTATTTGTTGTTGTTGTTGTTGTCACTGACGACGTGGCTGAGGCGACAATGTTGGCCGGCGGCAGAGCACCGGGCGGAATGTCTGTGCTCTTCCACACAATTTGGATCAGCGGCGCGTAGATGTCATACTGGGACATGGTGGAATTCCCCGAGCTCCAGGGTACGCTGCGCGCCTCGACGGTTGTGCTCCCGGGAGAAGTGCACCTGACAAGGTCCACGGCTCCGGTCGAGAGGACGAGCCTGCAGGTCTGGTGACCAGAGCCGTCCACTGTGGCCAAGAACGCGGCGTCTGGAGGCGGGCGACGGCGTGTTAGCAGTGGCAGTAAAATCCCGCTGGAGGGTTTCGCCTGCGCTCAAATCATTGCTAACCGAGGCACGTTATGAAAGCCCTGGGAAGGGGCACTTGGAGACAGGCATCCTCCTGGAACGAGCTTACCTCTCAAGCTGCTGATCGTTGGACAGCAACCCACTGCAGTTTCTCCTGCGCTCAGGGGGAACTGGAACCTGGACTCGTGCACACCATACGTAGACGCGACCACAGACGTGAATCCCGCCGGGCAGACTATGCCGGGCGAGTACACGCCCCAGCCGCCCAAAGCGCCGCTCGTCGTCGTGGGGCCACCACCATTGTTCGTCCTCGGTGGCCAGCATGACTGCTCGTCAGCTAAGGAGTCGGCGACATCGGGGCGACAGGCCTGCGCGGCAAAGATGACGGAACATGTGTCGCAGGCTGCGTACACCCTCTGGCAATCAGACGGGGGAGTCCACGCCGTGGTGAGCGGGCCCAGATTAGTCCGTGTCCTTGTAGCTTCCTGGCGCCCGTATAACAACAGTCCAGGAGCTGGAGTCGCCGTGGTTATTAGAGTTTGGAGCATGATGCCGGCAGTCCGTCCAACCGAGGAGGTCAGCACGGACCGCGCTGTGGACCCCAGGATTGTGAAGCTGTTATGCCAGACTGACTCGAGTTCGTCCCCAGCCCTATATTCAGGGTCGTAAAACGGGCACGGGGAGAACGAGGGGCAGTAAGTACGCTTATCCATCTCCTCGGAGGGGGACGGCCGTGGCTCCTCCCGGTCTACCCCTCAAGGCACCTACGAGCGAGCTCCTTCCTTTGTGGTCAGCTGGGAAGGTGGTCATTGTAACCTCAGTGCCCTGGTTGAGATAAGCATGCCCCTTGTTCAGCGACTTGGATTCGTGGGGGCTAAAATACCTCTGTAGCACCAATCAAAAGATCTGGCGGTGATGTTGTTGGCCCTGCAACCCTGTAGCGACCCTAGATTAAGCCAACCAGACCAAGGACGTCACCTGCGCACTATCCTGCAGGACAGATTCAACTTCGGCTCCAGAGTGCAGTGGCGCCGACGATCGTTATGGCTGCCATGGCTGGCCAATCAAATGTCTCCTTGCCTTGAAAGATGTCATGCATTTCTGTGAGAGAGAATACTACCATACTTTACACGCTCAGCTTGTTCAACGGCCCCTTCACCTCGGGCGCCGTGAACACCGTCCACTTCTTCCCCGTGGCCACCCGTGCGACCAACATGGACGAGACGACAACCCACATGAAGATGACCACGACCCCAAAGATTGTGCCCAGTGTCTGGAACGCCACAGACGGCAGATTCCGCCCCATCGCGAGCGTCGACGTCGCCAACACACCTAGTGGGAACGTACTCGCCCACCAGCCATTACTGAACGGCACGCGCTGCCGCGTGACGCTCAGCACGGCAAAGAACAGCCACAGCATCGCAAAGCCCCAGAGCATAATGGCAATCACGAATCCCAAGGTGAAGAGGATCTTGGCCACGAGCAGTGCGTCAGCCACGGCCTCGGGCCCCCCGGTTACGCCTCCTGCCGCCGCCCTCATGGCCGGCAGGGTCTCCGTGACAGGGAACACGCGGATCGCCTGCGCGCCGAGCTGCTGGAACGCAAAGCCGCCCTGGCCCAGCGCGCCCAGCGGGAGGAACGTGCTGAACATGTGCTCCGTGGGCGGGAGCTTCCAGGTCGTGATGCGCAGGTAGTAGATGACGATGATGGTGAGGGCGGCGCACAGGCCCGTGCCGAGGATGACGTAGCTCACCAGGATCGTGACGAGGGCGTCTGGCGGGGACAGGACGGACGCCACGGCGCTGCCCGTCGAGGAGGCCACGATGGGCGACACGATGGGCAGGAGCCAGCCGGCCGTCATCTTCTCGAGGTCCGTAATGCCGCGGTGCCGCGTCTGGACGAGCCAGGGGACGCCCAGCGCGCAGGCCAGGCTGATGACTACGTCAATCCACCAGATTGCCCACGCCGTGGTGGCCCACCCCGTCGACGTGGCCGTGTCGAAGCGCGGGACGATGACGTTGACGGTCATGGTGATGAGCGTTGCGAGGCCCATCGGCATGGTGCCCAGATACATTGCCTGGCCCGGGTCGCTGATCATCATGACGAAGAACTTTGGGTAGAACACGTACCGCAGGACGGTGGCGGACAAGATGACGGAGTAGAGGAAGATGTTGAGGCCAAAGAAGAACACACTGAGCTGGAACAACAGCGCCTGCGAGTCGGGGTAGGTCTCGGAAAAGGTGAAGAGCAGGATTGACACAATCCCCGTGCCCATTGTGCTGCCGTACCACTTGAAGTCGAAATTCTGGATGATCCGCCAGAAGCCACTCTCGACGGGCTCGATGACCCATCGTGTTGGTGGTTCATCAACTGATAGCGAGGTCGAATTTGGGCCGATTGGCTGCACGAGATGCTCCGTGGATTGATGCGGAGCGACATAGGCACTCCCTTTCTCCACAGAACTGTAGGCATCGCTCGTGAACGAGGGCTTCGCCTGAAGATGCGGCTGGCTTGGAGCGCCGTACATGTTGACGCTGACGTCGCCGCCGTTCGAGGTCCATGCTGTGGGTATAGGTGTGGTTGTCGACTGCTTCTCATATGCCGCCGCCTCCGCCTGAGCAACCTGATTGACCCACGCCGCACTTCTTCGTCGCTGGCTGCTGCTATCTACTGACATGTTCCTCTGCAGGCCGGGGGCTGTCTCCATGCCAGAAAGGTTGAGATTGATCGTGATTGGCTGGCTGCTGACCGACGGTGATCGCCTGGAAACGGTTGGCCGTCGCGAGGGCCATTGTGACCGCCGACTTCCAGACCGGAAGTTCTGCTGCTGGCTGCTCGCCTGCCGCCGATGTCCTGGACGCGAGCTCATGCTGGGCTCTCGTGTGAGTCTGTTCGGATATGCTTGGGCGTAGTAGCGCCCTCTCTCCATATCTTCGTGCTCGTCATCGGTCATTGTGGAAACTGCATCAGACCGGTCGTCGTAGCCGGCATCAATAGCTGGAGCCGGACCGGTCGTGGATTCTCCTCGTCTACTCATGTTTCTTTTCGTGATAATGAATGAATGCGAGGGCAAAGGTGTCAAAGAATGGAATTAGAGAGACCGCTCAGCAGTCACGAAGAGAAATGGCGGGAATGACCAGCATGTGCTAAAGGTAGGACCAGAGGGAGGCCGTATGGAATCATCGCGTCCAGCATGGTGGAATAATACTTTTGGTTTCTCGACAGTCCAAGCTTCCAATGCGTTGCGCGTCGAGGACCGGGTGAAACGAAGGCAGGCAAGGTTACTTCTGCAATGGCCCGGTGGGCTCTCCTCGTCCGAAACTGTGGATGAAACCCAGTGGAGTAGTTGAGATAAAGCGATCGACAACGCCAAATTCGGAGTCAAGGCGGGTCCTGCGGTACCACTCCGAGTCTGTGCTGAGGTGCCCGAGAGCCGCCGCTTGCCGTTCATGACAGAACATTAACCTCTGTGCGGGCTGCCGGACCTAGTACGGAGACAGACTACCATGCCATTCAATGGCCCGGAAGACAGAGACACGCTTTGCCTCAGACTATTCCTCGCTATCTAGCGAACTCCTGTACGCGTGCCTTCTGCTCGAAGTGTGACATACTGTGCCTGGGCTATGGGCGCGACCAGCGTCCGATATCCGCCGAGCCGCACTTGTTGTGGAGCGTACATACCTTATTCAAAGTTGTTTCTCTGCCCCTGTCACGGCTTTGATACAACCTTATACGAGGATGTTAAGATCAGAGATAAAAATGGAGTAGTGTAACCCCCACCCACCCCGGAGGGGGGGCATTCTCCATAAGGCGCTTGGCGAGTAGGGACTAGGGGCTTCCCTGACTCCGTGTCGAGACTGCCGTCTTTGCCCATTGTCCTAGTATTTGGTCTGTAGCCGAATGGTCATGACTGGGCATCCCTGGAATGGCGGGCATCGCAGTCCGACTGCCGCGGGCAGCTCATCTCACCTACTGATCAGTGCAGGCTTGGCAGGCGGTCCGCGATCCACACGCGAAACAGCTCGATGCCTGCGAGCTCGATTTCTGAGGCCAAACACGCTTCAATCCCTTGTCTGAGCCTTTTTGATAGTAACACCACTATTGAGCAGAAGTATGGCCACAACGACTCACAACTCTTCAGCAATGGTCTGATTTGAGCAACTGCAATGAATCGCCGACTGGAACCAAGCTCCACTATCTACCCCAAGCCAGCCACGAATGCTAACGATGCTACTTGGCGGCGAGAGGCATGAGCTTGGATCAGCAGTGGCCGGTCGATCTCAAGTCCCAGTTCTGTAGCTCGATACTCGCGAGTGCCAGCTTATAAGTAGTGGCAGCCGTGTCTGGAGGATAACCACCTTCTCCGTTGTAGTCTGTGGTCTTCTGTGAATCCAATTCCAACTCCATCTATTCTTTTCTCGCGGCTGGATCCGCATCATTAGTTTTTTTTTTTTTTTTTTTTACCCTATTGCAACATCGCACCCCTGCAGTCACAACATCGCCCCGACACAATGGACTCCCCCAGACTCCAGCAAACAACGCTCGAGATGCCACTGCTGGCATCCCCACTGAGAGAACGTTTCTCTCCCCTGCGCACGGAGCTATACTCGCCACTCAAAATCCAGCACGGCCATGGCGTCACCTCCATCACGGTCCACGATGACAACGAGGATGTAGTCGAAACCATTTCAGTGGTCGATAATGACTTGCACCTCGAGGAGATGTCGTTCCGTGGAGAGCATGAGGATCTTGATATAGAAGCTGACGACTCAGACTCTGCATCCCAGTTCTCCGCGTGCTCAGCTGGGTCATCACCAACCTTGCCTCCACCCGAGCCCCTGATTCACCTCACACCCACACACCTTGACCACCTCAATGCCCGTTTCGAGACCATGGAGCCCCAAGCAATTCTGCAGATGTGCACGCTTCTCTTTCCGAATCTCTATCAGACCACAGCCTTTGGATTGACCGGGCTCGTCATTCTGGACATGCTGCACAAACTCGCTACGCCCACCTCCACCTCCACTTCTCCAGCAATCCCTCAACAGCCTGAACTCATCTTCCTCGACACCCTGCACCACTTCCCTGAGACCTACGCCCTGGTCGACCGCATCAAGAAGCACTATTCGTCCGCAGCTCCCCTCACAATCCACACCTACAAGCCACAATCCTGCTCGACAGCCGCAGACTTCGCCGCACTCCACAACTCCCCGGACTTGTGGACGACCGATCCCGAGCGGTACGACTTCCTCGCCAAGGTCGAGCCGCAGCAGCGCGCGGAGCGGGACCTCGACGTCGCGGCCGTGATCACGGGCCGCCGGCGTTCCCAGGGCGGCGAGCGCGGAGCGATGCCCGTGCTAGAGGTCGTGCCCGCCGACCCTGCTGACACCAACAAGGGCAGCAGCAGCATGATGATCAAGATCAACCCGCTTGCCCGCTGGACATTTGAGCAGGTCAAGACGTATATTGACGAGAACGGGGTGCCTTACAACGAGCTCCTCGACAAGGGGTATCGCAGTGTTGGGGACTGGCATTCCACCAGCCCGGTCAAGGAAGGCGAAGGGGAGAGAGAGGGTAGATGGAAGGGGCAAGGGAAGACGGAGTGCGGGATTCATAACAAGAAGTCGCGGTACGCGATGTTCCTGGCGGAGATGGCGAGAAAAGAGGCGGAGAAGGCAGCAGAGGACGAGGAGGCACAGAAGGGCGTGTTGGAAAAGGACGAGAGGGTGGCAGCGAGTGTCGAGGAGTGGAACGCAACTGTTTCGCGGGCTGTGGGAGGTACCGAAACCCAGTCTTCTCCCGGCAGGAAGATTGGGTTTGGTGCTTGGCTTCCGCTTCTTGAATCTAGGTCATAGGTTATGGACGACACAGTGTTACCCAAGGCTAGATACATACAGAGTCACGGTTCTCTCTAGCCTGTACCACGTCAAGATGTCGCAGTAGTTCCTTCATTGCTTCAATTGCTACCAAAAGCGTACATTTATCATTTTTGACTAGTTATCTGTTTATTTCATTCGGGTTTCCGAAAACCCACATTATTATGCGGAAATTGTGAGGGTCCTTTTTGGTAACCACTTCGTATGTGTACTTTCAGGAACTGTTTGCTGGATATCAGAAAAGGAACTAAACAGTCTGGCAAAAACCTTTCTAGGCGGTATCGTAGGGAAAGGTTCCGGATGCACTTTCAACGCAGCATACTTAGTAATGGATGTTTTGAGAGGGATGCCCATAGAAGCTACCGTGTTAGCGATACCATAAGGTGACTTGATATTCTAAATGTTTATGCAACTCATCTGTCGAACTTCACGGGAGCGACCGAGTGGTTGGTCCTTCCGACGCAGCCCAAGAAACGCTGTAATGACGCCCGAGTCTCTCCAGGATAGAGAGTTCAAGTTCAAGCCACGGAGCCCTCCGCACAGAGCTCCGAGGGGTAACTAAAAGCAGCGCCCGGGAGAGAGGCTACTGGGCCAAATGGTGTGCTGTCGAAGTAAGCAAGCGGGCTACTTGAGTAAGCACCGTCTGCCTGCTCTCTTCATCCAACGCGAGAAAGCCACAGCGGCTCGTATGGTAAAGTATAGTGCTACCAGTTATTACCCTCAGGGGGTGCCCGCTACACACCGATTTTATGTAGTTATTTGAGTAACTGCGAGATAAGATATATAGTGGAGATTGGCCCTATGCGGAAGACCCAGTGAACATCCGTTTTTGTTGTATAGCAGATGTAACTATCTAACACTGGGTAGTCTTGCGATTCATTCGGTACTGTCACCCTTCTCGCGCTCCGGGACATATTGGAACGGACTTGGCTAGAAGACAGTTAAATGGGGCTAATAAGTGACCGAACCAATCAGATTGATGCGTGCGCGGATCTAGGACCAATGTCGTGCCGTCCCCACCTTTCCGGCCCTCGTGTATTTCAGTTTCTCGAACCCCGGCCAGCTCCGGCCCCACGCCTGCCTTCGAAAATGATAGGAACCTTGGGAATCTGAGACTCGTGTATTTCAATTTCTCTTCCACCGAATGACCTGGTGGGGACCTAGTCTCGACGCCAGCGGTATCATAGACGCTTCCGCGACTTGAGTTCGTCCGCTAATGACTGGCCAAGGGCCTCCATACTGGCTTGTTTGACGGGCATTCAGATATAAATTCCAGGCACATTTTCTAGACTTCGGAGAACAGTGATTTCGTGAACCAATGCTCATTCCTTTCTTCCGGTACACCTCTGTCCCAGCTTTTTCAAGTGGCCGAACTCCGCCATGGAAACCCTCCACATCAACAAGCCTTTCACGTTTCCTAATGGATCCACGATCCGCAACCGCCTTGTGAAGTCAGCCATGGCCGAAGGCTACATGGAACCAGACTGCCTCCCTGGTGACGGCCTCATCACGAACTACTCTCGCTGGGCACAGGGCGGTTGGGGCATGCTGATCACTGGTGCGATAAACCCTCGTTGCGCCTTGGAGTCCAGCCAAAGCATACGGCGTGCTGTCTCAGAAAACTAACGAATCGAGTCCTTTGTTGGATTAGGAAATTACATGATCGACCCCAAAGGCATGTCTTTCCCGGGCATGCTCCTCGTCAACAACGATACCGTCTCCCGAGAAGTCCAAGTCGCGAAGCTCAAGGCCTTTGCTAGCGCCGCCCGCGCCAACGGCACCAAAATTATTGCGCAGCTGTGCCACCCTGGCCGTGCAGGCATTCTCATCCCCGGCCGCGGCGGCAAGAACATCGCTCCCAGCCCAATACGCATATCCTTTGGGGACGGCTTCATCGCCCGCGCCCTGGCCGCGTTGATGACCGGCACGCCACGCGAGATGACGCGCGAAGATATTGACAACATTGTGGGGAAATTTGCCAGTGCGGCCAGGCTGATGGCCGAGGCCGGGTTTGATGGTGTCGAGCTTCACGGCGCTCACGGGTACCTGATCTCGCAGTTCTTGTCTGCCGAGTCGAACCAACGGACAGACGAGTATGGTGGATCAGCGCTGGATCGCACGAAATTTGCAGTGCAGGTGATCGAGGCGGTCAAGGCGGCTGTGCCGGACGGGTTCATCGTTGGGATCAAGCTTAACTCTGTCGACTATCAGACTGACCGTAGTGCTCAGGCGACCAAGGAAGGGCACGTGATGAACACGGAGAAGCAGCTTCAAGAGTGCGTTGATCAGTTTGGCGCAATCGCTGCGGCGGGAGTCGACTACGTCAATGTCAGCGGTGGCACAATGGAAAATCCCCGGATGGTACGTTGTGTCTAGGTGACACGCTTTATTGCTTGTCTTTTTCTTGTCTCGTGTCGGCGTTGTCCAGCGCAGCTGACATACCCATGCATTGTCACAGGCCAACGGCCCACCGAAGTCGACCCGCACAAAGGCTCGCGAAGCCTTCTTTCTCAGCTTTGCTGAGTCATTCCGTGCCTCCTTTCCTGATGTCCCACTCATGGTGACAGGAGGCTTCCACAGTCGCACAGGGATGGAAGAGGCCGTGGCTGGCGGCGGGACCGACCTCGTCGGCATTGGCCGCGGGGCTTGCGCCTGCCCGTCGCTGCCCTCCGATGTCGTGCTCAACCCAGAAGTGGCCGACTCTGAGGCCCGTGTAGTGCTGAAGAAGTATCCAGTGCCTTGGTGGCTGAGCTGGGGCCCACAAATGGTTGGTGTTGGCTGGGAGAATGTGAGTGATGTCCTGCGTTTGCCCTCACTCATGAGACACAACAACGGCTGACCTAATTAGAATTTCTACTCGGCTATGATACGAGCTCTGGGTACGGAGCAAGAGGGCAAGAAGAACTAAGCAAGACGACTTTGTTGCCGCTTGGAGGGATTAAGCATTGGAGTCGCCAATCTAAGTCACTTACGTACTTTTCGTCCATTGCTTCAGACAGATCGCGCCATTCGAGTCCATGTATATGGCTGGCATATCGCTTTATTGTTTGGTTTCACGAGTAGCTTATAATATTTTCCCCGCAATGCAATGGTGTTGATTTCTACACTACTAGAAAACCCCCAAGATTTTAGCTATCTCGTCCACGCCACCTGCACCTGTCTGACCTCCTGGGCATCGGGCGGATAATTCACACAAATCGCCCATTGTCGTCCCATAGGGGCTGCGCTGCTCAAGGTCTCGTACTGCAGGCTCGCTTCTCGGCGAGCCAGCCTCAGACGGCCCTCCCACAACCGAGGCCGCGTGGGTATGCTGTGCGGACTGACCAAAGTGGTGCGACGTCGCTTGCTGCTGCCTCGTTAGAACGCTATTTGCTACAGCAGCCACAACATAAGAGTCGTATAGTCCTTCTCTCCGACTGGCGTCCTGAAGTAGCTGCACGGCACGCAGGACCGTGGCTTCCTCGTCACATTTGACAATCATGAGGAACAGGGGCGCCACGAGGCCTGTCTCAACACTGATGGATTTCCTGGCATCCCGGGCGGCCGAATCGGAGCTGGAGGCGTCGGCTGCCTGCGCACCATCGTTGCTGTGAATGATCGTCTCCGCAATGTCCAGGATGATCTGGACAGGGGTTTTCGCTTGCCGTATTGCTCCTGGCACTGCTGATGACTGTGCATCTAGGTAAGGAGCAATCACTGTCACCGGTCTGTTGTAGATGTCTGGATCCTCAGGCAAGCTCGACGAAAGGATGAGCCAGAACATGTAATAGTGCACGTAAAGCACGCCTGGTCCTGTATTCAAGGGCAGGACTGCATCCACGGCTGGTACCAGGCTCGCTGGATCGAAATGAGCCAAACATTCTACCTCTCCCCAGCCGTGCCCTGGCAATGGCAGCGACGTGTAGACATCTCCGCTGTTCTCGTGTCGTAGACTTGGGGTTGCGGTGGGTGACCTTGAGGAGGCGCAGAGTAATTTGCCGAACCGTGTAGCCCAATCACTGAAGGCTGCGAGCAGTAATGACTTCTCCGCGACGACGTCGAATGGAATTGAACTTGCCGGGCAGTCCCTGAGGTTGGCATATAAAGACATGTAGTGAATCGTGGAGGTCTGTAGGCGAGTCAAAACATGCTGGGCGTCCTCAAACGTGTGAAATGTGGCGTTGGCCACATCTGGTATCCTGCTCTCAATGTCCCAGTGTGGCTGGCGAAGGACCATCCGGCCATAGCGCGGCTGGTCGAAAATGGCAGCTTGAAGTTCCATGCGCTCCATCAGGCTCTCTAAAGCGACCATGTCTGCCGAAACTTCCCCGCGGGGGTTTCCTTGCCCTTTTAGCCCATCTAGCATCGCTCTACCGGCGGCGAGATGATGGAAAGCTGCCTCGACGTTGCCCTGGACGCTTTCAAAGCAGTAGAAGACGGCACAGCAGATGAGAGGCACAATCATGTTGGGGATGGAACTCCCCCTGACCTCTGTGGCGTCTTCAGTGTCTTGATTGCGGAGATACTTGCGCAAGGACCGCAGAGCTTTGTTGTAGGCGATGCTGGACTCGATCAGGGGTGTAATATATTGATTTGTCGGCGCATATACCCAGCCGCCGCCAGTCGTGTCAGGGGAGCGCTTCAAGCCGAACTTGCGGCTGTGCAGCAGCTGGTGAACACTGCTGAGGGCAACCACGGCCTGGCGGACGACGAGCTCATGCTGGGCGTGCTGAAGCACTATCCGCGTCCAGAAGTCGGAGAGGACATAGCCCGAGAGCTCGCTGGCCGAGACGACGCAGAAATAGTGCAGCAACTGGCGGTCCGCCTGGCTGCCAGGCACGCGGAAAGGAATCGCGTAGGATGTGACGCTTCCCTTGCCAGCAGCAGATGTGCTGAGGCATGGCTCAGCCTGCGCTTGGCCTGCAGTTGAGGCGTCTGGGACTATAGACGTGTAGCCTGTGCAGGTCAGACCGCGCTTGAGGCAACGCTGGCATGAAGGCTTCGCCTCGTCGCATTTGATGCGTCGCTGCCTGGTTGGCTCATCAGTCCAAGGCCGAGGGGTTGCGGCTTTCAGGGCAGAGGGACAGGATGGTTTGCTGTAGACATTCAACTCACTTGCAGTTGCTGCAACCTGCGCGAGACCGCGGGCCGCCTTTTCGCCTCACGACGTGCTGCGTGGATTCCATGGGTTCTGCCTTGTGTGCTGACATATACCACAGCGCTTGCGGGGGCGCCTGTGAATCGTACTTAGAAGTAAGTACAGCACGCTCAATCAGGGGGCGCTTATGCTTAGTCAGCGGCACGCCATTGGTGGCTCCCAATAGGCGCACGGGTACCCGTGCGTATAATATTACACGGGTACCCGTGCAGATTCTGCTTACAGCTTAGCGTGTCTTAATTCCCGCCGACATCGCAATCCTGGATCCATATCCGGGGTGCACCCATATCAGCAGAAAAGGTCTGTCTTGACCTTCGCTGGTGATCTCAGGTGCTGTCAGCATACAATACTTTACGCGCTACAAAGCGCGCTGAGGTGCTTTCGTGTATTTCTTTTATTACCATTACTAGCCTCAGATTTGTCTCCCGATGGCAGCTACTAGTAGTACCCACCATTCATTTCCCGATGACAGTCTCCCTCCGGAAGGCACCTACGAGTCCCGAGATACCTTATTTAAAGCTATCAACGAGTGGGCGTACACAAGAGGCTACGCCTTTGTTACGAAAAGGTCAACAAAGGAAAAGACAGGCAGGCTCTCAGTCGTATATGCATGTGATCGATCATGTCGCGACTACGCCTCTGGAAGACCGCGCCAGCGAAAAACATCTACGCGAAGTACCAACTGTCCGTTCTCTGTACTAGCAAAAGAGTCACGAGACAGCGGCACATGGACAATACGACACCGACCCGACCCGCAGTTTGCCCAACACAACCACGAGCCAAGTTTACACCCATCCGCCCATCCTAAGCATCGCGCACTCGATACGGAAACGATCACTCGTCTATCTAGCCTCGCAAATGCTGGCGTCGCACCTAAGGAGATTCGAACGTACATACACCAAAACACGAGTTCGATTGCAACGCAGCAAGATATCTACAACCGAATCGCGGACAGTAGGCGCGAGATGTACGAAGGGCAGAGCACGATCAATGCCCTAGCTAACCGGCTTGACCATGAAGGTTTCTGGAGCCGTTTGCAACTTGATTCGGAGAACCGCGTAAAGGCTGTGCTTTTCGCCCATCCAGAGTCGCTAAGCTATCTTCAAGCTTATCCGGATGTTTTAATCCTCGACTGTACCTACAAAACGAACAAATACGGAATGCCGCTCCTAGATATAATCGGAGTAGACGCTTCTCAACGATCCTTCTGTATCGCATTCGCATTTCTTAGTGGAGAAAGCGAGGAAGATTTCGTTTGGGCTCTAGAGCGCCTCCGGTCACTCTACGAAATTAGCAAATCCCGCCTACCTTCAGTTATTCTTACCGATCGATGTCTTGCTTGTATCAACGCAATCGCAGTATGCTTTCCTTCTGCTGCTTCATTGCTATGCCTTTGGCATGCGAACAAAGCCGTCCTTCGATACTGTCAGCCTTCATTCGCTATCCAGCTACAACTCCAGGACTCCGAAGCCGACAAATCTGCGAGACTGAAAGAGTGGCATGACTTTTACCAGCACTGGCACCAAATTATTCGTTCTCCCACCGAGGCAATATTCGACATCCGTATGTCGACATTTGAACAACGCTATATTACAACGCATGTACGGGACGTGGCCTACATTAAAGAGACATGGCTTGACCTGTATAAGGAAAAGCTTGTAAAGGCCTGGGTTGACAGCTACCCTCATTTCGGTAATGTTGTTACTTCGCGCGTCGAAGGTGTCCATGCGCTTCTTAAAAGTCATCTGAAAACGTCGACACTCGATTTGTTTGAGGCCTGGAGGGCTATTAAGCATGCGCTAATAAACCAACTTGGGGAGCTGAGGTCCAACCAGGCAAAACAGCAGATTCGGTCTCCGATCGAACTTTCCGGTCCACTTTATGGTGTAGTACGGGGTTGGGTATCACACGAGGCTCTTCGAAAGGTTGAAGAGCAGCGGAAGCTTCTCCAGACGAGCAGTCCGCTACAACGCTGTACAGGCATATTCTCTCGGTCGCAAGGCCTACCATGCGTTCACAAACTTGAGGCTTTGTTGTCCGAAGGAAAAGCCCTTTGCCTAGGAGACTTCCATTCGCATTGGCACCTAATCCGGAGCGGCGCGAAACCTTTTCTCCAAGAGCCTCGCCAACGTATTGATATGACTAGTACCAACACTTCTTTACCGCGATCAAGTAACCGAAGGGAGCCTAGCGGCTTTGAAGCTGTTGAAGTCGCGGCTAAGCGAAAGGGACCTTCAACCTGTACTAGATGTCACCGTCTAGGTCATTCAAGGACGTCTCGATTATGCCCCCTAAAGTACGCAGAGCTACAACTTCGAGTAGAGGCGGCATCGCAACAGCTACGAATAACACCAGAGCCGCCGGCCGACACGTCGATACCTGAAGCTACGATTGAATTATCGACGTGCAGACCTCAACATGAGTCGCCAATTCCCGAACTTCTTAATAACTCGTCGGCCCAAGAAGGGATTACGGAACAGATCTTAGAAGAGATCGAAGCTCGGCTCTCAGAAAACGACCAGCCCTTACGACGAGCTAAAGAACCCGTCTCAGAGTACGCCGAAGAACACCAGCAAGCTCCGGAGCAGCCTTTAAAATACAGTGACCCAAAAGCGATTTACCAAAGATACGTCGCTACGCGAGAGATCTGGAAGAAGTCCCTACTCCCGGGTACCTATGCGAGCAACCAGATGTACCGGCAGGCAATGGGTTTACCATTACGGTATAGTAAAGCGCAGTACGATTGGTGCTTAGACCATAAGCAAATGACGAGGCGTTGCTTAACGCGAGAGGGTGAACGGGCCTGGACAAGGGAAGAAATGATGGCATATTTGGACTGGGATCGGTCTGAGACGGAGCGAATCGATGTTCAGGTTGCCCAGGAGTCGACAAGCGGTCTAGCTAATCGAAGAGGTATGGGTGATGTGTGGAGGAGGGCGGCACAGGACTGTGAGGAGCAGCAAGTTCTTCACCGGGATGATGATGAGTGTATTATAGTTAAAGGTTAAGTCAAATACGTTATACGTGTAAGGCAACGCACATACTGTGATCGGAGGTCAAACAGCACCTGAGGTCACTAGCGAAGGTCAAGACAGACCTTTTCTGCTGATATGGGTGCACCCCGGATATGGATCCAGGATTGCGATGTCGGCGGGAATTAAGACACGCTAAGCTGTAAGCAGAATCTGCACGGGTACCCGTGTAATATTATACGCACGGGTACCCGTGCGCCTATTGGGAGCCGCCATTGGTTGCATCGCCCTGCATGGGCATGACCTCCAATTACTGTCCATTGAGGTGAACTTGTTGGCTTCATTTCTTTCTTTGGTTTTTTATTTGAAATTTGCAATTTGAAAAGAAAATAAAACGAAGCATCCATCCACGTGCATACTAATCAATACCAAAGGGCGAGACCAACCTGCTTTCCTATCAGCGAGCCGAATCCTCGTCCCAGATGCCGAGAAGGAAACCAATGCTCAGCTGGGGCATCAGACTCATGGGCAATTCTGCCATACAGAGAGGTGAGTGATATCCGGCTGAATTACTTCACGCTGGGTCTCGATGCGAGGAGAAAGTGTAGCCAAGGAAACATATATGGATTATGTGCCCAAAAAGGAAGTATAAGTATGTCAAATTGTTACTTCAAGAGTAACAGAAACCAAAGCGATACAGCGTCCTCATGTCTAGTTTGGTTTTGTAACTGTCGAGTTCCATACACGCCCACGGCTCATGCGTTGGGCTAGTCAATTTGCCAGACCGGCCGACCTACGAATCCTGCAGCTGATGGCCTTAAGCCTTGGGCATCGTGATAGTCTGCGCATTGCAGTAACCTCGCAGTCCGACGACACCCCACTCGGCACCAAGCCCGCGTTTCTTGTGGCCGCCAAACGCCGCATCGGGGCGGAGGTCCAGGTGCGAGTTGACCCAGACACTTCCGGCCTCGAGCTGTGACGCGACTCTCTCGGCGCGCTGGAGGTCCTTGGACCAGACGGAGGCGCCAAGGCCAGCCTCTGAGTTGTTGGCACGGGCGATGACGTCCTCTTCCGAGTCAAACTTTAGGAGTGGGACGACAGGGCCTGTTGTGCAAAAGGAAAATGGTCAGTGACTGCGTTGGTATTTCTTGCTGTCATAGAACTCGAGGATACTCGGTCAAGGTCTAAAGCAATCGATCATGTACTTACCAAACGGCTCCTCCATCACAATCCTCGAGTTGTCCTTCGGGTTATCAATGACAGTGGGCTGCACGAAATAGCCCTTGCCCATAGCTCCGTCGGCGCCATCGCTACCGCCGAAAGCGACATTTGCCTTGCTCGTGTGCACATCGTCCAGGAAGCCCTTAACACGGTCGTACTGCATCTTGTTCTGGATGGGACCGACAAACACACCCTCGGTCATTCCATCGCCTACCTGGAGGGACTTGGTGACGGCGACGAACGCCTCGAGGAAGGGCTGGTAGATGGAGGCGTGCACGTAGATGCGCTTGATGGCGACGCAGATCTATGCCAAGTTATGGAAGGTCAGCACATGGCGAGATGCAGGAGATGGTGCTTTGGATCTCCCACCTGTCCAGAGTTGAGGAACGAGAATTGCGCAACCTAAGCGACGACAAGGTTAGTACAAAAACTCTAAATTTTCAGTCTGTGGGCTGTGACAACTCACCTTCGTCGCGGTATCGACGATATCCACATCGGGGAACACAATCGCAGGGTCGTTGCCCCCACTGCATGCCGTCAGCACCTTGTTTGCACCACACCCGGTTCCGGCGCATCGTGACCACTTACAGCTCCAGCGTCACTCGTTTCAGAGTCTTGGCGCAGCTCTGCATGACAAGCTTGCCCGTGGCGGTCGAGCCAGTGAAGCTGACCTTGTCGATGCCCTCGTGTGCGGTGAGCCATGGGCCAAGATTGTCGTCACCACTGAGAGCCTGCACCACACCCGGTGGGAAGAATTGCTGGGCCAGTTCGGCAAGCTTGAGGTTGCAGTATGGAGTAAATGGGCTGATTTAAGACGTCTGATTAGTTTTGATGGAATTGATACTGACATGAAGAGGGATCCGTTCAAATCAGACTTACGATGGCTTGATGATGAGCGCATTGCCAGTAACTAAGGCGGGTGCGATCTTGCCGCAAGCTGTGTCATGCAAAGAGTCAGAGCTGCTTCTTGCAAGTAAATCCATGGATCGAACAAATCCTAGCTATACGCACCCAGCATGACAGGAACTAGTTATTCCATAGTGTTAGCGCACTGCAAACAAGAGAATCTCTAGGGCGAAAATTGCGGACTCACAATTCCAGGGCACAATGGCCACGGCGACTCCTGTGAAGACGTACGGTAATCAGCTTATGGGTCTACTCCAGGGGTAGGAGAGCGGCCGTAACTCACCCAAAGGCACATAACGAGTCTTCACGATGCGTTCCTTGTTGTCCTCCACGAGTTCTTCTGGAAAGGGCAGCTTGGCCTGGTCCTCAAGCCACTGCACAGATCGGTTGAGTTCGTCGTGTGCGAGGAACGTCTAAACGCCGAAGCAAAAACGGGTAGTCAGCAAACAGCCTAGCAAGGTGCAGGCTACTTTTTCCACAATGCAATATGCTCAGGTGCAGACATACCGGCTTTCCTTGCTCTCTAGTCAACATCGCTGCAAAGTCCGCAGCATGTTCACGCAGGGCACCAGCAAAATCAAGGACAGCTTGTTGCCTCTGCGCGAGTGGGGTGGCTGCCCATTTCTTTGCCGCCACCCTGGCATGAGCTACAGCTTCGTCGACGTCTTGGAGGGCGCAGACAGGGACTTCTGGATTTGCCTCGAGCGTGGAGGGGTTCGGGGTGTGCCGAGTTTTGCTTGTCTGTACGAGCTTGCCATTGACGACATTGCTGAACGTAGCCCAGTCTAGCTTCTGCTTTACACCACCGTTGGTTTGTGTCTCGACTGTCATCGTGGAGAGTTGTCTCTGGAAATCCTGTACTGGTGTAGAATGAAAGGTGTGCCGAACCAAGAGGCAAGTAGGACGGCCAAAGCAGCAGATCAAGATATATATCGGCTGGACGAACCCACATTACACGATGATCTCTTCCAGCTAGACCGCTCAGCCGCGTTCGACCCTCCTTCAATATACTCTCTCCGCTTAGTTATGGCGTTGCGCTTGTTGAACTCTCCCCACTGTGGGTTTCGAACGGCCGCCAGCTCACATCGCTTGGAAAGGGAGCGCTTGTCTGACTAGTACCAATCGAGTCAGAACCAACGGATACTAATTCGCGCCTTATTGGTGCATTCAGCACAACGGGTGGATTTAGTAGGTGTCAAGCTCCGCACAGGGACCGCCCGTCCACTATAGTACATGCTCGCATGGAACGCTCGCACTCGATCGGCCCGACTATCGTGCCCGTTTATGGTCCCTGGCCTCCACTCGTCGCAGCATCCTTACTAGCCCTGCCCGTATCTTTTGTTGAATACTAGGACCCCGCCTGTTGGAAGTGGGTTGAGATGCACAGGAACAAGGTTGTCCGCATGAACACGTGGTTACATTCCGATCGTGCCAGACCTATTTGAACGATCGCCTTACCGAGAGCACCCTTGATTTGAAATTGGCTTCGCTGTGCTGTGCTATTCCAGTACATACAGTGCCACGTCAGAAAATTTGGCAGCCATGCGAGTCCTCCTCTACCCCACAAATGTGTGCAGGCCCGGACCCTTTATTCCCTTGCCAGTGCTTCCCACGCTGGCCAGCCACCCATGTAGTGGCTTTGCTCGGTCATGGCTAGAGGGACCTCGGACCTCTGCTGTAAAGCATGGGCGTCGTTCCCAGAGTCTTCTTCTTCTTCAGGCACCAGTCCGTCCTTGGATGGGACCGAGTGAGTCTTCCTGCGTCCGTTCGCAGGGATTGCCATTGTACTGTGTCTCGCGAATGCAACATGCTTCTGCTGGCCTGCAGATTGCGGCACCCCCAGCCAACCCGGTGAAAGCGACATCCCCATAGTCTCAAAAGCCGGTATGTCCGACCTCAGCTCTGGCCATATCTGGAACATGTCTTCGCCCATCGTGAACGCCCGGAGATCATTGATACGCCCCTGGAACGTGGGCGAGATGTTGTACCGCCCTGTCTGTGTGCTGCGGGTGTAGCAATCACGGAATTCGTACGGCCACAGGATGCGGAAGGACTTGGTAAACGTGCTCCAGAACTTGTTTGAGCAGTATCTGTGAGGATGGAAGACGAAACGCTCGCGGACACCAGGCCTGTGCGGCGGTTTTCCTATTAGCACGTCTTGGTCTCCAGCAAAAAAATGAGGGATTTGCAAATACCAAGTGAAATAGTCTGTAGCAGCTGAGTGCGCCATTGTTTGTGATGGTCTGAGATAGCAGATAGCCCAGTCAGCATGCTGAATTTCCCGTTTCTACATGCCGTAAGTCAGTTTTCATACCTAGCAATGTACCAGTCTGGCAATCGGGCCCTTCGTTCCAGCGTGGTATCAGCATGAGCAACGAGCAGAGAGTGCATGGTCTTCATTATAGCCAGCCGCTCTGTATCGCCACATCTCGAGAACAGAGTCTCGTCGATCTTGCGCAGCTGCTGCCAAGACGGCGGGAGTATGCCCCCCACGCTTTGAGCTGCAGCGTCCCAGCTCTCTGCGACTGCCCGGACAGGAATGTCCTCGGCGAGGGCATCTTCCACCTCGCTTATCTCGTTGCTCCACGGGATTGGCTCGGCCAGAGTGTCATTGGCGAATCTCCATAGATTGAAAGGTCTTATGACTTGGTCTGAAGGTCGTGGAGAACACTCGCAGGTATCGGTCGGTAATGTGGGAACGAAAGCTGAGCTTGTCGGTTGTGCTGTATCCGAGCTTGCAGTGAATATGCTTGCGCCGCCGGTGGCACTTGAGATTTCGTCAAATGCTTGGGCAAGCCAGATAGGGTCCAAGACGTTGACAGTAAGGTTTGAAGCCGGTTCTGGCAGTTCACTGTCGGCGTGGACTTCTGATAAATCTGGCGTGCCACTCGCCGGAAGCGTCGGCCCCGGGATGGCACCCGCCTTGACTGGGTTGCTGTCACCAGAGTCCGCGGCATCTGTCCTTTCTGGCGGCTGTTGGTCGGCTACTGCTGATCTTGAAGTGTCAATAGCACTTGTACCTGCCAGCGAAGGGTGGCTGGCTTTGATAACACGATTGATTGTCCGTAGTGCCTGGATAAGTCGATCGCGGTCTTCGACGGCTTCGTCTCGCTCTTTTCGCAAAGCCTGGACTGTGGCTGACGTGCCTTGACGCTCAAAGTCGGCTAGTAGACCTTCGAGATATGCGATTCGGTTCTTTGTCCGCTCCCTGAGCATGCGCTGACATCTCCGGTCCTGCTCGCGCTTCTTCGCGCGACGCGCAGCGGCCGTTGTGGATGTGCCAGGGCCGTTCGATTTGGGCGGCGATGATGACGAAGGCGTCTCGATTGAATCCATTAGTCTCGTCCTACCCGGAAAGCTCGTGAAGTGTCTTGAAGTGGCAGCATGAGGGTGCGAAAAAAGCTCCGGGACGTTCAGCTGATAGCACTTCGACCTCGGCCAGGGTTGCGGGGTTCCACGATGGTCGCGTACATACCCGATGCGCGCTAAGGCGAACTCGAAGCTACTAATCTCGAGCCTCTTCAAAGCAACGGCGTGTGGCGCAGGGATGCCGCCAGGGCTCTAGTGCCGATTGATCTCCTTTCCCCGCTTCCCCAGACCCTTTGGATCGGCTGTGAGTGTTTTCCGCTTTGGAAAGGCGAGTCAGCCTTCCATGACAGAGAAATACAACCCGCAACCCACGCAACCAAGCTTCATGGACCAACTTTCTAGGTCGGCAGAAACCATCTGTTGAACTTAGCAGGGCCGCTATTCGCGAAGTACTTATATAGGGGGGCAGAACATACATGTGCGGCAAATATAACGCAATGGCGCCGGTCGGTGCAACAACTTGTGACCATTACGGCGTCTTCTTCACATCCGTCCTGACTGTTGGGATAACACACTTTCTATTTAACAGCATTATTCAAGTGTAATGCCCCCCTCTAGCTTGGACGACCCTTTGGCGCGAGTAGCCGCGTTCGCCGTGGGCGTAGCCTCACATCTCTCCCTATTTCGCTTCGGAGAATGGCACTTGTCCACCGTCAAGCTTGTTCTCTCTTTCACCGCAGTACAGGCTGCCACCATCACGCTTCTACCAAGAGCTGAGCAACCACTTGGCACGAATGGCTCGCACTTCGCCGCCGCTCGTGTTTCGGTGACGCTGGGAGCACTGTGGATCGCAGGTGTCTTTGTTAGCATGCTCATCTATCGCGGGTTCTTCCATCGACTTTGCCGGTTTCCGGGACCTTTCATGGCTCGCTTTTCGAATTTCTACGTCACTGGCCTTAGTGCAAAGAGACTCCGTCTGTATAAAGAGGTACAGCAGTTGCACAGGCAGTATGGTGACATAGTCCGTCTCGGTATGTCACAAGGTGCTCCCGGCTTCGAAAAGGAATTATTTGAAAGCTAACCTAGACCCCGTAACAAGGCCCTCAAGAGCTGTCCATCAATAATGCCGAGGTCTTTGCTGCTGTCTCTGCACCCAATTCTCCGTGCACAAAAAGTGACTGGTACGACCTGATGCGTCCGATGGTGGCGCTGCAGCACGTTCGGAACCATGCTGAACACGCCGCGCGCCGCAAGGTGTGGGATCGCGGGTTCAGCGCGAAAGGTGCGAATCATAAAGTTACCGTTGGCTCCGTCATTCTGCATCTCAGCCCTGCTGACTTGGCGTTAATCACACAGCTCTGCGAGACTACGAGCCTCGCGTCACAAATTACACCAGCCAGCTTCTTGGGAAAATAGCCAGGTCCGAGGGCAAGCCCCTCAACGTCAGTGACTGGTTCAACTTTTACAGTTTTGACGTCATGGGCGATCTCGCCTGGGGCAAGTCCTTTGGCATGCTCCGCGACGGCATCAAGCACTACTTTATGAAGTCGCTGCATGCTGACATGACCAGCGTTGGGATTTTTACCCACCTGGTCTGGCTGTTCCCGATCTTCAAGGCCACACCGATTCTCAATGCTACCCATCTGGAGTTCTGGGGCTGGGTCAATTCGCAGGTGCACGAGCGTCGAAAGGTATGTGTGCAATGGGCATGCAAACTTGGTCATGAACCTGATTCCCCGTGTAGATGAAGCCAGAAAAGGCCGACGTCTTCTCCTGGCTCCTGGAAGACTATGAGAGCAAGCCGAGAACAAAGCAAGAGGAGATCGACCTCACCGGCGATGCTTATCTGATCGCCGTAGCTGGGAGGTGTGTGAGCAAGGCTGATATCCTGCAACTTACAAATCTAGTGCCTGCCAGCACGTAAGGCTGACCGGAGTAATACAGTGACACCACGGCCGCATCACTGACTTGCCTCTTCTTCCTCCTCGCCACCAACCCCAAAGTACTCAAAGCCCTGCAGAAGGAGATCGACCACGCGTACGAGTCCACCGCCAACAGTACTCCGGACTCCCTGGCACTGGGCAAGCTGACTTACCTTAACGCGGTCATCAACGAGACGATCCGCCTACATCCGCCGGTCCCCTCCGGGTTGGCGCGCGAGACGCCCGCAGAGGGGCTGACTGTTGGAGATCTCTACATTCCGGGTAACACTATTGTCCAGGTTCCATCGCATACGATATTCCACAGTAAGACTAGCTTTGCCTATGAAGATGCCAATGGCGCTGACCAGTGTTGTTTGCCGTAGACGAGCGCTACTGGGGTAGACCCAACGACTTCATTCCTGAGCGATGGACGGACCAGCCCGAGTTGATCAAGGATGGCAGTGTGTATGCGCCCTTTGGGTTTGGTAAGTGCGCTTCTACCACGGCTTCGCTGGGTATTTTCGAAATGGTATCCGTCCACATCTCGAGGAAACCGGCATGCTGACAGGGCAAACAACCAGGTCGCTACTCCTGTATTGGCAAGCAGCTCGGCTTGATGGAAATCCGTTACGTGACCGCTGAGCTCGTGCGTAGGTATGACGTCAAGCTCGCTCCGGGGCAGACAGCGGATGGGTTCATCGAGGGCAAGCGCGACACTTTCACTCTAGCGCTGGGTAAGCTCGATCTTGTATTCAACAAGAGATCCGCCTAGGTCTTTTGTGATTGTGGGGTGTAGTTAAATCACACGGTAGGATTCCGACTTTTGTTGGGTAGCCAATCGTTCTCAACGAATCAAGAAAACATACTTAGTTATTGTCGAGTTTCAATTTTCTATCGCATCTGCTGAGAGAATCCGTTCTTGAATCTTCAGATCAGGCTGAGCCCCAGCATGCACTATGCCCTAAGGCAGACATTACCAATAGAATGCCCACCTTTTACCAAACCCCTAAGCCCGCAAGTTAGACGGTCGCTGTGCTATCCTTTCTCAAGCATTTGCAGGCCAGATCCGTACAGAGCTAAATTCCTTGCCCTGGCGTCAGACCGAGTTTTCCTATGTACTACCTGAACTCTAGGACGTATCACAGATGCTAGCATAGGCTCGAGGCACCCGCAGGAACATGTCCATGAACCAGGCTATCGGTGACTGATCGACCCCGCGTGCCATCCCTGCCGATGCACACATTTGCGCCATTTTGCGGGGAAGCCTGGGGTAGGGGCATATAAGGTTCATGTCTCCGGGTGCGGCGGAGATGGTCGAATCTTGTCCGGTTGTTGAAGCTTGGTTGGGGACGAGTCAGCCTAGAACGACTCGATTGCTCACTAGTCACATGACTTATCAGGCTGACAGAGACAGGTCGATGAAGTGTGCCGTAGTGAAGGCATTAGAAGCAGAGTCATCGAGGCTCTTTCCTAGGCCAACACTGAGAGCACTGCTGCTGATTCAACCTGGACTTGACTGAAATTGGACCCTTCCTTGTCGGGCACAAGAGATCTTCCATGTAACATCTTCTCCACGCTCTGGATATCTCACGGCCCAGTACGAACTTCGCGAGCGGAGCAACCACTCCGTCAGGAGGTCAAACGAGGTTGCAGCAGGCACGATGAATCGCGCAATCGTCTATACGAATCCGGGGACAATAGAGACCGAGGTCATTGAAAAGCCCATCGAGGAGCCTGCACCAGGGGAGGTGCTTCTTCGTCTGTACGCAGAATCCTCGGCCACGTCCTCTACTACTATCACCAAGACCCATCGATGGTCTTGAATGTGAAGAAACTCATCGACTTACGCCGTCCTGTTCCAGACATTACTCTGGCGTCTGCCATACTGACTACGGCATCTGCACCAATGTCTTTGCAACATTGCCTCCTACTCCCAAGGGTAATGGTCATGTTCGCGTTTTGATGGACAGCCGTGGAGCTTTGTTGCTGACTTGTTCACTCAATTCCAGGTCAGATCGGAGGACATGAAGGTCAGCACTTTGATTTGAGACGAGCCGCGTCCAGGCGATCAAACATGACTGACAAATCATCGCAGGTGTTGGGGAAGTCATCAAACTCGGACCAGGCACCACTTCTCTGAAGCTCGGCGACCTGGTGGGCGTGAAGTGGTCAGCAAGCGCCTGCCTCAGCTGCGGTTCGTCGCAAATCAATTCCTTTCCCAGCTCGGTTTGAGCGAGGCGAGAGTCCAGTGCACGCCGTTGACTTCTGCCTCGCCCCTACACAGGTAACTGCCTCGAAGGCGGCGAGACGACCTGCCCCGCAGGCACAATCTCCGGGTTCATGACGCCGGGGACCTTCCAGCAGTACTGCCTCGCGCCGGCAAACTACGTGACGCCGATCCCGCGGTCCCTGGACCCGGCTGGCGCCGCGGCGCTCATGTGCGGCGGCATCACGGTGTACACGGCCCTCAAGCGTGCCGAGGTCAAGCACGGGCAGTGGGTCGTCGTGCTCGGCGCGGGCGGCGGGCTGGGCCACCTGGCGATCCAGTACGCGGTGGCGCTCGGGACCCGTGTCGTCGCGCTGGATGTCGGGGCCAAGGAGGAGTTCTGCCTGGGCCTGGGGGCGCGGGCGTTTGTGGATTTCACAAAGTTCGCGGGGGAGGAGGACGGTGGTGAGCAGCTGGCGGCGCGGGTGAAGGAACTGACGGGCGGTGCTGGTGCCAAGGTTGTCCTGGCTTGTAGCTCGAGCAATAAGTCCTATGCGCAGGCTGTGGGCTTGCTCGGGTTCCGGGGGACGCTGGTGTGTATTGGTGTGCCAGAAGGTGGTCCTGAACCGATCGGAGGGGCGAATGCCGGTGATATGATCACAAGGGAGCTCAAGATCTTTGGTAAGTGGAGTATCGAGCATGGACTGCTAGCATCCTCCACCATCTTGCCTCGCTAACATGGATCTCTACAGCCTTGAAGTCTGGCAACAGGGCCGATGCGAAGGAGTGCTTGGATATCGCAACTGCTGCCGGCATCAAGACCCGCTACGAGTTGCGGCCAATAGACAGTTTGACCCAGGTGCGTCTTTGCAACGTTGTTGGGGAAGTCTATCAATGGATGTGAGACTTGCTGACAAATCTGGCGCGGTTCGGGTCTGTAGGTTTTCAAAGACATGGAAGAAGGCAAGATCAATGGCAGGGTGGTTTTGGATTTGAGGTGAATACAATTCCAGTCTCGTAGTAACGCTGTGAGCAGCCTGTCTGTACAGGTCATTGTCACTGCGTACTACCACTGCGTCGTTCACGATGTTCAGGGGCCTTGACCAGCTTTGGCCAACGGCTATGATGTGGACCGACTAAGTATCAGGTCAATTGAGAAAGCTCTCGTACTATTCATCGTCTCTTGAGATCGTCCAAACCATGATGCAAATAGAGCCTTGATGTGGAATATCTCGCGAAGCTGAGTATAGGACTTGGTTTGTGGTCTGCGAGACAAGGCGGGAACCAAGTTGATCGCTAATCATTATGCCTCTTGTGCTTGAACACCAATTGGTTTCCGAACTATCGACGCAGAAGGAAAAGGAGGATGATGCTCACATGATAGCTAAACCAGGTTGCGACGTCCGCGCCTCCCGGTGTGCCTGTAAATGACCACGAGATCGTGATTAGCAATCCATACATGCAAAGCTGACCGTGTCAGCTTGGTTCGAGTATTCGAGGCTGCGCTCAGAATGGCGAGATCGGAGACGTGTGCACTTGATTGGGGTAGAAAGGGCAAAGCTGACCTCCGCCCGCCAGCTGCTGAGCGATGTCGGGGCTCGGGTTACCATTTTCGACAGACCATGCATGAGCTGCACGGCAATGCCTCCGGATGTGGCGTCCAGGCGGTCGGGGGCCTGCATCACGGGGTTCGAGTATGACCCCGCTGAAGACTGGCAGATGTCATCAAGAGTATATTCTCCCTAGACCACCTCTTTTATTGTTAGGTTGTACCCGCATGTGGGCACTTCCGTGACTAGTCGCCGCCCCTGCCTTGAATCCGATCCGGCGGTTGACGGGATGGACCCTTCCCACGCCCCCATGCTATTGCGGGGAGGTCAGCCTAGTCAGCACGTGGGCGTTTCAACAGCGACCTGTCCCGGCAACTGTGATGCTGCACCGTGTCACACGGCAACAGCCGTGGATGTCGTGTGAATGTCGGCTTGCAGGCGCCTGGCCGGCTTCGGCTTCGGCCCGCCCCTCATCGTGGGCACCCACAGCCCGTCCGGGGCAGGCCGCCTGTGAAAAGTCGGGGACCATCACCCCCCACGGGCTGACTCACCGATAGCCTGTGGGTGATCAAACTCCTCTCCTTCTCTCGCCAGCGTCTGGCTTCTTGGTTTCTCTCCGATCCGCACCACCACCAGCAAAATGTCTGTCGCTGCTGCAGAACGGGTTGACGAGACGGCACCGCTACTGTCGGCGCCCGTGACGGCCACGGCTCCCGCACCGCCATCGGGGCTGCTGGTTGAGGGGCAACACGGCCAAGCGGGCGAGCAGACGGAGGCTCACAACCAGGGAAGCAATGGGCCCGACAAGCTCGATAGCATGAGCGCCAACAAGGCCAACATGGCCGTCGTCTTCCCGGCCATTGCATCGGGAGTACTGCGCCCTTACCCCTGAGACTAAAGTCTCGTCGCCTCCAAATTTAAGCACCGCAGCTAATGCAAGCCCTAGATCTTCCTTGCCGCGGCCGACGGGACGATCGTGCTGGTCAACTACGCCACCATCTCGAGCGAGCTCAACGCCCTCAACAAGGCCCAGTGGATCGTCACGACCTACACCTTTGTCGCGGCCTGCTTCCAGCCCCTCTACGGCAAGCTATGCGACATTTTTGGGCGCAAGAACTGCCTTGTCACCGCGTATATCTTGTTCGCCACAGGCTGCATGGCCTGTGGCATGTCGACCACCATTGAGGGACTCATTGCCGCGCGCATCCTCCAGGCCGTGGGTGGAAGCGGGCTGGGTACCGTCATTAGCATCTTGCTCACAGATCTCGTCCCACCCGAGGACCGTGGTGTGTGGCAGGGCCTGCTCAACATCATGTATCTCTTTGGTGCGGGCATCGGCGCACCCGTGGGAGGCTTCCTCGCAGGGTCGGTGGGCTGGCGGTGGTCCTTCATCGGCCAGGTCCCGCTGTGCGTGTTGGCCATCTTCGTCATCTCGTGGACCTTGCACGACGACATGCCCACGCACAATGACAAGCATGACCCGTCCTCTGCGTCCAGCCAACCCTCCAGTACTCTCCTTGCCAGACTTCGCCGCGTCGACTTCCTCGGCGCCATAGCCCTCGTCACCACCATCTCGTCGTTCCTCTTCGCCCTCGACCGCGGCGGCAACGTCTCCTGGTCCGCGCCGGAATGCTACGTACCGCTCATCGTGTCCTTCTTCACGGGCGCGCTGTTCCTCTACGTAGAGACCAATATCGCCGCGGAGCCCGTGATGCCGCCGTCCGTCATACTCAGCCCGGCCCTGCTCCCCGTGTACGTCTCCTCGTCCCTCGCCTTCTTCGCCATCATCGCCCTCGAGTTCACCCTGCCGCTCTACTACCAGGCCCGTGCGGGCATGTCCCCGCAGGCCGCGTCGCTGTTCATGATCCCCGCCATTATAGCGGGCACGAGCTGCGCCCTTGTGACCGGGTTCTGGATGCGCCGGACGGGCCAGTACTACCGCGCCCTACTGTTCGCATGTGCGTGCCAGACGGTGGGCGGTGTGGTGGTGTTCCTGTTCTCCGGCCCAGTCAGGGAGCAGGCTGCCGCGCTGGTTGTCGGACACGTCGTGTCTGAGCTCGGAGTGGGCAATGTTGTCGTCTCGGGCTTGATTGCCGTTAGTAAGTGCTGTTTGTCTTTTGCATCTTCCCTTTTTGTCACTGCAAGCTCCTCAAGCCTTGCATGTGAGGCTTGTCGGGCACGACACCACGGACCGGCTCGGTAGCCGGTATGCAATAGGGTGGCTGGCTAACACGAGCCTGCACAGTCTCACTGGGCTCAGACTCGTCCTCGGCACTGCGGATCGCGGCATACTACTCGCTGCGCAACATGGGCTCCGTGCTCGGCGTCACCGTCGTCTCGACCATCATCCAGCAAGGCCTGCGCGACCTGCTCACCGTGGAGCTCGCCGCCCACGGCGTCGACGTGGACAAGATCGTCGACGAGGTGCGCCACAGCCTGGGCAACCTGCGGCACCTGGAGCCCGAGATTGCGGACATCGTCAGGCGCTGCTATGGCCAGGCGATGAACAGGGGTTTCTTGCTGATCCTCGTGGCCGCGGCGCTGACCTTCGTCCCGGCGGCGTTTATCAAGGGCGGGAGGGAGAAGAGGAAGAAGGAGGAGACTGGTCCGGAGTGATACGACTTTGGTCCAGCGCTCGTCATCTGGATGAATCCGTGAGGGGCATCAAGTGCTGCCAAAGCAGGAACCCATGGATCAGGCCAGGAATGAGGACCTAACGGCAACGTGCAAACGACGATGATAAGACGGCGGGGAGAATGGGAGCAATGCTGCATAACAGATATATTCGGGCTCAAGGCGGTTTGTTTTGGTGGGCGTTGATTTCGGCATGAGATGCGAGACATGCAAACAGGTGGACCTAGCCCGTGTCATGCCAAAAGCTTAGACATGTTGTTTGCTTATGACTGGCCATGTAGTCTGTCACTGGCGTATCCGTTCCGAGGCAGCTTCGGCTGCCAACACATTGATATGATGCTGCCGGCCTTCAACTATCCCGGAGCACCAACGAGAATCTGTTTGCAGGGTGTAGAGCCAAATGCGGGCCATATCTGAGTCTAACGCCACCAGCCGGACGACTCACAGGTTTGGTGCACGCGGTGGCCGCGTCATGTCGTGAATTCTGTGGTAGCGCTAGTGCTCTGACAATTCATCCTATCATTTTCTTGACCATAAAGTACAGCCCAGTCTGCTCGTCCATCGTCAAACCGAAACCCAGCTTTTGCACAGCTCAAGACCATTTCAATCTGCTCTCAAGGTTTTTTCATCTCCGTCGCCATCAGGACCCCCCTTTACGCCGAAACGACCGCATCCATCAACTTAGCATGGCTGATCAGATGGGCAACAGATTCGATCCCAACATGGCTGCACAGCCCGAAGGCACTCGTACACTGGCAGACAAGGCGTCTCTCGAGCTCCGAATCTCGAATCTGACCGAGGAGCTGCACCGCGCCAGAACCACAATCGCGCGCATGTCCGTGGACCTGGCGACCCTGGAAAAGACGCTGGAACAGACCACGGAGCAGCAAGCACGGCAAGTCGCCGGCCTCAAGCGGCAGCTCGAGCTCAAGCTAAGCTCGAGCGACGAGCCCAAGTGGCTGAACATGATGCTGGAGCTGGGCGTGCAGTGCGACGACGCCGAGCAAGAGCGCAATTTCCTGAGGCAGAAGGTCGCCAAGGACCCCGAGGCCAGGGGTGAGGCGGCCCTCGAGAAGCTCAGGCTAGATGAAGCAGTGAATGAAGACCGCCAGGGAGAAGTAGACGAGCTCAAGCGCCTTGTCGAGTTCCACAAGCGTAACAGCGAACACAGCGCAGAGGAAGCCCGGGAGCTTCGGCGTCTGCTTCATGAGCAGTCAATTCAGGGCGGAATGGGTGGCATTGGGGGTGATGAGGATATGCGCGAACAATGAGTCAATTCCTGCCTTTTTTGTGTTGGCCACATAGCCTTCACGGAATCCATGGAATCCAGGCAATCGGAGGCCAGCTAGTGGGAGAGCAGATTAGAGAATATGGATTTGAATTCCGCAAGACATTCGGAGCATGGGCTTGTGTATGCAGAATTGAAATTAGCCTGCAGCAGAGAATGGCAGTCACATCTCATGGTTTCCAGATAACAACGAGCTATTCGTGACCGGTATTGAATCGAATATCATGCAGTCCTTCCTTCTTCTCCATAATTCGTGCCGTGAACATCAGAGCAATTCCAAACCCCAATGGAAACAAACGCTTCAGCTCTCTCAACATTTCTAAAGATACTCAACGATTGAACGGCCGCAGGAACGCCTTGAGCGCGGCGCTCTGGTCCCCATTCACCCTCGCTCCTCCGGCCAGCGGGAAGACCTTGCTCTGCTTCTTCGAGTACGTCTTGAGCGCCTTGACGCTCGCAAAGGTCTTGATGCTGGAGAGGGGTTGTGCGGCTGCTTCGGGAGAAGTGCGATGTACCAGAGAGCGACGGGCGAAGTGGACGAGGTCGAAGATGTTGATATTGACGGCCTGTAGGATCTGGAACATGTGAAGATCAAGTAAAGAGTCAGTCTCGTACAGGCCCGAATAGAAACAAAAGCAGAGGCTGGAAGTGTGGATCAGGCAGAGCAGGAGGATTTTCAGCAGGATATAGAGGGGAAAACTCACCTTCTTGCAACCCGTGATCGACTTGCCCGTTTCACCAGCTCCTGACGCCACCACCACACGACACAGTTCCTGCCACGCAGCCAGGTCGTTGTGCCTGCCATAGTGCTCCTCGAGCTCCATGTCGATCGCCCTGTGGAAGCGCTTGCGCAGGGCTTCCATCTCGTGATAGCCGAGCGTGCTGGTGAGGTGGTTCCTGAGCTGCGAGAAGCTGACGGACGGCGGAGTCGAGGGGTCGTACTTTTTGAACGCGTCGAAGGACCGAAAAAAGCGGTCCAGGGGCATGTCGATTTCGATGTCGTCTTCCACGTGGGAATCGAGTCTCAAGCCGCTGAGAGTGCTCGCCAGCCCGTCTTCCTCGCTGCCAGGTGTAAGAGCTGAGCTCGACGACATTGAGGGGGTGTCATTGTCTGTGCCTGCGGAGTTGGCGACACCTGCAGCGGAGTGATGGCCGGTAGACTCTGCGTGCTGGCGCAGAGAGACCGGTGACTTGAAGGCCTTGCCACAGCTCTGGCATGTGTGCGCCATGTTGCGATACTTGACTGAATCGTTGTGCGTGTCGGGACTGGCTTGGGACGTGGGGAAGACTTGATGCAGGGCGCGTAGCGGAAAAGACGACTGTAATTGGTTAAAGAAATACGTCGCTGCGTTGAACTAGACTACTGGGCGAAGTGAAAGCGTCTTTTTCAATTGAAAACATTTGCGAGGGATCGATTAAGAAAGTACAAAGACGGGTGGGCAGTCTTGTTGTCACGCGGATGAAAACAAAATGGCTGGCTGCCTGGCCATGCTTGTCGTGTTGGCGAGGCAGACCAGCCAACAGCGCGGTAGGGAAAACCTGGGAACCCACTGGAAGCGCTCTGCGCCGGGAAGAATGATTGTTATTGGGCGCGCAGGACAGTTGGTGGTCTGCCCGGAGGGAGTTCTGTTGCTGCAGGCGAGGCTGTGCAGGCGCTTAATCACATGCAAGGCTGTCGGCACTGCACGCAGCATCAAGAGTAGGATCCGGGTTTCAGATGCCCATTGAGATGTCTCTTTGGGTTGCACACCTGACAATTAGACTAAAGAAGCTGTTGACCGTGAGATGCCCACTATATCTATTCCACAACAGAGCGAACTTCTCGGCATCTGTGATCGATAAAAACAAAAACGCTAGCAAGTACTATTTTATTCACCGGTCCAGCATGGCCTTGGCGATGCTTCCCGGTTCATCCTGACCCGCCAGCCCACTCAAAAGTCTGCAGGGACGTACGTCAACCACTGCGTATCGTCCATGTCGAAGAACAGCGAGTCCAGACCGACTTCTGCCGCCATCGCTCCCCCGCCAGCATCGACGTCAAACATGTGGTGGCTATGTGGGAACGAGGATCTCGACGACGGCGCCGTGCTAGATTGCATGGATCGCATGTTGTTAGTGTTGTTGTTGTTATTATTATTAATATTGTGCAGCGACGTGACGGCCAGCATCGACTGAGCGCCTGGCCCCTCGCCATGTGCATGCTGGTGGTGATGATGGTGCGCAGATTGACCAGTGTTGTTGTGGTTCGTATGTTGTTGTTGTTGTTGTTGCTGCTGCTGCTTGTTGTCACTGCGACCATTGAGCGCTGCTTGCTGCTCATCCGCAGAGTTTGTCTGCTGCTGCTGCTGCTGCTCCGCGGAGCCGCGTCGACTCACACCTCGACTCCCGCCGCCGCCACCACCACCCTCGCCGCCGCTCGTCTTCTCGCCAATCTTGCCCGACAAGATCTCCAGCGCGACGACGCACCGCTTCGCCGCGAGCCCAAACTGCTCGTGCTCTCGGAGTATCGCCATCGTGTCGTCCAGCGCGGCCGCGACCTCGCGCGCGGGGAAGCACCGCGGCCGCAGGCGGGCGGCCATGAGCACCGCGCCAGCCGTGTAGATGTAGAACAGGCGGTACCACCAGGCGGGCAGGAGGCCCAGGGTGCCGTCGTGCTGGAGGAAGCGGCGCATCAGGGCGACCGTCTCGAGGGCCGTCTCGACGCAGACCAGGGCCGACTGCTGGAGGACGCGGGTGCTCAGGGTCTGGCGGACGACGGGCAGACCGCTGGCGGCGGAGGAAGTGGTCGCGGGTGAAGATGACGTGTCCGGGGTCGGTTGGCCCAGGCAGTACCGAGCGAGCATTGGTCTGAGGAGGAGGATGCGGGCGTGTAGGCAGCTAGGGACACAGACTGGTAAGCATATGCACATTCTCGAACCCCAGATTTTCTTGTCCTCCGCTCGCGAAAACTTCCACGAAACAAAAACCAGAGAAACTCACCGGAATCGCAGAATCACAATCTGCCGCCGCGTAATCTCGTCCACCACGATCCCCTGCGCAGCGCCGCCGCCGCCGCCGCCCCCCTCGACGGCCTCTAGTTGCAAATGCGCCGGGAGCCCAGCCTCCCACTTGGTCAGCTCGTTGTCAATCATGATGGCCTTGCCCGCGTCGGCCTCGCCCTGGTCCGTCTCGAGCCACTCGGCCTTGTGCGACTCGAGCCCGCGCGAGTTGGTGCTGGGCGTCGAGTAGAACGCCTTGAGGACGCGGTGGATGATGCGGTACAGGTCGAGCGTCTTGACGAAGAAGGCGAAGCGGTACTTGTGCGGGCTGCTGTCGTCGAGGTCCGCTCCCGCCGCCGCCATGCTGTGGCTGTGGCTGCTGCTCGGATCAAGCGCGCCGACGTCGAGCATGAGAGGCTGTGGGACGGCTTCTGCTGTCTCGCTCGAGACCATGGAGGGGCGCCCATGGGTCAGCGCGAGCATGCTAATGTGTACACCCAGCTCGTTAGCATTGCTCTCTCGTACGCCGCTATCTCATAAAAAAAGGTCCTCAGACACATACCGGTCCATCAAGATACAACCATGCCATATCCTCCTCACGAGCTCCCGATCCCTCGCATCCCCCAGCCGCGCAGACGTCTCGGGGAGGTGCAGCCCCAGCCCCTGCGCGATGCGTATGGCCGCGCCAATGACCATCCACGTCTGGTGCGGGTGGTTCGTGCTCTGCAGGTACTGGCCCATGAGCAGCAGGCACTGGACGACCTGCACGCTGCCGCCGTCCCAGACGTTGAACCGCAGGCTCTGCTGCGCGCGCGTGTAGTACTCCTTGCTCGCCTCGGCGCGCTGCTCGGACGGGTATCCCTCCTGGAGCTCCGTGGCCAGAGCGAAGATGCTGTTGAGCAGGCTGACAAAGATGCGCTCGTCGGAGCTGGGCATCGCGGACGTGCCGGAGAACAGGGACTCGTAGCACGCCTGGAAGGTCTCGCGGTCGAGGAACGGGTAGAGCCCGTCGACGTAGTACCAGTACAGGTGGACGAGGCGGTCTGCCTGCTTGCGTGACGGGAGGACATATTCGTGAGGCTCGCTGTCGTCGTCGTTGCTGCTGCTGATGCCGCCAGTGTGGTTGTATGGTGTTGCAGATGTGCTTGGGCGGTGGAGGAGGAATCCGTGGCCCGCCTGGTGAGAAGTGACTGAGAGGGATGGGGCACCGTCAGGTTGGTTGTTTTGAGGTTGAGATGCCCCTGACGAGGTTGGTCCAGAGACGGCAGCGCGCAGCTGGCGCGTAAAGGAGCCGACGCTGCTGCTGCCAAAGTACTCGTTGCTGACCTCGCCGTCGTTGAGGACCGCGGTCATCGAGTCTGCGGCAGCGGACGAGTTGCCATGCTGACTGGCCGCAATGGACAGTGTCGAAAGGGGCGACGGGCCACCAACAGGGCTTGGGCCAGATATTGACGGTGGCCGGTCGACTACATGCGGAGCTGATGATCTGGGACTGTTTATGGCCTCGAACGACGTGCTGGAGGCTGGCCTCAGTCCGTGAAGGGGCTGGCGATATGCCGGGGCCGGGGATGTCACGACTCCTGAAGTCCTCTGGGCCCTGATGTCATGACTGCTGCTTCCGCTGTTGCTGCTACCGCCGCCAGGGCCTGGTATCGGGATGGCAAAGTCTGAGTGACGGGGGGTCTGGCTCCCGCCGTGCTCGTGGGCGTGGCTGCCAGTCGAGACGGAGGGAGCGTAGTCGCAGCGGTCACCGCGGCGAACACAGTGGTTGCAGGCTGCGTATGTTGTCAGTTCACGAATCTTTTGGTGGATATCACAAGACAAGGAGACGGGATGATGTTGTTGAACTGACCAGGCCGTACGCCGTCGCACTTGACCTTGCGGTCGCGACAATGGTTGCAGGCACTGGTTGGCCACAGGCCATGTTAGCCACCATCTGGCACGAAGAAGAAAGCAGCAGCCACCCACGAGCACTCACATGTCGATCTTGATACGCTTGGGCTTGGGCCCGGGCGTGGCGGCCACGGGCTGGTGGTGCTGCTTGTGCCCGGCGCCGGGGCCGGCCGGGGCAGACATGGGGCCGTGTCAGTCAGTCGGCAGGAGGCATCCGGCAGGCACTGGATGTCGTGTTCGGATCGGATGGCACGCGGCGAGAGAGTGTGTCGGATGGGCACGACGCGAGAGAGTGCAGCGTTGCAAGGTTGCAGTGTGCAGGGCTCGGAAGGGGATGGATGTGCGCAGGGACGCACGCGGCGAGTTGCAGCTCGGAGGAACGCGTGATTACAGCAGAGTGGGGCCCGGTCGGAAGCGGGGACTCCAAGTGTCCAGGTCCACCTCTCTCCAAGCCCCCAGAGCGGGGCCCGTGCGGGGATCCTCGCCCAGCATTGATCCGAGCAGGTGCCCACACGCCTCGGAAGGACGCCCAGGCTGGTTCCGGGGGTGGGCGGGGGGTTCCGAGATCAGTCACGGACGGCCATGCACCATCCCTCGGAACATGTAAGAGTGCATGTGAGTGAGGACAGATTATGGAGAGGTTGGCTAATTACATTGACCTGCTGCGGATGGCTCTGGTGCATCACCGTGCTCCAGATGATTGTGTGCTTCCGTCCAAGGCCGCTACCCACGGCGGCCTGTTCCGTGTAAAGATCTCGGCTGCAGGTGCTGTCTTGAGCCTGTACGAGAACATCATCAGCCTTCAGTGTATATCTCGGGCTCAGCGCAATGACCTACCCGTGCTCCATCAGCGGCGCTCGCACCATTAGATACCGCCCCTGTGCCGATGCCGGAATCGTCCACAAAGTCACCCCGCACCTCCGACAAAAGCACTTGGTCTTGGGCGTCTGGCTCTCTGTGTCGTGTATCTCATACTCTGATATATACTCGGAGCCTTGTATTATAATTGCACGGGTCTCGAACTTCATGATCTATGCTCGAGGTGTCAACTCCAGCGCAACTGACTTCGTCCAACGCCTCAGATCTTGGACTTACAATTTGATGGGTTCCGCCAGAATTCATCCGGCAGTGTTGGCAGAAACATGCTAGCTTGGCGAGGGGCGGTGCAGTTGCCGTGACCCTGACATTGCCGCACTGGCATTGACCATTTGACGATTCGACGTGCATAATGACAGTGATTCACCCACCGAAGAAGGACGTATAAAAAATGATGGCCAAGAAACTGCGGATAGGAATCCTGAAATTTTAAAATGGTGTACCAGAATTGGCTGAGGGGAACGTTCCAGCCTTATATGTTTGGCAAGCCACACCCCAAGTTCCATCTAGCTCGCTTACACGCGATCTGTTGCAGTCCCTCAGGTTGACCGTGCCACTACCTTCAACTACAGTCCGTCATGCAGTCCTGCACAATCTTCAAAATCAAGTGCTCATCAACGTCTTGCACTAACAAAATTGCTTACCATATTGCAGAAATTGCATGACCAAGTCTGATGCACGCTTATTGTGAAGTTCCAAGTCTATCGCTGGTGGCCTCTCTTTGCGCATGGCTTTAGCTTTTGTACAAATTCAGGAAAAACATCTATTCAAACACCATCTTGTTCTTGATGCAGCCCAACTGCGCGATCCGCACCTCCACGACATCCCCATCATTCAGATACTTTGGCTCCTTCATGCCCATCGCCACGCCCGAGGGCGTGCCCGTCAGAATCACCGTGCCCGCCTTGAGCGTCGTGCCCTGGCTGACAAACGCCACGATCTCGGGCACCCCAAAGAGCAGGTCGCTCGTCGACTCGTCCTGGCGCACCTCGCCGTTGACCAGCGTGGTCAGCTGCAGGTCGGCCGCGGCGCCCACGACCGCTGGGGACACGAGCATGGGCCCCACAGGGGCGAACTTGTCGAACCCCTTGCTGAAGCACCACTGGGGCACGCCGCCGGCCTTTTTGGGGTCGCGCTGCCACGCCCGCGCCGAGACGTCGTTGCACACGGTGTACCCGGCGATGTGGTCGAGTGCGGACTCCTTGGGGATGTTCTTGCTGGTCTTGCCGATGACGATGGCCTGTTTTTGGACGAGAATGCAAGTATCAGCGACATCTCGTGACTTCTACGTGGCGGCGAATATGTGGCCTGCCAGATGGGAGTGACACTCCAAGTTTTGGGAAAGACAAGGGCATGAACTACTCACCAGCTCGCCCTCGTAGTCTACAGTCCCGTCCTGCGCGACCTTGGGGATCGGCACATCCTCGGCATACCCCGCGATCGAGTCGGAAGGCTTGATGAAGACAGAAGGATACGGCGGCGGCGTCCGGCCACCCTCCTTGACTGCACAGCAAAAACCATAATGTCAGCACGCACGAATCCACTTTCCACAGGGACATGATGATCGATCCCCTGAGAGCCACACGTACTGTGCTTGATGTAGTTGAGGCCAATGCACTTGATGATCGGCACATCGTCCACCTTGAGGAGGTCGCTTATCGCCTTGACGGCCACGCGCTTGCCCGTGTTTTCGGTGGCAGCGACGGGATTGGGCGAGGAGCCGGTGTAGATGACGGCCTCGAGAGTGCCAGCGGCCAGCTTGTCGGTGAGCTCGGCGTCGCTGTCGATCTGTGGCTCGCCAAAGTGCTCTGCGCCGTCGGCGTCGACGAAGCGGATCAGGCGCTTCCAGGATGCCATTGTTTTGTTGTCTGCTGGGTGCAGTTGTGCGTGTTTTGGTGTAGTGATGTTGACCAGGAGGCAGTCTGTGAGTATCTGGGAGCTTGGCCAAGGATCAACTTTTGCAAGAGGATAGAATGCCGCAGATGCAGTCAAAGGTGGTCCTAGTGATGGGAGAATCTGATTGCCTTGGGCCTGTCTGAGGCCGACGACCGGCGAGGGGGATTGAAGGTCTCGGGGCCAGCTACGGCGGCTTCCGAGTGGGTGCCGCAAAGACGAGCCCCGAAACTCCCCTCTCCTTAGCACACACACCCCGGGACGCCTTCCGAGATGCGGGGGCTCCGAGGAGCTACTCCGCTCGCGTGCGCACAATGAAACTCAAGCTGCGTCGTCCGTCGGGGTGGCGGATCAAGATGATCCGGTGGTGGTGCGTACTGCTGGAAACAAAGACTGCTCGGGCTCGTACGCTGAGGACTGATACTAGGCTGATCCTCCCGGGCAAAACTGGACCTTGAACACAACCTTTCACGAGACATACGTATCCCCGCCGCGACACCTTGTTTCACTGCTCTAAGTGATCACAGCCGAATACAAGAGATCAGATCGACCACAACACAAATCCCTCACACCTAGACATACACACCCGCACTCATGACGATGGTGGCAGACAGTGGCAGCAGCACAAAGCCCGAGGCGCACCCCTCGGCGCCTCAGCAGCAGCAGCAGCAGCAGCAGGAAGACATGAGCTCCCTCCTGGGCCCGCTGCCCGCCCTCAACCTCGAGCCGCTGTGGTCCAAGATGGACCGCATGGTGCCCGCGCTGCCTGAGCCCAAGGCCCGGCCGCACCAGTGGAAGTACGCAGAGTGCTACCCGCACCTGCTCAAGGCCGGCCGCATGGTCGCCGCCGAGGACGCCGAGCGGCGGGTGCTGATGCTCGTCAACCCGGCCCTCGAGAGCCCCTTCACCACCGACACCATCTACGGCGGCCTCCAGCTCGTCAACCCGGGCGAGACGGCCCCGGCCCACCGGCACATTGCCTTTGCCTTCCGCTTCATCATCGACGGCGAGGGCTTCACCGCCGTCGAGGGCAAGCGCATGACCCTCCGGCGCGGCGACTTTGTCGTCACCCCGACCTGGCACTGGCACGACCACGGCAACGAGTCGGACGCGCCCGTCGTCTGGCTCGACGCCCTCAACCTCCCCGTCTTTACTTTCCTCCGGGTGCACTTTGCCGAGGGCTACCACGACCCCCGGTACCCCAGCGAGCCCGCGGACCCGTGTGAGTGGCGCTTCCCCTGGGACGAGGTCGAGACGGCCCTCAACGCGACGGCCGGCACCAAGAACCACGCCGTGCACCACTACGTCAGCAGCCGGACGGGCAAGCCGCTGTCGGCGACGCTGGGCGCGCAGGCCGAGCGGATAGCAGCGGGCAGCAGCAGCGAGGCGTCCCAGTCGCAATGCTCCTTCATGTACCACGTCTACGAGGGTAAAGGCCGCTCGACCATCACGACGCCCGCGACGGGTGAGACAGTCGAGTACAGCTGGCAGGCCAGGGACACGTTCGTCGTCCCGGCATGGGCCAAGGTGCAGCACTTCAACGACAGCGAGGAGGAGCCCGCGTACTTGGTGGCCGTCCACGACCGACCCATGTTGGAGAACCTGGGCCTGATCAAGCCAGGCTTGTGAGGGGAAGAAGCACTCGGGCGGGAGTTTCAGGGGCGTCGGAATTTGTTGTTATTGAACTTAGCGGAATGAATGCACCGGTTTAATTTGTCCATATCAGCGCGGCAACGGTCATGTGAATCCTGAGAGCAGTGGGCAGAGTCCCCGAATCTGTGTGTCAATCAGCATAGGTCATGTCAATTTTGAGCACTCACTGGGCGGGCGCGGAGTTTGGCCAGCAAAATCACCAAAAAATCGGTTTCGAGGAACATGGTTGGTGCTCCACATGGAGAGTCCAAAAATAGCAAAAACAAATGATCGATGGCGGGCTCGATCCGCCGACCTTCAGTGTTCGCATCGTGGGATGTTAGACTGACGTGATAACCAACTACACCAATCGACCGTGTTTGTTGAATGCATCGAGGCTTATGCACTCTTACATTCTCATCACACTGCGAGCCTTGTGTCTCATGCAACCTTCAGTGCTCCCAAACAATGTACCCCTTCATTACGAGTTTGACAACTGAATATATCGCACACCTGCCTTGCCTTGCAAAGGGCCAACGAAGCAGACGCTCCACTACTTGTTGATAGCAGCTCCGTGCAAACTGACAGCAATTTTCGTTGAGGAGCCTGCACTGATCCATCGTCGTGATGTTTGTTATTGTTGACCTCCTGGAGCTGTTCCGAGCCTCGGACCAGAGGGCGCTCAGAGGCCGCAATTATGGCGGGTCTGTCCCCGAGCAAAACGTCAGCCGCGGCCCCCGTCTCACTGTCATCCCCACGACATTTGCTTTCCACTTTCCCCAAGGGGTCCCCCAAAAGCCCCAAATTTTCTCCACAGTATTTCAGCTCGTTTTCTTGGAGCGCCCACCTTGGCCACAGCCATTGCAAATTTCGCACCGTTGCCGGGCATAACCGCAGTTCCGAGCCTCTCTACCGCCCGGGCTGGGTGCCTGACTCGTATGCTGCAATGCAAATAAAGAGCTGGGCGTCGCCCTGCGAATCTTGCCCCCTTTTGGACTCGTATCCGACCCTGCAGCATTTTGGCTCCGCAGAACCCCAAAAACGTGGTTGGGCCTCTCGACACAAGAATTTGGAGATCAGAAAACCCCTTTCTTGTGCGTCGTGTGTTGAACAGCCACCTCACCTCGCAACAGTCGTCACAACGCAACGCGACCACATTGTTCTACCATGGGGCTGTTCAAGCGCAACAAGACAGAGGCCGAGACGGCCGTGGGCCCTGCTCTCGCAGCTGTACGTGTCTCTCTGTACTATCAGGGTTCATGATGTTCTTGTATCAGCCCCCTAATTGTTGCCGTTCTTTGCAGGTCCTGCCCGATGATCCTCGACCATTCTACAAAGTGAGGCACTTGCTTCTGCTGAACTTGATGCTGCTCGTCGTCTCGCTCTCATCCGCCACAATTGGCTTCGACGGTATGTCCTGCCCTTTCGGTCTTGCGGTTTAAGCACGAAGCGAAACCCACAACTCAAACAACCATGCTGATGGGATGACTACATATAGGAGCTATGATGAACGGATTACAGACGGTCGCCCAATGGAGAGACTATTTTGGCCGCCCTTCTCCTTCGATCCTTGGTGTCATGAATGCCATCTACGTGAGCACTTTAACCCCGAGCATCCCAAATCACATGTGCAACATTTCTGACGTGCTTTACAGCCCATCGGAAAACTCATGGCCGTGTTCCCCGCCTCTTGGATGGCCGACAAGTACGGACGCCGCGCGCCCATGATTGCTGGCTTTGTCATGCTGATCATCGGCGCCGGCCTACAAGGCGGCAGCGTGCACATCGCCATGTTCATCATCTCCCGTTGGTTCCTGGGGTTTGCCACGGCGTTCCTGGCTCAGCCGGCGCCCATCTTGGTCACTGAGCTTGCCTTCCCCACGCATCGTGGCAAGATCACCGCTTGCTACCAGACCTTTTTCGTGAGTGGCACGCATCCTTGCTCGCATGAGCCCGGCCACTGACCTTTACCCACACAGTTCTTTGGTGCTATTCTTGCTGCCTGGTCTACTTACGGCACCCTGCGGATCCCCAGCACCTGGTCGTGGAGAATCCCTTCGCTCCTTCAGGGCGCGATCCCTGCCTTCCAGTTCGCTCTGTTCTGGTTTGTCCCAGAGTCTCCCAGGTACGCCGCAATTCTTTTCGCTCGCAGTCTTCCCGCATTATGTGCTAATACGGTTGCCGACAGATGGCTCGTCGCTAACGGCCGCACCGAGGACGCCCGGGCCATCTTGGCCAAGTGGCACGCCGGCGGTGACGAGGGCTCGCCCCTTGTCGCCTACGAGGTCGCCCAGATCGAGGAGACCGTCAAGATTGAGACCGAGGTCCTGTCCGAGACTTCCTACATGGACCTGCTCCGTACCCCTGCCAACCGGCGTCGCGCTTTTATCGCAGTCATCGTCGGCTTCTTTGCTCAGGTAAGCCATAGACCATCCAGAGACTCCAGGCAATGAAGCGGCATCACTAACCACCAAACTCCCTACCAACAGTGGAACGGCGCCGGCGTCATCAGCTACTACCTCGCGCTGGTGCTCAACACGATCGGCATCACCGAGAGCCGCGACCAGGCGCTGATCAACGGCCTGCTGCAGGTCTTCAACCTGCTGGCGGCCATCTTCGCGGGCGCCATGATGGTGGACCGCCTGGGCCGGCGCACGCTGTTCCTCGTCTCGACGGCGGGCATGTTCTTCTCGTACGTCATCTGGACGGCGCTCACGGGCGTCTTCACGACCACGCTCAACCAGAACATGGGCAACGCCGTCGTGGCCTTCATCTTCATCTACTACTTCTTCTACGACATTGCCTGGTCCCCGCTCCTGCTGGCCTACCCCGTCGAGATCTTCCAGTACACGCTGCGCGCGAGGGGCGTGTCGGTCACCTACGCGGCCACTTTCATCGGCCTCATCATCGGCCAGTTCTCGAACCCGCTCGCCATGGCCGGGCTCGGGTGGAAGTACTACATTGTCTTTTGCTGCATCCTCGCGTGCCTGTTTGTGCTCATCTGGTTCACGTTTCCCGAGACCAAGGGCCGTAGCCTCGAGGAGATTGCAGAGATCTTTGAGGGACCTTCTGCCGGCAAGAAGGCCGCTGATGACGAGGAGGCTGCGGCCAAGGCCAAGGCGAGGGATATCGAGGAGGTTGAAGATGCGCCTGGTGCTCAGAAGGCTTAGGTTAATGGGTTCTGCCGCTGGCGTCGTCGCAATTGAATAGGGTGCAGGTATTTATATACCACTAAACGAAAAAAGTCACGCGGGAACATTACAATTTGCGGTAGCAGCGAGCGTTGTAGATACGTTGGAACTTGTGTTGAAATAGGCAGACAACCAAATACTGGCAGATCCAATATCTCACCATTTGACAACGTGAGTCTTCTGATTCGCCGGGAGATTCGCGCGTTTAAGATCCTGAATGGTGGGGCTCTGGAGCAGAGAGGGGCCATGCTGACAGTTTCATCGTCTCTTCAGCCTCATTCCTCTGTCTTTCTACTTGCCCAAAACTCTTATACCACAACTCGAACAGTGGAAAGAAACCCTATGTCGCTACCCCAGTATCAGTATCGGCCGCTGCTCCCGCGTCAAATACGGGTCCTTTCACTCTCGCCTGGGGCACGCGATGGAGCCCTGACTGGTGAGCTGGAGGTGGTCAACCTTGACGACGTCAATGGTGCCGGCAATCAGGATACAGCTAGTCAAACACACGCCTTTGAAGCGCTCTCTTACGTCTGGGGAATCGACATCAAGAGCCATGTCCTCGAAGTCTCCGGTACAAGCATAGCCATCACCGCATCGTTGAACAGCGCCCTTACCCGGATCAGATATTCAGATCGCCCGCGTATCGTCTGGGCGGACGCTGTATGCATCAACCAGGGTGACATCTCGGAGAAGGAAGAACAAATCCCTCTGATGGGACAGATATTCAGCAGCGCCACGCGAGTCATTGCAGATCTCGGGGAAGCATCTGCCGACAGCGATGCCGCGCTGGACCTCATCGACAGGTGCTGGCGAGCAGACATTTGTTCGGGCTTGGATGCGACCGCCTACGGGCGAAGCCTTTCGCGTCTCGAGATCACAAAGTTTCTGTTCTTGGCGCCAGACGCCATAGATGATGCTTGGGCCGACCTCGAGCAGCCGCCCCCGGAGGCCGAAGAGTGGAATATGGTAGGAGAGTTCCTGCAACGACCTTGGTTTTCCCGTTTATGGATTGTTCAAGAGTTCGTGCTCGCTCGTGACGTCGTCTTCATTTGCGGCACGCGTCAAATTGACTGGAGACATTTCCTTGCCTTTTCAGTCGATTCCAACAACGAATCGACGTGGGTGGTGACATGGGCCTTGGCTGGCAGGAATACTGAGTACATGAGGGATATGGAGGCGGTCAACCGCATGTGCCACCATCGAGCGCTTCGCCTGCTCCAGGCCACTTCTGACGGGCGTGAGCTCCTCGCCAGCCTGGACCTACCACGGTACAAGCAGTGGCGCAGCCCCTCTTGGGTCGACCTGCTCGCCGGCTACGGGGATTTCAAGTGCACAATCGCGAGAGATCGGTACTTTGCGCTGCTAGGCGTGGCGGCAGATGACCACATGGCGGAGCACCCACAGCTGAAGGCCGACTACACCACGCCGGACACGGAGTGGGCGCGGGCCATGGGAAAGTTCATCTTGCAGCTCCCGGACGGGCCCAAAGCCTTCATGCGTAGTGGGCTTGCGACCATGCAGGACAACTTTGAGCTGCCCAGCTGGATGCAGACCTTTGACCCTGCAAGCTCCCGTCCAGTACTGGAACTCTGCGAACTGGTCGAGGTGAGCAGCGCAGCTTGGGATGGCAGCTCCTTCTGGGTCAAATCAGTCCCGGCCAGCCCGGGAGATATCGTGGTCCGAGGCTACAAGATCGATAAGATCCTTCATCGACCTCCACCGAGCGACTTGAGGGAGGCCAATCATCATGAAACGGTTGTTGATGCTGCGTGGGCGTACATGTTCCGCCACGCCGATCGCGCATTGGGCTTCTTCCTCAAGTATCTTGATGACACGAGCCAGCAAGGATTCGTGTCCGCTTTGGCCTGGAGCTCTTTGGAGGCTATGGTCAGAGCCCTTGTCACCAATCAAGATCCGTCCATGGCCACGTTTACCCTGCCAGCTGATGTCAGAACTTTAGTCCTTGGCTGCCTTTTTATGCTAGTCGGGATGGATCTGCCGTCCCAGGTTGCGCAAAGAGTTAAGCCATGGCTCCTCGAGACGCTCGAGACCGAATATGGCTATTTGGCGGCAGACATTCGCGACAGGTTGGTGATTGGATTTGACCGCGGAAACGAGGCCGTTCCCGATGAGGAGCGCGATTCTTCGAGCGGCACAAGTGCAGAGCCTGCCAGCAACTATGATGGGCCCACTACCTATTCCGGCGGACTGGCTGCGGACGAGGATTCTGCATCAAAACAAAGCACCAGCACCAGCAGCAGGCTTCTATTTGAAGTCCTGCAGGCGAAAGCCCTTCAAAGTGCCGGTAGTCACATCGGTCTTGCCGCCTATTTGGCTCTGGATCCTGCCGTTACCACGCAGGGCATCTTCTGCACGGTACCACGCTGCGCCGAAGTCGATGACGAGGTCTGGATCATCTCGGGCTGTAGACTACCCGTCCTCTTGCGCCGTAGCCGGGAACGGGATGGTGTATATAGGCTCGTCGGTACTTGTTATGCCGACGGGATCATGAATGGCGAGGCCACGATGAGGGACGATTTTGCTTGGCAAGACGTGCTACTCTATTAAGAAGATTCAAGGACAGACCGTGAGTGGCACGGAAGTCTCCTGTATAGTACCGAGACTTGTGAAGATGTGTACCTGTACACTGATTCTCCTTTCCACATTATCCGTTTCCACCATGCTCGAGCCTTCCGCTCTCCGGCCCACACTCCTCCCCTCTTTCCCGAGTCATTATGGGAATTGGATAACAAATTTTTAAAAAGAATTCGCAATTCCTCACGGATTTCACAATCTGGACACGTTATTCATGACAATGAGCGCCAGCCCCAAAAGACCATGCGGCGGACTCTGCGTCTTGCCTATACCATCACCGGGCCCCAAACGAACTTGGCCGGCGATATGCCCTTTATTATCAGAATATGGCTAGCGCATTCGGCGGGCTCGCCACCCCACCAGGCAGATTCAGCGGCGAGCTCGTCAGGAAGAACGTCCAGCGTTGCTGCCGCTCACATTCCGCAGCGAGGGCCTCGAGATCCCACATCTCCCCGATCGGCATGCCCCATCCTGGGAGCAAGAAGTCGTGAAGTCCTGGGGGCATCGAGAAATGAGCGGTTAGCGGTTTCCACTCGTTCTGCTCTCTGCGGCCAGAAGACAGGATGCAAATGACATGCGCGTGCGACACGACTTCCGCACCACCCCGAATGACATGGGGAAAGCATACGCACGAACAAACAAACAAGAAGCTTCTGGCAGTCCTCAAAAAAGGAGAGGAGTACTACTTACGCCAGTTATCATCCATTGGAACCACTTCAAACCCATTGTTGTCGCTCGCCACCGCCGCGAAATGGTGATCCCACAACCACTCGAGGGTCTCCTCGCAGCCCTTGACGCCCGCCCAGGCATAGGCGTTGGCCACGTACTTGGCCCGATCCTCGTCGCCGTGCTCATCATACCACTTGGTCCAACCCATCCGGAGGAGCAGGATGTCTCCCGGGCGAAAAGAGATTCCCGCATGGGCAGCCATGGCGTCGAGATCAGCGACGGTGATGGCGTGGTCAGACATGGGGCTGTAGGAGATGTTGTTGCGGGCTGCGTGGGCGACGTAGTCGAGAAGGACGCCGCGGCCGAGTATGCCGCCCTTTTTGGTCCAGTCTGTGTTTGGTAGTTAGATATCATGGGGTCATGCGCGAAGTGCTGCAAGTCTTCTGCGAGAAACCTTACTTTCGATGCCGAGTTGTGGGCCTTTGGTCACCTGGTCGTGGTGCCAGCCGTTGTAGTAGTTGCCTGTATGTGAATTGCCCCAGTGGCCTCCAAGGCACTTCGTTAGCTGGTCGTCACGTGGCGCAAAGAGTCCGGGAACCCACGTAAACCATCCCACTGGCTTCCTGTAGCGCACGGGTCAGAAGATCGACCAGCTTTTATGCAAACATCATATTCTTGCCCTGCGCAGAGACCTAAGCCCGGTTCAACTGACCTGTCTGTGTGTTGATACTGATCTCGTCATCCCACGAGTAAAAAGGAAACGCCTCCTTCTCACGCCAGTTGACCAGCTCGTGCCTGAGCACGGACCGGCCAAACGCTTCCTGCGAGACCTTGTCGAGTCCCCAGTTGAGCGCGACACTCCTGCCCGTGCGAATCTCGTCCTTGGCGGCCAGCGTGGTCTCGGGTGTCAGCAGGTTCAAGGTACCGAGCTCGTCCTTGATGCCCTCCTTGTCAAAGAGGCCCCATGCGAAGCCGTGCCTTTGTGCGTGGAGAGCGAGCGGTTACAAGTGGTTAGTGTAGTGTAGAGAGGTGCCTATGAGCTGGCCCGGCAGTGACTTACCTCTCGCCTTTTACTGGTGGCATGTCCTTCCATTTTGGGAGCGCTGAGGCATGCATTGTTTTCGTGGTCTTTTCCTCTCTTCGCTCAATCAGCACTGGTGACGAAATGCGTCTTGGATTTGCGGTGGTCGAAAGTCACTGTGTGCAAGTAAGTTGCACTGCTGGAGGCTGCTGGTCACAAGATGGACCAGCTGTGCACGACCTCATCGCTCGCCAGTCACGGAGAGCCACATCCAATCGCGTACCTAACTGCGGGATCCATTTTCACTGTCCAGGCTACGCGTGGTGAGCTGAGGATAAGGGTTCCCGAAGACCTGGTCGATCAAAGTGCGGGGCCCCGCATGGAGAGCTGTGGGAGGAGCAACTAGCGGGATGGGGATGCATTCCAACTTTTGCTCAGCGCGGGCGTCGAGCTCTCATTTAGCTTCATTCAACGGGGGCTACTGTGCTCCAGTGTCGCTGAAAGCTAGTAGCCTCTCTACGTCTAGCCCAATCGTGCCGAGCGGAAAAAGCTCCGCACGGTTGATGCCAACTCCATCCATGTTACCCAAGGATGATATGGCAAGCTTTCAGGCCGAGGCGACGGGCGACTCTGTCCTTGGAGCTACTACATACACTGCTCATTGGGCCCCCGCGCCGTCCTTCGATTTGGGTTCTCGCACCATGCAAGCGTCGACGTAGTCCTCTCCGTTAATCACAGTCGTGAAGCTGCTCTTGGCTTCAAACCCAAAGCGCTCATAGGTCGACTTCCCAGACGGTGACGCCTCGAGGTACGCGGGCTGACCAGCCTCGTCCGCCTGCCTGCAGAGTTCCCCCATGAGGAGTGATCCGGCCCCGCGGCGTTGATGTTGCGGCAACGTGGCGAGGACGCCAAGATCTGTTGATACGCGCTTTTAGTATTCCCAGGCTAAACTAGGTATCGCTTTGGGCTGGTTTCCACGACCAATATGCGTATGTAAGGGGAAAAGGGACCTTGCGGGAGAGTGGGAGGGGAAGGGGGGGTTGACAGTGCGAAGGGCTGCACGCGACGTACACCAGTGCTCCCTGTCACCAACAAGATCGTCCCTGATCCTCGTGGCCTTGAGGACGACCTCCTCAAACAGTGCCGGATCGCCCGCGGCAGGCCACTCGGGCCCACGTGTGTCCTGAACCTGTGCCGTCTTCAGCTGCGGCGACTGCCATGTGGCAAACGCAATGATCTCCGGCCGCTGCAGCAGGTCTGTGCTCTGGGTGCCGCCACCATCGTTGTCGTCGCCGTACTCGACGACCTTGTATACGTGACAGTGCTGTTTGTCGAAGCTGGCCTCGAGTTGCGCGCCGTACCATTCGCGCACGGAGGGGACATTGGGCTTGAGACGCAGGACGAGCGGGCTCTTGAAGGTGGAGAAGTAGACAGCGGCGAGCTCGGGAACATCCGAGCGATTTGCTCTTTCGAGGCGAAGCGGCATTGCTGGGTTGCTGTCCTGATATTGTTGCACGTGGGCGTGATTAGTCCTGGGGCTAGATCCGCTAAAATACCGGACCGTTGTATCCTGGTCTGGCGCGTGGCGATTGCAGAGGGTGGGATCAGGAAAAGTCTATCAGGCATTCTTTGGCCTGAGAGAGAACGAGCTCAGTGGGCGGCGGCGTTCTGCTGGTCAGTGCTCATGCATGTGAAAACCCTGGACGATTTGTCATACGGTGAAGGTGAGCGGGCGGGCTTCGGCGGGTGTCTAAGCGACATTGCTAGTGCCAATGATCCCAGTCTGGGGTGACATGGCTCCGTCAGCGGGACGTTCCGGCGTGGCACTCCGGGCCATGGGCCCCTGGAACCCGTTATGGGGCACGTTGGTATTCAACTCAACGGTTGCCACACCTCGCATTTGCAAGGGAAGACTAATGAGACCGAGAGATGGCCAGAGCCTTACAAGTTTGGGTAACCTTGTAGACCCGAACCTCAAGAAAGATTTCGAGGCGACGTGGATGATTAGCTCTGCCGCCCGTTGCCATCCCAAATAGAGTTTGGTAATGCGGCTTTGTACTGCAGGCAGACGGACGCAAATGCAACAGAAGTTCCCCGCAACCATGTTGTTTGCCACACCAGTGACCCCTATTTTTTAGCGATACCTGGGCGTGATAGGTACTTGTGTGTTATCTACGCAGGAAATGGCAACAAGCAATCCGGCTAGGTTGCTGGGAAAGCTTGTCGCGCGTGTCCGCGTAATGGCTCCGGGATGCAGGGCAGGGATATGGTTCCAGGGTTTCGGAAAATCTTTGTCTGTTTACGGCAGATGCCAGACCAACCACAGCGTCTACTTGGGCACACTGTTCCTAAAACGATGACGAACTCGTCGGCCCCGCTGATCCCGGGCATGGGGGGCAGGCAATAAACTGTGCTAGTGGTTGGAGTAACGCAACAGAGTGTGTTTCGCACCCATGGGTAATGTTATCCTCACCCCTTTTGCTTTTTTCTTTTTCGTGGTGGTTGCTGATTCTTCATCGTTTGCAGGACGTGCCGCAGTTTATAATGTGATCGGCTCTCCCGTTCGAGATGCTCCGACCACTGCTTGTTTCTCTCATCTGAACGGCTCTTGACACGTGACTGCAGCAACCTGCAGCTGCTGAGTATCCCAAGATGACGCGAACCACTCCGTACAACCTGCTGGTTGGGATGACAGTTGCCCTGGGCAGCTTCACCTATGGCTTTGGTAAGTGACTCACACAGTGACGACACCGAGCATGACCACAGCCTCGACGCATGGCAACTGACTTGTGCCTCTTGTCCAGGTTTTGCTTCCTTTGCGACGAGTCTGGGCCAGCCAGGCTTCTACGCCTTCTTCAACCTCTCGCTCGTCGGCCCGGACGCCGCCTTCACCAACAACATCCTCGGCGCCGTGAATGCGCTCTTCTTCTTTGGCGCCACCGTCGGCGCGCTGGCCGGCGGCCCGGCTGCCGACAAGTTTGGCCGGCGCCTGACCCTCATCGGCGCCTGCGTCCTGGCCATCATCGGCGGTGCCCTCACGGCCGGCAGCGTGCACATTGCGATGCTCATCGTGGTCCGCGTCCTCCAGGGCATCGGCCTGGGCTGTCTGGCGACCATCACGCCCATCTACCTCGCCGAGGCATCGACTGCCCGCAAGCGCGGCATGCTGACGGGCCTGCACGGCTTTTTCCTAGTCTCTGGGTACTGCATCTCCGCATGGGTCGGGTACGGCTGCTCCTTCGCGACAGACCTGACCTTTGGCTGGCGCGGACCCCTCGCGTTCACCACGGTGCCCGCGATCGTGCTGCTCCTGGGATGCATCTTCGTCCCCGAGTCCCCCCGCTGGCTGCTCACCCAGGGCCGCGACGACGAGGCCTGGCGCATCCTCGAGCGCCTGCACGCGGGCGAGGGCGGCACCGACGCGGCCAAGACGTCGGTCCGCGAGGAGTTCTACCAGATGCGCAAGCAGATCGAGTATGAAAAGTCCAACCCCAGCGGCTACTGGGCCATCCTGTCCAACAAGTCGTACGCCAAGCGCGCCGCGCTGTCGTGCTACGTCCAGTACGCGGCCAACTCGACCGGCGCGCTCGTCATCACCAACTACAGCGTCATCATCTACAACAACCTCGGGTACACGGGCCACATGCCGCTGCTGCTGTATGCCTTTTACACAATGGTCGGCGCGATTGGCAACCTGGGATCGCTTTTGACGATGGACTTTGTCGGACGTCGGCCGGTGAGTTTCACTTTTTTATTCCGGAGTGATATCGTGGTTTGGGAACAGCGAACTGACTTACATATGATCTGAAGTCTCTCCTGATTGGTTTTACTGGCTGCCTGATCGCCCTGATTCTCGAGACGGCCATGGTCGCAGAGTACGTCACCGGCGAGGCGTCGTTGTCCGCGGCAGCTGCAGCCGGACAGAAAGTCGCCATCTTTGCCATCTTCCTGTAAGTCCTCTCACCAAATTGTCGCCCCCTTGCCAATTCCGAGCACCTTTCCCAAGTCATGCTCCACGCCTTGTCCTTTATAGCCAGCCCTCGAAGAATGGAGCTTAACCCTGTCATGACCGATCACTGACCGTGCACACGATAAAAAACAGCTTCGTCTTCGCCTACGGCTTCTTCCTCGACGCCGCCTCCTTTGTCTACTCGAGCGAGATCTACCCGACCAACATCCGCGCCCGGGGCGTCGCCCTCGCCACGGCCACCTACTTCATCATGTGCATCACCTACGTCACGCCCGGTGCCACGGCCATCGCCAACATCGGCTGGCGGTACTACCTCGTCTTCATCTGCCTGACCGTGGTCACCGTGGTCGTCATCTTCTTCTTCTACCCAGAGACCAAGGGCAAGAGCCTGGAGGAGCTGGCCGACATCTTTGGCGACCCGGTCGTGGTGAGGCTGACTGACGCGACGGCCGAGGAGCGCAAGGAGATTGATGCGCGGATCGAGCAGGAGCAGGTCCAGGACGAGAAGTGAGATGTTTGGCTGGGGATTGTCAATTAATGGAAGTATTTGAGAGGTATGAGTGGCTGCCGATAGGGAGGCCAGCATTATGTGTGTATGTGGGTTGTGGGAGGTGGGCAGGGATTGCAAGTCACAGAATGGGAAACCGGGCTGCTGCGAAAAGTTGAAGATCAAGAACGAGATCGCCTACAGTAGGGAGAACTACAAATACAGACAGCTGAGATAGACAGCCCAACACGAATGAGCGTTCAATAATGACTCCTTTCCGCACGTGTCCGCAATGTTCTCACAGAGAGCCGGCTGTTCTTGGCCGTGGCACCGAGACTAGCATATCCCAGAACCCGTTGCAGGACTTGTCCCGCGTTCTTCGATGGTTTCATTCATTATAAAAGGACACGATGGTGGGCTAGCACCAGGTATTGTTCACCGTTGCCAATTTTCAAGCGGTATTGACTTGCGTCGTGGTGAAACCGACAGGCGAGCCATGGCCCCAACGAGAGCCTCTGTTTCTTCAGAGCACGCCTGCGATGCAACATCCTCGTCCTCTGTTGAAGTCGAGGTGGAAGCAACACTGCTGCAATCATCACTCTCACTGTCTGTTGCCGTGTTGTATGCGTATGCAGGGACTTTGTCGCCCTCACTACTGTAGATGGTTGACTTGTCATCGTATACTGATGGCGAGGGTCGAGCGTGTTCGACGACAATAATAGGGGTGAGCGTGAGCGTTCCAAGACCTTGGAGTGCTGTACTTCGGCGCTCTTTATCTTCGTCATCACCATATCTGTCGCCGTTAGACGGGGATGTGCTCATGCCGTCACCAAACTCTTCACACTGTGTCGCACGAGATACCATGTTGTCAAGGACCTCGGTTTGGACGGATTGGTGGACATATGTCGAAACATTGCCGTCATCACTCCCTTGATCGGCGGTAAGTTGGGTCGCAGCCTCAGCCAAGCAGTCAATTTCGCCTTGCAACAATCCGTGGTGTGTTTCTGTGGTTGGAGATGACTCGTCAGGAATCTTTTCCCGGCTCGCGACTGTGTCATGCTCTTCGGTAGGACTCTCTGGTCTCATATCAACTTGCTCATGGGCCATGTTGAGCTCGTATTGCGCCAAGTCAGCCCCTATGTCGCCAGCATTTGAGCCTTCACTCTTCCCATCGCGCTCTGGTGTAACGTGCTCCTCAGAAGCATCACTGCTCACCGTTTCGAAGTTGCTGTTTGGTCGCGACGCCACTTGTGGATATTGTGCCTCACTTTGTCGACAAAGCGTATTGATGTCACCTTCATCGTCGTTCGCAGCCACTTGAGTGTATGGTTGGCGGGTGATACCCTCTCTGCACGGAGACTCGGCCCGATCGACTGTGATGGTGTAGTGTTTGGGCGGAATCAGACCCTCGCCGTCCTCCACAGTCTCTGTGGCAATATGCTCGTCCTTGGGATCACTGCCGTGACTTCCTGCACCGCGTGAGCATCCTTCTGATTCCTCATTGTCCTTGGCGCATCGATCGCAGGTGTACTCGACCACGCATTTCGCTCGATAGTGGATCAGGAGCACGCCACTACGGCTTGGGAGCTGGTTCGCGCAGTTGACACAGACGAGGGCATGCGGCTCTGGCGCGGGCTTGACGGTGGTCTGTGTGGCCAGATCGCTGTATACTACATCCGGCGGCTCGGCAGGCTCAGGTTCAGGCTCAGGCTCAGGGTCGGGTGGACGGGTCGCGGCGGCTGGGATGGCGGGCTCGGCTACAGGTTGCGCTGGTCCCTGGGGTTCCGGCACTTGGACTCTGGCGGCTTCTGACATCGTTGCAACTGGCATTGGCCTGTGACTATCCCCATTGTGTATGGTGAGAGCCTCCTGGGTGGCGAAAGACGTGTTGCAGGGACCACACCTGAAGCTGGGCTGGGTCGTCGCCTGTGAACGGGCTTGGGACGCCGGACTGGCCGCGGGTCCTGGCCAGGGAGCCCGGTGGCCTGCTGAGGTGATGTGGCTCCTCAGGTCGTTGCCTGTCGCAAACGTCCCGCCGCAGACGCGGCACGAGATTGGGGCGTTTGCGATGCCGTGCACGTCGCGTTTGTGACTGGCACAGCCGCGTGGTGTGCCGAAAGAGCGGCCACACTGATTGCAGGGATATGAATATGACGACACAGTCATGTGGCTGTCGTATTGATAGTTATGGTTGGAGTCATAGTCCGAGTCATCCTCGCTCTCATCTTCGTCTTCGTCTTCGGAGTGATCATAGTTATCGTAGGCGTTGTGGTTCTTGTCCCTGGCGTGCTGGTACAGGTCGTGCTCGGCATAGAACCAACGGCCGCACTCGGCACACTCATGGCCCCAGTGACCCAGTGCGTCCATGTGCTGATGGAGGCTTCGCTCTGTCCAGAAGGCCCGGTCGCAAGAATAGCATTCGTGCATGATGTCGGGTGGCCGAGGCGAATGGTTGTGAGGTGGTGGTGAGGGTGGCCGAGGTCCTCAGGTTCCGAGGACGTGCTTCTTTGGCGGGCGACTTGGGCGGTGCGGATGGAACAACTGGAGGCAGTTCCCATCGAGGAGTCCCAGGGTATCGTTGCCTCGAATGTTGCCGAGCTGCTTCGACGGGATGGTGGACGTGGTGTTGTTTGTTGCTGGGAGGCGAGGAGGCGCCGCTCCTTCCTGAGGGTGTTGCTGGCGGACGTGGAATCACATCTTGGACGCGCCTGCCCTTTGCGGTTGCCAGCGCCTATGCGCGCGACACATTGAACCCTGGACGAACGGTCCTGGACCGTGTCTCGCGAGACGCCGGATCGATACTGCGACCCTGCCGCGTGCCGCGAGGTCTGAACTCGAACCACCCCGACCAGGATCGCGCAGCCTATCCGGTCGCACCTCGATCAATTCACCATAGAAGAGAGTCTCACACCACCACCCAGACATCGCCGGCGGGTGCCACCTGTCATTCAATTTGCACCACCGCCCGTGATTGCTCCCTTCGCAGAGGCTGGGCCCTCGAAACCCAACACACACTCTCCCGTGACACCTGCCATGCAATAGATTAATCGAACACCCCAGGAGAGTGGGTGACCAGAACTGCTGCCGAAGGCCCTGACGCTGACATCCGCGGCTGCATGAGGTCCACCGCGCTCAACCTGTCATCCCTTTACCGCCCTCACGGACTCCCGTGCGAGGGCTGTCCCAAAACCATCCGGGGAACGCGCTGCAATGATGGGCGCCGTAAGCCGGGTCGGCCCAGCGAGCGCAAGGAGCGCAGTCGCTTCCGCTCCTGTCCCGCCATCCTTCGTCTCAAGCGAGAGCAAATCGTGACGCTGCGCTTCCTGACACTCCATCGTCCCCTTCGGCCGAATTTGCTCGGCACAGGAACAGCACGAGGCCGTAAGCCGCCCTGTCAGCTTGCGGTGTTGCAGCGCGGCAGCCCTCGCCACCACCATGTACGGTACTTTGACACAACGGGCGAGTGTTGGCTGGCGAGTCGTCGGCCAGAAAGAGGTTGTTGCGCTGCCGTTCTGCTGCACTTCATGCGACACGATGCACGGTCTCCCTGCATCGAGGGTATCCTCTGCACAGGGCTAAACAGCGTGGGCCGCTGAGTGCGTTTGGCCCCCCAAAGAGGATTATGACTCCTTAGGGAGGCGAGAGTGCGTCTGAACCGAGTACTGTATAAGTATGACTGGCATTGATTGGGAGTGTGGCCACTGTATAGGCTATCACTTGACACAGTCCCTGAATCTAAGGATGTGACTTGAACATATCTGAGAGTTTGTATTTAAGAAAACCTTCTTTACCCCCCTATTTAAGTAAAGTCACTGACACGATTGGAGCTAGCAGATGGCTTAAGAAGCTACTATCAGCATAGATTATATTGATCAAGGAGTACTCTAATTTTCTCTATTCTAAGTGATAAGGTGGGCTATCTTATATAGTGAGTGTCAGTGAGTCATGGCAGATGCCTGTTAGACTTCCCATGTGCTGTTGCCTTCTAAGACCTACAACCTTCAGGCTCCAGCTCCAGGCACCTAGTTGTTTCTGTTTGATATAAGGCGAGGCAGTGGCAAGGCTCGATCAAGCGACGACACCGGCTCTCTTGCAAGCTCTCCTTGCGTCAACCAGAAATATGCAGTGGGACCACACCTCCTGTCTAGCCTTGCACTCTCTCACAGTCTAAGTGCCTGGACACTTCGCATTCGACGAGACAGCATACCCGTCCAGCGAGAGCCCGCTGTCGCCGTACGTGCTCGCGATGCCGCCGTAGCTACAAACACGGGTGAACACCCATCAGCAAGCCGAACTCCATAGAACCCCGACGCAGGCGCAAGTCGCGGTACACTTACAAAACCCCGGCGGACGAGCCCCGCGCCCAGCACGTGTCCGTGATGTACTGCACGTTGGTGGCTATCTGGTAGTGGCTGATGTGCGTGTTCTGCGTGCCGTACCAGTTGAAGATGCAGTACTTTGCGTCACCCCACGTCCACGACTTGTATGAGATGGCCCCCATGAATTCGTTCACGGCGACGCCGTTGTTGTAGAACCACCCCTGCAGGCCCCGGATGTCTGAGACTTGGAAGTACGGTCGCCCGTGCTGGGAGCCAAAGCACGCGTCGGGGGAGCGCTTGTGTAGGGTTACGGCTTCGCGGTATGCGGTGATGTTGGTGATCGGGAGCGTCTCAACTTTGAAGTTGGCTGGCAGGGCGATGGTGTTGGGGGCGGCTGGTACGTCGGCTGCGCTGGAGGGGACGGGGTTCGCGAACGTGAGGGTCGCGAAGGCTAGGAGGAGCCCGGGAAGGATAGTGACTTGCATGTTGATGGGATAGATGACGGAGTAGAGGCAGAAGGCGAAGAGGGTGTACCGACGTACATTGGAGGAATGATGGCCTTCCATGGTGCTCAGACAGCGGCGGCCTCTGGTCTTTTGTACACGACGGTGGGGCCGGGGCCCTTAAAAAATTGCAAGGGAATCTCTTCACGAATATCACTCAGATATGGCAGGCGTATGCTGACAAGAGAACCCAGAGAGCCGCTTAACCGCCCGGATAACCGTATTGGGAGGTCACATCGCTTCCAGTTCGGCTCCTCCCGAGTTCTAAACTCCTTTCATTGTTCTATTTGGTGGGCTCACTAAGTTGCTAGAACACTTTTGTCGACTGAAGTTAGACGCTCTGACATGATCCCCACCGCTCGTTCACGATAGCCACTCGCAGGTTGCCATGCTGACATGATCGAAATGAATGACTAACGTATTCCCCACTGCTCGTTCACGATAGCCACTCGCAGGTTGCCATGCTGACATGATTGAAATGAATGACTAAAAATATCGACTGAACCTGATTGAACTGTAAATTTGGATCTGGACCTAAAGGTCAATAGTCTCAACCTCGTTCGAAGAGCCAATTAAAGAGCTGACGGGGTTTCTGCGTCATAGTGAGGCTTGCTCGCATCGGGTTAGTATATCTCTGCACGTTTGGACGTCAAAGAAAAGCCCGTAGACGGGCGGACTTTAGTGGGACCCGGTGGCAAGCTCAGTTGGCGGCGGATTTTAGTGGGAACCGCATGACTGGGAGGCGAGGTGCTTGCCATGGAAGCAAACCGGTTCGATTGTCAGCCCTGAAGTGTGAGGTAGGTATCGCTAGCACTCGCGTGTTCAGATCTGTCAACTATTGTGAGATCAGCTTGAATGAGAAACAATCCAGCGTCAAATAGACAGGCACGCATTTCACAAGCAGGACAAGTCAAGAGAGGTGACGCAAGGGAGGCCATATGCGGCGTATTTAACTCCTTCAACCATGATACTACATACACTCGACTATCGATACAAGCCAAGATCCGTCTCAGGCAACGACCCTTCAAAGACAACGTATTCCCAGCAACCAACGCTCTGTATGATCCCTCTTTCTGCCCGATCATCTTCCTCCCTTACTAACAGCATATCCCTAGATCTCCAACGTCGGCTCCGCACCCTTTACCCGCCCAATGACCTGCTGCGGCGTATACTTTAAGATAACCTCATCATCGTGCAGCATCTCGAACTCCTCGGTCGTGTCGCGACCCATGAAGTCCATGATGGCCTGTGGGCCGCCTGAGTGCTTGTCGAGCTAGTTGGTCAGGTCTATGATGATGCCCTTGATGATGACCCACAGATCGTCCTTTTTGTTATGCTTGGCTACCTTGTCTATTGTGAACACTTTCTCCGGGATCTCGAACTTCTTCGGGTTGTTAGGCTTGCTGGCCGGCTTGCCCTCCTTTACCGGTATACTGAGCCTTACCCCTGAACCCCTGAACCCCTGAGTCCCAGGCGCCTTTCTCCATCGGTCCACGCAGCTCAACTCCTAAACCGACCTTTACACCCTCAATCGTTCTCACTCTCCCACCACTTTCCTATTCTCACCCTCACCCTCTCAACCTCTTATTTATAGAACTTATCAGGTTTCTCAAGCAATCTTCTACAGTAGCGCGATTTACCAAATACCTATTTAAAGATATACTATGCGACTTAGACAGTCTGCGATCAGTCTGCTTAGGAAACACACCCTTTACTATTTAGGAGGAAGGAAATCAATATCACATATTAGACTAGTAAAGCAGTAGACAACCCTTTGCCCATTGCGAAGACTTGCCGATTCTTTGGTGCGACGCCCCACTGATACTGAACAGCCGTAGCTGCCTAATTCATATTCGTACAGTACCCTGTGCCACCCGGTGCTCCCTGTGCTGGCCCTGTGCCCGGCCTGTGCTTGCCCTGTGCTAGCCCTGTGCCAGCCCTGTGCCAGCCAGTTATAGCGGTGGGGCCGTTGGGGGCTAAGGAGGGCAAGATTCGGGTAGCAGAACAACTAATGGCAGCAGCCAAACAGCTGCATATTGGCTGATGCCGGTCAGGCCCGCGATGACTCCGGCACCGCCAATGAGAATCTCGCTACCAACTACAAAATTTGCCACGAGAGCTGCGAACATGTACGCAAGATGACCAATGGTACCGAAGCGGACTTTAGCGACTTGTAAGTATCTGTGACAGTGGGATCAGCTTTTGTGTCAGATGAAGAAAGGTATATTACGAACGTCGAAGCACCGTTGGCGTTGGCCTTGATTTTAGACGAGACGAATGCGAAAGCAGCGATTTCTAGTTCAATGTCAATACGATTCTGCAGAATCGCAGCTTCCTATTTCGCAACAAGACATACCGATGAAGCCGCCCATGCCGAACCAATATGGGATTGAGACTCCGTAAAGGATGTAAGCGTGCTTGTCTGCAAGAAGACGGCTGCCCACACCTAAGTAGATATTATACCGATGGAAAGCCGTCACAATAATTAGCTACTGAATTGAAACCCCATAGTACGCAGACTTCAGGTCTCATGTGTGCATATATGCCCGTCTTGACTGCTCTCGAAGCAGAAGAGAACTCCTCGACCGTTCCTGGGTGGAAGTGGGTATATCGTCTCTGGACCTAGGTGATACCATTCATTAATGTAGCAAAGAAGACGCCGCTAACTAAAACTACGCATTATCAGCCAACCGGATATAAAAGCCGAGAGGTTAGTTATGAATGGGAACTGGGGTGCATACTGGTCGAGTATCCAGCGCTTGGCGGTAGAAGAGATATGGTGGTAGGCTAACAAAGTCCCGTAGTCTCATACAGAGATCTGCTGTGAAAGGGCTAGTTGATTCCCGAGTAAGGTAGCTCAACTGGGGCTACAGTTGCATGCTATCAGAGAAACTGTGATGTTTATAAGATTTCAAAGAAAGCCTGCCCTATGATAGTGCTAACAATGTGAATCTTCCCTCATCAAAACCCCGGGTGTTGACACCCTCAGCGATCCGAGGGTCTCGAGACTGGTAGCTTGAAAGCAGAAGAGCTCAAACTGGTAGAGTGGAATACGCCATCGCGCCACTAAAACATGACGAATTGAGAGCCAACCAGCACGCGATGCCCCATTAGAAAGACATCACTGATAGCTAAGCTGTAGAATGAGGTTAGCTCGGTAAGGAACCTGATTGCTGGGACTGAGCTTCGCCTTTTTGCGAATCCCTTGACATCCAATGTGCTGTGCTCCTTTCGACCCGACCTCCCCGAACGTCGCCAGATCGCCGTTGCTGTGTCGAACTCACCATGGCTCACCACGAGAACCACGATGATGAAATGGACTTGTCAGAGATCAGGTGGAAGATGCTGATTGCGTGCGACACCTGCAGGCGAAGAAAGGTGCGCTGTGATGGACGGAGGCCGTGTTCGAGATGCAGCAAGGGCAGTAAGGCGTGTACCTTTGCGACACCGTGAGTCTGGCTTGATAAATATATGAAGCGGTACGAGACACTTTCTGATGCTTTGCACAGGAGGCGGGTCTTGGTCCATCCCAAACCTCGGGCAGGGCACGCACTAATCTGATGGCTTTGTGATACATCGTGGAAGACATGCTTATCGTATTGGCTAGGGCTGCAAACTCCCCTCGGACCGTCTCTCTTGCATAACCACCCGTAGCGCCGAAGAGATCGATGTCCAATAGCACTTCGCCAGAATCAATATCCACACCGCCGACTTATAGGAGCCTAACGAAGATCAACATACTTGAGGAAGACAAGGTAAGAAGCAGTGAAGCCCCCCCTCCGGGTTATGCCTGGTAACAATCGACATAGCTAGAGGTTTCGGGCCCATCCACAGACATGCCTCTCTTTGCTCGCCTCGGCCTGCTCCCTACTATCGAGGTGTCGGAGAGCGACCACCCAGGCACTGACTTCCCGTCCCATACCGCGGATGCATTAGGCATCACAGGAGCTGCAACATCCCTGGGCGATTATTTTGACCTTTGTCTGCAGCATTGCCCTTTGGAACTCATGATCAACCTGATACACCTTCATTTGACTAATCGTGAGCCCTTCACCACAGGCTGAGCCGAAATCGGTCGGATCCATGTAATGTGCGAGCGCTGCTGACTCACTCGCCTAGCCATCTTTTTTCCATTACTACACTCACCGTCTTTCCTATCGGTAATTTGGCTGCGCCCAAACTTGATCGACACAGAGACTCACAACATGCATAGGAGTTTACGGCAATCACACAACGCCGGCTGCCATGCACAGCTCAATACAGCGCGATGCTGATGAGCATTCTCGCCGTAACAGTCCGACTCATCGAAAGCGCGACAGCCCTTCTACCAGCCATGCAGCGCTATTAGGCAGGTGAAACCTACTTTAAGCTTGCGCAAAGATTCCTCAGAATCAGCACAAATAATCTAGATATTCGATACATACTCGCCCTATACCGTGAGCTCAGTCAACTCTCTTAAGCGTCTCAGGAACTGATGCAGGACGGCAGATCTCGCGTTGTTTGCCGAGGGTCGCACTGAGCCTACTGGTTAGTTTTCGCGAATAGCTCGTTTGAGATGCAAGCGACTGATGGAACAACTTAGGGTCAGTCTCTAGCTTCATTGCAGAGGCTGTCAGTTTGGCGTTCACCACTGGTTTACATCGTAGCACTTTGGAGTTCAAGATGGACGCAGTGACATTGCAGGCAAGTAGCCATCTGATGGTTATGCGGCTATCAGCCAAAGTCCTAATACAAAGACAGATCCGCACTCGCCTGTTTTGGGCTCTATATATACGAGATATAACCTTCGCTTACAACCAAGGACGCCCTCCACTCATCAGGCTGTCCGAGTGTACGCTTCTTATATATCGTATTTAAAGTACGACAGCTAACAGATTGCAGGTAGCATTGTCCTTCCAGTCGCCGTCGATAACGAGTATATAAAGAAGACGGAGATCCTCCCGCAACCTGAGAGCAACTCTCCACTAGCAATTGCCGCCGCCGTAACGACAATAGAGATATATATAATACTCGAACACGTTTGGTTCCCCTTTTCGCTCAATAATGTTGTTGTATTAAATCTAAATCATAGGTCCTGTCGGCTATCAATGCGCCATCGAGGACGCCAGCAGATGCGTATGATCTACACGACCCACGGGCCAGTAGAAGCGATCTCATGAGACGGGCATAAATGCGGCTAGATGAGGTGTGTTCACTTACTGAGGCGTAACTATGAGACCCCAAATAGGTGACTGACCGAAGTATGGGATAGATTGAGCGACATCTTCCAACCTATCTATCACCTGCTGGCGTTATGCCCAGCCCAGCTCCCAAATATCTCTATGTTTGTCGCGTTCGGGCCGCTTTCCTGTTTGTTAAAACGCTCATAGCCCGTCAATCTCTTGTTGAGGAGTTAGACTCTGGCGTTGAGCCTGCTGGGGAGGAGACGACCTAAGCCACCTTAGAGGCCTGTCGCCTCTCAGTGGACACAGTGAAGACATATTCACGCCTACGACACCACGGTCTTCTTCACTCCTGCGGATTTCACGCTGTATCCCATGTCACTGCTGCTGCCCATACGCTCATTGCGTGTATGCTAAGGAGCTCTGACCTGGCGCTTGAGCATCGCCCCAACCTTCTCACTGCCATCGACATTCTACTTGTCTTCTCCTCCATTTACCCTCGCACCGAGACTGTTGGCCAGCTTCTCGTTCAGTTATCTCGAAACCTAGATCACAACAATGGTTCGAACACTCAAAGCGAAACAGTCCCCATACGGGTTCTTGCTCGCAGGATGGCTCGGTCACCTTCGCAGCCTTCATTCTTAACAACGGCACTTACTCGTGCATCCGGAAAAGAAGTTTCTTTCGAGGACGCTGTTGGGGTCAGTATTGGGCACTGAGTTTGGCATTTCCAAGTTCAGGAGACCGATCTCGGTAGAGAGAAGCACGCTACTTATTGGGTCAAATGAAAGTCGGTACAAGGGTCTGCCAATGGAGGGATATTAGAAATGCAGCGCGGTTACTCTACTAAGATATAGCGAGGGAAAGTATCTCTCATTTATAGACCCCATGTCTTCTAGAAATAGATATCACTTACCCTACATCTAAGAGTTAATACCGCCGGACTAGTAGTTAGGTCGGTAACGACTAGCGAATCCCCGGTGTTGTATGTTTTGTAACTTTTAATGCCCGCCACTTTTTTATCTTGAGAATGGGACGTCACGACTACACTTGATGTAAGGCCAGAGGCCTCAACGGTCCTATATAAGGTACTGGAAGCCCTAAGTACGCCGTGCGGCGTACTGCTAGATCTTTTGGTCTATTGGTCGAGCGGTTATAGGGCTCCGTTCTTACAGAACTAAAATTATAAGATAAATAGTCAAGTATTAATAACGTAATCCACAAGTGACCCGGCCACACAAGTGACCCGGCCACTTTTAAAGCACTCGTACGACAATATGTAAGATAATTCAACCATAACGCCTTAAATCAATTGAAACTATGAGGAATCCTCTTCTTCAGAGGCAGATACAACTTTCTAACACGTACGAGCATTATAGCCAGGCTCGCCGCAGACGCCACATCGTCGCGCGCGCGTTTCGGGCCTCCTCGTACGACTACTATTCTAACTCGTTTCCGCTATTAACTGCTACGTCGCATCGATTTGAGCCTTTAAATCCTTTGCCTAATCAATCGTGAGGGACCCTCCTTTCTATAGCTGCTTTCTTTTCGTACGACGACGGCGGCTAAGGCGGTCGTTTACATCTCGAAGTTCAGCGAGGTCTTAGCGCATAAGGGTCTGCTCGTACACCATCATTGTAACTCCTTTTCTTAGCTACCGTAGGCTCTCAATAATGGACGACGGAGAGCTATTCTAGTGTCGTACGATGCGATTTTCAATACACTTCGTCTACGATTCGGTCTCAATTGGGTTGTTCGGCGTCTTTGAAACCCATAGGGGTGGTAGTCCAGCAGAGGAACCTAGCGGTATCGGCGTATAAAACTTCATATCTAGCTACGAAATCACATAATTCGGGTCGTACGGTACTAGGCCTGTCGCTCTAAAGCCTGCCTGGATGTTTGATTTAGTCATTATAGCGTCGTACGCCTTATAAAAGGCTGGGAGGAAGTCCTCCTTTGAAACGTGGTGTAAGGCCCGTATGCGCTGCCGATACGGCACGAGGCTGATCCGGTACCGATTTGGTGTCGATAAGGTGGAGATGCACAATGTGCACAACTGTGCTGCAAGTACCGAGGTACGGGGCTGCAGACAGTGGGACACTGGGGGCTGCACTGGGGTTATCGACACGACACCATATCGTGGCCGAAACGCGTGCACTTCGCAATGGAGAACTTAGACCTCTAAGAATTAGTTTTGCAGTAATGCGACCCCCTACCAGACATCCGACTGCTACCTGACTTACCTTATGGTGCACTGTCCTTACACGTGGGTTACATACGCCTACATTAGACCTTCGATTTCTTTACCGTACGCCCGTTTTAGAGGTCCAAAGCACCCAACATCGAGAGGCTGGAGCTTATACGACGAGTGAGCAGGCATACAGAGCGTTACGATATTCTATTCCTTACAGTAGAGCTCGAAATCGACCGAATGGTAGCTCTCGTAGCCGTCGAGGATGAGGAGGCGGTAGGTACCCTTCGTACGACTCTTCATATGGAAATCGAAGTGTTTTACCCATTCTAGGCCTCTCTCGTTCGTCGTCCAACCGTTTTCTAAAAGCGCGATTACCCAGTCGGGCGGTAGGGGGCTATTCGCGGTCCAGGAGTCGAGGTAGACCTTCCCGGCAAAGATAATATACGGCGGGATTAAATAGCCGTACGACGCGATACCCTGGATTACTGTAACCCATTCCTGATTCCCTTATTGTACAGCTCTTAGCCTCCCGCGTCGATCGGAGGTCGTAACGACGGTTTCGGCGGAGATTTTACCCATCGCGAAGCCTATTTCGTCGAAGTTATAGATGTCGTCATCGTGGATCCCGTATTTCGCGATTATGTTTCGTACGAGCTTAAACCACACGTAATACGCGTCCGGATCCTCGCAGAGGACCCTCTAGTAGTCGATTCTTCGATTTAAACGCGTACGGAGCTCAGGTCGTCGTCATACGAAGTTTAAGGCCCAGTTCGTTCCGACGCGTGGCGCGTCGCGTACGCGGAGGAGTCGATCCGCCATTTCTCGAACACCACTTATCCGCGGCGGAAACGATCGCGAATCTAGGTCGAGTATGTATTGTACGATACTGTCCTCTTCGTACGAGGTCAATTTCTGGCAGGGTGGTCGGGTTTCTCGTTTGCGCTGCGCGCCACTTCGTCGGTCTTGGAGTGTCGTACGAGGTACATTATAGATCTGTGCAGCCTTTCGTACGCTTAATTTTGGGTCTGATTGGAGCGCCTGAAGCGCTAGAATAAGGTCGCATTCAATTGATTGTCGTTCCATAACTACTGGTGGAGAAAAAGGGGAAATAAGGTGGCCCATATGGAAATGACGGAAAGTGGCCGGGTCACTTGTGTGGCCGGGTCACTTGTGGATTACGTTAAGGTTAATTTTATATAGTTAAAATATAAAAATCAGTCGCCTATACTCACTTAGCCTTATTGCAGCTGTCGTCCGTATGATCAGCGAAATGGATCCTATCTTATTATATGGAACTCTTCCCAAAACCCAAGTGACGCGCGAGTACAAAATCAACACTCTGCTTCTGCACCCACGAGGCAACTATAGCTTCAGCCTCTGTAGCTTCGGAATTCTTCCTTGTCCCGAAACTTGACTGGCTCAAGCCTGCTACCTGTAGCTGTTCATATCTAGGCAAGCTTTTGTCAAAGCCGAAACACGATTTCATGTTGAAGAATTCAGGCCGAGTCCCATCCTGGACTGATCCCCTGGAATGCACTATGCAGCTCTAATGAAGTGGACTAGTCTTGGTGCTTGTTGCATTCCACGCAGCTACGTATGGACGGGGACATAGGGCCTGGAGAACCTACGCCACTGTGGCTTCACCATGTCAATTGTAAACCATATCGGTACCCTACACGTATTATGAAGGGCATTATCGGGCCTTTGCAGCGGGACAGTACCGCTCACAGCCCTTAGGAATCCAGTTCCTTCGAATACAGCTTGCATTTCGGGTCTTGCTCGGGATGAATCGTTGGAAAGTGCCAGAACTTTAGGAGACTCTCGTGTTAATCTAACAGGGATCTGGCACAACCTAGCGGAGCCGATATGGCGGAGACTTCTGTATCGGGTAACACGGAGGGACGTCCGAGGACAATGACTTGGATAACGATCTTCGCCGCCAAAAATTAATATCCACCGATGATCCTCATTGGCTAGATATTCCAGACACGCCGCGGGTGCAGCCCGTGACATGTCGCGCAGGACGATAAGCCTGCACAACTGGGTGGGCCACAGGCAGCAGCTGGAGGTTATACCACGAATCGCATCCCACATAATAAGTGCCAAGACATTTCAGCCGCTTCGAACGCACAAAGCCTCTGAATGGTAAAACGCGTTGCCAAACCTTAAACCTACTTGCGGGAGTTTGTATTCCCTTCGAGAAGCCCGGTTATGGAACGGCGCTGTGGACCGCTGTTTCCTTTCCTTTGGACGTCCGGTTATAACATATTACTTACAGTTCACACGTCGTCTCTTTTTTAAGAATAGTCCCATAGTCAAATTAACACTACACTTCCCCTTCAAGTCGCTATCAAAGTTAGACAATTCTGCAACCACTATGCATCACACTATTAGCGGAGCTGTGGCCGTGGCTTTGGCCAGCTTCATTAGCGCTGTCGAAGGCCATGGCTTCGTCAACGGCGCCCGGGTGAACGGCGTCTGGACTGCAGGGTCCGACCCCCTCTGGTGGTATGCGCAGCAGAACAACCAGCCCCTCCCCGTGACGGCCGGCTGGAGGGCTCTGAACCAGGACATTGGCTTTGTCGAGCCGGCCAACATGGGCACGTCCGACATCGCCTGCCACAAATCAGCCAAGACCAACACCGGCTTCATCAACGTTGACGCCGGCAGCACCATTACTCTCTTCTGGAACACCTGGCCTGAGGGCCACAAGGGACCTATCATCAACTACCTGGCCCCTGTCTCGGGCACGTGTTCCCCTCTCTTATAGTCCCAGAAGTAGGGGTCAGTGCTAACACAGTACAACACAGACTTTGCATCCGCCGCCGCGGGCAGCCTAAGCTTCACCAAGATCGGTCAGGGTGCTCTCATCACCGGCGGGTCCAACTCCAAGTGGGTGACCGACACCATGCTGGCCAGCAATTTCAGCACCCCCGTCACGATCCCCGCCAAGCTCAAGCCGGGCAACTACGTCCTCCGCCACGAGATCATTGCCCTGCACGCCGCCGGCAGCGACAACGGCGCCCAGATGTACCCGCAGTGTCTAAACCTCAAGGTCAGCGGCAACGGCACCGTGTCTCTCCCCACCGGAGTCCCCGCCACGCAGTTGTACAAGCGCAGCGATCCGGGCATCATCTTCAACTTGTACCAGGACATCAAGAGCTACCCCATCCCCGGCCCCTCGTTATGGACTGGGGCAAACTAGCGCTAGTGTGTGGTTGCAGTACTGGAGAGTCAAATTACTCGGCCTGCCCCTAGGTCCTAACCGGGGGACTATTAGTCTCTTTGCTTTCGGCAGGCGGTACAGGCGGCCGCTGCCACGACCTTGCACGCCTCATGAGCCGAGCCGACGGCGCCGTTGCCTCTCTTGCGCTTGAGAGCTGTCGACATGGTTGTTTGTCAGGGGAGGTGAGGCGAGGCGAGGGGGCTCTGGGCCATTTGGAGCCGACAAGGAGGTGTCGGGGCAAGACCGCTTGGCGTCCGCGGAGAGTTTTTGGTTGTGAGGGATTGAAGAGGCTCAGGGTAACGTCAGGGGACGGCGGCAACTATCGACTCTTCCAGGTATGGAGAGCTGACTCAGCTTCACTCACAGTAGGGAGGCGTGGAGGGGGAATGGGGAGCTTCGCCAGCCAGCACTGGTCGAGCGGCCTAGAGGTCCTGTACCATGGCCTCCAAAGTACGCTAGCGTAGTCGAGGTGACTTGAATAAAGCTGGTGGGTTGTTCCAATTCTTCCCTGTCTGTTCGCGCGCACGGGGTGACCGCCGAAACTGCGCACGTGCCCTGGGTCGTGGTTTCGCTCAAATGGACTTGTGGGGTGGGATACACCTCGGACTCCGTATAATAGGGTATAAAGTACTCGGCTGGCCCCGACATCCTGGCGTGCAGAATCCGCTATCGCTATCTTCCTTGTGTGCTTGTCGTCTCCGACGTTCACAGGTCACGGGTCAAGACACAAGAAACAAGGAAAAAGGCGCCATGGCTGATCAACAAGAAGACCAGCCTCCACCCGACATCTATGGAGAAGAGGACTGGGCGGAGGGCGCCTGGTTTAGAGCGGGCCGCGACCCTGCGGAAGCGGGCAACGGCAGGCTTGTACTCAGGATGAAGGTAGACAGATGCATCTTGGAGCGTGTTAAACTTTCGAAATGAGCTTTTGAGCTTGAACTTAAGTGCGTGCTGGATTGTGAGCAGACGAGGAGGAAGGAATGTGAGCACTGGCAGTTCTTTATACAGAGTCGAAGCCATCCCTAGCTGGTGTACCACCGACGTGCAGTGTCACACTTATGGACTCCTTTCATCCATCTTGCACGGTCGAGATCTGCTTCGTGTTACGCGACGACACCACGACTGTAATCCTCGTAGCACAAGTCAGAGACCGCACGCAGTACAACAGCTTGTGTTCAGAATTGCTCTTGGTCTAGGCTCTCGCTATCTATGCAGGATCAGACAAAGAAGGAACGCCAGCATGCTCATGGCTATATTGAGGCAAACGGCTGTGGCACAGAGTCTTGGAAATGTATCCTGGGTAGAAGGTATCCTATGTAGTCAACAGACTCGTGATGTAGCATAGATGCTGCTACGAACATACCGAGGAATAATAAAATAACAGGTTGTACAGAATAGTAGTAACATCCTCGTGCTTGGACCACATCTCTGGAGAATAGATTCACACCACTGCCCGTTCATGGCCCCGCAATCCTCTCTAAGACGATCAGATTATGTATCGTAACTACACTGGTGGCTGCTACGTCGCACAAACGAGGGTACTGTAGAATCCTAGTGGGCTTGGCACATACTAGCCTCCTCTCTGCAAGACAACGCATTCCGTAGCTAGACAGTTATCCATGCAGGCGTACTACCCTCGATGTGTTCATCTTCTTGAAGAGCTCAGCGGGTGTGTAATATGGTAAGCATTGTATTCGTGAGTGACTACATCCAGCCCTTCATCAGGGTCCCGAGAGCTCACCAGCGGTCGTCATCGTAGCGCTGATCGTCCCGATATTCCTGATCATCCCTTCCTTGATCATAGCTATCACGAATATCATCACCGAAATCCTCCACGCCTTGAACCCTACGCCCTGCCCACCCAGCGAAGACGGCCTACCTAGATACCCCAAGTAGGGTTGAGAGGCCTGGTACAGGGGACGTCGGGAGATGTGGGCGGTAGGCGGGGATGAACATATGTGTCTACTGATCTGGGGCAATGAGGAACAGCTTGATTAGGGCCAAAACAAACCCCAAACCAAACCACAGCTCATGTGCTTGCCAGGTGCGGTGGTAATGTTCCACGGCGTGGCGATACCCAGGTATCGCCACTAGTTGTAGGTGAAGTGAGGGAGCCAGCCATACCCGTAGGGGGTTCCCTACGGTAAAGGACTTTTGAGGGATCGTCTGACCACACTTTGAGGAGCGTTGAATAAGTCTCGCAAGACCCATAAGCTGGTGCGGTCGTAGGTGAACCCTCCGCCCACCGCGGCGGTGATGCCCTTGGGCCAGCAGGAGGACGGCCTTTACGCAGCTATCGGCGAAAAGGGCCACACTTTAAGCTTAGCTCCTTGCCTCTCAATTACGTGCGGTCCTGACTGATCATGGCGAGAAGAATCGAACTGGCTAGGAAAGGATTGCTTGAATTGGTGGGGTGTGAATCTGAAAAAGTCTAGTCTGGTGATCTGGTCGCTGGACTGATGATGATGGGTGGTGAAAATACGACGCGGTCTAAAATACATGAATCTTGATAAAGGAAAACTGTGCTATGCCCTGTAGGTCCAGTGATCACGCCCGGCTCTGGCACACTACCGAGGTCCTTCCCCTGTGCCTACCGAGATACCTCCTTACCTGGGTGGGTACTTTAGTACACGCGGCATGCGGGGTAGGTATGGGGAGAGCGGGGATCGGTCCCATCGGCACCTGGCACGCCCGCCCTCCCGAGATTAACAGCCGTGCATACGTACCGAGTCAAGTATCGAATGGTGATAGTACACGGTGGAACCGAATCGATTCGCTCTGGCCCTAACACGTTGTATAAACTCTAAAACACACCATAAATCAAGGAAGGAGCAAAACTAGACCGATAACGGCATCACTATGGGGCCGCTCATCTTTTCTTGTAGGTTTCTCTCTTTGTAAATTTCACCAGTTAGTACTTGGATAGGACAGACCCTGACCTACTTGGGAACCTCGGCTTAGATATAACGTCCGACATGGTAGATAAAGTGTAACAGAGCCGGTAGTCGGATGCGCCGGAATAGTAGTTACAACACAGCACCTCGACGGTCGTTAACGTCGTATCCCTGGGTAGCGGCGTACTCGGCTGGCTATATAAATAGAAGACAGTCCTTCAATATACTCGAATACTGCCCGCTCGGCCAGGTTTGTTCCCTATCATCTTACATAACCATGATTTCTCATACTATTATCACCGCGCTGGTGGCTCTCTGTTCGGCCGTGGCCTCTACAAGCCTGGTCCAGGACTTGCTCTCGCCCCTACGTAGCGTGCGAGGCCCCTGGCTAGCCCGGTTCACCTCGGCCTGGTTTGCCTGCAAGGTCTCGCAGGGCTCGTTCCATCAAGTCAACCGTGACCTGCACCGACAATACGGCAAGTACCGCAAGCAACGTCGGCTTGTTAATGTCATCATTCAACCCCATTCCCCCTTCCGCTAACCATTATCGCAGGGCCAATCGTCCGCTACGGACCAAAACGCTACAGCATTAGCGACCTCAACGAGATTAAAACAATATACGGCGTGGGCTCGGCTTTCCCCAAATCCTCGTGGTATACATCCTGGTCCGAACCTGGCGAACACAGTGTCTTTAGCGACCGTTCCATCAAGAGGCATGCCTACGAACGCAAATTGTTCCAGGCAAGCTACGCTATGTCTGCGCTAGTGCACTACGAAGCCTTTGTAGATAACTGTGCCAACCTACTGAAGGCCCGGTTACAAGAGCTTAGTAGCTCTAGCAAGCCCGTCGACATGTGCCACTGGTTCCGGTGCTATTCATTTGACGTTATCGCTACTATTACGTATGGTAAGCGCCTAGGCTTCCTCGACCGCGGCGAGGACGTGGGTAATATGATTAGTGCTATCGACGGGATTATTAACTACTCGTCGATGACGGGCATCTTCCCCGGCCTGCATCAGTTTCTGGCACCGCTCGTAGGCTTTCTAGCTGGCGGTAAAGGTAGCGGGAGGAGGTATCTGAAAAAGTTCACGGAGGAGAGAGTGCTTGAGGGGTCGGTAAACCCAGAAAAGCCCATGTTAGCGGACGGTGACGATGGTCCACAGACGCTCTCCCAGCTGAGCAAATTCCTCGCCAAGCACGCGGCCGACCCGGACAACTTCACAAAAGACCACGTCAAGTCAGGCTGCTTGGTCAACATTGCGGCAGGCTCCGACACGACCTCTATCAGCCTCTCGGCCGTACTGTACTACCTCCTTAAGCGACCCGCTACTATGGCCAAATTGCGCGCCGAGATCGACGACGCGACCGACCGCGGCGAGCTCGCCGAGAACCCAACGTACAAGCAGTCCCAGCAGATGCCTTACCTGCAGGCCGTTATTAAGGAGGCGCTCCGAATGCATCCTGCGACCGGCCTGCCCCTTGAGCGCGAGGTTCCGGAAGGCGGTGCCACGATTGCCGGCCAGTTCTTTCCCCAGGGTGTAAGTGCATTGTGCCCGAGACAGAGACCGAAACCGAGACTTAGTCATCCACTCCTCCCCCTTGATTAACACTTTTATTTTTCCCTAACTCTTTCGATCGAAAATACTAACCGCAAGGGAGAGGCGCGCACAGACTATAGTCAGCGTCAGCATATGGGTCGCGCACCGCGACCGCGGCGTCTTCGGACAGGACGCCGACGAATTCTCGCCTGAGCGCTGGCTACAAAATGACGCTGAAACGATCGCCCGGATGAATCGCTTCTGGATGCCGGTGAGACCGCCCTCCTTTCCGTTGCCCTCCTTTCCCCCTTTTTTGGCGCTTCCCCAAGATACGATCTATTCCCTATCGTATAAACCTTAAACTGTTAAAGCTGATTTTGCCCCGTGCTTTATTATAGTTTGGTGTCGGTTCCCGAACCTGCTTGGGCAGACACATCAGTATGCTCGAGATGTGTAAGCTCCTGCCCCTGCTGGTGCGCGATTTCGACTTCTCTCTGCCCGAAGATCTCAGCGGTAAGGAGTGGAGTACCCAAGGCTGGTTGTTTATCAAGCCTGTCTGCTTTAACGTTTTGGTGCAGCCGAGGAGGAGGGAGGTTGGGCTTTGAGGGCTGATTGCTCAAACCTTTCATGTGAGGAGGGGGGGGGGGGATTTCAGTGATGTGAATTGATCGCTGCGAGGGGGGTTATAGTGGGCGGTCAGTGGTTTGAGGAATTTCGTGTCATTGTACTTGGATTGCCTTCGCTTTGAACAGATGTTGGGTATTGCTGGTTAATCATTTCCTTCCTTTTATGATCTGGAAAACCACGTTACCAAGTTTAGCTGATCTCGCAGTTGCGGCCTTTTTAAAGTCAGCTAGACGCCTTTCCCTCGCTAAATGAGTTTTTATATCGAAGGGTCAGAGTGGCGCCTAGTAGGTGTATTAACGTACTATGTGCGAGTGAGCTTGTGTGTGAGGTTATTGCACGACTGCTGTGCTGGGGCAGTGAGGAATCCTCTGATCGGGCAAAAACCCACCACCCCCGACTGCCGGAGTGGCCTTCAACCGTCAGGCAGACGGTGGCGGTGTCGTCCGCTTATGGCAGAAGTGAGGCAGGTCACGATGTGGCCCACCTCACCAGTCACCACGATTACTTATGGGGAGCCAGCACGGCCAACCTCAATTGGGTGACATCGTGCACGAGGAGGAAAACGCTTATCAGGGCTTTGCGAGCATCGTGGCAGGTCTCAATTGACCAGAATTGGGAAAACAACGAAAAATTGATTGATGATGTGGGCGAGGCTGGTCTGCTGAGGTCTACGGAAACCACTGCTAATCATATGTATGGTGGACCGTCCTCCCTGACCCTGTCACAATAATAGTGAAGGAGCTGTCTCGGGAGGATCGTAAGGGCCTTGCTTGGGGTCTTAGTGAAATCGAGGTTACACTACCTATAGCGTTCTAATAGTAGGACCTTTATTTTATCCTACAATGCCCGCTACGCAGATAAATAAGATACTATATCGTAAATAAACTACGTACGCTAGGGAACGAGACCTTGATTGCTAAGGATTGAGTCTTATAGTAGTGCTTCCTCTCCTAGGTCTTATACGACGACTAATTAGCTTGGCGTCTGATGTACTATTCTTATACCGACTGTATAGTCGACTATATTACGTAAGAATGCGCGCGCATACTAGTAAACCGCACTGTTCCGCGCTTAGAACGGGGTGTACCGTTAAACCAAAACGGATGGTTATAACGGATTAAGTGTGACGGTAGGCTCGTGTCGAAAATAACCCTTCAAGTAGGGCGGCGTTGGAACTCCAAAGGTGTAGCGCGGTCACAATGTTAAGATATGTGTGGAGACATGTGGAGGGAAAGTGTCTTCCTTTTATGGACCTCATATCGTCCAGAAATGGATGTCAGTTGCTCTGCACATAAGACTTGATACCGCTGGACCAGTAGTTGGGTCGGTGACGACCAGCGAATCCCCAGTGTTGTATGTTTTTGTTTCCTTTTTGTCTTTTCACTGGATTCTGAATGATGTCTGGTGTTTGTGAGATGGGAATCGGATCAACTTTTTGGAGGTGAAGCCTTGGCGGTCGTTCAAATCCCACACGAGAAGGACTCCATTCATACTGGCGCGTCAGATCTCAGCCGCAGTACGCCATGCATGCATGATAAGCACCTGCCAACATCACTTGGCATGCATTTTCTTGATTGCCTGGGCCACTGGATGCTGGGCTGGAAGGAATATGCAGCTCTCCCAAAGTAGACCGACAAGCGAGACGCCCAGCGTCAGACGTGGCCGCCATGGAGAAGCTCGACCCACGTGCTGAGCAACCTGACGGACGCGGAAGCCCGGGGATGCCCTTCCGTTGGGTTCTTGCATCGGAACAAGGCACCGCATGCAGCACCATGCACGCACACAGGGAGCGTCATGCAAGTTACTCGGAGTATGCACGGAAGAGGGGCCGATGGGGGGACCGAGAGAGCCAAGCCCCGGGGCTGGAAGCCAAGATCGTGCCACGCATTCCTCTGTGCCTCGCAAACGGCGCTGGCTGCATGGGAGCGCTTATGTCTGCATCGTTCAGTTCGAGTATACAAAATGGTGGATTATCGGAGTCTCCTGTGTGCCCACGCCATGATCACGATTGCCTTGTGGTCGCGAGGTGTACGCCATGAATTATCCCCATTTGAACACCAGCTGACCAACAGATGATTCATCATTCTTGACGTTGTCAACGGTTCGGAGCCGACACCCTGTTCCCGGAACCGAGGAAGCGATGAGCCAACGCAATTCTCTTCAGGTACCTATTCGGAGAGTAGCGGTCAAGGCCTGTCCTCTTCGCGCGGGCGGCCCACCGGTGTGATTGTCGAGTCGATAAACGCAAGAGTCAGCAAAGAAACATCAACGCGGAACCACCAGCAACGAGTGCGAGACGGGAGAGATGCGATCGAGGCAGGCGAAGCCGTGCAGGTAGACCCCTGAGCCTTCCAGGTTGGTGTCGTTGCTAGCTCAGTTGAGACTCAGGGGAGAGAGGCGGCGCCATGCTGGAATGGGGTTGGTGGCGTCCGGCCCGCCCTCTGGTGGTAGCGCCACGGCATCCTCTTCCCGTGGATTTGCACAGGGTTAGCCAAAGTCAGGTGGGGGCACTCAGGTTGACGACAAAACGGTGTTTTCTGAGTGTCGCACACTCGTCAGGATTTGATTATTCCTGGAGACCCAAGTGATCCGAAGAATTTCTGTCTGCTTGGGCACCGGTAGAAGCTATCTCATCAAAGAAGTCTTCCGGCACGCTGCTGTTAGTGCTGTTTGTCGTCCTCACTTCTAATACGAGGCTACGCACCTGCATGCATATAGCAACATAGTTCCGCGCTATCGGAGGCCTTGCAGAATGCGTGGCAGCCGATTCGATCGAGTTTGGCGAGCCGTGACGCGGACATTGGCCATGACGCAGCCGCAGTCCATCAACACGGCAGGCAGTGAGTGAGCAGGGCATCCATGACTTGTCACCCGCCGCATTGGTGCCCACCGCCTCGACATTTAGCGCCACCTGCTTCTGGCCAAGCCGCGGGACACCAGCCATGTGGCCAGGGGTTAGCGCCCTTGAGGCTCCGGCCGTTCGAACTAGCTAGTCACACGCAGCATTCGTGCCTTACTCTAGTCTGGCCGATGGCTCAGGGCCGGATGATCACTGCGGTGCAGCGTCTCGTATCATGCGCAGCTGAGAGAAGTGAATGTGGGAAGAGTAACACAGGACAGCAGCGGAAAATTGGCGAAGCGGCAGCGCAAATTAATGGAAGTGCCACTGAGCAACACGGCTTGCACCAACTCACCAGCGGCTGTCATGCCGTCCTCGTGCCGAGTGGCGTGAAGTCCCCCATGCCCAGCTTCACTCATATCCCACGTATGGACCAACTCGGCATGCAGTAGTTTCCACTAGCCTACAAGCCATGGCTCGCTGCTGACGACGAGGGTCTCATTCTCTTCATCATGATGGCAGAGGCTGGCCTGGAATCCGGGCGGAATAATCTCACTTCGAGGTCACCTGGTCGTCGTTCCGCGCCAGCCACCACGGCAGGATGTGGCCCAGGCTGGCGCGGCTTCGGATCTCGGCCGGGACCCCAGGGACGACACCCCACCGTAGCAGCATACCCGCGACATCGCTTCGAGGTCTAGAAGCTAGGCGGTGTAGGTCCAGCCCTCGCCCATGTGAGCAATGTCTCCTCGTTTCGGACGAGATCCCGCTCATGGCCGCCGGCTTCGAGTATGACAACTATTCTTGGTGGCGCCAGGCTTGGACCCATCGTGGCGTTCAGCCAGGCTACGTGGACTGTCGTGTGTCCGCCTACACACTCGCACCCGCTCAGCCCCGGCTGGAACTGCCCTCCATGATGGCGTCGCGTTGACATGTTGACGTTGCGCTGGTTTGGCTTGGCGAGCGTACTACGAACCGGCGGCTGCCCCAGACAGGGAAACTAATATATAAGAGCCGCCCCGCGCCGTCAGCTGTCTCAAACATTTGGCTTCGAAGTATACATCCTCTTCGTATACATCCCAAATCAACTCGTGACTCCAAGCATTACTCGATATCTGGCCACGTGGGAAATCATGAAGACGGCTTTCCTGCTCTCCCTCGCGGGTCTCTCAACCGCCCAGCTGAGCGGCTTTGACTGGGACGCCATCGACGCTGCTGGACCTCCTGCGGAGGCGACCGTCCCTGTCGGAGTCGTGACGGCCTCCACGGCCGACTATGCCTCTGAGACGGCCGCTGCTTCTGTGGCCAGCGACGTGATCGAGTCCCCCTTGACGGCCGCCACCGCAGTCGCAACTCCCGTCCCATCAGCAATCCCCGGGCGCCGACATAGGTTCCGCCGCGATGCCTGCGCCCCTCAACCTGCTGGTTACGGTCCCGTGGCCGACCCAGATACTCCCCAGGGGTTCCTGAACTTCGCTGCGTTTTCTTCTGCAGCCAACGGCGTCACCACGCCACGTGGTTATAGCCTCAACTTCAAGAATCTCCAGGGTTCTGTGGAAAACAATGGCGCCATCATGGGATGGTACACTCTCAGCTCGTACGACGTGGGCTATTGCGCGAGCCAGTGCAACAGCGTCTCTGGCTGCAACGCTTTCAACATCTATTATGAGCGTGACCCTAGCTTGGTGAGTACCGTCGACATATGCATATTCCAGTGATGATCCGTAAACGACATCATCACCCCCAATTTCTTTCAATCAGAAACTGCCCCTTTGGAGATTTGACATCGCTGACTTCACATCCAGGACCCGGCCCCAAGCTGCGCCAACCCAGCCTCCACAACCGTCATGAAGTGCATCCTCTGGGGCCAGGCCGTGTCCGCCGCCTCGGCCACCAACACGGGCCAGTGGCGCAACGACTTCCAGGTCGTTATTGCGGGCTCCAACGGCTACACCAAGACCGACATCTCGCCCATCGACGGCTACGACGGCCCCACGCCCCTGGGCAACGCCGCGATCCAGGCGCCCCTCGACTGCTCCGGGTATGACACGTACCTGGGCGTCAAGATCTTCCAGACCGGCGTGTTCGACGCCAACCTGTGCGCCACAGCGTGCACCGCGCAGAGTGACTACAACCGCCGCCACCCGCCCGCCAACGGCGGCTACGTCAAGACGTGCCAGTTCTTCAGCACGTACATGCTCCTGAAGAACGGGATCGCACAGCACCAGGAATGTGCGCTGGTAAGTCCATCTGTTCTGCGTTTCATCTCTCCCTCTGTCTCTCCCATGTGTGCTTTACGGTCACTATTCTGCAATACGGCGTGCGCAGCCAGTGCTGGCCTTCGAGGAGGGCCGAGGTCGCGAAGCTGTAGCCATGCTCAGGAGAGAGATATACTGACAGCCATCTCCCACACAGTACACCATGGCCTGGGACCCCTCGTACGCCAAGAACAAGGGCCAGTGGCGCGGCAACGACCACTACACGATCAACCAGTCGTACAGCTTTGTCAACCAGACCAACCATGGCACGTCGCGCTATCCTTGCAACGGCACCCCGAGCAAGTAAACGTGATCGGTAGTGCAAAATTGTATGCATAGACGGCAACTTAATATCGCGAGCGCATGGCATTTCTGTGGATGGCAGGGGAAAGGGGTGAGAGATGGATTGGGTGATCTAATTTTGGTCTTTCGAGCGCAATTGGACGGGGACTCTCTAATTGGGCCCAAGGTGCGCCCTGGGGATGAGATGCTGGTTTGTGCCGCGGCGATCGGTGCAATTTGACCTCTAATTAGCGCAAGCATTGGTTTGGTGAGCGATGATGTTTCCAGCGCCTCTGAGCAAGGCTGGATGGAATCACATTGTCTTGAATGAAAACGCTATTTTCACCAACATGGTCTGCTTCAGCTTGAACTTAGGTTAAAACCACGGGGTCAAGGGGGCTGGGCACCGTAGGGAACATGAATTGTGCAGAGCAGGAAAGCCTCAATACGATGGAAAGTCATGTTAATTTCCGGATGATTCTACAAGTACAGGAAACATTGATCCGGATACCAAATTAGTAGCTCCCATTGACAGAAATAACGTAACGGTAACGCAAGCAGACATGACGATCTTGGGCTGATGGCCGGCGGGTCACACCACCCCATAGCCCACTTCAAGCCTGCCGCCCCTGGCCGTGGGGGGGAGATCAGGCACTCCCCCGTTTAATGATGTCAGAGAGCCTCTCCGCAACGGCATAGAGGGTAGATGTCAAATGCCCACAGACTTGGAAAGGCAAGACAGACGCGTCCATGACGCGCAGGTTAGCAGTTCCATAGACCTTCATCTCGACGTCTACCACGCCACCCTTCTCCTTTGGCATCATCGCCGCGGTGCCGACTGGGTGGAAATTCGATCGGTAGTTGCCCTTGAGGTAGCTGCCCCACTGTTCCAAGGAGGCATCCTGGGGAACGGCATCCAGACCAGGAAGGATCTCCGAGCCCACGACGTCTGCAAGAGGCGCTGTGTTGAACATCCGCCGAATGAAGGCGGCACCGCCAGCTTGTTCGGTGAGATCCCAGTCCAGCATGAAGTAGTTGGGATTGATGACGGCGTTGGCGGTCGAGTTGGCGCTGCCGACGTGGACACTACCGCGGGCGAAAGGCAGCAGACCCCAGTACTCGCTGTCCCAGATACCGTTCTGTTGGTAGAGCAGCACCTCGGCGAGGGGAATCTGCGTTGGCTTGCCGTCCGAGTTGAAAATGAGGTCGTACTGGAGCTGGAAGAATTGGAGAAGATCATCGGCCGAAGTGGCGTTGCCGCTTGCCGAGGCAACCTGCACAGCGTACGCGGGCAGAGCGGCCTTGAGTTTGGCAGCGATCTCGGCCGTGTCTTCGCCAAAGATTTCGGCGGCGGTTGGGTACACTACCATGGTGTTCTTCTCGGTGGCATCGTAGCTGTTGGCGATGTTGTATTGGAGGGCGTTGTTCATCTGATCCTGGAGATTCTCGCCAACAGTAGGCAGGTTCACTACCGTCTCGATGCCGTGCTTCGCGAGGACTTCAGGGTTCCCAACTCCGGACAGCTCAAGGAGTAGGGGGGAAACTAAAGCGCCGGCTGAAAGAATGACTTCCTTTTTGGCTTTGACCAGAGACTTGGTGCCGTTCGCAGAGATGATTTCGACACCCTCAGCAGTCGGAAGCGAAGCCGACTTGGCCCAGATGACGCGGGTGGCGTGGGTGTTGAGCAACACATGGAGGTTAGACTGGCTTTCCTGGAAGGGGTAGTAGTAGGCTCTGGCGGCGTCTTCGCGAATGTTCAGGTCTTGATCGATGGTGGCTGGGAAGATTGTGAATCCGGCCATGACGCCAGAGTTGACGTCTGCATTCCAGGCGACATCCATGGCCTTCATGGTATCGTTTACCATCGAGTTAACTGTCCCGTTGGTCATCGGGTACATCCAGCCTGTTTTTAGCGGGCCCTCGAGGCCGTGGAACTCGGGGGCGAAAGTCAGATGTCCGGCAGCTGCACGGGAATCAGCGGGAACCTGGAAGTGCTCGCTCTTCAGGTAGTAGGGCAGCAGGTTCTCCCAGTTCCAGCCTTCGTTGCCAAGAATCTCCCAGGCATCAATTTGGGTTGATTCGGCTCGGGTAAACGCCATGCCTGTTGGTTGTCAGTTTAGGCTGTGTCGGCAATCCTAGCTTCCGATGGCACGCCCAGTCTGGCCAAGAAAAACATACCGTTGATAGTACTAGTGCCTCCCAAAGCTTTACCGGCACGAAGCGTCTGCTTAGAGCCACCAGTAAACTTCTGCTCGATTGTTTCGAATTGCCAGTCGATCTCCGTTCCGAATGCGAGACTGTAACCTAGAGGGTTCGTCACATTGACGTTGTCCTTAACCGACCCTCCGGCCTCGATAACAAGGACGGAAGTTGCTGGGTCTTCACTCAGTCGCTTCGCAACGACAAGACCAGAAGTTCCTCCACCAACGATGATATAATCATAGCTGTCGGCGCTGGTGGACTGGGGCTTCAGCCAGCGGCCTGCCACAATTGGCAGGAGAGCCAGATTCCAGGATCGCATTTTGTTAACTGATGGGACTGCCAAGACAGTATGAACAGTTGTGTGAGAGTATAAACGAGTGTGTATGGCGATGGTGGGTGAGAACAGATGCCTCGCTATGGGTACCTAACGATACAGTTTTATATCTATGCTATCTTACATTACTCAAGTATGGCACCCGGCCGGCTGCCTCGCCTCCCTAATCGCTGGTAGTCGGCCCTTCTGGATGTTGACGTGGAAGATGCCACTCTCAGGATATCCAATGCATTACAAACCATGCACGGCCCCTGTTACACAGCATGTTCTTAATGTGGTCCATGGGTTACTTCCCACAGTGGGTGCGTCGAGTGGGTGCGCCGAGGACGATCATTGTGAATTCATTGCTGAGGAATGACGAACTCCACCTATGACATCCACCCTTGTTGAAAAGCTTGGGCTAAAAATCCCTGAACCACCCCCTCCCCGCCCCGGCATTCGAATGCGTACAGGTGCTCATGGATCGAGTAATGCAACTTCGATGTCACAATTGTGAATGAAGGCAGGCAGGCTGGACCTCTCCAGAGATGGGGGCAGCCTTTGCATGCCTAGGAAGCTAGGGTGTGACTCCAGCTTGGTTGGCAGTGCTTCCCTGTTCCAAAAACATCAGTGGAAGATTCATGGCTCGAGCTTCTGATAAGGCAATGGCTGAGCCCGCAGTAATGCCGCTCGGCGGGTTTTTCTTTAAAATGTGGGGTCCTTGCGCCGCTGACCAAGCCGCTGACAATGCTTTCAAAATTGCACGCTAAGCCTTTTGAAGCCCTCCCAAACCCGCTGGGACGAGGAATCCAGTAAAAAAGAAAAGTCGCCGCAGTCGATGAATTATTGTGGACCAGTGTTTGGGGCGGTCATGGCGGGTGTTACTGGTGTGTGGGTTGTCTCGGGCAGGGAGCACTGGCAGAGTCCGAATAAGAAGGGCGTTGAGAATTGTGCTGCATCTCGCTTCGGCGTAGAGGAGGTCATCAACAGGCATCTGCGCATTCCCGCTGTGATTGGTGACGAAGATGAGGAAACCAACCTACTCTGGGCCCCATGGGTTCATGATGGTTGCTAAGAATGGCCATACATTACCCCATGCAGTGCGACACATACATCAGACAAATGCAGGTATAGCGCATGTCGGAGGCCGAACGGTATTGAAGTGGGCGCGGTAGTCTTCATCATTAACAGTGCTCAATCTGTCGATCTGCTTTTAGTCCAGATTGATATGGCCATTGCCCATCTGCAATCGCAGTACAAGGGTCGTTACTCCCCGGGAAAGCCGCACTATCTTCTCTTGGCGTTGCAACCGGGGCATGTGACCAGGATCGCGCTTGTCACAGGCGACAACAGTCTTCTCTGATTTCTTCAAGGCCTCAGCCCGGCACCTGGACTTGTCTATCTAGTATGCAATCTGGCACCAGAAGAACGCCGGCTCTCTCAAAAACCACTCAGCCTGTTTCGCATAATCTGCCCTGCATGCCTCAGCCCCCCCTCGCACTCTCCAAGCATCTGTGTGCAAGCACGATGCAGACAGTGTAAAACGAAAGATACCTCCCTTGGGGGTGACAGAAGTTCTACGGGTCTCCACAGGTCGTATAAATCGGAAAGTTCAGCCCGACCCAATCCTCATCGTCATCGATAGGTGGCGACCTCGACAGATCCCGCAGCACGCCATCGTCCGTTTGATTGTGCTTATGAGAAAACTTCCCCATAAGCTCGTCTAGTCTTGAAAGCTCGAGGCATTTAAAATTTGTTGACTGATTGGTTATGAACACCTTGATTGTGTCTTTGATGCGCCGCTGCTTCCGAAGCGCCATGGGCACATTCATTCGAATCTTCTTCGAGACTGTGCTTTTTTTCTTCGTGTTTATGTTGGATTGCGAACTTTCCCTTGGGTATATCACCGCGTGTGTTGCCTTGTGGAGGCACTGCACCTCCCATGTAGCCCCGAGATACAGCACATAGACATAGAGCTTGATGTCACCAGTGTTCTTGATTTGTAGCTCAATGGAGTCGTCGTCACGTACCTCGATCGGCTTGAATGGGGGGATCAACTCATCTCCAACTTTCAGCCAAACCCTGAAGTTTAATGCACTTTCCGTCTCCCTGCGCAACTGTTCCACCATCTGGAACCGAGCAAGATGTTCCAGCACATCACAAACGTCATCGGCTCTGGTCAGACGGTATTGAAGATTGGGCAACAAATTCTCGTTCTCGCCATGGGTGATTGAGTACTTTCCTTCTAGGTCTTGTGCTATTGCGAAGTTGGGCTTCGCTTCTCGATCATTCTTGTGCATGGAAAGAGACCGAGACAGGAGTGCTGCCTTCAACTCGACCTCTGGACCAGCACTGCCCGCCCAACTGATGTGGAGCTGGGAAAGTGTCGAAGAAGTCATGAGTCGCGCGGCTAGAAATGCGCGCAATTCAGCCGTGGTAGAGGATGTATCCAGCACAGAAGTCAGAGGACGGCTATCAAGCACTCGCACAATGGTTTCGACCATGCCCTGTCCTTTTATGGCCTCGAGAGTGTACAGGCCAACACTATCACCATCGCGAACGCCGTGGGCACGTCCAGCAAGCAGCCGCAAGCTACCCTCATGTATCGCAAGACCGATGAGTCGTGATGCCCACTCTGGTTGAGGTGGTCCAAAGAATGCCTGGTCGTCGTTACCGTAAAGGACCGGGTTCTGTCGGCGGCCCAGTTCCCAGAACTGCGCGGCCAAGTATCGAAAAATATCCTTGTGCCTCATGCTCAAGCCGAATTTCTCCAAGGCCTGAACGAGTAGGTACGATAATGCTCCGTTGCGTACTTGCTTGTCGCCGATTTCAGTGATGGCGGCGCCTTTCGCCTTTTCCAATGGCCCACAAGCAGCGAGAATGGTGTACTTATCGGGCCTCAACAGCCAGTTGTCGTTCATTGATGCGCTGCGTAGAGAACCCTTGGAAGGAGCGTTGTTACTTGACAAGTCGACATCATCATCCTGTTTTGCGGATTGGGTCGGTTGGTGCCGAGATGGGAGATAGCGGATGTCGCCGCCTTCGTCCACATTGACACTTTCACGGTAGACGCTGCCCGAAAAACAGCAGTCGAGCACGACAGTGATGACAAGTTCCTTCTCGATCATTTTCTTGATCAGCCCGGCCAGCCTTGGGCCTTTAAGGTCGGTTTCTGAGCTCTCTCCGCTGGCAAGAAGTACAAGGGCCAGGTCCCCAGTCTGTTGGTTCGAGTAATCGAATTTAGGGTTCATTCGTGTCCCATGGCCGGAGAAATGGATGTAGACAAAGTCCCCCGGTTCAGCATCATGCGGGATGTTCTTCAGACATTCTATAATGTTGTGGAGCGTCGGTCGCTGGACAACGCGCAGATTGTCTGATTTTGCCGTCTTCTCGTCTAGCTGTCTGCCAGCCGCGTATATATAGCATTGGAGCCTGGAAGGGTCGATTGTGTTCTCGATGGCCCTGGCTACTATCTCAACATCTCGCACGCAGCTTTTCAAGGGCGACTGGGGATAGTCGTCGATGCCGATCAGGACGGCATGGTATCTCGCTGGACGAGCTGTATCTGGGGCCATGCTTGTGGCGTGGGGCAATCCGCAGCGATCAATAGATAATGCGCGCCGTGAGAACTGAGCTTCTTTGAGCTAAAGCAAAGGCTTTCATGACTTGCAACGGTGACCTGCTAAATTGCGTGTAAAGAGATGAAACGTAAGAAAGGGGACACAGCGCCATGATGGTCACTTCACTTTCCCCGCCCAGCCCTTCCCGCCCGATGATTACACGGATTCGCGAACCCCTGACTGCACAAAGCCGCCTCTCGCCACCAGCCCCACGTTCGCTCACGCACCCTCTAGCTTATCCATGTCAAAGGCTTGGCCATCCTTGGCGGATCGTCCGTCACTGTCACAGAGGCTGACAGTCGTTGCGGACAGGACCTTCTCAACCAAGTAAGGACCGTCCGTGGAGCCATCTGAGTTGACAAGATATACTTTCTGTCCAACACGATATCTCGGTTTCTATGCCATGCAGAATTTCTGAGCGGGGTTCAAGCAGGAATGGCTCGGTCAGCTCGGATTGCTTACCTGAGAGAACTCACGAATCTGCGCACGGTCGTCATCATCCACGAACACAAAATCGCTATGTCTGTTCCTAATGTCAGTCAGCTCTGGAGGTAAGGTGCTGGGAGAAATTACTCCTCAGACATGATGCTGCGAGCGCTTCGCGGATAGTAGACGTTGTGGATCTGTGAGTGCTAGACTCGCCCAGTGATGAGCTCTTCAGCTTCAATGCCTTATATCCTAAGCGCGTGTTTATACATGTCGTTATGATATCGAGACTAGTTGGCTTCCAACGCACTACTCTAAGCACGGCGTGAGACAGGCATTGTCATTTCCACAATGAATGGCTGCCTCTGCTTATCAGTATGCGAGGTGACAACAAGGCTGTGCAATCAGAAGCCGCCCCTTGACGTGGCTTTGCAGCTTACATGCAGGACGCATGCACTCCGCCCCATAGACACCCGTGACCGGGGGCAAGTCCTGGAAATGTTGATCATCCTGGTCAATCGTCTTGCCACACCTCCTGCACTCACTGTTGGTCTTTCTAGTAGCTATTGACAGGGAGTTCGAAACCTCGGCGATTGCCAGGTCTGTCTATTTCGCCTATTCAAGGAAGATCACGGACATGTCTGCGACCTGGGCTAGAGTTCGGAACTGGTTCCTGTTCCACCCACAATCAGAAGTGGACATAGAGCTTGGGAAAGGTAATCGATATGAGCTTTGCCACTCTCGGGATCTCAATGAAGCTTCTAACGATTGATTGTGCGACAGCGCAATCTTTTCCAGATGGCTATCCACAGTATACAGCCCTCCTCGCGACACACAGTCCCTGGATGATTTTCCGCCGCTTTGACAAGGTCGGGGCCCGCATTCTCCTCCTCAAGCAGGATAAGATATCAGTCTTGGAAGAAAAGCTCGAAGATATCGACCAGAACGAGAGATCGCTGTTGTTCTTGGGCAAGTCCAGAAGCGATAGGAATGAGGACAGGAAGGTAATCTTGCAACAGCTCGAAACGGCGATAAATAATTACGACGAGTTTGCTCAGAGCTTCTCTAGAGCCTTGAATCTCCAGGCGGCGAATGCCAGAGACGTCACCAGCTTGCATAACTGGATTGAGGGGACGGGATGCTTATACGAGGCCGAGACCGCTTATCTTTCACACCAGGATGAACTGGTCGCCTTGGCCCCGCAGGCCGACAATACTTTGTTAAAGCTTGAAACCTCTATCGAGGATTTTTTGATACGATGGCGGAGGCCCGCTGGAGTAAGCATACCGTATCCTGCGTAGAATTCGTCCTCGCTGACCGACCACAGAATCCCTACGGCATCGACCTTCGCCCAAATCAAGTGTATATGCATGCCGGCCAGCACATCCATCACTTGGGCAGGATGGCCTTAGTACTGGCAGTTGCGCTTCTAATGATGGGACCAGTAGTTGTTTGCAACTTAGTCAATGCTCAGGCTACTCGTATCGCAATCATTGGGTTTTCGATTGCCACGTACCTCGCCATGATCTCATCATTCACAAAAGCGCGAACTTTGGAACTCACAGTCGCAGCGGCCACGTAAACATGCCTCCCAATCCAGTTGATCGTGCTTGCTAACTCTAGACACAGGTATACAACTGTCCTCGTCGTGTTCGTCTCTGGATCGAGCGGGATTGTGGCATAGGCCTTCTAAGCATCTCGCCTGTTTGTGTCCCTGGTCACTCAACATCAATTCACTCTAGATACGGAGAGAAGGGCAGTATTTGAGAATGATCAAATCATGCGGGTGCAATATATCGGACTCGAAGCCTGTCATACCTGTTCACGCGTGAATCTTGACCAGTGATTACGGCATCGTGGAGTGGACATCTTCGGGCAAATGAACAAATCTCACCTCCGTCAGTACGGGTTTGATCAATCTTACTTCTAATTATTTGCAGGAATTTGGAAAGGACAAGTTTCTCGATTTATTTGTACAGAGGATGTACCAGTGTACCTTGGAAATTATCATGCCTCGAGAGGTCTGCTTGGGAGATGCTGACATCCAACCCGTCCATGCAGGCTCGAGCTGCCCCGAGAGGGGTGTCGCGTCGCTCCACGTTCCACTGCATATGCATTTGAGGACGCAGTGCATACTGTATGAGTCAATCATGCCAAGGACTGCCTTGACCGAACCAATTGCATCTGAGTGCTCAGCCACAATTTCTGGGCGCTGATCATATCTGATCATACGTGGCGGCTGCCTAGCAATCGCTGATCAAGCCTGTAAGTCTACCCACATCGAGCCTAATTCTTATGGAAGATAAGACTCTCTGAAAGTCTAGATTATGCGATCGCGTACTGTCAGGAAATCATTGACGGCGCATTCGACCAGCTGCGAAGCGTGTCGAATTGCAAGGCGAAGGTGGGGCTTCTTAAGGACGTTCCTGGTTGAGAGTCTGCCTGAGAGCTGTTCGCGACAGGGTGCCGGTTGGCAACACGTTACGTCACACTCACTACGGCTTTGGGCCCTGTCACCATGGGCGGAAAACAGGCGACAAGATGGCAAACTTTCAGCAGGACGAAGAGAGAGGAATTCGACATGAAGAGTTCCCAAAGGCCTTACGTCACATTTGAGATCGGTCCTGGTATTCTCGAATCGCTGGTTGTGGAAATCTGGTCTCACGACCAAGGTGTGTTATCCCGGCCCCTCAGGCAATTCCTTCTCATCGACCTGACCATATGAGCACTTTAGGTCATCATGACTGGTACAGACTGAGGCCTCTTATGAGTCCCATGCTCACACTTGGTTCTCACTTGGCTTGGTTGACGAAAACTCTCCGGACTCTCCCTCTGGTGGACTTTATGAGTTCCAGAGGAACGTACGCACATCGAAGACCATGCGGAAGTATACAAACGGATGGACACTCAGCGAAGCCATTGAGGATGACGACGAGAATATTGACCTTCATACCTGGCTTTCACGTCTCAGAGAAGGGTCTATCGTTGGTGTGTATCCCAACGCCAAATACCACGAATCCATCAACATCGTGTGGAAGGTCTCAATACATACCGAGTGTCGAACGCCCGTGACAGAATCTTTGGATAATTCCAATATCGTCCTAGACTCTGGTCAAGGAGACGACGGAAAGAACCTGTCTCGGGGAGGTTTTCATTCCAGTGATCAGAAGGAGCTCGACGACGAGGAACAAAGCCGTATCGCGGACGAAGCGATGCAAGGCACTCCATAATATTCAGAAGGCTGCGAGCAGACCACAGATGACACGCGGTCCTCGATTAGCCAGATGAACGATTGGAGGCAGTGCACCAATCTTGGTGTAACACATGTGCGTCGATATAGCGAGACTAAAGAAACGCCACTTCTTGGTGCTGGGAATCAATGTTTCCGCAGAGCCGTCGACCTCATACCCGAAGGCCACCCCGACCAGGCGGATGTCGCATTCCTCCTTGGTGATGGATATGTGAAGAGGTGGATGTTAACTGAGTTATGTGTCGACCTTCAATCTTCTCTCCACTGGTATTCCCAGGCTTTGGCAAGAACGCCGAAGGACCATAGTGAATACAGCCAGAGGTGTGCAACAGTCGGGTCTAGTTATGCCCACTTGTTCCTCACATCTAGAGAAACCAGCGATCTCGATATGGCAATCGATCACTACCTTGGGGCCACTGGCGCAACCCCCCGACACCATCCGGAGTGGGTTCAACTACATACGTCTCTTGGACAGCTCTACTTTGAGAAGTTCGAACTCACACAATTGCGAGCTGATTCAGAGCTCGCGATTGGTTCCCTTCAGAGAGCCATTGAGGCATCGGCGAGAAACGATCAGGAGCTATACGAAAGATTCAGTGTGCTAGCACAATTGTACAGCAAAAGGCATGAGCTTGCAGGTGATCCAGAGGACAACGAAATCGCCATATCATTGTTTGAGCATATGCTCATGTCAATACCGAACACTCCGGAAGCAAAACTCAACCTTCTGTACAGTGTTGGAAGTGAGTACCTTGCCCGATACGAACGCACTGCAAATGAATCCGACCTTGAGAAAGCCCTGAAACACCTGCAAAGGGCTTTGGATCTTCCCGACGAGATCGCCTCAAGCCAGCCTGGCCTGTTTTTAAGCCTTGGGCGAGTATACATCGCCAAGTTTGACAGATACGGAACATCCGAAGCCTGTGAAAGAGCGATCCAGCATATTCACAAGGCATTAGACATTACGTCAAACGACTTTTGCCAAAGAGTGAACCAACTCTCTTTAGTGGGAAGCATCTACATTACTCGAGCTGAGCGAACAGGACAAACCGATGACTTTGGCCATGCAATACGCTACTACAAACAAGCGCTAGCGAACACGCCCGAGAATGACATTGACAGACCAGGCCGGCTGCTGGCGTTGGGTCTTGCCTTTTGCAGTCGATATGAGCATGCAGATACATTGGATGATCTGAACAGTGGTGTCAGATACTTCCACAAGGCCCTTGACCTCGTCCCAGCCGGCCGTTTTCCGTATATGCGCATAAAGATGGCCCTCGGTTTTGCAAAATTCTCCAGCTACCAACGGACAGGTCTACGATCCGATCTTGATGCTTCCAAGGCGTTCATTTTGGACGCCATAAGCTCCGGAGGGGATTCGACGAACAATCTCGCAAGTGCTTACAACAGCCTGGGGGCAGTATACATCAGAACATACTCCATCACATTAGAACTGCCTGATTTCGAAAAGGCCATCGCCAGCCTTCACAGTGCACTTGAAAAAGTACCAAACGATCATCCACATCGAGCTGTGATTTATAAAAACCTGGGAGCTGCTTTTGCCGCAAAGTTTAACATCACGAACGACTTTGCCGACAATGATGCTCGCATTGAGCATGTCGAAAAGGCGCTGAGGCTCATACCAGCAGGTCAAGACAACAAAGCAACCCTCCTCGGTTCGCTGGGACAAGGTTACAGGGCAAGATCTGTTCAGCGAGTGTCGCAAGCAGATTGGCAGCTGTCCGTCAAGTACTACTGCGAGGCCTTGATACAACACTCATCACCGTTCCGAGATCGGCTACCATCCGCACGAGTCCTGCTTTCGATTTTCGCCGAAGCCAAGGATTGGGAGTCAGCCTACAACAACGCTAGCTCAGCCATGTCTCTACTGTCACTGCTGCCATCGCGCGCTCTCACTAACCCAGACAGACTCCAGCTTTTCAAGTCGACCACCGGAATCCCTACAGACTGTGCTGCTGTCTCTCTATCCGCTGGGATGCCATATTTCACGGCTTTGGAGTTTCTTGAGCAAGGTCGAGGGGTTGTGGCTGGATTCGCCAGTGAGTCTCATGTGGATGTGTCAGATCTCGAGAAGGCGCATCCGCACGAGTACGCAAGATTTATGGGCCTCCAGAAGTACATGAACTCTAATCGGAGCTCTGACTATACTGTACGCATGCTGGCTCCATCGACCGACGTGAAGCAACTCAATCTCGACCGCTACGATGCGTGCCAGCAGTACGACAGATTGATTCACCATATCCGAGGTTTTCCTGGGTTTGAGCGCTTCCTTCTCGCGCCCGCTGAGAAAGACCTCAAGGCTGCGGCACGCTCTGGCCCAATTGTCATTGTCAACATCAGCCAATATCGCTGTGATGCGATCATAGTTCAGACCGACAACATAAGCCTTGTCGAACTACCAGACCTGCGCGCAGAAGACGTCGAGGCCCACGCGAAATCTCTGGAAAGCCCCGACTGCATCAGCAGCGACTTGTGCGAGTGGCTATGGGATTCTCTGGCCGAGCGAGTGCTGGCTGCGCTAGGCCTCACAAAGACGCCAGAACACAGCTGGAGCCGGGTCTGGTGGATTGGCACGGGCCACTTGGCCAAACTGCCAATACACGCAGCAGGATATCATCGCGATGGCTCGGAACGCACAGTGATGGACCGTGTCATTTCTTCCTACGGCTCGTCAATCCGCGCATTGATGAAGAGTCGACAGGCTCGAGCGCCGCGGGACTCACCAGAAGCCAGTCCTCGAGAGGCTGTCCTGGTCGAAATGAGCCGTACCCCAGGGCATCATGACCTCCAGTTCGCGCAGGAAGAAGTCAAAGAGATTGGGAAGCTGTGCCTCAACAATGGATTACACATCAAAGAACCAGCGTCTCGAGGAAAAGAGCTCATGGACTCCTTGGAGCACTGCGAGATCTTTCACTTCGCTGGACATGGCCAGACGGATTCCATAGACCCGTCACGGAGCGGTCTGGTCCTCTCTGACGGAATCCTTTCAATTGGTGCCCTCGTTGAGCGCTTCAAAAGCCGTCGCACGCCGTTCTTGGCTTTCTTGTCTGCCTGTGGAACTGGCCAGACAAAGGGCGAACTGGTGCCAGACGAGTCTCTTCACCTCATCACTGCGTTCCAGGTGATTGGATTCCGACATGTTCTGGGAACTCTCTGGCAAGTGAATGATGGTGCTTGCATAGACGTTGCAACCAGCATTTATCAATGGATGTTTGCACACGGAACGTCGGACGAGTCGATTGCAGGAGGCCTGCATCACGCCATCCGGCGGCTCCGCGGTAAATGGCTACTCGAGAATGACATGAGATCAGCTCGGATCCGCTTTGCAAAACAACAGATCCAGCAAACGACAACACCGCGCCACGAAATGGATGGGTCGACCAACAGACATGTGCGCATTCCAACAGTGATTGATGACGATGATGAGGAAACCAACCTACTCTGGGCTCCATGGGTTCATTACGGTTGCTAATGGTAACACACTCTTAAACATATTGGACAGACGAAGGTATAGCTCAAGCAGGAGGCCGGATGATGTAGAAGTGGGTGCGGTAGTCTTCACCAGTAGCAGCTCTCAGTTTGTTTTTAGTCTAGATCGACAAGGTCATTGCCCATCACGAATCGCAGTACAGGATCTTTGCTCTCCGAAAACGCGGCATGATCTTCTCTCAGAGCTGTTGGTGATGCTTCTGCTGCTCCGCTGTCTGTCGAACTTGGCGCTCGTTAAGCTGGTGCCTTTGCCGATTGCATCTGTTGTCCCTTCTCCACCGTTACTCAGCTGACAGCCTGTTCTCCCACCACGCGCCATGGGCTGGGACAATGCCGCGTGCCGGTGTGGCATCATTGCTGTGCTGCGTGGCAAATCCGGCTACTGCACCGAAGTAGCAGCCGAGAAGGCGCTGCGAGCACTGTTCTACCCAGCAGTGCTCCCACCGAGCCGCTGTCCATTTTGACCGCGACGTCCCTCCACAAAGGCGCGATAAGCTGAAGCATCGAAACTGAGACCGTGTCGTGTTCTCTATGTAGGCTTTGCAATACACGCGGACACCAAGTTGATCCCTCACACTTCCTCCATGATGCTCTGTAGCCGGGGCATCTGACTAGCATCGCGCTGCCGCAGGCGACAACGGTCTTCTCTTATTGCTTCAAGATGATACTCATTATAGGATTAAGCCCGGACGATATTGACAAGGCTTATCTCAAAGGCCGGCGGTAAATCATATTCACGAAACCTCCCACCGGGCGGGTTGAGTGGGAAGTCCAGGTCACGAGCCAACCGTGCGAATGGACATCTTAGGTCGATAGTCTCGCTCCCAGGTGGCATCGTACGACCGACATTACGAATCTGGCCCTCCATATGCCGAGACGATCGCGCACTGCTTCTCGACAAAGCTCGATATCCAGGGTGTGGAACTAGGATCTCGCCATCAGCGACAACACTCGTCTCCTGAGCTTCGCGATTGCCGCTTTCACCCTCCCACAAATATGGCTGAAGTGACGGAATGTCCTGAGGGTCTCCGCCACTGTCGATAATAGCAGCAGCGGTAGAAGCGGCGGTCGAGTGCGTCCAGACGTCCTCAAGCTCCCACCGCGGCCGATGTCGCCACATACACTTGTCGTGGTCGCGTGATTTCCGATCCGTTTTTTCAGCCTCATGGTGGACGGCGGCTTCAGCGTTCATAATCACGTAAAGCTGCGTCACGCCCACGCCTTGCTCTTCGAAGAGCCACCATAGCTTGTCGTCGTGCATAAGCACCCTCAGAAAGTCCACAGGGACGGCGAGCCTGCTGATCGAGTCTTGACAGCCCCTCATACAGAAGCCAAACAGGTCGGGCAGGAAGGGCCGGAGTCCCGGCTCGGCCACGACGAGCTCCCATACGGCGGCTGAGACGAGCATGACGTCTACGTCCGGATCGAAAGGGCGGCAAAATACCATCGGGCGATTGCGTCCATGGACACGGTCTAGGCTGCCATCGTTATCGTCGCGGTTGTTGCCCCCATCGTGCTCTGAACAACGACGGTGGTGAAGACAACATTCGCGCTCCGGCCGGTGCCGCTGCTCAGCACGCTGAAACTCGAGCACGTGGTCCCGCAGAATACCCTCAGCCCCTTCCAGTTGTACCTCGAATGGCGTGCCGTCTTCGTTGGGTGTACCGTGGTCACTGACGAGACTTGCCTCGAGTTGCCTCCACCCATGGTGCTGATCCTGCAGTTTCTTTGTCATCTCTGTCCAGCCGTTGTCGTCAAGGTCGCTATCACTCAGCCGCTGACAGCCTGGTAGCATCTGCCAGGCAGCGTCACAGCCCCGGCAAGCGATGAGGTGGTACTCGTCGTGGCACTGCGCGGGCCTCCGCACGACCCCATGCTGCGCGAGCAACCCCTGGCGCCTCCTACCACCAGCGCTGCCACCACCGCCACCACAAGACTCCGCCAGTACGACATCCCTGGCCCCACGGGAGGTCCACATCAGCCTCCAAACTATACTGCGGCCACCGAGGTGCGCATCGTCCAGCAGATCATGGCGAAACTCGAGCGAAAGATCGCCCTCGAGCTCGTGGTCAGGCCCGTGGAGGTACTCCGGGTCCGAGGGCACGATCCTGCGCGGGACGTACAGGCCCGGCTTATACGCGAAGAGCGCGGGTCGTCTTGTGCTGCGCATCTTTCCTCTGCCGCCCTCGTTCGCCATGTTGCATAACCCTGCGCCGATCGAGCTTTGCGTGCTGCCATGTTCCTCACGGTCAGGGGTTCCGTCATGGAATGCTGCGCTCAGCTCCAGCGAAAGGGCCTCGCGCCAGATCTGCTGGCGAAGCTCGAGGGGCAGGCGAGGGAAGTGCATGAACGAAGCTTGTTCTAACGAGATTCGATGCGCCAACTCCATTTTCGAAAGGATTGAGATCCCTGCTTGCTCTTCCGTATCTAGACGGGTCACTTTCGAGATAAAAACTCGGATGCTTCGCGCCGTTGCAGCCTGTCGTGTCAAGGCGAGGGTCTCTGCGTAGACCCAGAGCCTCTGCCAGCTGCAGGCGGCGCGCGGAGTTATGTATTGGATGGCGCAAGAGGTTCAACTCGGGCTTCCCGGAAGTCTCGTCAATTCTCCCTGCTATCGCTACTGCTATCAAGCGAATCAGAGCATGCTGCCTCTCTGCCGACGTCAGCCCCGCAAGATGGCGCTCTCACCTGCCAAGACGAATCCCTGGCCCGTCAGCACATCAATGCGTCAGCACCCCATATGTGTATATCTAGCGTTCCCGCATTTTGGTTGGCCGTGCTACAACAGGAAGACCAGGACCACCTTCGACGCTCACTTTTATTCTCTGCATCACCTGGCTCAGAGGGCTGGGATAGGAATGTTGTAGCTGCCATCACAGCTACCCAAGATCTTGAGCATCCACTCATGCAAGCAACAAGCAAATGTGTCCGCTCCAGGCCTGATTGGCATCTATTTCATGTTCCCCAAGCGTAAGCTGCCGGGGTGATGGTCTGTATATCAAACACGTACAAGCGGGTGCCCAGTATACTTGAGAGTGCGCTGGTATCCGTGTTAGAGCTTCTCATACACCATATCTATACATCCTACGATGCCATTACTCCTTCTTTTCCCTAGGCCGAATCTTCATCATAACCGGCCCCGCCGGCGTAGCCGTGAACGCCGAGACTTGAAAGAAGTGCTTCCCCAGCATCCGCTCGAGGTCAGCAGCGTGCGCAAACGCCGGCGCCGGCGATTCTTCCTCAGGTTTCGACCCCTCCCCGCCGCCGGCGCCGCGCTCCCCTCTCGTTGACCTGGAAAAGGCAGTCTCGTCACGCTGGAGCTCCATGTCAAACGACCGCGCCAGCACCAGGAGCTGCACCTTCATCTCGTCCATGGCGAGGGCCTGGCCGATGCACGCCCGGGGCCCGCGCTCGAACGGGCGGTACGCGTGGCGGGGCTGCCTGGCGAGGGCCTCCTCGTCGAGGAAGCGGTCCGGCAGGAACCGGGCGGGCTCGGGGAAGTACTCCTCGTTGTAGTGCGCCGCGTGCGAGATGATGCCGGCAATGTGGTCCGGGAGGAGCGGGTATTCTTGATTGTTGATGGTGATGGATTTCCTAGGCAGAAAGTGCCGTGAGCGCGTGTTAGTCCGTGGGATACCACTGCTTTGATTTATCTTTTTCAGGGCTGGAACGCAAATGGCTATTCTAATTTCTGGCACAAGCCCGTAGAGAGAGGGGAAGAGAGAGCATTGGAAAAAGCTGGCCAACGTACAGCTCGGGCGGCGCCTGCCGGACACTAAAGGCGATGGGGAACAGGCGGAGGGTCTCCTGGATGACGGCCGTGGTGTAGGGCAAGCTGTTGAGCAGGCCTGGATCCTTGAGTAGCTTTGCGACCGTCGTATCCAGGTCCTTGCCAAATACACGGTCGTGCTCGGCGCGGAGCTTCTCCAGGATCTCGGGGTGGGCTTGCAGGAGCAGCCAGATGTACTGGGGTGCGATTCCAAATTAGCCACAACTATCTTCGTCTTCCACAGTCTTTTCCGGGCGAGTAGAGGACGGGTGAGATGCACATACAGTGGTTGTGTCTGTCGTGGTGCCATATCCGGCGATGATGAGCCCCGTGATGCTGTTTTGACATGACGCAAGATATCAGCACAACCCCGGCCATAAAAACCATAAAATCCTCGGCGCACCAGGGAAACAACAAGCGGAACTTACTTTGCCACACACATCTCCTCGAGCGCCGCGTCGAGCGGCAGGCCCTGCTGCACCCTCGGCAGCAGCATGCGGTCCAGGAACCGCGACGTCGCGGCCGCCTTGTCGGCCTGCAGCTCCTCGAAGCGAGCGCGCGCCTGCCTGAGCGCCTCGGCGTGGATCTTGCCCACACAGGCCCCGAGCTCGCGCTTGTGACCCCGCCGCTTCCACGGCAGTATCAGCGCGCCCGGGACCTGCGCCCGGGCGTGCAGCTCCACGAGCCGCATGGCCTCCTGGTACAAGTCCTCGCTGAGCCCGTCAGGGCCCAGCGTGACCTGGCTGAGAATCTGGAACGGAAACCGCCCAATGGCATCCTGGAAGCGGATCGCCGCGGCGTCAGGGCCGGAGTGCCGTGCGAGGTCGTCGCGCAGGGCGACAGCCGCAGTCACGAGGGCGGGGAAGTAGGGCTTGATGGCGGTGGGCGTGAGGGAGGGCGCCATCCGCTGGTGCAGATCCTTCCAGAAGGGCCCATTGTTAATCTCGATAAAGGTCGGCCCTGTGATGTCTTTGTAGAAGCTCGGGAGGAAGTCGGGCTGGCCCCAGACGTTGGCAGTAGTCGGGTACGCGACAGCGTCGGCGCCGGTAAGACATATGATGCCGTTCAGGATAGGCCACATGTCGAGGTAGAAGACGTCGGGCAGGCCATAGTCGTGCTTCATCTGCGTGAGGGCCTGCTGGAGGAAGCCGCCCGGGGGCATCCGCGACGTGTAGTCGCCAATCAGCTTCAGATGACCCCAGAGCATCGAGTGCGGCGGGCCCGGCAGGTCGCGGTAGAAGCGGCGCCGGGCGTACACGCGGGAGCCAAGGTACGCGATGGCGGTGGCGGCAGCAACGCCCACGAGGGGTAGGGCCACCGCGGGATCGTCAAACAGGACCATGTTGCTATGTTGTGTCGTGGTCAGGTCCTGGCGGTCGAGTTGTCGCGGAGAATGAACAAGCGTCGGGTCTCTCCAGCGGGACGGCGGCACAGAGTCATTACAATAAAACAAAGATTCGGCCGTGTTCGGCCGGTTAGGCGACACAGCTAGCTAGCTATATTGGGAGGCGGCTGAAGCCCCGTTGAAGTCTGCTGTCCCCACCGGCCTTTAGAGGCAAGGGCTACGCTCAGGGGACGTGGGAAGGGCAGGCTTTGACTGGCTCGACTGGGTACGCGCACGTAGCCTAGTCCCCGGTCTCCAGGCGTCTGGTCGATAGTCCGGGCTCTCTCTGCAGTTCCTATTCGCTCATTTGTGTGCCACTCCACCTGATATTCGTCTTCGGGGTCCTCCCTCGCCCTATCGGTAACCTCGCGCCCCTGGTTGGCCAGGCACCTCCCCCGCAAGCGAAGACCGGGAATGCTAGTGCTGACAACAATGCCGGGCTTCGGGGCCAGCACCGCACGTGCTGCAGGCAACTAGTGCGCGCGCTGCTGACGTCAGGCGCCACTGGACAAGGGGCTATCCAGCCAAAAATTGAGTGTGTTCAGTAACTCCATATTAAGTCCACGTCTGCTTCCTGCGACACCAGCCTTCTGATAAGTTGACTGGACTGGGCATACCTGTCAAGGGCTGCGCCAAGCCCCGGTCACCTTGAGCAACCCCAACAGGCTAACCACTTCTGCCGGTTACTTGCTCGTGGCTTCTCCCTGGGGCATACAAACTCAGCACCTGAACCCCCACTCGACGTCCTCCCAACCGGCCCTCCGCGTCAACCGGATCGGCCCAGCCTGCTTGCCAGGCGCCGGCTTACAGACCGCCTCGCCCATCTTCGAAGTCCCCATCTGGTACTTGCCCTCGTCCAGGCCCTCGACCTCAAACCCCATGACCAGGCTGGCCATGAAGCCCAGGTTCTCCGCAAAGGCAAAGTTCCGGCCGGGACACAGGTGCCTGCCGCCGCCAAACGGGATGTACGCGAGCTTGCGCTGCTTCTCCTGCGCCGGCGACAGCCCTCGCGTCGAGCCGTCCTCGGCGGCCTGGGCCGCGGGCACGAACCGGTCGGGCACGAACTCGTCGGCGTCGGCGCCCCAGATGCTCGGGGAGTAGTGGAGGGACTTGGAGGCCCACATGGCAAAGGTGCCCTGCTTGAGTAGGTACTGCGTGCCGTCGTGGTCGGTGAGGACTGCGTCCTTCATGACGTAGCGGTTGCCCACGCCCTGGTTGGCCAGGCGGATGGACTCGCGGTAGCAGCTGACCATCAAGGGCAGGTCATGCTCCAGCCTGCCAATGTCCAAGACTGCCTTTCTCTTGTAAACCGTATCCTTCTTTCTCTGATGATCCGAGGGAGAGGCCTCGATGAACTCGACCAGCGGCGCGACCTCGGCCCGCAGCTTGGCCACCAGGTCCGGCCGCAGCCAGATGTTGACAAAGAACCAGAACAGCGTGGGGATCGTGTTGGTCGTGGCGACAAAGGGCAGCGCGGCCTCGAGCCGGCTGAGGTCGTCGTTGGTCATGCCGGCCTCGCGCGACCAGTGGGCGCGGATCTTGGTGATGGCGGCCACGTCGTCGGCCTCGTCGCGCCGCTCGCCGTAGAACTTGATCAGGGCCGCCTGCACGATCTCGCGGCTCTGCGTGGCCGTCCGCGCGATGACGCTGGGCAGCACGCCCAGAAAGAGCGGCAGGAGGTTGCCCTCGAACTCCCTGCCGGCGGCTTGTGGTTAGTCTGTGCTGCTGCGAGGGAGGGGGACGTCGCGCGGAGGTGTGTGTGTGTGTGTGTGTGTGTGTGTGTGTGCAACTAGCACTTGGCGGTGGGATGGCGTCAGCGGCTAAAACAGATCGTATAGGGGGACGTACCAGAGGTGATGGCTGAGCTCGGGCTGTTCGCGGAGTGGGTTCTGGTGTCCGTACAAGCCCTACCGACCGTAAGACAATGGTCAGCCAAATGTCTTCGCAAGCATTTGATAGGGGGGTTTGGGAACGACCGTAGCGACTCACCTCTGCTGTGGCCATGGTCATCAACTCTCTCAGCCACATGTACACGTTGTCCACGTTGAGCTCGCCGTCCCCGACTGCATTCAGCTGGTCGGCCACGTAGTTCAGCGCGCTGAGGTTCATCCTCAAGAGATTCTGCCCCATCATGGCGGGCTTGATGGCGGCCATGACCTGTTCGGTGAGGTTGTGGTCCTCGGAGCCGACGTGGCTGCGCAATATGTCGGTGGACTCCTTGGTGGCGCCAAACATGCGCGCGGCGAAACTGATGCTCAGCTCGTCAAAGGTGAGGTTCTTGTGCCGCAGAGCCTGCTGGACGAGCGTCGGGGACCACAGAGCATAGGACTTGCCGCTGAGCATGGGCAAGGTGGCGATGGCCAGTGGTGGCCGTGCCCCTGTGCTGCTGGCCGAAGCGGGCTGGAGCGTTACGAAGAAGTCGACGCCGTTCCGGATCAGGCCGATGATGTGGCCGACGAGCGGGATGGTGGGCTTGAGGAGCGGCGGCTCGCGCGGATCGAGGCGCGGGGTGCTGAGACGGTGGACGAGCAACGCGAGGACGACGGCGATGGCGGAGGCACTCGCGAGGCTCGTGACAAGCAGTTGTCCACCTTCACCGCCAGAGTTGTGAGATGAGTTGTTGATCCCTAGGATGTTGAGAAGCTGGGCCGCGCTGCCCAACAGGCCGCTGACGGCATTGCTGGATGTATTGGCAAGCAGAGACGATGAAGGAGATGCCATCGTGGTGTTGTAGTCAATGAGGCGAACTGAACCTGGCTTGTGATGGAGGAGAGGAGGAGCTGGCAAATAACTCAAGAGAGCATGGAATTAAGAGCTAAAGAGGCAGGAAATGGGCCTGATATAATCAGATTGGCGGGGCGCGACCCGAAGCAAACAAAGCCACTTCGGGCTGATAAAAGCTGGTTGGTCGTTGATGTCGTCCCTTGCCGCATTGGCGCACCTCGAGGTGGAGTCAAAGTCATCCGCTGCTAATAATAATGCTCGCTCCTCGCTCCTCGCTCGTCCCAGCTAATCCCCAACCAGCCTCGCACTTGATCTGGGTTTGGGGCTTGCCGTACCCGGCTGGCCAACAAGCGCAGGGTCCCCTGGGCATAAAAAGCAAGGGCCATTGACCTCTTTGTATCCAGCCGGCGATCTGAAATGTGGAATGTCTGCTTCGAGTTGAAATTCTTAAACCTTTCTTGCTCCGGCATGCTGGAGCTGGACGTTATTTAGTACAAACTTTGCACCCGCCTGCCCCAGAGAAGAGGTTCGAGCCCAAATCTGGCCCAAAAGGGCTATGGCCGACCCGTGGGTGGTCAGGGACAGCGCCAATCAGTAGGGCTGACGTGAGGGGGTGGATCCCGGCTGCGGTTCAACTGAGCAGCCAGAACTCTCTATGCCTTGGGCTCTAGCTTGCTCGTACCTAGGTAGAGTCTATTCCCAGCCTGTGCTAGCCACCGTCAGCCCGGGCAAGACTCCGATGAACAGGGTATGGAAGCCTCTGAGTGAGGGGTTAAGCTATCAAGTCGGTCATACGCGAAAATGAAGCCAAACTGGAGGATAGACAATATGGGACCATGCATGCCCTAGGTGTTCCAGTGGCTCAATCCCGGCTTGATAGTCACAACAGCTTATGCATGCTGCTTGCAAGGCCCAGGGTTCCTCTCTATACGCCGACACACACTCTATAACCTTTCCTAACCCACCTGAAGACTATGCTCGTCAATATTGACGCCCCACTGCTTCGCGGCACTCGAATAGCTCTTGTGGACCTCCTCGCTCCCGTAGACCCTCATGATCTCCTCATACTCCCTCGTCAAGCCCTGCCTCCAGCCGCCGGCCTTGGCTATCATGCCGCCCAGCAGCGCAGAGTCCCTCAGCGCGGTGTTGGCGCCGTTTCCCCCAGCAGGGGTCATGCTGTGCACCGCGTCCCCGATGACAGTGACCCGCTCGTCATTCTCCCACTCGGGGACCCCCGAGGGCGTCGAGCAGGTGATTTTCCAGAACGCGGCCTCGGAGTCGATCATCTGGTCCACGAGCGGCCGCACCCTTGGGTGCCAGTTCTTCGCGAGGTCCCGGGCCACGTCGGCCGCGGGCTGGCCGATGACGGAGAAGTTGTCGCCGGGCGGGTTGATGACCCCCGGGACCGCGCCCATGGTCCAGCCAAAGTTGAGGCTCGGGTCGTCCATGTCTCCCGCGCGCACGTTGGTGATCATGAAGACACCGCCTTTCGGGTGCGACTCGTCCCGGAGCGCCCACACGCCCTCGCCCAGGGACTTGAACGCCGTGGTCGGCGCCTGCCCGTGGATGCCCCGGGCCCCCGTGTCGTACACCTTGAGCCTGCCGCCGGATACCTGCTTCGCCGTCTTGGAGTAGATGCCCTCGCCGCCGATCAGCATGCTGCCCAGGACGGACCTGGTTCCGTCGGCAAAGATGGCGCGCACTCCAGCAGTAGTCCCAGCAGGTGAGGTCGAGTGCTCGTACCCCGTGACCGTGTGTGACCACTGGATGTTGGTCTCGCAGCCCTGCATGAAGAGCCGGCGCATGTCGCCGCGGGATATCCCCACGATCTTGCCGTCGCGCGACAGCAGAATCTCCCCACTGCTCTTGTTGCCGGATGGTGGTGTTGTTGCCGCCGAGGAGTCTGTCTCGGAACCCGACGCCGCGCCGGTGACGGATCCCGGTTCCCCACCACCACCACCAACATCCAGGGAAGGCAGCTCCTCACCCGTGAGGGCGTCGATGACCGTGAACCCGGCCGCCTTGGCCCCCTTGGGAGCGTTCGTCTTGCCACAGGTATCCCAGAACAACTTCCAGTGCTCGGGCTCCAGGACGGACTCGATGGCGGCGAGCCCCTCCCTCGACAGCCGCAGCCGGTAGCCCTGGGCGCGGAACGAAACGGACGCGTCGCGCTCGTAGATCAGGAACGGGATCCCGGCTCCGCGGAGGGCCTGCGCGAGGAGCAGCGATGCCAGGCCGGCGCCGGCGATCAGGATCGGCAGGGGCGCTGTTTCTGTAGTAGTAGCATCTGTTGTTGTTGTTGTGACTGCCATTGTTCCCTCGACTTTTGTTGCTGTGAGCTACGAGCCACGGCAAGAAGGATAGAAAGGTGGGAGGTTCACGATGACCCTGCGCTTTTCGCGTCTCGAGAAGTAAGGGCCGCTCAGGAGTTTCGATAAGCTAAACTCCTTCCTTCCTTCCTTGCCCACTAAGACCTCAGTCTCAAAGGAAGGAGGTGATCCCAGAGCGTCCGTCTGTCAGTCTGCGGTGAGACGAGGTTTAGACTTGTCCGGAATTGAGCACGAATTTCTGAAGAACTAGATTTCAGGCGAAAAAGCTTGCTAGTCGTGAGCATCAGTTGACACTAGTCTTTTTTTTTTTTTAAAAAGAAGCGGGCGGACGCGATACCCTATAAATCATCAACTTGAACCCACCCCCTCATTAACGGCCAACCCTGCTGGGCCTTAAGGCACGGTAAGCACCGTGCAGGGAGGGGATTGCGTGACTGTCCCCACCTCTCGCGCGCGCACTCTTTGTCCCTTTCCAGCCCTGGCCTCCTGCAATCGGTATCAGTAACTTTCCCGCCGCAACTCTCTCAGGTCTGGGCGGCCCCGAGGGGTAAGCGCCGGGGCTGCGGGTGGGGGAACCCTACCAGCTGTTCTACGTGGGTTGCGTAGGGCTGTCGTTATTATTAAGCCGCAACCCAGTCGCCCCGATCCGCCGCGCTGTCCACAGGTGTGTTGCTGAGCAAGGTGAATTAGAAATGCTTGGTCATCAATCCAAACGGAAAACCACAGTGGTTCCGGGACCACCACCGAGGTTTGATTGGCCAGTAACTCCGCCTACGAGTTCGGACTGAGTCCCGGCCCCCTCGGCCAAAATGTCCTATCTTCGGAACGCTGGGCAGAGAGATAATCAGCCCGTTTTATTTAGTCACATGTTTTTCTTCTGATACAGCGGCTGGAGTGTTGCGAGGGGAGGGGAAGAGTGGCAAGTCGTATATGATTTCATATATACTAGATGCTATTCCTAGGCTGCTCTTCCTGCCCCTGCGCCATCGCCCATTCGCATCTTCCGCTCTGATATGTACAAGAGTGCGAAAAGAAGCAAAAGCAGGGCCGCTGAAAAGCCCAGAGGGGTGTTGTGTTTCGCTCAATCACTATTGTTACAGAAAACAAAAGGGTAAACCCCAGAAGCAAATGAAATCGCAGTTCCCATAGCCAGGAGGCAGGAAGATCACAGCTAGCGCCCCCCTCCTCCTCCTCCTCCTCCCCCAGCAGGAGCAGCACCAAGACTATCCCAGTCGATGTTGTCCAAGTTCAGCGTCTCGAGCGCCTTGTGGTCCGGCACAACGACATTGTGCTGGCCCCGTCCGGGTCCGGGTCCTGGCATCATGCTGGCCATTGACGATGACGCCGCGGGCAGCGGGGCGAACCAATTTGCCATCGGCCCGCCCATGGGCGGCGATGCCGTCGCGGAGACCTGCGGCTGAGGAGGTGAGAGACTCCCCGCGGCTGTGGTAGCCGATGTGCCTGTTCTCCCAGCCGTAGAAGGGGTAGTAGAAGAGGCAGCAATGTTCGCGGAAGGCGGCGTCGGGGAGGACCAGCTCATCCCCATGATTTCGTCGCTGCCACCGCCGCCGCCGCCGCCGTTAAACTCGTCAAACAAGCCCACGCCGCCACCAAACCAGCTATGCATGATCGGCATCGAGAGCGTCGGGTTGAACAGGTCCGGCGTGAGGATCATCTCGTCGTCGTTGAGTGAGGAGACCTCGGTCTCGGTGTAGAATGCCGGCGACGACGTGGACGTGTTGCTCGTCGTGCTCCCGCTATTGTTGCTGTGGTAAGTCGGATCCGAAGCCCGGATCTCGCGGATGTAGCCGAGGATCCGGGGCGGGGCGGGCAGCGGCATCTGCGAGGTGGTCCCGATGTTGGCATTGGCATGGGCCTTGACGCAGGCGTCCCAGGCCGGGAACAGCGGGTTGAAGAGCTTCATGAACGGCGCGACCTCCTGCCGGAACACGGTCTGCAGGCGCACGGCAAAGTTGTCGCTCATGGCCTCCCACGCGCGGCTCGCGTGCGGGGACAAGGGCCGCACCCTCAGGCTCTTGGCGATGATGAGGAATGCCGGCAAGGGGAAGTAGAAGCCCAGGAACCAGTGGTAGCGCTTGGTCAGCGGAGACGTCATTAGCTGCTTGTCGGCCTCGAGCATGCCTATGGCGTGGACGATGGCCGCGTCCCAGTCCGATGCTGACGGGCGCTTGCCGTTCGGGTCGGCAAAGGCCGCGAACTGGCGCCACAGGCCAAACCGGGCTATGTACGAGTAGGCCGTCCACTTGGCGAGGTGGTGGAGCGGGTTGGTCTGGTCAAAGTATTGGAGATAGCGCTCTTCCAGGTGGCGCTGCAGCCCCTCGAGGTCAAGGCTGCTCGGGCGCGCGATGGGCCGCAGCGAAGCTGCCGAGAAGTCGAGGTGATAACTTGCGTGCCGAAGGTAGTCGCCCAGCTCGGCGCGGATGACGCTAAACACGGCCTCCGTGCTGCGGCCGCGCACGGGCTGCAGCTCTTTCGATTCTGGCCGCAGGTCCGTGTCGCTGAGGTTGAGCGGTATCCGACAGTCCCAGGACGGGTTGAGCTGCGAGTTCTTGTTGTCCGTCTTCTCGGCCGCGCGCGAGTCAAAGAGCACGAGAGACCACCACAGCTTGCGCCGCATCTCGGCCTCGAAGGGGGTCTCCTTGGCCAGGCTGGCTTCGTTGTCCATGCCAAGCCGCTTCGCGAGGCGGATGGCGATGGCTAGCAGCGAATATATTGTCTGTGGGTGCGTTGTGCCAGCCAGTGATACCTATCGAGTTTTCATCAGTATGACGTTCTCTTCACGCAACGCGCGTGGGAATACGACTCACCAGGTACAAGTAGTACGCTGTAAGGGCGTCACGACTCGTCGTCTTGAGTATTCCGCAGTTCATCAGCGCCTGCTGGCATCCAAAATGATACCGCAGCAGCAGATCCTGCTTTGACGCGACGAAATACGTCACGCACTCCTGGGGCGTCAGGCTGATGATAGCCATGGCGTATATGCTGAACATGAGGGCCTCGGTGACGGGGTCGATGGACGCGACGTGGCCGGCGGCCTCGATGATTCGTGTCTGCAGTGACGGCGTATGAGTGACGGCGAGAAGGGGGTTGACGTTGTCCATGTACGTCTGCCAGAGGCGGAAGATCTCGGCCGGGCCCGGGTGGAGAGGTGAGAGGTCAACAGGTTCGACGCGGGTGCCGAAAAGCATGTGGTCCGTCTGCGAATAGATGCGGTCCCAGAGCTTGCGCACACCAGCGGCCTCGATGGCGGTCTCGCTGTCATCGGAGTCGTGATCGACAGCCTGTCAAACGTTAGGGAGTGATCCTTGAACTCGAGCTGTAGGGTATATACGAGGGTGACTTACCGGGTGGCCCATGGCATCCCATATGTCTCTGCGCAATAATGTCAGCCACGGCTCAGGAGCACACACAGGTGCTCTCATAGCAGGAAAAGAGTACATACTTTGCCCGATAATCTGTCTCAGGCTTGTCACTGCTATTTGGTGACTGGGCCTGTGTGGAATGCTCATCATGATGGCTTTGGTCTTGGCCCGTCAGGCCAGCGAGGTCCTTGCCCAGTGGCGGGTTGGGCTTGTGGAGGGGCTCAAAGTCGATGTTGTGATCTCTGAGGAGCTGCTCGTAATGGCGCAGGCGGTCGAGCAGCTCGCGCTCGGGGAAGCGGCGCCTGCGCTGGCGCGGCAGGAGGGTGGCCGGGACACACTGGGCGCCGGAGCGGGTGCAGTTGGCACAGGGGAAGCGGCGGTCGCACTTGACCTTGCGCTGCTGGCAGAGGAGGCAGGCGAGGACGCGCTGGGGCTTGGAGCCGGCGCCGGCACCGGAGGCGTGGGTCTGACCCGGGCTGGAGCCGTCGTCGTCGTGGTCGGTGGGAGAAGGCTGCATGGTCACTGACGCCCTCGTGGGCCGGACGGGGCCGAGACGGAGCCCGAGCAGGCGCGGCGATGGCAGCGGCAGCGAGGACACGGGCTCAGATGAGAGAGAGGGCCGGCCGGAAGCGCCGGTCTTGGCGGAGCCGCCGGGAGGCAATGTCAGACGTCACGCAGGCAGGTTGGTCTGGTCCGCCGTGCCGCGCGTGGCCGAGGTGGGCTGGGCAGGACTGGAGGGGGCGGGGAAAGCTGATGCGTTCGTGCGGGCGGGTGGCAGGCTCGTGCAACGGAGCGGGTGGTGATGGTTGGTGCTGGCGGGCTCGATGTGATCCCGAGCAAGCTGCAGACTCTGGCTGGCGGCCTGGGGTGGTGATATGCGCTTTTGCTTGATATTATGCGGGAGAGGCGCGGCGCAAAAAGATGGTGATGACGTTCCCGCGCGAGCGTGCCAAGCAACCGGGCGGGCAAGAGCAGCGCGGGTGCGGTGGTGGGGTTGGGGGGTTCGCACGGTCGGTGGATGCCTGCCAGGCAGCCCTACGCCTCAGGCACCACCACCATCCCACAAGGCGGCCGGCAGGGCAGGTGGCCACAGGCGGCACCACGCGGCACAGGACAGAGGCACGTACTTCAAAGTTTGGTGCAGGCACCAGGGCTGCATCCATCACCAACAAGTATCACTGGACACTCCCCAGTCGTCTCGATCGACTATACTACCGTTCTCTCGATACCCCCCATGGGTAGCCTTGGATCAGAGAACAGCCACCTGAGACATACTATACCATCCCCATCTGCTGCGACCCAGTTTGCCTGCTCCTGCCACCAAGGGTTTCCACATGTGTCCGCAACCCAGCAGATCCTCACAGACACTGCCCAGCCGGACAAAAACGGGCATGTTTTCAAAAGGGTGAGAGCTCTTTGTTCATGTCCACCAAAGTCTCGCTCGTGGGTATCTTGTCTTCATCTCGAAGCCTCCATCCCAGTGCCGGCGCATGATCCTGACCCCCGACCAGCCGGCAAGTCCCGTAAAGTCCCCGGCCGCCATACCGTTACATTGCGCACAGAGAGAACCGACAAATACAAAAATAAAAAGTTCCCGGGAGGAACCCCGAAAGAAAAGGCCCATGACGCATGACGCATAAAAATGCAACCCCGTGCATGCGGCCCCACCGCTCCCGCCCATTCCGCTTGCAACCCTCGACTTCGACTTTCAACCTCGGGCTTCAACTTTCAGTCCTGCTGGTGGAACATGACATCCCGCCCGCCGGCCCATGCCTTCTCCACCCGCCAGGTCCCAAACTCGAAGCTGCACGCCCCCATGATCTCGGCCATGACCTCGTGCGCCTCATCCGACATGTCCGGGTGCTCGACAATCGACATCGTGTCCACGTCGGGCGTCTCGTACTCGATAATCTCAAAGAAGTCCGGACACGGCAGCGACGCCCCGTTGCCCGCGCTCCACCACGACGTCTGCGCCTTGAACCGCGTCGTGCGCACGAACCCGGGGAGCTGGGCGAGCTGCTGGCAGTGCTGTTTTGGGGTAGGAAAAGTCAGCACTGTTTCCTCGATGCAGGGAGGGAGGGAGGGAGGAGGGCTGTTCCTTGCTGAGCAATGGGGCGACCGGTGTATTTGTGTGTGTGTTTGTCAGTCACAAAGACTTACGTCCTTCGTCCACCACTTGTCGACGAACTCGGGTGTAATGTCACCGGTGATATCCCATCCTACTGCGAGGAACGACTTGGTCTCGGCTGTAACATCCAGGCCAGGTCAGCAGGTGGATCCCGATCCAGTAACAAAACCTTGCGTACAAACAGAGAAAAAAAACAGGGAACAGGAGTGGTTTTCTTTTCTATACTCACACAAAGGCTTCTTGGCATGATCAAACACATCAATCAGGCTGTACCACCGCGCCTCAAAGTCAATCAGGTCCCAGTAACCCCCGGACTGGGGCGTCAGCTGCGTCGTGTACGCGGGGAGGGACTTGAACTCGTCGCTGTCGAATATCGCGAGGTCGTCGGTGGCCAGGATGGCGAGGTTGGGCCGCTCGAGCGGCTCGGCGGCCACGGCGCGGAAGACGGTGTTGATGCTCCTGAGGCCCAGGAGCTGCGGGATCATCTCGGTGTCGTACCACTTCACAAAGGCCGGCCAGGCGAGCTGGTCGGGCTTGCGGAGCCGCGAGGCGGCCCAGAAGATGCCCGGGCCACTGAGGCCTTTGTCCTCCATCGCGCGCGTGATGGCGGGGCGGGGCGAGAGATCTGCGGCAGGAGTGCTTCTGGTATGGTGAGGCCCAAGGACGGGGGGTCCACAAAGCCGTGTTGTGGTTGGAGAGCAAGAAGGAGAGTGCCCTTTTGTGTGTGTGTGTGTTCCAAAGCGAAGCGGTTGCGGTGCAATGTCGTTGCGTCGAGTCGGCGCACACGCCCCGTGCTGCTGCCCGTGGTGGAGACGGCGGCGTTGCGACGGACACGGGAATGGAGACGGGCCGGGCCTGGTGGACGGGTCCCGGGGCGGATTCGATGGAGTGAGTGGGAGAGCACAGGTGGCCGAGAGATGGGTCTGCTGCAAAACGAGGAGGAAGCGCCGGGACGTGATGTGACGTGATGGCGGGAGAAACCTTCGAGAAGGACAGACCGAGGCAGCAGAGAGGACGGCTGCATAGGCAAGTGAGGAGGGGCCCTTTTTGAATGTCGTGCGTGCCGTGTGGGCAGGCCGCTGGAATGGGCCAGGCGAGCGCCAGGGGAGCGAGTCCGGAGTCGGGCTGCCCGTGCTGGGGTCCTCCAGTCCGCGAGCAGTCAGTCGGACGCAGGCAAGGCAAGACAGGCTGAGCTCGTCAGCTCGACGGGACATCCATGGACGCCAATAAGGTTCAATAACGATAAGCCACGGGGCGGGGAGCCCTAGCCGGGCACGTCAGAGGACTTCAGCTGCTGTTCCCTCGGCTGCCTCTGTGCCGTGCGATCAGCATCGAGTAACTAGTAAATACTAGTCAATACCCCTGAGCCTCTCTCTGCCTTGTCGCCTTGGCGGCCGCCTCTCCCATGGGTTTGGCCCCCGTGACGAAACGACACCTCAGCCCTCCAGGCCAGCAGCCAGCAGCCGGCACACCACACGCACGAGACAGTTTGCAAACACGGGCCAGGTGCTGGTGGTGGTGCCGGTGCCGCCCCTGGCTTACGTGCGTGCTGCGAGACAGTCAGGCTCAGCTCAACCTTGGACCTGACGCACAATCCTGGTTCCGTCGTGCTAGTGCCTGCCGGACAGGGAATGGTTCCTCCCGCTCCAGTTCGCTTCTAGAAAAGCGCCCGGCCCCTGTGGCGTTCTACAACGTGCCGGCCCGCCACTGCCTACATGCCTTGGAACCAGGCCCTGCTGCTTGCCAACCAGCCGCTTGGATCCTCTCCACACCCTTGGGGCCATTCCTCGCCGACTTGCCGTCCTAGCAACCTTTCCTTCTGCAGACGGCCGACCAGGCACAATCGTCTCGACCCAGACGGCTGGGAGCGCACTAGGCCGATCGCACGCCCTGCGGCGGCGCACCTTCGAGCCTTTCTGATTGGAGAGCCGTGTGCTAGATACCTGTCAGGCGCCCAAGTCTTGATTGCGAGAGCCGGGCCTTCGGTGTTTCTGACCCCTGATGCTGCGCTCACCGCTCCTTACCCGTCGGATATCCCCCACGAGTCGCCGAGTCATTGACATCTTGGCCATGCAAAAATTAATGAACCTCGGAAGCCATGCCGCATGCATTGGTTTTTTTCTTTTGGCCGAAAGGCAGGCAATTCCATGGACACGAAATGGCAACGTTGCGCAATTTTGTCGCCGAATGCGACCGCACGCACCACCCACCATCGATGGATGCCCTTGGTTGCAGCGGCGGGGCCGTTGGGTTTCATTCCGCATGGGGGTTTTTTTTCCGGTGGAGATTTGTTACATGGATTCGACAAAACTTTATACATGGGTTTTGAGGCGGAGATTTTCAATCATGGCCCAGGCAAACGGAGACTTTTGGGTGATCGTTGGTTGGGGCCACTGACAGCTATGACCATGTCCAGACAGGGAATGACAAGGTTCTGTCACTCATGCCTGGTGCAAAGCTTAGACATCGACACGTGGGTTGCGTCTTCGTCAGGGTCTCGGCTTGTCATCAAAACACAAGCACAAGCTCTCCATCAGAAAAACAAGAGGATCCAGCCAGTCCTGTCTCGACCTGCAGAGTGGCAAGTATCCCAAGGACAAGCCGCCGAGTCGCGGGCTCCATGCTATCGCTGCGCGGCAGCGGGTATTGCACCCGGCACATCCCGCTTCCTCGTTCACATCTGCTCATGAGAGTTTCGACAACGACCTGCCGTATTTGCCATGGGTTGCATTTTGTTGATGATCAATTGACGAGCGAGACTCACTACGAGCGTACTTACGGCAGCGGGCTGCCAACAAGGTGACCACCTGACGTTTCTATGGTCGACGAGGCCACATATCTTCTGAGGAGACATGCGGACATCCATCGGCCACTACTCCTTGCTGGGCGGCAACTGTTCCCTTGCTCAGCTGGCGAACCAGATACCCATACCGGTGTGGATAGTATGCCTGCAGGCCAGAAAACCGGGAGTATATTGTACTATTTGTGATGCCGCTTCGTAAGCCGGAAATACGATTGCCTCGGTGTTCTGGGCCATTAAAGCACTGCGTTTCTATATATCCATAGGCAGCTACCAGCATCCGGTAAGAGACTCTCGGCCGCCGGACCAGATCGAGGAGTCAGCTGTACCCCTACGCTTACATCAATACAAGGCCTAAGTTCCCCTCACTCGGATTTTCTGGTCAATGCAAAGAACGGCCGCACAGATCTACGTACTTTTGTAGCAGGAGCATAGGATCAGATCACTGCCACAGTCGTAGTGACATTCGCTCATCTTACTGTTTGACTCGGGGTTTGGCTAGCTTCCAGCTATGGGAAGTATAGAGCCGGAGAGCCGCTCGTCCAACGGTTATGCACAAATGCAATTGGAAACTAATGAGCTTGGGGAACACGCGGAGGCGCGCGGATGCGGGAATCGCGCCAGCGGCGACTAGGTACTAATTGCGTGTCGCTGTGGCGGCTGAATCCTCCGAATTATGTCTGTGGGCACCATGATGCGTACATGGGATGTGAGAATGCAAAAGGATCACTACAAGCTCAAAGATGACGTAAGATGATCCAACGCCAATGACGTAAATGGAGGACTTGTGGTCCACATAGTCTAGTGTTCGATCCTTTGGGACGACCCTTGGGCTCGATAAGGTTTAAGCCGGGGCGGCGCCTCTTCGTATCTGCACGCTAGATCTGACATGAGCCTAGTTAGGGGACCTGAGAAAATGCAATCGGGCGGAAAGGTACCTTCGTAGTATTGACGCGCCTGGGGCCCGGTACTGCTTAGATCCGGACCGCGTGCGCGAAGGTTTCCCCGATATGATTTCCGCATGCTGGCTGAGCCATCTGCGACGCCAGACGCAAGGAGAAGCTCCACAAGCAAGACACTAAACTAGACCGCAAAGAGTCGTTTGGTGTTGCTTCACACGCCGGAAAGAATTTGGCGGTGATGTAATCGAGGTTGTGGTGGTGGAAGACACTAAGCATTCTATTTGCTTTTCTTCTGAACACATTCCACATCAGATAAACTTATGCCTCGCGGCTCCAGACAAAGCTTTTTGCTTTCCCCGCAAACTCATTGATCCCAACGTGCGATCCACGGACGATCGCCCCTCAACATGCCAGCCATCTCACATGCCGAGCCTGCGGCCCTCGAGGAGGGTCGCGCCCACCAGAAGAATGGGCACACGAAGCACCATCACGGCCACCACGCGAGCAAGCGCATGTGGCAGATGGCCCAGGCCCGAAAGCGGAAGCGGGAAGCTGCTCGCCTCCAGAGCAAGCTGCCCGGCGTGCTGCACTCCGACAACGCCAGCGTAGGCAAGCTCCGCAAGAGGCTGGTCATCAAGAACGAGGTCATCGCGGCGGTCGCGGAATTCTGCGGGACTTTCCTCTTCCTCTTCTTTGCCTTCGGCGTCGCTACCCAGGCTGGTCAGCAGCAGCTGTCGCAGAGCGCGAACGGCAGCACCCAGACTGCTGGTACTTTAGACAGCAGTCAGCTACTCTACTCTTCACTTGGCTTTGGGTGCGTTATATTCTTCCATATCAAATTGGGCCCAATGGCATAACGAAAACCCGCTAATCGTGCCACAGATTCTCCTTGGCCGTGAACGCATGGGTCTTCTTCCGTGTCTCGGGAGGCCTGTTCAACCCCGCCGTCACGCTGGGCTTGTTCCTCTGCGGCGCCGTCACCTGGTACCGAGGTGCGATTCTGTTCGTCGTCCAGTTCGTCGCCGCCATCGCCGCGGCCGGCGTTGCCCAGCTCGTTATCCCGGGCGGCATCAATGCCCGGACGAGGCTTGGTGACAACGCATCGCTTGCGCAGGGCTTCTTCATTGAGATGTTCTGCACCTCGTTGCTCATGTTCGCCATTTACATGCTGGCGGGCGAGAAGCACAAGGCGACGTTCATAGCGCCCGTCGGGATCGGTCTCGCGCTGTTCTTGGCCGAGATGTTCGCCACTGGCATCACGGGCGGATCGCTCAACCCTGCTCGCACGCTCGGTATGTTATTTTACTTACAAATTGTCAACACACACGTGAGCTTGACTAACAAACGTCCAGGACCCGACGTTATCGCTGCTTCTTTCGACCAATCCACGTGGATCTACTACACAGCCCCATTTGTGGGCACGATGCTCTCCGCCGCAGTGTACTGGGCGCTCAAGGCATCCCACTACGAGACTGCCAACGTGGGCCAGGACGACGGGGACACAGAGGCGCTGATCCTGCGCGACGTCCGGGGCAACGTCACCGGTGCCGTCCAGCGCGTCGACGCCTCCGAGGTTCCCCACATCCCCGGCCTCGACAACCGATCCACGGTGTCCTTTGCGAACCATCCAGACGGTATGATCACTCCTCACATCGAGGCCGGGGGCGGCGGCGGCGGCGGCGGCGGCAGTCGCGCCCCGAGCATCATCACGACCGGTCCAGAGGGCGATCGGGCCAGCTTGTACTCCCCGGCCACCGCCGCCGCGGGCCGCGAGAGTTTCGACGAGAAAGAAGGCGCCCTGCTTCAGGTGGACCCGGGACGGCAGAATGGGGCCATCGGGCAGGACAATCACGCCGCAGGCGTCGCTGAGACGGACTTCTCGCAGGGCAAAGCTTCTGCTTGAGGGACGGCATTCCACACGAGCCACTGTGGTAAGCCGCATATGCGTTGGAGATAACAATGAGCCATAGCGCTGGATCTGCAGCTCAGCACTTGGGAGTCCCAATGAAATGCTCTTCGATGACAAATATCCCAGCTTATGCTAGACCAAATTGTGTATCTCTACAGGTGTCACGATCCAGCCCCCGGGGTCAATCCTCTGGCTGGGTGCCGAGGTTCGCGGTTCCGCAAGGTAGGCAAGCCGTCGTACTAATTTTGACACTCAAGTGTTGTCTCTCCTTGGGTTGTCTGGGTTTTCGTGGCTCTGAGGAGAGACACGACGCTCAAATTAATTGAATGACTGTTCCAAGTGAAGTATGAGAATAACACTCAGATCAATCGCGGTAGTTCAAAGGTATTCACCATCTCCCTGGGAGATTGTCCGTTCTATATGTGCCTTTGTCCTTCATCGTAGCTCCCACTGCTGCGGTGGCTAAGGAGGCTGGTCGTGGTTACATAATACGCCGGAGCTCTCCGCAAGTCTGCCCGATGACGCGGCCGTGTTCGTCTTACCTGGTGGGCCATACAATCCCCTGTTGGCTTGGTCGTTACACCTGGGGTATGAATGCTGTGACCGCTCTGGGCTTGAGGCATTTGACCCGTAAAGATTCCCAGGCAGAGACTAGCCTTCCGCTGTTGATCACGCTCGCATCCACTATTGCTTGGATGCGTGTCTTGACCCTCGCTTTACCGTAGATTTGACGCTCGTTGCAAGTATGCAAGCCGGACGCGTGCAATGCCCTCCAAGCCACATGCGACAACCCCTGTTTCGGGTCGGGGTCCGCAAGTCTGGGGATCCCCGTCGCCCAGGTTTGAGATGCTGCCCGGCCGGGCTACCCCAGGCGTTTGAACGCCACCAAAACAGCCATCCCGTCTGATTTACCGCGTGTCAGGGAGCGCTGTGCCCTGAACTGCGGGTACGGCCATGCAACGTGCCGGACCTTCGCGCACCTATTCTGGGGGCCAAGTCGCCCAGCCGCGACGCCGCGATGTCTCATCCGGTGTTTGATCCGACCAGATCCATGTGGGGTATCGTGGCAAGCAGCGTAGTATCAACATCATGGCAAAGAATTAGAGTTAAGATGTTCGAGCGACAGAGGTATATAATAAGACGGCTCACGCTTTTCGTCCCATCTCGAATTTCCATCCTCATCCGCCATCCAACAGACCCAAACCAAACAATCTTTCATTTCTTCAGAGTTGATCTCATTCTTAACACGAGTTGATCTCGTCTAAGCTTTTTACTCTTATAATCTTTCCATCCAAGATACCCATTTCTTTCCGATCAATCGCCAAGATGAAGTTCAACGTTTTCCTCATTGCCGCTCTGGCCGCCACCACCTCTGCTCTGGCTATCCCTAGCAACTCAGAGTCTGGACTGGTCCTTCGTCAGAACCAGAACAACAACAATAACAACAACCAGCAGAACAACCAGAACAATGGCAACCAGAACAACCAGAACAATGGCAACCAGAACAACCAGAACAATGGCAACCAGAACAACCAGAACAATGGCAACCAGCAAAACAACAACCAGCAGCAGAATAACAACAACAACAACCAAAACAATAACAACAACAACAACAACGGCGGTGCTACTGCTGGTGATGCTGCTGCGGGTGATGCTGCTGGAGGAGCCGCCGACTTTGGCAGCTGCACACCCACTATGGACTTCCAGCTCGGCCGCGCTGGCCGGAAGGCGACCGAGGGCACCTTCCTGCCTACGGACGCCAAGGTGGCCCAGGGCCAGCAGGACGCGCTGAACCCCAACATCATCACCAACCGCATCTGCGACCAGCTCACCAACGTCTGCGGCGCCAACGCCGCGGCCAAGGCGCAGTGCCAGGCTGCCAAGGCGCAGGTTGCCGCGCTGGGCACCAAGGATGCCAGCACTGCTGCTGCTTTCAACCAGGCTTTGGGCTTTTAAGCAAGTTGTTGTAGTGTAGTTACAAGCACAGTCTTAAAATAATATCATGCCTTGAATGAAATGCATTCTGTCCTTACATCCTGTCTGTCGTGAAACAAGTGAATAGGACGAGAAGATTGAGCCGCTGGCCTTTAAAGGGAGCTGGCTATCTACATGTTCCATTACCAGCAAGTCCTGCTGATGTATTCGGATTTAATGAGCGGGGTGATCTCGCCAATGCGGACGTCTCCTCCTGCCATCGCTTTGCCGTGGTCGCCCTCGGGTATCTCGCGACAAGCAGCAGCTTCGTGGAGGTGATCCTCCTCGATACCGAAATGCTACGCGGCGGCATTGCAGTGAAGTTCATCGTCGCCGGCTCATGGGCAATCATCTATGATAGCTGGTCGGCTCAGCAACAAAAATTCAATGATTTGTTCGAGCACTCTAACACTCGGTCTCAGACCCACGAGCTAATCTGGGCTTCGTGTAAACATTCGCCAATCTTGCTATCGGCGCGCATTCCATTTCATCTCTGATATCCAGCAACTAGAGACAAATACTTCTAGCTAGCACCACCAACAATCATCGCATGCTTCCTTTCCTGCAAGTCATCCACTCAGGTCCGCTCAAGCCAGGAAAGCCCTGGGACGTATCAAACGCAAGGAGTCTCCTCGTACTTGTTCCAGTAACAGTACTGGCAGCTGCCCTTGGCGCACGGGCCACAGGTCGTCGAGCTGGCCTTGGTCTGCTTGAAGCACACCTTCGTGTCGGGGTCCTTGGTCCAGTAGACGTGCCCGCTCTGGTAGCCGAGGCAGAACTCCTTGACGAACGGGTACTTGATCATGCTCTCGCAGCCGTTGAAGATGGGGCCGTGGAAGTGGCGCACGCCGTCGTCGGTGACCAGGCTGACGATGTGGAGTGAAGTGATGGCAGGGCCGGCGACGCCATTGATCTCAACGTACGCGGCCAGCGCGGGCCCGGGGCTGAGCGCCAGGAAGGCGAGAGCGGCTGACAGTGAGGGCAAATGCATGCTGAAGGTGGGCTGGAGCTGCTGGAGAACAGGTCAGTCTCCGTGCTGAGGCGTGATGTTTGCTGTCACTTGACAAGACGGAGGCGCGACTGTGGGACATGAATTGCTGACATTTCGTCACGGACTATGCTCACCTTGGTTCAAATGTCACGGTCACGCTTGTAGACGTTGCTCAGCTCGAAGGACTGAAAGTGGTGGGAGTTGAGGTCTGACTGTGAAGCCCGAGCTTCTTTCTTATATACCCCTTAGACCTACGACGTTAGAGCGACATCGGAACGATTGTTGAGGTGTGTCACTGTTGACCGCGCTTTTGCCCTTTCTTCGCCAAAGGCTGCCGAGGAACGTTACGTGCAGGTGCTTCAGGTCGGTTAGCAAGCTCGTCTGTTGACGAAAGCTCAAGCTTTGCGCCCAGTGCAGGCGTATGCTCGGCCAAGATTTGCCGCGAGTCGATCTGAAGGGTCCAATAATAAGGTTTATCTGGGGACCTGACGTCAACGGGAGGATTCAGCCATGGGTTGGTCCAATGTGGCATTGGAATCCTTCGGGACAGGGACCGGATTGGGCAATATGTGTTCACCATGCCCCCGGCATCCGGGGAAATCCCAGGGGCCATTCTTTCTCGTCAGAAGAGAAGCTGGTCCAGCTACGCACCTCCGCGGCACATGCCGGCCCAGCCGGAGGATACAGGCAGATCTTCGTTGGGGTCATGAAAGCGGCATTGATGCAGCTGAAGAGGGACGAGCGATGAGTAATGCAAGCTTTCATCATGGAATAGGTTGGCGTTATGATAGGGACCAGAGATACCATCGGTATAATGATGGGACTTTACTCAAAACCGTCTTGGTACAGTTGTGCGTTGCTAAACACGGGTCGAACAGCTCGGTCAAGTCGCATAGTGGCGCCATCGTACGGTTCAATTAGAGACAAATTGGAGAGGCCACGCACCCAAGCTGCGAAGTCTTTCAGCCAGTACTCGTTGTGTCACCCGCAGTGAGCATTGTCGACAAAGGCAACTCGTGATCAGGCTATCGACAGTTACATATGAGAGGCGCCTTGTCAGACTCCGTCACGCCGACTGCTCCAGCCCAGGCTGCGATAACATATTCACACTCAAAGAGGTCGCCAGTACCACCAAAATGACGATTTCCTGTCAGCAGCGTCCGGCAATTGTTTTTGTCCACAATGGTTCTGCCGCACCAGCTCGATACTGCAGGAGCAGCATCTTTGAAAGAAGAAATTGCCGTTCGTGTTGAGACCACTGACTAAGCATATTCAGTCCAGGTTGCGCTCCAATTGACATGTGTATGGCTGCCTGCGTGGTATTATTTTGGTGGCGTCCAGGGACTTGTTCTCGAGCCGTTCGAGCCGCTGAAATTAAATGCGTCGCGTCAGCGCTAACCAAAGCTTCAGCCCCGCTGCTGCTTCGCTGGCTGGGGATAAATACGATCTGGCCGTGCTCCGCCCCGCGCAATCTCGGATTTTCCATCGTGGCCCCGCAAGCGCGTAAGGCGAACCTCTCCCTCGGCTCTGGTGTGCAGAGGCGAGCTGAGCAAGGCCTTCTTCTGTAGGCGGGCGTCGCAATAATTACGCGTGTACTCTGTACTTAGTGCAGCCAGCCAACAACGGAATGGGACTTCGCTGTAATTTCCGCGTGGGGCTTGAAGGAGCCTCGGCCGTCATGCAGCCGAGTCAGTTGTACAGCAGCATCAGTCTTGCTTCCTTGCGGATTGGCTCACGGCAGCTATTGGCGACGTCAGCTGGACGAAATGGCCCAGAGCTGCCTACTCAATTCACATAGATTTGAACGCATCCAAGGCGCTTGCCTGGGTCGCCACTGGGAAAATCAAGAGACAAGCACGCTAGGGATATTGTCCTCTTAGTGTTTCTTGGCTGCTCCACCCGATCGATGCGGCTCAAGATTTGAAGCCCGCTAGTGTTGGCCGCCGTCCATCAGATGCCAGCAAGTTCCAGGGCTCTTGTACCATAGCAAAGGTAATTGCCAAGCGCCTTGGCGGTTCACAGGCTCGCTCACAGACGAGGAGACTCAGCAAAACCGGCCCGACCGCATATCCACCCAGCAGCAGTGAGGGAGTAACGGTCGACTAGGGCTGTGGCTCGAAGCTGGCGAGTGGCGCTTTTTGCACTTTTGGCGCCCCCCTGTCTTCGTGGAAGGTGGAACGACCAACAGCCTTGGCCAGGTACCGCTAACAACCCCCCCAAATCGTGTCTCCAGTCTCATCGAGATGGGCTGGCTGCATTCCCGGCGCTGAAGCTCCTTGCTGGCACCCCTGGCTGGACGGCAGCCTAGCCAGTTTTATTGTTAGCGCGAGACACAATCAGCGCAGACAGCTTCACGGTCTCAAGCAGGTATTCCTTCCGCACCGGGACAGGGCGGCCAGCATCTGCAGGATCCCCCAAGGGGCCTGCAACCAACACGCCAACCTGTCAGCAATGGCGGGCCTGTGCCGCATTCCTGCTGCCTTGCTTAGGCGCGGCACCAGACCTGGAGTTGCTTGTTCTGCCTTCCTGCCTGTTTTCCCCTGCTGACCTGCTTACCTGCTGTCTTCTGACGTTTGCCGTCATCGTTTGCCTGCACACGCGCGCGCGAGGACTTGAGCCCTCAAGTACACGCCCCATCCCGCACTGCACAAGACCAGCAGCAACTCGGCTTCCCCGCGATGGTGCAGATCAGAGGGGTGCCCGGCCGGAGCCTGTACTCCGTGGGCATCGTCTCGGTCTTTGTGCTCATCTCGCTCTTGACCTATTTCTTCTGGGTGCCTACACCTCCTCCACGGGCACCGACACGGCCAGCGGCCATCCCCAACACCATCCCAAGCCAGCCCAAGCCGGCCGCTGATCCGGTCGCGAACACAAATGGCGGCACCTCGAATGGCAGCAGCTCGAATGGCGGCTCGGGCGGGCCGGGCCTAGTGCAGCAATCGACCGGCAAGATCATCGACCACATCTACAACCGCACGCTAGGAGTAAGTAACAGGCAGACAGGCGGGAGGGAGGTTGCCGGCGCATGGGAATACTGACGGTCCGTGTCTTTCGCCGCAGTTTGGCGACATCCTCTCGGTCAGCTTGCCGTCGCGCACCGACCGCCGGGACAGCATGCACCTGCAGTCATCGCTCAGCGGCTTCCACGTCACATTCGTCGACGGCGTCAATGGCGACGACGTCGTGGACAAGGCGATCCCCAACACCTTCAAGCATGATCGCATGAGGGGTTCGTCGATCGGCTCGTGGCGGGGCCACATGAACGCCATCCAGCAGTGAGTAGATCCATGTGTGCATGCACGCTCGGAGACGACGATCCATCGGCGCCTGATGAGCTCGTGGCACGCAAGGCACAGTGCTTCAACCCATCCATCCCTGGTCACTCACTGACAGTCTTTCGTGCCTGACACACAGAATTGTCGACCGCAACCTCGCCAGCGCGCTCATCACCGAAGATGACCTCGACTGGGACATCCGGATCCACGACCAGCTGTACGACTTTGCCCTGTCGGCGCGCGCCCTGATCCAGCCCCTGGCCGGGACGCAGAACCAGTACCACGACCCGACGTTCCCCAAGCCCGGCAAGAACGCGCCCGAGACGGTCCCGGACATCGACTTTGCCCACCTGCCCGATACCGAGGAGCCCAAGATCTCGCCCTACGGCGACGACTGGGACGTGCTGTGGATCGGCCACTGCGGGATGCACTTCCCCTTCAAGGACGACGTGCACCAGCCCAAGGGCCGCGTCGTGCACAAGCAGGACGAGACGGTCGCCATGAAGAAGTACCTGCGCAACATCCCCCAGCCCTTCACCCTGTCCGACGACTACCCGCAGCACACGCGCGTGGTGCACCACGCCGAGGAGGGGGTCTGCACCCTCGCCTACGCCGTCAGCCTGCAGGGCGCGCAGAAGCTCATCTACGAGCTCGGGCTCAAGGACGTGACGGACCAGTACGACATCCTGCTGCGCTTCTTCTGCAACGGCTTCCGCGGCAGGAAGCCGCACCGCTGCCTCACCGTCCAGCCCAGCCTGTTCCACCACTTCCACGCAAAGGGCCCCAAGTCGGCCAGCAGCGACATTGACAGCTGGAACGCAGACGAGTTTGTCACCGAGGAGTCGTCCGACATGGTCCGCTGGAGTGTCCGCCTCAACGCCGAGACGCTGATGGAGGGCGGCACCGTGTTCAGCGATCAGTACCCGGACTCTGTCCTGCCGTGAGGAGGCAGCAGCAGCAGCAGCAGCAGCAGCCGCCGCAGAAGCTGCGGGTGCCCCGTGGATTTCCGTATTTCAAACGTACAAATTGTCCTATCATGTTATGTTTTATATATGGTTGGCAGTAATGATGAGATCATATGAAAAAAAATCATGCCACTAACTAAATCCGCGTGCTTCGCTCGAGCTAATCGGCAAGCGCCGGTGAGTACTCAAGCGAGTATGATCTGCAGCGCTGGGGACAAAGTCCCACCAAGAGCTTGGAACCACGCTAGAGAGGCCAGGATGTCAACCCGGGATCGGGTCCCTTCGATGTGCCCTGGACACCAAAAAAAAACAAGAGACCCTCACCTAGCACGGTGCGCAGTACGAGACACAGTGCGTCAAAGTGCAGGTTGCTGCTGCCAGGCTTGCGCTTCATGGCTTGCGACTTTCGCATGCATCTTCGTTTCATGCGGCATGGTCAGCGGGGTGCAGTTTGTGAGGCCTGTGCGTATTTCAGCTGGTTGTAAACGCGCCGAAGTGCTTTTCGATTTTCCGGTGAAGACCGGACAGAGGCACGAGCCTGTCAGGCACAAGTCGAAGCAAGCCACAATATGTATCGTTCCCAAAGACCGAATAATGGATCTAATAGTCAGGGAGGAAGCTGGGAGATAACTGTGCTTCACGCAACACAACATCAAAGATCACCAACAAGCAGCACAAACAATCACCAGCAGGAACTAGTGAGCTCTTTGGAAAAATAAGCGTGTTGAGTGTGCTCGCGTGCTACTTGGTGCGCGTGAGGGAGCCTATTATGCCATTGCATACGCACATGCAACATCGACATTTGATAATCCTCCTCATCGAGAAGTGCCAACCAGCTCTGAAATGTGCCATTGGGAAATCTGCTTGCAGTAGAGCGAAGTACTTGCTCAACATTCTGGATCAGCAGCTTCATCCCAAAACAACACCCGTGAAATTCTTTGCTTCGTGAAGTGGTCGTCTAGCCAAAACTGCGTCTTGAAGTAGGGCAATCAGTGATTCCCAATCTCTCATCGCGCAGCCGAGGAGCAACCTGGAACCAATGCCTGGTTGACTAAGACATGTCAGTCAGTGCTGACAGGGCAAAGACGTGATGGAAATGTGAGAGGTGAGACTTAGCTCACCTATTGCGCCAGCAGGCATACCGTGTTCCACGAACATGTCGTGAGCAGATCCACAGTTGAAGCGATTCATTCGTCGACGACAGTGACGCGCTGGGTTGCGAACGGCTCCACCTTCGAAGCCCTTCCTGGATTGTGCTTATCCCCCTTCATCACGTAAATGCCCAGGATGTAGTCCCCGGCAGCTATCTTCAAGCCTGTCTTGACCATGATCTCCGTCTCCCGGGCTATGGTCTCCCAGACGTTGATGTATCCCATCGAGTCGCTGTTGTTGGTTCTTCCCTTCGGGGGCTCGACAGGGACGAAGTCGAGGCAGATCCTGCAGTACACCGGCCTGTCGCGATCGAGCGTGATCGTGACGTGGAAGCCGCTTGATAATGTGATCTCTCGCGCGAGGGTCGCGGTGAAACCGAAATTCTTGGTGCTGGCCCTCGTCGTCACCCTGTCGGTGGGATCCGAGATCGAGGGTGCGATGCTTGAGTCGGCGGGAGGAGGGCTGTTGGATGTGGAGGCCATAATCGACTTGGCAGTTTGTGGTGTTTGGGAACGAAGTGTGTCGACGTACAAAGGTGTATTCAGGATGGTGATATAAAGTAGTGGGACGGTCTGGTGGCAACAAAGCTGTTTGCTGTTGAGGTGATGCCTACCGCATGCTCTCGAGGCAGCAGACTGGAACGGGTGGTGGCGTGCTGGTCTGCTTTCTGAGGAAAAATATTTCTGCGAGCATTTCCTGGTCAGGCACGTCGCGTCGCCGTGGTGATTAAGCTGCGGTAAAGGCCACACCAGCAAGCATCGTCCATCTTGAGGAGGAAGCCAAGCATGATGTTTGCCCCTCGGAGGAGGCACAACCCAATGTTTAATTATGCTCTAGATGGGTGTCCGCAGGAAGCCCTTGAATTGCCTGAAGCCAGATAATCGCGACGCGTTCTAAGAGCTCCATTTATACGCAGAAGCTGGTCCTATGTCTTGCTCGCGCCCGCTTCCCAATGTATGATCCTATGCTTGCAGTGGAATCTTAGCCTGGAGCTTGGCAGCAGGAGCTCATTTGGAGGAGGAAGGCCTGCCGCCTCTGGTCTTGTTGGTTGGTCGATAAGCTTGCATGAAGCTGGGCTCAGAGGCAGCCACTGTTGGTGGCATGCGGTATGCCTTGCGTCCCTCGCTTGCCGCCCATCGAGACCATTGCATGCCCAACGCTTCGCTCGTATTGGCTGGAGGCACTGCCAAGCCACATATGGCCGGAGGATCAGGCTGCTCCCCCATCCAGCTGGATGCAGTCGCAATTGATTGATAAAGCTGCAACGCCGCCCGCTTCAGCACTCATCAAGTAAACCTTGCCTTCCACTTTCTACTCGGCCTGCGATACACACTCCAGCCATTCAAACCAAATTCCGGATCCCAGAAAGCACTGCCAAAGACATCATCATGGCTTCAACCAGGATCTCAGCCGCGGCAGGCGCTGCTCTGACCGTTGCAAAGGCGAATCCTGTGCTCACCACAGTCGGCGTCGGCGGCCTCGCAGTCGCTGCAGCACCTGCTCTAGCTGTCGTTCCCGTCGCCGGCGCACTGCAATGCGTTGGCTTCGGGACTGGAGGCGTCGCTGCCTGTACGTTGCTCCAATCCAGGCAAATACACGGCTTGAACGGACTGTAGGCTAACGAAACCATGACAAACCAGCCTCCTTCGCGGCCACAACTCAAGGGCTAATCGGCAATGTCGTCGCAAAGAGTCTCTTCGCCACCGCGACCAGTGCGGGTGCCGGTGGATACGGCGTCGCCGCCGTTGCCAGTGCAGCGCAAGCTGCGGGTGGTGTGGTCGCTGCGGCGGCTGGTGCGACAGCTGTCTGGTTGAGAAGAAGGGGCTGAACCGACGACGCTCTAGAGACCATTGTCCAAACAACATGGGCAAACTCGGGGGTTTAAAGGGGTTCTCTGTCGCTTCGCAGCATGAACGACTCGGTTGAGCTCAGTAAGCTCGATGGCGTTTTGGGCAATGCGCGATGGAAAACTACATACATAGTTATGCTGCTCCCTGGGGTGCTCACTTGTTGGACATTTTGCTTCTCTGCATGGCACATATATCTGAACACTATGCATTCAAAGCTCGGGTGTTGTGGAACGGAAAATATACGCCAGCCAAGTCTCATGCATGATGAAACTGGGCAGAGCACGCAGGGGCAGTGGGGATGCTGAATCAAGACATAAGGTCAACTTCTGCATGTAGTGCACGATTTTCCTTCAACCTGGAGCTCCGTTGGGGCCAGTCACATCACCTGCTTTATCCTGCTGGCCACGAGCCTGAACATCTTCCCTGATATCTCGTCAGGGCAGATAGATTTGTCCGTCTCCCCTGAAGTTCGTAAAACGAAAAACCTGCGTCTCCTGGTCCATGACCAGGCTGCAGACACTACCGCTGAGAGCAACTACAAGCCATATCTTAGCCGTGTCCAGCCACACAGCGGCCACTGGCTCTCATATATTCACCTCACCCAGGTATGGGCACGCACATAGTCCGCCAGAAACAATCTTGTATCGTACGCAATACGTGCCGAAGACCCCACCAAAGCCCACTGAAACAAGCCAAAAGCTCGGGAACACTGCCTCGATGGCCCACGGCCCACAAAACGGGCTGTCGAGAACCCACGCCATCGCGGCGGAAACCGCGAGGTCCCCACGTGTTTGTGGGGGTTGCACTCTCGTTGGCACAGGCGCGGCACGGACTGGTGCGCACCAAGCTAAGTGGATCGCGGCACGGTTTCCACTGTTAAAAAGTCTAGAAGCACCTCGCCAGCACAGACCGTTTCTTTTCATCGCTGCGTTTCAGGTTTCTGTTCACAGATGCGTGGCGTCTGCGGTGCGCTCGTTTGCCTGCGGTGATCCTGCGTTGGCCAGCCTGACGCACGCAAGTCTGTGCTGAGGATGTGTCCGCGAAGCCTCACTGCAGGACTGTGCTGTCCGCATCCTGTCCAGGTTTACGGGATCGAAACAAGCACCGACCACAGGCTGTTTGCCCGCGCCCTGCCGAGGCATGAAACGACCCATGAAAAAATCACGAATCCGAGCTCCGGTTCGCTCGGCGGAGGGTCTGGACATGGGTGATTTGTACTGACCGGAAGATCGGTGGCTTGAGGGACCAATCTACCTGACTGCTCGCGCTCTTGAAAACGTCCGTGGTTTCCTGCGATTCTGGGCTCGATGTTCTGCCTCTCTATTTTTTCGATATCCCATCATACTCGTTCTCTTACAGTCTATTGATTTTTTCACCACGGATTAGCGAAGGACATAATTACACGCTCATTATAACCATCGAAGCAACTTACTCTTTCGCAAGCCAAGCGCGTTGCAGCGGTTTTAGGCAAAGCGACAACAATCGAGACCAGATTACGACCATAGAACCATAATTCCTAATACCACTTGCAGCCATGAGAATCTCGACCATCCTCTTCGCTGCATCTGCCTCCGCGGCCCCTCTACTATCACTTAATCTCGGCCTTATCAGCCTCAATATTAGCGAAAATAATGATAATAATCACAACCAAGGCCTTATCAGCATCAATATTTGGCAACAGCGACCCTTCCACACCAACAGACCCAGCTCGGACCAGAGATGATTTAATCAATGGTGACCCCGCGAGCTGCCCTCGAGTCATCCTCGTCTATGCCCGCGGATCTACCGAGGATGGCAATCTGGTAGGTCTTCCACAACATCTGTGATGGCAACGAAAACTCCAGCAGGGACTAATGCGCGGATTGACCGGTATAGGGATCTCTCGGACCCCTCCTAGCCACACGGCTCGAGGCCCAATTCCAAGATCAAGGGGGCGTCTGGATCCAGGGTGTCGGGTCACCTTATGCTGCGACATTACTCGACAATGCCCTCCCACGAGGAACCTCGGACGCCGCGATCAGAGAGATGACGCGCATGTTCAAGCTGGCTGACAGCAAGTGTCCCAACGCGAAGATCATATCAGGAGGATACAGGTTAGTTCGGTCCCAGCCAACATCCTCCGTCTATACGCGCATCCTGCTGCCCATCTATCAAATGATAACGCAGACTAACCATATTCCGCCTCACCCGCAAATAGCCAGGGCGCCGCTCTCACGGCAGCCTCCATCTCTGTCGGCCTCGACTCCACGCCCCGGGTACGCAACAAGATCGTTGGCGTCGTGCTGTTCGGGTACACCAAGAACAAGCAGAACCGGGGCGCGATCCCCCGGTACCCGGCCGAGGGGACCAGGATCTTTTGCGCACCGGGCGATCTCGTGTGCGAGGGCACGCTGATTGTCACGGAGGCGCATCACGGGTATGCGCCGTACGCGCAAGGCGAGGGCGCGGATTTCTTGATATCAAAGGTCAACTAGGATGCGCGGCGAGTCAGTTGAAAGCAAGTAATGCTCTTAAAAATAGATGTTGTCAAAAAAGTTCCAAGCCACGAGAAAGTGGATGGGCTTGATATCACCTGGACGGTGCTGCACCATCATTCTGAGTCGCACGCTGGCTGCTAGTAGTTATTGGTGCCGTAATATACCCCTGTCGCCGCCCTGGCCAGGTCTGAAGGGCAGAGGCTCACCAATATTGCCCAATCAGCGACTGGACTTTCCGACACCCTTGTATGGACTGTGGTCTGTAGTAGGCTCCAGGCCTCTCGAAGCCCCGCGATTGGAGCTACCTGCTGGTCGGGCAGTTAAGTCCCGGTTTCCGCGATGAGTTTTGGGGTCTTGTTGCCCAAAACCCTTTGTAGTGTTCAAGCGGTGTCCCTGGCTGAGCCTTTGGGCCTCGTCATAGCCAGGGCCGCCATGCGCATGCGACAATTTCAAGCCTTTCCGACCCCTCCTAGCCGAGACACCAGCACCGGGGCTTGAGAGTTCCCCGCATGGCGATTGTAAAAGCTTCCGCAGCTGATTGGCTCGTTCGGACCCTTGAGCAGGCACAAGGAAGGATGATCTCCAGAGCCACAGACTGGGTGGCAGGCTGACAACCGAGCCACGAACATGATTGGCTGTGTCGACTTTTAGAAATGCCCAGGGACCCTTAGAAACTTCCGCGTGCTGATCCAGCTGATAGGCCTGGGTGTCAGAAGAGAGTGCCTGTGGGCTCGGGCATGTCTAATGCCCGAGGCAGAACCACCACCCGGACTAGTGGGGCGCATGCAGCGGCACGTCGATCTACACGCCCTTGGCTGCAGGCTAAGCTTTTCGGGAGTCAGACGTTGTCGGGCGAGTCTACTGCGCCGAGCCGCAGCTCCAGTATGGCTGTAGGGCTGCCAATCGCATTCTCACATTGGCCGTCTATGGAGCAAGGTTGCTATGGTCTCGTCAATGATATCAGAATCTTAGAATCTGCCATGGATATAAGACTCACGATCGTGCCGTGCCTGTGTTATTTGCCATCTCGCAGCACAGCATCTTGAAACTACAAGCCCCTTCTCTTACAACAGTCTTGCCTCCGCAAAGAGCAATAGCAAACATGGCCACCACATCAGAAACTGTCCAGCACAAACCTATCGACGAGACCTCGAGCGAAAACCCACCCGACGTCCCGATCAACGAGTACGAAGATGCCGAGAAGAACTACAAGCCCAAATCGCTAGGCTTCTGGTCCATCATCCTTGGCTTGTATCTGACGGTCTTCATTATCGCACTTGTACGCCATACATCACGTCCCAAACTCCTCATGGCGGAAACCATAGACTGACAGACCATTGCTTACTTGCGACAGGACCGCCTCATCATCGCGACCGCGATTCCCAAAATCACCGACGAGTTTCACGCGACAGGCGACATTGGCTGGTATGGCAGCGCCTACATGCTGCCAGCCGCGTGCTTCAACCCGGTGTCTGGCCGCGTCTACCAGATGTACGGCACCAAGGTTGTGTTTACACTGTCGCTTGTCTTGTTCGAGATTGGCTCGGCCGTGTGTGGCGCCGCCCCCAGCTCGATCGCCTTCATTCTTGGCCGTGCCATCGCAGGCACGGGGTCAGCCTTTCTGCAGTCAGGCACCATGCTCTTGCTTCTGCCAATCGTGCCCCTCCGAAAGAGGCCCATGTTCATGGCTGGGTTTGGCATCGTTTTTGCCCTCGCGTCGGTCATTGGGCCTTTGCTGGGCGGGAGCTTGACAGACAAAGTGTACGTGGAACGTGGCGACATCAACGCAACAACCAAAAGAAAAAGCTGACGTTTTCCTCGTTCACCCACATAGGACATGGAGGTGGTGCTTTTACATCAACCTGCCGGTTGGCGCCTTCGTCTTCCTCGCCATGATCTTCTTCTTCCCCAACGATGCCCGCACCACCCCAAGCACCGTAGCTTCAGCAACCAACGTACCACCAACGACCCGAAGCCCGTTCATCGAGCACTTTCTCAACCTCGACCCGCTGGGCATCCTGTGCCTCGTGCCCTCGATCATCAGCCTCATCCTCGCGCTGCAGTGGGGCGGCTCGACCGACGCCTGGTCCTCGCCCAAGATCGTCGGCCTGCTGGTGACCTTTGCGGTGCTTCTCGTGGCCTTTGTCCTCGTCGAGACCGTCGTCAACCCGTCGCGGGCCTTTATCCCGATGCGCATCGTCACGCAGCGCAGCATCGCCGGCGCCATGTGCTTCGTCTTCTGCATCGCCGGCTCGATGATGGCCGTCGTGTACTACCTCTCGATCTGGTTCCAGGCCGTGCAGGGCAACTCGGCGATCGACTCGGGCCTGCACACGCTGCCGATCGTGGTGGCGCTCGTGGTGAGCAGCATCGCGGGCGCCGTCGCGACGCAGAAGATTGGGTACTACACCCCCGCCATGCTGCTGACCCCCGTGCTCGCGAGCATCGGCGCGGGCCTTCTCTCCCTGCTCACCCCTTCCTCGGGCGAGGGCCAGTGGCTCGGGTTCCAGGTCCTTTACGGCCTGGGCTTGGGCATGGGCCTGCAGGCGCCGAGCCTGGTCCCCCAGACGGTCCTCGCGCGCGCGGACGTGCCTATCGGTGTGGCCCTCACCTTCTTCATGCAGCAGCTCGGCGGGGCCGTCTTCATCGCCGTCGCGCAGAACATCTTTGCCGGCGAGATTGTCGAGCGGCTCAGCGGGGTCAGCGGGCTGGACCCGGCCCTGATTGTGGGCACGGGCGCCACGGATATCCGCCAGGTGGTCAAGCCGGAGCAGCTGGACCTCGTGGTGGACGCGTATAGCTACGGCTTGACCCGGTGCTTCGTCATGGCGGCGGCGTTCAGTGCCGCGGGCATGCTTGCAGCGCTGTGTGTCGAGTGGAGGACGATCAATGCGAAGAAGGGCGGCAAGGGCGGCGATGGTGGTGAGGCGACTGTGGTCGAAGAGAAGAAGGCAGATAATGGCCAGATGGTTTAGGCCTGGTAGTGAGGGGTTTCCATCTATAATATGCGCGTAACTCTATAAGTCGCTGTCGAATCAGGAAATATATTTGGTTGTCATTAGTTCATGCTACCCCGGGATCAGAACGTCATTGGTGGCAGCTTGAAAAGTTGCCGGTATCCGTAACGCATCTCAGTCAGAGATGTCAGCGAGCAGTTGTCAAGTTGTTGAATCAAGATACCCACCAAGAGGCAGCGGCCCGTTCCGGAAAAGCAAACCGAGCTCCGAATCGGATGGCTCGCATGTTGAAATGGCAGCAGGGTAATGTCTAGTTGGTGGGTTTGGGTATCAGTTGGCTGTCTGCGTGTGTGTTATTCTTTGAGACGAGGCTGGGCACGCATCTGCCTCAAAGTTTTATTGGTGTGCCAGCCACTTGATGAATCTCTGCGGTTGCTCCCTGTGGGACGATGAGCCCGTATGCTGACTTCAAATACGGAAGGAATCGTGCCCCCAGTCAGAGGATTACCATGTAGGGTCAGGTCAGGGTCTTTCTTGCACGTCATAAGCATTGGCCCACAATAGTGCACCAGCGCAAGGCTAACCACATTGGGCTCTCCTCCATGCTCCTTGGCGCTGGTGCTCGTAAGCCTGGGCCCGCCCTTAAAGAGCCGCCGGTATCCCACGAGCAACCACCCACCCCATAACTCGCGGCGTCCAGAGACGCGGTGCCCAAAGCAGCAAATCGCGCGCGCTGCAGCCGTGTGGTCCCCCTTCCGCGGCTATCTCCGTGCAACTGACAAGGACACTCTGCAGGCACTAACTCCGGCGACCCCTGCTCGGAGACGCCCGACCGGCAGTCATGGTCTATTTCGGGCCGTCCAAGGGCTGTCTCACGTGCCGGCAGCGGCGGAAGAAGGTGCGCCATGGTGGTCCCAAGCCGTATGTGGCCGTCATTAGCTAATTCGTGCCCAGTGTGACGAGGCAAGGCCCGTATGTCCTCGAACGAGCATCAACTGTTTCCTACCTTAGTAGTAGTAATGATGAGTGCCTGGAACACTAACAAGAGTTTCCCCTTTCACAGTCATGCGGAAGGTGCATCAAATCTCGACGGACATGTCGAGGCTACGAAGACACTGATGTCAATACATTCCGCCCTTACATCCAGTCGCCAGCAACCGGACCATCCCAGCCGTCGAGACAGAATAACGCGCCAGTCTATCCATCACAGTACTACAAACTCCTGCAAGTACAACAGCAAGCACCGACATTCATATCAGAGGGCCGGCGATGCACTCTCCCCGCCCGCGTCGCACCTCCCGGCAGCACGGAGATTCCCGAGGACTTTCGGGGCGCCGAGGTCACAGAGTCTGCGCGGCTCCAGTTTGCCCTGCGCGGGTTCTTTTACGATTACTGCGTCATCACCACGAATACCCAGCTGTCCCGAGGGTTCTTGTCGAACGTGGAACTCATGACCAGGGAGCTCGGGCTGGACAGCCATCTGGTCAAGGCATGTGAGGCGGTGGCGTGTGCGGTGCATGGCAAGACGCTGAACCGGCCGAATCTCGTCACGATGGCGGAGACGAGGTACCAGGATCTGCTTGGCGAGCTGGCGCAGCTGATTGACTATTCCAAGCCAAGAGATGAGCGCGAGCCGTGGCTCGTGGCCATGTTGCTCGGCGTGTACCAGGTTAGTCTCCTCTTGCTATGCTCATTAGCTCGTTCAAAAGTGACTGGCACTGATCAACAACCTTAGATTGTACATGCCTCCGAGGAGGATCCAGGGAGTCACTTGGCGCATTCAAGGGGTCTAGCAGCGCTTCTTGGTATTGCACATTCTCCTCTTGCTCTTCTGCAACCTTCTCCCATGAAGACCGACCGCAGCCCAGATGCAACAACGCTAGGAGCACTACCTGTGAGTTCCCACAAAAAGACTGCCCTACGCCGTTTCTCAACAAGCACCTACTAAAACTTCGAAGCTTTGCTCATTCTTCATCGCCCCATCCATTGACCCAAGTACGGACGAATCTCTTGACGGACTCGCCCTTGCCACCCATGCACTGTGGAATCGCCACCAATCTCTCAAGCACTGTCTCCAGAGCCAGACTCCAACATTGGAAACACCGCTTGCCATTAAAGACGACGCGATAGCGCTCGAACGCCGTTTCCAGCACTGGCAACAGACGCGAGCGCCCGAGTTCCACCCCGTTGCCAGCGGGGACATCCCAGACCTCTACGGCAGGATTCTGGATGTAGAGTCCCCCCCGGCACCAGAAGTGGGATACTGGCCTGGCAGAGTGGACAGCTACTTCGACCACTATGTCGCCGGCGTGTGGAATGTCTTTCGCGCGACCCGGCTCCTGGTGCTGTACCTCATTATTACGCTCGAGCCGGGCCCGGCTTCAGGTTCCAATCACTCTCGGGCAGCACAAGCAACACACCGTTCTGCAGAGGCAGCATCACCACCCTCTCCACCGGCCCTCCGCGATCACGAAAGCAGCTCGGGCTATACCAGCACGTGTAGCATCGTGGGCGGAACTAGCACGGCACTTGCCAATGCGACGGAGGACGGCAAGAACCCCACAGCGCTGGAGCACTACACCGCGACTGGGCATCAGGTCGTCCGCGACATCCTGTCCTCGATACCGTACAGCCTGACGGACAAACTACCTGTACATATGGCCAACGCCTGCTCACAGGCCGCCGCCCCACGAGCACCAGCGGCCGTGCATGAACAAGAGACCTCCAGTCCCGCCCCGCCGCCGCCGCCGCCGATGGACACGGGCCGCGTCTCTGGCGGATTGCTGCTCATGCACCCGCTGCACGTGGCGATCAACATGCCCTTTGTGCAGGAGGATGTCAAGGCGTACATGCGTCGGACGCTCGAGTGGATAGGGACGAAGGGCGGGGTCGGCCAGGCGGGGATCCTTGCCAAGGTACGTTCCATTTTGACGGTTATCTCCACAGGCCGCTGCTACAAGAAGAGGTGTTAGAACCCGTTTGTGTCGAGGCTAATCTGCTACATTGTGTGTTCTAGGCCGACGGGGTGCTGGATCTCGAGTATCTGTCGAGTTCATGCTTGATCATCTGGGCCGGGTTCCTGGGATGACTGCAGTCAAGTGCAGCGAAGAGGAAGCAACCCAGCCAGAAGCTAAAGACACTGGATTTGAGCGAGCATGCAGCGTGTGTATCCCTCGTGTGCGGATTCGTTGACACTTCTCATGTACGCTGGGCAACAGCATGTCGTTCAACGAAGCAGCAGCGAGTTGTCTGTGGGCAGCCTCATCCCTCGCGAACGCGCAGAAGAGGATCTCTAAAGGAGGCATGGGATGGATTCAAAAGCTGCTGCTGTACATGAGCTGCTAGATGATTGCGTGCGAGTGCAGCACCTATCAAACGTTGTGCTGATTAATCCGCTTTGCAGATTGCGGGGAGGGAATCTGGTGGACGGCTGGCGGCTAGCAAAGGCTACTCCAGTGGGATGCCGACGACGCTATCATTACAAATTAGAGTGGGACCAGCCAGACAGTCCCCCTTTGAAATCATGGTCGATGCGACCACACCCGACTAGTATACTCACTCGGTTGCGTGCGTGTTTCGAAACACCACCACCAGAAGCTGTGCATGCATGCTGAGAAATCACGCTCTTCGCCATGCACGCCCTTGACATTGCAAGAGTTGTTGGACTGGCGTGACCTTGACGATGCATCGTCCCAGGTGCAGCTGATTTGTGATGCCATCGTCAAGCTCCGGGTGGATATAAGAACCCGTCGTCACTTCGCACGACACTCCTCAGAAGAAGTTTATACACCAGAATCTTCACACCCGCCAAGACAGAGTTGCAAACTAAAAGCCACGAACCCCGTCTCATCAGTCTCATCAGTTTCATCAGTCACACTCAGTCTAATTAGTAACATCTTGAACAAGCACAACACCAAGAAATCATCACCATGGCCAGCTCAACCGCTTCACCCGCCACGCTCCCGAGCACAAACAAGGCAGCCTACATCACCGCGGCCAAGGCCCACCCGCTCCAGGTATCCAACACGCCCAACCCGGTCACGCTACCTTCCCAGCCCAACGAGCTGCTCATCCGCAACCACGCCGTCGCGATGAACCCCATCGACTGGAAGATGCAGGCCTGGGCCCACATCCCCATCGCCTACCCGGCCATCCTGGGCAACGACATCGCGGGCACCGTCGTCGCCGTGCACCCGGACGCCACGCACGGGTTCCGGCCGGGCGACCGGGTCCTGGCGTGCCCGCACGGCTTCGACACCAAGAAGGACGAGCACAAGGGCTTTCAGGAGCACACGGTCGTCCTGGCGGAGCTGACGGCCCGGCTGCCGAGCTCCATGTCGTTCGAGGAGGCCGTCGTGCTGCCGATGGGGATCGCCACGGCCGCGTCGGGGTTTTTCAATCCCGAGCTGCTGGGTCTGCGGTTCCCCACGCTGCTCTCAGCAGGTCAGTCCAGCACAGACGGAAAGAAGGAGGAGAAGCAGAAGCAGGAGGAAGTGCTCCTAGTGTCGGGCGGTGCCTCGGCGGTCGGCGGCAACACGATCCAGCTCGCCGCTGCGGCAGGGTACACGGTCCTGGCCACGGCGTCGCCCAAGAACTTTGACGCGGTCAAGAAGCTCGGCGCCACGGCCGTGTTTGACTACAACCGGTACCCTGCCGCCGCCGCCAACGAAACCCCGGGGGAGGAAAGCAACAGCGAGCTCGTGACCGACATCCTGGCGGCCGTGCCCGCGGGCGCGGTGGTGGTCGGGGCCTTTGACGCCGTGGGCAAATCCGGCTGGCACATTGCCGCCGAGTTCATGGCCCGCGCCGTGGAGGCTGGTATCGTCGCCGATCGCCCGGGTGCCGAGGCTGGTGCCGGCAAGGTATTCGTCGCCACGGCTTCTCCTGACTGGTCGACGCCGACACCGCGCAACGCCGAGTTGAAGGCCATGTACAGCCTGTCCATCATTAGGTCGGACATTGCCCGGAAGGTGTTCAACGAGTTCCTCGAGCCCGCGCTGGCGCAGGGGCAGATCAAGGCATGGCCGGAGCCCCTGGTCTTTGGGCACGGGCTGGAAAAGGTGCAGGGCGCGCTGGACTTGTTGAAGGATGGCGAGGTGTCGGGGCAGAAGGTGGTCGTGACTCTCTGAGGTTTCGTGTCAATGTGATGAAGAGGCAAAGAAGGGGATTTGGTTCCATCTCGTGACAAGCGCTTTGCTTCTAAGCAAGGCGAGTAGCTATTCGCAGAATCAGATGATAGGCTATCACGACATCCAGCATTCGTTTTCCCACAGAAATCTACCGCAAGCGCGCTAGTAGCAACGGTAACTGCGTGCCATTGAGGTCAATATTAGTGTGTCGCGAGACAACATATGCACAACTATCTCTGCGGGTCGTTCCAATCCTGCCCACTTCCTGAAGCGGCAGCAGTCGCGCCACCACCATTATCCCCATCTACATCCTTCTCCCCTGCTGCGCGCTGACCCCCGGGACTTTGCTGCCCAACGGCCTCCTGGTCTCCCTGTTGCATCTGCGCGTGCTGCTGCGCCCGCGCCGCCGCCGCCATCTGCCGCAGGACATGCTCCGGGGGCCGAGGTGGCCTGCGCACAGAGAATCCTTGCTCCGGTGCTGCTGATGCTGCTGCTGCTGTGGGGTCTCCTGCCGACGACGCGCCTGCCGTGGCACTGTCTTTTCCTGTAACTGATAGCTTGCTCGAAGAAGAGAACTGGCGGAGCTGCGATATGCGCGCCCTCGCCATGTTCTTGGCCGCCTCCTTCGCGGCGGCGGCCTTCTTGTTCTTCTTGCTCCTGCCGGCCGGAGGACGGGGAGGAGAGTCGCCCCCTTCCTCTTCCTCCTCGGCGCCGAACATTTCCGAGGTGACTCCCAGGCTGGAGCGCGAGACTCTACCGCTCCCTCTCCCGGCCTCATCCCGGTCATCGTCATCCGCGTCGTCGTGCTTACTTCCTCCCGCCGCCGCAGCGGTACGGGACGACGGCTTGCTGCCTCCCGACGACGAGGACGTCGAAGTCGTGCCCATCGTGGTGGTCGAGCTCCGCCCTGCGACTTCGTCTTCTGCTGCCCGTGGAAGCCCGTAATGCGCCCGCGCGGCCTCGAACTCGCCTTCTTCCGGACCGCCGTAGATCAGGTCCGCTTCGCGGAAGGAGTAGTCGTTCCAGCGTGGGCCGAGTGGCGAGGTGGCGGTGGTGGTAGCCGAGGCCGAGGGCGAGGAGGGCGTGATGAGCTCCTTGTCATCGTGCTTGCTGTGGCCATCCGGCTCGCCGGTATCCACGTCGTCAGCGGCGCTGATGGGGCTCTTGGTAAAGCTACGTCTATTCGTCGGGGTGTGAGCACCGCCGCTCTGACGGTGACGGTGGCGGTTTTGGCCCTGGAAGTTATCGTTATCATCATCATGGGTGGGGGAAACCACGCGTATGCTCAGGCGCACTCGGCCACCACCACCACCACCACCAGGGGACAACGGCGACGCCGGAATCAAGCCCGAGTTGCGCGCCACCACCAGGCTGTTCCGTGACCCTCGGCCGTCCGCGGACCCGGCCAGCGAGGTCGCGTACGTCGAGGCCCGGGGTGGGCGGAAGTAGTGACTGTCGGTGCCGCCACTGCTGCTGCCGCTGCTGATGACACCGCTAAGCCTGTTCCCACTTCTACTGCCAGTCCCGGTCCCCGTGCCAGTAACGCTCCCGCTGGACGAGCTACGTGGCTCGCTGCTCCTGCTCATCGAGTCCAGGCGGCGCGAGTCGCTGGGGCTGTCTGATCGCGCGGCGGTGGTGAGCGACGGGATGTGCGAGGCGCCACCTTTCACACGAATGGGAGACACGGGGCTGTAATATGGGAGAGAGGAGAAGGAGGACAGCGAGGCGGTGCTGTCGCCGTATAGGGATGGCAGATTGAGGCGGGTACCTGGGTGCGGCGGGCTGTACCGGCCTCCGCCCAGGTTGGCACCACCTAGGGCGCGGCGCTGGCGCTGGTCGTGCGGTGGTGGTGGTGGTGCCGGTGAAAGGGACAGGTCGGAGCGCAGGGCGAGGGCGTTGCGTGCGTTTGGCCGGCGCTGGAGATCTCGCAGGCCGTAGATCTGTATTTGTTGACAATCAAGATTCGTCAGTGTATCAGTCAACCTGCGTATATCTATCTATCTGGGCAAATCTCCCACCAAAACACTGGGGGATTTCGTCACGGTCGTGGAGACAAAGACTTACCTCGCCTTCCTTCCCCCTCTTTGCCTTCCCGACCACCGCGCTGCCCAGATGCCACACGCCCATCCCGCCAAACCCACACACGAGGAACACGGCATGCATCCCCAGGACCGCATACCCGATGACCTCGCGGGGGCTCTCCGACACCATGTCCGGGACAAAGGCGATCATGGCCGCGATGCTGAGCACGCGCACGCCCGCGGAGAAGCTGCCGATCGAGAGCAGGGGGTACGCCTGCATGGCGACAATGTACGCGGCGAAGAGGAACTCGGTGCAGAAGAGCGCGACGACCTGGGTCAGGCCGGAGATCTGGACGCCGCCGATGAGCGCGGCGCGGATAAAAGTCGTGAGGAACAGGGCGTAGACAAAGATCTGGTCTGCGCGGGTCCTGCCTGCAGCTGCTGTCCTCGCCGCGGCCGACGTGGTAACATCGCCTCCATTGTTGGCGTCGTTGTCGTTGTCGTCATCGTCGTCGTAATCATCGTAGTCACTGTTGTTGTGGTTGCCATCGAGCCTGCGGTATCGATTCGAGCTGTCAAACAGCAACACGCCCAGGCTGCGCGTCGGGATGCGCCAGACAAGCCAGCCAAAGACGCCGACCAGCCCGACCAGCAGCACCACGGCAAACGTCGAGTGCGTGACGGGCAGGCTGTTGGCATAGTCGAGCTGGTACACGGTGAGGGCGACGACGGGGAGCATAAAGTACGACAGGATAACCTTGGCGACGTTGCTGGCCAGGGGCACCAGCCTCGGCACGAGCAGGCTTCCACCACCAGCACCACCACCACTACCACCACGATGACCAAGGGCGGGCGGTAGGCCCAGCCGGACCGCCTTGCGCGCCTCGAGCACCCACAGCGCCCAGAGCAGCACGCCGACGACGCCCGCCGCGATGCCGACGCAGATGACCATGTTGACCCAGGTGCCCGTGGTCAGGGGCGCGCCGACGACCTGCGTCATGAGCTCGGCGCCGTAGGTCCCGCCAAAGGTGCCGTTGAGCTCGTACACGCCGTCGACGTAGCCGTCGTAGGCGAAGCGGTCGACCCACAGCGTGGTCCCGAAGAGCGAGTACCACCGCAGCTCGCTCACCGCGGGCTGGTAGAAGCCCGGGTACCGCAGGGAGAGGCAGGCCGTGAGGAAGACAAACTGCAGGTACTGCAGGCAGTCGCCCACGCCGGGGAGGATGGGCCCCCGCCGCCGCGTGCCTGGTGCTCCTTGGTCCGCCATGTTGATGCTGTTGTTAGTATCGTTGGCTGCTGCTGTGGATGCTGCTGCGGCGGCTGTGGTTGCTGCGGTCGACGGCAGCGAGCGGATCACGGCCGCGACCAGGACGAGCGCGAGGATGCTCATCGGGACGTACCGTAGGACGGCCAGGAGCCAGGTGCTCGGCTGCGGCGTCGCGGCCGAGCGCAGACACGCCACGATCCGGGCATCGTCCGGCCCGTGAAGGTCGTCCACCAGGCCATCTCCTCCTCCTCCTCCTCCCGCACCGTCATCCCCAGCGCTCTCGTTGCCAAGGAGGAAGTACAGCGCCAGCTGGAACGTCGACAGCTCGCCAAAGCGCGGGTAGTCGGCCTGCAGGCTCAGCTTGGCCACGGGCTCATCGCCGGGGAACGCGGGCGTCGTCTGTTTCGGGGCAGAAGAGCAGGACTCGGCCAGGGCAAAGTAGGCCACGCTGTCGTCCCGGCCGAGCGTGCTCAGCTCCAGCGCGACGCTGCCCACGCCATAGTTGGCGGCCCAGTGGTCGCAGCCGTCGCGCGTGTACCGGGTCGAGTCCGAGAGCAACAGCCGGTCGTGGGTGGCGTTGAGATGCTCGAGCCGGATGCGCAGGCCGACGGGGTCTGCGAGCTGCTGCTGGATCTGCTGCTGCTGCTGTTGCGAGGTGCTGCTGGTGGTGGAGGCGAGGCCCAGGCAGGGGACGGTCTGGATGTATGCGCCCTGTGCTGGCGTGGGGATCGTGGTCGCGAGGAGGGCGACGGCGAGGGCGGTGGTCGTGGTCGAGGTGGTGGCTTTGCTGAGCCAGTTGCGCGCGGCGGTCATTGCCTGTGTCTGTCGCGCCCGCTTTGGTCTGGTGGCCAGCCCGTGGGAATGGAACGTGTTTTTCGGCCTTTCAGTCGCTCAGTCGTCTGGTCGTTCAATCATCAATCGTCGTCGTCGTGGGTTCGTGCACAGTCGGTTTGCAAGCGCAGACTCCCGAGCCGCGTGCCATTGCCATATGCGCCAGAGTACTATCGATCGTCGTGTTCGTCGTCGTCGTCGTCGTCGTCGCTATTTGTTGGTCAGAATCGTGGGCTCGACCAGACAAGTGTCGTCGTCTCGGTCAGTGGTGGGAGTGGTTTTGCGACTCGTCACCGAAACAAAAAGACCGGCGTCGGGGAAAGGCAAAAGAAGCAGAGGGGAGAGCCGCCCCTGCACACCCCGGCATGCACGCCTGCCGATCACTGCAAAAACTCTAATGCCAAAAGCCAGTGGGCATCGGCCGGCACTTGTCGCGGTGGTGGAGCAGAGCGGCCTCCCATGGGAGTGATGGGCGGAAAACAGATGGTCGGAAAGCTGAAAGGGACTAATCAGCAGACCCAGCGGAGGTTGCCGGCTGTCCCCTTTGCCTCTGTTGCTCCTGCATGGCGCTGGGTCTGCCTTGACAAGCAGGCCCCTCGAGACTGGACGGGCAAGGCCCTGTCCAGCCGCCTGGATGCTTTCATTGCGTGCATCACCGGCGGAGGTGCCTGCCCCTGACGCTAGCGCCGCATCGTGACGTGGGTGGTCCTCGTATTCCCACAAAACACGGCATCTCTGGTGTCCTCACCTGCCAATTCGATTGGTGGGCGCCCTGCCAGGAACCCCCCTGTCCTGGTTGGAGACCTCCAAGCCGACAAGTCGTCTTCGCAAACAACGACAAGAACAATAGCAATCCCGTGGCCAAGACGACAGCTACATCGTCGTATTGCTCGTGTCAAGACTCCTACAGTGCGTATGGCTACAAACTAACTCTGTACATTGATGATTATCCCCTCCGATTCATGCTGCTGACTTGGCACATGTTGCCTCATCGCTGGGATGGTCTTGCAACTCCGTGCACTCCTCGCCCATTCATCTAAACCTTTGCTGTGAACACATCCATCCTTAGCAACGACAATGCCTACCGAAAATTCCAATGCGCTCAGCTCATTTGGCAGTCTTGGTCCCCAAACATGGGGTCGGCGGCTCCCTCTCCAGCAGCATACATGTCTCGGCCGACTCGCTCGTATCCGCATTGTCCACTGACAAACCCAAAGTCCTCGTCATTGCGACACTTGAGAAGCGCATCGTACGCGCCAGGTTCAAGTCCGTCCAGCACGGTTCCGTCACCGGCGTGCGGGGACACGTCCATCGTGCTTGCAAACAGACATGCGCCAACGGCAGCGACGGTGCCCACGCTCTCGAGGTAGTTGCGGGTGACGGGAGGCCACTCCGACGCCTCCTGAATTACCTGGCGCACGTTGGCCTCGTTCGGGACCCTGCCTGCCTGGAGGCAGGTCGCAAAGTGACCGAACATGGCTACAAAGCCGGCCCTCACAGACTTGTTGGTTCGCATTCTGCTGACGATGGCAGGGGGCAGCGAGGGATAGCACATGGCTGTGTCCTCGGCAAAGGCTGGGCCGTCGTCGCCAATGTACTCAAGCGTCAACTCGAGGTGTCCATGCACCGACTCGGCGTTCGTGGACAGCAGCTCCAGCATCCGTGGACTGAGGAAACCGTCGACGCATTGGCCGCAGCTGCAACCGAACTTGATTCGCAACAGCTCAATCGGGGAGGGGCTTTTGAGACCTTTGAGAGCACACACTGTGTCGACAAACTTGGTACCGAAGCCGGTAAAGTGGTCGGCGACCACGAGGACCAGGAAGCCATGCTGCAACTGTGACCGCAACCGTTCCATCCGGTCCAAGCAGAGGTCGAGTGGGGTCTGGCTGGCCGAGTTCTGAGCATCCCGAAGCTGAGCAAAGTTGTCGATGATCCATGCAATACACTGCGCCTTGCTTGCGGTAGCGGCGAGGTGTAGGATTGTGTGGCCATGTGAATTGGGGGTGCACCAATCTGCGTGCGCCAGCCCGTGGATCTGAGCCTGCAGCTTGAGCTCTTGAAGCGTCATGGCATCGCTGACGGTCTCGGATCTGATCTTCTCTGATAGCTGCTCGGAAGGGCCTGCGAAGTCGCGGTCTGCGAAGACGGGACTGTTGTAGTCGTTGGCGGCCGACAGTTGGTGGGCTGGGTGGTCGACGTCGCCAGCGAAGGCGAACCACTCGCTGGTGCCGAGACGGCGAAAGCCTACCGCGCGGAGAAGAGCGGTAGTCGCTTGCATCTGGTCCTCGACAGCCTTGTTCCAGTCTCGTCCGTCAGGCTCAGCTTCGACCGAGGCGTTGAGCACAGCTGTGCGCGCAACCGCGATCCAAGTCTTGGGATTGCATTTGGGTCGAGTGATGTCGAGAACAGCATTGCAGAGGCGGGTAGCCAGGCCCAGGCGGCGGTACTCCTTGTCGACCTTGACAATCTCAAGCAGCAGGATGGAGCCATTGTCAAGCTCGTCGCCCCAGATGCTCGAGCCTGAGGTCTTGTGCTTGTCCTGAAGGTGGCCATATCGACCGAACAACTCGAAGCCCATGGCTGACGTCTCTTGGGACGGCTCCTCGACGGTCTGGAGGAAGTTTTCGCAGATCTTGCCGCGGCGGATGAGCTTGCCTGTGACGTAACCCACCTTGTGGGGTACCTCGCCTCCGGAGGTGGTCTTCAGTATCTCGCCGTAGAACGTCTCGCACCAGGGGAACTCAGCGCAGTCGTCATATTGCGTGTCATCTTCGAGGCCATCGTCGTCAAGGCCGTCCTTGCCACCAAGGTAGTCCTCCTCGTCTTCAGCAGAAGAGGCAGCATCGTTGTCGCTGAGGAGGATGGTCAGCAATTGCTTTCCGTGCATATGTGACAAGTGGTGGTGATTACTGACCTCGAGTCGTCATCTCCTCCTACGGCTGCACCTGCGTCTGGATCGTCCGCCGTGACAGACACTGCCTCGGCCGGCTCGGTGTGTGCAAAGAACTCTGCCCGCTCATCCTCGGTCAGCGGGGAGCCCGGCTCGAGGTTCCAGATCTGGCGCATCTTGATCTCCCACGACTTGGGCTCCTTGTAGTCATTCTTCGCAGCCTTGGCCTCGTCGAGATACTTGACGGTGATCTTGAAGCCGGGCAGGTCGTCGGTTATGCCGCTGGGCTTGGGAGCCTTGGGGGCGGGGCGGGCGGGCGACCGCGCGGATTGGCTTGGCTCGTCCGAGTCGTCGGCTCGTGCGTGCTTGTCTGGCGCCATGGCGAATAGTGGGTGGGTGGGTGGGATGTGAGTTGGTGGTGAGTAGTGTCGAGGGACTGAATAGCGTCGTGTGCTGAAGCAGAGCACGACGGCTGCGGCAGGCGATGATCTTGACAAGAGGGTAATAAAGAGGAAGAATGACTGCGTCGTGGAACGAGATGCGTCGTTGGGCTCGGGCAAATCTCAGGAAGCGGCCGGCGCGTGGATCCTGCTGGCACGATTCGCTTGGTGAGTTGATGACGAAGGACGAGCTGAGCAGAAACCCAGCAGGGAGCTGTGGAAGAGGTGTGGAATGGCGGTCGCCCACCCGAGGTGCCTGTGTGAATGAGAGAACGTTCCCGCAAGGAAGTCATGGGCAAACAGTGCGTGGGTGCGCGAGAGGAGGAAGGTTCGAGCGAGCGGTGGCCTTGAGCACGCGCGGCAACTGGACATCAGGCAGCTGCCACCACACACCAGGGAGCACCTTGCACACCAAAGACACCATCACACCCAGAGCCAAAGAAGCACCTCATCATGCGCAGCCGCAAGACACCAGGCAACTCATCATTAGCATTAGCATTAATCGCGACTACCTGTCTTGCTCATGATTTTCCACTGCCCTCCTTCTAACAAGTCCTCGCGCAGCAAACATCAAGCTAATGCCTTTGTTCCTCAAACAGAGACACGCTTCAACCAAGGACTGCTCAGATCCGTATAGAAGCTGGCGCCCTTGACCTTGGTCGGGGCCGCCGGGTCCGTCACGTTGCACGTCTCAAGCCAGTCCCCCTCGTCGGCCACCTTGCGCTCAATGTACTCGACGTACTCGTCCAGCAGGCACGAGCGGCCGGGCCCGTTCTGGCACGACGGGATCGGGTACACGGCGTCGTTGAGCAGGACGCGGATGTACACGGCATCTTCGCCCGGGTTGGTGGGCGGGTCGGTCGGGGTCGGGGTCGGGACCGAGGAGGAAGCGCTGGAAGTAATTGAGGCACTGGCAGTGGCGGAGACGGAGACGGAGCTCGAGGTGGCCGAGGGCGGGATCGGGAGGGTGCCGTTGCCGGGGCCGTGGGGAGGGCCGCCGTGGCAGGACCGCTTCTTGGCCGCAGTCCTGCGCATGCGCGTGGCAGACCCGGTGTGGCGGGACTTGCAGCTCAGGCGCTCAAAGGCAATGGTGCCGCGCATCGTGACGTAGCGGTTGCCGTTCCACAGGCGGCCATCGTCCTTGCTCTCCGGGTCGAGCGGGCCCTGGGCATCAAACACGCCGCTCGAGGTGACAAGCTCGGTCAGCTGGCCGTCGTTGAGGAACGACACAACCAAGGGGGGCAGGGTAAAGGTCGACACGCCGTCCTCGCGGAGGCCCTCGATGCCCGGGCCCTGCTTGAACAGGTTGATGAGGGCCTGCAGGTAGGGCGTCATCATCTTCTTGTTGACGGGCGCGCCGGGGCCGATGCCGTAGTAGTAACGCAGGTCGTTGCGGTACTCGTACGCGCGGAACTCCTCGTCGGTGAAGATGTCACACCAGGGGCTCAGGCGGCCGGTGATGGTGCTCTCGAAGCCGCACAGGTACGGACCCTGCGAGATGTCGTCCGCGGTGAGGGTCAGGTTGCCTGTGATCATGGCCTGCAGGCGCTCCAGGACCGGCGGGATCCAGATGGCGTCCCATGCCGCAACCTGGTCAGAGCCCTCGCTGTCCTTGAAGGTCGGGCACATGTCGGATGGAGCGAGTGTGTCGCCAATGGCCTGGGGGAATCCCTTTCCGGTGACGGAGATGATGCTGCCGTTGGTGCGCGCAAAGGCCCCGAGGTAGCCGCCGACAAACTTCTCGGCGGTCTGCAGGACGCGTGTGTAGTTGTTGGCCCAGACCATGAACTCGTCGCCCGTCTTGTAAAAGTCCGGATACCGCGTGCGCAGCGTGTAGCCATAGTCGAACGCCTCCTTGGTGCCCGTCGGGTTCTCCATGGCGACCTGCAAATTCTTGGTCTCGAGCACGGGCTTCCAGCTGGGCAGGAATGACAGCGCGCCCGAGGCCGTGTAGCCGCCGGCCGAGAAGCGCTCCACCGCCGACACCCAGCCGTTGTAGGCGCCATTGTCAGGATACCGCGAGCCATGGCGCGACACATAGGCAGCCTGGTCGACCACGCAGCCCTCGGGCACCTCGGGCGAGATGCCGTTTACGTTGTCGCCTTGCGCAGGTATGTCAGTATTGGCGATGGCGGGTACAAGAGTGAATACTCAGAGACACTCACCAGGCAGCCACGGGCCATTGGCACCAACCCACTTCAAGGGCTCCTTGGCGTTGGCGCCGGCGGGCGAGTTGATGTCAGAGGCCGGGGCGAGGAGGCGCTGGCGCTGAGCGAGGGTGCCGGCCACGAAAAGGGCCAGAGCCTTGATAGAGAGAGACATCGTTGCCGTGGTGTGGAGGCGTATAATCAGTAGTGCTGACTAGCTGCTGGCAAGCGATGCGGTCCGAGAAGGATCAAATGAGTGTGGGGGAAGCGAGTGAAGCTCCGTGCTCCAGAAAGAGAGCCCATTGTCCCGGGCTGCACGCGACGATGATGGCCGCTATTTAAGCACGCCAGCCGGCGATCGTCAACTGGCAGCCATGACGCCGAGTCAGGCCGCCTGGGGTCAGAGCCGGCGAGAGTGGACGCAACGGTAAACCCGGTGACTATGGGGCACCCCTTGTAGCTGCGATAGCGGGCTGTAGTAGGACGGGAAATGAGGCCCGGCAGCAGCCATGCGAGTCGCTCGCCATCGACCGGACACGTGGGGAGCAAGCGGCAGGGTTGCGTCTGGGGTTGATCGGCAGAGACCCCTGCCTTGCTCGAGGCGTGAAAGCGTCTCCCAGGGGTCCCAAGATCCCAAGGGCTGAGGCATCTCCATCGTGCAGGGCTCAAAGGGACGCCTGGAGATTATGCCTTCAGGCAAGAAGGCCACCGCTTCATGCCGTCTGGAGGCAGACACGTGAAAGTCGCGGGCCTGTCTTTGACATGCAGGCTTGCCTGTGGCACGTCCGGGACCCCGGGATATGGAGAAGATACCTGCTGGCTATTAATTAACACAACGATGATGCCTGCATGGTGCATGGCCAGTCACATCGGCGCAAGCAAGACACGCTGTCAACCGTTCGCTACGACGTCGTCTTGGACGACCCTTGGCGCCCCTGTTGCGGCTCGGCGCAGAGGACCTCGATGTAATGACGTCTGTCCCTTCTTTTGCGATTGTCCAAATGCATACTATGGTAGGGTCGACGGTTGTATCGAGGCGTCGCCCTTGGTGGATGATGTGTATGCGAGAGATCAGCCACTTCGCGGAAGAACTTGGCCCGCCCAAGCCCGGCAAATACCGGCGGATCGGCCCCCCACCGTGGTTATCAGCCGTCGGCCGGCATCCGAGACTTGTGCATGGATTTCGAGCCCTTCAATACTTTCGTCTACCCAGGAAAGGAGAGTTGGCGTGGTGGATTGGGGAAGCTTCCAGCCTGCCCTCTGATACAGGCGCGAATAGCCCTTACCATTTTCTACTGCTGACGCTGACGACGTATGTTGACAAACGTCCCTTGAGGACACGGCGGCGAGTGAGTGGCGCAGTTTCTGGGCTGAAGACAGTGGGTCGCTGACAGTCACATTATCCCGCGCATGCGCAGCGCTTGGCCAACATATTTCCTAAACCAACTGCCACGTTTGCGGCCTCACATAAGCGCGATGCAACCTCTCACAGAAGCTCGTATGGTCTGCTCGCATAGGCTACACCATGCCGTCAGCAATGGTGATGATGTCCCAAGAGATGATATATTAGCTGTAGACTCGCCCACTGGCACTTCTCCCAGCACCTCGCCGTTTCGAGTGTGATTTGCAAGTCACCCCATCTAGTCACCCTCTCACACACTGCCGGCAAATCCGCACAGCGCCGCAGTCCAGCCATGGGGCAAGAATACTCGGCCCCGCGACCGGGCACCAAGCTCCGCGTCATCGGCGCTGGCCTGCCTCGCACAGGCACAGCCTCCTTCACAAAGGCTCTCTCCATGCTGCTCGACGGGCCCGTGTACCATACCGGCACGCAATCAACCCTCGGCCCGGAGCGCGAGGTCAAGACCCTCATCGAGATGCTCCGCCTCATGTTTCCGGAGCGTCTCGCCACACCGGGGGGTATATACAACCCGAACCCGGACCCGACGCACGACTACCTCGCGTACAACAGCAAGACCGACATCGACCCGGCCGACCGCGCAAAGGCCCTGGCCCTGATGAAGGGCCAACTGGACGGGTACGCCGCGGTGACGGACGCGCCGTACTGCAGCCTCGCGCCAGAGCTGCTCGAGCTGTACCCGGACGCCATCGTCATCTGCACGACGCGCGACGTCGACGGCTGGACCAGGAGCATGTCCGGCATTGCGTCCACCGCCACGCAGGGCTTCCTGCGGTTTTCGCTGTACCTCCTCCCCTCGATGCGGTGGTTCCCGGACTACATCGATGCCCTCATAGTGTATTATGGTGTGCTCACGGGTCTCCCTACGCCCGAGGCGTGGGCGAGGCATGTGGAGAAGCTCAAGAGGAGTGTCCCACCGGAGAAGTTGTTTTTTTATGATGTCAGGGACGGGTGGGAGCCGTTGTGTAATATTCTCGGTGTCGAGGTGCCCGAGGGGGTCGAGTTTCCAAGAATCAATGACGGCAAGGCCCTTGACGCCTTTGCAAAGAAGCAGATCAGGACCGGGTTGTTGCGTTGGGTGGTGGTGTTTGGAAGCGTGGCGGCCGCGGTAGGGGCGGCCGTGATGGCCCGAGGTTAGCTTTCCGTCGCTGCGTGACTTTATATTTGAGATATAAAGTTTTTGTTCGTGGCGTGGTAGTATGATTGATGATACAGATTGGCGGGTAACACGAAAGAAACGAAGGACATGTCTGGATTGCGTGCACGGCTTTTCCATTGCGCAAAGCTGAAGCTCGTGCAACTAGTCTAGGGTCTTTCCAAGCGGATTGGCCTACTCAAATCCTGTTTGTCGAAGCTGAATTAAAAGCAACAGGTAGTCTTTGCACGGCCGTCCTATATGTCTCGCATGATTGTGCCTGGACTTCGCACACACTTCCTATAACACGGCCCGGGTTCTGATATCCGCTGCATCAATCCCGTACGTGGGCCTGGTGTTACAGCGTCTTGGTTTGCCAGGCGGTGGAGCACGCCTTGCCTGATGGGGCTCGCCGTGAGTAGTGCCGAATGAATCATAGTGAGTTCCCAGTTGAAAGTCGTCGCAGTGACCTAGTACCACGAGACCATCCGTTCGCAGCATAATCGACGTTTACATAAAGGTGAGCGCCCAAATTTGCGAGAGCACCTATCTTACTCGCAATTGGACTCTATCATAGAACCAAAACAAGCTTGCTAACATGATAGTCGACCTTGCCTCAGACATTCGCGTCTGGTTGGCAGTAGCTGTCGCCAGCGCGGCCTACCTCTTACGTCCATCCAAGGCACCATTCCCCGTCATCAATGAATACCCAGGCGACTACTTCAACAAGAGGGCACTCAAAGAAGCGCAGGACAATGTCCGCAGCCTGATTGAGCACGGCTTTGCCAGGTACCCCGACAAACCGTTTGCCATCAAGGTGCCCTACGGCTACAAAATCATCCTTCCGGCCTCGCTAGCCAACTGGGTCAAGTCCAAGCGTGAGCTCGACCACGTCCAGCTTGTACGTGATGAGTACTTTGCTGGCCTCCCCGGCTTCGAAAGCCAGACGGTACTGCACCACCCAGACGAGTACGTCAAGCGCATGATTACGACCAAGCTCGGGCAGAACGACAGCACCATGCCCGCCTTGAACACAGCACTGGCCGCAGCCATTGATGACCTCTGGGGTCCGAGCCAGGACTGGCATATGCTCAACTGGCACGCCGACACGATGGGTATCATCGCCCGAGCCGCATCAACCGTCTTCGTCGGCCCGGAGAAGAGCAGCGATCCGGAGTGGCTGAGCCTCGTGCAGGACTACGTCCTGTCGTACTTTGGCGCCGTCGGCGACCTGCACAAGTATCCAGTCTGGTCGCGGCGGATCGTGAACTGGTTCCTACCGAATGCGAGCAGATGCCGGAGGCTCCAAGTCCAGGCGCGTGTCATCATTGAGGATGTACTCTCCAAGCGGAGAGCAGCCGTGAACAAGGCACAAGTCGAGGGGAAGCAGCCGCCGGTGTACAATGATGCGCTCGAGTGGGGGCAAAAGGACCCAGAGTGCAAGCATCACCCGGCGGACATGCAGCTCGCGCTCGCGATGGCCGCCATGTTCACCACGTCCGAGATGTTCCGCCAGATCCTCATCGACGTCGCTCGCCATCCGGAGCTCGTGCAGCCTCTAAGGGATGAAGTCAAGCAAAAGCTCTCGACTCATGGTGTCACTGTTGCGGCCACTAGCAATATGGTTCTTCTGGACAGCGTAATGAAGGAGTCGCAACGCCTCAGCGCACCGCCTGGTAGGTTAATTCCTGTTCTACAGGCCTTTCAGATTCATGCTGATACATTCGTAAACAGCTGTCGTGGAGCGCGCCGTCCTAAAAGACACAGCCCTGCCTGATGGTCGCGTCCTCCCGCACGGCTCTCATCTGCTCGTTGACGCAACGCACCTAGGCAGCAAAGATGTGTACCCAGACCCAGAGGAGTTTGACGGGTATCGGTTTCTCCACAAGCGTGAGGCTGGCGACAAATCGAGCTCGTTCGTCCAGTCGAGCCCAGATTTTCTCGTCTTTGGTGCGGGCAGGCACATCTGCCCTGGCCGCTTCTTCGCTGCGAACGAGCTGAAGCTCGCGCTCGCGCACATTCTGCTCAAATACGACATCCGGCATGCCGAAGGGAGTGGGGATGGCAAGCCATGGTCGAGCGGGTTCTTTGCTGTGGTGAACCCGTTGGTGAAAGTAGAGGTGAAGCGAAGGGCGGACGACGGAGCTGCCGAGTTTTTGGCTTAGAAGCAGTCTCGTATGAGCGGGTGGTATGGAATAGGTCGAAATAAGTCCAGCCAGCTGATCCATTATATAACTTAGAATCTGGCATTGTGACAAATAAATTTGCACTCTAAGCTGGTTTAACATATGTTATTAGTAGGCTACAATAGGCCAGTACTGAGTCCCTGGAGGTTATTTGTTTCGTATGTAGAAATGTGCAGAACTGTTGGGAAAGCGCGTACGTTGTGACATCTATATAGACAACTTTGCGAAAGGAAGCCCGCTCCCTCTTACGTGAGGATATAAAGCCTGAAAATGACAAGGCTTCCCATTAACCACCGACCAATCAGAAAATGATTGGATCCAAAGCTCGGTTAGCTCAGTTGGTTAGAGCGTCGTACTAATATCTCGCCCTGGCGACATATACAGTAATGCGAAGGTCATGAGTTCAACCCTCATACTGAGCATATTCAGTCTTTTTTGGCTCCCGTTCCATCTAGAGGCTGTTGATCTCGATTGCTGTTGTGATTTCACTTTTGTATTTCGTCTTTTCTTTTTAGAAAAACTTCAGGCTCCTGATTCCGTTTCTCACTGCTTTACGCCCGACTATAGACAAGCTGTGGTAGCTAACATTATTTGTTTGTAACTTTTCTTCCAATGATTTATTTACTCTCGAGCTTAGTACTAGAGCCAGCTGTCGGCGATAAGTCTCGGTTAATTGTGGACGGCACAAACGGGCAGAAATACGGCATAAGGAAGTGGATGAAAAGTTACGGGAATATTAATAGTAGAAGTAATCGGGTTGCCTTATGTTCTTCTACTTCATTATACCATTTCAGGCTTATTCTCTACCCATTGCACAGCATGGAGACCACCAAAGCACAACTAGATTTCCAGTCGTGCACTTCAGCATCCTTCCCGGGGCTCTGCATGCTTCTGCCCAGATGAAGACAAGTTCGTGCAGCACCCTAGATAGCATGTGACCAGAAAGTTTCAAGGTCCACCAGCGCCGTTTCGCGTACGGCGTTAGGTAATAATTCGATCAGCTGTAACATGTATATATTGTCCGCCACGGCGACACGTCATTCAGTATAGTTTATCGTATGCTGGATCGTGCATTCGTGGAACCGCTGTGGGATGCTGTAGGAGGCACTGCCGAGACGCGCGATTGCAATCAAGTTCAGGTTTGGTAAGTGTAACGCCTGTAGCGCAAGGCAGATTATGCTAGTACTACCAAGCCTTACAGGGTCATCTGACGAGGCGGCTACATTAAGAAATGTATTCGAAAAGGCTAGAAGTAACAGTGGGAGCTATAAGTTCAGTACATTTGCGTGTATCATAGATCGTAGAATGGCAATTGCGCGTGTGAAGGGACCTTTCAATTGGCACTGCGAGGTGCTCAAGCTTGCACTGAATCATTGTCTGTCAACGGAGAGGCTTGATAATTTTCAATAAGAGACGCAGCTTTCATTAAACCAAGCCTGGTCTCGTGGCCCAATGGCAAGGCGTCTGACTACGACGGATCATGATTCAAACATGGTTTATCCTGCAATCAGGAGATTCTGGGTTCGATCCCCAGCGAGATCAACTTTTTGCTGCCACTGCATAATTGACTGCAGTCGCCCCGCACGGAACGAAGGGTCTCCGGCGCCACAAACATTCTTTTTGTCTTATTCTGTTGTTGTCATCGCTGGCAGTGACTATCCTGGTCGTTTGGCCGACAGCGACAAAGCAGGTGGCGTAGGTCTGTTCCAGGCGGCCCCGGGGCTTTCGTCAATAGGTAGCATTGGCAAATCTCACTCAGAAGCACAGCACGCAAAACAGTATCAGAATAGAGCTGGTGTGATCACCGCCGATGGTTGCTTCATTTCGCGCAATGCTGATAATAAAGCGATCTTGGATTTGCACAGAATGTAGTTAGGAGCTAAACTGTCTCTTTTCACATGTCCCAACAAACATAATGAATGGACCGTGACCGAGTCGTCTCAAACTCCCATTTCTAGAACCCCCAGAGCCGGCTCATCAAAGTCAGGAGAAGTATTGGACGGGGAAACTCACGAAGCAGGAATCTTTGTTGCTCGCCGAGCAGCAAACCCTTCGTGAGAAGACACAGAGTCCTGCAAGACACGCAGCTTTCGACCCGTCTACCTCGGTTACGTCTTATGAGAACGATATGAAGTGACGAATACGCTTGGCGACGGCGTTTACGCAATAACAAAGCTCGTGAGAGACCTGAGACCTCCGCATGTCACTATAATCTTGGCGACCCTGCTACAAAGAATCCACTAACCGAGTCCTAGCCTCGAGGCAGGAATCAGCTTTCCAGCGGTCAGTGTCCCAAAAGCAGTTGTACACTACCCAGAGTTGCCCGCCGTCGAGCAGGAACTCATGATGCAGCTACGCAACGGCAATCCGGGGCGACACGATCTGGTACGAGATGTTCTTGGCGAGGCTTCCCCGGGATGTGCGTGAGGGATTTGGCAAATTTTGTCAGGACAATGACGACGATCGATCAAGCCGAGAGGCCGACCCTCGGGAACATACTCAGGCATCCATAGTTTAGTGCTTTGCCGCCAAGCAACCCGGGTCACGTAGATAGCAACAGAAATCGGCAGAAGTCTCTCCAGAAGACTAACTCCTGGCACAATTGTTGATGGGCCGAGTCGGCTTGTTGTCAATGCAGATCAGCAAAGTCAGTCGTGCTCCACATTATTGAGAGCCAAAAGTCAATGAAATCCACATTGATCTTGTGATGATATCCCACGATAGCGGCCGCTGAGTCTCCATCAACCAATCACCGACCGGCTCGATCTCAAACGAAGCTGGATTCCAATCGCTCGGTTAGCTCAGTTGGTTAGAGCGTCGTACTAATATCTTGCCCTCGTCAGGGTGACGTATACAGTAAATGCGAAGGTCATGAGTTCAACCCTCATACTGAGCAATGTTACCTTTTTGGCTCTCATGTGCGCTGCCTAGCATGCTTTTTGTCCTGCGGGCGAACGTGGCTGGCTGGCGGAATGCTGTGGTGCGTCATGGTGGCGCGTGGGCCAAGTGATGCGAGGGGTGGTCTGCCGACGTGCCTACCAGCCGGGCGAAAACATGTCCCTCACCAGAAACCGTGGATGGGCAGCAGAAGCAATTCAAGGTTACCACGCCAGATCCTATGCTCCTGGCGGCATGTTTCGCGGGACGATCCTGTCGCACAGGTGCGGGGAAGTCAGATTTGGAGATAGCGCTCTGAACGAGCCAGCATGAGCATCCTGCTTAGCCAGGGTCCTCGTGTGACTGCCGAAGCGCCACAGCGGAAAGGCGCGAGAACGCTGCAGGCAGAGGCAGGGGAGGCAGAACTCTCACCAAGTCGATTTGAGCACTATGCAAAGCCTATCTTGGCCCGGAGCTGATCTAGCTGATAGGAGCCAAGGAATCCGCGACTAGTGGTTAGTGCGGCCCGACTCCTAACCACGCGGGCTTCACTGACTACCCCAAAGTAGGGTCTGTCACACCTAGGTCTATTTCCTGTTGCGGGAGGAGCCGCGGGGCTTCGTCCTGTCTGGGGAGCACACCCCGGTCACCATTGCGGACATGCCGCATGATTGGGGGTCCCGAGGTCGCCGATGGACGTTCTCATCTGCGGTGGCGGAACTCGGCCGCGCAGCTGCCTTCGGAGTCGCCTTTGGCCTGGAAGGAATCGGTTATCAGCAACCACACCTAGTGCAAATACCCGATGGTGCCTTGTGTAGTCAGCAACACATCTAGGCTCTGCTCAACGTTACATAGTCGTTGTAGGGTGTGAGGGGCACCGAGTATTATTTGGGTCGAGCACGCATAGGATGTATCCCTCATATCTCCTCCTATTGACAAATTTTCACGATCACACGTCAAGCAGCGCTTAAGCAAAGTGGGCTAGGATGACATATATCCATTCGAGAGAAATCGGTCTCAATATGGCGCTTTATACTTATGAGTATAAAGTATTTTTTGCCGGGCATCGACCTGCATCACGATCGCATCTGCTTCCAGGTGACACAAAGATAACAGCGAAAGCAGCGACTTGGGATCACTACTCGAAGCGCCAAGGATCAAGCCCGTGGCCACCTGTATGATCTCCACGGCATGCGTGCCTGCTCCATACTCGAAGACACTACTACCCTGGATCGTGCACGCGCACATGCAAGGGCGGGCCTGTCAACCCGTGCACTGCTACGTTACCTCTCACCACCCACTTGACCACACTAAAGTCAGGGTCTCAGGGGCAGATGATGGCGATCAAACACCACTACTGACATGACAGGATTGTGCACGCAGCCAATCACGCATGTGCCCACAGTCTGTATGTGGCAGTAGCGGTGCGACGCTGCAATCTCAAGAACAAGTCATCGGATGAAGGGAAGTCACTGGATACTGAGTTGTGACTCGGGAACAGAATGCTCGGCTGTAAGCGAAGACGACCATAATCTTGTATAAAAGCTAAGACGAGATTGCCCAAAATCTGAGAAACTCGAGTTCCACTACCAGTTACGCCCAAGCTGCAGTGCGCTCTCAAATATCACTCCTTCAAATATTACATTCCTTTAACACATACAATCCTTTCAAGCCATGGTTCGCCTGCTTACGACTCTGCCCGTCTGGGCGGCCATTCTCCTGAATGCCATCCCCACAGCGGTCAACGCCCAATCGACATGTGCCACCAAGGGCCGCCCAACAGGCAAAGTCCTCCAGGGCTACTGGGAGAGCTGGGACAACTCAGCCGTGCACCCCGGCTTTGGCTGGACGCCCATCAACAACTCGGCCCTGCGCCAGCACGGCTACAATGTCTACGCAGCGGCGTTCCCCATCATCCAGCCGGACGGCACCGCGCTGTGGAGCAACACCATGGACGCCGGCAGCAAGATCGCGACGCCCGAGGAAATGTGCGCAGCCAAGGCGGCCGGCGCGACGATCCTGCTCTCCATCGGCGGGCAGAACGGCGCCATCAACCTGGCCTCTAGCGACGTGGCGGACCGCTTCGTCGCGACGATTGTGCCGATCCTGAAGCAGTACAACTTTGACGGCATCGACATTGACATTGAGAACGGGCTCGTCAACTCGGGCAACATCAACACGCTGTCGACCTCGCAGGCCAACCTGATCCGCATCATTGACGGGATCCTCGCGGCCATGCCGTCCAACTTTGGGCTCACGATGGCGCCCGAGACGGCGTACGTCACGGGCGGCAGCGTCGTGTACGGCAGCATCTGGGGCGCGTACCTGCCCATAATCAAGAAGTACGCCGACAACGGGCGGCTGTGGTGGCTCAACATGCAGTACTACAATGGCGAGATGTACGGGTGCAGCGGCGACTCCTACCCGGCGGGCTCGGTGGCCGGCTTCATCGCCCAGACGCAGTGTCTCGACCGGGGCCTCGTGGTGCAGGGCACGACAATCAGGGTGCCGTACGACAAGCAGGTCCCCGGCCTGCCGGCACAGGTGGGCGCCGGTGCGGGATACCTGTCTACGGACCAGGTGAATTCGGTGTGGAACAACTTTGGCGGGAGCCTCAAGGGCATGATGACGTGGTCGATCAACTGGGATGCCTCAAAGGGGTGGACCTTCGGAGACAACCTCAAGGGTAAACTGGGCACTGCATGAGCGTTTGTTCTGCTGGCACCATCTTCCTTTACCTTTTTGAGGTGTGGATTCTGGGACACGATTCACGCATTTCTTGTTAATATTCTGAATATGTACATATCTTGCCGAGAGTTGCTCGAGGTACGGGAAAGGCGTTGCTGGTCTTGTGGTATATTTGATCAATGATAAACGAAAGTCCCTGGTTTCGGAGCAGAGAGTGCCTCCAAAGTGAAGTGGGAGGATCCGCTCGAGTCTACCACGATTCACCGCGGCTCCCTAAGCCCAGGCCCACGAGGCGGGCTCGAGATCAACAAAAACCCCCCTATAATGTACTAGAGACGGCACCCCCAGAAGTTCTAAACCCGCTTGTCACCGCCGTGGTCCGATATTAAGTCCACATGGCGGGTGTTTTGCGGCTCGGCTCTGGAAGGCCGCAAGTGGGGCGCTCTCAGCCGATCTCGCTTCCGACGCCGGTCCATGACGAGATGAGCCGCAAAATGGTTCTTGCACGCCGGGGGGCGATCTCAGGAGAGCCACACACATAAATGCAGAGCCGTGTCGATGGTGGATTAGGACCGTTCGTTTTACTTGACAAACACACACACGGGCGGATCACAGACAACACTCACCGCCATGGCCGAACACCAAGCAGAAGTTCGAGAGGGCAGCCAGCCACGAACAGCCAGCGACGAAGGCACGCAGAGACACAGCCCTGACGCAGGCGAGGAGACGAGCCACAGTCTCGAAGAGGGCCGCAATTTACCGCCGAAGGACCTCGAGGCTGGGACAAACGCGATTCACAAAGTCGAGACCCAAAGCAGGCCATTCTCCAGCTTCACCCACCCCCAAAAGCGCGGCATAGTCATGGCAGCCGCCACTGCGGCCTTCTTCTCACCCCTAACGGCCTCCGTCTACTTGCCAGCTCTTCCGACAGTTGCCAAAGACTTTGGAGTGTCGCTCACGGATATCAACTTGACCGTAACTACTTATATGGTTAGTCACCACTTACTTGCCTCTTCTCGCCACCTTTAGTGTGTGCGCGCCCAGCTGACATCCACCACCAACAGATCTTCCAAGGTCTCACGCCAATGTTTGTTGGTGCCTTTGCCGACTCGGCAGGCCGGCGGCCCGCCTACATGTTCTGCTTCGTCGTGTACATGGCCGCCAACATTGGCTGTGCCCTTGCGCCCAACTACGTGGCGCTGCTCATCCTTCGCATGCTGCAGTCTGCTGGCTCCAGCACGACGGTGGCTCTTGCGCAGGGTGTCGTCTCCGACATCATCACCTCGGCCGAGCGTGGCAGGTACATCGGGTACATGTCGCTGCCCATCATGCTGGGGCCCTCGCTGGGGCCCGTGCTAGGTGGCGCGCTGGCAGAGTATCTCGGTTGGCGCTGGATATTTTGGATCCTGACCATCATGTGCGGCTGCGTGACCGTGGCATTCCTGCTTTGGATGCCCGAGACGTGCCGTGGGATCGTGGGCGATGGGTCCGTCCGCCCGAAGCACCTGTATCACCGATCGCTGTGGCAGGTCGGCAAGGAGTCTCTGGCGACTAGATCGAGGCTCAGGAAACAGGCACAGAACAGCGGGCAGGGCGAGGGGCAGGCGGTAGCAGCAGCAACAGCAGCCGTACCGCCCGAGCAGGCGGTCACCAGGAGCAAGTTCAACGCCTTCCGTGCGCTAACCTTGCTCGTGAAGCCCAGCATGGCCATCCTCCTGTTCTACAGCAGCCTCGTGTTTGCCAACTTCTACTGCATCATGACCTCGATCCCCGCCCAGTTCAGCTCAGTCTACCACCTGACCGACCTCCAGACGGGGCTCATCTACCTCCCGCTCGGCCTGGGCACCATGATCGGCTCGCAGCTCGCCGGGCGAGGGCTGGACTGGAACTTCCGGCGCCACTGCCAGCGCCTCGGCATCCCCTACGAGCGCAAGAAGCAGACGGACCTCTCGTCCTTCCCGCTCGAGCGGGCCCGCCTCGAGATCGGCATTCCGGTCCTCGTCGCGGCCAACTGCCTCGTCCTGATCTGGGGCTGGGTCCTGTACGCCCGGACGCACATCGCCGTCCCCTGCGTGATGCTGTGCCTGCTGGGCATCACCCTGACGGGCTTCAGCAACACCATCAACACGCTCATCGTGGACATGAACCCCACGGCCGCCAGCGCGGCGACGGCCAGCAACAACTTTACGCGCTGCCTCATGGGCGCGGCCGCGAGCGCCGCCATCCAGCCCATGATTGAGGGCGTGGGGCCCGGATGGGCCTTCACGATCCTCGTGGCCATCAGTACGGTCGCGGCCCCGCCGACGTTTTGGCTGGTGCTGAACAAGGGGATGGGATGGAGGAAGGAGGAGCAGGAGCGGAAGAAGAAGCGGGCCGAGGAGCTGGAGAAGAAGAAGAGGGAAGGAGTTGAGGGAGGCGAAAAGTGAGGATAATCAAGAGGCTGTGGGCACCCAGATTGAAAACAATGCTCGCATCAAATCTAAGCATCAAAAGAACTAGATATACAGTCAAAGTACATGAAATAGAATAGAGCTACGAGACGGATCATTGCCAGCGGTGTGTTACTAATTCATGTCAACCATTGTGTCGTCAAAGTTATGCTTGCAGTCCTCCAGGTTCCTCCTCGTTGGCTTATGACAGAATACAATACATAATTCAAGACCTGCATACTCGGTCCCGGATTGGGGCCATGACGATCTTGCCCAGGCAGCTTATGCACAGCCAAGTCACGGAGGACCTTCTACATTGCGCTCTTTCGCCTTGCCAGCTTGGCATGCAGCATCCCGGCACCTTTCTTGGCATAATGTCGTCACCCCATAGAGGCGTCCCGGCGATTGGTCACAGTCCGGCCCCCGGATGCCGGCCTTGCAGGGGATTCTTCCGCGTCCCGCTGTAGTTCAATCTCAGCGAGCAAGCTGGAGCGGGTGGGCCGCTGCGTATCCCTGCCCGATCCAGCCTGGAAAACGCGCTGCGCTCTCGGCCGACTACGCCTTGCAGGGAAGCCCCCTCGTCTTTGTGTGTGGACTCGATTCCCAATGCCAGCCTGCCATTCGCGCATTCGAGTCCGAGACCATGTTACATATTATGTACGCAGATGGTCAGAAATGCCCAGCCCCCAATTCCACTTGTGGGCCGGAGCTTGCCTTTATAATACCGAGCCGCCGCTGACTGACTGACTTGACATCCTCCCGACAGGGGGATGAACCTAGTCTGGCTCCAACAGTCGCACAAGCTTCCTCTCCACCTGCCTACCCTCGTCCTTTCCCGTCTGGCTCTCTTCCTCTAATTATTCTTTTGTTACATAATTTTCCTGCCCCGCGATTGTCAAGTGCCTTTTGCTTTCTCCTTACCTCAGTGCGGACCGTGCGTTGCGGCTAAATACGCTCTCGATCTCCTCGTCAGCTTGCTGTGCAACGGCAGCATACAGCTCAGGATGCGGGTTCCATGGCCAGTCGCGATCGCGTGCTCGACAGTGACAGTGGCAGCGGCAGCGGCCAGTCAGATGCACGACGACGAAATTCGCAGCGTCGGGGACGGCGCGTCGACGTCGTCATCGTCTTCCGCTCACGTGGAAGCAAGACAGGCGAGCGGCAATCCTGCTGTCGACAGTTTCATCAGAAGGTTCCATCCGTCGGGTAGGTAGTTCCAGCTCCCCAGACACGAAGATTGCGAACTCTATGAAGAAATACCTGGGGCTGACTGTTATCATTATTCAACCACCGATATAGCGGCGAGACTCGGCGACTATCTCTACGTCGATGGCGGCTCGATATCCCGGCTCGTCAACGACAGCAGCCAGGTCAGAGCAAGTAAGCGATGCAATCCCCCACTCCACCCTCCCCCCGAAAGACAAAGACCCAAAAGCACGTAGGATATTAATCTCTCCACACACAAAAAAAGTGAACGCGACCGTCGCAATCCCCCTCAACGAAGCCTGGACGAACCAGACCCTCACGATGCGCGAGATCGACCGCACCTTGCTCCCCAACGTGAATCTCCCCGTCCTCTGGGCCGACCCGGCGGGCAACGCACTCTACACGTATGGCGGGGACTCGATCGGGACCAACTCGACGTACACCAGAGCGCAGCAGTATTTCAAGTTCACTCCGGCTGGCGGCGGGCGGGACGGCTCATGGTCCGAGGCGACTCCAGCCGACGCGTTCAAGTTTTCCCAGCTGTACAAGCCCGCCCGGAGCGCCTTCACCTCGTGCAACGGCGTGGGCTACTCGCTCGGGGGCTACGCGTACGGCGGCACGGACGACCGGTTCTCCGGGGCGGACAGCGGCCTCCCGCTCGCGGGGATGGCGACGTACGACTTTGCCACGCGGCTGTGGGACAACGTCTCCCTCGCGGACGCCTTCTCCGGCGGCAACAGCGCCGGAGGGATGCCGGGATACTACCCGACCAACGGGGCCGCGGTGTGCCTGCCGGACCTGGGCGGCGCGGGCGCGCTCATGTTCTTTGGCGGCAGGGGGCTCAGCGCGAACGGGCGGGACTCGGTGCCCTTGCAGCTGAACGACATGCTAATCTACGACATCGCGGGCAAGCGCTGGCTGTGGCAGGGCACGCGGGGCGCGGACGGCGCGGCTGGGGTCCCGAGGCATCGCAGGGATGCGTGTGCTGCTGTGGGCAGGGGGAGGAACGGAACTTATGAGGTGTAAGTTGCTGTTGCTGCTGCTGCCCGCTTCCCTTGAAGCCTTTTATCTCGCAGGGCAGGATTCGCTCCCTACGAGAGAACGACCACCCGGGAATTGTTTTGTGTGGAATGTGAAGCTGACTTGAAGAAATCGTGCGCCATAACGATAGCTTCGTCTTTGGCGGGCGCCCAGCAAACGACGAGTCCAACCTGGCCCACGGCGACATGTGGGTGCTCACGATCCCCGGGTTCAAGTGGTTCAAGCCCTCGGGCGCGGAGCTCGACCAGGGGAGGGCGTTTACCAGCTGCGTCCCCGTGGGCAGGCAGCTCGTCGTGGTCGGCGGCGTGCGCGAGCAGAGCAACAGGCAGTGGAGCGTCGCGCAGACGGACCCCTGGGCGCAGGGCGTCGGCGTGTTCGACATGACCGAGCTGGCCTGGAGGAGCTCGTACTCGCCGGACGCGGGGGAGTATGACTCGCCCGCGGTCGTGCAGGACTGGTACCGCAATGGGTGAGTTTTTTTGCCGAGCGCTGGAACGCTTGGGAACAGTGTTGTTCTCCCGGAATCCCCGGGCAAGTAATCATCATCATGACTGACGCTTTGAGGTGGACAGCGGTGTTGCAGAGTGGAACGAACCTGGCACTGAGACCTTTTTCTCTGGTAAGCCGGCGTCCTTGACATACCACACAATCCGCCATGGCGCAGGCATACCCGTAACAAATGACTAACACTCAGAACAGCGGATCAAGGCCCCTCTCCGTCCCCCGCGCCCGGAGGCGGAAACTCACCCGGCGACGACAACAGCGGCGGCAGCGGCCTATCCAGCGGCGCCACCATTGGCGTAGCAGTGGGCTGCTCGATCCTGGGCCTCATCATCATCGCCGCGCTCGCCTGGTTCTGCATCCGGCGGCGCAGAAGAGCAGCCGGCCAGCAGCGTGCCGAGCTCGCCGGCAATGTGGACAACACTCCCACTAACCACGCCGCCGAGACCACCGCCGGATACCCGAACCCGAACGGGGACCCGGCGATAGCCCGGTCTTCGTTCCTTGCGTCGCCTTCACCGGGAGGGAGCGTCTCGCCGTGGAACAAGTCGGAGCTGGCTGCGGATGCGGGCACCCAGGATTATGTCCAGCCGCAGCAAGGGCACCAGTACCACCAGACGGGGCAGCAGGGACTGTATCCGGGGGAGCAGTATCCGCAACAGCATCATCAGCCGCACCAGCAGCACCAGCAGTGGGCTGAGCTGGAAGGGCAGGGGACCTATGCTGAGCTGCCCCCGCAGGATCCGCGGCTACCGCCATACGAGGTTCCGTCTACACCGACGGCGGCCGGGAGGTGACCCGGAATCTCTGATGCAGGATCCGGGTTCGAAGTCGAAGTATTTGAAGGCGGCTTGGGACATAGAGCAGCAGCGCCAGGGGGTCTGTGAATAGTTCCACACGCTGTAGTAATAACAGTATCGCCCGTACGTGATAGCGTGGTAGTAACCCAACGCTCTGCTCGTAATTGTAGCATCACTCGAGACTGCCAGAGCAGTAGTGTCCGCCAGATGAGCATGACTATTTGGCTGACGGAGCTAGTTTCCCAGTTCCAGGGCGTGTGAGCAGGATCACTGGGAAGCTGGAACGTCAAAGCCCCAGCCAAAGTCATCGAGAATGCCCCAGTCGGCGCCCAGCAGGGTGTACATATCCGCCAGTCCCGCGGACGGTGGCGGCAGCCCCGTGGTCTCGCTCGGCAGCGCCGCGGTGCCGCTGCCACCGAAGGCCATCTGTGCGCTGGATTGCATTTGCTGGTGCTGGTACTGCTGTTGCTGCAGTCTCTGCTGGTCATGCTGAACCGCTTGGTACCCGCCGGTGCCTGTCGATGCAGCCTGGGTCCTGGTCCTGGTATCACTAGCCGTGACACCATTTTCAAAGGCTGTGGTGTGTGTGGCGGAGCTTGTCGATGATATCTGCTGCTGCGGCGGTGGACCCCGACCACCAACAGTCTCGGTCGCAGCCGGGCCTACTTGCATGCCCTGGCCAGATGTGTGCGAGTGCTGCACCGCATAAGGACCCATCTGGACGGGTCCGTACTTGGTCTTCCAGCGGATCATGAAGTCGAACCCCGGGCCTGCGACCATGCGCCTGCGGAACGCCTCGACTAGGATAGGCTCGTAGTCGAGATCAGCTGGGATGGGTGATCCGGCCTGCTCATTGTCAATACTGCCAGCGTTGCCAGCGTTGCCATTGCGATTGCCATTGCCGTGACGGCTGGGCGGCCCATCCTTGTCTCCTCTGGCGGCGGCAGCAGCGGCTGCAGCGAGGTACGGCGCGCTCGAGGAGTCCCACAGCTCGACGCACCGCGCAAGGCGCCACGCCAGGTCTCCCTCGACGGCGGATACGCGGCGGGCTATCGTGACCGTGAGACTGGAGACCCTAGCGGCTTCCCCCGGGTCGACGACGCTCCGGTACCGGAGCGGCAGGTCTGAGCGGATGGTGCGGAAGATGACGCAGATGGCGTGGGCGATGGGGCGGATCGTGTAGTGCGGGAGGTAGTGCAGGAGGTTGGTGGTCTCGTCGAGGGCGGCGACTCGCGTGATGAGAGTGGATGCGGTGGTGTAGCAGCGCAGTATGTCGGCTTCGATGGAAGGGGAGAGTGGAAGGGTACTGGTCTCGGGTGGGCCGGCAACAGCGGCGTGTGAGTTGCTCACGTCAGGTTTGAGAAGGAAGTAGTACATCTGGATCTCGACCAAGACGAATAGGGTATAGAGGGAAGACATAGAATCTGTATAGGCATTATCCAAGGAAGTCAGCATCACGCGACAGAATTGACCAGGCAGCAATCCCTTGTGGAAAAAACACGTACCTGTGTATTTGGCGAGAATGCGTGCCCGGGACGCACTCCATTCATCCTCAAACATGTGGACTAATTCTTGGGGCACGCGGTTTGACTCTTCCACAGCCGAGCTGAGTGTCTGGTTGACCCGGTCCATGAAGACCTGGCACTCGAGCTGCACCCGGAAAGTGGTGGGCAGAACACTAGCCTCATCTTGAAACATGTTCCTCGTGGCTTTGTTACATGGGGGACCTATGCTTGGGACGCCCAGGTTGGTCGATAGCCTGTGGATCCTTGTCAGTTGATGTTGCGCACCCCAGAACCGAGGGGTGGGTCATACCGTTTATTCAAGATAGTACAGGCCGCCCATGTTACAGCAGCGTCCTTGTCAGACGCCATCACAGCGAGAGTGATATGAGTGTACTCTGGATGCCGGCCGAACCCGGTGTGGAACCCTACAAGCAGGCACGAGTTGAGGGCGACGCTGCTCAGCCAGTAGGCCGGGTCGTTGATGAAGCGGACTCCCGGGTACAGGCCCCACGTGGCGACGAGGAGGACCGCGTGGAGCTGAGGCAAGGGCAGGGGCACTCTGGGAACAGCGGCATCAGTCTCGTGCTTGATATGCTCCGCGAGCAGGCGAAGGGAGGCCGGGGTGCTGCGGGTGGGTTGACGCCGGCAAGCGATGAGTATGATGGTCCAGAAGAGGAACGGGCTGATGTCGTAGCATTTGTCTGGGCTGCGTTCGCTGACAATGGGGAAGTGCGGGTGGGAATGCCGGAAGAACCTGAAGTCGGCGGATGATGTCAGTTTTCCACAATCACACTGGGAAGTTTCGATGATGGGGATACACGGAAAAGGCACGCATACAAGTCGAAATGCTCATCAATCTCTGGCCCAGTAAATGGCTGCGAGTTGAGCGCTCTAGGAAGGCTGGGTGCTGCTTGTCTCGAGTCTGCTTCTACGTCTTGCACGAGGATACTCGTATCGTGGGCATCATTGTGCTCTGAGGCAGCAGTGGAAAGCGCAGACTGGGTTGCCACGGCCGTGACACTGGAGGGAGAGGCATTGCTGGTGCTTTGTAGCCGCTGAGACCAGGCGCCTGGGCTCGACGATGATACAGGCTGCGGTGCCGGGTGCCTGTTGCTGCCCACGGTCTCCTTGATGGCCTGCACCTCGCGGGCGAGCTGGTCAAGCTGGCTGAGGAGTGTTTGACATCATGTTAGTCGACAAGCAGACAAATAGACCCTCAACACCGACCGTAATCTGTCTTGTGACATCAGAGACTGACCTCTTGCGCGTCACGCGTCGATGTGTGGGATCGACGAGACACGACAGGTCGAGCTTGGCGCAGCGCTGGCAGGGCTCGCCGGGGACGGAGCTCGGGTTGCAGCGCACCTTTGACGTGCGGCAGCGGGTGCATGCCGCGTTGCGCGACACGCGCGTCGCCCGGCCGGGAGAGCTGCTCGCGCGGTCGGCCATGGTGGCGGCAGACGGAGATGGACGTGTTTGTGAGGGGGAAATGCGAACTCATCAATCAAGAGGAGCATTGCAAACAGACAGCCGGACATGAAGTTGTGACGTCGGCTGAGGGCACGTCGGCTCGGCTGACAGGTGAGCCGATGTGGGGCTGCACAAGTGTCCGAAATGGCCTTGGGCCTAGGTCTCCACCAGGGCACATCATCAACCCCAAATCACCTGTCAGGCATATTTGGGACACCCAGTTATGGGGGCATGACAGACCAGCACAGCACAAGTCAAGAGCTCTTGTAGGCAAACCAGCTCAGAAGCCCACGCCAAACATTTAAAAGCAGAAGCGCTAACCACTAAATACGCAAACGACGACGCTTCTAATAATGCCTACGCCGACCGGTGCCGCCCCTTCTGGATCATCTTGAGCCTGCGCAGGAAGCGCCACGACAGCCAGCTCGAGGCGGCCAGGCTGCCCCCGACGAGCAGCGCAAAGGCGTAGTTGCTGTCCTCCATGAAATTGACGACGTTCATGCCCACATAGCCCGCCAGCAGCGTCGCCGAGGCGAGGCCAACCATGGCGATCTCGATCTTGGTGTCGAGCACCATGATCTGGTTGCGCCGCACATTCAGGATGTTCTGGATCGTCTCGTCGGTGCGCTTGATGTTGGCCATGACGCCCGCCGCGCCCTGCGCCACGCCGTCACACGCCTTGAAGTAGGCCTCGAGCATGTACTCGACCTCCTGGTGGTCGCCCGCCTCGTGCCGCCTCCCGTTCTGCTTGTCCGTCAGGTACATGTCGGCCATGTCGCGGTCGTCGTCCATGACCTCTCGCAGCGCACTGCACACCGACCGCGCCCGCTGCTCGATGCCCGCCAGCTTGCGCACCAGGTCCAGCAGCTCCCGCACCTCGGTGTGGATCAGCACCTCGTCCTTGTCCAGCAGCTGCGAGTCGAGCTCCGACAGCACGGAACCCGCCCGCTGCCGCGCCAGCAGGTACTCGGCCTCGATCGCGCACGTCACCGCCGCCATCGCCGCCTCCACAACCCGCAGCTCGTACGGCAGCGCCGCCGGCTCGATCCCGCTCACCGTCGACGCCCCCGGGCAGCTACCGCTGCTGTTGCTGCTGCTGTCCTTGTCGTCGTTGCTGTTGTTACTGTTGCCATTGTTATTGTTATTGTTGTTGTTGTTGTGATGGTTGAGCTTGCCCCCCGTGGCCCGCATCTTGGTCTCGAAGAGAATACCCGCGACCGTCATGGCCGGCTCATGGATCCGCTCGGGCGCCGCCGCCGCCGCCGCCGCCGCCGTGTCGCCACTCTTGACAGGCGCCAGCTGGCCGATGATGTCCTGGGTGCTGCTGCTGGCGCTGCGCCCGTGGTGGTGGTGGTAGTGGCGAGTGCTCGCGCTGGCACTACTGCTGCGAGGACTGCCTCCTCCGTCCTGCTGCTGCTCCTGCTGCTCCTGGTCGACGTGCAGCACCGCCACGCGGTTCGCCTGGACCAGCAGCCGCAGGCAGAACATGTGCACGAGGATGGTGCTACGGCGGATCAGCAGGTGCGGCGACCCGTCCGACGCCAGGTCCACCACCCGCAGGTCCCGCGGCGACAGGTCAAACTCGCGCGAGATGTCGTGCTTGCTCATCGGCACCGCCGCCGTCGCCTCCTCCGGCTGGTCCGACTGGTGATACATGGTGCACCGCAGCTCCGCGTGCCCGTTCATCGGCGTCCGCGACAGGCCCTGCGCGAGCTCCAGCAGGTCCTCGGCTTCCTGGGCCGCCGCGCGCCCGGCCGCATCGGACCGCCTGTGCAGGCCGCTGAGGCGGCGGCGCCCGTCTTTGGGGGTCACTCGCGGCGGGGGGAAGAGAAGGGGTGGCGACGATGGCGCTGTGAGGAGCGGGGGCAAGGAGGGCAGCGAGGGCAGCGATGTCGACGGGATCGCAGTCGAGGGTAGCCTGGCGCGTGGCATCGTAAGTAGTGGTGCTGCCTGGCTGGCATGCCATGCCGGTGCTGCGTGGAAGCCGCGACGTGTCGTCGTCCTGGTTGTTGTCTTCGTCGTCGTCGTTATTGTCGGTGCAGACCGCGGCCAGCGGCTGCAGGTCATCTTGTAGGGCGGAAACGGCGCTGCTGCACGTCGCCGGACCGCATCCACTGCATCCCGTGCCGATGCCCTCATGGCGGATCCGCGGAGCACTCTCTCCGCCCGGTTCGCAGTCGACATTGACGGTGGTGAAGAAGGTGACCGTTGCCAACGTAATGATCGCGTGAGGCTGGTGTTGAGGGACACCCGCAAATGACGTAGCAACGACGCCAAGGCGCACCGCTCGACGGCCCACTACTCGTCGCAGACAGGGGGACGGAGGCCACAGTCAGCACAGCGTTCATCGACAAAGTAAGCATCCGGCATCGGCCGGGGCTGGCACATCAGATTCTGGAAATGCCATCGGGCGCAAATCTCCGGCCACATGTGGTCGCGTGATGTCTATAGCGCGCAACGAGCAAGGTATGCGTTATTCCCGCTTTTGTTATGCTCCTTGCTTATTTGCCCCCCTTCGCAAAACAGCGACTTTGACAGCAAGATACCATAGGAATGATGCGATGACTTCGTATACGTCTTTTGAGTGTGTCCGATTGTGGATGGAAAAAGGGTCCGCCGTGAATCAGCGGGCTTTGAACAACCTCGTGTCGTCCGAGCTGACCCAAGGATGATCCAACCATGATCATCAAAACGTGTCGACAGGTCAGCATTTGTGTAAACCCATGGTGTGAGTGGCAACCACAACATCAAAGACAAGTCAGAACAAGTGATGCTTAGAGGAGTTCTGGAGGTACTTAAAGATCCGAAATTCACGATTCGCCGTGAGTGGCCACATCTGGCTCTATAATCGCGTCCTGCATCTTTTCCGTTACCGGCGATGGCCTGGATTTGAGCATGTAAGACAGTGTTGCTGAAGAAAACAACGGCATAGTCCTTGTAGACTGGCACTTATGGTTACACAGCTCTCGTGTGCACCTTATTAACCTTGTCCGTTATGAGGTAGCACAGTGCATGTCCAAGGCCAGCCGATTGACGGCTGTATCTTAAACAGTTGGTCAAAGTCAGCCCCTAGGAGACATTTTGTCGGTGTACCAGTGCCCTGAAAGAAAGTAGATTTCGAAGCATTAGGTTAGAGGACTACATCGTCGTTTTCCTTTACCTAGTTTTTTCCGCAATAGCTAGCTGCATATGAAAGAGTTAAGAGAGTCAACAATTCATAGAAAGGTCTCAGAGTATTAACACTGCAATTGCTATAAGCCTAACATATAAAGGTCAAGAGGATATCGGATTATTCTCTTCTCGAGACTCTGGCCGCTTCCCAGTCGGCTAAACTACGACTACTCGCTTCTTGCCATGCGTACAGCGCAAAAAGACTAGATACCGTATCAGGGTGAGCCGGGCCAAGTGCTTTGTACCGAAGCTGGGCGCATTGGCGCATCAAGTCTAGAGCGTCGCTAAGACGGCCCTGGCCTTGACAAGTGAAAGCGAGATTGTTCATATAAGTTAACGTGTCGGGATGATCGGCCCCGAGCTTCGTCTTACTCGTCTCCATTACCTCCATGAACAGCTTCTCGGCCTCCTTGTACCGGCCCTGGTCCTGGTACGTCGACGCTAGGTTGGCTATTCTAGTAAGTGTCGCGGGATGATCGGCCCCGAGCTTCGTCTTGCTCGTCTCTATTACCTCCATGAACAGCTTCTCGGCCTCCTCGCACCGGCCCTGCTCCGAGTACGTGGAGGCTAGGTTAGCTATACTAGTTAGCGTTGAGGGATGATCGGCCCCGAACTTCGTCTTTCGAGTCTCCGTCACCTCTACCTCTAGCTTCTCGGCCTCCTCCCACCGGCCCTGGTTTCGGTACGTCGATGCCAGGTTGGCCATGCTGGCCAGCGTCGAAGGATGCTCCGATCCCAGTAACGCTCTGCGTAGGTCTACGGCCTGCGCTTGGAACTCTTCCATATCTCCCCATTGGCCTTGGTAGTAGAAAAGCCCCGCCGCACGATGGAGGAGAGACGCCCTCGCCAGCTTCTCCTCCCTCGACCCAGTCCCGCCCTGCTTCAGTACCGCATCTACGTGCGGAAGGTACGCCGTGCATATCAAACGGTTGTCATGGCTACCAAACGGGTAAATATGCGACACCGTCATGAGCGCCTGACCGCCGAAGTACCTAATCGTATCATTCTTGACAAGCCACTTTCTGGTCACCAACTGTACGAGTCGGTGCATGTCCAAGCTATAGTCTTTCTCCTCCACGACGAAGGAAAACGCCTTCAAAACCCCTAAAGCCTTGCTGAGTTGTACTTCCCCCCTTGGCCCTTTGCCCGACTGTTGCTTGCTGTAGTCGGACAAAAAGTCGGATGGAATGGCCTGCCGGTCGAAGAGGCTCATAAGCGAGAGAAGCTCGGCTGCGAAGGCGTTCTGCTGCTGGATCTGATCAAACGACAGAATCCACGTCTCCGTCACTGCATGAGGAGTCTTCGAGTCTCGCCCGACCGTCTCGAATTCCTCGCTAAGCAGTTCCACGAGTCCCTGGTCGCCCCCGCCCAGTAGCTGGAGGTACTTACTAATGGATACCGACTTTTCCTGCATAAAGGCGGCAGCCTGGACTAATGCAAGCGGTAGACGCTCCAGTCGAGACGAAAGGGCCGACAAGTCGTCGGCCTTAATTCCGCCCTCCTCGAGCTTCTTCTTGAGCAGCTCCTTGGATTCGCTCTCGTCCATTTCCCGGACCTCAATTGGTCGTCCACCCTTCGTGAGCCTCGAGCCAGCCTCCTTGTTCCTCGTCGTCACAACAACGGACCCGTGGGCGCATTCGGGTATGTGCCGTCCAACCCCTTCTGGCCCGCTGAAGAGCTGTGCATCGTCGGCATTATCGATCACCATCAGCCATCGGCCGCGCTCCTTCCTCTCCAGCCACCGCTTCAGCAGCGGCAGCATATCCGTCTTAGGATCGTCGTAACCAGGGATCTGGCATTCCTATGCGATCGATACATATGATTAACGAAACCGCTCGGCGTTACTCGCGTGGACCCAGAAGACCGATACGTCCGGAGACGTCTCTTACAGCCAGTACACGTATGCTAATGCAATCTGCGTTTTCCTGCGCCAAGTCAGCAGAGCCTACAATCCGGCAGCGACGATGTCAATTACCCAATGCCTCCTAGGCCGTAGAGAGCGACTCGCCGGTGTTGCTTGCCACTGCTCTGAGGTTGTCCATGGCCGAGCTGACTTTTCAGCTTTTCGAGGACGTCGGAACGTCCAACAAAGTCGGGATTCCAGGTGTACGGTACAAGAACTGCTTCCATTAGCTGATTCCATGCAATTTTCACCTGAGTTCTACCTACAGAACGTGCTCGAGCCACCATTCCTGTTCTGTGTCGCTGTCCCACCCGCCGATGGCAGATCAGTCTTGCTGATGCTCCGCAAGCCTCTCTCCACAGCGCGCCTCGCGAGCCCGGCCAGTCTCTGGACCACCTTGTCGTATTCCTCGTCGTGCTCGGCAAACTTGACCATCTCCGAGTGGGAGCGAGAGATCGGGCACATGTGTACCGGTCCATCCTCCCATGGGCGGCAGTGGGTGGCTGAGGTCTTGGTGACCAGGAATGCCGGGGGTCCCGTCATCGCCCAGCGACCATTTTTGTCCTGTGTTCCCTTTCGTCAGTTCTTCTGAATGTATCGAATTGGCGCCCCATGACTGGGTTGCAAGATTTACCTTCTGCGCGGTGGGAGACTGGAGGGTCTCGTAGAAGCAGAACACTTCCGAGTCGCCCTCCCCGCCGAGCACCGCGTGGAACTCTCGCCGCTGTGTGCTAAGTATATGCGAGTTGATGTGTCCGATGGACTCGACAAGGAACCGGTTGGGCTGGTCGCCCACCATCGGGATAAGCGAGCTGATGTCCATGCCATCGTGTGGCACGCCAAAAAAGACGACGCCGTAGACCGCCCCGAGCAGGAGCTCGTCGTCTCTGCTGTCCGACTTTGACAGCGATATGAGAGCCTGAATAAATGTTTAGCAAAAATAACATGCGGGAAGAGAGGGCACGGCCAAAATCAGATTTCTGTCGGGTCACATACCTGCTTGATAATCAGGCCGCCTAGGCTATGCGCAATGATGAGGATCGGCTTGATGTGTGTGCCCGTCGCTAGAGCTAAGAGGCTCGAGTGGAAAGACGCCGCGAGGTCTTCCAGGTTCTGCATGCTGTTGCTCTGGGGGATGCTGGAGCTGTAGCCGTAAGTCATGACCCGTGCAATTGGACGGCCGTTGCCTTCGAGGGTGGTGAGGTCGTAAGGCAGAGCATCGCGCAGCCACATGTGCTCTCCGCCTTTCTGCTTGAACGATCCGAAGGCGTGGCCGCCGAGCCCAGAGATGGCGAGGATGCTTCATTCTCGTCAACATTCGCTTGTGCTGGTGCTTGCGTGAGTGTCCTACTTACTCGAGCTTATGATCCTCAGATGGAGGAGAGAATAGCGTGGTGATACCGTGGAAGTGATCGTCAAGACTCAGACTTGGCTGCCGCCGGCCTGACCGTGACGGCTGGGCGGCCCCCGAAGAAAGCGAGAGGGGGACTGTCCATTTCCCGCCTGTCTGTATCGCAGGTGGGACGCGCTGGAAGGTTGCCGTGCCCACTCTCGAACTGCCACCAACCTCGTCTGCCAAGGACCAGACAGTTGGGCCGGAGGCCGAGCCGTCCCGAGACTGGAACTCTTCCTCCTGCAGAAAGGACTGAAGTTTCTTGACGTCCCAGTCTCGTGGCACCCCGCGGATGCGAAATGTATTGCCGGCCTTGGTTTGTGGTGGTTCTTGTTCCCCTGCGCCCTGCGACCGCTCTTCGAGCTGGGGATCCGGCAGGGTCTGTGGAGTCATCGCGACCACGACCGCCTTGGTCCATCGGCGGAGCTCTCCACAAACCACCACAAACCCCGGGTCGTCCGTGCTGGCGAACTTGGTCATGTCCATGTGGTTGCCGTGGATCGCGATCGGAATGTACCCGGGCAGAATGGCCGAATCCTGCGGCACAACCTAGGTACCAGCCTGTCAGTCAACCAAATGCACATCACGGGATACCACGCGCGCGGTCAGACTCACCTGGCCGACGCCCGGCAGAGGCAGCTCCTCAAAGAAGCAGCTGATCTCGATCGGCCAGCCTTCCTTTGCGCGTGACTGAAGCATCGTATGGAATCCATCCTGGATCCGGGCGAGGACCTCCGAATCGCGCCTCAGGACCGCCACGATTTCGGGGTTAGTCTGTTTGATGATCCCCACGGACCGCGACAGGAGCTCAGCCCATCGTGCCAACCCCGATCCATGGTGTGGCGTCCCGAGGAACGCGATGCCGCGTGTCGAATGCAGGATGTTTCGGAGGTGGCCCTCCGTCCGCTCTCTTGACTTGGACAGGGCCTGTCATCGTCGTCAGCTGCATGGCATTTCGTGGGCTTCAGGCAGAAAGAGGGGGAAAAACAAAAGAAAACATACATCCTCACAGACTAGGCCCCCGAGGCTGTGGCAGACAAATATGATTGGCCGTTCATTCTGCTCGCTTGACTTTAGCATCATGACTACCATACCCGGGATGGGCCAGCGGCACCTACCGTGTCGTCCTCTTGTCGATATGCCGCGAGAGTCGTTAGAAGACTCCATGCGTGGTTCGCGATGCGGCCCTGTGAAACCACACCCCGCCAGTCGGCCACATACGCATCGTATCCGAAGGTGAGGACACGCGCGGTAGGGAGCCTGGACGGGAGGAGGGCCTTGGGCCAGGGCTCGGATGCGCCAGCGGCCGTCCACGTTTTGTCGCGGTCGCCCGTCAGGCCATGGATGAAGACGATGCTGCAAGCCAAGTGTCAGCAGCCTAACAGATTCAGAGACCAAGGGCGGAGGCAGGAGGAGCACACGCACTCGACGACGGCGTCGGCAAGGTTTGCGGGGCTGTGGAGCAGCTTGATGCCGGCGGGGAAGGTCTTGCTAGTGCCGGAAGACGACGGCGCCGCCGGCGACGGTGCTCGCGGGTCCCGGTCGCTTGCGGCGCCGCTCGCCGGTTTTGGCTCCTTCGGCCGTTTGAAGAGCCGCCGCATTCTGCCACGCTAGCGGATGGCGGCGTCTCGTCCGAACCGTCATACGTGCTCTGCGGCTTGCGGGGTTTTTGGAGGCGGGCGAAGTGTAAGCGAGGACCTCCTGCTGGTGGTGCATAAGCACAGGGGCCTCGGCTTTTCTCCGGCACCCACGGCCGCTGCGGCTATTTTTGGCTCGCCCACAATCGCGATAATGGACTGACGGACCAATCGCCCTGACAGACAGATTGAACCTCTGGAAGCCGGATCGTAATACATGCTCAGGACGTCTAGATTGCTGCCAAGCCCTATATGGACAACAGCACGTTCTCGAATCGACAACGCCGAAGTCTCTCACATCTGCATAGTCATCCTTCCACAACGGCATAATCATCGTAGGTCGGCACTTGTGATTACACAGCTCTCGCGTGCACGCTGTCAACCTTGTCCATTGTGAGGTAGCACCAAGCATGTCCAGGGCCAGCCAATTGACGGCTGTACCCAAAACAGTTGGTCCAAACCAGCCCCTAGGAGACATTGTGCCGGCACACCGATCCCATCAAAGAAAAGAATTGCAAAGCCAAGCAAGTCGCTGGTGCAGGCTGGGTCGAGGATCCATCAGTATATCTGACGCGAATACTACCATCATCCCTCGGAACATGCCGTTTGGCCGTCCCTAACGGCGACACACTATTATGCCCACCACGAGAGCCCACAATAAGACTTGCCCTCGCAGAGGTCACGTCAGGAATACCACGTCGGGGCAAGATCAAGGCGCCAAGACTCTGGCAATGGCGATCTTGGCAGGACGGCAGTGAGCCTGCCTTTTTATGCGCGCCGAGCCATCCTCTAGTGCGCCGAGCCGGGCACGCAACCCGCTTTCGGCAGTTGGACAAGCACACGCACAGCGGTTCCACTGCAGATGCCACCAGGCCAATCAGGCAGGTTCTTCATGTGCTGCAGGTGCGATCTACAACGCTGGGATCACCAGGCGGTCTCGCTTGCGGGGGAAAACAGTACGCTAGGCAAGCGGGTTGATAGCAGCGGCGTATTGCAGGATCGCCTGCCCTGGCCGACTGGTCGTGCAGATGGGTCGCGTGAGCCGGCCTGCCTTTATGGTCCCGTGGGCGGCTCCCACAGGCGGGCTCCTGGAATGTCGGTCACAAAAGCAGACTTCTAGACCTTCTGTTGCTGGCAGCCGGAGTTGCATACCGCGTGCCAAGCCGGCTCCGTCCTGTCGATCATACACCACTGCCGATGACATTCCTATTCCTGTCGTGGCACGGGCTGTCCTCCTTAAGCTGGGGTAACACCTGACTGAGTACATAAGGCAAGGCACACCCCTACTGTCCTGCGAGGAGTTTGTGTCTACTGCGCAGCCGTCTCTTCTCGAACTGGCCAGTTTACTGCTCCGTCCAACGTGCCCCTAAGATCAAGATGCGTTTCTCTGCCACCCTCGCGACGGCCTTTGCCGCCACAGCCATGGCCTGCAGCTTCGAGCAGCACCCGTCCATGGTGGATCGCTTCGTCAAGCTCCGGGCTGAGCCCCTCGAGGGCGAGCCCATGTACACGCTCGAGTTTGCCGACGGCACGACTCGCCAAGTGACCGAGGACGAGAAGTGGGCTCTCAAGCGGGTGAGTGATAGCTTGATTTTCTTTCCCCCCTCGGACTGTCCTGGCAGACCATGATACTGACCGCCCGCCCCAAACAGGCCCACATCCGCTTCTTCGACATCACTGACCAGGGAGACGAGCTGGCAGTCTTCTCGCCCCCGTCCGTCCAGGCCTTTGCCGACGGCGAGATGACCATCCAGGCGTTCCCTACCACGCTGACCCAGGGCACGGCCGTGCGCAGCCTGATCGCCAAGTACAGCATCGACAACGTGCGCACGACGCTGACCAAGTTCTCGAGCTTCTTCAACCGGTACTACCGGTCCACGTACGGCGTGCAGTCCGCGCAGTGGCTGTTCGACACGGTCTCCGCGACCATCGCGGCGAGCGGCGCCAAGAACGTCTCGGTGCGCAAGGTGACGCACACCTTTTCCCAGTTCTCCGTCGTCGCCACCATCACGGGCACCTCGGCCAAGACGGTCGTGGTCGGCGCGCACCAGGACTCGATCAACCAGGGCAACCCGAGCAACGGGGAGGCCGCGGGCGCCGACGACGACGGGTCGGGCTCCATGGCGATCCTCGAGGCCTTCCGCGTGCTGCTGACCGACGCCAAGATCGTGGCGGGCCAGGCCCCCAACACGCTCGAGTTCCACTGGTACGCCGCCGAGGAAGGCGGGCTGCTCGGGTCGCAGGCCATCTTCCAGCAGTACGCGCGCGACGGCCGCAACGTGGCCGCCATGCTCCAGCAGGACATGGTGGGCTACTCGCCCAAGGGCGTGTTCGGCGTCATCACCGACAACGTGAGCAGCACGCTCACGAGCTTCACCCGGCTCGTCATCGGCGCGTACACGAGCATCAAGAGCGTCGACACCAAGTGCGGGTACGCCTGCAGCGACCACGCCTCGGCCACCCGCAGCGGGTACCCCAGCGCGTTCGTCTTCGAGGCCAGCTTCAGCGACAGCAACCCCAACATCCACAGCGTGAGGGACACGATCGACAAGGTCAACTTCCCGCACGTGCTGGAGCACGGGAAGCTGATCCTGGGGTTCATGTATGAGCTTGCTTTTGCTCCTAACATTTGAAGTTTGAGTTTGGCGGGCAAGTGAGTGGCAATGGTGGAGAGAGGTGTTTGTTGTTGTGGCGTGTGGTGTTGAGCTTGACGGGAGCGGTGCATTGAGCGTGGTGTTGGTGACAGGTTGAGATTTCTGCGTGTATATATGCCGACCGACTGGTGTTGATTACGTACATAAAATTACAAGACATAGGAAACTTTCAAAAGAATTTTGATTGCGTTGCGACCATTGGCATGCCCATCATATTGAACTCAACTGACCTCCGCTGTGGCTTGAGGGCGCTTCTGTAGACTTTCGCATAGGCACCGATCATCCGCGTGCAAGTCTCATGCGTATGAGGCATTTTTCTTGTTCTCGCCTAGTAGTGATGGGCAGTTAAGTTGTACTGCGCTAAAATTTGTCAACAGAAATGGAAAGAAAGGGCAAATGGACTTAACGGTCTTCCGCAACGTGGTATAGCAATCTGGACAGCGAGCATAAAAGCCGATAGACCCGTCTTAGAGGCTAGTATGCATCCTCGAACGCCATCATGGCGATCGACGCGTAAAAAGATAGCGTATACTGGAACGTCCTCGGTAGTGTCGGCCGATACCCACGCGCAGGGCCTAAGGGAATGATCGTCACCGACTATACGTCAGCCGATTCGGTTCCGACTGCTGCCCCACCACCCGTCCTGTGGACATTCACCAAAGTCCGTCCATAACGCCGTGATATCATTTCCATGCTGGAGCAAATTTGAAAGAATAAAAGGCAGACTTATACCTACCGATGACTTGTTCTTTCGTGACGTGAGTTCTCGTGCAAGTCGACAGCACTCATATCCTCAGTTCAACGCGCAGCCACACCACCCGTATAACCAACACAACAGCATCCACGATGGCCGCCACTCCCAGCACTTCCGCGCTCATCCTGCTCGACATCCAAAAAAGGGCATCATGCTGGGCAACTTCCCGGATAAGACACCGCAGTACCTCGCCCAGGCAGCCAAGGTCCTCGACGCCGTGCGCGCTGCCAACAAGACGGGCAACAAGCCGCCCACCACCATCGTCCACGTCAACGTCGCCTTCCGCCCCGGCCGGCCCGAGCTCAACCCGGGAAGCAGCATCGCCTCCCGGGTCAAAGACATGCCGGCAAATGTGTTCGTCGAGGGCGACCAGTCCGTCGCGCTTTTCGACGAGCTCACCATCCCCGCCGCTGCCAAGTCGGAGGACGAGGAGCCAGCGAACGAGGTGTTCGTCACCAAGCGCCGCGTCTCCGCGCTCTCGGGCACAGACCTGCCCACGATCCTGCGCGGGCGTGGGATCAACCACCTCGTGCTGTGCGGCGTAGTCACGTCGGGCGCGGTGCTGTCGACGCTCCGCGAGGCGGCGGATATGGATTACGGGCTGACTGTGCTTGGGGACCTGTGCATGGACAGCGACGAGGAGGTGCATCGCGTGCTGGTGGAAAAGGTGTTCACGAAGCAGGCGGAGGTTCTGACGGCTGAGGAGTGGGTTGCCAAGGAGTTTGCTTGAAGAGCTGACCGTGATGGATGGGCCGGAAGGTTTTGAGGGGTAGAGAGTGTTCGTGGCCGATGTCTAAATTTCAAGGAGTGTCCAGCCGACATTTCCGCGCATCCAGCTGTTGATTCAGGCAGGCTCCGCGCGGATCTTGTTCCGCACTGAACCTTGGAGGCAAAAGCTCAGATCGATGCAGGCTGTCACCTAGACTAGACCGTTGATACAATACACCGTCTTTGACAATTCTCAACTCCATTGGCGTGGGTTCAAACTCGTGAGGGCGAGGCAGGGTATTCTGCCTGGCAGGAGTGCCAGGACTATGCAGTAGTGCTGACGGATGTTTCCTACCTAAGGTACTCAGATGCCTCGAAGCCATCACACCTCAAACCCCGCACATAAGCTTCCCAGCCCTTCCGCTCAGCCCCTGCATGTAATTGTGGTCACGTCGATGAATGAGTCAACGATAACTCCGCAAGTTACCAGATTGGGTGCGTGTCTATCCGAGCAGGATACGCATCGACAGCAGCGGGCGATTTGCTGCAGATATCATGACGGACTAATTCCGCAGTCCTAGAAGTGCTGCAGGATGGAGAGAGACGATGTAGTGCTGGGAGTATACTGCCGCTGGTTGACCAGAAATGGCTGCTTACGGAGGATCAACCCTGGAACTGATGGCAGTCTGCATAATAAGATAAGACCCCTCCATTGTCGCAGCTCATCCCCGAATGCGAGTCTCTTTCTCTACTATACAACGAGGATGTCAGCCACTTCTTTCGCAGCTATTAGGTAACGCCCACGTCCCTCGATCCTTCATTCGATCCTTCAGAACCATCACCTTGAACCACATACTCTCATTTGTACTCTCATTTGCACTGTCACAAATACCACCAAGCATGGCCACCGCAACGCCACAACCGTCGACTGCACGCTCGTACACGGGCATCCTCGCCGACCGGCTGGCAGGATGGCTCTACGGCATGCCGGCCGAGACATGCGGCTTCACTGTTGAGCACGTGCGCATCCCCATCCCAGCCAAGCACTTTGCTCCCACCACCAACACCACCGACAGCAACACAATCCAGACCGCCGCTGTCCTCTTCCAGCCCACCAACCAGCCCCAGTCCCAGGCGCCGTTGGGAACGATCCTCGTCCGCTCCCCCTACGGCCTGGACTACCCACTGGCCGTCGGACACGCGCGCATCTTCGCGGCGCGGGGCTACCAGGTGCTCCTCTGTGCGTGCCGCGGGACCGCCGGGTCCGAGGGCGGGGTGTTCACGCCCGCGATGGACGACGTCGCGGACGGGTCTGCCGTGGTGCTGTGGGTGCGCGAGCAAGAGTGGTACACGGGCCGGTGGGGGATGCTTGGGGGCTCGTATCTCGCGTGGGCGCAGTGGTCGACTGTGCATGGGCTGCAGCTGAGAAAGCTGGGACTTGCGAAACCTGAGGTTGGCGGCGGCGGCGATGATGATACTGAAGGGATGGCCCAGCAAGCTGCTGCCGCTGCGGACGCGCTGAGCGAGCTGAAAGCCATGATCGTCCTCGTGGGGCCGCACGACTGGGGCGCGTTCACGTTCGGCACGGGCGCGATGAACCCAGACATGGTGAGCTGGGTGGGTGCGATGGCCGCGATGGAGCGGAAGGAGACGTGGCTCCCGCCGCCGTTCCACATGTCGTGGCACCGCGAGCGGATGGCGCGGGACCTGAGCGCGGTGTCGCTGATGGACGGGATGAGGCGGTATATCGGCGGCGAGCTGCCCGAGTGGTTCGACGGGATCGTGACGGGCAACGTCGAGTTCCCTGTGGCTACGGACGCACTGGAGAGGATCGAGGGCACTGCGGTGTTGGTGGTTGCCGGGTGGGCGGATACTTTCATCGAGCAGTGCCTGGTGCAGTATCGGCGACTCAAGGAAAGAGGCCAGGTCGTGGGCTTGACGGTCGGACCGTGGGGCCATCTCAGCGCGCAGGGAGGGGAGTCGAAGCGGGAAATCTTGCAGTGGCTTGATCAGTACCTTGCACCAAAGACGGCTGTCAAGGCGAAGCAGGAGTCAAGGAAAGCCCTGGTGCGGATCTTCGATACGGGCACCAAGCAGTGGCTGGAGACGGATGCGTGGCCACTCGAGAACACGAGAACAACACAGTGGTTCCTGTCAGCCGAGGGAAGGCTCGAGGCCTCCCCTCCTGGAGCAGCACCGGCCGAGACGAGCTTCGAGTACGATCCGCGCAATCCGACCCCCAACATTGGCTCGTCCATGCTCAACTATCAAGCCGGCAAGCTCGCCGACGACCGCAGCCTCGCGGCTCGCAGTGATGTTATCGCCTTTACCACAGAGCCACTCGAGCAGGATATCAGGGTCATGGGCTCGCCGGTCCTCTCCCTGGCTCACTCGTCAAGCCACCCGTTTGCCGACCTATCAGTGCGAGTCTGTGCCGTGGAAGCAAACGGTACCTCGCACAACATCTCCGAGGCATATCAAAGACTGGACAAGCTGGACCGGGGCCCGGAAACCGGAGAACTTCTGCAGCTGACCTTGGTCGAGTGTGCTCATACCTTCCGCAAGGGCACCCGGATCCGTGTAGTCATTGCGGGTGGGTCGCACCCAAAGTACGTGCGTAACCTTGGTACTGGGGAGGACATGGTTCACGGCGTGAATATGGAAAGTGTAAAGCACACGGTTCACCATGGTGGAGAGAGAGCATCGAGCCTGACACTACCGGTGGATGTGTGAGCCTTTACTCGTTGGGTGTACAAACCATGGTGGCTGCGCTGGTGTTTATTGTTAGGGTGTACGATTGTGTAAGACTGATTTAAGCAGACTCTACTCAGCCATATTCAGGCACATAGCTAATCATCACATGAGGCCTGTGATCCAAGTACAACATGTATCCTGATTATTGCCTATTCATACCAAGCGAGACGACCCCAAATCCCTCGCGGGGTTTCCAATGAAGCGACGAATCTACCCTCTCAAAACGTGCCCAGTCCTTGCGTCCACTCAACGCCGCCCAACCACACTCTAGCCAGGTTCCGAGTCGCAGATATATCCACCGTTGGATCGCCGTGGACAAGCACAAGGTCCGCACGCTTGCCCGGAGCAATGACACCGCGGTCCCGGAGGTCCCAGTAGTGCGCGGCCCGCGAGGTAGCTGCCCGGAGCGCCTGGACCGGCTCGAGGCCCGCGTCGACGAGCAGCTGCAGCTCGCCGTGGAGGCTGCTCCCAAACGGCACCATGGCGACCAGACCCGGCTGCTGGTTGGCGTCGCTGCCCGCGAGGACAGGGATGTGCGCCTCGTGGAAACGGCGGACAGTCTCGAGCGCGACAGAGAAGTTGGTGCCCGGGGTGATGGTGTGGCCGCTCGAGCTGGCGATGGCCTTCATGATGGTCAGGGTGGGCACCGAGATCTGGTTCTGGATGGCCATCTGGGAGACCATCTCGGCGGTGGGTGGCTTGTCGAGCGGTGCGTGGTGGATCTGCTCGTTCCTCGCGGCGATGGCCTGCTGCATGGCGCCAAAGGCGTTGATGTGGCACACGGTGCGCATCTCGCGAGCCTGTGCTGCGAGAACGAGGGCTGAAAGCGTCTGCTGGTCCAGCCCAGGAGTCTCGGCTATGAGCTTTATAAAGGCTGGCCCCCAGGCGACCTGCTCGTCGACCCAAGACACTGCCTGGCTAGCATTGTGAACCAGGAGAGTGGTGTTGGCCCCGAGGACGGCCGCCGTGATGTTGCCGTGGACACTGTTAGGGGCGGCGGCGGGCGTTGAGCCGAGGATGACGTCGGTCAGTCCAGTATGGTTCTGCAAAGAGCGGCACGCAGCAGGCACGAAGCATGCCTCGACGACGACAGTCGTGACACCGAACTGGCTGAGCGTCTCAAGGTGGCTGATGTTGGCTGGGTGAGCGTGAATGTCAATCAGTCCTGGCATGAGCGTTCCGTTTTGACCGTCGATAATCTCGGCACCGCACTCGTCCCCTTCGTCGCCGATGACTGCCCCGTTGATGATGACGGTGCCGGACGGACGCAGCGTGTAGCCATCGAAGACGCGAACGTTCTTGATGGCAATCTTGCGCGGGGTCTCAGCAGCACGCCGGATAGCGCCAAAGTATCTGTTGTTGGTTATGAGCTGGTTGTAATCGACGCTGGCTGCCGCCTCGAGATCGTGGAACTGACATGCCTGGGCTGTCTGGTAGATGGACAGAGCCAGGCAGGACAGAGCTAATGGGATGTTGAAAATCATGGTGATCACAATAAAACAGGATAGAGTTCGCAACTAAAGATGGAGTTCAGGAATTTCTTCCACGTGCATTTGAGCCGGGACATTGCTTTTGTATTTACTCACAGCAGTAGCAGCTGTCATCGCGCATGGCTATCAAATCCTGGCTCACCACCACCGAGAGCCAGGCGAAGCTGGGCCGTGATTCGGTGATTCGCCGGATCACCACCTCGTCCATATTGGGCAACTCGTGCGGATCGGGACGCTAGCCGTGTTGGGACCATTGGATCAGAGCGCGAGTGACGTCCGCGGCCATGAGCCCCGGCCGGATGTCAGCATTTAGGCTTGGGTCCCGCTTACAAGGCTGGCCGGTGGTCCCCGAAACTGTGCGTGCTGGCCCCCAAGCAGGCCTAGGTTTCGAGTATGCTGAGATGGACCTGCTGTGGCGCTGGCCAACGGACGCTATCGCACCTAATTGTCGATGCCCCGGGTTGGGGCAAAGACGAGCGTGGACAAGCCGCTGCTGCGCGTCTAGCACGACAACGACGACCCCTCCGTTCTCAGTACACCTCCACCAATCTGTGTCCCACAGATCAGTCTGCCGACCAGCCGAGACAGACTGCAGCCATGGCTCCACGCCTTCCCTACAGCACGGGATGCCACTCTTGTCGGCGTATGAAGGTCAAGGTAAGCCGACAGCGGCTCATCCCGGCACCTCACTCCCAATTTGCCAGAGGTGCTTATTCTGCGTGACTTTTCCCAGTGCGATGGGTCCAGACCAGGTTGCGCCAGATGCTCCAGGGCCGGGCGTGCGTGCCCAGGCTACCGAGACAACAGCCAGGTTATCTTCCGGTCCATGAACGCGTCAGCCGCTTCCAAGGCGGCCGGCGGCGCCAGCAGCGGCAGCAGCAGTAGCAACCACACGGGCAGATTCCCTTTGGCCGATCTCGTCCCTTCACCAGCCGCGCCACCGGCGACGCCCTGGGAGGTCAACGCCGCAGCCTTCTTCCTCAAGAGCTACATACAGAAGCCCAAGCACGGTTTCCCAGGGTACATGAGCTTCCTGCCGGGTCTGCTGGCGGACAACTTCCCGCTGCCCGCCCACCACCATCTCCACGAGGCCGTGCTCGCCGCCGGTTGTGCGAGCCTGGCCAACGTCACCGGGCTTTCGCATCTAGGTGTCGCCGCGCACAGACATTACGGGCGATCCTTGCAGCTCCTCACCTCTGCCCTGAGGGACCCGGGCCAGGCGTGCTCGGATGTCACGCTGTCGGCTATTGTAGTGCTGCAGAAGTATGAGGTGAGTGCCCTGGTTTACGGTTTGCATCTGGGAATTCAACGGGAAACCATCGTTTTGGTGACACCCTCTCGGAACAGGTAATTGCTGGTTTACGAGAACCACAAGATCCTCACGGCCAGGGCCTGACAGAGCTGGTCCGCCTCCGGGGTCCCGACAAATTCAGATCGGCCAACAGCCAGCAGCTGCTCAGTCTGATCGCGCGCCGACAACAACTGCAAGATCTCGAGGACCAGGAGCAAGATGAGACCTTGGGCAGCCATTTCTACGGACCCCAACATGATTCTTCTTCCGACATCGTGTCGACGGCGGGGTCGGGCGACCTGTGGAGGCTTCTCGACACTGCCTCCAGGGCCGGTGCGCACCTACGAACCGCGCTGGCTGCCTCCGCGGCAGGTGCTCGGGTGACGGGCAGCAGCACATCCTGGCCAGGCAGCGAGCTCCAGGATGCCATGGACCAAGTCTACTCGGCGCATCTGCGTCTGTGCGAATGGCGTGACAGATTGGCTCCCCCGTTGCGTTACCGAGTGTATCGAGTCCGTTCTTCTCCGAACCCACGGCCAGGGCCAAGAAGGACCAGTGCCGGGGTTTGCAGCCGGAGCAAAAACGACGACGGCGACACCGACGAAGGTGACGACCTCGACGCCGTGTTTCCGCGCCAGTACTACCTCTTCCACAGTGTCCAGCATGGCGCGATGTGGCTGGGGTACTGGTGCGCACAGGTCCATCTTCTACACATATACCACGTCGCATTGCACAGATTGGCGCCCCCGGCTATGCTCGGGGTTTCTCCCAGCGAGGGCGTGGTGGCGCATAGGGAACTGGTGGGCCGCCGACTCCGTGCCACGGTCGACGATATCTGCGCGAGCGTGCCGTACATGATGAACGAGATAGACGGCCGCGGGTCTCCGATTACTCCTCCTAACCCTGGTGGTGGTGGTGGTGGTGGCGAAGGAGGCAGACAGGCTGGGGAAAGTAACGCCATGACGACTTCCCTCGGCGCCTTCTTCCTGCTGCGAGGCCTCTACGTCGTCATTAGCTCCTTGGGCGGAAACTTGGCCGCGTCGCGCCGGGCCTATGTCCTCGCCACGCTGTCCAGGATCGGGCATGTCAAGGGCATCAAGCTTGCACTGGGGGCACGGGACGCGTATATACGTGAGCACGGTGATGGTGCTTCCCCTGCTACGGTACAAGGTTGAGATCGGCACAGGTGATTCGAGCCCGACGTCGTCGTGATTGTAAGATTACTCGTCAACAAACACTCTCCTTGTAATGTCTCCTCATTTGGCCGAGCGCACTTGAAATCGTGAAGTTTCTCATTTATGAACCGCCAGAAAAAAAAGAAATCTTTATGGTCTAGTGTCTATATACTTTTGTTTTCAAGCGTACACGCCAGTTCCCCAGAATGAAATGCTGGGCATCTATTTCGCGCTGGTGTCTGGGCGCGAGAAGGCGTTGGAGCCGAACCATGTGCCATTTACATAGTGGTTCCAGTAGACCCAAGGCTGGATTGCGAAATTGAAATGTCAGCAAGTGCGCAAAAGGAGGGGGGGGGTGTCAGGGTTAATAGCGGAAGGAGACAAGGCGAGACTAAGCCTAATAATGGACACTCACAAAGAAATCCTTCTTGAGGTGGTAGAAGGCCCGGTTGGGCACCTCCTGGCCGCCGACGATGCCCTCGAACGTCTCCTTGGGCACGCCACCGTACTTGAACTCGCAGAGCATGAGCTCGTTGTGGCCCGTGAGCAAGGGGCAGCTGGCGTACCCGTCGTACGCGGCCTTGAGCTCCTCGGGCTTGGCGCCGTTCATGGTGGCGACGAGGTTGTCCACCATGACGGGCAGCTGCGCGGTGATGGCGGCGGCCGTCTTGCTGTTGGGCAGGCTGGACGCGTCGCCGATGGAGAAGACGTTGGGGTACTTTGTGTGCTGGGTGGTCGACTTGTCGACGTCGACCCAGCCGGCTGCGTCGGCTGTTTTGGCGGGAGAGGAAAGACCATGGTCAGCATGTGTTATTTACAATAAAAGGAGTTTTGGAAAACCGGGATTTGAGGGGAAGAGGGAATAGACATACCGAGGGGGGACTTGGCAACCCAGCTGAAGGCCTTCTGCGGCGGGACGACATGCAGGAAGCCGTACTCGCGCTGGACCTCCTTGCCGCCGTTGGCCAGGTCCTTGAAGGTGGCGACCTTGGCCTTGGCGTCGACGGAGACGAGGTTGTGCTGGAACAGGCCCTCGACGCCACGGTCCCGGCGCAGCTCCTCGAGCGCCTGCGAGTACTTGGGCACGGCGAACATGGCGGGGGCCCCCGTGGCAAAGGTGGGCTTGATGTGCTCGCGGACGCCGTCGCGCTGCCACTGGGAGAGGGCCATCCACAGGATCTTCTGCGGGGCGCCGGCGCACTTGATGATGCCGGCGGGCTGGGTGAAGATGGCGTTGCCCTTCTTGAAGGCCTGGATGTTGCGCCAGACCTGCTCGACCGTGTTTTGCGAGTAGATGGACGACACCTGGCTGGCCGGGTCGGCGAGGGCCTCGGTCAGGCCCGACACGCCGGCAAAGTTGGTCTCGAGGCCCGGCGTGACGATGAGGTAGTCGTACGACACGTCGACGCCCTCGGAGGTCTTGACGACGTTGTTGGAGGGGTCGAAGGCGGACGCCCGGAGCGGGTAGTGCCTGACGCCGGCGGGCACAACGGCATCGAAGGGCCGGCTCATGTCGTCGAGGGGCTTGAGCCCGGCCCCGACAAGGGTCCAGCCGGGCTGGTAGTGGTGTGTCGTGGCCGGGTCGATGATGGCCACGTCAAGCCCGGCAAGCTGCGGCAGCCTACGCAGCTGTGCGGCCGCCGTCACGCCGGCACTGCCGCCGCCGACAATGACGACCCGGTGGTGAGCCTTGGCCGGAGTCGAGGTGGCATAGCCCCGGACAGTGGCCCGGAGGGCCACAGCGGAGATGCGTGGCGCGGCGGCGGCTGAGGCGCGGAGGACAGCTAGAGGGGCCATTTTCAGAGATGGGGATGGTGATCTCGGGCCCGGATGTCGTGCAGATGGCCGCTCTCGATGCTTGCATAAAGACAAGTCCCGTCATCGTGGCATCGTGGTTTGATATCGCGGTCCCCGGAGAAAACAGCGGGTCTGCCGGCGGTCACGTGAAATCACGCAAGCGGGCTCGGGCGGGAGCGCGGCTGGCCGTCGCTGGGACTAGTGAATGGATGTATTACATAATCAATGGCTCAGATGGAGGGCTCGCACGAGTCGTGTGTCTGTACAGATAGATGGAAATGACCACTATTGCTCTAGGGTTCTTCCTGACAATCCATCGAGTCGTGTTATGCATCCTCGAAGAGCTCGAAGAGAATTCCGTCCGTGTGCCGGACAATGACGAAAGATCTGTGAAGTTATGCATAATATATGCAGCAAGCATAACCATCTAGGTACGTACTTATGTCCTTGCATAAGGCCGGCCCGGCTGACATGGATCTGACTGTTGCCAGGCGGGAGACCGACCAAACCTTGGAACTTTGAATGGCAGCATGATGGCACGTGCCCATGACCGTCGGGATGTCCTGTACCGAACCGAGTCAGTCGACGGAGAAACTGCCAGGGGCCGTTCGGGGAGGCGGCCGCCATCCGCCAAGCCCAGCGCCAACACGATGCCAATACCAGTGGCTTGCGGATAATTGGATGGCTAAAAGGCCTTTCTCGTGCTGGGACAATTTCCAGCCCTCTGCAATCAGCCTCAAGTTAGGAAGCCTTGGCCAGACACCGAGTGGTTCAACCTACGGCGAGTGCCCAACAAGCAAAGCCGCCCTCATGATGGGCGAGCAAGATGATTATATGCTGTGCCGCAAGACACGCACTAGCTTCTGGAATGCTAGGACTGCTTCTTTATGCTTATCCTCCCTGCATCCGCTCAGAGGGGCACACTCGGAGCCGGAACCCCCTTCCCTGAGCGACCTTGATCAAGATAGCGCGACTTGCAATGCAAGGCCAGGGAAAGTCGACGCACCATGGCATTTAAGCGGTCGCAGGGTGCCATTCAGGGTTCCAGCTGTTTGGTAATGCCTGCTTTGGGACATGTCCATTCGGCTGAACCAGCCGGGCCTTGCCACCTTGGTCGTCTGGCCAATCGTATCTCCACCATTGCCGACCAACGCCGTCCTCCGACAAGTCTTTTTTCAACAGGCTCAAGTGACCGCCAAGCGCGCAGTGATGGTTGTGCTGCCCGAGATTGATGGATGACTGGGTCCTGTCAGCGCCCCAGATTCGTCTTGTGATGCCCATCTGTGGCGTGTTGGCACCAGCTCGTACAGGTTGCCGGCTAAATGCAGCGGCAGGCCTAGCCTGCCAAGGCTCTTGGCCAGCTTGGATGCCCGTGGCTGGGCCACTCAGGAGCAGCCGGCAAAACTCACCCAACGCCACAAGGGTTCCCCAGATTCATCCGCAATCATCCCCCGCAACCATGCCCAGTGCCCCCGTGGAGATACACACACGCTCACTCATTTTCTCGGAGCCGTCTGGGGTAACAGAACGACTGTGCGGAGAAATCGTGGGGAGCCAGACTAGTCTGACTCTACATGCGGAGCCGACATTCCCAGGTGACTAGCCTGAATCATTCCATGATCGCCCGATCACTAAGAACCACAGCTGCACCTGCAGGATCAGACACCTTCGCAGACCCCTGACCCTGCAGGCTCGGCCGACAGGATGTTTCTGGCCAAGGCAAAGTGACTGGCCATGCCCAGACCACCGAGCATCGAGGGCTGCCAGTGGTGGAGAACCCCGGCCATCTGATCCGGGACGTGGAGCGTCTGTTCGGCTCGCGTGTCGATGATACCGGTCGTGCCTACTTAAACCTCGGAGTGTCCCTGCCGATCATTCATATCCCCAGGTTGCTCGCTTTGCATCCCCTTTCCAGCGGCACGGCACTGCACTGCTGCAACTCTCTCAGCTCGTCGACAGCATCTCTTCGACCAAGACCTGCCCATCATGACGGAGAAGTCGAGGAACAACGCCGGCCAGGAGAAGCCCGACAAGGGCTTCTACTTCCTCGGCGGCCGGCAGTACCCTCGAGTCCAGTGGACCAAGGACCCCAACATGCGGAAGCTGTACATCTACTGCTTCCTGCTCATCCTCGTCAACGTCGCCAATGGCTTCGACGGCTCCATGATGAACGGTCTGCAGTCTCTGCCCCTGTGGCAGGACTACTTTGACCATCCTGTCGGCGTCCGCCTCAGTCTCTTCGGTTCCGCCATGACCCTCGGTGGTCTGCTCGCCCTGCCCGTCATCCCCTGGTGCTGCGACCACCTCGGCCGCAAGAAGACCGTCATCATCGGTTCCTTTATTATTCTCCTCGGCGTTGCCCTGCAGGCAGGCGCGATCAACTTCCCCATGTTCTTCGCTGCACGCATCATCCTCGGCACCGGCATGACCCTCGCCACCACCGCCGGCCCGCTTCTCGTCGCCGAGATCGCCCACCCACAAGATCGCGCTATTCTGACCACATTCATGGGTCTGGCGTACGCGATTGGATCATTTGTGGCTTCGTGGGTAACGTTTGGAACCCTCAAAATTCCCAATGACTGGGCGTGGCGAGTTCCCTCCCTCCTCCAGTGCTGGTGCACGGTCATCATCTTGTGTATTATCTGGTGGATCCCCGAGTCGCCTCGTTTCTACATTGCCCGCGACGAGCACGAGAAGGCCCTGGCCATTCTTGCTCACTACCACGGTGCCGGTGACGAGAACAACGAGATCGTGCAGCTCGAGTACAACGAGATTCGCACCGCGATCGCCATGGACCGCGAGAACAACATCAACTCGTCCTGGATGGACTTTGTCAGCACGCCCGGTAACCGCAAGCGCCTCATGCTCGTCGTGGCCTTGGCCGCGTTCGCCCAGTGGTCCGGAAACGGCATTGTGTCGTACTACCTCAAGCTCGTCCTGGACGGCATCGGCATCACCAACTCGCAGGACCAGCTCGGCATCAACAGCGGGTCCAAGACCATGTCCCTGCTCGTCAACCTGGGTGTTGCCTTCTTCATTGATCGCTTCGGCCGTCGCCCCATCCTGCTTGTCAGCACCACGGGCATGTTCGTCATGTTCCTGATCTGGACCATCCTGAGCGCTCTCTACAACAAGGACGCCCCCAACCCGGCGCTCGGTCGTGCCGTCGTTGGTCTTATCTATGCCTACAACTTCTGCTACAACTTCAAGTAAGTCTTACTGCTCTCTGACCCTCTGGCCCTCTGGGCCTCTGGGCCTCTGGGCCTCTGGAAATATGGGACTTCAAGGCACAGAGCCTCAATGATCCCTACGTCCTCGCAAGAAAAGAATGCTAACAATACCCTCTTCCCCTTCAAAACAGGACCGGCCTGCCCCTGACCTACACGACCGAGATCCTGCCCTACGGCCTGCGCGCCAAGGGCGCCGCCGTCTCCGTCGTGACCACCACCGCGACCGTCTTCTTCAACCAGTTCATCAACCCCATCGCCATGAACAACATCCAGTGGCGCTACTACATCTTCTACGTCTGCTTCCTCGCCTTCGAGATCGTCTTCCTCTACTTCATGGTCGTCGAGACCCGCTATGTCCCCATGGAGGAGATCGCCAAGCACTTTGACGGCGAGCAGGCTGACGTCGCGGCCGTCGCGGCCGGCAAGACGGCCGAGCTGGAGCACGGCGCGGCGGTCAGCCATGTCGAGATCTCGCATGGCAGGAAGGCTGATGTTTAAGGAACGGGACCTGGTTGTTTCCTTGATGCAAGTTGATGGACTGCATGGTGTGGCATGACAAAGCTGTGTTGATCTCAAGTCGGCATTTGTTGCCAGTCACTGATGTCCGCTGTCACGCTGCTGCTGTGTAATCACTCATCCCAGCTGCTCCCTTGTGTCACGTAGAACGAGTGGTCAGCCCTTTGCCTGATTTTTATGAATATAACCTCCAATACTGAATTCAACGTGTGAACCATTGAATGGACTGTGGGAAAACGCGCATACGTGATGAGGGTGATTCGAGCTCTATAGCGACAAGGTGACAGATTTGTCCGAACGACTTCTATTGGCAAGCCGTCAAGACATCATTTAGAGACTTCTTTCTCATGATTGGCCACACGTGTCACTCGAGAAAAGCACCGCTGGCGAATGAGTAACGTTCTAGTTGACGCATACGGTCCCCAATGACCGTGGCAAAACGGAAGGTCAAGCGCGGTTTGTAATGTGAAAAATCCCCGACACTGCTTCTTGAACAATAAACCCCAGGAGGGAATTCAAGCTCGCGAATGCCAGGTATAAACATGAGGCGGGGATACGTTCCATGGCCTGTCATGCAACAAATCTCACGTGAGTCTGGATCCCGTAGCACACCAGATCCAGTAATGAAGCGGCATCAACACCAGCACATCACGATGCACAGAGCGCCTTCCAGGAAGTATTTACACTCCAAGCAGGGAGGCTTTCAAGACACTTGAACTCATGGAGAACCATCTCTCATCATTTGGCTAAGTCGTTATCATTCTCATGTCCATGCGAAAGAGATCCCAGCCTCTGAAACCACCTCGCATCGACCCGTTACACCTGGCAAGCTCTACCACGGCTGGGGCTGGCCCCGGTGGTACTCGTGGGGCTCCGAATCACTACATTTACCAGACGTGGGTTGGTTAGCATTGGGAACCACGAATTATTACACCCGCGATGTCCTTTTTCGAGGCCCAGCCAAATCCAAAGTCTGGCACAAATATATCGCTTTGTGTGACGCGTGACCAGGATGACGAAGTGGGAAGTCCGGCGCCTTGATGGGAAGAAGGAGGGAGGGGGACTTACGGGGTCCACTGGTCCTGGTTGCCGTACTGCTGGTCGTACAGGTTCTCGGCGCGCCGCTTGGCCTCGTGCTTGGCCTTCTCGCGGTCGATGTAGTCGAGGCCCTTGGTCTCGAAGAGCTTGTCGACCTCGGCACCGGCGAAGCCGGCAATCATCTCCTTGGCGAAGCCGTGGCTTACGGGCTGGCCTGTGTGTCGTGGTCAAACACTAGTCAGTGGTACGATTCTGGATGGAGGTGTGTGTAGGAGGATCCAGGCCAGTGCTAGTGAGGTAGGCAGCAAAAAGGTCGATTTCATGATCCTGAGGATGGACAAGAGGATTCTGAGTAGATTTGACTCACCCTCTGCCCGCTGGTGGTTCTCCCACAGGTGCATAGCCTCAAAGGCCGCGCCACCGGCGACAAGCTCGTGGCCCCAAGAGCCCTCATGCTCGCCGTTGTAGACAGCGTCACGCTGGTCACGTCCCTCGTCTAGTTCGAATTGGCCGTTAGACATTGTGCCACACTTGGTCTTGTGCTAATTGCAGGCTTCCGGGGAAGGCAGACGCGTGTCGGCCTGAGGACGGTCGGAGCTACTCACCAAAGCCAAACATTTTGATGTTGTCGGTAGTGGTTATGGAGTTCTTTTGCCGCTGATGTATGTTGTCCAAGTCTCTTACTTTTGAGACAATGCTAATTCGAGTCTGTGAAGTGTGATACCGAGAACTAAGCATGAATACACCGAACCACACGAGGGGAGACGAGCGCTCTTTATAGCATCGGCAATCAAACACCACAGAGAGAGCTCCCCCCAGCTCCGGCCCTTCGCATTACATCACAAGCTCGGCGCTAGCTGACGCGTATCGAAAGCCAGCTCTGGGTCTGGACCCTGCTGGCTGCCTCAGCGGTGTGAGCGTCTCAACCGGGGCCAGTGAGCTATCCGCAACGTAAACAGCCACTGCCACTAGTGTTTAAGCTGCTGAGCAAGTTGCGGAGCTGACCTGGACCCCTCATGCCGCGGTGACGCAGCTCCCTCCTCGCCCTCTATGCGGCACATTCAGGACCCGATCACCCCACTCAGGGCGCGGCTGGGTGGGCTAAGACAGCTGAAATAAGCCTTGTGGGACAGGGGTGTCCCGCAGGACCAAAAGCTTGTCTCGCTCAGATCCCCGCACGCTCCCTCCCCTTCCTCCCTCCCTCGTACCTCCTCGTGCCTGGAGCGTGGGCCTAAGGTCACGGCGTCAGGGTGGTCCGTTGGCGGCCGACGTTCCGAGCCAGGTTTAGCTCTGGTTTGAATCAGCGCTAGAGCGTGGACCGCCTCTGCGTCCAAGTTGCTGGTTGGCGCTGCGAGCCCGCATGAGCACAGACAGGCATCGGCAAAACCGGCACCTGGCCAAAAGTCTATGTGATGACGACGCCTGATGGCGGGGGGCCTGTACGGGGCCACGCGTCCACGCATGCCGCACCACTTCCCGCCCGCTCCCCATAGGTAGCGGCATGCTCAGTAACGACGATTCGACTGGTCAGCTTTGGGTGCCAGCCGTATGTACGCAGTAGCCCAGTGGCTTGCGCCTGAAACGCATGGCGCGTTTGCCTCATTCGTGCCAGGTTGATGCACCAGAGGCAGCCGAGTTCCTCCGTATGTAGATCAAGCATCAGGACCCCTGAATCCCAGTTTGCCTTGACGGCGAAGCGATGCGTCATAATCATGCCAGGGCGTCCCTCGCATCTTGGAAGTACTGGGCAAGCCCAATCGACGCGGCTGCTTTGTTCACGAGTTTGTCTTGTAGTGCACGACAACAGTATTCGCCATCACGGATCACCAGGCCCGCGCACCAAGCCTCATGACCCTTGGTTCGCAGGGCCACGACTTCGACTATTCGGGCACTATAAGTCATTCTTCTACCTTGAAGTCGATCGCTACGGCGGGGTGAACTGAGGCAGACGTCATCAGTGACCAGGCTAATGATACCAGTGGCATCGAGACAAGAATGATGGTACCGCCGCGGGCATTGCTCCGAGCCTAATCCGATCTGCTCTTCCGTCACGCCGGTGTTCAAAACGTCGCAGATGTCTACGCCAGACCCGAGACAATTGGTATCGCGATCACGCCAAACTACAGTGATGCGTACCATTGATGAGCAGAGCAATCTTCGAGCGGGTTCATCCCTTTGCAACGACAACGCCGAACGAACATGTCACCATGCAGATACATGTGAATCACAGCAAACGAATCCTATCTCTTTTTGATACCTGGAGCTTAACACTGCTTATGTGCGCATACCCATTTTGCTTGCGTTAGGCCACGATTGATTCAACCGAAGCCGGCACAGACAAACAAAAAGCTAGCACAGGTGAAACAGCACCAAACCCGTCCTTGATTCCTATCCACGCGCTCAAACAGTCGAGAAGTTGAGCGGCCCGCTCTTGGCCCGAAGCTTCTTTCCAAAGACGAGGACAATGAGGAGGATGAGGAACGCGAACGCGCATATGGCCGCCTGCACGCCGAAGCTGATCTTGGTGCCTTGCGCCTCGGCCCATGTGACCTGGAAGTAGCTAATTATGAATCCACCCAGGGCTAAACAAGTAGATTGACACGTTAGCTGAAATGTGACTTGTGCGTGTTTTCGAAGGGCAAGCAAGGACAACATACTTCTAGACATGTTCAGCCAGGCCGCCACCTCACCACTGGCGGTCGGATAGCAGTCCAAGTTGTACGCGTTGAGCGCAACAGTGGTGACCATGATGCCGAAGACGTACAGCCCCCAAAACACGGCCGTGACCATGAAATGATACGCGTCCTGGAGCGCGAATCCGAGCCCGACGAGCCCCGCAATCATGAACGGCGTGCTGAAGAATATGGCCGTCAGGCGGACCTCGGGCTCAAAGTGGCCGTTGTGCTTCTTGATGTACCACTTTGCAATCATGTCGTGCAGCCAGTGTCCAATAATCTCGCCCAGGATCGCGGCCACGACGGGCGTGAAGTAGAAGAAGCCGATCTGCTTCGGGCCGAACCCGTACAGCGGGGTGACGAAGATGGACAAGGTCGTGTTGATTCCGACGACCCACGCAAAGGTGAGCATGTAGTAGAAGCAGCAAAGCAGGAGGGTCGGGCGTGTGATGGTACGGACGGACCGCATGAAAGCCTCGCCTATCGTGGCGCGCAGATGGCGCGAGCGGAATTGCGCAATGCCGGTCACCTGTGCGATGCGGGAGCCCCGTGCGGGTTGGTCGGCAACTGGGATGCGGCGGTCGTAGTATGTCTCTTCGACAAATAGTGCTGTCGCGAAGAGCGCAAGGGCGGTCTGCGGCAGGGAGTTGTTATTAATGTCAATCCTCGGACGTCGGTCAGCTCGTGAGACATACCATGACAAAGTACACCCAGAATGCGATCGGCCACGGCTCCGTCGTGAGAATGAACGCGGCGATCAAGGGGCCAAAGTAGGGAGAGAGAATGAAGAAGGCAGCCCATATGTTGATCTTTCGGGCGCGCTCGTGGAAGAAGAACATGTCAAAGATGAACATGAGACCACCACCTTGTGCCACCGTGCTGAAGAAGCCATTGAGAATACGAGCGGCCATGAAGGATTCGAATGAAGTCGCGGCTGCGCACCATGCAGCTGTAAGGGTGGCGATGATCAGGAAGTAGAAGAGGACCGGTAGGCGGCCCGCCCAAGCAGAAAAGATGACAGTAACGATGCCGCCTACTCCCAGCATGAACACGTTGCCGACCTGCGAGTGGTTGACAGTGTCTGGAGTCATGTTCCATATCCTGCAGAAGGGGCACCTGTCAGACATTGAACCAGGGACACGAAGCTAGATGCTATGACCTACATTGCCTGCGGAATCAGCGTGACAGCACCTACGGCGCTGCCATAGTCGGGCAGCAGTGCTGCAAAACTAATGATGAAGAGAATGACATGCTTCTTGGTGGTGCTCCAGTTCAAAGGATCGTTGGGGTCGTCGGAAGGCTGGGGTATGAGGACCGTGTGTCCATCCTTTGCTGTCTTGAGATCGCCCCGGCTATCAGCGTTGGCGTCCGCAATGTAGCCTTCGGAGTCCTGATATTCGCGGGAGCTGAGCTGGGGCTTCTCGTCGCTCTCGTTGCCCTCGGGCCTGGAAGGGTCATTGACGGTCGCCATGACTAACCGTTCAAAGGAGTCAAGTGTGGATCTCGTTTATGGATGCGGCAAAGGTGCTCGGGTGCACTGGACACGGATGTGCTTCAGATCCTCAACGTGGAGAGCATCTTCAATTTATAGAATTCTCCAAATATGCCACGCGTTCCTGATGCTTATCGCTCACAGCTGAAAACTGGGGTATGGGGTAAAGCGGGGAATCGCCACGCCGGCAAGTCCACGGCAGTTGTAGCATTGCTCGAGGTGGCTTGCCGGCATGAGGAGCCTGGTCTCGCACCAGACATTAGGGGGCCCCAGGCTTGTGATGAGAACCATGCTGAGCCAAGTGGACCATCCGCCCTACCCCGAGAAGCCTCAAGCTTTGTGGCGTTTCCCCCAGAATTATTCAGTTAAGGAGCACGGGTCTGGTCAATTTCTACTTGCAGCAATTCGATGCTTTTTCTGCTGCAATGCCAAGCAATTGCTCTTTGGTGCATTACCGACTAGCCGCGGGCTGCACTCAGCTAATCGTTGGTCGGCTCACACAACTGCCGTGCCAAGAAGCCCAACGCCGCACCGACATCATTGAGGGGAAGCGCAAGCTTCTGGAAGCCAAAGTGCGTCAGGAGGCTTTCAATGCTTAAAGTCTAGCGCATCCTCAAGCGCTGGCGCGATCTGCTACAGCTTGACGCAGGAACCATGGCGTCGAGACTGCAGCCGAGTTACGATGCCATCAGCAGACACGGTAAGGAGATTCTCGAGGAACACTGCATAAGGGAACGCAGTTGTGCATATTCTGCAACATTCATCTCAATGGTCTTCTGGATATGGGTGTAAACCCTCTCACATGAGCTGCGAGGAGAAGTAGGTTTGCATCTCTGTGGCTCGGGCACCCGGGGGATCCGGGTCACTTGCTTGCCTACTCGCCTACTCGCCTGCTCGCCTGCTCGCCGTTGGAGTTAGCGCGTGGCGGCAGATATTGTACGCAGCGTTGACCTTGCCTAGCTCAAGCGACCTCTGAGTGCCCCGCTCAGAAACAGTTAGCACTGCTGCCTGCCTGAGTTGAACCCGATTCTTCCTCTTCCTCTGGTAATCCTCCGAGTGCGACTCGAAAGATTGAATTGACGAAAAGTTGTTCCGCGGAATCGGTGGATTCAACAAGAATTTCCACGCGCATAGAAAGCCAGCATGAGTACAGAGAGGATGATGATTGCACTGCTCGTGATGGGGTCTCTACTGAGACCATCTACATACACGGCCATCGGCTCGGTTCGTCCATTCCAGCCGATGCCCAGTAAATTGTACCATTCCTCTATCTTGTCATAATCTACCATGACCATGGGAGAAGTGCTGCGCCGCGTGGTCTAGAGGACTACAGTGTCCTCTGCGCTTAGAGGCAATCGCACTTGTGTAGTCAGCTACTGTTATGGCTGCCAAAAACTATCGCCTCGCGTCAATCCACAGTGGACAGCACGCCCATTGAACAGCTTGTGCTTACGTGAGCGTAAGCAGCCCAACTGGGACGGACTTACAGATCACTTGTGACGACTACGCGGCATGGAGGCATCCGCTAGTTTTGCATTCAATCAGCTAGTTAGTACAAAACCTACAGACATGACAAAGGTTCATCAATAAGCACTAGGCAATCTGACCGCTTTTAGAGCGTGAAGCGATGCTCGTAGGGCTGATCCGTAAGCTAGTATATCTGAATCCGCGTCAAGTTCGAGCAAGGGAGCCAACTGCGAATGCCTATAAAAGCTAATAACGCTTCCGCCGCTTATTGGAAACATTTCTTCTCAACATCGCTCATCGCCTTGCTTATATCAACTGTCCTCCACGTTCCATCTTACGTAACAATGGCCACCTCAAAGTCACAGGTACACTTGCCGGAGCCAGAGTATGCTCAACCGGATTTCAACTCCAGAGCCCATAAGGCCTGGTACCATCCCGACATCTCGAACCGGGTGCCAGCAGCGGCAAGTCACATCCTCATTTCTGCGTAGACACAGGTTGGAGTGGTGAGCTGGTGGCGGACACCACCGACCGACTCAGGAACTAGTCAGTCGCGCACCGATGAGCTTAAGAAGGATTATTAACAAAAAGCCGTGCTCTGTACGCACCTCCCAGACCAGAGATCTCCTCAACAAGTACAGCCGCATCCCACCAGATCAACAACTCGAGCACATACACAAAATCGTAAGCCTGCCTGCCTGCCGCCTCCATTTCATCAAATAATCTCTCCACTGACACCGACGACAGCGGGACCAAGCCTGGGACATCCGCGTGTACCCGTGCATTGGCATTGGCGCGTTTCTGGATCCGCAGCTCCGGCTTGACCCCTTGTACCCGACCATCATCGAGACCCTGCGCAATGGTGGTACGCTCATCGACGTAGGCACTTTTATCGGGCACGATCTGCGGCGGCTCGCCTACGATGGGGACATCCCAACAGACAAGCTGTACGGCATTGACATCGTGGACTGGGAGGCGGTGGGGTACGACTTCTTCCGCGACAAGGACACGTTCCAGGGCACTTTTATCCAGGCTGACATCCTCTCGGGCTCACTCGCCGAGGTGCGCGGCACGGACTCTGCGAAGCAGCAGGCCCTTGCGCGGCTGACGGAGGACAAAGCGGATGTGGTTTTCATATCCCAAGTTCTGCACCAGTGGGACTGGGAGGGACAGGTGCACGCCGCGAGCAACTTGGCTGCCGGGTTCTCAAAGGTGGGCACGCTGATTATGGGCAACCAGATGGGCACGACACAAGGCGCGCGAGAGGTTGGGCTGGACGCTCTGGATGGAGCGAAGGCGTGGCGCCACGATGCGCAGAGCATTGCACGGATGTTCGAGGAGGATGTGGCGGCACGCACGGGGACAAAGTGGGAGGCCCAGGCGCGAGTCAAGACCGTCGAGGAGATGGGATGGACCCAGGATGATGTCAAGTGGCTAGACCCAGGGGTTTGTTGGCTCGAGTTTGCGGCAAAAAGGGTTGCTTGAAAAATATTGGTGGCTGAGGACAGAATCATGTTTGTATTTGACCGCCTGTGGTCTCCTTCCAAACTGGCGGCAAAGTGTCCTTCTTTCGCTCCCTAACATCAGAAGCTCCTCCATCCCCGAAGCCCGCATTAATAGCAAGACTATGATCGAGCAATGGTGCCCGCTGATACTTGTACTCAGTGACCCATCTTCACGACAGGGTCAAACCTCGACTTGTGAGGCCCAATCTGACAGCCCGGATGCGAGCCCGTCTCGCCACAGCAGGTCCAGAGGTAGCCATCAGGATACTCTTCCCGAAGCTCCTTCGAGTCGATGATGCCGTGGCAGTCTTCATCATGGTCTGCCCAGAAGTCGCCCTCGTCGTCGGGCTCAGTCGTGGCTGTTGATGGAGCGCACGCAAGGACGAGGAATGTCAGCAGTCGTCTTGCGTCTACTTTGAAAGGCTGCATTTGTCCCGGTACTTACCACCGTCAGGATGACTCCGACAAGCCTGCGTGTTGTTAGTATCCGAGTCAAAGGCGCTGCCGCACTTGACGCAGATCTCCGCCGCACCGCCAGTGCCGGCCCCGCTGCTGTGATGGTCGTCCTCCGAAGCCATCTTACGCTTGACCCCTAGGACTGAGCTGGGCGGCGGCTGTTGCGAGTTTTTGGCCTGTAATCGTGAAGTTTCGAATGTCTCGAGGTGTGCCAGCATAGTGAGCGCCTCACGCTCGAGTTTGCGGTCTTTTCGGCACAATGCGGTGAGCACGGCGCGGATGTGGCGGTCTGATGCGGTTTGGAGGGGATTGGCAGACGACATTGTGAGCAACTTTGGGAATTGACATAGAAGTTTCGCGCTGGCAATCGATGTTCTAGTGAAGGAACGAGGAGAGGCGTCACCAGAGGCGCGAGTGAATGCGTCCCAGGCTTTCTGTTTGAAGCTCGAGTCACCTGACGCCCGAGAAGTTGGTGGTGGCGCATCGAACCGGAACGCAGGGACCATCTGCATATGCTACACATTGACGTCAGCGGGGGTGGCAGCCCCCTGGTCCCCTGCCAAAACAATCGCGGGGCGGCACGACCCTGGCGCGATGCAGGGTCCGTCCTTGAGAGGCGGCTTCACTCAGAAGCCGAGACAAAGAAGAAATGTTCCCGGCTGACGGGCAATATCACAGCTTTATATATAAAATAAAACGGGCGCGTCGTACTTGGGCCATGAGAATTGGAAGACATGCCGGTAATCACGGCTTGGCCATCAGCTGGGGAGTGCAAAAAGAACGCAAACAATACCTCTAGAAATAACTATCGTCACAGGCCAAGTCTACATGATGGAAGTGAATCAAGTGTTCACGTCGGAGTTGTGAGAAAAAAAAAGGAGTCTTCAATTCTCCGTGATATCAAAGCTGAAAAACTCTGAAACGACAGACCTGAGGCATTTGACGTGACCTGCATTACTGGCCTCGAGGGGGCAACAACACTATGCTAGAGTGAAGTTGACCATCCCTGGCATCATAGCCTGACTAATGGGTTCGATATCATGGTTAAATGACAGGATGAAGCGTACAGTGCAACCAGATCAAGTGACAGATCAGAAACCTGGCCCACCGGCCGGGAAGAACCATTTTCTCTGAGTCGGCAGGTTTGGCGGGCAAGGAATTCGCTGGCCATTGCTAGACGAGCTGGGTACCTTGTTCCGCCCATTCTGCAGAAACGCCGAGCGGTTCGGAGTCGACGAAGTCGCTTGCTCTGGACACGGTCGCCAGCCGCGCATGTACATCTGGAGGACCCCGACGGATTCTACAGCCTCGACCTTCTGGGCGAGTTGCAATGGGGTGCGACCGTGAGAGTCTTGCGCCCAGAGCGGAGCTCCATAGTTGATCAGTGACTCGATTCTCTCGAGAGACCGGTACTGGTACTCGGCTGCCAGGTGAAGAGGCGTTTGGCCTTTCTTGTTGCGAGCATGAGGGTTGGCTCCATGCTTCAGAAGCGTGCTCAAGATCCCGGGCGCATAGTCCTCGGAGCCGGGAGGCATGTCCAGTCCGATGGGATCCAGGATTGACTTTGCTGCAAGATGGAGAGCAGTGTTGCCATCGTTGTTGGCGTGGTTCAGGTCGAAGCCACCACGTCTCACAAGGAGTTCCACGTATTCGCCCATGCAATGATGCGAAGCGTAGAGTAGGGCGGTTTCGCCGTCTCCGTTGGCAAACGCCAAGTCCGGGTCTTCATCGAGGATGTGTAAGAATGCGTTGCGATAGGCCGTGTCTGTACTAGCCAACATGAGCGGAGACATGTCTTCATGGTCGAGCGTCTCCGTGTCAGCTCCAGCTGCCACCAGGAGCTCGACCACACCGTCCCAACCTCTCTCTATGGCTATGGTCAGAGCCGTGCGACCGCCGAAATCCTGTACGTTGAGATCAACGCCGCCATCGATAAGAATTTGGACCAGTTCCTCGTCGTGAGAAGACGCGGCCCTGTGCAGAGCCGTGTGTCCCCACTGCGAGCACCGAGCATCACGAAAACTTGTAGGGATCAACTTCAGGACCCTCTTCACCACGGTTCTGGGCCAGCTGGCGCAGGCGACCAACAGTGGGGAGTCGTAACAGTTTTCCATTTCCCTGTTACTGTAATGGGGGAACCAAGCATCATCATTGGCACGACTGCTCGCGCAAAGTTCTCCCACCATGTCGAGCACCTTTGCGGATCCGCTCCAGTCACGGATGCCACAAAGGTGATCTCCAAGAAAGCCCAAAGCGTATCCCAGAAACGGACGTTGGTCCAGATGTTGCTTTCTTCTCATGCTGTAGTCTCGATAACGTGCTTCCTGGCCATCGTCTACTCCATAAGTATAGGGAACAGGACGAAATTGCGATGGGCAGTCCCTCATACTCAAACGTATGGCACAGGCTTTTCCAAGTCGGTAGTGGGCATTATCCAATTTGATGGATTGCTTCCAGCCAACCGAATTGCCTCGGGACTTGCCTGAGGTTGAGATGAGAAATTCGCGTGCGGTCTGATGCAGTAGGTGAACCCGGTCATCGACAATGATGATGAAGAATCCAGAGACAACACGAAGAAACTTCTCGAACCTAGCATTCGCGTCGACGTTCACTGCGCTCCTAGCGCGCCAGTGCTTTTCTTGAAGCTCAATCGCAACGGCCATCTCGGCAACCGTAAGCGGCCGATGCGCAGCGACGATGAAGTGGAGGATGTTGGACGCGTCCTCTCTGTCAGCCTGTTGGACGCGGCGGAGAACGCTCTCGTAGGCTTCCTCGATGGTTCGCGGCAGACTCCCGAGCCGCTTGCGCAGACTCTCGGGATCGAACCTGCTCATATACTCGATCTCGTTGAGCATCAGGTTGACCCACAAGTAGCTCCGATTGGGAACCTTTTGGATCTCTTGCAGCAAGAACTGTTTCTCTGCTGAGCTCAGGTTGACCAAGTTCTTAATTCTGTGTTTGATGACCAGATCGACTTCCTTGCTGATCTGCTGCGCTTGTGTCGCACCGTCACCACTGATATGGATTGTGGGGTACTGCTGCTGCAAAAGTTGGAATGGCCTGCCGACAAAACTGTACGGCCGACTCGTGACGAGAAACTTTAGCCTTGGGTTGGCGCCTCTCGACTCCTGGAACTCGCTGAGTTTCGCGATGAGATCTCGCCCGCCGCTCTCCCCGCACTCGTCGAGGGCATCAATGACGCAGACAAGATCGCTTGAGTACGCGGGGCTGGGTAGCCCCACCAAGACGTCCCAGAGCATAGCGGCAGAGTCGAGTTTGAGCGACTTGTCTTCGAATCTCGCCAGCAAGTCCTCGGTAATCAGGTGGCTGTTGTCGGAGAGTATCTGGTGCAAGATGCTCCGCAGTGCACCCAGGAGCGACTTTTGGCTTTCAAAGTCGTCCTTGAAAAAGAAGTAACTGACAGAAGCCTTGTTGCGCAGCACGTCATCAATCAGGTGCCGGGCCAAGACCGACTTGCCACAGCCGGGGTCGGCAGTTACCAGGAGAACACGAGCACTAGCAGACGATTGCCAGTCTTTGAAGAATTGGTGGCTCTTGAACCACTCACACGTGCCATGCAATCTCCGCGGGTTGCGGTCCTTGGTCTCCATCGTCGAGACGTTTCCTTTGCCGAGCGCGGACAAGAGCTTCATCTTTCGCGTTGCGGTGTCGTGGAGGCGACTCTTTGCGCTGGTGATGTTGTTGCCAAGCGCTTTCGTTCGTGACTTTCGTTTGTCAATGCCATCTGCTCTGATGATTCCATCACAGACAGCGCGTTTGCGCGCGTCAAGTTGATGCTGAGCCATAGGCAGAAGGGTCCTGTGTTGGTCGAAACCCCGTTGCAAGCTGGATATATATGAGATCTCGTGCGAGTACCAGCGCTTCAGAAGCTTGAAGAAGGTCTTGTCAAGATCTTGAGGAGCATTTTCCCAGACCAACCACAAGTCCGTCGCCTGCAATTCGGGTAAAAAGGTGCAACTGTCTTTCGAACAGCCGAGCGCCACAGGAATTATGCCGTGACGCTGTTTGAGGGCATTGCACCGAAGTTGCACCATGGCGATCTCGGTCAAGACGTGGTGAAACTCTGCGTGGCCTTGGTGTGCGTGAACAACGGCTCTGACAGCCTCAAGGACCTGCTTTCGAGTCCGGCGAGGACGCGTCATCTCCGCAGAGTAAACCTTTTGGAGCTCCCTGATGTATCTCCGCGCGAAAGTCGTTCTGAAGTAAGCCTCGAGCAGCGGTGAGCACCACACCACGACCTTATCTTCCGCGTCGCTCCTGAAAGGCTCCACTACGTCGAAGTCAACTGGCAGAATGCGTGCTTGATTGTCAAAGATGTTGTGCGGCGCGCGAAATGCGCTGTTGCGAGTATCACCCAGCAGATTCGGGTAGCGATCCGACATGGTTCTGCACTCCAACTCTTTCAGGGCCTCTATCGTGTCCCGAACCGATTGAAAATGTGACTTGGTCCTCCGGTGTAGCTCAACGTCAGCCTTGTGGGCATAGACAATGAATGAGGTCTCAGCATGTCGGGAGCTGAATTGCCTCTGCACCGGAAGGGCAGCGAGTGCTGCCATCAGCAGCTGCTTGTTTGCTTCTGGGTGTCAGCGACGTCGGTTATCCCTATACGTCAAATGGTACATTCGGTGACCGACCACTAGCAGCATCGACGTTCCTGTTCGAAACCATCACTCCTCCGATTGAATCTACGTCCATCGGATCCATTTTAGCAGGGATGTAATCGAAAACTGAGACTGGAATACCGCGCCAAAGTAGGCTGTATGTTTTGGTAATGGAATATAGCAAAAGCAAAAATATAAGATTGTTAGTTGAACGGACTGGTGAGCATCAAAAGCGCGTCGATGGCTTCATATCAGGCAGGCTCTGGATTGATGACGGCCCAGGCTACACGCGTACCCTCCCTTTCGCTTTGGGCAGCGCCACGGGCTAGGCATCCTTGACGGCTTGGCGATGCGGGCTGCCTCTGGGAACCTCTTTGTGCTCTGCCTGACTTACTATGCAGGGACCCCTGAAACATGCACTGCAAGCACCCGTTGAAGGACGGAAAGATGAAGGGCAGAAGTCATTGGCCGCCCAAGCAGACCCGACACGGGCGGGTGGGACTTCCGCAACCAACAAATATGCATGTGCGAACCAACTGCAGCGGTTGCATGCACCACGCTTGCAGCCAGGGTGGCTGAGGGTCGTATTCAGCAAATGTGATGGCTGCCACGTGAGTAGTGAGGGGGGCGCAAGTATGCAAGGCTTGTGACAAGGCATTCTGGTCAAGCCGGATGGTGCCCCGTTGGCGGTGGATATGTGACACACGCCGTAGCCCACTAGTACGTCCGCGAGTGCGAAAGGGGTACACGGACATGATGATAGGGATTCGCAACTAAGTGGGTAATGCGGCCTGAAGTCGATACCGATTGTAATTCCATACAAGTTGGGGGCGTCTCTTTGAAGGGAAATTAGCCCACAAGGGGCAGCGCCGCTCAGAAAGACACGTGAGGGGCAGGCGATTCAATGCTGTTGAAGTCAAAGATACAATTCGCAGCCAAAGCAGCACGTGTGGGCCACTCATTTGCGTTACTGGGTGAATCATCGATCATATTGTCATGTTCACATATTTCGTTCGGAAAGGATGGTGGAAAGGAAAACATTCTCTTAGTACAGGCTACGTGACATTGACCAGACATAGGCGCAAGCACTTCAATTCAGTTCAAAACAACTCGATGACAACGCCATGACAGGTACAGACTGAAAGAGTGAAGGTGCAGGCCACTGGCCCAAGACTCACCGCTGCTCGCCATTAAGCCGCCCTAAGCCGACAAAACGCGTGAACTGAGATCTTGTTCCTCTTTTGCCACATTGTCCCCAAACAGCTCGTCGATCTGCTCGAGTGTTTTGCCCTTGGTCTCCACGACGAAAGCCCAGGCCCACACGACAGCGATTGCACACCAGGCCCCGTAGAACAAGTATGTCCCGAAACCCCACGACTCGAGCATGGGTGGAGTGATGATGCCGACGATGAAGTTGCAGATCCAGTTCGTTGACGTCGAGAGAGCCACGCCCTTGGACCTCATGGCACTGGGGAACACTTCTGAAGGGAGCGCCCAGCCGAGGGGGCATATGTACAGCCGTACATGAGGATAAAGCCGAATGCCATGGCCACGGCAGCCCAGCCAGCGTCAGCATGCTGACTCCAAGTCTTGGAGTAGACGCCTACCAGGGCAGCCATGATACCCCACGTGATGGCTCCTCCGGCGCCTCCAATCATCGCTAGAGGTCGGCGACCAACCTTGTCGATGATCAGAAAGCACAGGGAAACCGCAACCAACTGCAACATGTTGAAGACACCAGACATGATGAGGGACATTTCGTAATCCTGGCCGAGAGTTTGGAAGAGCGTTGGGGCGTAGTAAATGAAGGCATTAATGCCGGAAAACTGCTGGAAGAACATGACGCCACACCCAACAATGACGCGTCGCCATAGCTTGAGGCTGAACAGGTCAAGCCAGGTACAGACCTCTAGTTTGAAGCCGGTAGCCCCGGGATGACGCTGCTGCACAACGGCCTTTTGGTAGCGGACCTCGGCGACGATACCGCTGAACTCCTGCTGGATACGGTCGTCGTTGGTCGGGAGACGCCTGAGCTTGGCGAGACTTTCAAGAGCTTCGTCATCGCGGCCAACCATAGCGAGCCATCGGGGCGAGTAGGGGAACATGTTGATGCCGATGCCAACCACAGTTGCGGACACCATCTGCAGGCCGAAGGGGAGGCGGAAAGAAATTTCGCCAACGAGATGGCGTGTACCATAGGTGATCCAGAATGCCACCACGACGCCGAGAACGATGGACACGGACTCGAGAACCAGCAAGGTGCCACGCAGATTCGGGGGAGCTATTTCAGAAATGTAGAGGGGGGCGCCCTAAAAGAATTGGTTAGCGCTGGCCAAAACACATAGTCACGAAAAAGCGACATAATATAGGACGTCGGGAGGGGGTAATTTACCATTGCCAGGGCACCAACACCAATGCCACCGATGGTCCGACCCAGAACAAGCATCTCGTAGTTCACCGCGGCGGTCTGCAGGATGGCTCCGACGTTGAAGATGATAACGACGAAGGACAAGGCCCGCTTTCTAGAGAATCTATCGGCCAGCCAGGGCATGAAGACGCATCCAAGGAAGGCACCGAGCTCGAGCATGCCCGTCATAAAACCTTTGCCGAAGCCGCTCTGGGCCTCGGGAAAGACACGGTGGAATTCGGGCATGACGTTGATGATGGAGATGACGCCCTGGTCGTAGCCAAAGGAAAAGCCACCCATGGATGCGATGAAGGCGGCAAAGAAGACATAGGGAGACTTAATGACGCCTCTGACACCGATGTGGCCATACGAGATGTTGGCAGTTGGGTCCGTGGCGGGCTGGGCTGGGGACCCGGAGTTGACGGACTCTACGGCCTCAGCCTGGGCTTTGCCAGACTGAACGGAAAGGGTGGTGTGAATATCGTGCATGGTGGGTGATGGCTTCATGGCAGAGGTTACATGAGGCGTGCTGTGACAAGAGTCTGGGGAAGACAAAGGGATGATGTCTAAATTTTATAGGAACCGCTGATCCATGAAGCCGTCCGTGTTCAAAGTGGGCCAGGTCCCAAAGGTGAGGCTTCGCGCTTTCCTGCCTTGGGTATTATAACCCGCGGGCGCCGATTCGGCCGCCTGGGGAGATTCTGGGGTAATGCGGAGAAGCCAGCCTTCGGGCTGGGACGGTCTGGGGAAGCCTGGCTTCTGGACCCCGCACGCAAACCTGCAAGCTAGCGTATCAAGCCCTTCGCATTTCCAAGGCCGTATTTGGTCTTGCATTCCGCAACCCCGCGGAATACCACTTTGGTCTCGTTTCAGACCACTATCAATCGCGCCTCCTGACCAAGACATGAATCGTGCGCAATGAAACCGAAGCGCAGCTGCGAAGCCTGTCGACAGCGTCATCGGAAATGCATCACACGGCCCCAGGCCACCACGTGCAACGGATGCGACGAGCTGGGACGCGAGTGCACTCTAACTCCTCCCTTGCAATTTCTCCCGTGGAAGGCCAAAGCCGCCGGCAAAGCCCGAGTCGACGCTGACCCCAGTAGCCCTTCGGCTCTGGCCGGCGGTACTGACCTTGCCCAGACGCCTCGGTCGCAGGGCCTCCCCTCCCCGCTCCATGGCAATGAGTCGCTCGGATCCCCCGTCAGCCAAAGGCGCGAGAGCATCGTGATATCCAACCCACATCAACCTTCAACATCCAGCTTGTTGTCGAAGCGTGAGGCGTTCCTCTTCCGAACATGGGTGCAAAAGATCTCATTGATTGTACGTACCTTATCCCTATTGCGACAACTGCAACCAGGGTACCTTGAAATCACTAACAAGCCTCCTCCGCTCGCCGCTCCGTTGCTGCCGTAGTCAGATGCGACCGACGACGCGAGACATTTTGCCATCACGGTCTCGAGGCTGGCACTTGAGCACCCCGTATTGCTAAATGGCATTCTGGGGCTAGCCAGCCGTTTCGACAGCCTCGCCACTGGTGGACCCGAAGCGGGAGAAGACCTGGAGAGTGCGTTCTATCACGGCCGTTGCATCGAACTGCTCATCAATCTCCTCAACAGGCCGGTGGAGACATATGACGATGTACTGCTGGCGGCCGTCGTGCTGTCGCGGCTCTACGAGGAGAACGACACCCACACAGATTCGCTCACGTACCATCTCGCAGGTACAAGCACTCTCCTCGGCCACGAAGTCATCACTCGCTTGGCTGCCGAGGGGGGGCTTGCAGAAGCCGCCTGTTGGGTCCATCTTCGCCAAGCTCTATACGTCGCCATCGTGCACCGACAACACCCTCAGATTCCCCTCCGCTTATATGAGAACCTCACCGCGTTCCGCAGGGCTGATGATACTTCCTTCGGGAATAGAGCGGTCTATCTCTTTGCTCGGATCGTCCTACGATACTTTCCGGAGCAGTGCACCGAGCAGATCCTGCCGCAGCAGGAAGACACTTGGACTGTTTTAGAGGAGGAGCTCAGCACGTGGTTCCAGACAAAGCCAGTGTCCTTCGAGCCCATCTACCACACCCCTCCAAGCGCTAGCACGGGCGAGCCATTCCCATGTATATGGATGGCTTCAACAGCGGCAGGTAAGGAACCCCGAGTTTCTCGTTTGATTTCCCTCTCTGCTTCGTGATGCTCAATTCTCCTCCGTAATCGCAGCCGTGGCCTTGCAATACTATTACTCTGGCATGATTGTCATCAATCTTCACCGATGTCATAGCACTCCGACCACGGGGTTTGAAGCCACAAAATCCCGGAGAACTAGTGAGGTTGGTTTTCCGCCTCTGCTGTTCACGTCATCCTCGTTAACATGGTTGGAAGAAATGCATCACCGCGCACTTGTGTGCGTTAATGGGGCTCGCCTTGTCGAATGATCAGGCCATGAATGCTTGGTATCTGCCATGCCACATGTTACATCTATGTGAGCGAATGATCTACCCTCGAGAAAATCAAGACCCGGCTTTGAATCTGACCTCGATAGGTGGCTACCTACTTCAGAACCCAATAGAGCGGGCGCACACTGTCCAGTACCTGCAGACTGTGAACCGGCAGATTCAGTGGAAGACCGCACCTGTAATCGCCGCCCTCACTGAGCAGTGGGCCGAGCTGGACGGACATGCAGCCGAGATGGAGTAGGGACAGCTCTGATGTATGCCAGACAGCAACATGTCCCACAATAACGTGTCAGCCATGGGGTTTCGAGCCATAAAGAAGCAGTAGACCACGAGATCATGAGGATTCAGGATGTGCAGTGTCCGGTCCTCGTCATCTGATAAGCCCTTCGCGTGTTATATATTACTTGGGAGGTTGGGAAATTTTGATTATGTTATACAGCGCCAGGTGTGTAATCTTAAATGTCCAATGTTCGTATTGACTCTTGTCTCAAGGCCTGTCCGTACTCCTCAGTCTATGTCAGTTACTTGAGAAGGTGCAGGCTGAGTATTACTCGAATTATTAGACTATCCAGGACCTATGAGAGGCTCCACCTGCGGTGATTAATTAACATGGATTCAGTGAACGTCGAAGACAAGCTTTGATGAGAATTCAGTACTAAAAAGCTCTGGTGGCCTACTTGATTCCGGTGAAATTGACAACCATGACAATGTAATATCACAAATTCCTCCGCCTTTGAAAGATAATTTGAAGCAGTGGCGTTTTTCTGGGCCATGTCTCTACTCTGTTTTCCCCCGTCTTTCTCAGTCACTACCTACACAGTCTCAGACTCTGGCTTGTGTACACAACTGTCTTGGATGTTGATTCCTACCATTGCGGACCTCGCCGCCAGATAATAATGGGCAACGGCCCGCAAATCATGTTGAATGCCTCAAATCGTTCGGCCACGAAGTTGGGTGTGGCCAGAGCGAAGTCGTAGCGGTGGACAATTGTGGCCAGGATGACAATCTGCTCGAGGTACGAAATGTTGCGACCGATGCAGCCTCTGGCACCAGCCGAGAATGGGATGAAGTACGGCTCCATCCTCTTGCGCTCGGCCGGGTCCATCCACCGCTCCGGCTTGAAGACATCTGGGTCTGGGTAGATGGAGGGGTCGTGGTGAGCGCCGTAGATAGTCATGGAGACGCTGGTGTCGCCGGGAATCCACTCGCCCAGGATGGACGCGCCCTCGGGAGGGGTCCGGCGCGGCAGGCCCGAGGACGTCGGCGGGCTGAGGCGGAGACCCTCATCGAGGCAGGCCTTGAGGTAAGGTAGATCTTTGACCTTGTCAAAGGGAGCGACGACGTCGTCGTCATCAAGCACGTTGCTCAGCTCGTCCCGCAGGGCGGATAGTTTGGCGGGGTGCTTGATCAGGAGCTCCATGATGTTGCTCAGGGCGATTGCTGTAGTCTCGGCGCCTGCGTCGATGATGGCGGATACCTCGGCGACAATTTCCCCCCACTCGAGGTAGTTTGGTGCGCCATTCTTGTCGTTCATAAGGCAGGAGAAGAAGTCATCGAGCTGCTCACCGGCCTTGTATCTTCTCAGCCGTTCGCTGGCTTGGTGGTATGTGATGTCGCCCCAGGGTGCACTGATTTTCCAGAGCTGCTTCCACTTGCTAGGCACGCTCTGGGTTATCCAAGCAATCCACGGCCACAAGTCATAGTCCCAGCAGAAGACCGACTTGACGATCGCGTTGTGGTTTTGCGAATGGCGGTACCTCGCCCGGTAGCAAGTGCCGTCCAGCCTCTCAGCCGTCACCCAATCAGTGCCTGTGTCCAACAGGTCCATCTTAGAGGAGAGAGCAATGAAATTAATGGCCTCAATTGTCCAGAGATTGATCCAGTGGTTGAAATCGACGGCATCGTCTTTGGAACGAGGTGCCCCAGCTGACTTGACGCACCGTTCGTCGAAGACCTTGACCAGGCGGTGCGACGTGTAATTGACCTTGTACTCCCAATTCTCGAGGTTCTTGGTCGCGAAAGCGGCCGACAGCAACTTCCTCTTGCGTGCATGGTCTGCCTTGTCGATTACGTCGAAGAGTTGACGGTGAGTGCCGGCTAGAATGCTCTCCTTCACGTCCTTCACGCATTTTGTCCGGTGGCCGTAGATATCTTTAATGGCGTCGGGATGATTAAAAGACAAGGCATTTGGGCCGATTCTGAGGATTGACGCGCCTCGTTCGACATGTGCCTTGGTGAGATCTCTTGACCGTCGACCCTGCGAACTCAGGTAGCAGTGTCGCAGGTCGGTGAGAGGAGAGAGCCAGGAGTAGTTGTGATACTTTCGAAGGCCTTTTGCGTTGCAAAGATAACGAACAATAGGGACAATGAAAAAACGCGTTGTCGTCAAGAATAGCACTATGGCTAGCGCAAATAGTGAAAGGTGCGGCATGATGGGTGAATGGGGAATGCAAGCCTGTGAGAGAGAGACTTTCACACACTCCAGCTCCTGACATCCCGTCGAATATTAATGGAAGTCTGCCTGAAAGATGCTCGATTGCCTTACATGTGCGTAGTGGTGGGGGAGGCGTAGTGGTGGGGGAGGATTTTCAGGTATGCAGGCGTGTCCCGTGATTCCATCTTGGCGCTAATCATGATGACCGGGGTCCCTTGCTATATCGGGCAACTTTCCCCGCCCCAAGTGGGATACTAACCAGATAAGGCAGAATATCCCGCGGATTCTGTAGAGTTCGCCCCTCAAGAAGGCATTTTGGTGCCTGAGAAAGCCACAATGACTGATTGGCTGTCCTTGGTCGTGGCCAATGAACTCCAAAGTTCTTGACCACCATGGACTTCCCTGGAAATTGCACCGAAAACCATATTTGAATCAACGTCAATATCCTTTGGTTTGTGTAGGACGGGACCACTCCTCCAAAGGCCCATGCCCTCTACTTTCTCCTCCAGCTCCCGTTCTTATTATGTTTCTTGACTGAACGAACAAACATCGTTAAAGCTACAAGCGAGCCGCGTTCACGATGTTGAACATCTTAGGCAACACCAGTTGTACCGATTATGGCCTCTTCGCTGCCATCATCCTCAGCACCAGCTTTGTATACAACAAGGGGCGCTTCTTGCCTAGGACGGATCGCTCCGAGAAGATTCTCTATGAGAAAGTCCAGAAGCAAGATGCGGCAACGTCTAGTTCGTCAGCTACCCGCGACATGGGAGAAAAGGTCAGGACTTCGGATGCACAATTCATAATCCTCTGGGGTTCGCAGTCAGGGACCGCAGAAGGTCTCGCTCAACGTCTCAAGCGGGATATTCAACAGCGTTTTAGTTCCCAAGTCGTCCTCGGCGACCTGTCAGACTACGACCCGGCTACCGTGGCAAATATACCCGGCCCCGTGTTTCTTGTTCTCATCATGTCAACCTATGGAGAGGGCGACCCAAGCGACAACGCGCAGGACTTTGTGACCTACTTGACATCAACACCGAATGCTAATTTGGCTCAACTGCGCTTCGCTGCCTTCGGCTGCGGGAACAGCAGCTACCGGTACTTCAATCAAGTCATCTATGATACAGCTTCGGCTCTGGAGCACCGCGGCGCCAAGGCCATAGTCCCTGTTGGCACTGGCGACGAGGCGAAAAGGTCTACCCTCGAGGACTTCCACGACTGGAAAGCTGCCTTTTTCTCCACCCTAGTCTCTCAGTATGCTCTGTCAGAGCGCGATATTGGGTACCAACCCGCGGTTCAGATCGAACTAGAGGCTCCATCCAGCAAGGCAACAGAGAACAGCACCAAAAGCACATTGGCCAAGGTAACCGTGGTCAGTCTGCCGACTGTCTCGAACCTGGCGGTTGCCCAGTACGTCGACCCTCTGAGATCCTGCGTCCACATCAAACTCGACCTTAGCAGTTACCCCCAGATCAAATACCGGACAGGTGATCATATTGCTGTCTGGCCGCGAAATCCTAAGGACGAAGTGGATAACCTGTTGCGCATCATGCAAAAGGAGTCGCAGAGTGATTATTACATGCGGATCACATCAAAGGACGAGCTGGTCGAAATGAACTTCCCATCCACAATGACCCTTCATGACTTGCTTTCAAAACACCTGGACATCTGTGCTCCGGTGCCGAGAGAGACGATTCTAGTGCTGGCGCGGATGGCCAAAACTCCGGAGGTGAAGCAAGAGCTCGAACGCATCGGCAGTACGAAGGAGGCGTACGCAATATTCCTGGACAGCCATCATATGACACTGGCCAGATTACTGTGTCATATCTCGGCGCTTCATCCCAGCAGCTCCTGGGACTGGTTGCCCCTCTCCTTCCTTGTCGACCTGATTCCTCCCCTGAAACCACGGCTCTACTCCATCGGATCGTCCAGCATCGTGGACCCCAAGCACGTCAGCCTGGTCGTCTCTGTCAAGCCTCAGCCAATCCCCGGCCGCCCTGATACCCTCATCCATGGCCTGACGAGCACCTTTCTGGCGAGACTGCCATTGAACTCTCCAGAAGAGTCTCTTGTCCAGGCTGAAATCCGGCGCTCCGACTTCAAGCTCCCATTCAACACTGAGACGCCCGTCATCATGGTTGCAGCTGGCACGGGCATTGCTCCGTTCCGCGCGTTTGTGCACGAGCGTGCACGGCTCGCCTCGATCGGCCGCCCGGTCGGCCCGATGCTGCTGTTCTTCGGCTGCCAGAATCAGGCTGACTGCCTGTTCTACGATGAGCTCACGGAGCTTGCGGCCACGCATGCGTCGCGTTTTGAGCTACAGCTGTACACGGCTTTCTCACGACAGCCCTCGGCAAAGACCAAATATGTGCAAGACCAGTTGTTTGAGCACCGCCAGAGTGTCATGAAGTACCTGATTGAGGACGACGCGGGGCTTTACATCTGTGGAGCAACGGCGATGGCGAAGGAGGTCAGAAAAGTGTTGTTGGAGGCGGCGATGGTAATGAAGCAATGGACTAGCAGCGAGGCTGAGCAGTGGAGACAGGGCAGGCGGAAGGCAAAACGGTGGAATGAAGATGTATGGAGTTAGCTTTTTCGACGGATCGGCGGGCAATCTGATGTTAGATCAAACAGGTGCTCCTCCCAATTATTTCGCAACGACCAGAATCATCTTCTACGCGATCACCTACTCTATCAAGGGCAGACGCAACCTCTTGCACGCACGATTCGTGTTTGCACGTGATGGAAATAGGATTCCTTGCCGCGACGCATCTTGTTCAAGTTTTCCTCGATGCATCCTTCGACGACGCGTGATACAGCCTGATGACGAGATGCTGGAAACCCCGGCACTGACCATCGGAATGTCCGAAGGAGAGGCGTGCACTGGCCTGACTGGGTTGCTACGAGCCTCGCGCAGTGTTAGTAAGGGACGAGCTCCTCGAGAGGGCTAAAAATGCAGTGAAATGGTAGTTGGTCGGCCGCTCGCATGAAGTTATGCTGCAAGGAGGGCGGCAGCCACACATGGCTGTCTGCGCCACTTGTCCGATAAGCTGATAGCTTTGCGGTGGGGCTCCAGAAGCTGGCTCCCCACGGTTCAGGTCTGGAATACGACCCAAGCGAGAGGCATTGCCGGTGGACACTAGCTCCACGGTCTTCCTGGGAATACGACCCAAACGAGAGACACTGACTGGCGCGCACACCTAGCTTTTACATCCGATCTGCTCGCGCGAACGTCAACTCCACGCGTAGTCAGCGCAAAATAACGAGATACGCTGGCTGGCTCTGTTGGGATTGGTGCCTGGAAGAGGTGAGGCATGGTGATAACGGACGATGACGATCATGTCTAGGTTTCTCATAGCAGGCTGGCTGTGACACGTCCGTGCAGCCTGCCCGCCCGTGATCGTGTGGCTACGCCATACTGAGTGCTCTACCATTCCTATCACAGCCCCTGATCATAAAAGGAGCTTCATTATCGCCGGCAATTCAGTTCAACTATGCAAATTCACTCTCATCATCTCGGCAAACTTCTTCCAATTGAACACGCTTTCACCATACTGTGGCCACTCCGCTGTGTGCGAGATCAGAAACAGCAAACGAAACTTTCCCCCAGCCCTCGGCGACCAGACCCGTCATCATGGGGTTTAGCGGTATGGGCAAGTTACTGTCACCAATGGGACAGTTCCTCATCCTGTCTGGAACAGCGCTCTTGGCGCGAGGTGCAGTTGGGGCAGTATTCTCGCCACAGGAATCCCAGTCATCATCGGAAGAACAACCACCAGCACTCTCCCTGGGCCCCTCCAGCACCTTTTATTCCTATTCCTCTTCCCTTACTACGTCCGAGCCAACAGTGTCTCCTCTCACGTGCAAGCCTCTGGGCCCTATCGTCCCGCGACCACGAGACCTCGCCATGGCTCCGATGTTCCAAGCCTCGGTTGCCGATCTCTCCTCCGTGCTGGATGCCGCGATGAACGGAGACATCGAAGCTGGGTGGGCTTCCGTTGCGAACACCTCCTTCTCTTTGGGCATTGTCTCCCTTACTGGCGACAACAGTGGCGCGCATGGAACGCCGTTGATATGGGAGAAGCACCACCTCTCTAGACTCAATGAGCGCGGAACAAAGGATCTCACGCGGGACTCGCAGTATTTGATCGGTAGCGTGAGCAAAGTGTTCACGGACTATCTGCTGCTTCTCATTGCGGAGAGTGGGGACAATGGGATCGAGCTTGATGTCACCGTTGTCGAGTATCTTCCTGAGCTGAAGCGAGGCAGCCTTGCTGCAGAACGAGCGAAACAAACGATGATAGACTGGGACAAAATCACGCTTCGAATGCTGGCAGGTCATACCGCGGGTGTGGTGCCAAACTGTGAGTCGATCGCTTATCCGCCTTTAGTTGCTGGCCATTTCCACTCTCCGTGGTGCTCATATTCAAGCCTCAAAATTATCTCAAAACTTGACTCTCGCGAATAATCTCGATTGCTAACATTGAAGCAATCTGTTGTAGTCGGCTTCTCTGAGTTCTACTTTCTCAAAGAATACTTTCTGTCGCTCGGCTTTCCAGTCATAGCGGATAGTGCATTCCCCAACTGCGGGGTGATTGGGCTCAATGAGGGTTGCGATGCACAAGGCAAGTTCTTCTCCTTTCATCTCATAATTTCTTACTGTGACCTCGAAGCATACATACTGGACGATCGTGGTGAGCAATTATGAATATGGCACTGACAGGGCAATGCAGGACTCCTCCAGGGACTGCGTGACCAGGCACATCCAGTCTACCTCCCCGGCGAGAAGGCGCAGTACTCCAATATTGCCTTCAGCGTGATTGCGCTCGCGCTAGAGAGCGTCACGGGCAAGAATTACTCGCAGCTGCTTGACGACTACGTTTTCAAACCGATGAATCTCACAAACTCAATGGTTAGCCCTGGCATTGATGACCACGCCGTGATCCCGGTCGGCGATACAAACAGTTGGGGCGCCGACTATGGGGTTGGCGCACCGTGAGTTCACATTCCTCTGACTGCGTGCTTGATGTCATTCCATGGCAACGTCATGTCTTATGATCCAGAATGGCCTTGGTCATTGCAATTCAATAACTAATACTTCTTCTTCAATACAGTGGCGGTGGCCTAGTTTCTTCCCTCTCTGACCTTGCCGTCTTCTTCAGCACCATCCTTAGCCCTTCCGCGCAACTATCCTCGAACACGACACGCGCTTGGTCGGCGCGCTCCTGGTTGCACGATCCTTCGATCCTGACCGGCTCGCCCTTCTCCGCGGTCGGTTCCCCATGGGAGATCTACCGAGCGCAGAATCTCGTCCCCCGACACCCCCACACAGTCGACATTTACGGCAAGGGCGGCTCCGCGAACGGGTACCAGGCTCAGGTTGCAGTGCTCGACGAGTATGGTGTCGCCATTATCCTGCTCACCGCTGGCGGTGGGGGTGGCGCGTGTCAGAATATCTACGACGCCGTGCTGAAGACTCTTGTGCCGGTCATCGACGAGATCGCCAGAGAGCAGGCGGCGGACAATTACGTTGCTAGTTTTTCTTCGTCCTATCCAAATGAGAGCGAATCAAGCGGGGCCGTTCAGCGGCAGCGACAGAGGCATGATGAGCAAGAAGTATGTGTGGGCATGGTGGACTTCAACGCTACCGTCATCCAGGACGAGCATTCTCTCATCTTGGAGAGCGTGTGGCGCAACGGGACTGATATGCTGGCGGCGTACATCAAACTCTGGTCCGTGACGATGGGCATGTACGTCCCCGCCGTGCCGAAAATGGCCAGGTTATTTCCAACAGATGTCCGCGCCGAGAGTGTCCTGAATGATACCGCATATCGCGGCCAAGGCGGCAGCAGCAGCAGCAGTAACGGCGACGTCGAGGTCATTGTCGAGGACTGGAGGATCGATTGGAGCTTGGAGGCTGCTGGCACGAGGTCGGATATGCCGGGCACGGGAATGGGGCCTGATGGGGCCAGCAAGGACAACTGCTTGGGCTGGACATGGGTAGATTGGATGTACTATGGAAACGAACCGATGGATCGGGTTGTGTTTATCCGGGAGAAAGCGACGGGCAAGGTCTTGGGGATGGAGGTGCCATACTTACGATCTGGGATGCTGTACAAAGCCCCATGAATCCAGACTCAAGAGGTATGCGTGCAAAATTGACTTAATCCAGTTACACTTTTATTATCCCCAACCGCTAGGAAATTCTACATTTTGGTTCCGCTTACTATCGATGGTTGTTATGACTTGTAAATGTGCACCTGCTTCAGTTCATTGGCTGCATTAGCGCAAAGAATGAAGATTTGTCATAGATTTTGCTGCGACATTGTGGAAATGGACTGGACTTTGAAAATACCGATGCCTGTGATCTTGGCCAGCGGAATTTGCCTGGCTGCTGCCGCTGACCATGTCCGAGAACGCCTACACAGCTCTTGTAACCTATAAACTCAAGATCCGAAAGCATTTCCGCAGCCCTTAGGCAGACGGGTCATGTATCGAACGTGATTGGCTCGATGATGTGGAAATACACCCGAGCGTGGGTGGGTGGCACTGGGCGCGCTGTGTCAACCGTACGGAGGGCGCGACAGGGATGCTGGGGTAAGGCTTTCTTCCCTCAAGGCTAATCAGGCCATGTCTCGCCAGCCACCGGGGCTGATAGGCCACCTGCTGCATTCCAGCTGGTGCGACGTAAGGCCCTCAGCGCAAGACTTGGTGTCATTCTTGGTCCTTCTCGCGGCAGTTCCGTACTGCTTTCATCTTGCCATATTGCATTGTTAACTGACCTCACCACTACTATATCCACATGACTGCTGCATTGCCCAAGCCTTGCTGGCACAAGCCGAGCTGACCTCATCTCTGATCCAGCCTGGCGCTGTCGGCATGTGTGCACCCACGCATGCAGGTGAGGCGACACGTGAGGCTTGTGTGCGGTGTAATCGGCTACCATACCCTCGTAGGACCGACGGCATGTGGAATGTGGCTGTGTAACCCGCAGCGGCATTCATATAACCTGCGCACTCGGCTGCCAGCCACGTCACGAAGCCAATGCTCAACACAAGCTTTGACGCGGACCAGGGCCTGCAAAGAATAATCGCCCAGCACAAATCAGGGCACTCCGCACCCGTTCCGCCCTCTTGACGACCATGGGCGACCCCGCCGACGAGTTCCGGAACCAGTGGGTCAACCCACGCGACATTCTCAGCCTCCTGCTCCTAGTCGGAGGCGACATTGTCCAAAAGGCAATCGCCCAGCTCGTCGGCTTCCGACTTCGGCCATTCTCACGTGGCCGTGGTCGAGGCATCTCCATCGCCCCGGTAGCATTCTCATTCGGATGGGTCGCCTATGGCTTCACCAACCTCCTCGCGGCCGTCGGCGACATGAGCCTCATGCCGCGCAACGAACACCCGTCCATCCTCGTCACCTGCTCCAACGGCTTCGTGCGCGAGAACCGGTCATGGGTCCTCGGTCGTTTTCTCCGCGACCACGAGCTCAAGTACGTAGCTGACCGAGACAAAAACGACGAGCACCAGACCCCGGTATCCGTGCGCATCGACATCTTCCATCTCGAGCCCGGCTCCGACGTGACATGCGACTACGTCTGGTGGTGCGGCTGGGCGACACTGGTAGTGCAGCTCGCCATCGCCGCGATCCCATGGGGTCTGTACGGGGACTGGTCCGCCATGCTCGTCACGCTCTGCGGCACCTTGCTCGTGCTGGGCACGTGCATGATCCCGCAGTGGGAGCGGGAGAAGTGGGCAGGCCGCAAGCTCCGGGGCGACAAGACCATGTGCCTGACCCGCGGCAACGGCAGCGCCCACATCATCGTGCTGCTTGGCAGCGCCGGGTCCTGGGACATCGAGTCCGCGGCGGCGGCGTCGGACACTCCCCATCGGCACCCAGGCACGCGGGTCATCGCGATGGTGCTCGCCCTGCTGTGGACGTTCTTGCTCCTGAGTGTCGCCGGCCTCCAGGACAACACCTGGTTCCTGGTAGCGATCGGGGCACTCGGCATGGTGCAGAATGTCCTTGCCGCGGGCGCGCCCAGGCATCCCAGCGCGTCCGGGCTGCATCTCAGGAGCTTTGAGCGAGCCCCGACAATCATCGGGCGGCGCGAGAGCTATGTGGACGATACTGATGCCTCGGTTGACTTGGACCGCACGAATGCCGAGCTCGCCAGTCTTGCAGCGTGGGCAAGTCAGCCACCCCTTCGGCACTCTTCGGACTCGCACAAGCCAGCAGCAGCATCGACCATGCCACCCATGCCTGCTTGGCTGCAGACCATGTCCAGCGAAGACGGAGTGCCGTCTTGGCTGGAAGCCAAGCAGCCGAGCTCCCAGGGCAAAACCATAGAAGAAGTCTTTGACAACCCCCATCACGTCACGAGCTGGTCCAGTACCGTCGCAGCACAGCAGCCAGGCTCGGCTGCACCTGGGTCGCAGGGTGGCGACGTTGTCTATGCCACCGGTGTGCATGGAGCTCTGATGGAGCTGGAGAAGTGGGTGCCTACCGCTGGACTTGCCATGGTGCAGGTATTCTTCCCTGGCGGACTCGAGTACAACGATGCCTCGATCCGAGACAATGTCCACAAGAAGTTCTGGCAGAGGGCATACTATACTGCGCCGGTCCGCAAGCGCGCAGAGGCAAGACGGAAAGTTGAGGAGAACCGTGGCCGGGACACCGAACCCTGCTAGACAAGCGGACGCGAGGAGGACACAGGTAGGTTCAATTGCCTGCAGACTGGACACTGCCTTTGACGATCGGTGGCGGAATAATCATGCATGAGAACTATAAACTTTGCCTTTGCAGCATCGCGAGCGTGGCTGCTTACATCAAAGACCGTGGCGATCTGGCCTGTGGCGCTAATGTCGTTTTTATACTATGCATCTGATTGCTCATCTTGAGGACTGATAACCTTGGTATGCCACCCAACCACATCGTCACCAACCATCCGCGTAGCAGGTATCTCAATTGAATATGATAGGGGACAGTATTGCGGATGGAAGGGGCGCTCTATCAATCTATAAAGGGGAATCTTTCTGGATCGACAGCTTGACGAGTTTCAAGAGTGGATTACCCCAAACTCGGTAAGGTTAGCTGATGACGTGAGCTGACGTTAACAGCCACCACATTAGTCGGCTCGTGAAGCGGATGTCGCATGTCTCTCAGAGACTCGTTCGACCACAAAGTGAATTGTGTGATTTCGACCATGGAGACCGCGGAAGTCTTAGATGATACGAGCATGTACGTGTCGCGACGTGGGGTGACGGCGTTTTATGGCTCGACCATGGTCCATGTTTGTTCAGAGCCTTTGTGCTGGGCTGCTGGTGACGAGCCTGATATGTGATCCACATCAGCACTAAACTATGCCCACCAGGGAAATAGCCCTATTACCCAAGACCCAGTTCGGGGTTCTAATAGCCTAGCTGCTCGGGTATCAGACCCGACAAGCCTCAAATCCCTGTAACATGATGTCCGACAGCCGGCGTTGGCTACTACGGTGTTAGCGGCATTTCGGGCGCTAGTGGTCGACTTTGGTCCTTTATAAGGGTCCGCATCTGTCCGTCAAAGCCCACATGTTGTCATCCTGCAGCCCGTTGTTGCAATCCGATTCAGGTCCCAGCGCTGATCCGTCTAATCTGGCCCGATATTTCCCAACATCATCCAGCTACCCAAGTGATCCAAAATGGCTCGTTTAATCGACACGCTTCCGGAGCCGAAGAAGAAGCTCGACAAGAAAGTGATTATCCTTAGTAGAAGCCGGTGAGAGCCATCCGAACCTTCCAAAGCAAGTACCCGGACTGACGCGAAGCGACACTTTTTGCTCCCTCTGATGCATAGGGTCGGCACCTTCTCGCTCTATCAAGCCATGCAGAAGCTCGGTTACAGACCGTACCACATGTACGAGGTGGTCACCGGGGGCTTCACTCAGATGATGCTGTTCCGAGAGGCTCTGCGGGCCAAATATCTTGGCGAGGGCAAGCCGTACGGCAAGCCCGAGTTTGACAAGTGGCTGGCCAACTACGACGTCGGTGCTTGTTCTCTACAGCATAGTGGTATTTACTGCCTCAGCAACGCGACTGACGCCTCTCTCTGCAGTGTGTCATCGAGATCCCGCAGTTCTTCACGGAAGAGTTCATCCGGTTCTACCCGGACGCCAAGTTCATCCTCACCGAGCGCGAGGTAGCTTCGTGGACCAAGTCGATGACCAACACTGCGGTACCCGTCTTCACCTCGATGCACAAGTTCCCCATGAACGTCATTGGCACGATCGATAAGTTCATGCAGGGCATGGTCGACCTTCATGTCACCCTCGAGGAGGTTACCTACCACGGGCGAGGCTGCCAAGACCCCGAAGGCGTGAGGTTGTCGGAGGAGGATTTCCGGAAAGTGTGAGTCCCTGCAGCGCGGCTTTCCTGGGCCCTTGCGCACATGTTTTCTTGCCCCATGCGTATTCCAGCCTGATCCCACTCGCATCCTGCCTCGATAACATTCTGACACGTCACGAAACTATCTAGGAGCAAAACAGCGAAAGCACTTGCGCCGAAGGACCGACTGCTGGTCTGCCGCCTCGAAGATGGCTTCGGCTGGGAGCAGATCTGCCCCTTTTTGGGCAAGGATATCCCGGCGGAAAGATACCCCAGGGGCAACGCGCCGGAAGAGTTCAAGGCGCTGTTCGGGAAAGTGACGGCCCCGGGGCTCAGGAAGGGAGCTGCTGTCCTCGTGACGGTGATTTTGGTACCTGCTACTGCTATAGGGTATTGGTACTGGCAGTCATAGCGACAGGGCCATGTCGAGAGTTACTGAAAAGGGTTGGATGGTGTCCGATCCTGATGGTCGGGTCAGCGGGCAGTCATAAGCAGATGGTATCAGCGCGTGGGGGCCGGGACGTGGATATTGTTGATGTCTTGTGGTGAAAAGCTATGTGGCTGAGCATACACTGACGCCCTTGTCGAGTTTTGAGGTCAAATGTGACGTGATGCAATTCCAGTGTGCAAGGCTAAGCCACCTCGCACGATAACAAGCATTCGGGAAGGGATGCGGACCGTGGTTGGGGTAAGTGCCCATTGTCCCACCCTGCCTCTGGAGCGATTCAGCCCGTGCTAAGCCAGTCTGGTCCGGTAGCGTTCGGCAGCCGACCCATGCGATCTTGTGGTTGGCCGCTGGCATCCCCTCCTTGCAGGGTTGTAGACGAGGTTGCTTGCGGCTGAGGACTACGATGCAGGGATACGGAGAGCCTAGATCGACAGCTGAACGCCATCACCGAGGGGGCGGCCGGCCCAAACGGAGGACACGCCTGGCCTGGCACGATATATGTTTCCGAGTTGGGGGCCTCGCGGCATGATCTTATACCTTCGAATAGCATTGCCCGGCGACCGAAATCAACCCTGTGTCGCCCATACACGTCCCCGAAACAACAACGAACGGCGATGTCGTCCTGCAGCGTCGATGGCAATGCCGACATGTACGGTCTCGGCATCAGGCTTGGGTTCTATCTCAACTGGAATGCGGGGATCCTCGCCAACCTTGTCGCCGTGCAGGAGATCGAGACGATCCGCTACGCTTTCACCTGCTTCATCGGCGCCACCTTCCTCGCACTCGTTGTGCAGACGGTCCAGGGCGACAATTTGACCGCGCTGGACACCTACATTGTCCTGCTCCTGTGTTTCGGGTACTATTGTTCTCTTGTTCCGACTTGGTTGTGGCGGCTGGCGACATGCTTCAACCCCAAGCTCGATCCGACCCGCTGGCCACGGCTCAAGCCGAGCCAGACGTTCATGTACGCCCACGTCGCGCTTGTGGCTGCGGTCGCGGCGTTTCAGCTGTGGTTCTGGTTCGCAGAAGTGCCTAAAGCAGCAGCGTGCAGCTATCGCGGTTTCCTCTTTGTCAAATTTCGCCTCACCGACGTCGTGTTCAAATATGTCAATATTGCCTTCCAGGCACTTATCCTGGCCATCTGCGTAACCAGCGTGGCTGCGCAATTGTTAGGGAGGGAGGGCTCGCCCTCGGTACGGTGAGTTTTAAGCACCCATTGTATACACGTTTCGGCGAAGAAACGACCACTGATGCTTGTCGCCTGGGACACAAAAGGATCTCGGAGCGGCACAAGTCGACCCTGCGAATTCTATACGCAGTGATGCTCTTCATTGTCGCAAGCCTAATCACCGTCGCAACCGAGCTCACCATTGCGTGGAACAGAGTGACCGACGTCAATGAGCTCAACTCGGCGGGCCAGCTGATTCCGTTCATCGTCGGCGTCGGTGTGCTAGGGCGCGTCGTATATCTCGCCATCCGCGGTGGCTTGTCCTCCGCTCCTCCTGGCAAGATGGGCACCCATGGACGTGACGACATGACCGCGATGGGAGGGCATTACGTGCATCTCCCGACCGCAATGCCGTATGACGAGTCAACCACCATCGATGCCAGCAGCTCCGGTGGAGGACCCTATGGCCCTGTGCACAAACCCTACACACCCGAAGGCTGGAACTTCCTACCACCCATCAGCCCATACGTCGCCAACAGCACGTCTGTCCCGATGCCGGCCGTGGGAATTTCCCACCCCATGTCCGCGGCGAACAATCCGGTCCGAAGCTCGCTCCCTCCATACGAGACTGGCGGCTTGCCTCATCCGAACAGCCCGTATGAGATTGGGACTGGCTACGCTCATGGGCGCCATGAGCTTTACGATGCAGACCAGCCGACGGGCAACTACTCCATCATGACGCCCACAATCGGGAATCCTAATATACGTTGAAAGTGTGGCTACTCTGTTAGCATTTCCCATTGTATTGCAATCGCGACGATAATTTAGTGCACGAAGAAGAATGATAACGAGTTGTCATGAGAATTGGACAAAGTAGCTCCGGCCTATGTCGCATGATTGTTGCTGCTCCATTGCAATGCCACACGAACAACCACTTCTGTTTCCTCTGTGAGATAATACCACTCCCGCGCAATCGCAGGCTCTATCGCCGCGCCCTCAGTCTGGCGCAAACCCGGCTTCACAAAGATCCATCGATCATCCCCGTCACCGCGCCGCTCGCTCACACCGGAGCGCCGATGCCGTGTCCGTGCCAAGCTCCGACGCGGGGGATCGACCCCCGGAGCCGAAATCGGCAATTTCGTAGAGCTGCGTGACCAGCCGGCAGCACCCCGGTCCGGAGATAAGCGTGTATAACTGTCACAACTTGCACAGCTGTTTCTCTTCAGAGTCACAAATGCATAGTACCACAGAATCACGCCAGCGAGCTCGGGTACGCGATCCGGCGCAGCCACCGAAACTTGTCACACGGACTAACGCTAAGGCCGCGTCAGCTCGGGTACTTAAAAGGTAAGCTACCCCTCGCTGTCCCAACGCTTCTTTCTCCTTTTTTTTCCCTTTCTTTTTGATCCCTGCAGTCAGGAAGCTTTGTGATAGCGTACACATATTTGACTGAGAGCCTCCAAGAACTCACTGCCAAAGCGATTCCATAAGTTGCGAATCCTCTAGTTAGCACATCAAATATAGCCAAAGTTGTCAATAAGCAGACAACGAAAGGGCAGACACAAACCACGGCACCTAAGCCGTTTCGTCCTCCCTCTGCACAAGATTTCACAAAAACACTCACAACCCCCCCCCCCCCCCCCTTCCTAAATCCCCTCGTCCTGCTCCTCCTTTCCCCCGCCAAGACAGACTACAGCATGGCAGCACCCGCTCCTACTCCCACTTCTTCCACTGCCGAACCCGGCACCGGCACCGGCTCGACCGCCGCCACCGTCCCAGGCAAGCAAGGCAAGGAGGAGTCCACCTTCCGCGCCTTCACCCCAAAGCAGGCCACCAGCTACGCCTCGCTACGCCGCGACTACCACCCGAGCCTGTACTCCCTGGTCGTGGAGCACCACGCCGCCACGGGCGGGCAGTTTGGCACGGTCCTGGACGTCGGATGCGGGCCGGGGACCGCTGTGCGCGCGCTGGCTCCACGCTTCCGCCGCGCGGTCGGCCTAGACCCGAGCCAGGGCATGATTGACACGGCGAGGGAGCTCGGCGGCTTGTCTGCCGGCAGTGACGACGAGAGCAGCGGCGGCGGCGGCGGCGGAGCAGAGCCAATCCAGTTCGCTCTCTCCACTGCCGAGGAGCTCGCCCACCCGCTGCTGCTTACCAAATCCCCCCTGGTGACGGCACAGTCGACCTCCTCGTGGCCGCCACGGCCGCGCACTGGTTCGACCTTCCGCGCTTCTGGCGCCGGGCAGCTGCCCTGCTCAGACCGGGTGGCACCGTCGCGCTGTGGAGCAGCGGCTCCATGCGTCCCGATCCGAGCATGCCATTCTCGGCCGTGATGCAGGACGCCGCGGACGCGCTGGAGGCGGAGCTAGACGCCTACATGGTCGAGGGGAACCGGATCACGCGCGATCTGTACCGCGGTCTGGCGATGCCATGGGATGTCGAGAAAGATCTGGGTTTCGACAGGGAGAGTTTCCGGAGGGTGGAATGGGCAACGGCCTGGGAGGGCGGAGAGGTTCGCCCGATGGACGAGTTCTTTGCGCCCGTGTCGCAGGCTGGCGGCGTGGTTGGTGCTAGTCCTGGAACGGTCACGGCAGCAGCACCGTCTGGCCCGCCCAAGATCACAACCGAGATTATGGAGATGATGATGAGCACGGGCAGTCCCGTCATCCGCTGGCGCGAGGCCCACCCGGAGCTCGTCGGCACCGAGCAGGACGTCGTGCGCAAGTTCCGCAGGGTCGTGGAGAAGTGTCTGGTCGATGCGGCAATGGGGCTTGACGAGGTAAAAGGCGGACTGACGGGTGTCATGCTGCTAGTGAAGAAGAAATAGGGGTGTCAGTGATGGCACTAGCAGGATGGCTTCAGACAACTTTGGAAGGACACGCAAAGGGGAGACTTAGTGTCGGGTCTGTGAATTTTGATGCCTGATACGTTTGACTTTTTTTTGCTAGTTACTATTCATACGTAAAACAATTACAATGCTCCATCTTGCCTGGGTCTTGCTGCGTGGTGGAGATTTCTCGTGCTCCGAAAGTGACATACTTGAAGGTTTCATGTGCTAGCCATGCAGTCTTGTTGCCAAGGAAATCATCAGTCCACGAAAGAATCCAGGGGCAGCAGCGACAAGGGCTGACTGTTCGACCATGGCCTGTCGCTTCAATCAAGTAATCTTCCATCACTTGTAGTACGTGGCAGCCGGTACCAGGCAAACAGCTGGTGCCGATGTCAGCTGGTGGTGCAGCAACTCGTCTCCATACAGCTCATCGTCCAAAGGCTGTGTCTCTGAGGGGATGTAGTCCGGGTCGACGGCAAGCCCTGTGCTGTCCACGAGCTTGTTTTGTGGCGGAGAAAGCTTGACACGTTTGGTCATGTATCCGACGCTGACACCTCCCTGGCCTGCGTTTGTCAACGGCGACGTAGCCCGTTTGCGACTGTCTCCTGGCAAAACGGGTATGTGCCGAAGCATTGGCTCGTGCTCGATCTTGGTGGGCATAGGCTTGTCCAGGTACGGGGGCAGGAACTGTCTCGGCTGTGTTGTAGCATCACGTTGTCCAGTACGGTCTGTGTCTGGCACAGGGATCCTCGGGGGCGTGCGAGGTTGGGCCCTGGTGCTGTCGTCCGAGTCGGCGCTCCCACATCGCACGGGCACCATGCGTCTGAGAAACGACTGGTATGGCTGTCTAGCTGCCCGGTGGCTCTGAGGAGACACTGGTCCGTCCTCCTGCTTGATTGATGCCTTGTCGGTGGCTGGGCGCAGCTGCCTGGCTATCTGGTCCTTGAGCATCCTGGCCTCCTTGCTCAGCCTGGCACAGCGCTTGTTCTCCCTGGCCATGACGCGGGAGGCCGCCTGGCTGATGGTGAAGATCACGTTGCCGCTGACAAAAGACTCTTCGGTAGAGAGCACCTTGCGGACAGTGATGACGAGGGGCAACAGGTCTGGGTGCTTGTCCTGGAGCCAGGCAAAGTTGGCGGCCGTCGCTCTGGGTCTGCCAATGCCTCCTGCCTCGTCCCTGCTCGCGAGCCCCCAGATCTCGTCCATGGCTGTGGCCAAGAGGGTGTAGTGTTCCCAGGTGCCGCTGTCGATGGGCACGGGGGCGACGTGTCTTGCGAGGTCGAGGCTGGGGAGGGGCAAGGTCTTGTTGTGCCAGGCGTCGAAGAGGTCGCGTTCCGTGGTCAACATGTTGCACTTGGCGCGGTCGATGGCAGTGGCACAAGTGCGGACGGCGTCGAAGGGAGAGGCAAGGGCGCGGAGCTGGTCGGGGGGCAGGCCATGGCTTGTGGCAGCGGCGATGATGTTGAGCTTGGCGACAAGAGACTCGAGATCGTCGGCGTCGCAGGGGAGTGAGGCCCGGGTGAGGCCAGCCCAGAACGAGAGGGGCTCGGGGGGTGCAAGCATCGGCTGGCCAGGGAATAACGGGTGCGTCGAGGACATGCTCACGATGGAGGGCACGGTTGGCCGATATTGGCGATGGGAGATGGGTGGGTTGAGGCGGAGCGCCAGGCCGCGATGTGGTTCAAGGCTGGTGACGACAATGTAGAGTGGGAAGGGACGACCAGCAACGGTGCTTGTTCCGCGTGGCTGCCTCTGCATCTCGCGTCGGGAAAGAGTGCGTCACTTCTACTGTGCCCACCGTCTACAACCTCTGCGTCTCAGAACCCTCTGGCAAACACGAATTCACATTCCTATATATACCATGATAGAATAGTCCTTGAAGGGAATGATCCTCCGCAGCTTGGTATCACCAACACGCAGCAGCTCTCTGGGTGCGACATCCAACACGGCATCTTGGCTTGGCCTTCGTCTCGATCATGGCCGGATCCCGAGATACCAACAAGAACATCTTCAAGCCCACCAAATTCAGTTCAGTCATGCCTCTCTTACCCTTCACTCAATGTCCTGGCCGTTCTCGTTGCATTGCAACCACGCATCCGTCAGCTTGGCCCGCTTGTTGGCGTGCCATGCAACGCTGCCAGCTTCCATGCTCGGTGATCTGGCTCGCTTCATGCCTCCTCCACCAGCCCTCTGCTTATCGCCAAGGGTGGCATCCTGCTCCTGGACTGGTGCTGCCACCCTGTACAGACTCGCGACCGGCAGCTTCGGCCGCAGTGAAAAGGACGGTGCCCCCTGTGGGTTGAAGGTCTTCTGCCCCCTCGTTTCCTTCCTACGCGCGATGCTGATCTTATTTCCCTCTCTAGGGACTTGCTTGGTCTGTTCGTCAGTGACTTTGGCGATGTCAGACTGTTGCTGAGCAGAAGCTTTCTCTGCCGCTTCTCTTGCTCGTGGCGCAGCTTCTTTTCTAGTCGCCTTTCTGCCTTGGCAGTTGCCTTAGCCTCTTTCTCTTTTGCATCGTCCTGGCCTTTCTTCTGACGAGAAAATGGTGTGAATCTTCTGTCCTTCTCCTCGAGCTTAGTCAGGCTGCTGGTGAGATCCTTCACGAGTTTCCGCTTAACCCTCTCGCTCTCCTTCGCGGCCGCGTCCACGATTTTCCTGATCCTCTCCAGCCGAGTCGCAAGCATCTCCTCCTCGATATCATGTATTTTGACCATCGCATTGACCAGCGGTACAAGAGATGTGTGCTTCAGAAACAGCCACGGCACGTTGCCCTCTGTGGCTTTACCGGTGCTCTGGTTCTTCGCCTAATGCCCCTTCTTGGCCATTCTGCTTGCCCTTCGCGATATGCCACTGGCCCAAATCTCGTTCATCGCACGTGCCATCCTTTCACGCTTATCAGCCGTGTTCGCTCTCTTTGGAAGACTGGTTGCCTGCCCGGTATCCCGGGTCCAGTCCACCACAGGGATCTTGACCAGTCCGCTCTGCCACTTGTTGTACATCGTGATCTCGGCCTTTGTCATCTTTGAAGAAAGGGCATGCTCGACGGCGCTCTTGCGGATCTGGGAGCGGTCCGTAGTAAAGGATGCAGATTTTGACACCGCGGCGGTCGAGGCTGAGAGGGCCTGGTCCAGCACGGGCTGCAGCACAGGCGCGAGGGTTTCGATAGTGCGGTGCTGAGCGGCAAGTGAGCGGACTGTGAGCTCGAGCTCGGACGGGGTCGGTGGCAACGCGGCCATGGTGATTGTATGTGCTTGGTCAGTCGACTGTCATTCCGATCGTAGAATGTTGTTGTTGTGTTCTGGCTCTCGCCGTTGGCGTTATTACATGCATATTCTTGGCCGGCGACAGTCCACGACACCAACCTGCCGGGACGGCCGATGGTGATGACAAGATCACCAACGCGTTTGGGGAGGCGGGATAAATGGTGTAACCCAATGCCTGTTGAGAAGGACATGTAAATGATGTAAGTGAGGTCGGCTCGTGTCGAAGAGTGGTGGTGCAGATTGACGGTAGTGCCATTTCACAGAGGCAGCTCTCTCGCTGATGGTCTCCATGTCTGGAACCTCCGCGCTCTTGCAGCAACACGATAATTCTTCCCATCTTAGCGACGCGTGGTCGATGTTTAGCTATCCTAAAACACTTCCCAACCCCCTCTCTGCTCGGTAATGCGGCAAGGGAGAGAGCCATCGTGCCTATCCGAAGCCAGGCCATGTGACAGCAGTCCAGTTGTCCAACATTGAGCCTATGGTTCATGATTACTGCCAGAGCCTGTTCAAGGATATAAAATCACAAATAGTGCACGCCCAGCGCCGCTAAGCTTCTAGCCCTCTTCCGACGCGAAGCACACATTCTGACCTTTGCTAGTATTAGCACGCAAAGACACTGTAGTCCCTAGTGTTGTCGGCAACCTGCGGCTCAAACCATCCACGCGTCGTCGATGAATTCCACAGCCGATATGCCTATACTGCATGACGCACGTTTTACGTAATTTTGTTTTCAGCTGGTGCAGATCCGCTTCCCTCCAGGGCGTACAGAACGATTCAGCTCGTGGCGCAGCCGACGTCATTTGTTTCGGCAGTGCGGCGGGACCCTGGCATAAGCGTCGTCACAATGCAGGGCGTTCAAGACAAAGTTCTGACAATCACTCACCATGCACGATACCAATCGAGCACACCGAATCCCAAATTTAGCAACTTATTACTCTCGAGTACATCTGCCGAGAGCCAAAGTTTGCCCGGTCTTATGCGTGATCTCCAGGTCTGCCTGCGGCACTCTGATCGGCCACGCGCTAAGGGCCTGCAGATCATTCAGCTGGCGACAAGGGGGGCGTTGTGCCAGAGCTGGCCATTGCCGTGCTACAGCGTGACCACGGGCAGCCCCACGATCGGCCCTGATGGCCTTCCAGAGCTGCCTGTTCAGGAAGGCAGGTGTCGCTGGCGGCGAGATCCGCGGGCGGGCTAGGACAAACTTTGACTTCATCGTGCAAAGCGAGCGGGATGTTCCACAAGGGCTTCGGCAGACACAAGGCGGTATAAGAAGGGCGGCTTCGTCGCAGTATCTCCACGAAAACGAGTAGAAATCAAGTCGCAAACCAGTAACCAATCCCAACAAGCGCAAGTTTTCACCAACTAGACATATCACAGCCAACACAGCAGTCATCACCATGCAGCGCACCTTCTTCGCCTCGCTCGCGCTCGCGGCCTTTGCCAACGCGGCCTGCGACATTCCTGAGGTCAACTCGGCCACAGTGAATCTCATCTCTGAATTTGAAGGCTTCCGGGCCGACATCTGTTCGTCGCTCTCCATCCCTGCCTGCCCTCTCCTCAAACACCACCACCACATATTCACAACCACCAAAGCCACTCAAGTCATACACTAACCCCCACCCACAAAGACACCGACCCAACGGGAAACCCCACCGTCGGCTACGGCCACCTCTGCGCCGACTCGTCGTGCAGCGACGTGTCGTACCCGATCCCGCTCTCCCAGGCCAACGGCAAGGCCTTGCTGGCAGACGACCTGTACACGCCCGAGGAGTGCATCACCATGATGACCAACTCGGGCGTGACGCTCAACCTCAACGAGTTTGGCGCCCTCGTGTCCTGGGCGTTCAACATGGGCTGCGGCGCCGCCCGCGGGTCCACCCTCGTCAAGCGCCTCAACGCGGGCGAGGAGCCCCAGACCGTCATCGCCCAGGAGCTGCCAAAGTGGGTGTACGGCAACGGCGAGGTGCTGCCGGGCTTGGTCAGGAGGAGGGATGCCGAGGTGGACCTGGCGCAGACGGCGACTTCGGCGCCCGCGCTGCCGGCTTGTTCTTGAAGGTAGAGTGCGGCGTGGAGGAGGAGGAGCCGGTGGAGGTCATAAATGGGGGACCAGAGGAGAGAAAGAGCGCAATTTGGAGCTCATTTCTCATGTACTCTCGTGCGAGATATATGTATTTAGTAGGCTGGTTAGCAGTGGTTAATCTGCCCCAAATGTACACTCGTTAATGAAACCAGTTCCCCGTAGCCCCGGGTTGCTATCTTCTTGTTGCAAATCCACGGGGTTAATGCTTCAATATAAGGCATGAGGCGCCCTGTTGAGATTGAAATCCATATCCACAGCGCCAGTCCTGACACTGCCTCGTCTGCAATTGAAGGTCTCGGCCTGTTCTTTCAGTGCTTAACCCTGCCGCCCGGTCGTTAATCTCTGGCCTTGAGGGCCACAGGTCGAGGGCGATGCAATTACTTGGAAAAGTGCAGTTACCTGTGTTTAAATAATGCATAATTGTTCCTCGTTCTGACGAACACGAGCAACGAAAAATCTCTGAGCCGAACTCGAGGACTCTTATCTAGGGTGCCGAGTCCGACGGGTATCTAATCTTACTTCGTGTTCGGGTCCAGTCCCTTAGCTTGCAGGGTGTTGCCGTCGGGCAGGGGCCACGTATTCGGACTCGTCTTGGGAGCGAGCCAATCGGCACGCTCCTACACCAGCATCGACTACCCTATTGAGCATCCCCTTTCTGATCACAATGGTTGTTTATAAAGTTCTGGATGTAATGCTGAGTTTTGAGTTTGAAGGGATCGGAGTACCAGCATACATTGAGATCGACCTTTTATCACCGCAAGATTTAAACCAGCCGACTTCTTAATCTCTAAACCCCCAATCGACCAGGAACAACAATCTCTACAGCATTCCAACCCACATCCCTATCACAATGGTCACCTCGTCACAGCTCATCACCGCCGAGCAGGCGCGCAACTCGGCTTTCGACCATGCGCTTCATGGCACTTCTGGCAGCGGGCAGGGCGGATTGAAGGCGATGATGAGCAAGGACAACAGCGCGCGCAAGGCGGCGATGGACCAGTACTTCCAGCACTGGGACGACAAGAAGGCCGAGGACGAGACGGCCGAGGTCAGGAAAGCCCGCACAGACGACTATGCGAGCTTGACGCGGCAGTACGTTTTACACACATCCCATCACAAAGCCAGGCGGCTGCACGCACCAATGACCAATCATCCAGAGAACTTGCTTCCCCCCCAGCTGACCAACTCCTCCTTTTGTTGTGATTTTCGCACAGATACTACAACCTCGCGACAGACATCTACGAGTACGCGTGGGGCTCGTCCTTCCACTTCTGCCGCTTCGCGTACGGCGAGAGCTTCCCCCGAGCCATCGCCCGGCACGAGCACTTCCTCGCGCACAACATCGGACTCCGGCCGGGGATGAAGGTGCTCGACGTGGGCTGCGGCGTGGGAGGGCCGGCGCGGGAGATGGTCAAGTTCGCGGGCTGCCACGTCACGGGCCTCACGATCTGCGAGTACCAGGTGCAGAGGGCGACGCAGTACGCGGCTAAGGAAGGGCTGGCGAACAAGCTCCAGTTTGTGCAGGGTGATTTCATGGTACGCATACACTTACTTCACCGAGAACCCCCACGGACGCAGGTTCAAGTAGAAAAGGGCTTGACTAACCTTTTTTTGTGTCATTTGGAACTTGTGTGCAGAAAATCCCCTTCCCCGACAACTCGTTTGATGCCGTGTACGCCATCGAGGCGACAGTCCACGCGCCCTCCCTGCAGGGCGTGTACAGCGAGATCCTGCGCGTGCTCAAGCCCGGCGGCACGTTTGGCGTGTACGAGTGGCTCATGACGGACGCGTTTGACAACGACAACCTCGAGCACCGCCAGATCAGGCTCGACATTGAGCAAGGAGACGGCATCGCGCAGATGGTGTCGATCCAGGAGGGGCTCGAGGCCATCAAGGGTGCCGGGTTCGAGCTCAAGCACCACGAGGACCTGGCTGCGCACGACGACGACGGGGGCGAGGAAGGCAGCCAGAGCGTGGCGCCGTGGTACTGGCCGATCGGGAGCGACGTCCGGTACGCGCAGACGCTATGGGACCTGGTCACCGTGCTGAGGATGAACCGCTGGACACGGGTCGCGTCGCATGCCATGATGGGAGCGCTCGAGCGGGTGCGCGTGCTGCCGTACGGGACAAAGGCGACGGCCGAGAGCCTGGGCAAGGCGGCAGATGCGCTTGTCGAGGGCGGGCGCAGGAAACTGTTCACGCCCATGTATCTCATGGTCGCACAGAAGCCGCTGGAGGCTGGACAACAGTAGGCAAGGGCTAAGCACTGGGGGAGGGCAGCGGATAAAGGCAGCGGTGGTAATAGCAGGCGCAAGTATCATATTCTTTTTGGCATAGGGCGTTTTCTCATCACGCAGAACTGGGGAAAGGATAGACATGAGAGTAATAGAAGATAATAGAAACTCAATTCTAGAACGCATGATTGGATGGTGCAGCAATCACAAAACTTGATGTCTTGGCAACCTGCGTGGCCCTGGAGGCCTCCGGCCTGCCAAGGCATCATCATCACAATGCACCGCTCGACGTCTCTCCGGACGAGGATTAGCCTCAGCCGCAACGTTTCTTTCGTAACAACCAGTTTTCGAACAGTCTGTAGTAAACAAAATCATGTTGACCTACATTCAAGTTCCGTTGCAGCACACACTGAATCCTAGCCGCTCTGCTCATCAGACCCTTCCAGGTCGAACACGAGGGAACACCAATAGACCATTAGCGGTGCAGATGTTCCCTCAAGCAGTCCAAATACAGGGCAGAGCGTGGGCCTTTTGAAACATGGCTGCTGCTTTGACAGCCGCAGTATATGTCAGCCAATAAGCGCCTTTCGCTTCAACAAGCAGTTCTGACAAAGACTGCCCGGTTAGCTCAATCGGTAGAGCGTGAGACTCTTAAGAACTCTTCAATCTCAAGGTTGCGGGTTCGACCCCCGCATCGGGCTCAATTCCCGGTGCATCCTCTTCCAAGAGGATACCATCACCTAGAAACGACTTTTTTGGGACCCACTTATTGGGTCGTCTTTTTTTCTCTTTCCCCCGCCTACTTTTTGGCAGGCTACGGGTCCCACCGATTGCGCTCTACTGCCAGGGCATTCGTGGGCAGGAGAGGACGACGGCAACAAATAGACGAGTCAAAAGTTTTGGAACTCGCCATAATGAGAGATTCCAGTTGGTATTGATCCCCAGCGCCTTCTAGATGAAGGCAGATTGCAAAAGTGCAACACCGCCATAGCAGCCTGCTCTATCCATCGAGTCTTGAGCCATGACTCCCGTACAAGTTGCAACAAATGGCGACACCGGAAACTCTTGCCGCGTCGGCTCGAAGTGAATACGTTGTCCGACTACGCGTGCCTGGGACACTGAGGAAAGAGAAACCCTTCCTCCCAAATCTGAACATTGGGCGCTTGCTGTGCGTATCAGTGCATCAAGAGAAGCTGCCTGCCTGACGCTAGCACGAGCTTTGTCGTGGGTTGACTTGCATTGTGCACTCGTGCCGTGGTTGCACGTTTGTAAAGTGTAAGCCCCGAGATCATTGTGGCTGTGACGTTTCGTCACGATTTCTGCTGCGCGGCGGACGCCAAGCACTGTTAAACCCGGTATGGAGTGCGTAGCCGCAAGCTGTTTGCACGGGACGAGTTGGGTGGCGGCGCAAAGAACATGAGCAATTCCTCGTTGTTTACTGATCACGTTGTCACCGGTCAGAATCCCGGGGGAACCTGCTCGATTGACCCTGGACTGTCGCTGGCCGCCCGAAGCGCTCAGTGCAATCAATCACGCGACTGTGGCAGTGCACTTCTTGCCTGCTTGCTATTGGCATCAGCGGCCTGGAGAAGCAGCCCAATGACGCTTTCGCCAAGCCCACCAAAGTGCACTTTCCTTCATTTTCCACCTCTGTCAGCTGGTCAGGCCTCTCTCTCGTTGTTCATCGGGCGGTGCAATGTGACATTTCTGCGTTTTGAAAATCTGTCCCGGCGCGGCTGTGTGAGACACAGCCGGCGTAGGCGTTAGGCATAATGGTAACAATTCTAGTGGGCGTTGTCGTTGTCGTCGATATAAGCAGTCCCAAATCCTGAAAACCCCCAAAACAATATCTGGCCAGCATCATCACACTTTGACCAATCCAACAGCCCGACAACCCATCAATACCCACGAGCCTCTCTATTCAGAACCGCAACAACTTCTCTCGAGCCAGAATGGAGGTGTATGAATACGTCCCGATCATTGCAGAGGTCTTTGCAGGCGTGACAATCATTCCTGCTCTCGCGCTCAGCATTGCCAGCTTCGTACATCTCAACAAGGGCCATGACCCAGTCAGAAGCGGTTTCAAATGGCTATCAGTGTCATCCCTGTGTCTCTTCCTGTAAGCAAACACATGAGACGATCAACGCGACCGCAGCGTTTCCAATAGCGCTGACTCCCGTGCGTGCCCGCTTCAGATACGCCGTCTTGGACCTTGCACAGGATCTCGTGCTGTACCACGGCGAAGACATAAGAGCCTACTCCGGACTTTCTGGGTTCACCAGCCTGTTTCGCGGCCTGATGTTTATCAGCCTCATCATAACCGTCGTCAAGCTCGGCAGCGGGCACCTTCAGCTCTGGGATCACGCGCCGCGTCTCCGAAAGGGTGTCACTTACGCAGCCTACGGCTTCGCCGGAGTCCTGACTGCCATGGCGGTCGCCTATGCGATCTCTTGCCTGGTGTTCCAAGCGGGAGTGCGCATGGAGTCTATCTCCCACTACCGTGCATTCTCCGACATGATGCTGGCGTGCAACATGATTGTCTTTGTCCTGGTCCTGGCGGCTCTCGCCTGGTGCGCCTACGTATTCAGAGTGTCCAGAAAGACACAGCGTAGCGGCAAGGTAAGATCATTGCTTCTATTTACATTGAAACCTCCTACATCTGCCATTGTTGCGGACCGCCATGCTGATGATGGACCTGCTGCGTGACTCCAAACAATAGACCCCATTGCTGCTCCTCGTCGCTGCAGTGGTCCTCGGCTTCACACACATTGTCATCTTTACCATCTCCATCGTCAACCTCACGTACTTCAACCCAGACTCAGTGAGCTCCGTCGTTGAATATTACAGGAGGTCGCTGTACCTGCGAGTCGCTCTGTTCCTGGTCCTCATGTTTTTGGAATTCTTCGGCCATCTCGCCGTGATTTCGGTGCTTTACGCCGCTGGCAAGCGGACGGAAGGTGGGCTCTGGTCTTCTGGGCCTGTGGTGGCTGGTGACTCGGCGAGCGATATCGAAAAGCAGCAGCGCCAGGGACAAGGTGGCGCCAACTAGTTGCTTGCAGCAGCTTCGCCCACTCGTGTCACCTTGGAATCCTAGGAAGTCAAACCGGCAAGCCTGTGTTGAACGGTTGTGACACTCAATGCGGGTCCCTGAAGGTCGCTCTCTTTCAAGTTGCAAATGGTGAATAGCATCATCTAGTGCGACAAATCTTGGTTATGCTTCAGCAATTTATTTCAACATGTACTATCGCCTTGTCATAGAATAATCGAACACATCATTGTGCGTCTCCATGATCACAAGTCTGACACCCTTCACGGAATACTGTGGCCATGCAACTGCTACTTCAATGCCGCAGAGCACTCAATCAGCACCAGCGCGCCCATGGGCAGCTGATATACGGCAACACATGCCCTGCTCTGTGAAACGATCGACAATAGTCAGCCTCCAACAGTGCATTTTATCCCAGTATTTGGCCGGTGATTTAATTCGCTGCGCGGCCACTTGCTCTGAGAATTTTCCTGTCCAAGAAGAACAAATGACTACGTACCGGCTTGGCCTCGCTCGTGAACACCTCGTCCCAGGCCTCGTTCATGGCCGCGAAATCGCTCATCTTCATGATCGACACATTGGCCTTGTAGATGTGGGCCATCGAGCTGCCGGCCTCCTCGAGGATGGCTCTGATGTTGAGCAGGGCTTGGCGCTGTTCGCCAGGATGAGGAAGATATGTTAGCAACAGGGTCTGCTATACAGATGAAGCTGATGCATTTTCGATCCCCTTTATGCAGCGGCCTCTTGCATCTATCCCTTGAGAGTGTCTGTCTCACCATGGTGTCAGAAAGATGCCTTGTCCAGACTCACCGTCTGCTCTTTCACTCCACCCTCGACCATCGCCCACGTCTCCGGCACAAATCCGATCGTGCCGGCAGTATGGACGCTGCCATAGTACTTCACTGCCTGTGAGTATTGAGATAGGGGCTTGTAAGCCTTCGTGGTGGAGACGGGAGTAAAGGACGACATCTTCGACGATGCTTAGTGATGCTGGGTGGGATCCAAACTGTGGGAGTGCGCGAAAAAGAAAAAAAAAAGGAGGCAAAGCTCGTTTCAAGGACGCGCTTCGTGCCTGGCTACCACACCCTCTTATAGCATTTGGACACAGGAGCCTTCGGTGCAGTTCGTGCTCGAGAACCAACCTAGACTGAGCTACCTCTTGCTCACTCGCAAAATGTCCGAGGCCGTGGCGCCCACCTGGCCAGCAGCTGAAAAGCTTAGGCTCCCTTTCCAGCGACTGAGGCGCGCCACAAATCCGGAACACTGCATGTGGTCATAGTCTAGACACACAGAATAGCGAGTGTAACCAGGAAAAAAAGATAGACAAAAAGCTTGCTTGCGAAGCTTGTTTGTCGATAGGCTTGCAATAGTCCGCTTCTGTCCACCACAACTATCTATGCTGCCGCCCCTCTCGCTCCTGATACTAGGACAGATCTCGTGGTTCTGAAACACAGCTGCTTCCTCCTAAAGCACCTCATACCTGACCTTGTACACGCTAGTCCTTCCCTTCCCACCTCTCCTGTTGAGGCAGAATGATGTGCTCCTACTGCTACCACAATTCGCAGTTCGACGATCCTTCATTCAGCATCTGAGATTCTCCAACATTTGTGGTTGCGTTTTCATTGCAAACCACCCAGCTCCCGCTCATCGCTAGACTCGGTGATGTGAAACTGAACTTGGTACGTGCTTGTCTCGTTATCACGCAGTCTTTTGACTATCCTGTTTCGTATGAACTGGATCTACGGAGCTATGGTCATCAAGTGAGCTATTTCAGAGATCTGAAAAAAATTGATTGGAGCCCGGGGATAGTTTATAATCTGTTGAGATTCATTTTTGTTCTTTATTTCCTTTCCCTATGCTTTCGGTCTGGTTTGTGTTTTGGGCACAAACTGAGCGACGCCAAACCTGCTATTCTCATGCACTTCCCCATACGGTGAAAGTCGCAACGATCCGAGCTTAGATTCCGAGTCTATTGATGTTTACCCAGCCGTCGCAGTGCCGTTGCTGGCCACATATTAGCTACTCAGATGGACTACACCTGACCGGAGCAGAATCGCGTGCCAGGAAGCTCCAGCCCCTTCCACGTTCCCGCATTTAGTTCAGCGCAGCAGAACACTCAATCTCGACGAGGGCGCCCATTGGGAGCTGGAAGACGGCGACACAGGTCCGGCACTAGTTGGACAGATGGCATTAGCGCTGCGTGAAATGCCTGATTCGTTGAGGCTGGAAAGGGCTTACCGGCTTGTCCCTGCCAGTGAAGAACTCGTCCCAGGCCTCGTTCATCGCAGCAAAGTTCTCCATGTTGGTGATGAAGATGTTGGCCTTGTATACATTGTCAAAGGAGCTGCCGGCCTCCTCGAGGACCGCGCTGAGGTTCTTGAGCGTTTGACGCTGTGGAGGGCGGTCAGCCGATGTTCAATGTCAGCGGCGAGGCCCATACCGGGAATCGAATAGGGGCTGGCAGCCTCAGAGAGGATGACTCACCGTCTGCTCCTTGATGCCGCCTTCGACCATGGTGAAGGTCTCTGGGATGAAGCCTATGTTGCCAGACGTAAAGACAGTGCCATTGTACTTGACAGCCTGGGAGAACTGGGGCAGCGCCTTGGGCGCCTTGGTGGTGGTGACGGTGGTGAATGGCGGCATTGTGCAAGCGAGGGGAAGAGTGGCGGAGATGTGGTGAGTGTCTCGAGATGCTTGGTTGACTTGATTCTAGGTGTGAGAGATGATCAAGCACCAAAGGGAACGGGCATCGTCGCCTTTATGAAGCCGTTCCGTCGGCTTGCAGCCGGGACCGGAGGAGAGGGGTCGGCGTGGGGTTGCTTCTGGTGCTGACTAATTCCGCGAACAAACTCAAGGATGGCGTTCAACCACGGAACTGACTCTACGCCCTTTCCTCACGGGCATATTGACACGTGTAGACCCTTACGAGCTTACTAATTCTCTATTGTTTTAGTAGAGACGCTCGAAAGCGGGTCGATGTCGTTGACGTGCAGATATCATGGTTACATACCCATTATCCTATGGTTGTGTTTGCATCTCGGAAATGCTTGGTATAGATGAATTTGCAACATCAGTGCCGACGCCCAATTTGTACTACGGACTTACTGCCAATGGTGCATTTCGAACGGCCATATCGACTTGTTCAAATCTCGTGGCGTTTGGCCCTTCTTGGACGCCCTTTGATCGACAAGCGACCCCTGCAGGGTGGCCCTTGCTAGCCGCCTGCCGTGGTTGCTTCGTGTGTGGCGTCGGACACCAAGCGGCTCCGTTTCAGATGGGGAAAACAGGGGCATTTGATAGGACAGGAGTGGAGTGATGCATTATATTTAGAGTGAGAAATGGGGAGCACAGCCACCTACTGCTGGTAAGTCGCGACCTGCAAATCCGTGTCCGCAGCCTGCGCAGGATTTGCAATGGGCATTGTCATTGCTTCCTCTCAACAGCACGCCCTGCGTTCCATGCCTAGCGAGCTCGCAGATGGCTGGTAGAGACGCTTTCGCGGACGCGGAGATGTTGGCGACGCCACAGGCGGAACAAGATCACGGCATGGCCGACACCAACCGTCCACTGCTCCCGCCTCGCCGCCAGCAGGACACCACCCATGGGGCGCAGGCATCAGCAATTGATCTGACGACGTTACCGCGAAGCCGTGCCATTGACGATCGAGCATCAAATGATCCGCATCCGAGAAACGCAAGCCAGCAATCATCCACCAAGGTTCAATGGACCACGGACACGGCCATGGCCACAACCCCGCGGGCTCCCTCGATGGCATCTCAGGACCACGACGACGCGGAACAGAAACCGCCACTCCCGGAACGACCAAAAGTCATCTACCGCAATGCAGCCAGGCAGTTTCTCAAGCTACAGCTGCCCTCCATCCTGGTGACCATTGCCCTGCTTGTGCTGTATATCCTCCGCATCAACTTCAAGGCCACGTCGGACCAGGTTGGAGCGCTGCTGTTCGCAGCCAAGGTGCACGAGGGCCTCATCATCATCTCGCTCGTCGACATGGTCTACTACCACCTCCGACGCCGCCTGCTAGGCCGCGACGGCATCACCTACGGTCTGCTCACTGCGCCTTTCCAGCTCAATTCGCCCATGTATCTCTTCACCACCGAGCTATGGAGCGGGATCCGGTCGACCACTGCCAACTCGATTCTGATGACTAGCTTGGTCATCGTGGCGGTGCTCTTGGCGTCGCTTGCGGGAGCCAGTTCTGGTAACGTCATGCTCCCGAAGAACGGGTGGCAGACGCATGACAACAGCATTCAGGGCATGCAGGCGTTTGTTGTTCAAGCACCGCACGACATGTACCCTCTCGAGCTCCAGAACACTACAAACGCAGAGGGCCAGGAGTGTGATGGCAACTCGCGCTTCTGTCCATACTCCGTCCTCCAGCAACGTCATGCCCCGTTGTATCCTTCGCTCGGCGGGTCTCTGGAAGGCGACTACCGCAAGAATATTTCGATCGCGCAAAACGACCGGAGGGAGATCCTGCTCACAATGAACGAAATGCTCCCACTGAGCCCGGCATACACAGCAACTACGTTACCAGTTTGCATCGCAGGAGCGCTCCAGGCAAACTGGGGGGGCATCAAAGCAAAGCCGTCATGGCGGACAGGAGTAGTCGACGAGCAGGCACCCTTCTCTGCACGGTTCTCCGCCGTGATGACCGACGCGCAAGGCGGGCGCCTACAGATCAAACAGCCACGGGTCACAGGATTCTGCGCCAACAACTTTTCCCCCGTGCTTCATCCTAAGAGCAACAGCAATAACAACAACAACGGGGAAGGAACAGAAGGCTACTACGAGTTCAGCATCCCGCACCTCTTCTATCACGGCGTCAACATCTCCATTCCGGCCTCGAAACTCGCACCGGCGCTCAACCACAGCACCAGCCGCTTTGGCTTCATCGACAGCACCGTCATCAACGCCGCCCTGCCGCCTGGAAACACCACCTCTGCGGCACTATGGACGCGCGAGTACCCGACCTCCCCGTCAATCACCCTGTGTCTGTTCGCCGCGCGCTGGATCCCCACACAGGACGCCTGGATATACCCGCGGGACCCAGCCGCGCGAGTGCAGACCGCCGTCACGCTCAACGCGAACGAGACGTTCAACGAGCTGGGCTCCCAGCAACAGGTCCGGATGTCCGCGGACTGGCTGGCGGGCCTGAACGCCACGCTGTCCCCGCACGTCCGCCCCGTCGACGACCTCGCCGGCCCGGACGGCAGGTTCACCCCGACCACGCACGTGTTCGACCTGGTCGACGCGTACCTGTACGACAGCTCCGCCTCGCGCGGCGAGTACTACGGCTACCGCGCCGAGAGGCTCGCCAGCGCCGTCTCGGTCCTGCTGACCGCCGCGCTGGCCCAGGTGCCCTGCCAATACGCGTGGCAGTTCAACAACGACGGTGGTTCCCGCAACGGCAACAAACCCATCGGCGGCGAGGACTACGTCCAGGTCGGATCGTCGCCTGCTGTGCACCTGGCTGATCTGCCAAAGAGTGTTGTTGCTCCTCCTACTACTACTGCTTCTGGTGCAGACGGGGCGGGATCAGTCTCGGGTTACACGTTCATCAGCAAGACGTTCTCCGAGTTCAGCTATGGCTACGGGTTTGACAGCACGACCACGATCCTCTCGTGGGCCGTGCTGCTGACCCATGTCGCGCTCGTGCTAGTGCACCTAGGCGTGCTGCTGCGGAACCGCGGGCAGGGGACGAGCCGCGCGTGGGGCCAGCTGGGCGAGCTGGTCACGCTGGCGATGAACACGAGACCCTCGGACCTGCTGACGAATACCAGTGGCGGCGTGCGGGATGCTCGGCGCGTATGGGGGCTGAATGTGGTGGTGAGGCAGGTCGATGATGGGAGGGGCAAGATTGAGCTGGTGTTGAGGGACAGGAGGGGGCGGAAGGGGAAGAATGCTGGGGATGAGGGCGAGGATGGAATGGGCGAAGAGGACGCGTTGAGTGGTGAAGGTGGGAGAGTCAAGATAGATCGGATGTCGAGATATGGTTGACCTGGAGGCCTGATTTTGGTGATACCACAGAGTAGGGCATGAATGCCAAGCACAAGAATTAACGAATAATGAAGGATTGAAAAATTACCCGTTCGACACTGATGGTATATTCTCCGGTATAGGTCTTTAAGTGGACCAGATCACAGGTTCAGGGCAACCCGGGCCTTTGCTGTGATTTCTCGCGGAAAGAAAGGCAGCACTTGTCTCAACTCCATATTGATATCGTTCAAATTTCCATGCACGCATCAGTACTCATTAGTGCTCGACAAGCTCACATGGACAACTGGGAATCGTTGGCTACCTATGTCTAAGCAACATGACCACAACGGCCGGTCGACGATTGCCCTACCGTAACGGTGTGGCAGTAGCGAAACCAAACGGAACACGGTTTGTGTCCGCTGCCCAACATGCCCCATATGCCCGTCCCATACCAAGCGAGAGTAGAATCAAGACGAACATCTAGCAAGTGTACAGGTACCTGGGGTTGTGCTCGCCCATCTCAGCAATCTCCTCCTCCGTCTTGCCCTCTATCCGCCAGTCCTCGAGGCCCGCCAGCTTGCGCTTGTTCATCTTCTTGAAGTGCAGGTGGACAAACAGGTGGATGCAGAACGCGACGGCCAACATGCCGATGGACGCGCTATAGCCGGGGATGAACCTCGGGCCCTGGTTGGAGACGAACAGGAACGGCGAGGCCACGCCGGCCGAGTTTCCGATGGTGATGAAGACGCCCGAGGCGAAGGCGCGCTTGCCATAGCGGGGCTGGTTGACGGTGATCCAGGCCATGCCCGCGCCCGAGCCGGTCCACAGGCCCGCGGAAACGAAGAAGCAGCCCGTGAAGCTGAGCGCGACGTTGTAGTTGGCCACGAGCATGGCGTAGCCGATCATCATGATGACGCCGCCAATCATGCAGAACAGGCCGCGCTGCTGGGTCTTGTCGCTGATGTGCGCCGTCGTCAGGTACGTCACGAAGCCGACAAAGTAAACGGGCACGGTCAGCGCCTGGACCTGGGCGTCACCCCACTGGCCCATGCCCTTGATGATGGTGGGCAGGAAGACGGAGAACGAGTAGAGCACTGAGTGGCTGCAGAACTGCGCAATGGACAGCGCCCAGATCTTCCAGTCCTTGATGGCCTCCATGACGTCCTCCTTGTGCATTTCCTGCGCGCTCTTGGTCTGTCCGACCTCGGCCTCGCGGAAGTAGATGAGGTTGCGCCGGTCCTCCTCGGTCAGGAACTTTGCCGTCTCGGGCGAGTTGGGCAGCACAAAGGGCACCACCAGCGCCGTCAGGACTGTCGGGATGCCGTTGATCGTCAGGATCCAGCGCCACGCGCGCCAGCCGGCGGTGCCCGCGCCGTCGTTGTCCATGTGGCCGATACCGTAGGAAACCAGGCCGCCCACGGCGCCCGAGATGGCCGAGATGGAGTAGAAGTAGGCGTTGCGCAGCGAGATGTGCTTCTTGTGGTAGAACATGGTCAGGTAGAGCATGATGCCCGGGAACAGACCGGCCTCAAAGGCACCCAGTAGCAGACGGCAAGCCACCATGGAGCCAAAGTTCTGGACGAAGCCCGTGAACGTCGCGATGAGGCCCCAGAAGAAGAGCAACCCCGCGATGTAGCGAGCCGGTTGCAGCCGCTTAATAATCAGATTGGACGGCGTTTCTAGCAAGCAATACGTTACGAAAAGGATCGAGACGCAAATCTGATACTGGTTGGGCTCCAGATTCAGGTCCTGCTCAAGACCAAAGAGGCGTGCATTGCCAATGCCGACTGTTGTTACGACCAAACGTGGTTAGCTTGGTTCCTGGTGGGACGGCGCCAAGTTGCTGGGAGTTTCAGAGAGAACTCGGTTTGACTCTGGACTCACCTCGATCCATAAAGTTCATTAGGTAGATCCAGCAGGCCATGGGAATGATGCGGCGGTCTAGCTTCTTGAGGATGGAGGCCTCGATCGCGTCATCTGGGGGCGGCGGGCCGTCGCCGTGGTGCTCCTTGTGGCCACTACCGGCCACGCCATTCTCCGAATCAGATGCCGTCTTCTTGTCGGCGAAAACCGAGTCGTGGACCGGGCCGTTGTCCATGGCCAAGGACGTCATGTTGGGCAGTAGGCCGGACGCGAAGGGACTGGGAAGGAAGCGCGAGAATGAAAGGTGAGGAGGAATGAGCGAGTCTACGCAGAGAAGGGGCAAAGTCCACTTGGTGAAACACGGCTTCCTTGCTTCGAAAACTCGTTGGGGAAACCAAAAGAGGACGCAACGCCGCGGGGGACAGGCGGTTTGGGCGGCCGTTCATATAGGGATCCGCGCCTGCCTGCCTGGACCGCGTCTCGAAGGCCCACGGAGGCGCGTTTCCGCTCGAGATGACGTGGGGTACGGGGTTGCCAAGCGGGCTTCTCCAGAAAATGAAGATGGAGGGCATGGGGCCCCAACAGCAGGCGAGGGGAGGACGGACGGACGAGCGGGCCCGCGTTGCAACGGTGGTGAGAAGTGGTGATCCCCAGCTGGATGTGGACAAAGACCCGGGCATCCTTTGGTCCGCGTCCACTCGAGGCCTCGTCCACGCCCAGAAATGAAGAATTGGCACGAAATTGCGATTGTGCTTGGGACAGACATGCAGGGCTGGGTCTCCAAGAGTCTGCCCTCGCCTCTCGTCAGCATCTCGCGGTGCGGTGTGGTGTCGTCGAGTCGAGGCTCACCGGCAGATGCCACGGGCTGCGGAGCCACAGCTCGTCCACCGCATTGCTTGGCCGCCAATGCGCAGCCGCGCCGGGCCGCTTGGCACGGAAAACCGGCACCGCCCCCAGCACCGCCGAGCCTCCAAGAGCCGTATGCAACGGGCCCATCCCCCAGGGCATGGCCCCGGACCCCTGGCTGCCGCTGGCGCCGATCCGGAGCCCCGTGGGAACATTACGTCCTGTCATCCTTGGAGTGTCCGCCCGCTTAGCCTAAAGGGGGCACCGGGTGGATGTCTTAGAGCCATGGCTGTCCAGAGAAGCCCCAGAAGGGCCCCAAGCATCGACCACACTGCTGACCCAAGCGATGCCTGTTGGCTGAAGGGTCTGTCCTCGCTCTCCACCTCTCTCAGCAGCCTGCAAAGTTCTAACTACGAGCAGCACCGGCCTGGGCGTCGTGGCGATGCCCGCCTATGAAACAGCATCCAATCTTGTTTTTGCCGTCTCCAAGCAATGGCCAAGAGCAGCAGGCACCCGGGCGATCGGGTACTCGCCTACTGCAGCCCTCTCTCGGCAGCCTGGCCCGCAGCAAATACAATCCTCCATCTAGTGCGTGATACTCGAGTCAGCCCGCTGACCGAAGGCCAAGACAAAACTGGCTCTGCCAATTTCTGCTCGTGAAGGTGCGGGGAACACGAGACGTGGCGGTCATTATGATTCCATACATCCGTACAATGGGAAACTGGAGGAGAGATAAGGCCAGTCGTACAATGTGCTTAGCTGGGCATCGCACTGGAGGTGGTAGGTCAAAGCAATCTTCACAGTTGGCGGGCCACGCCTTACGTTGGGTCAAGATACAACTGGAAAGTGGCCTAGTCAATCCAGTTCTTCTTGGTTCAAAGGAGCCGTCTGTGGACAATCTTCGCCTGATGCCAGAAAGGATCGCCGCCATGGCCTGGCATATTTAGTCCACACCTGTTGCAACACAAGCGCTCAATTGTCGCATAAGCCACGTGCCATGGCACCGGCCGAATGGAAAGGGATCATCGGTCGGGCAAACAGATGCAGGTCATCGCCCTGCGTTCCCCGGATTCAGATTAGCATCGTCCCTTTGTGCATGAGAAGAAGGGTGGGGATCGATCCCCCGGACCGGGCGGTCGCCTCCCAAGTCTACCCAGGTCCCAGAGTAGGCGTATCAGCCATGCACTGCGAATTGTGTTCCCACTAAGGCAGCACTAAGGTGATAAAGACAAAGCCTGAGCTGTACCCAGTCCTCGCCCAGCTGCTTCGAGACTTGTGCATTGTGTCTGGAGATGTCTCATTCATTGCTGAGATACCAGCCCAGGAGAACACTGCCGTCTCCTCCGGCAAGTCGATAAGACTGGCCCTTAACACGACCTGGCTTGTCAGGAGCATTGTTCCGCAACTTCTTGTTGGATACTGCCCGAGCATTGAGTGACAACATTAGTCCGGTTACCAATTACGATGCGTCGCGCATGATGCCTGATCTGTTATCCACTCGTCAAAACCTTTCACTTGATGCCTCATCGAAGCGTATATATCTCCTGCTATTTCCACGGAGACCACTCCTGATCTCGATGATCCCACCACATCACACTTCGCCTCGACATTTGTTTCCTTGAAGATGTAGCACTCACTTCTTGCAGTCAATTCCCTGCACTTCTTTTACGGGCAATACAATCATTACAACCTCAGCACAGCACCAGGGGCGCATCACTAACCCCATCGCATCATTTCAAGCCTTGCGAGCTCACCAAACTTAAAGCTCTGAACACTCCACCCACATAAAAGAGAGAAGCAAGCCGATACACACCTCTCGGTTCCTGGTTATGAACCTGGCACACGAAAGCCTCGAGAGGGGGTAATTGGCACGCGAGTGCAGCGACAGCAAAAAGCGATACGGAGAAGACGACCCCAACACACTCACTCGAAGATGGGAGTCTGGAAACACCACCAGCCCATCAAGGGAGGGGGCGAGCTACTCTCCGTTAACGTGCCTGTGTCACAGCCGTTTGACCCCAGCCCAATGCCCAAAGGAGATGCAAAAGGTCGGATCACATGCTGGAAAGATGGAGGGGCTACGGCGAAACTTGGCAAAAGACGTCGAGCAGGAGACACAATACACCATGTTCACGTCGAACCAGAGGGGGTCAGCGGTCCAGATCCTGGCTCAGATCATCCGTCCTGTGCAGATGCTCTCGTGGCTCTGTTCAACACGATTGCGGGGCGATGACACTGGCATGACCATCATGCAGTATGCCAGCAATTTGGAAGACCGACTGGCCCGACAGGTGTCAGGTTCAAGGAGGGCGCCTTTGGCGTTTTCAGTCATGAAGGGTTTGGGGTCACTTTGGTTTCAGCATTATGCCATGGCGGTGGCATCTCTGACGGCAGTCAACTCACTGAATGTTAGCAGCGCCGCTATTCATGACGAGGATCAACGACCTTCGCACCGTGCGTCATCACGATTCTCGACAGAAATTTCTGTGGGCATTGCGAGCTCTAGATTGCCTTTGGGTTAGCAGACACGTTCTACAACAGCTCTGTGCCCTCCGGTACGAAGTCTCATTGCGCCACACCGGACTCTCTCGATCACTGCAGTGTGAAATGCGGCAGGAAACCACCGGATAGCTCGCAAATCGGAAGTTCTCATTTGGGCGCAGTCAGCTCTGTGCAGCCAAAGGCGTCAGCACCAAAGTCGGCGCGCTCGACAGACTCCTTTCAGCTGTGTTGTTTGATCTTCGCGATCAACTCGTCGACGCCATCGTCAGCCTTAGACACAGGAAAAGAGTCGTCACTTGAACACGGAGTGCCGAGGCTTTGTGTTGTACAGTATGGGAATGAAGACATTGTTCTCGCAGAGCGTCTAGGGATATAGAACTCAATGCTAGATTTGAGTGGTAGTCAAATTTATATGCATGCTTATCTCCCAACATATGAGCATTATTTTCGCACGACGATCCTCCCTTTTGGCAGAAGAAACATAATTTGAGTTGCAGTCCCCCGTGAACATCATTGAGCACCCCCTCCGGTTGTCAACGGCCCAACATATCCCTTGCGAGCACCAAGAAGCCACCAAAGCCCCATGATGATTGTGAATCCCCCCCACAAAAGGGAGGCGTAGTTCATGGATGCCGCGGTCGTCGGCAGAGCAGGAGGGAAGCAATAAATAACGAAGAAGGCCAACATGTAGATGCAAGCCACGGCGTTGAGGACGAACCCCAGCGCGCCGCGGAGGTGGAATGGCCCGTACGTGATGTTCCTGCGGCCGGTAAGAAGGTTGGGGAGGATGCAGGCCAGGAAGGAGCTGGTGGACATGAGCACGAAGCTTCCCACAAAGGCATTGAAGGCGGTCGTGTTGCCCACGTAGATAATGCCCAGTAAGGTGACCAGGACGGCGGTGGCGATTGTGGACCAGAGGGGCATCTTGAGTTTTTGGTGGACGTGCCCAAAGACCTTGGGGAACGGCGCTGCGCCGTCTCTTGCAAGGGCCCAGAGCGTCCGACCGCAGGTGATATAGAGGCCGACGACGGTGAGACCGATGCAGATGAGGATGAGCGAGAGCAGACCGATCGCGCCGGCAGTGGAGTTGGTGGCCTGGCGGTAGATCTCAGCGATAGGGTAGGGTGACACAAAGAGGGCGTCGTAGTCGCTGATTGCGTACATGAGTGCAATCAGATAGGCGAAACCAGTGACGAAGCCGATGAGTACTTGCAGGAAGATGGCGATGGGGACATTGCGTTGCGGAGACGGGATCTCCTCGGCCAGATGGGTTGTGGCGTCCACAGGACCAACACCAAAGGCGCCATTTAGCATGCCCGTCAGGAAGACCATGCCATCGGGATAGCCGAGGTCGGCCTGCCACTCGCGCCACACAAAAGATGAGCTCGCATGGGGCGGCCGGCCGCCGGTGCCAGGCATGACGCAGACGGTGATGATGGTGATGACAAAGCCGCCGAGAATGGCATATATGCCGACCTTGTTGACATGGGGCATGGCGGAGTTGGCCACACAAACGGCAAAGCAGGCCAGCCAGGTGCTGATCAGGTAGACGACAAAGACGTGCCAGGCCTGGGCCTCGAAGTCGGGGTTGTTGAGCGCATACATCTGCACAATTGTGTTGCCAAAAATGGACGACATGGAGGCGGTGCCAAAGACCCAGGCGAGATAGTTCCACCAGCCGGCGAGAAAGCCAACGACCCGGCCCCATTCGTGCCCGGGCGTCACCGACGCCCAGTGGTAGACGCCGGCTGAGGACGGGATGGCGCTTGCGAGCTCGGCGATGGATGCGGCGACGGGCCAGTAGCATATTGAGACTGCGAGGAACTCGTAGAGAACACCCGGAGGACCTCCGTTGAAGATGGCAACCAGGATCGAGCCGCCGAGTGCTGGCCACACATTGCCCACTGTCAAACCCAGCCCGGCCACAGAGAGCAAACTGAAGCGTCGGTCAAGTTCCTGGACATGGCCAGAGGCGTTGATATCGACCAATGCGGAGCCATCCGCGACATCGCCGCCCTGCTGCGCGCCAACAGTGGCTTCCTTGTCGGCCTTGATTGAATCGCTCATGGTGCTTGGTGGGCGGCGCGGAGTGCTTTGGCTTCGCGGATGCGAGGTCGTTGACGAGGACAAATCAGGCGAGGGTAACAGGGAGTGAGATGCGAGAACCTGCACGTCTCTTGAAGCCCCGATGCAGGCGCGCAAAGCCGGAGACGTGCCACGGCCGAGTATGAGACGTCTTATCTGTGCCTGGTCCTGTCTGTCTAGAAATTGCCCCACTGTAGATAAGTACGTAACTCCCATTTACCGAAACTGGGGTGTACAAGCGGAGGTGGGGTAATGTGCTAGAGCTCGTGTGCAAGGGTCACCACTATTTTAGGGTGGTCATCCTGCCCAGCTGCGGACTACCGAGGTAGGCCAGCAGGAACGTTTACAGCGCCTGGATTTTAATTAGACTGGCTTGCACAAGCCAACAGGCCCAAGCTGGCACTGATTGGATTCGCAAGACCCCTTCTGTCTGTCAACCAGTACGTCCAACGCAAGTAAAGAGTGTCTTGCGCCGTTGCCATGGTTTGAACTCTACGGCCCTCAATGCAGATCGGTCCCTGCACAAAACGGGCGCTTGTGGAAACCGGCGCTCGTATCATCGCCGTAATTAGCTGGGAAACACGTCCGCATGTGTCTTCATTTAATATCAGCCGACACAACGCTTTGGGGGCAATTGACTCTTATGACCGAGTGCACAATTCGTCGCCCGGCTTTTCTTATTGAACGTGCAGTGTACGGTCAGGACAGATAGGAAGGGTAGACGGTGGTTCGATGTACGCTAAAACGTACCACAGAACGCCAATCATTTCGGACAACTCGTGTTCGGTCGCACTTGGAGTCATGATGTGGTTCTGTATCTGTGACCCACCGTCAGATGCCCGACAGAAATGGAACGGGCGGACACTTAAAATTGCAGCATCACTATTAGTTGAGATAAAACTACAATTCTGCCGGAAATCTGCAGGACCCGATGCTCAATGCTTGTCCCTTGAGGAGAGATCAGCCCATAATATGAACTACTGACTGGATGAGCCTGCGTAGCTTAGCTGATTGTCGGCAGATCTGCCTCCGGCTTACCATCATTATTCCGCTGCCCAGCTGACCGCTTGGAGACTCGCCCCCGCACGATGCAGGGGTTGGCGTATGCCCTTATCGATGGGACCCGTTCACGCAACAAGACAGGGATTGTGGTGGCGTTTTATGAGGATGCCTGTTTTTGGAGAGCCATGACTGCTTTCGACGACTTCGACGCACAGCTTTAGGGAAACCAGTCATCACCAGCCAGACCGCCCCAGATGGATCGGCAGGTGCCTGTAGTGGCATCCATATGGAAGCTCTTAGGGTCGCAACAAGGGGCCGGCAACAGCACGAGCCGGCATGGACAGAAAGTCAGGACAGGTACGTAGTCGAAGCATGGGCATGCGTGCAGGAACCCGCACAAACACACACTTTGACGTCTGACACTCGGCGGGCCGGCGGCACAGGATGCGCTGGATGCAAGGCAGCACGAGTCAAGTGCAACGAGGACCGGCCAGCTTGCAGTCGCTGCCGCCGCCGTAAGACGGCCTGCGTCTACCCGTCCGTTACCCACCGGACAGGCGCGGTTTGCAATGACCGACGTCAGCTGCAGCCGCGGCCCCTCCTCCCGGCGGGCAGCAGCGGCGGTGGCAGCAGCACGGGGCCCGCGACGGCCTGCCCCATCGTCCGTATCACGGTCCCCCCGGGTGCGGTGATGAAGCCCTGGGATGGGATATACTACGAGACCTTCCGCCACCGCGTGATCCTTCAGCTTGGTGACGCGGACGGCGAGTTCTGGCGCCGGACCGTGCTGCGCGAGAGCACCCGTGATACATGCATCCACAGCGCCATTCTCGCCCTCGGCGCGCTCGCTCGTGCTCAGGAACAAAGAGCGGAGTCGTCATCGCGGGTACCTCTTTGCAAGATGGAGCTGGGGCGCGGCAACCAGAGCAAGATAGGCGCGACGGGTCCAGACCACTACTACCCAGCTCTGGCGCACTACACAAGAGCGATAGGCCAGTTCCGCAGCCTCATCGCCACGGCGAATAGCGGCCGGCCCAGCACGACCAGGTCGATCCTCATTGCCACCGTCCTGTTTGTTGCGTTCGAGGTCATGCAAGGCAATACGAGCGCCGCGGACCAGCTGGGCGCCTACAGCGTCTCGTTGCTCCGCGACACAATCATGGAGGGCAGCCTGAGCGGTAAGCGCAACGGCGGTGACAATGAAAGCATAATACAGCCCTACAGTGAGTCACTGATAGCCGGCAAGCTGGATGATGATGGTGTCAGTGAGGCCGAAGTTGCGCTCGTGCGTAATACGATTTTCAGCTCGGGCCTATCACCAGTGTACACCAAGGGCAGGCAGGTTCTCTTCGACCTGCCCATGCCCAGCTTCTACGGCGCATGGCCCCCTGGTCCAGAAGCTTCCCGCAAAGTCTTCTCTCGCCTGTGGGAGCGCTGTATCGGTCTGTCAGCACTGTGGTACATCCGGGCTCAGTCGACCATGCATGCCGTTCGCGGTGGCAACAGTGACGGCCGTAGGCGCGACGGCATTCCCACGGCAGACTTGCCGCCACGACACCACAGGGAGCGCCGCGAGATCCTGAGTGTTATTGCGGCATGGCAGAGTGCCGTGCGGCACAGACTTGTCGTGGCTGCGAGGAACAAGGTCCAGCAAGGACATGACAACCCTCTTGAACAGGGGGATAACAGCCCGGACGCAGTGTACGAGCACTACTGGTCCATGTCCGTGGTAATAAATCACTGTCACGATGCCATGCTCCACGTGTTCGACTCCTCTTCCCGGTCATGGGAGTCTGATGACTACTCACTCTCGCAGATCGACGCGATCTTGTCATCAGCAGCAAGGCGTCGAAGACGTGCGGAGGGCGAGGGCCCTGTCATAACGACTTTGCCGCCCTCTGTGGCGGGAACATCTTCATCGTCGGCCACGGAATCTCCATCTCCACGCATCCACTGCGTCGGTCAGGAGGGCTTGATGTCGGTCCTTGCGCAAACCGCCCAGGAGAATCGCCACCCTGCGACACGGCGCCGCGCCATGGAGCTCTGGGGCCGGATGGTCGACGGCCACTCGCACTGGGACGTGCAGAGCGCATATTTGGGAGCCATGGCTGTCATGCAAGTCGAGGAAGAAGAGTTAAGAGACAAGCAGCGGGAACCCAGGACTGGAGCCATTCCGTTGGAATATCAGTACTTCTGGTCTAGCGGCTCTTGGAATGACGACTATTCCGAGTTCCAGGCAGTGCTCACTGCGAAGGTGCCGGGCCTAGACGGCATTGCTGTCCAGCGAACAGTTGCCATGCCTGCCCTTCATAGGTAGTTTTCTCGCAAACTGTATTAAAGCCTATCATCTAGTCCACGATAACAGGAGGGCGGTCCTTGCCACTCGCCTGCCGGCATTGCGGAATTCTCGAGTGGGCAGCGGCCGCGTCCCAGCAATTGATATCGTCAAGCTTTGATGCAAGATTCAGACTTGCTCCACCACGTGTCAGCTGTCAGCCCCATTTGTCGTCGGACCAAGTCTTCACCCGTTCATTGTTGGCTGCCATGTCGCTCTAGACCGGGGCCAACAGGGCCATGAGCTGACTTCGGAAGCGAGGGTACCCTGAGTCCACCCGATATGGCCGCGTGGGAGGGGCCAACTGACGATAAAGAGTGCAGCCAGGACGCGACGACTCCGCACGCAGGCAGCCCCAGCGAACGCAATATCCACATTTTCACCGACGTGTCCGTTACCCTGGGGCCGGCCCGCTGTCTGCCGTCGTGATAAGCCCATTCCTGCGTGCATGTCAGGCGTGTTGTGGCGGTGAGCCCAACGACCCCTGCATGGGGACCCCAGCCCAACCTCTCAACCTCGGACCACCCCGCATGTTGGCCTGCCCCATCACAGCCAGACGAGCAAGTATAAGATTGAGTCTTCCTCCAGTATCAGTCTCAACATCTCTTCCTTTCTCTCCTCGGATCATCCCAAAACAACAACACCTCACAACAAGTTCGCGGGCGGCCTGGTAAACATCATCGTTACCAGTGTCCCAACCCGCACACCCACAATGTAGCCCCCCATGGTTTCCCGCGTACCCATGGGAGCAGGAGGGCTTTTCAGCACAAAGACCGCTGCGGCCAGTCACACCAGAACCTGGCCCGGTCTAGTGCTTGTCCTCCTGCTGCTATCGCTCCAAGTCCTGGCTCCAGGACTGGGCATGACCAGTCATGACCATTACGATCTGATACACGACACTCACGACCTGATGTTTGGGTTCTTGAGCCCGGCATCACGACGACACAAGCGGACCGCCCTCCGGCCCGCCACGAACCCCGAAGACGAGAGATTTCTTGGCAATGAACTAGAGTCCCTGTTGGATCGTTCATACCTTTTCTCACTCGACCCCCTCACCCTTCCATACCTACACCATATCACCCTTCGACCTCGCGAGGCGCCCGAAACCAAACACGGCGTCTCAGTTGATGTTGCGCGCGCAATGTTGCACGGGCCTGATGGATCCTTATCTGCTGAGTATGGCAATCCCGAAACATTGGCGTTTCCTGTTCTGTTGACTAACATGTGACCCCCTTGCAGCCAAGATGTCATCTCGACTATCCTTGTTTCACAAGACGACCCATCCCACCGTGCCCCACCACCAACAGCGCACCTACAGGCGAAGACGGCCCTGACCTCTGCAGTGCATGACAACCTGCGACAACTTCCAGTGTCGCGACCGTCTCACAGCACTGTGGAACATGACCGTCCGAGCCTGTCCAACTCAGAAGTCTGACACAATAGCCGTGCGACGCGTTTCCTTCAAACGAGACGGTTCTTCTAGAACGCACATCAAAGATGAGGCACTCGAACAATGATCCGCGTCGAACACGTACTTCGGCCGGTTTTTAGTACAGTGCTTCACCACCGATGTGGCTGATCTTGGCGAAAACTCGTCTCGGAAGGAGGCCATGCGCACATATTGAGCGGAACTTTGAGGACAACTCGAACCCACAGCAACAGCAAGAACATAACAACATACGAGATAATGGAGACAGACGACGCCGTTCCTTTCCGCCTAAGGGATTGATCGAGGCGATCGTCCGTCATCAGAATCTCGGGATATGGTACTGGAGGAAATTGAGGCGGAAGAAGAGCGAAGACGGAACGATTCACCAACTAGATTCATTGCACCAGAAATCTCCTATGTCAGAACCTATAAAACCAGTAGCAATACATACTTTTGTGCTGCTCAAAGAAAGTCTCCCATAAACCAAGAGGTGAGAAGTGCTGCTGTAGTGCCATGTATCAAACATGGACACCGAATGACCGGCATCTTCCAATACAATCACAAGCTAATCTCAGTCGTACAAAATACCTCTCTCGCGCAAGAGCCTCAGTATCATCTCAGCTATCCCCACAACGCAACTGAGCCCAACTGAGCCAGCCAGAGCTGGGTCGGATTGACCAGGGCATTGCTAATGAAGCCGCCGATCTCGCAGCTCGTCGTAACGCATAACTAGAAGACCTGTACCATCATGTCACAACGTAGTCTTGGTTTCCGTAGCTATCATTGTGCCACAGGAGAGTGGAAATCCATGAAATCGGTTGTGATAGCTTTGGGTAGTTGCTCTGTGGACAACTGTCATCCAGGGGGTATTGCAATCTATTGCTGCTCTCTATTCCGAGACGCGTTGGCTTGGTAATGTTTGAGGCCAGATCCCATGGTCACAAGAGATTGAATTACATTTGCCTGTTGTTTTGGAGCGTGCTATGAGGATAGAACTTTATATTCATATCTAACATCTTTGAGATGGCCGAGTCTCGTCGGTGGCTGTAGTAGTTGCCCTCCTTTGTTCCCTGAACGCTAAGAAACATTGAACCCTGCGGTTCCGGCCTTACTTTTTGTCTCCTTGAGGTGAGTTGGTGACTTGAGTTTCATATCTGGATCGTCTTCTCGAGTCCTACTTTGGCCTATAACAAAATGATACCTCCAGCATTCGCGAATGAAACCCTGCGGTCAACCTTCCGGCTAGTTGGAGATAACGCCTTGACTTTGTTACATCATGGCTTGAGTGACCCGAGGGCCCGAATCATGGCCTGGCTTGTGCAAACAGAGCGAATCCGGCTACACGAATAACCATATGACGACCGCAGTCTGACCCGACTTAAACTGACCCGATATTGTCGCGGGCCCGTCTGCTGTTGTTTCCCAAGCACTTGCACATTGCTCAGACGGCTCGAGATCTGCATTTAGATCAGGTTTATGTACTCCAAGTCTTGCCGAGACACTCCAGAGTATTCAGCCACTATTTGATCATCAAGATGAACCACAGTCGTAAGGAGGCGGTGCCACTTCTCTCCAACGTCCCAAGCAGGTCTCAGGAGGATGCCGCCCCGCCAGGCAGCCGATGCAAAGACCACATCCCCGACATGGACCTTGGCCATACATAGCGCAAATATTCCATTGTCCAGAACAACGAGGGCTCGGCTTCTCAGGTATGACGCAGACTTCTCGTTGAGATAAAGTGCATCCCGTGCAGTCTGTGTTCCGTGGCTCGCAGTTTGGTTCTGCAGTATCGCCTGCAGGCGTGGCCAGTACTCGACATCGCTGATTCGCCCTTGGAGATCCGAAGTTGCATGCCGACGCAGGCTCTGAGCAAGACGTCGTTCCAACTTGCACTTGTTGGCAATACTGGCGACGAGCCGTCTGGGCGCGACGTATTGAAGATTGACTGGTCGTGACAAATTGCTTGGCGTCGTACTTGGCTGTGTTGGGCCGGGATGCTGCGGCCGCTTGTGCTCCTCCGTGCGTGCGTGTTTCAAGATCTCGATGACCTGTGCCACAATGTCGCGCGCAGCTCTGGGAAAAGGAAGAACCATGCAGACTGTTCCTACACGCTTGCCATTGAAGTGGAGGACATCTCGGCTCCGGTTTTGCAAATAGTCAATGCGCCAGCTGACTCTGCCAGATCCGCATAACCAATAAGGGGAGGTGAAGTCGCTATCGCGAGCATAAGAACGCATTCTGTATCCTCTCAATTCTGGCAGCCATGAGGGATACTTGTCCCGGGCCTGGATGGAGGCAGACCTCCTAGGACCCCGACTGTGGAACTCTCTGAGAACTTCCAGCAAGAGGAACTTGTGCGTGCCTTCGGAGTGGTGGATGTAGCGTAACGCATCGAGGATTACCTTGTTCAAGGGTTTCTTGTAGTCAACCTCCAGTGCCTGGACCCTGGTCCTCACCGCTCCATTGTCTCGCAAGTCGTGGTCCTCGAACAGTAGTCCGTATAGAGCAAAAATCTTGTCGTGTAGATTGCCGCACTGGCGAGCAGCCGTTGCGACCATCGGCTCACCGAGCCCGAAATTTGTTGTGCCCAACCTCTTCGTCATCGAGATAGCTGCTCCGTTCATTACGCTACGTCGGGCGAACGTCTGATCGAGAAACACTGGGTCGCGAATCTCTTGTAGGGTTCGTCGATCATAGTCGCTCAGGACCTGAGGGCGGGTGTGTTCCAGGTTAATAAGCTTACGGACTTTGCTCCATATGAACCTAGGCAGCTCAATCTTGAAGGATTCGCATAGACTGTATTTCCTGATGACTCCCCCCAGCACAAAGAACGTTCTCTGCATCTTGGGTAGAAGAGCTTCTTGGAACGTCCACATCCGACGAAAATACTGGAGGCGGTGGAATTCCGTTTCCCCGTTAAATACCTGCAAGGCTGTGAGAACGTCTATCTCTTGCCACTCCTCTGTGGTAGTCGGCCTCGAAGGGTGCCAGTGCGCGTTTCGTGTACCTTCGCTGATCTTCGTGTTCGGTGGCTGGTTCCAGCCTGGTGCGAGATCCTGCAGCCAGTGCAAGTACAAATCCATGCGCGGCGTCGACGTCGGACCGAGCCAGCACAAAACATGTGTGGCCTGCTGGTAAATGCGCTTCATGAGCTTGATCTGATGCGTTTTCTCGTCGAGATCTGCCTGGTTGATGCATATAGCATCTGCCCATATCGGCAGATCATTCTTGGGTAGCCACGACGTATTGTCCCGATGCCAGACCAATGCGTCGTATAGATTCTGAGTGACAGTCACGCTGACGCCGTCCACGATGATGCTGCGTGTAAGCTTGGGGTCGCCCCAGACGTAGGACAAGGCGACGAATTCTAGCTTGCATCGAGTGTCGAGGAACACCCTGTGCAGCCTGCATTCGACGGTGTCAGCTCCGCCCTCTTCGGAGCGAGTTGCTTTATTTTGAATGTACAGGATTCGAATATGCGGTCGCTGACGGTTGAGTGGTTTGAAAATTGTCTTCATGTTAACGAGTTACGATCGATATATACGTAATGGAACCACGGGGGTTCATGGCGCTATTTTCCGTCAAAGGACTTGGTGAATGACTCTTATAGGGTCATGAAGCGCGATCGGGCGTATAGAGTGACTCGCAGGAACCCCGCCTGGCAACGCACCTTGGGCTCAGGATCATTGCTGACACGTGTATGCACCACATCACTCAGCCACTGCAAGGCGTTACCAGGTTCTCATCGCCAAAGTATTGCCGGATGCAGAGATGTCTAGTGCTGCGCCACAGTCGATGAAAATGACACCCTGCTGACATGCATGATCTGATGCGTTCGCATCGTTGCACCTCGCGTCTGGTTCGTCATTGCCACTCAGGTTACGTAGTTAGGGGCGCGCACTAGCTAGGAAATGGAAACTGGTGGTGCAGCCACTACCTTTGTACTTCAGCGATCAGTCCAAGTATTATTCTCACCCATCACTTGAATTAGTGACCCGACTGATCGAGAGTGGTATCTCTTCCCAGAGACACGACAATGTCCGAGAGAACAACGACAGTTGAGGGCAAGCGATATTACCAAGGCTTTACCAACCTTGTAGAACAGCAAACCCCCGCGCCCGCTGCGGTTGACCACATCAGTGGGATCGTGACACTGAGTGGGGCTCTCGCGATTCGGGCGGGAGCACCCGCTATGGAAGCAAGGATTATGAAAAGGGATAATCCTTGAGTGCATCATTGCATAAGATTGTGCGTGCATTATCGGCAGCCACTACTGTCACACTATCAGCCTCGCTGCTTCCGTAATAACGGAAGCAATAACGGCCAAAAACACTTGGGTAAGATCGGCCCAACCACACGCCGAGCACAAATTCAAGCTTGGGCTTGGCTCAGACTCCACATCTTCCCAGCGCAATTGCTTATTCGCGAGCTTATTTTGGGCTTGGGGTGACGGTGGTACGTGCAGGGATCATCGTTGCCATGCTCTCTGGTCAATGTTGAAAAAGCAAGGGACAATGTGGGCAAGGCCACCCATGTGAGCCTATGAGCGTATAGATCGCGAGGCTTGGCACTACAGAAGCTGGATGGCGTTTGTTTTCAGCTCGGCCTCCGATCCACGTGTGGCTGGTATGCGCATAGTTGAATGGGTGCCCTGCAGCCACTTCTTCTACAAAAGCCGTCTTCCGGATGTCTATTCAGGAAGGCCCTCCTACTTAGCGCTATGCACCACAGCAAAACCCTGACAGCAAGGCGAAGAACGAAGAATCGGCACGAATGACCCCAAGCCTGCAATAACCAGAGACCTCGCATGCCCCAATTACCGAGCCTGGCGCTTTGCTCCAGCGCTATGGCACTTGTTGCTTACGCCGTTGCCGCCACCGATCGCAGCTCGGTCTTGACACAGGCGCCACTGATCACTACTGCGCCTGAGCTTCGTGCTGCGGATGCAAGCATCATCGGGTACTATCCGTTCCCGGACGACAGAACCGGACCATCCTGTACGCCGAAGCTGCCTTCTCTGAGACTCTCAGCAGAAGTCTATCCAGGAAGCACGGACTGACCATGCACAAACAGGGGGCACGGCTTCTTGCCCGTCGGGATACACATTTGCGACTGCAGACGATGGGTATGGCGCGTGCTGCAACTCTCCAGGTATGGTTCTCATACAAGGCAAACACGTTTTGGGACTCCAGTTCGCCCAGGCTGGTTTACAGGCGATTCATGGCTGATGGCACTTTTGATACCAGATTGCATATACGCCACCGCCTGTGCAGGCGCGGACTTCTTTGGGCCTGGGGGTGCAGGTGGAACCTGGTAAGTACACGTCGACGACAGAGTCGAAACCTCTCCACAAGGCGACGACGATCCATCGAAAAAGCTGCCCGCGTCCTCAACCTTAGTCCGCCCATGAACGTACTGAGACTCATCACTGACACTTCTATCGCGATAGTGGGAAGGGCAACACTTGTATCTCCTACACTGTGAAATGGGCGACTGACAGCCCAACGACGGCATTCTGGCTTGGCTGCTCGGTGCCGCCCAATCCCTCGGTGCCGGAGACGTTGTACAGAAGCACGTGGCAATGTGAGTGTTCTTCAGATAAAAGAACGACAACCTCCTCGTGCAATTGCTCGAGCTATGTCCTATAGCTTGGCAGCGGGGTGTAGCTCCAGAGTTTGGCAGTGCAAGATCAAGATATTAACACGGGATCCAGTGTCAACAAGCACATCTACCAGGACATCGCCTCGCCCAACCACAACCAGTCCATTTGATGCTGGCGACGACGACGACGACGACGACTTCACCCTCCCACCAGGATTCACAATGCCCACGATTCCGCCACCCCCAACAGGCCTGCCGGTAGACTGGACGCTCACAGATTTCTCACTCAACTTCCCAGGGCAGACTGGAGGCCCCTTCCTCGGCGATGATGGTCCCATAAACGGTAACGGAGAGTCTCCGACGACTAAGGGGTTGACGAACGGCGGGGGTGTGACTGACGCTGCTCCCAATACAAGGGTCAGTTGGTGTGGAGCGATGCTGATGGTTGGCTTGACATTAAGCTGGAGCTTAGTAGCCAGCTTCCTGTAAAAGGTCACGAAGAACCGTAAGATCTGGGGCTGGCGGTAAAGTCCGCTGGGGATTGCCTGGTGACAGATGATATACGAAGCGGATTGGTCATCATTTCAAAATTCTGCGTGGCGTGCATAATCCGGGAGCCTTCAAATACTTGATGCGAATATTGAGGACAGTTAGAAACAAACGGTAAAATTTACACCGCCTATATGCAGCTGTCTAAGAACAATGCAGACCATGAAATCTGTACAGTACTTGCTTCTTCTGCGCACCATATGTAAAGAGAGTCTGTACTCAACCACTCATATTCGACTCATACCGCTGCAGTATCCCAGCATAGTCATTATACCACTGCTCCAACCACCCCGTCGCATCCAATATCCTCGTTGTGTAGCAGCTCATCATCGGATCGACGACCTTGAGGCGCCCAACCAGGTCGCGCAGCTTGAGGAGGTACTTGTCCACAGCCAGCATCTCACGTGTGATGTATCGTCCGTATACTCCGCTGGGTTGTCCTGTGGCGCTGACGAGCACGCACATGAGCATGTACATCGAGTACGTGATCAACGGCGCCGTACAGAAGCTGGGGAGGTGCACGATCGTCATTGGCGATAGTTCCGAGTGCGCGATGTCGATCACCGCGTGGCAGTGTTGGATTATTGCAGGGAGAGATGCTTCCAGGGGAGGAATGGGGTGCTCTGGATGCGCAAAGTCGTGTACGGCGATGCGGCCCGGGATGAATGGCGATGCAAAGGACGCCATGTTTGTGGGCGTCCAAAAGAGGGGCTCGTGGATGTAGATCATGGCCACGTGCCAAAGGATCTTGAGCATACCAGGACTGGGCGCTGTGGATGTGGATATCGGATCAACGTGGGACAGAATCGACAGTGACGCCGATGCGTCACTGATATTCATGACTTGTGCGGCGCAGTTGCCAGCCCGCATTCGCAGGTCGTCCATAATGGCGTGCGTCGAGTATGTGTTGCCATCCATGAAAACGGTGAGATCGCATGTCTTTAGTGCCGTTGACACTTCCTGGGTAAGCACACTGACGCGGACGAGCTGACAGAGCAGAATGTCTGAAGGGTTGCCTATGCTTTCCAGATGAAGCAGGCATTCGTGGTGATAACTATTCCAAGGAACGGCAATGGGTCGGCGGTTGCTGACCGAGGCGGCCGCCATGCACAAAAAGCACGCCAACCACGTCCGTCTCGCATCAGTGCTGGTCGGGTTGTCCTGAGGACGAAAATATGCTGATGGTGTCGGCCGGAGACAGGGACCGGCGATATTCAGGTCGATGGCCATGTCGGTGGCGATCTGGGTTAGCTGAAAGCAGCTCGCGTGCGACTCTCCACGGGCTGATTTGTTCCAGAAGCCAGCAACCAGCAAGGTTTGCACAAGCTCTAGGCTCTGCTGGCCTCTGACCATAATGTCATCCCCGACGACGTGCATCACCTCGTGGATCAGATCGTCGTGCACCTCTTGTGAAGTGCTCTGGCCAGATCGTGTGACTGTGTACGTCAGGATGGACAATAGCAGGATCGGATACTCGCGCCGCGCGTGATCCAGGTCGTCCGTTGGCAGCAGGATGATGGGCCACTGCGGCGCGACTTCAAGGACAAAGAAGCGCAGCAGGTCCTGCTGCAGAGCATGGGGGATGCGAGCGTCAAGAAAAGACAACACGTTGCGACCGTGGTAGAAGTCAGCACTCCTTGCAGAATTTGACTTGTGACTGTCGTATGCCGAAGACGAGCAGCTGCATCCAAGACTACTGCTGAGTGTTGTGCCGGGACTGTTGACGCTGCTGGCGCTGGAGTTTCGGTTCTGGCCGCGAAGCAGGAGCAGCTCGCTTTTGAGCTGCTCTACCTGGGCATTGAGCTCGCTGATGCGATCTCGCTGCAGTCGTGGCGCTGTTGGCACGCATTGGATATTGTTGCGGATGCATCTCTCGCAGGCTCTCTTGCTGCTGCCGTTGTCGTTGATGCTGTCTGTGCTTGCATCGTCGTTGAGGGCAAATGGGTTGCCGACATCACATTTGATTTTGAGGCGATGGCATTCCTCGCAGGCTCGTGTCCGTTTTCCCATGGTGCCACTCCTACAAGCTGCTGTCCGAGCCTTGTTCTTAGTCGGAACGGTGACGCGCAGACGGCAGCGGCAGCTTGAGGTCAACGGTGGTGCCGCCGTAGGGCATCGCGCAGCGGCTCATCTGGACATGACCGGATTCGACCCTTGCTCCAGGCAGAAAAGTGACAGCGAAGCAGCAGTGGCATGGTTTGCGACAGCCGCCGAGACAAGGGTTGAGTTACAATGGCATATGTATGTTAGGCTGCTGGGGCAGGATTCCAGCAAGGTAATCTCAGGGTGGTCCGACATCTGCATAACAACGCTCAGTTGGCCATACGAGTTGGCCTAGCTGGGTTCGATCTTGGCTGGACGACCCATCGAAGGCATGTAGGCTGGGGCCAACCGTACCTGGTCGGGTCCTGCTTACTCTGGTTGCTGTTCCGGGATCTCACTCCCATCTCGCAATTGAACGAGTCACAACCCCTGTCCACCCGGGTAACCCTCGTGTTCCAGAAGTCCTGACGTCACCACTTCTGTACGCTGTAAGCACAAAGTTGCACTTTCCGTTCCACAGCTTGGCGTGCCGAGCCTCAAAAATCCGAGTTCACGATGGCTTCATTTTTACCCCATTTTAGCAAGAACGCTTGTGTATGGTTCATCCAGTGCAACGCGGTTGGTGTCACTGGAGAAGACGCACGGGCCCTTCCTCGGTGGTAGACAGACCTGCCGGTGTCAACATAGGTTGTTCGCAGCTTTCAATCGTCACTGACCTCTAAGTACCACGCGGTTCCGTTGAGCAGTCAGACATTAAGTCATGGGCTTACACAGCCACGATGTCGGACTTTAGATTTTGCCGCTGTGATTGTGTTACCACGATGCTTATGGGCAGCGAAGGCACATCGAAAGAGAATCACGAGTATTCTGAACCGTTTGTCGCCATCGCAGCGTGGACACTTCGTCATAGACTTGATGCCTTTGTGCGCAATTCGTGGGGAAGGCGAGGCTGTGCACCCTGCTGAAAATGCACGTCGATCATCAAGTGAAGCGGGATTAGCCTTTTTGCGAAGGGGTTGCATGGCTGCGCCTGCTGTGCCTTGACTGCCGGCAAGGTGCGGGACCTAAGTCTCCTTGCAGGGCATGCGCATATTGGTCACAAGTGACATGATAGCTGGTGAGGACTACGGACGGTCGCGAGTAGAATTCCCTTGTCCGTCCCTGGGTCACTTGATAGAACACATTAATTAGAATAGCGCAGGATTGACGCACCCAGTTATGCGAAGCACGTTAACATTAAGTCTTTGTGTCTATGCTTGTAGCACACTCCCAAGGTGGGCGAGGGACGTCGAAGTCGGTTTGGCAGCAACGCTATGGGTGGCACGTTTTATCATGGGCTTCATCCGACCACGAAGTGATTCCGTCTTGGCAAGCTACAATTGAGAAAGTCGATGACGCAATAGAAGCGAAGATGGTCTCTCTCTGAAGCAAGGGATCAGGTGCCCTGGACTACCCATTCGGCGACTTTTGAAGCACAATCCCACCGCAGCGTTGATGGCGCTTATCGCAAGTGTAGCTGCCTAGGCGCCAAGATTATGGGGCACCCTTGCCGGCCATCCTGGGCACAACGACATGCCATTCGATTCCCTAGCTGCATGTTAGTAGTCCCTTGCCCTGACTAGGCCGCATCGCCTCATATAGGGTCCAGCCTCACAACTCCACGTGTCGGCGTTTTCTCCCCGTCCCCAGAATATGCGAGGAACCAATCAGCTAGCAAGGACCCTGCCTCTGGGGAGCTGGGTCCAGCCCCCCCAATGGGCATTCTTCGAGTATGGCATTTGGCAGCGAGGGGCAAATCCCATACCGCCAGCTATTCTGTCGGTCTATTTTGACCGCGTGTCGGTTCAGGGACCCTTGGTGGCTTTACCGTGATTGGGCGTATCTAACCACGTTCTATCCAAGGGCTGTGCAGAGTGTAGCATCGTCATGGATTTGCAATGTCATTTGAATTTGAGAATTGGTGAGTCGTGGCCGGCTTCTGCGATTGAAGCAGGTAGAGTCTCGATTGCAAGAAGCTTTCAAGGTTTCGTCATCGTGGATAGCCAAGAAAGCTCCCCTGCCTTGCGCTTCAAGCTGGACAGCTTTTGGGGATTTCATGAACGATATCCACAATTACCATTGCAAGCTTCGGTATATAAGGTCAAGTTGCCGACATGTTCTGTCCAAGAAACTCTTTCAGTATCATCGACCAAGATAGCCTCCATTACCTCCGACCACTTCCCATCAGCAAACCAAGCTTATCCAGCCAAATTGACAACAATCGACTTCAAACAATGAGAACCTCTATCTGGTCTGCCATCCTGATGGCCGGGTCTGTCATGGCCCAAGGCGACATTGTTAAGCTTCTTCAGAGCCAGCCTGACCTCTCTACACTCCTAGAGCTTGCAAGCTTGATTGACGGACTCCCTGCCAAGCTCTCTGGCTCGACAAACATCACCATATTCGCCCCCACCAACGAGGCCTTCGCGAAGGTGCCTCGCGACATCCCCGAGGGCGAGGCCATCGAGTACAAGAACAACACGATCGCCATTGGCGCCCTCTTGGCCAACCATGTCTTCAAAGGAATATACCCGGCGTCAGCTGCCTCCGATACCCCCATCTTTGTTCAGAGTCTGCTTGATGATACCTACGTCGACTTCCGCCAGCCGTTCTCCAACTTTACTGGCGGCCAATACAATGGTATTGTGCGTGATGGAAACAATGTGTGCGTCCTCTCTGGAGAGCTCGGTGTCTCAAAGGTTGTCGAGGCGGTAAGTTGCCCTTATCTGGGTATCGTGATTGCGCCCTAGGCTAACCTGCGGAAAAAGGACATCAAACTCGGCGACGGCATCACGATCCACAAGATTGACACCATCATCTCCTTTGGCGCACCGCTGCAGCTCTTCACCTACCGGGCGGGCTACACAAACCTCAACGGCGCACTGAATGCCGCAAACCTGGACATCGATTTCGGCCTTACCGGCGACGACACGACACTGCTCAACATCAGCGACTTCACCGTCTTCGTGCCCAACAACGAGGCATTCGAGCGCATCGGCTCGGTCCTCGAGTCCGCCGACGAGGCGACCGTTCAGGAGGTCCTGAAGTACCACCTCGTCCCCAAGAATGTCCTGTTCTCGACAGAGCTGGGCAACACGACCGTCAAGACGCTCCAAGGCGCCGAGCTGACCGTCTCCGTCTTCCCCGACGGCACGGCGTTTGTGAACGGCGCCAAGATTGTGTTTACCAACAACATCTTGTGGAATGCCGTTGCCCATGTCATCGACAAGTACGTCCCGCACATCATCTGTCTTGGCCCTCCAGTTTATCCACGTTTCCCTTCCTTGCTTGCATGAATGCTAATCTTTTATCGGGCCCACAGCGTTATCGCTCCTGGCCCATTCGACCGCGCGACTCTGGACCCTTCCTCTCCTCCAGAGTCCCGCCTCGCCTTTCCCCGTGCGACCAAGATCGACCACCTGCCCTTCGGCTCCGTCTCGTTCCTCGGCGACACGATGACCTACAGCACCACCCCGGTGCTCCTTCAGACCCTTGCTGCCGTGCCAACCAGCACTGGTGGTGCCGGTGGCGCGCCTGCCACCACAACGGCCGCGAGCACGATGAGCACGATGAGCACGATGAGCACGACGAGCTCCACGGGCCCGGTGGCGACTGGTAGCAGTATCCCTGTCGCTGGTGCCGGCGAGATTGTTGTCTCACGCGCTGTGATGGGCTTGGCTGTTGTTCTGGGCCTCGCTGGTGCCATGTTCTGATTGGGCAACAGCTTATCATATGTGCTCAGTCGGTCATTGACAGACGGTGCTATGGGATGAGGATGGGTGCTGAGAAGGTGAGTAGGGCGAGGAACGGAGGATGTAATGTGTGGTCTAAGCAGCGACGGATCGATGAGGACTGGTGTGATTTGTCATTTTTTTTTTTGGTTCCCGTGTCTTTGATTTTCTTAGTAGATGAGTGCTTCAAGGTAGATTAACGATAGGACAGGATGATATAGTGCGATTCCTCTGATATTTGGTTGAGTGGTATCAAGGTGTCTGCCGACTTAGATACAAAACTCTATGGCAAGACAAGCGGGAAGCTGGGCAGGCTATAAAAGGGAAAAAGACCTCGGACAGAGCCCATCGTCCTCGCCCGGATCGGACCACAGAGACAGACAACAAAAAGGCAAAAAACGTACAACACCGAGGATTCGCTGGTCGTCACCGACCCAACTACTGATTCGGCGGTATCGAGCTTGTGTACAGGGGAGCGGACGGGACCCTCAATTTTCTCGATCCTATGGTCGTACGTGGAAGACTGGTCAATTGTATTGTTTTATGTATACGGCTCTGTCGTCGTCCACGATTGCTGCCCGCGTCTAGCGAGGCAGAGATCTTGGAGCTGGCGCTATAAAATCAAAACGACCTTACTGGCCTGCCACTGTGCTCTGTAATGGACATGTGATGGCACAAGCGTCTCGCGTTGTGGAGCGTCCTCTGTGCAGTTTTTCTCGGGCCTGGGCTTTCGGGTGGAGCATCCACACCGGCGCTCGCTAGCGGGGCCACTTGAATCATAGCTCAAGAGGCTAGCGCGCAAGAATTCTTCCGCAAGTGGGCTGAATGTGAGGAGGATAGTTTACAGCGGCACAGAATTATCTGGGCAAAGGGGAAGACCGACGGTGTTGTGTTGGGGGACGAGTGTAGGATGGCGAGACGACCCAATCGTGACCAGTTGTCGTCTGGGCAGAATCCACGCTAGCCACATTGGGCCGGTGGTTATCACTTATGGAAAAGTCGACCCTGACAAGGCCTGTTCATTCATCTTGGCAAAAGCTTGGCTGGCTGGACTGCCTGGTGTGGCGGTCTGGCTGGGCCAGTGTGAGACAGATCACGCAAGTGTTCACACCGAAGACGGACTGCGGTTCGAGCAGCCACAAGACGACCTCGCGTATCCTCACACGGGCCGTGATTGCAGCTGCGAAGCGGCTCTGCCTCATCCCTTGCAGGGCCCCCGCAATGGAGTGTGCAGCCTGGCGATCCTCAGGGGTCCGTTAGGCAGGCCAGGCACCACCGCGCCGGTCCCTTACGATCCCACCCGGGGGCTCCAGCCCTGGCTGGTCCATCACCAACGACGATGCCTTTGTCTCCTCCAGCATAAGAGACGAGGTTCGTTCTCAAGACGACGACAAGGCCTGTGAGATGCACTACCTGTCAGCCACCATATCGTTCCTGGCCCTCATCTCGTCCGCCCTCGCAGCAACCACCACCACCACCACCATGTCGGTTCCACCAGGGAGCCATCCCCATGGCGATGCGCCCCAGGACCTGACCGAGGCTCTCATCGAGCTCCTTGTTGGCCCCAAGAACACCGGCATCCGCGCACAGGTCCACCAGAACGCCCTCACCCGCGGCAATACGCCTTCTGCCGGTCTCGCCGGCAAGGTCCATCTGCTCGGCCCCCCTCCGCCCGGCTCGCCACAGCCTCTCTGGATGGTCGACCGCCTCCTCGAGCCGCAGACCATGGTGCACTTCCTGCAGTCGGCCTTACACGGCGTGCTGCCCGGCGGCAGCAAGTCCTCTCTGCCCCTGGTCCACCCCGAGGTCGTCCAGCTTCTTAGCACCCCGCCCAGCCAGTGGGCTCCCGCGCCCTACAACACCAAGCCGCAGCCGTACATGTTCGATATCATGACGCGCATCGGCTCGCACGAGGACAACACCCGGCTGCAGGTCGTCAGCAAGGACCTCCACTTCCAAAAGTCGCGCGCCTGGGAGGGCATCGTGCCCATGTCGGACCGGCACTGGGCAGAGCAGGAGCTCGACCACCCGTCCAACTTCCCCCAGGCCTGCCAGCACATCACCGCGCTGATCGACGTCTTTCTCTACTTGAACCTGGACCATGTCAAGCACGCCCTGCGGACAACCTATAATCTGATCCACGACCACCTCGGAGAATTCGAAAAGGCCCTGGAGGCCAAATATGCTGCTGAGACTGCAGCAGCAGCAACCACTGCTCCGGCTCCTCCTGACAGTGCTACTGCTGCTACTACTACTACTACTGAAACCAAACCCACAACCACAAGCACCAGCACTGGGGATGATGACGACGACGACGACGCCTACGTCGAGCCACCCCGCGGGCCGGCCAAGCTGACGGAGCACTGGGCCGAGTACATGACCGTGCACTTTGCGCACATGGAGACGCGCGCGCACGCCTGGGCCACGGCCCACCTCGACACGCTCAAGCAGGGCGTCCTCTCGCGCCTCCAGGCGCACCAGCAGCCGGGACCTCCCGACGCCCAGCCCAACGGGCCCTACGACGAGCTCCAGTGGCTGCTGACCAACATGTGGCAGGACCTGGTCGAGAACCAGGCCTACGTCGACTGCGCCATGTTCATCCCCCTCGACGGGTACCACGGCATGAAGCCGGGCCTGTCGGCGACGGGGCGGCCCACGAACCAGACGGTCGCGGATGCGATGGACAGGGAGAGGCGTGGCGGAGGCGCTGAGCCCGACGACAGCGCTGGCGCCACGCTGCCGGGGCAGCAAGGGTTGTCGCGCCCGATGTATGTCGATCCGGACATCCAGGTGCGCATGACCCAGTACCACCTCAAGCGGCGGGAGCTGCAGATGCTTCACATGATGAACCACACCATGGCCAATCTGCTTGCCGGGATTCCGTCGAGGCCGGATAGGCCGCTGAACGACCCGGCGGATATCCTTCTCAACGCCCAGGGCCAGGATGTCGCCCAGAGGCAGACTCGTGTCCTGCTTCGGGGAGGGGACGATCGAGTCGCTGCTGCTGCCGCCGCCACAGCTGCTGGACAGAAGAAGACGATGGGGAAGGAGTCATGGGTTCTCGAGGGCGAGACGATGCACAGCCAGATCGAGGTCGTCTTGTACCGCACGTACCACGGGCATGACGACGACGACTGGAACAAGTTTGTCGAGAAGTTCGAGGCGGACAACGAAGATTGGGGCAAGGAACTGGTCGGCACGGATAAGCTGCGCGCCAAGATGAAGTTGACGTGGCGGAATGTTGTCGGAGAGCTTGACTTGGAAGGTGTCGAGGCGGTCAAGAAGTAAGTTCGTGTGTGGTTATTCCCTGCTTTTCCAGTTGATGGCAGTGCCAACCCTAGTCCTAACCTCGTTTCCACATCTCCAGACACTTCAACGACAATATTTCCGAGGACGTGCACGGCATCGATTTCGTCCTGTTTGCCGACGAGGCTAGTATCGAGTCGTACCTCAACCCGGTCACTACCACCACCACCGCCACCACCGCCAATGCTTCTGGTACGGCTTCCGGCGCCACCCAGCCCAAACTACTCCCCGGAGATGTCGGCGGCTTCATTCTTGCCGTCGATGTTCAGTTTGACCCAAGCGCACCGCCCCACGAGCACTCGGACGAGTCGCCAGAGTATGCCGGCGAGGTGCGCCTGAGGGGCAGCTTGCTCTGGGACAACGTGATGCCTGCGAGCATCCTGCAGAGCGAGAGCATCGAGGACTTGTGGCCCATGGCGAGGGTGCATCCGCGCAAGATGTACACTGGCCCCGTGGTGAAGGCGCAGCTGGCGGCGTGGGGGGCTAAAGGGTTGGGTCAGTAAGGCATGGACGAGATGGATGGATAGAGCCAAAAAAAAAAGGAAAAAAAAGAAAAGTGTCGATCACGACACCAGGGCAGCATGGTCAGATACGACGACCACAACGTCCTATGGATAAACATTGATTCTAGGTGGCAGATATTCTCCAACGCTCGGAATGCATGAGAAGTTCAAGCTCAACGCCATCAAAGGCCGGGGCGCCGGTGGCAGAGCCGCCGCCTTTACCCGGAGATCCAATTGCATGGCCCGCCGTAGAGCCTTGGTGCATTAGGCAGTTGAGGTTGCTGGCCGTGGCCGCGTATGTGGGAACAACCCGGACGTGAAGGGTCTTCCCATTTCGCAAGTTTTCATCACCATTAAAGCGGTGACCAAGATGGCGTGACTGGGCGAGGTTGACACGGAGGAGCATGTACGGTAATCTCGTAACGCGTTAGTTCTTGTGGAGACTTGTCAGCCTGATGTCAGAACTTAGTAGAATGAAGTTGGACAATCATTTCGGTGGCTGGGAGGATTTATTCTCCCTCAAAGAACTCTTGTTGCCAATCGTCCATGGCCTGGCCGATGTGCAGGCAGTAGCATAGTGCTCTTCGACTGCAATATTTGCGCCGGAACAATATGTAGATGTGGTGCTTTTCCGCTTGTGGCCGGTCTTGGGACCACGCAACGCCGTGTGGCTGGGAACGCACCTGTGCGGCAAAACAGAGTTCCTCGGAGCCCAGCCGACTGACTGGCTTCATCCGGGGTCTGGCAAAGTGGCTGCCAAGCGGACGATCACAGACTGCGACCTGCCTGATTCGGGGCCAGCACTGTCTGTTCGTCACCCAGGGTCTTGGTCGCGCCATCTGCCCCTCTGATTCGCCAATTGCGCCTCTCCTGCCTAACGCAACCCGTTGTCGCCTCTCAGAGCGTCGTCCGCTGCACTGCAACGTCGAGGCCATTTCCCACCACCAGCTTCGGCAGGTCGTGCGCTGATCTGGTGGGTCGTGATGAGGGCACTCTGCCGTGCCCGCGGCTTGGCAGCCGTTGCCCCTCGCCGGGCCGGAGGAGCAGCAATGTCGTGATCACCATCTCGGACTGCGCGTTGGTGGGTGTCCGTCTTGGCTGACCATCAATGCAGTAGCGCTGACCCCAGGCAAACCGGCGGACTATAAGAGGCCTGTGGTCTACTCGCCCAGCTGCCCGGCTTCGAGTCTTCTGCACCTGCACTTCGTCACAATGAGGACATCCACCTTCACCGCGCTCCTGACCTCGCTCGCCCTTGCCGTCACGGCAGCCCCTGCCACGGCGGCTGCGGACGAGCAGCCGGTCTCATACACGGGCTACCAGGTCTTCCGCGTCAAGACGCACGGCCGCGCAGCCGAGGTGCAGGACAAGCTGAGCAGCCTCAACTACGACGAATGGCACCACGATTTCCAGACCGTCGACGTTGTCGTCGGCCCCAGCGAGGTCGATGCCTTCAAGGCTCTGCAGCTCGACTACGTAGTCATGCACGAGGATCTAGGCTCTTCCATCGACGCCGAGGCCGTCACGACGAGCCAGTGGAAGAGCAAGAGCAAGCGCCAGCTCGACGATGACTCGTGGTTCGACGCCTACCACAACTACGAGGACCACATCCAGTACTTCCGCAGCCTCCAGTCTGCATTTGCCAACAACTCGGAGCTTGTCTCGTCGGGAAAGTCGTACCAGGGGCGCGACATCTACGGCCTGCACCTCTGGGGCGCGGGTGGCCCCGGTAAGCCTGCTGTGCTGTACCACGGAACTGTCCACGCCAGAGAGTGGATCGCAGCTCCGGTGAGTCCGAGGCGTCGCGCGCGCTGTTTGAAGCATTCCCGATGCTGACACGAATTTCCAGGTCGTAGAGTACATCACCCAGCAGCTAATCAAGAACTACATTGCGGGAGATCGGGAGGTCACGTCCACTCTGGACAAATACGACTTTTACATTTTCCCCTTTGTAAACCCTGACGGTAAGCCAAGTCCACGCCAGTCCGCTTTCCTACACCATAATTCCGTTTCATCAGCTTACGCAAAACCAGGCTTCGTCTACTCCCAAGTGGCAGACCGGTTGTGGCGCAAGAACCGTCAGCCGCCGCCTACCTCGGCGCCCAACCAGACCTGCCTGGGCCGGGACATCAACCGCAACTGGGAATTCGGCTGGGACTCGAACCCGCTGGGCGCGTCCACCAACCCGTGCTCGCAGACGTACAAGGGCGTCGCGCCCGCCGACACGCCCGAGAACAAGGGCCTCGACACGTTTGTGCGCAAGATCCGCGACGCCCAGGGCATCAAGCTGTTCATCGACTGGCACAGCTACGGGCAGTACATCCTCTCCCCGTTTGGGTACAAGGAGACCCTGTACGCGCCCGAGCTGGGCAAGTGGACGAAAGCCGCGGCCATGGTGAGCGAGGCGATCCGCGACAGCGACCGCGGGGCCAACGGCGGCAAGACGTACGTCTTTGGCCCCAGCGGCGCCACGCTGTACACCACCACGGGCGCGGCGCCCGACCACGTCTACGCCACCGGGCGGGCCGAGTTCTCGTACACGATCGAGCTCAGGGACACGGGCAACTTTGGGTTCGTGCTGCCGGCGACCGAGATCCGGCCGACGGCGCGGGAGAACTGGGCTGGCCAGAAGGTGCTGTGGAGTCTTTTGGACGAGGTCTTCTTTGACGGCCAGGGCCCGGCTATGTACCAGGCTGCAATCTAAAGGATCTTGGCGATGGCATGTTCACATGGAATGATATTTAACCGTGGGACATGAGCTGGAACTTTCAACCTCAAGCCGGACAGTGAATCGAAACGTAGAGCCTCACGAGGCGACAACTACGGCCTTTGGGGAGATATCCCACGTTCATTAGTCTAGTCTCAGAAACTGCGTCCACGACGAAGAAAGAACGTCAAGTTTGTGTGAACCCCCGCCGTGCAAAACTTGTCTAGGCTTTCTCAGCCCGGGGAAACAAATGCGCCGCACTAGGGGCCTTTTCTCGGACGACATCTCCAACTTCACGCCAAAAGGCAGCGCGCACCTTCTTTCCAGTTTCACTCTTGAACAACTTGCTGGATTGCCTATCAATCAAGAAGTGTCAGCGAGGCCTGGGGGGCTTCTTCAGATAGGCATAGACCAAGCAATGGACTTACTCGGCGGTCTTTGCCTTGTCGCCGTAAAAGCGGATGAATTCTCCCTGTAGATCCCCAAAACGCGAGAGTGTGCACTTTGTCAGCATTCCGCGCGGCCTTGACAACTTTTCACACGATTCATGATGATTGTGACAGAGACTCGTAAAAGAAAGCCTGGAGATCGACTTACGTGCTGCTCCTCTCCCGTCATGACGGACCGCAACAGCGTGCGTGCACCCTGCTCTGCCGTCTTGCCCAGGACACCGTGGAAGAGGGCGATGCCCGCCACCATGTGCAGGCCTTTCGCCGCGTGGTTCCGCGCCAAGTCGGTTTTGACAATGCCTGGACAGCACGTGTTGACAATGACTTGTGGCCTAGCAGGTATAAACGGATAATTGTTAGCCACGTGAACTCCCTGTCTCACAATCGCCGCCTGGGACGAACACAGCCCGAAAACAACCGTGTGGGGGATTTGGGGACGAAGGGGGCCGACGAACCTCCCAGTCTTCTCATCTCTGGCCAGCTCGGCTATCTGAGCCATCGCGTAGTGCGCAAGCGTCTTTGTGATCGAGTACGAGAAGTCCGGGTTCGGGTACTTTTTCGGGTCGTTGACGTATCCGACCAATCCTCCTCGGACGCTGCCACCGTCTCCCATGGGGGGTGTTGCCGCCCACTTGTCCAGCTCTTCGACGGTGAAAGTAAGGTGGTGCCCGGATCCAGTGAGACCCATGTGGGCCAGGGTTGTCCGATTGGGACGCTCGCGCAGCATAGAGTCGAGGAGCAGACGGGCGAGGAGGGCGGTACCGATAGCGTTTGTTTGGAGATTTGTCTCGCTGTACCATCAGGGACGTATCCAATCAGTCGGGGAAAGGTAAGGGGAAAGGGAAAAGGAGCCACGAGCCAGAACTTACAACCCGTCGTCTGTGAGCTCATAGTCGACGGCGATAGCACCTGCGTTCAGGAACACGCAGTCCAGTCCGCCCTTGCCGGAGTTGATCTTGCTAGCCTCGGCCGCAAAGTTCACGACCGACTTGAATGAGGACATGTCGAGCTCCATCACCCGGACCTTGTCCTTGGGAGCGCTCTTCCCACTGGTCAGTTTCTCGAGCTCCTTGAGAGCATTTTTCGACTTGGCGGCGTTCCGGCTGGTGATGACGACCTGCTTCGCGCCCAGATTAATGAAGTGCGCCGCGAGCGCGAGGCCTAGGCCGCCTGTGCCACCTGTGACGAGACATGTCTGGTCGTGGAAGGTGTCAGCCGGGGGTAGGGCCACGGGAGAGAAGCGCATCAAAATTTGCTCCATCTTGGAGGTAGTACTTCTGGTAAGACGAGGCGAGATGTTTCGATGCAAGTCGAGGAGAGGCTCGTCGTGCGTGGGAGCTGCAGCTGATCAACAGAAGGCAGCCTGGAAGTGTGGTAGGCTCGCCAAGATCGAATGTCTACCAAGGAATATAGGAACTGCGTCCTGTTGAAGTAGCAAACTCACTGACTAATTACACGCTACGTGGATTAAAGTCGGCGACTTATACACGGCGGTTTTGGTTCTGCTTTGTCATGGCAATCAACATCAATGGCGTCCACGCTTATCAGCTCCGGCGAGTTTGGCCGGTGCTAGAGGCTACGGGGCCTTGCACCGCGCCCCCACATGAGGTTGCACGGTCGCCCTCGGAGCCGCGTTAGGCCGCCTCGCAGACTTTTGAGTGGAGTTCCGGCCGGCACTGCCCGTGCAAGTGACCCCCAAGCGGCTGAACAGCCCTTGAAGGGTGGAATATTCCAAATCATAACCAGCGATCCATTCGGTCAGGATCGTCAGGTCATTGGCGAGAGTATTTTTCCACATGATGCAGGTAGTAACGACGATCATACAGTGCAAATTCTGTCGTTCTCATTACATCTGTATGCGTCAAGATATATCCCTGGGCCTGTCCTATTTTGCCAGCTCCGACACCGTTCCCCCTATACCTTTACACTCGCACGTGATTCAGCTTGCGCTGTTTGTGCGTGCTTCATTGCCTGGAGTTTGTCTCAAAGAAATGCTTCCCTCCACCCTGTTGCGCGTGCGCCTGTCGTGGTGCACATCACCAACAAGTCGCAACGCTCACATGCCCAGGTCCAAAACAAGGCTGCAGCCTCGTCAGCATCATCTCAATAAGTTCCAAGCGCCCAAGCTTCTGGCCCATCTTGACCCGTGTTGCAGTAAGCCCTCATCCGAGTAACTTAGCTGAGACTGCGGCACTATCGTCCCTCTCGCTCCCGAGCCCTACGGTTCTGCGCTCTACGATTGCGATCATAGTCTCTGTACATGGCCCGATCAGCGTCAAGACGCTCAGCCCGATCGAGTCTTCGACGGGGCTCAGTCACTCCGCTCTCCATCCTCCACTCCGCCTGGCGCTGGCGTCGCTCGTCCAGCCGTGCCTGCTCGCGCTCGTGTCGGCGTGCCGCAGCCTCGCGCTGGGCTTCGATGTTGCGCCGACGGGTGCATCGGTTGCACTCGGTGTGGTAGTCGAGGTTGGTCACTAGCAGCTCCGCCCTGGGCCTGTGGCACCCTAGAAAGCGCCCGCCGTCCTGGGCCGCCCTGCACCAGACCGCTTCACGCTGCGAGGATATCTGGCGCAGGCAGGTCGGGCATTGCCTGTGCGTGACTCGCATTTGGCACATTGTTTTGCTGAGGTTGCTGGCTACGGCTTGCGCAGGACTGGTCCGGTGCCGATTCTCGATGTTGATGGCTTTCGTGTCAAGTATCGCAGATCGACCTGTTTCTTGATGGATGGACTCGCTGGTAAGTGTAGGTCCGAGTAGAAGCATGACTAGAGAGGATCTTATATGCTATGCCTGTCTTGATAGATGCTGGAGGCGATTACCTGGAGCAGGAGATTTGTGCCTCCTGATGCAGTAGTCACGAAAGTCCACTACTGAAATCCCACAATGGCTGGATGCCTTGTGTGTGGTCTCAAGCGTCTGTCATATGCCAGAGCTCAACAGCATTCGAGTTGCGTGGTTATTAGCGCATGGCAGGCATAACCACAAATCAGTGCACCATGCTTCTCCTGTGCTTGAATGTCCTCACATACTGCCTGACTGGCCGGCCTGAGGCGCAAGGTTCTTGCTGGACGAATGACGAGAAGGCAAACCTCTTCATTAACAAGCATCTCCGGAAAATCATTTCTCAGGTGCTTCGGAGCGTACGCCATACAACGGACACTCTTGCTGCTTCATCAACCATGTGAAAGCTGCCCTGCACGATACTCCAGTTGTCCAAAGCTGGAATCATGGCCAACACATAGTTCTCATGTGTAATTGTTAGATCTCTTTGCATGCGCCGACTTAACTCGTCGGGCAGTGATTCTGTGGGGGTCCATTGATCATTTTCCCATGTAGCCCTGACCAAAACAACGCTCTTTGCCTCAAGTGAAATCAGTGATATTAAGGGAGATGTTGGTGCAATCTTCTCCATATTATGGTGGCGTAAGCGAGTGCCTGTGATGCACGTGCTGGCAACACTAGATGAGATGGAAAACAATTCTCCCATGACTATTCATGCACATCTGCTTTGTCGTCCCAAGGGGCAGACTGGAGCAACGACATCTCCATCGTCACAAGTGAACTGTGACTGCAAGCGTCCTTGATCGAATTTGAGGCAAGCATTATTGCAACGAGGCGTCGTTGACCCATAATGCCAAACTAAAATTTTACTTCCAGCAAAATTGTCAACGAACATTTTCTTTCCTTGACGTCAAAATAACACAAGATCCTCGTGCACACTAATCCTCGACAGACACGCAGCTAGCCATTCTTCACGCGAGGAAAAGGCTCTCTCGACCCAAAAAGCCAACCGGCCACTCCCAAGAATCCCCAGAGCATTCTGCAAACAGCAGACATGTGCGGCTACAAGGACACCAGCACCCGTTGTCCCGTATGCAACGCAGAGATCAGCATTCGGACCGAACGAGTCTTATGCAGCCACGTCAGATCCCGCTTTAGAGACTGTGGCAGGCGCGATCCCACGCTGACAGCCACCGTTGCGCATTGGCGCCCCTGCCATGCCTGCAGGCCGCGGAGTCCCTGGCGTTAGAAATGAGGTTGCAATTCAGCACCACAGACTGGGGGGGTCAGTGCTTTTCGAGGACAAGGAGAATGACAATTATCAAAGGTCCAGAAGCCTGAAGGTGGCAACAAAGACAAGCAAGCATCCCTTCTTCCACAATGGTTCGACGGGGGGTGTTTGTCTTCGGTGTTGACTTGAGACTCAGTTTGCTCGCCTAGAAGTTTGTGTTCACATCACAAACTCTCTTTCGCTGTGGGAAATAATCTGGGATTCGCTCTTGGAGCGTGTAATCATGGCTCACTACGTTTATCCTACTGACGTAGCACGACCAACATGTTGAAAAAGATGTATTCCACTAAACCATGAACCTGATCTCAGCAGCTGTGCTGTTATTGAAACTTGCCAGTACCCCAAAACGGCAATCCCTTATGAACAATTTCCTCCCTCCATCATTCCAAAGTCGAATAGTCGTTCGCCTACGCCGTGAAACTCCATTGGCTATAGGCTTTATACAGTGTCTGTTTTGCGTCTTCCATTCCGATGCTTGATGTCTCATCTTCGAGAGACGCAACCTCCCGGGAACCCGTCCTTGTGCTGATTTGGCGCAATGATTGTCTTTGGTGGATAGTCCGTGTGCAAAACACTGTCCTTGATAGTGACCTTCCACCCATGCAAAGCGTGTACCGTGTATAGCCGTGCGAATAATTCGTGCCATGTCCTGTTCTTGTGTGTTGCCGTGTTGTATTGATAGTGACCGAGCAGTGTTGTGGAGTCGACTGCAGCGCGTGGAGCACGAGTTGAGTGCAGCGAAGAACTTTGGTGCGGCGTCGCCGTGGATTGTTCTTAGTCGCTGCATGGTCCAATGTTTTATGCGTGTTCTTTGTCCGGTAATGGATGCTGCAAACCCCGATCGCTGACCCTTGGCAGCGGGGGATTTACGTATATTTGTTGGTGATATCCTTGAGCACTAGTCTTCTCGTTGGGACACCAAAGGGTGCTCTGGCAGTCGGATGGCTGGCTGTATTCTCGTCGTTGCTATCGCTGTTGTCGCTGGCAGAATCGGCGAGACGATGCCGACGAGGTCGTGTCGCCACCCTGATGACGCCCATGCGTGGGGGGCGAGATAGCGGTAGCTCCATATCGGCAAGGAGGTGGCACCGGTCGCACGGGTCGCTGTATTTGGCAGATGGGGAGGTGTGTGTCGTCCATCGGTAGCCGCATCTGCCGGGCTCCAGGCCCATGTTGAAAGCCTTGCGACACTTGCGCGGGTACATCTTTGTGAGCATGGGGGTGCGGCAACGCGGGCAGATGACGCTCTTGAAGTCTTTGCAGCACATCTTGTCCTGTGATGATTGTGTCGCGCGAGAGTCGGAGTTCGAGACTAGGCTCTACTCAGGTAGGTTTCGACGTTGGTTGAATTTGTATTTGTCTGGTGTCGGCTGGTAGGGTGTATGCCAGCAAGGCCGGCTGTGGAAGACCCCAGATGTGTGTATGCGATGGTTGCAGATAGTGCTCCTTTGTGCTGGAGAAATCGTCTTTGATTCTCTATATTAGATGATGTCGTCCCAGGAAATGATGGTCGGTGTGTTGCGGTGAAGCTTGTTCTGCTTGTTATAGCGATGTGTACTTATGCATCTGTTGCCCAGAATGTGGTTATGGGGCTTGTGTGCTCGAACTGTTGGCAAACTACGGTCGTGCTTGAGGTCAGTAGAGTCTTATGCCATTTCATCAGATCCCCGCGGGTTATATAAGTTCTGTGCGCACTGGCATGAGCTTTCTCCGATACAAACTGCTTCATGCTGTACCACTGCGGAAGTGTTGGCGGCGCCAAATATTCCGCAGGACTGGCCACGCCTCGTGCACGGTGCCAACAGGTCTTCCCTTATCATGGAACTCGGCCCAGAGATGCATGTGTCCTGGAACCACGTGTGGATGGCTCACATTTGCCACGGTAGGCGGGCAGAACGTGCCAGTGCCAGGGACTTGGGCGGCCCAGTTTCTAGCACCCTGGTTAACGAGGCACGGTATATTTGCACGTGAAGTATACTTGCGTCTAGTCGTAGAAGCAGTCGCGACGGGAAGTTCTTGTCTTTTTGACTGGGTCTGTATGCAATGCTGGTGGGCGCGCATGCTTTGCACAGTGGCGCCCACGCTGCCGATCGACTCGGATCAACCCCACGCCGCCGCAGTCCGGACAGGCCCATCCGTCTTGACATACTGGATGAACAAATCCTTGATCCTGCGGGCAAGTGGACAAGCTTTTGCAGGAATTGTTTTTCGGTGGTAGAAATCCTTCTCATCACTAGATATTTCGGTTAAGCAACGAAATTGGGCGGTTCGCGTGACAGTGACTTCCTGCAGTATAACCAAGTCGAGCGGCAGCCAACTCCATGGGTCTTTTTCAACAAAGGATATCTGTGTTCACCCTATAGATATATATCTATCACACTTGTAGCCTGTCGCAGAGCCACGCAACATGCCGAAAGCGTGAAGGCTGGCTCGGCCACAACATCGGATCCCCCCCACATCTGACCCAACTCTCCCTCTGTGCCATGCCCTGAAGACGGCCCCAACGAACAAGCACGCTCGGATCTTACTCGTTGTCCTTGACATCGATGATGGTGGACTTGAACTTGCGCGCCGAGATCTTGCGGTTGAACAGGATGTCCGCCTCGCGGTACGAGCGGTTCTTGAGCTCGGGCAAGCCGAAGTACGCGGAGACGAGGCACACGATAGCGGTACCGCCCCAGACATAGCCGCACTTGCCAGCCAGGTTGGCGCCCGTGGGGTTCAGCATGACGGATGCGACGTAGATCATGGGGATCTCGGCGACGTAGTACGCCGCGCGGCCGATGCCCGTGGACAGGGCGCGGAGGCGGACGGAGGAAGTCTCGGCAATGACGGTATAGGAGATGGGTCCCATGGCGCCGGCGAAGACGAACGATATGAGGATGCCCAGGATTGCCTGGGCGTAGTTGGTAGCGGTGTTCTGCGGAATGGAGGCGCAAATGCCGAGCAGCATGAGGAAGGTGATGTTGACGCCGGTGCCGAACAGGTAGATCTGGCGGCGCCCGAAGTACGCGGTCAACGGCCAGGAGAGCATGTTGGCAACAAGACCCAGGCACGAATTGATCAGGTTGAGCTGGAAGGACATTTCATCCGGAATTCCAGCCTCTATTCTCGCGAAATAAAGTGTTAGCGATGCCGTTGACATAACCTTAATCCGGAGCATTGGGACTGTGGGGTGGGCCAATCGGAGTTGCGGGGCACGACCCACATACCGCTTGGGTGGGAATCCGCAACCGGGAACTTAGAGAGATAACAGAGAGACAACGGGATCACGGTAATGAAGCGGAACCGGAGAATGGAGGGGGCCAGAGCGAAGGGAGAAGGCAAGAGTAAAGAGCAGAACAATGACTTACGCTGAAAGAAGAATGTAGCTTGGTTGGCGATCAAGTTGCCCGCAAAGTTCTGCGAGGCGTACATCAGGCAGATGATCGTGGTGCGTCGAAGGTCGGTGCCCTTGAACAGATCTGCCCATGTGGCCTCGCCGCCATGCTTCTTCTCAAGCTCTACCGTTCGCGAGATCATCGCAAGCTTCTGCTGGGCGGTTTCCGGGTTGCCATCACCCAGCCGGACAATGGACTTCAGCGCTTCTTCCTTGCGGCCTTTGCGGATGAGCCACCAAGGGCTTTCAGGCGCCAGGAACAGTAGAACCATCAGGGGGGCGGGGAATATCCACTGAAGTCCCAAAGGTATTCTCCATGCCCACTCGTCATTCCTCTGGTTGAACCCATATGTCACACCAGCCACAAGTATACCGCCGACCGACCAGCTGAGCTGACACGATGCTGTGACGGCGCCACGGAGCGAGATAGGAACTACTTCCGATGCGTAGCCCGGGGAGAGACCGATAAAGAACCCCCATGGGACGCCCTCGAGGGCTTGACCCACGGTGAGCAAAGCGAGCGAATTGGCCTGTTTTGAACGGTCAGTCTCACTCGGGAGAGGTCCCAGGTGGCAGCCAGCCGGTAGTCAAGTGGCAGTGGGGTCGCGTTGTCGAAGAATCGAAACTTACGAAAAATGAAATAAAAATGGTCGCATTCATCAAGATAAGGCCAAGAATAGTAGTCCATCGATACCCGAGCTTGTTATTGATCGAAGGAGCCAACAAAACGCCTACAAATGCGCCGCACTGGCCACTCTGAAAGAGCGCAGACTGCCATTTAGTCTCGATAACATATTTGCCGTCGACCAGGACGCCATAAGTCTCCTTAAAGATGGGAAGGGCAACGAAGTTTCCGTTGAGAAACATGTCGAACGACTCCATGACCTGACGTTACAGCAACACGAGAGTGTCAGTCTCACTTCTAACGTCTCAGTTCTCGTAGGTGGGTGGTGGAAAACAACAAAACTTACGATGGTGAAACACATGGTGAACGCCCAAAAGCAGGCTGCCGGGTGCTTCTTCGCGGACGCCCAGAGACCTTCGCCGTGCTCCGCCTCCTCACCAGCAAAAGCATCATTCATGAGTGCGTCGCTCTGAAGTACTTCGGTCTTGACCGCGTCAACATGCTCCGGCGAGTCGACTTTGTCGCCTTGGGGCATCTCGGCGATGCCTGCCGCGGCACGCTTCTCCTCGGTGTCCGACATCGTGCGCGAGATGGGCTGGAGGATGATGTTCTCCTCTGCGATTGTGGAATTGTGGTGTTTGAGGTGTGTTGTGGATAGGTGCCCAGCAAAGCTTGGAGGGAAGCCAAGCTGTGCAGCGATGTTGGGAGGAGCGCAACAACAATCCAAGCGAATTAGGCCAAGGAGAACCGGCGAAATTCCGAGCTATTTATGATGCGAAACAAATTGATTATGGTGCAGGCCTCAAGACCAAGCCCCTGCTTATGTTGCAGTGGTTGTGTAGTACTACATCCAGGCTAGAACATGCAAGAGCTGTGGCCACACAACCATGGTATTCTCAGATACCGACATGTGCTGATCTCTGCCTGACCTGAACCAAGTCGTGCATGAGACCAGACCGGGCAAGGCTGATGGCGGTCACTGGTACGACAATCGAGAGACCCATGCAAGGCGCTTCTGATCAGTTGGGAACCATATTGCGTGGACCAACAGCTCAAACGCAACGAGAAAGATTCCCAAGTCAAGGGCTATGAATGGTGCGCCAGTCTCTGTGCTATCTGTGATCCCTGTCACTCCCCGCGCCTCGATCCCCTGGCACGGCTGTGGGGAAGATGCGGGGAGAAAGCCTTGGTCAGATGCCCTTCCTTGAAGGAGAAGCTTGTTTGTTTTGGCAAGGTGTCGGCGAGTAGCAGGGCGGGGCTGCCCACTCAACGCAAAGTCCTTGGGGAAATCCTGGTCTAATCAGGGGCCGGCATGCTGGCCCATATCCTTGCCGGTTATGACCAACTTTTGCTCTTTCAGGTCACCTGTCTCGTTGGTCTACGAAGTTGTGCCACAAAGCTGGCACCACAACACCCAATGTGACGTTGCAGCGTCAAGCCGTCCACACAAGCCGTATTCAATTGTGGCCGCGCCGCCGGGGAATTCAACACAAGAAAGAGTTCACCGCGCACTACGATCTCTCTCTGGAATGCTGATCATCAGAGGCTCATATGATTCCCGAATTCAGGCCCCACAGCTTCTCCAAAGGCCTCCGGATTCTCGACCTGATTGGAGCGCTTGACTTCATGCAGTCCCAAACACGACAAAGGCCCCTGGTCTAATTCCTGGGGATCATCCTGGCACATGTCACATTAGCCTTGTCGATTACCCCGACTTCATCAAGCCGCGAGCAGGCCACTTGCGAGGATGGCTAACGGCGCGGGCACCGGGCAAAGCCTGAATACGCCGGGTGCTCGTGAGGGGATAGGCTCAGACACAGTCTGCTCATAATGTGAGCCCGCCCATGGCAAGCAGTTTCCCGTGTTCACAGGCTTGTCCAAGAGAGTAGTGGCTTCCCACAAGGATCTGAATAAACCTTGCGGTGTGCTTGATGAAGCTTCCCTAGGCGTACACAAGTCAAGCTGGCTGGCGGAATCCATACATTGGCGGTCTGGTCTTGACAACCAACAAGCTGGGGCCAGCCACTTCTTGCGGTGGCCAATCGATCTTCGATTGCTGCGCCGGCGACATCTCATCCCTCGAGCCTGCTTCAGTAGTTTGCTCGTGTGGAGCCTCTTGTTTGACCCCGACAAATGAATGACACGCCTGCATGTCTGCCTGCCCTGCCCAGCCATCCCGGGCGATCCTCGCCGAAGATTGCCGGTTGCTTGCACCAAAACGCGCCAAACGAGCAGCAGTTGTCAGGAGGCGCACAAAATGCCCGAGAGGCCAAGCCGAGTCAAGCTTCGGGCGAGAACTTGTCGCCAAGCTTGTGGCTTGCACGCACATGAAAAGGACTTAGCCTCGGCTTGTGAGAGAGCCACAATGATTGCTAAGGACAGGGGGTGTTGGAACTTAAGGACCAGGATTCCCCATCCTCCGGTGGAGTAGTATGCTGTCTAACATTCAGTATATGGTCATCTCCGCGAAGCGCGTCGTTTTGCCAATTTCCCGACCTCTTTGCTCGTGATGGATTTACATTGGTATCTACCTCCCTAAGTCTTGATACGCCAGCTTGCGGACGCTCTGTCGTGTTACAAGTGCATGTTCCCCCAATGATTCCTGAGGGCAACCTCAAAACCCAGCAGGACGGGTGAGATGTAGGCATCGATCGTTGGAGACTGATCAGACCAGGACATTTCAGTTGGCGCTTCCGTGGCTCAGCACGGCCTCCTAACTTCGCAAAAAGAAAAATTACGAAGCAGAAAAGGCAAAAAGAAACTCCGAATCGGGGAATCGAACCCCGGGCTTGACGGGCCATTTCTCTACACGAATGCGGAGGAAGTGAGAGCGTCAAATGTTAGCCACTACACCAATTCGGACGTGCTGACATAATCAATTGGTGATGATTTCGCTCCCGTATCAGTCTATATATACCATTACAACCTCTGCTTAACGTGCCCACGGTGCGGTGTGATTCACGTGACTCCCCAGCTCACCGGTCCGGTCATAATGAGCTTGAGCACTGGACTTCAGGCGGCGTGGAACATGACAACACTTGGAAATGTTTTGAACTCAGCATTTCCTGGAACGGGGTGGTGCTGTCATGATCAGGGCAACAACGTTGGCGACGAAAACAAAGTCAATTTGCCGAGGTCACCGTAGCCGAGGTCACCGTAGCTGACGAACTCCCCTTCCAATATGCCAACTAGTGTCAAACGAGTTTACAGACACGACGAGTACTTGATGGCTAGGCGGTACCGAGGGCTGATCTTCATCCCAAGAACCCGGGGCATCTCCTAGAGGCTCTGCAACGCGGCAGAGTCTTGTTATGTGGGCACAGCGTCGCATGTGGAAGTTAGATAGCATCACGTCGGACGAGGAGAAGGATACACACAGGCATTATGAGCGCAGTTTTAAACGCAACAGGATATCTGATGGCTAGGTCTAAAAACAAACTGAAACACAACTCTACGCTTATCAGCAATTACAAGACGAGATTATCGCCCAAACCTCCCCACAAGCTCTCGCCTTCTCTCCCTCCTCAACCTCTGCACCTGCCTCCTCTTCTCCTCGGCCATCTGCCCGATCCACGCGGGGAAAGTGGTCCCCCAGACCCCATCCGAGTTGCTGATGTCCACGTACCCGACATAATGGTTCCTCGGCATCTTGTCCTTGACCGTGCGGGACAGCTCGGCGACGAACGCGTCGTCGTCGATCTCGACAGAGTGGGGAGGCACGTAGATGTAGAACACCGGCCAGGGGGTCTGGTTCTGGCTGCCCGGGTAGGACTGCCAGAGGCGGGTGATGAGGTTGGTGAGCGTGGGGAAAGGGTTCGGCTGGTGGGCGGAGGGTGTCGAGGCGTCGTTGGTGCCGGGGTGTTGGTCCGTGGTGACTTCTGTCGTGGGCGCAGGGGCGAACTGAGTCGGTATGGATTCTCAGTTTTTATGCCGAGTAAAGTGCCAGATGGAGAAACCAAGACTTACCTGCAGCACACACAGTATCTTCCTCCGCACATTCTCCCGGTCTGTGAGGAAGAACAGGCACCCCAGCGCACCGTCGTCCTCCTGACCGTCATCCCCATATCCCTCCCCACCATCAAAGAAGAAGAAGTTCGGCCGGTGTTCCTCCTCAGTCTCGTACAGCCAGTCCTCAACTCGCCACTCGCCGGGCCGGTCGATGTTGGTGCCCGAGTCCTGGAGGTAGTACCGGTCCAGGCTGCCGACGAAGCGCTCGGCCTCGCCGTACGACCAGAAGTCGTGGTGGGTCAGAGGCTGCGGCTGCTGTTGGGGCTGGCCGTTGAGGAGCCCTTGCATCCCGTACGACCGGTGGCGCAGCTTGTGGATGGGCGTCGGGGAGCGCGAGGTGCGCAGGATGTCGAAGAAGCTGGTGCGGCGGTGCTGCGAGATTGTGTCGTTGGTGAAGCGGACGGTGTTTTGCAGTTTCTGTTGATGTTAGTCTTTAATCACTCAAGTACTATATGGTTGAAAGAAAGTAGCGGGAAGCGACATGCCTTGGCCAGAACATCCTCTGCAATCTTCCACAGGCACTCCCTGTCAGCGTTGGCCGTCTGCAGCGGCGTGAAGAACCGGTTGAGGTACTCGTCCAGGACCTCTACAGGCGACTCGTAGAGGTACTCCATGATGGTCTCGACGACGAGCGGTTCGGCCAGGCGAGCCCGCAGAGGCGCGTTGGCCTTTCTTGAGTTCTGCAGCCTCATTTCGCCAGCCGCATTGTCAACACCACCGGCATCAGGCTGACCATCCTCGCGACTCTTCTCACCATATACAGCATCCCCGCCAACTGCATGTCCGCTCCGACGAGGTGCAGCTCCAGCGCCAACCGCGTCATCGGGGTCCTCCTCGACCAGTGCAAACCCGGCAGCGACCAGATCCGAGGCGAGCGGGCCCTCGAACCACCGCGACGAACCAAAGACGTCAGCCTCGAGTGCCGCCCAGATGAGCTCGTCCGAACACCGGGTCCCGCGGATGCTATCGAGCCGCTGCCTCAGGGCCGTCTTGATCCTGCCCACGGCGCGTTGGGCGGCCGCGCGGACGCCGTCAGGAGAGAGTCTGCCGCCGCTTCCCTTGGTCGTGAGATTCATCTGCGGGCCCAGGGTCGCGTGGCCGTCGTGTTGTGTCTGCTCGCCGCCATCGCTCTGAATTCTCGAGCCGTTCTGCTCAGCATCTGCGCTGGCCGGTGGGTATCCCGTCGTCGTCGACGACGACAACGACGACGCGGAGTACCCATTGCGACCGGCCACCATCGACGACGCACGCAGCAGCTCCTCAGCAAACGTCGCCGTCCAGCGCACGCGGCCGAAGAAGCGCGTGCTCTCGGTGTCGATTGTCTCGTCGCGCGCCGTGCTGTTGAGCACGTTCCACGTCTGCAGCGCGGCCTCGAGATCAGACCAGCCGGCGCCCGCGTCATCGCTTCCCGGGAGGACAATGTCGAAGCTCAGCGGCTGGCCCTCGCGGGTGAGCAGCGGGATATCGCGGAGCTGTTGGCGGCGTCGGCCGCCAAGGTGGTGGTGGCCATTATTATGCGTGGACGAGGAAGCATCTTGGCTATTGGTGCTCTGCATGCTGTCCCGCTTGCCGTGGTCGCCGCGAGCAGTCGTTCCAGCCTGCCAGTACGCGCGACTGCGGCTGTGGTGATCGTGGCCGGCACCGGTCTCGAGGAACCCCTGGGCACGCAGCTCAAAGATCTCGCCGACAAGACTCCACGCGTGGTGCACAAGCACGCTCCAGAATGTCTCAGAGTTGTCGACGTGGGCTCGCGAGCAGGGCATCCGCTTGACCACAAAGTCGTCCTTGGGCGGCTGCTGCTGCCGCTGCTGCTCGTGCGTCTGTTCTTGCTGCCCAGCTACCATACCGCCAGCATCATTATCCACGCCCCCTGCCAGGTTTCTCGTCTGGGCTGCCATGGCCGCATCCGCGACCGCAGCCTGCTCCCGCTCATGCACCGCCGCCTGCCGCAGCGACTTGAGGGGTGCGTGCTCGACAATCTGCGCCAGCGGCCGCGTGCCCACGATGAACGCCTGCCCGCCGGGCTTGCAGGAGTCGATCATGCCGCGCACGATGCGTTCTGCCAACGGTTCGCCAATGGCAGCCTGGGCGTCGTCCACGACGATGAGCCGGGGCTGGCTCTTGGCCATGATATTGCCGCCGGTAGCAAGATCGGTGCTGCCAGGCCGAGCCGGCAAAGCGGGCTTCTCGTGGTGCCGCAGCCTCATGAAGCGGTACGCCAGGTCAAACAGGTCGTCATCCCCACCGCAAGACGCCGCCATCTGCAGCTGCGTCCACTTGACCTGCCTCGCCCTCGTCCCCTGGGGTGTTCCATCACCCGTGTCGAGCATGTCCAGCAGGAACTTCCTGCCCCGGAACAGCGGGTTGAGACACGACTCGGCGCGCAGCAGCCGGTTGTTCGGGATATCTGGGATTCCGAGGACCGGTCTGCCCGCGCCGATCCCGGATCGCTCCAGGCACGAAAGGTCCTGGTAGAGAGACCATGTATCCCGCGAGGCATGCGCGCCGCGGTTGACCTCGAGGATTCTGGGCCGGGCGCGGGTGATCGTGTTGTGTTGTTGTTGCTGCCCTTGGGAGTTTGTGGATGACGACGACGACGGCGCGAGGTTCGGAGACACAAAGTACATCCCGCTACCGCCGCCACCGTCACTCGAGGAAGACTCGAGGATCTTGTCCCGCATGAGGCGCGTCTTGCCGCTGCCAGCCACGTCGAGGAGGAGTGTCACGGTCGGGGGGCTGTTGGTAGGAGTGATCTTGTCGGGGATCGGGGGTGGGTTCGCAGCGGCATTGTTGTCCGTGTTGGGGTTGTGCGGCGTGTAGCTGCTGCCGAGGAGGGCGGACAGGTCTGGGATCTGTGCGCAGGAACGCCGCATCGCCGTGCGGATGAGATGCTGCTTGGACGCGAGGTATTCCTGGAGGCCATGGTATAGGGGCAGCCCTCTTGTGGCGGATGGCGCGTTGTTGGACGACCGGTCGAACTTGACGGGGATGCGTGTGCGCCAGCCGGATTCTGCGATTCACAAAGAGATGGTTAGCAGACTTATACGGTACAGCAAAAAGAGTCAACCACTCACCAGGTCCAAACTTGGCGACCATCTCGCTTTTCATCACTCTCAGCTGGAACTTGACCTGCCTCAGAAAAAAGTCGTACGGACTCGTCCCCGGCTCGTCCAGTCTGCGAGTAACCATATTCAGCAACGACTCCAGACTGACATCACCAGGCGGCTCCGCACCCGCGTCGCTCCCCTCGCGTGCCGACGGGCCCCTAGGCACACCCCGCCCGCTCTTCCTACCCTCGACCGCCGCAACGAGGTATGCCTCGAGATCGACGGGCTCGCTGCTGGGCGGGCCGTTGGTCGCGGCCAGTGCGGCGTAGATGGTGAGCAGGTGGCCCGGGCTGGTGCCGAAGAGCTCCCACAGCTGGTGCGAGTAGGTCGAGGACGAGGAGCCGACGAGCGCGTAGGCGAGGTAGAAGAGCCGGTCGTGGAGAAGTTGCGGGAGGATATCGTCCATGCCGTTGTCGCTGTCGGGGTCCTCGTGGGGCAGCGCGGCGCAGAGTCGCGAGACCGAGGCGACCGAGGCGTCGTCCGGGTATGCGGGGACGCCCATGATCTCGCGGAATGGCTCTGTAAAGGTGTCAGCATTGCAGTAACCGAGTAGTCGGATTTGCTATAAAAAAAAAAGAACAAGGACTCACCTTTCTCCCAGTTCTTCGCCTCCAGCCGATCTCGATACTTGCCGAGGAAGTACTCCAGACACAGCCTGTCCCAGTCGCTCTTGGGCTTTAGCGGCGACACGACAGCCTCCGAGACAAGCGGCATGGCCAGCGGCGTGAGCGGCCACTGCGTGTTGACCTTGTTCTCGCGTTGTCCGCCACCAGCACCACCAGCACCGTCATGCAGCTCTGGCTCAGACAACGCGCTCACGTTGTCGTCGTCCGCGGCCGCCGCCAGGGGCCGGACATCTGGATTCGCGACAAACATCTGTGGACTGTGCAGTCTTTGGTCGATCGTGTATGGTTCCGTGCGTGAGCGCGGGGGCTGCTGCTCCTGCTTCTGTTGCCTGCGCGCAGCCTCCCACTCGTCCCGCTGCTGGTCGAGCGAGTGGTACGGCGCGGACGGCTGGTGGAAGTCGTGCTGCTGCGGCTGCTGGGCGGGTTGACCAGCAAGGCCTTGGTCTCCCTCAGACTGCCAGTTCCCCATGGGGTCGAACTCGGCCGCGTAGTCTGTCGACCGCCGCATGTCGCGCTGCGGGATGTCGGGCGTCGAAGACTGCGTATACATGCTCTGCGGCGTGTACGGGCTGTTGGCCTTTGCGGCACCACCACCACCAGCCGGGGCAGTACCAGTGTTGGTGAGATGGTTGTAGCGCTGGTGGGCGTAGAACTGCTGTGGGAACTGCGGGATCTGGCCGGGGCTCTTTGTCCTCCCGTTGAGGGAGTTGCTGCTGCTGTCGGTGCTGTTGATCGCCGCAGCCGCACCAGAGCTGTTCTTATTACCAGTGCCGGCATGGCTGTTGTTGATGGGCAGATCCTGGGCACTCGAGCCCCTGCTGAGAGGCTCCTTGGGCGGCAGGCTGGGCGGCCTGATCTGGTCGTGGATCGGGTTCTGGAGAGGACTCTGGCTCTGCTCACGCAACAGCGGGTGCTGGGCAAGTGGGTTCATCTCCGAAGGTGTCGGTGGTTGCGACGACGACGCCCTTCTGGCCCTCGCCGCAGTCCCATCGTCGTCAAACTCGGGATCGTCAATCGACATACTGAACCTTCCACCCTGAGCCTGACCATCTCCCATCGAGTCCCGCCGTGAACCTGCCTGCTGACTCAACCCCGCGCCCCTCGCGAGCTGCGGCACCGGCGGTGGCAGAGGCGGCCTCACCACTGTTCCTCCGCCCATTCCTCCCACGCCGCCGCTGCCACCGCCGGGATTCCCCGTAGCAACCTGCTGCTGGACCATCTGCATCTGCGCGCGCGCCGGCTGGTGCAGGTGCTGCTGGAGCTGGAGCTGCTGCTGCGAGAGCCACGCCTGCTTCTGCATCTGCTGCCGCAGGACAGACTTGGCCAGTGGGTTCGCCTGTGTGAAGGCACTGCTGGAGAGGCCGCTGCCGTTGCTACTCCTCTCATTGGGTCCGTTCATGCCTGACGTCGGTGTGGTGGATGCCGGAGGTGTGGGCGGTCCCAGCGGTGAGGCTTGGGCTATCGGAGATACTGGGCTGATCGGATCAAGCGGTGGCTTCTCGATGCTTGAGCGCCGCTCGTGTGATGGGTGTTGGGGTGTTGGTGACACGGGTGTGGTGTTGTAGTTCTGTACTGCAGTGTTGTTCGAGTTGACCTGGGCGCCGGGGAAGGGCTCGGCGGGCGAGACGTCGTAGTAGTCATACTCATCCTCCTGGATCTGGTTCAACGGGGAGGTGATGACGCCTACCGACTGGCGACGTTGGACGCCGGCGTGGCTGTTTGCCGGGGTATTGTTGGTATTGCCGTTGAGGCCGTTGCCGTTGCCGCCGTTGTTTTGATTCCTCCCATGGGGACCCCCTTGGCTGCTGCTAATAACAGTGCTGTTGCCATAGCCAGCACTGGGTGTCCTGTTCAGCGACCTGCCATCTCCAGAGCCTCCCCCAGCAATGGTCGCGGCCGCTGCAGCTGCAGCAGCAGTGTACGCCGTGCCGCCGGGGTAATAAAACGAGTTGGGATCATAATAGCCGTGGTGGTTATCATAGACGTACGGGTAGTCTTGGTCCCCGACCCCGAGAATCTCCGCTCCGCTGTCGCCTTCCTCGTCACTGACGTCCAGCTTGCTTCGCCCGTTTCCCTGGCTATCGGCTTTGGCCGGGTTGTTGTTGCTGCTGCCGCTGCTGCTGTTGTTCTTGTCCTGCTGTTCCTGTCCGGAGCTGCGGCGCCGCCGGTGGTGCCAGCTCCCGCCGCTGCCACTGCCGAACCACGAGAAGCGCTTCGACTTTGAGGCCGAGCGCGGCGTCGCAGCGCTCTGGCTATTGTTGCTGGCGCGGCTGTCCACCCGGTCAATGTTGCTGCTGCTGTTGCTGAGGCTGTGGTCGTTGTTGTTGTTGACGTAAACGTCCGCATTCTGGGTGATTGCAGAGCCAACAGCGCCACCGTTCATGTGCTGCTGCGAATGCGACTGACGCAAGTGCAAGTCATCACCTGACATGGACCGCGGGCTGGCCATGGCATGATTGTGGTTGCCATAGTCGTACGGGTTGTTCTGGTGGCCCATGCCGTCTGTATAGCCATAGTGCTGCTGGTACTGCACAGGCGAGACAGCACTGCCATTGCTGATGCCCGACACCTGGGGCTTTTGCAGCACCGACGGCTGGCGGCTGGTATTCCTGTTCCACATGCCGAGCTGAAGGGATTGTCCCTGGTGAGCGGGCAGGAAGAGAGGATCGCTGCTTCGAGGAGCTCGCACGGGCAGAACGAGCAGGCCAAGAATCCGGGTTCTGGAGCGACTAGCTCCTCGTCGTGATATCAGAAGTGGCTTGAAAGTAAGGATGACCTGGAAGTGGCTGGAAGGCGGAATATCAGATGGGGGAGGCACCCGCAGATAGTCAATACCTCAGCCACATCGCACGCATAGCTCTAGAGTCCGGGGGACCGACCAGGCCCGGGCTAATTAGAAACAATGGGCCAGGGGGTTGGGCCGGTAAAGACGGCGGCCGTTGTATGCTCGCCCCATGTGCGTGGCGTGGGCCTGGGCCCTGCACACGCAACATCGATCGACATCATGAGTCCTCTCCGCCTGGCTTGGCTGCACGAGTTTACAATAAACAGCGGCCCTGCTACCTTCCGCCTGTCTTCCCCCGCAGCAGCTTGAATTGGCCACTGAGGCAGCCTGCAGCGATAGGACCCCAGCAAGCAGGTTTTGGAGCAGCGCTATCAAGCTCCTTGCGGGGGACCGGCGGCAGCTCGAGAGCTACAGTGGAACCCAGAGCCCCGCGGGTATTGGTCGCCTCCCTTGGGCTGCCTCCCACCAATGCAGCTCCCGGAAGCCGGCTGCCGGCGGCGAAAACTCTCTAGGGGTGGTTGGAAAATACCAGAGGACCCTGAAGTCAGCGGGCAGCTCAATCCATGTGCTGTTGTGGAGACTGGGGCCGTGGTAGGCAAGGATAGCCGGCGGGCCGGTGACGTCGTCCGGGCCATTTCTTCCATTAGGCGACAGGGATGGTGGGAGCCACACAAGATGTTGACAGTGGACTGCTATTCGGATAGTGGGAAGCTCCTCCATTAGCAGATATCAGTATTGTGCCCTCCAGCATTCATTATTGCTGATGCGAATTGACCATTGTGCCTGAAATATGGCATCACACGCATGTCGGCTCCTAGGCCAAGTCTGGACGGGTTCCCCCGCATCGGAGGCATTACGTCGTCAATCGTCAGCCACAAAGGGCGTCGATCTCATTGAATCATGCGCTAGCTTAGTATGCACTAGCACAAATCCGACAGGGTTTAGGCCATTGACGTCGCCCAGTTGCTGACGGGTATCTCTAACGCCTCGAACGTTCGATCATCAGCAGCCCGATCTGGCAGGCTGAAAGCATCCAATGTGGTGGATAGCAGGCAGCGACTGCCTGCGATGGCCATGTCAGAGCCGTTGCTTTGTGATGCACTCCGCCTCGGGGATATCAAGCGTAAACAGGCATGGATCTCATTCATTGAGAGGCAGAGCCTCGGTTGTAGGGGTACATTGATAAGATGGGGAGGCTCTGAAGATGTCAATATACAGGCGGAAATGTATGATCTGAACCTCAACACCCCAAGCAACATGCGCGAACAGTTTACCTGCAGCACGTACAACATTTTTCTGCGTCATCTGCACAAGACCAGGGCCACGACAGGTCTAGATGGTATAATGCTCCTTTCTCGACGCACTCTTCTCTATACTCTAGTCTACAACACGTGATACGCAAGTCATATCTACGCTTACGATATTCGAGCCTCCTGCCTCGTCCACTATACTTAACCAAATCGAAGACTGTTATCCCCGAGGGACTATCAGGCCACTCTATTTGCACATCCCCGTGGTCAATTTGCCGCCTCCTCCATCACAAGTCCTCCCGCCCGAGCTTGAACCCGCCGTGACACCCCGTCTGGAACAAGCCCTTAGGGTCATACTTCCTGCTGACGTCCCTCAGGAACTTGAGGTTCTCCTCGCCGTACCCCTCGAGCGGCTTCTGCCCGGCATTCGCGTAGTTGGTAAACTTGTAGCGGTGCCAGGTGCCCAGGCGCCGCGCGGCATCCTCAATCTCCTGGAGCGTGCTGTCCATTACGCTCCTGACCAGCTCGTCGTGCCTGGCATCCTTCCAGTTGATGCAGAGCTCCAGGACGACCAGGGGTTCCTTGCAAGCCTCGAGGCCCAGCACGTTCTTGTCCCCCTTGTTGTACCACAATGGGTTCAGCGTCTGGAAGACCATGCAGAAGGCCGTCCCGCCGGGCTTGACGCCCCTCAGCTCCTTCTTGCGCCGCTGGAAGATGTCGAGCGCGGCCTGCATCGTGGGCAGGTCCAGCCGGAAGCCCGTCACGTTGTACATGTTGCGCTGCTCGAGGATTGACAGGGTGCCCAGGTCCTCGACGGCCTGCAGGTGCGACGCGGCGACCTGGTTGTTGACCAGGCGGCACCGCAGCGCGTGGAAGGGCGACTTGCGCCAGTGCTCGGGCCAGACCTTGCTCCCGATCTCGCTGCCGGGGGACCCGTCCTTCAGGGTGTACGAGAGGTGCATGGACCAGACCGACAGGCCCGCCGCGTCGGGCAGGTACACGAAGGACACGATCGGGGTGGACACGTTGGGGTCGAAGCCCGCGGGCGTCGAGGCCTGCATGCCGTAGTCGTAGTACGCCTGGAGCATCGACCTGTTGAGGGGGCCAAAGCTCGGGATGATGGAGTAGCCCGCCCAGACCGGCCCGCCGGGGAAGCAGTGCAGGGTGAAGGAGGCGACAACGCCAAAGTTGTTGAGCCCGCCCTTGAGCGCGCGCCAGAGGTCTGGGTTCTCCGTGGCCGAGGCGGTCGCGATGGTGCCGTCGGCCAGGACGAGCGTGTACGAGATGACGTTGGAGCACATGAAGCCGTAGTGGCCCGAGTAGAAAGAGGTGCCGCCTAGCAGCAGCAGCAGCATCATCGTATGGTCAGTATGGGGGCCAGTCATATCAGACGAGCAAAAGAATACTCACCACCGAGCGTTGATCCTCCAATGCCAACAGGAGACGACCGTCCACCCACAACAGCCAGCCCTTGCTCATCCAGTACCTTGTAGATCTCCTTCCACAAACAACCGCCGCCCACAACTACCGACTTTTTGTCCTCGGAGATCTCGATGCTCTTGAACAGCGACAGATCCAGCAGCACGCCGTCCTTGACCCCCGCGACGCCTATGGTCGGGTTCGCCCCGCTGCAGCGGATCGCAAACAGGCCCTCGTCGGTGGCGGGCTTGGCCGCGCGAAGAGCGTGCTCCTTGGCGATGTGCTTGACGGCAGCGCTTAGCTCGTCGATGGTGGCGGCGCGGACGACGCACGCGGGCTCGATGTCCCGGTTCCGGGTGTTGAAGTGCATCTCCATGGCCGCCAGAAACGCCTCGGGGTCGTCCTTGGGCACGATCACGCGTCCCGGCGGGAGGGCGGCGGCCAAAGCCTGGATGTACCCGGCCGGAGGGGGCAGAGCGGCGAGCCGCTTGCGGGCCGCGGCGGCCACGGCAAGCTTGTCGGCAGCGGCGGCGGCGGCGCGGGAGCTGCTGCCGGGAAGAGCGCCCCATAGAAAGACTGTTAGGAGCAGGACGGCGCCGGTGGCGACAGCCGCGAGCAAGTAGTGCCAGGTCTCCATCGTGGCGGACGGCGATGGTGTTGAGCAACCAGGTGAAAAGAACTGAGGGGTCACTCGTCCGTGGAGCGAGGCGAATGACGGCGATCGACCTGAGACAAGAAACACACCCTCGCTGCACGACAATGCAAAAAACTTGTCAACGACGACGTCAGGGTCTCACCGAGAGAAGACGGCACTTGATTGAACACAGGCTCGTCCAACCATCAGCTCCCGGTTCCTCCTTAAGTAGCCAGGCGAGGCATAGCTCCCTGTTGGCGGGTCCGATTTTGTCAGGGGTCTGATTCTGTCAGCGCTACTGGTAACGCCCCATAAAGTCCGAGAAAGTGCGAGGCTCAAATGTAAGGGATTGGAGGACTGCCTGGCTGCGGTGCCTGGAACCAATCGGTCAGCAACGGAAACGGCCCCTGTTTGCTTTCGTTGGCAGCTCGGACGTCTCGCCCAATGCACTGCATAATATACACTGATGACTATCCCAAGGGAATGCGGGACAACACTGTAGAGTGCAGCCTGCTCCCGACACGCCTCACTTTGATGCAGACCCTTTTCAAGTCTTGCTCGGGGTATGCCAGAAGCTCGCCGTTCTTTCGACCAGGTCCAGCGGGGACTAAATGAGTCCGGCTGAGGTCGAGTTCGGGCAAGCTGCAAGCACTATCCCCCTGAAGTTTGCTATGCAGATTTGTCTGGACCCCACACCGGCAAGGCGCAGGTCCGCGTGAGACCATCTTCTGGCCAGAACCCCGCCGTGCCAAACGAGCTGAGCAAACATCCCTGCATGTCCAGAGTGGTTCGACACGGTTAGCACCACAGCCGGCCGACATATCAGGGAATTGCCAGTGATTAATATGTGGCCCTCCATATACAATCTGTGGCCAGGGCATTATTCTATTCTTCTACAACGCGCACTGCTAGTAATGATGGTCAACGGCATGAGCTCGAACCACGACTCTCAAGCATCGTGCTTCGCCATGTCAATCTCGAGCAGCGAGCCCGGCCAGATGCTCCCGTCGGGCTTCTCAAACAGAAAGTCCTTGACCAGCTTGAAACCCTGCCTTTCGTAGTATCTGGAAGAGAGGAAAAAATGTCAGTCCATCCCAGTTTTCTCTCGAAAGGATAAATGGCTGAAGAATAAAAAAGAAAAAGACTTACTGCACCAACCGCCGCTCGTTGCCGGTCCAGCAATCCACATACATCCACGCGACGCCGTGCTTCTTGGCGATGCGCAGCGTCTCGCGCAGCAGCGCCTGACCCGCGCCCTTCCTCGCGGCGTGCCCGGCGCGGAAGTCCGAGACGAGCGCCCAGACGTAGATGTAGCTGCCCTCGCGCGCGTTGATGGCCTCGGCGCTGGGCCGGAAGTCTGGGTGCGCGGCGAGGTGCGCGGGGACAAAGTCCTGGTACGCCAGCACGGCGACGGGCCGGCTGCTCGTCTGTTGCTGCTCTTCTTCCCCCGCGACCTTCGACTCGGCTATGAGGACCCGCGCGTGGAGCAGGCCCTCGCCGTTGTCGCCTTCGCCGCGGCTCGCGCCGTACAGCTCGTCTGGATGCGCGGCCTGGTGCGCCGTGTGCACGACCGACGACTTGACGACGGTCGACATCTCCTGGGTCGAGGAGCCGCCGCGGCGCTTGCTGAAGAGCTCCGGGCCCCACTGGTCGGCGCTGCCAATGGTCGGCAGGTACTCGATGGCCGAGTCGAAGGCCCCGAGGATGAAGTCGCCGTCATCGAGGGTGGCGTCACGGATAGTGATGGTGTTGGACATGGCGTCTGTCGTGGTGAGAAGCGCTGGTATGGTATGTCCCTCCTCGTGTTGTCTTTATGTAATGTGTGCGTGTGCGTGTCTAGACCAGGAGACGAGATTGGCCTTGAGCTCGAGACGCTACGAGACTGTGTCTTTATGCGGAGGCTTGTCGTGACTTGAATGCTGCTGCCTGGTGTCGCCACGCTGTATATGACGTATACTCGTCCGCAGACGTCTCAAGGACAAAGACACGTCGTGCAAAGACAGGGCAGAGGCGCCGTGAAGAGTATGATTCAGACCCCGCGGACCTCGGAGCAGGTGGTGGCATTTTCGCCCCCGCTCCCCGGCGTCCAGCTCCGAACGGAGTAAACCTGTCCAATCGGGTTTTCTTGGTGGCCGGACAATGTCTGGCCTGCCAAGCCCAAAACCAGACGATAGCCTATACTCCGTGGGCAGGCTGCGGACACGGGCAGGGGACTCCCACCATGACCCATCACTCGCAATAATGCACCATCTCCAAGCTCATCTGGGACAGCCTTGTGTGAGAATAAAAATAGTGCAATAAGCTCCAACTGTCCTTTTCGATTCGGTAGCCTTTGACGTCGGCAGGGGTGTCCCCTGCAGCCTCCCTCTGTGAGCCTCTGTGAGGGTGTTTGTCCTCACGGCACCGTCGCTGGCATGCATGCATGGCCCTCCAAATGAATGTTGGTCGTGGCACGATCCGTCTGTGTTTTCCCAGCATTGCAAAGATTGCCAACGTGTGACAGCCATGGTGCGACGGAGCCCGTCCCTTATCAAAGGCATGCCCAACCAGTGCGTGCTAGAGTTACCCATCCATCAGCCTCAAACAGGGGTCATTGGAGTGGTTGCCAGCTGCATGCAGCTTTCCAGCTTTCAGCTACCTCCCGCGACGCCCTATGAGCAGCAGCACCGCAATAGCACCATGCTGCGAGGCAAATAGTGCGCCTGCACGTGGCCGAGATACACTGCGGCCCTCCCAATGGCTTCTCGATGGGCTGGCAACGCCCCTTGCATTCCGCTCCGGCCATTGCGAGCTGGCGAACTGTATCCCGGCCCTCGTCCAACCGCTGAGCGCAGGCACGCGTGTAAAGTGCCAACCAACGGGGCACTAGCGGTATGCCGTGTTGCACAAGGTTTGCACGCTCCGCGCAGCAAACAAGTAGCCGCTAAATGGCAGGACGGCGCCAAGCTGCTGAGATGGCACGGGACGGGACCGTCAGCACACGGGCACGCCGGTCAGCGCCGATAGGCGGCTGACTTGGTGCTTGCGATTACGTGAGCCGGGTGCTGATGCGAGAGATACAAAGCTATGCCGTGTCCCGCGCAACTTCTCTGGCAGCAGCAGATATTGGCCCGGTCGCGTCTTGTGGTTGAATATTTTCCAAAGTACGTACATGGGTGGGAGGATGTTTTTGCCGGCCAACTTCATCGAGCACGTGCCTGTGCTGTGCCAGATTGCCATACTCGGCACGGTTGCACGGCAGTTGATACTAGACGGCTACGTCTGCATCTTTGCCGGTCTCAGGCAATCTCGACGACATTTGCAGCACATCAAGTCTCTATACTACAAGGCGGCCAAGACGAATACCCAGACCCAAAAATTCGAGCACAGCATCGGCAACCAAAACCACTCCGATGATGCCCATTCAGACCACGCAGAATCAACGCCTCTAATCGCTCCCGCATTCACCGTCTTCCCCAGGCTCCCGGCCGAGATCCGCGACCTGATCTGGTCCTTCGCCCTCGAGCAGACCCCAGAACGCCTGTTCCACGTCGAGCGCCTGCGCCCGGCGTCACGGGACCCAGAAATCGCCAAATATCGCTTCTACCAGCGCCTGCACCCAGACACGCTCGACCCCATCGCGGTGGTCAACACGCACGACGACTACTCATGGCCGCCGCCGCCGCTACCGCCCAGCCCGCGATGGCATCACCACTCCCGCGCGGCGAGCCTCATCGGTGCGACGTGCCACGAGGCCCGTGCGGTGCTCCTCCGGAGCCGCCGCCAATATGGCACCGGCGGTGCGGCCCCGCCAGCGACGGCGACATTGACGGCTTCTTTCAACCCGGCACGGGATATCCTGTACATCGACTCGGCATGCCTGGGCCGGCTGCCCAGCGCGCAGGCCGCGCGGAACCGCATCAGGGCGTTGACGGTCCCGGCGCTAGCAAGAGCGGTAGAGGTCCTGGGCGTCGAACTGCACAGTATCGCGCCATCACGAGCACCCGAGCCGAGGATCCTATCACAGTCGGTGGCAGCAGAGTTGGAAAGGAGTTGTCGAACTGGCACTGCACACAGTCGCGGCGCTGGAGCAGGGTCGGCAATGGTCGATGATGAGGAAGATATGCAGCGGGTAGTGCTCGAGGCTTTGTGCGAAGGGTTCCCGAGGCTGAGGAAATTGGTCGTGATCACTTCGCGGCAGTGTTTGCCGCAGAACAGAGGGCTTGCGAGATTTTTACTGCCGCCAGGCCAACATTCTTCATCGGGCTCTCACATGCAGATGATGAGCCTTGGGCAGAGGAGGAACTCGTCAAGGCAGGGGAACCACACTACTGGCGACAAAAGAAAACCGACCCACGACAACAACAAGACCACTGGCATCAACCCTCAAGCATCCTCAGCTTCGACGCCTGCCTGGAGAGACGCAATCGAATCGCCCCTTCGAGCATCTCTTTTTGGCCTGGCCACTGCCCTCGACACCCTTCTCGGGGTCGGCGCTGGCGAAGGTAGCGACGAGCACGGCAGGATGCTTCACATGCACGAAATCACGGCGGAGCAGGAATGCTGCAAGACGCTCGCCGCGTGTCTCGTGTCGCCCTCGGATCTCGACATTCCGCCCTCGACGGCCCGCGCGGACACTCGCCACAGCCCAGACAGCCACATGACGGTCGGGTTACACGGGGAGCAGCAGCAGGATTACAAGGACGCAGGAATCGAATCGGTCCGTGCTGTCCTCGCGGCGCTCGCAATAGAGGGCAAGATACAAGAGGTGCCCGTAGTGGAGAGGCAGGTCCTCGTCCGGGCAGGCGGGTGTACGGGCCCGTGGACGTACCGCGCACGGATATCGCGCGGGAGCTGTAGCAACGACGAGTGGTACTGGAGCCGGCGGGGAATGGCGCCGCCAGTGTGGAAAGTGAGGGACGAGGTGGCCGCGAAGCTGGACTTTGCTTAGACAAATATTGAATCTGGCAGAGATCTCGCGAGTTCCCTTTCACTGCGCCATGTTGATAAATCCAGACGCTTCACTTCTAGATTAGCCGCCTAATAGAATCATGATAGACTTCCGCTCACGACGTCGCCGAGTGCCGCGAGGTCTACATCTGAATCATCGTCGCTGTCGTCGTCGCTGTCCTGCTCTTGCCCCTTGTCTCCTGCATCGCTGTCCTCCGCGTCGTCTTCCATCTGCTGTAAATCGACCACCACTATATATTACATATGTCAGCTTTCTCTGGCTTCAACACGACCAGGCCCGGAAGGGGAATTCCACGTATCCTCGGGACACCAAGCTGCAAAACAGGCATGCGTGAAGAACTTCATGGGAGAATGACTTACTGACATCCCCGCTCCCCAACCGATCAAGCTGAAACCCCGCGGCAAGCGAGCTGTCCGCGTCAAACACGCACCGGCCATACTGCACGCCGATATCCGCGTCTTTCAGGAGCAGGCAGATCTCGCGGAAGTGCTCGTGGTGGCGATCCTGGACCTTCTCGTCGCTATCGTCGTCATCATCCGCCGGGCCCTCTCCCTGCTCTTCTTGGCCCGGAGCCGTGTGCTTGCGGCGGCCGTCAAAGATGAGCACGGCGTTCTGGTGCTGGTGCCAAAAGCTGCCTGCCGCCTCGGAGGCTGTGGACTTGCCGGCGAGGGCCGCTGAGAGCTTTCCAGGTTCCGAGGCCGTGGTAGCCAGTCGCGTGAAGAGGCTCGCCGAGAGCAGGCTTGCCTTGCCGGGGCCGGTGTAGATGGAGATGTTTGGCGGGAGGGTTGGTTGGGTGTTCCCGGCGGCCACCGGCTGCGGGATGGGTTCAGCCATGGGCTCACACTAGAGTGAGAGAACTGAGCCTGAGCCATTGTCAAGACGCGTGACTTACGTGTGAGGACTGTGACATGGTGAGGCTCGGCCGGTTGGCGTGAGTTGTGATGCACTGCTCTTTCGCAGCTCTATTGCGAAGGGCAGTGATTTTTGCTCGTGAACAAGGACCTCTGATGTCACAAGGTCCACCATATCACGGAGAGGTACAGGGTAGGCTCAGCGACAAGGCACCACCACGGTGTAAGTCACATACCACATATACTGAACACAGAGCAGCGCGACTTGCTCAAATGTGCCTCTTATAGACCCTGTGCTACTATTGGCTCGCTAAGGAAAATTCTCATGATGGATGTGTAAATGTATGGAAAAAGATGCAACGATGCCTCCGTGCGATGTGGCTCAACCTCGACCAACTCAAGTGCCAGATCAGACTTCCTCGAGTCGCAGTTCCAACATCGAAGCCTTCGAGTCGAAACTACCCGGCCGGCCTTCTGGCTCGACCCGAGAACTCCGGTCTCCTTGTGTCCCGTCCCACATCACAAAGTCGTCTGCGTCCTCTTCTTCCGCGATGCTTTCCCTCGCGCTGTGCACGTCCCGCCAGCTGACCTCCTTCTTGCTCGGCTTACTGCCTCCAGCCTCGCCGTCCTCGCTCGTAACGCCGCTGTTGCTCCTGCTGTGAAGCTTGCCCACCTTCTTCAAGAGCGACGTGGTGCCCGCAACACCACCACTCCCGCCTCCGCCGGCTCCAGCACCGCACTTGGCCGAACACTCGCCCTTGCCGTCGCACTGCTCGTTGTGCTCCCCTCCCAGACACACCGTCCTCGTGCCAAACACCTTTGACCCGCTCTTCTTCTGCTGCTCGACAGCCTTGTCGTCATCGGCCGCCCTCGACTCGACCACGAGCGTCGTCTCCTGCGCGACGCTCCACTGCCTGTTCCTAGGCCGCGAGTTGTTGACGACGGGGTCCAGCTCGGCCGGCAGGATCGGCGGCGTGCCGGGCTTCCTCTTCTTCCTCAGCACCAGCTCGTACTCGCAGTCCTCGTCGCTGCTGTGCTGGCCCTCCTCGCCCTCGTCCAGCTCCAGCGGGTCGATGTTGTCGGCGAACAGCCTGCCCCCGTACTTGCGGAACTCGTGGGACCTGCCCGGCGCCTCGCTGTTGCTGCTGCCGCGCGTGGGCTCGAGCGTGCCGCTCGACACGGACGACGACTTGGTGAACGGGTACCGGTTGCTCGACCCGCCGTTCATGTACCGGTGGTGGTGGTAGTGGTACATGGCGATGGCCTCGTGCGTCATGAACGCCTTGTTGACCGGCTGCCCGTCGCGGCCCACCACGACGCTGCCGTAGTGCAGCATGCGCCCCCGGCGCTGTGCGGCAGCCTCGAGGCTCGGGTGCCGGACTATCGTTGTCCCGAACGTACTCCCGCCGTTGGCGGCGTTGTTACTGGCGCCCATCCCAATGATGCTGCCGTAGCATCCCGTCCCGGACTTGCACTCGTGGATGCAGGTCCCCACGTGCGCGAATACCGGCTGCTTCGGGTTGCTGTCGCCCGTGCCCTGGAACCCGATGGGGGTGCGAGGCGACGACCCGGCGCCGCCGCTGGATGCGGATTCGACCTGGTACATGCTCACCACGCCCTTCGCGTACGCGCTGGTCGCGGACGGTGTGTAGACGGGGCTCTTGTCTTTGGAGGTGACCCAGTGGACGACGATGGCGGAAAAGGCGACTGTCAAGGTAGAAAAGCGTGAGTTAGGCTGGATGCTGGAGAGCCATGTTTGCTGGCTTGGTGACACGTCGCGCATGGCAAGGGGAGGCTTACTATCAACGTTGCAGCACGTCAGGCATACCCAACCCGGCTCGCCGTCAAGAACCATGAGCACTGTCAGGTTTCTAACCGTAGCATGTATCGTCAGTGATCATCAGGACCCCCATTCAAAACGTACGCGTTGTATGCTGCTCAACGGATCCCGGCGAGGAGACCTGCTTACATGATACTGGACATGGTCGTCGCCACCGCTCCAATAAACGTGCGGAACGCGACAGTGCGTAGCCGCTCGTTTGCCGCGTTGCGCTGCATGTGGCGGAAGTTGTACAAATCTAGTTGCCCAAGGAGGTGCAGGGTCAGCTTGTGGTTCTTCTTCAGGTGTTGCTTGAGAAAGGACTCTCAGCTCTGGACACGTACTGCGCAACGGCAGCAAGAATAAGATCGTCAAATAAACCTGCATTTCAGAGCGAGAGTTAGCCTGTGCCTTTGCAAGCACGGAAAATCATATTTGCCACTAGAAGATTGGTACAGGAGATGCCAGATACGTACATTCGCCAGTAGGTCGAAGGTGATGAGGGGAATCATCGCAACACGCTGCATGCCGATGATGCACTCGCCGTCACGTTGGCGTGTAATGCGGCTGAGTTGATGAATGTCAGCGTTTTATATGTCCCTTTGAAAGTTCCGCTGTCTCGTGTGGTGCGAACAGACATACAATATGAAGTTGAGTATCGAAACGATAGTGTAGACACCTGTGTCGACCATATATCGGAGTCAGTCTCTCAAAAAGCCACACACATAGCCGCTTTCCGGGGAGATTGTCACGCACCAAGCATGCCAAACGTGTTGAATATATATAGCTTCGACTTCAGCCGGGGTTTTGGAACCGAACTTTGCCGTATAATATACTGCCGTTGCACGTCGTTAGTCGCCAGGTCGAAGTAAAGAGACGCAGACAAGTGGATGGGATGGGAGCCTACGGCTTTCTCAACCAGGAATATATAGATCAACTGTACACATGGTGAGCACTTGTCTAATTTCAGCGAGCCGAATGCGGACGGATACATACGACCTGCGCGCCTACGATGTCAGCTCCCAAACCCCAAACAGCACAACGGGTGAACCTGATTCCGTGAATTTCGCATTCACATACCTTGGTTGTAACATAACCTTGAACCACACCAAGAGACCGTTTGTTAGCTTCCACGTCTCTCAGCGGAATACCGAGCCAGGATGACAACTCACAGACGAGGCAGAGCAGTATCGCGCCCTGGCATATCCCGAAGCTCGTGCCCAGGCCCACGCCAAACTTGAGGATGGCGCTGACGAAGACAAAGAGCCACGAATCGAGGAATATCGCGAAGACAACTACAGGCGGCATATTTAGATCAGTATGTTGTACCTTGTCCTGGGCCTGCGCCCCGGGCTCAGTTCATGACCCTGAAGGGGATTTGGGCGGGCAGGAACAAGTGTAACAGAAATACGTACACCATGTGACAGGGGGCAATGCCCTCCATTGTTGAACCCGCCCAACTCGTTTTGCTAATGGCAGCATAGCAATTTGCAATCAGCAGTCTGGTCATTGCCGCAACATCTTTCGCCAATCGCGGTGCTTGAGATAGACGTACTGGTCAGAGTCGCTAGTATCGTGGTCGTCAAGATCGTGACGATTGCGCTGGCAACGCTGCCGGCGAGTGGCTCCAAATCATCGCCAGCGCGCATGCCGCGCCCGACGGGTGAAGAAGCGCTGTCCATCGACGAGGTGCTTTTTATGGTTACCAACCCGCGCTCAGAGCCTCCTGGTATGGCGACCAGTCCAGCTGGCGTGGCCCGACTGCGCTTTTCTCGTCCTTGTTCTTGTCAACCGCGCGGCTGGGTCTTTTGCTGGAACAGACCGGCTCGGTATTCCGAGTGTCGTTGATGCTCGCACGAGCCGTCGCTAAGTGTCAAACATGTAGAATTGTCGGGAGCCGTGGTCGTGTCTTTGTTGTTGTGATAATGATTGAATATGAGAGAAGAACCTCCTTGGACGGGGCCTGGGCTGGAAGTGGACAGTCCGCAATCAAGGTCGAGGCCGTTGTCGATCAGGCGCGACACGGGTGGAAGGTTTAGCGTTCAAGCCGATGGAAGTCTGGCCGCTTGGAATGACGACTTGCTGCCCTACAGCTGCCCGCTAGGGCGTGACATGCTTTCTCGCGAGTGAGACAAGAAGGATTGGCGGAACCGAATGGAGATTCTACGTTGGGTACTAGAATGAAGGGGACGTGTCTCATGAACCACCCTTGACGCTCGCGGGCCTCGGCGCGCGCAGCCACCGTTCTGCCGCATGGGCATGTGCATCATCCGTATCCAAAAATGCTGCCTTGGCTCCCTACCGCGTTGTGTCGGTCCTGTTGGTGAAGTCCTAGCCTGGACATGGGCGGCCTGACGTGTGCGACACACCGCACGCTAGGGACAATCCGGGGACGGGACGGGGAACGCTAGCCGAGTCTGCCGTCCCATGCCAGTAATGACAATTTGATCCCTGCTCGTGGGCAGCCTGCTCCTCCCTCGGCTGCTGAGGCTCAACGTATCCGACCTCTTCTTCCGCATGTGCGGGCGAGCCAACGCACCTCATTGCCGTGTTGATCACTTTCGGGCGCTGCTACTAGCTGACTGGCGGAAGCTGCCCCCGTGATGAGGCGGGATGCGTTCCTGCTTTGACTTCTTGTCTAGACAGGCCTGGCTGGGCGAGGCGAAGATGGCGCTAATGGTGACAAGCATTGGCGGGAGATTTGCCGCTTGTGGCTGCGGATGTCTGTGCCAGCCTGCAAGGGCCAAACTCTAATTCGGAGGCATCCCAGCATCGCGGTGGGCAAGGCGTCGATTTCAGTCGCTGATTCAGAGCATTCGTCGCGGGTCCGGAGCCTGCTCTTGCCGGGCCGAAACCTCGAGACAATGATCACCGCCAATAGTCTGTATGCAACCTGTGGAAGAAGCAGCCTCTGTCTGTGATCAGACCTCACCCGGCAACCGGACTTCGACGAATCATGGTGTATCACAGCATCGGAATAGCTGCCGAAGACCTTGAGGACACAGAGAATCCGGCCGAAAGAAAGACAGAAAAGCAACCCTGGGGGGAAGCTGCCAGAGCCCTGTCTGAAACCGCAGCTACCGTCGGGAATGCCACACCAGTGCCGATCCCCTCCTCCATCCAGCCGAGACAAAAGGACCCAGTCAGCAAGCCACTTGAGGAATCATTTTCAATCCCGGCAGCCCGAAAATGGCCAGATGCTAGATGATAACGCTACAGCTATATAAGAACAACGCCGCGCGGCAAGCTAGACGGGTGATCAAGATGGAGAAATGGCTAGCTCAGCTCGTCAGGATTGAGACAGCCGTTCTACCATTGGGCAGGGCTGCAAGCTTGATCCCGGAAGGGAGACGGTTGTGCCATCCTTGACCCGTGCTAGCCCCATCGCGGACGAGCCGCAGCTGAGGACACAGCTAGGTAGGGCGTTAGCTGGAATGCCACAAGCTCCGGGGGTTTTGCCCATGCCAAAAATGAGCAGCGAGCTCCGCGCTTGTCAGCGACAAAAGGTTGTATGGCGGACCCGCGTGAAACACTCACACCAAAGAGTCCCGGAAATAGACTCTGGCGGGGCCCAACTCTGTCGCTTATCTCTCAGCGGCTCTCCAGACCGGACTCGGCATCATGCTAGGTGGCGCGACTCGTACAAACATTTCGATGGCATCTGCCATTTGTCGAAAACTGGCGTCGTGGCTGGCGTGTCGGTCTGACAGACACGCCAGCCAAGCAAGGGCTGGACGCCGTTAGTGTTCGATGCAAGCTGAACCCTCCGACAGAAAGAATCAGGTCGCGGATCTCTATGATGCTCACATCCGCGGGGGGGGGGGGGGGGGGGGGGGGGGGCGACGATCACATTCAGCCATCCCACCGCCTGCCCACTTTCAAGAATTCGCCATCTTCAGTACTCTCTCTCTCTCTCTCTCTTCAGTGCTATGGCGAGGCTTTCATCCAAGGGCGGTCGAGCATCGCCATGATTCGCTTCCTTGTTGAGCAAGGTCACTGTCACTTCTATTGGGGCGTTGTGGCAGAAGATGGGTTGTTACCATTGTGCACTATTGGCGGACTAGCACCGTCGTGATGCCGCACCCATACACTATTTGAATAAATGGCTGAACAGGCTCTTTTTTTAATCAAGCACAATAAGTAATTTTTCGGGCCTACAGAGAGCACCCGAAGTCAAGCGTCGTGACCTCAATGAAACTGTCTTTGTGGCTGGTCGCCAATCTGGGACGTGGAGATGTCCGCCCGATTTCAAGATTTGGGCGGGTTGGTGACGTTCAAGCGTCGAGAGTAGCACCCAAAGACTAATTGTGAGGTCGAGATGATTTAAATAGCATGTTTCTAGCGAGAACACGCCAACGTTCTCCATCCTGTTTCTTCACAATTTCTGTCCAGTTGCTGTTCTTCATTTCTTCTTCCTTTGTTTTCTCTTTTTTTTTTTTCCCCAAAAGAATAAAAAATAGAATGCCTTTTTAGTAAAAGCCATAACTATCTCACGCTCAATTTTGAATGAAGATATTTTGCTGGTCGGATCTTTGATATTCATGTTGATATACGACTGCAGGAGGACTCTGTGGGTTTCATATCAACAAGATGCCTTGCTTCTTCTCGTGCACACTCAGTGGTCGTCTTTGCTAGTGGCGAGTCTGGCGTCCATTACTGCTCACACCGATGGTGCTACAGGACAAGTGCATACAACAGGACTCGATTTACCGTACGATGTGGCGAGATCGCAGTGCTATCTACACTTGGCAGAGCCCCCACGAGCGTATCCCCAGAGTTCTCCCCGGCCTGCGGGATGACGTATGATTGCTGTACTTGTTGCGATCAATCAAAAGCATAGCTTGCAAGGAGGTTGACGTGGCCAGTCACCACCTGGTGGAGCGAGAATCACGAGTATACAATCTGCTTAACCAGACGTTCCTCTTCATGGCATATCCTCCAATTGCCAAGTGTTTGAAAGGGTGCAAGTAAGGCCCGGCATGGGCGGCGCACTGGTACACATCTGGAGGCTTCTTGAAAAATCCGTGGGTCTCCACGGGCTGGGCCGCCATGGGTTTTGATAATCGTATGGGATGGGTTGGTGGATTTTGCCAGACCTGAGGTGCAAATCTAGCGAACCAGCGTGTTCAAAACCAACGCGACCCGCTGGTGGAGCAAGCATAGCTGCTCAGCCCTGGAGAGCAGAATCTTGCTTGTGCTTGTGTGTGTGTGTGGAATGACGATGCCGGACTTAACACACGGAACTACGCAACTTGACCGGTGGCTCATTGACCACAGATACCGCTAGGCCGTTTTGGGCTGCCGCTTTCCCATTGGTTCTCCTGGGAGTAGTGCCCCTGCAGTGCGGGTCCCTCGGTGACTAATCCCTGACCAGTGCTCCAAATGTTGCGCTCATATACTAGCCCGGCAAAGCCCAAATGGGAAGTCTCTCTCTCATTGGCTGAAACGCGCCCTGCTTGGACTGCTGGGGTGACCTACATGATACAGCCTTGGAAGCGACCACGATGCTGCGCGTGAGGACGTGGGCAGACGCCTGGATGTACCAGAGATGTCTCCATGGGGCCGTCGGCAGTCCCCGTGGTGGGTACGTCGCGGCGTGATCGTGAAGTGCATTGCTGACAAAATCTCGAGACTTTCGTAAGGGGATGACCCTTGTATTAGACTGTGATGAGCGAAGATGGGAACGTGTCGGTGACTCGGTGTACGCATCTCATACACGCTGGCTGAGAATATATAAAGCCACACGATGGTCTTCGCTCTGAGGTTTTTTCGAGGCATGAGAACCACCCGAGCCATCAACTCTTACTCTCCATTCCACCACCATACTGAGTCCTCAATACTCACTCCGTTCATCCGCAAACCAACATCCCTCGCCTCACCAGCAAGAAACCAGTATTCGACATCCACAATGGCCGAGAAGGAACTTCCCATCCACGCCACGACCGCCCTCGTCGAGGGCCGCACCTTCATCGTGACCGGCGCCAACACGGGCATCGGCTACGAGACGACCAAGCACCTCCTGAACCTCGGGGCAGCACGGGTCATCATGGCCGTGCGCAACCTCGACGCCGGCGCCAAGGCCAAGGCCAAGATCGCCGCGGAGCTCGGCAAGAAAGACGTGCCCGCCGACATCTGGCACCTCGACCTCGCGAGCTTCGCCTCGGTCCGCGCCTTTGCGAGCAAAGCGACCGCGGAGCTGGACCGCATCGACGGCCTGGTCGAGAACGCGGGCGTCTTTGCGGGGTCCCGCGACGAGGCCAAGCCGGAGGGCTGGAACGTCTCGACCACGGTGAACGTGCTGAGCACGTTCCTGCTTGCCGGGCTGATGCTGCCCAAGCTGAGCGAGACGGCCAAGAAGCTTGGGTTCGTGGGTGCTGACGTCGGCAGCAAGGACACCCGCCTGGCGCCGCATCTTACCATTGTCGGGAGCAACTGGCCGCTCCACCAGTTCCATGAGTCGTGGGCGAACATCAAAGACGATCCGCTTGTGGGCTTGGAAGACGAGAGCAAGTGCCCGATCGGAGAGGTGTAAGTCCTGCTCGCCTTTTCGTGTTCTTCTGACTTGGTTCATTTTATCTACTCCTCCACCGCGCGTCGGGAGTGTCTGTCTGCAGATTCCAATTCTGACATGTTCAAAACCAGTTATGCTCTCTCCAAGCTCCTCGACATCCAGTCCACCCGCGAGCTCGGCACGACCATCGCGCCCTTCTCCCGCACAGGAGTGGTGATCAACACCGTCTGCCCCGGTCTCTGCATGTCCGACCTCGCGCGGTACCAGACGCAACAGTTCCAGACGCACATCTTTGGCGTGATTGACCAGATCGGCCGCACCTCGGAGCAGGGCAGCCGGAACCTGCTGTACGCCGTGACTGCAGACGCGCAGACGAGCGGGCACTTCCTGGAGAATGCCGCCGACGCCGAGTGAGTAGTTTTCCCGTCCCATATCCCAGACTTGTATAACAGCGTGGGGTTGGTGAGCAGAGCGAATGCTAATCTTTCTGGCTTGTGTGTGTGCAGGGCTGCCATCCCAGAGTTTGTGAAAGAGTCCCAGAAGAATTCGTGGGATGTTGTGGCCAAGGAACTCGAGAAGATCGAGCCTGGCTTCTTGACCAAGTTGGTCTCGGTCTAGGGCGCGCGCGCAATGGCGGGTTTCTCAGGGATGAGACTACGTACTCTCGGGCTATTGCTTGGGAGATCAACGATTAGGTAGAAACACAATAGAATGATATAACCTCCAATGCGTCACGGAACTCCCGACTCCGTTGTGACTTTGCTTCTTCTTGCCTGGCTGTCGGTGAACATACTGTAGGCTTTCACGTCGCTGGTGCCAGCATTTTGTTCTACGACAAACACGTTACAACCATGTTCTCCACGGCTTCATTCATTTCCTATCGGATTTCCAGACCGTTCCAGGTTTCCATTTCACGAAGTTCCGCTCCCAGGATCCTCTTTCAAAGACAATGCGTCTTTCCACAACCCCTCGGCCACCCTTCCATGCAGTTTATGCACCCAGGGGTATCGCCCAAGCACACTCCTCGTCGCCTCCCACTCTTGGTCATCCAGACACAGCCTCTGCAGAGCCTGCCTGATCCTGACCAGCACCCATGGCTGATATGGCCGGCGTTGGAACCCCAGTGCCCCCGTAAGGAACAGCGTCCACAGCACGAGCTGGGCTTGTATATCTGGGCCTCGAGAGAATGATGTCTTGGTCGTGGCTTCAGGGGTATGCGTCTGTCCTCCAACAGGCAAGCTTGCTCCCCACGAGCGAGAGCCCGGCGATGCCCCAGACTTGTCAGAGATGCCGCCCGACGTAGACGACGGTGGGCCGACTCCAGGCGGCGCCGGCCCCAGGACGAACTCTGCTGCGCGCTGAACCAGCTCAAGCAGCCGCGGCACCTCCTCGACTATCCCATCGAGCCGATGCATGAAGCGCATCAGCCACGCGAAAAGCCCCAGGTGCACCACGTCAGCTGTTACCGCGCTGTCGTCGTCCATTATCACCTGTCCCGGGTGTACGTGGCCTGAATTGCGAGGACGGGTGGCGGCGGTAGCGTACGCGGCGCTGTCCACGGCCCAGCACACGGCGCCGAGGGGTCGGAGCTGCACGAGCCGATACCCCAGATCCAGCAGCGTGTGCAGGAACTCGTCTAGGTTGATCTTCCGCACGTTCTCGCTGGCGGTGGCGGCGGCGTTGATGAGGTCTGAGATGTAGGCCGAGTCTATAAAGATTGTGCGCAGCTCGGTAGGTAAGCTGGGTAGAAACAGCGCTGCAGGGGAGAACATGGCTCGCTGGACGGTTTCGTGCTCCTCGGCTGTGGCTGTGGTCATTCCAGGGGATGCTGGTGCCAGCACCGAGCTGACGAACTCTGGAGTCGGCGGCAGCAATGTCCGCAACATGTGTGAAAACTCCTCAATGCGAAAATACGTTGTCGCTCTGGCGTGTAATGAGAATTCGAGATCGAGGCTGCCCCATAATCATACCGGTCGGTGTCAGATTTGCTCGTGTCCCGGCCTCATGTCATTGGGACGGCCCTTGCGACCGTAGGTACGCTCACTCACCGTAGTATCTTGTGCCCAACGACCGCGTTCTCTGTAAACAGCCTCGCCATCCCGCCGCGCAGCTCAACCATGCGCTGCAGCCCGCGCAGGTGCACAAGCCCCTGGAACCAGCGGCCCTGGTGTCGCTCATACTGAGCCATCATGATGACCACTGCCATGGTCGCATCCGACACGGCGGGCTTGAGTTCTACGTCACGTGAGTTGCTGCTGCTGCTGCTGGAGGACGCATGTGAAGGATCGCCAGATGTGAGTTTCTTGCTTATGAGCTGAAATGTGCGTGACAGGTGGCTCATTGACGCTGCCGACGACTCTGCGGCTCCTGGCGAGTCTGTGATTTGGGCCAGGAGCAGAGTCGAGGCAGCCATGGCGACATGGAAATCTGGCAGAGCGTGAGGTGAGCTTGCTAGATCCAACGACGGGGAGAGAGAGCATGGGTGGAACATGACGACAACTTACAGGCTTCGTCAGAGAAGACCAGGCTCAGCCATATCGAGGGTGCCGTGGCCGGGTTGTACATGACGGAGCGAAGCTCTGGGAAGTACCTGATGCTCATGAAGAAGGACATGGCTGGCGACCTATTGTCAGTATCATCAAAGGTTCGACACGTCGTGTGCCCGAGAGGGAGGAGATGCCAGAACTCACATCGGTGAGTCGCCGCCAGAGAGCTCGTCGGCAGCACCCACTTCCTACACGGCAGCGGCGCGGGGAGCACGAAGTCGAGCCCGACGTGGCTCTGCGCCTTGATCCTTTCCAGGTTCTCGTACTTGGCCACGAGGAAAGCCCAGATGGCCTTGCTCGAGACCTTCCAGGATGACCTGGCGTGGCTCTGCGTGCCTGGCTGCTGCTGCCCCATGCTGGCCAGCCCTGCCTGCAGGCTCTTCTGGCTCTGGGTCTTGCAGAGGTCCCATGCCGACGCGGCCTGGGCCCGTTGCTGCTGGTGCTGCGCTTTCAGGGCCGCGACCTTTGACGGGCGGTTCACCTTGCGTCCGACATTCTTGCCTGTCGCGGCGTGGCTGCGGATGCGCCTGCGGGTCTCGCGGTCGACGCCTCCGGGGAGGACACTGTTGCTGTCGACGAACTGGAAGGTCGCAGTCATTGCTATGATTGGATGGATCTGCGCTCCTGTGTTGCAGACTTTACGTGACAAGTTTGGTGTCCAGAGCGGCAATGGGGGAAGACCGTGGAGAACGCTGAGCTGGTGCATGCATGTGGTCTGTTTCTGGTTGCTGGAGATAAGGCCAGTGGAGCCCGGCGTTTAGGCTGCTATATTTGTCATCGGAACGCCGGCTTGAAACAAAGCGCACGGGCAGATGGGGAATTTGGGCTGACAAGCTGCTTAGACGTTGTATCGCCAATGCCCTTCTCTGAGGTTGCCGCCTGTCGCGCAGGCGGGCGGTAGACTCGCTGGGACGAGACCCTGTTCCGGGCTCACATGTGCCGACAGCTCAATACACCCTGGTCAGGTGGCAGGCTAAGAGGATACCAGCCACTCTTGCGAACTGATGTCCTGGCAGCCCTGTGAGGGAAACTTATTCTCAACTTGATCCCTTGCACGACTCCGGCCCTAGGTCTCATCGCTCGCTGTATTCTAAGTACGAACACCATATCATTGTTTGGTGTGCTATCTAGAAGTGTGACCAATGCAAGCGTGGCTCCCAGACTAGTGATGAACTACTCCGAGGTCAGCCTCTTTCTGTGCACGTCGATCTTGCTGCTATCCCGCTTCCCTTGCTGATAAGCACTGGAGTCATGTATAGTAGTCGTACGCTTTCTCCCTTTGTGAAGTTTGACGCCCTGTTCCTTGAGATAATTTTCGGCGATTCTGGCTGATGTGTCTCGGAAGAGGACAAGCTGGCCGTGCGACTGCCAGTTCGTCTCCAGCAACTGAAACTCGCCTGCACTCCCAACAGAAGCCTTAAGGTCTTCCTTGTCCTCGGGGTCGTGAGTGTCCTTCTCGGTGGAGTCAGGAGGGCCCGCCAAGGGTGGCACTTCATCAAACGGCACCTCGGATGACTGGCGCTCCTCCTTGACAAGATTTTCGATCTCCAAGTCGAGATCGCCTGAGAGATCGAGAGGGCCTTCCTCCTTGATCTCAAAGTTGGGCTGCCAGAAATCTTCCAGCTCCGAATCAGGATCTTCTTGCCCCAAATCTTCATCCTCAGAATCACCATCAACCATCTCGGTAGTGCTGTCGTCGTCCTCGGCCTTGACTTGCGGCTCAGGCGATGAAGACTTGATACTCACGTCATCCTCAGCTGGCGGCTGCTCCAGCCGGGCTAACCGCGCCGCGGTATCGGCTTCTTCTTGCTTCGCCGTGTCCGCAATAGCTTCAAGTTCTGCTCTCTTGGCCTGTGCCTCTTCCTGGGCCTTTGCGCGCCGCGCGTCCCTGACGAGCTGGTCGCAAACACCATGGCAGTAGCTGTTCTTGCTGCCGACGCCCTTATACGCCCTGGCCCACTCGGCAATGAGGTTGTACGCCATCTCAAAGGCCATGGCTGCCGCGACCGAGTTCTCTGCGATGCCATAAAAGGTCAACTCCACGGACGAGCGCCGCGCCGTGCTGTAGTACTTGCAGCTGAAGAACTCCTGCATCGCCCAGCACAGGTTGTTGACGTAGGTCTGCTGCCGGACGGGCTTGTCCGTGTCGCCGTCGGTGCGAGTGATGGAGACGACGGTCTGCCCGGCATACTGCTTCTGCGCATCGGGCGGCACGTGGGCGAGGACCTCTGCCTGCGACACATTGTACTGGCCCATCAGCCGCGACGCGACGTGCAGGGCCGCCTTAGCCTCGGCCTCGGGCGTGTTTGGGTGCTTCGCCCGGTCGAGGCACTTTCTGATGCGGAGGATGATGGCGTCGTCAATGTCCGCCGTGGCCGAGGACGCCGGGCGGGTGCTGGCTGTGTCGGCCAGCGCTGTCACAGACGCCTTGTAGAGCGGAGGGGCAAGCTTGGGGCCCTTGCGCGTACGCACGGGTCGTTTGCGAGCGTGTTTCTCATCTTCGTCGCTGTCGCTGTCGTCAATTTTGAATGGCCGCCGCAAGCTGCCCTCGTCTGGCTGCATGGAGACAACGTTGATGAGTAACAGGAGAGAAAAGAGGCGTCAACTCGAGCGCAACTAGAGAACACTCGGTCGTTTTAGCGCAATTGTGGGCAGAGATTGCGCTAGGTAGGTGGTCTGGTTGAGGAGCGGTGGCTAATGATTCTGGATGTTTCTTGTTTTAATAAGGGTCGGAGGCCCCCGATATGCAATAGCCCTGCGGCTCAGGCAGACCAGCCGTGTTGGCTCAGGCTGTGGTGTTTGTTGGTCGTGGTGTGACAAGATGTGATTAGCTGTGATGAGCCAACAGGGGGACTTACAGGGGGCTGGAAGAAAACAGCTCGAGCCCCCCAGACTGGGATTAGCAAGCGCCACGAGCAAAACATGGAGACCGTCCCGAGAGTACAATGGGATTTTGCTGGTTCTGGTTATTCAAGTCCAGTGACTTCTCGACACCTGGACACCCACATGCGAACGGACTGTGCCAACAGACTATGCCAACCGTTTGATATACCCCGGCAATGTGGCAGGCGGGTGAGGCGTGATGCCAAGGCAGCAAGGCTGAATCTCTGAAGCGGCTACCCGCGCGGGGTCAGAAGCACAGGAGCCAACCAACATGGTAAAGTGAGGTCCCGCCAACCGTGGGGAGGGGACCTCACTCTCAACTTCTTGCTGTTTCCCAATTTCTTGTTGCCCTGCACTCCCTGCGCCTCACAGCACTCAGACCATATGCCTGGCCATGCATCTACTCAATGTCCACACGCGGAAGCTCGAGTACTTTCTGGGCAGCTCGGTGCCCGAATACGCCATCCTGTCTCACACCTGGGGCCCCCACGAGGCCAAGTTCGAAGACTACTGCGATAATGGCGGCACAAACGCGACAACCAAGCAGCCACGCGGCCCGTTTCGAAACCGGCATCATAGCGGCAGGTGGCCAAGAACGGTCCGCGTCCAGACGAGGAGCCACGAGCGGCGGCATCTGCGAGAGCCCGGTCATGCGAAGATCGACAACTGCTGTCACCGTGCCAAACAAGATGGCCTCGATTACGTCTGGGTCGACACTTGCTGCATCGACAAGAGGAGCAGTGCTGAACTCTCGGAGGCTATCAACTCAATGTTCAGCTGGTACGCCAAGGCTGCCGTCTGTTATGTCTATTTGGTTGATGTTCATCCTTGTCTCATACTCGGTGAACACAAGCACCTCGACACAATGAAGGGCAGCCTGGTCGAGAGTGACACAAGTCATGGCGACCGAACTTCCGAGGCTGCACAAACACCCATATCAGATGACCTAAAGGACGATAAGACCATGGTTTCATTGACCGATGAGGAACATCGGAGCATGTTGCATTCCTGCAGAAATCAGGCATCCGAGCTCGAGTGGACAGATTATCCTTCTGCCCTTGGCTATGAGCTTCCAGCACGTCAGCTTCAGGAGGTGAAATGCTCCCGTTGGTTCGCACGTGGCTGGACGCTCCAAGAATTAATTGCTCCACAATGTCTGGCGGTGTTCGATGTAGGCTGGAACTTCATTGGTTTCTCATGCCGGAGGAGCTACGTGCTTGACGTCGTACAGAAGAAGCAAAGGCTCCATTGGGCAGGACCACGGCTGACGGCGCTACTGGCTCACAGCTCGGGCATACCCTTGGAGTTCCTGTGGGATGAAGACTTTTGGCACGCTTCTGTGGCGCAGCGCTTGAGCTGGGCCTGCAACAGGGAGACAACACGCAAAGAGGACATAGCGTACTGCCTTCTCGGCATATTCCGCGTTTCCATGCCACTGCTGTATGGCGAAGGTTCCAAGGCATTCGAAAGGCTTCAGAAGGAAATCATCAACATCTCGTCAGACCAGACCATCTTCGCATTCGAACATTTCGCCTGGAATCTTGAAAAACACAACGGCTTTCCCATGAGTTATACTGAGGAGCCCGGTTCTTGGGTCGATAACCCTATACACAACACCGGCTCCCTTGCGCGGTCTCCCAGGAATTATGCGTGGGCATGTAATCTGCGACCCTGTAGAAAGTTTCCTATGGTAAACGATCACTATTACGCCACAAACCAAGGTGTACTAATCAACCTTCCGATGATCGAGCTACCAACCGGCGAACGGTTGGCTCAACTTGCCTGTACGGTGGAGGACCCACACGATCCCGTCACTTCGTCGAGGGACAAGAGGCTGTGTCTCATTCTCCGCCCGTCGAGCCAGAGAAGATTCGTTCGCCGTAAAGACAACTGTCTGACACTTTTGCCATTGCGTTACTTCCCCAAGATGTCGCTCCAACAACAGCATCCAATTGTTGCTCGCCCGGCAATCTACCTCAGCATACGGCGGGAATCGAGCGCACCCGTGAGGCTTTTGGCTCTCTCGCCAGGATTTCTTCAACGATTCGGCGTACGTGCAACATACCCTTCCTGCACTTCAGTCTCCAGAGGACTCTACCAGATCATTCGGAATCGAGCCCATGCTACAGAAACCAGCATATTTCTAGACTGTGTAGGGCCAAGTGGCCAAATGTTCGCAATCTATCTTCTCATTTGCAAATCCGCCGAATTCGGAGAATCTACTCGACAATTGAGCGACGGGCTCCCGCCCGCATCGCCTACGGAGCCAAAAAGACTCACCATGCAGATCTCACTGAGCCGGGGAACCTACAACATGCCCGAGCTCATGCTCAACGCACCAGTGCTCGCGCGGCAGGTCGATCGCGAAGCGCCAAAAGCCCATCCAGGAATCAAGTGGGAGTCCACCGCCGTAGTTGGGGACTATACGTTGGTCCTGGCGCGGAAGGCGTCTGACCGTCCGCCTGAGACAACTTGGGCGGCGGAGAGTAAGCTGGATTCTCCTGAGCATAGCAATGGCGGTGCGTATGTCGATCCTACGACTTTGACAACCTCTCCGGAGTACAGGCAGCCATCGAATAGCGCGGGCAATGAGTGGGACGGCGTTTATCTGGATCAATGGATGCTTGATGTTAAGTCTAACTACAGGGAGCCATGACGGATTGCATGATGATAGTGGCGGGTTGATCTTGAGACTTCATACTTGGTTCCATCCCCTTCTGCTCTAGCCCATACTCTCGGATACTTCCTGGTCTTGGTTTCTTGCAAGATCCATAAACGGAAACGAGGGGAGCTTCACGCGGAAGACATGGGAGATTTGCGAGATCGCCGTCGGTGGGCGCTAGCGGGGTAGAAGCCTCAGGCGGCGTGCCAGGTGTCCTCGTCGATGAAAGAGGGTCTGCCTGTGGCGGCACTTGGGGAGGTTGCAGGACGGATCACAGCCGCAGCTGCCAGAGTCCGGCTCCGCCACCTCGTTTGCCAGAGAGGAGGCTACAGCCGCACCGCCAGCTCGAACCGGCGCGCGGGTTTTGAGTTTCGACGAGGCGCGTCAGGCGGGCCCAGGCCGAGCCCGGCGGCGTCCTTGCCCGCCTAAATACACTTCACCATCTCCGAAGCCACGGGTGTGCTCTCTCAGCCGCTTTTTAGGCATAAATTAGTAGAAGAGTTTCTCTTCGAATAACTTGATAATGATTGGAAAGAAGTTCTGCTTGAGCTGCAGTTCCTTCAAAGTTCAAGTCGACACATTGCGAAATATAGAACGCCCGCGGCTTCTGGATGCGACCTTCGACCCTCACGGCGCAAGCGAATCTCTTTCTTTCCACCAGGCCCTACCGCCCCGGCCACAGACGCAGCCAGACGGACCCCACCGCCATCATAGCGGTACAGAACTCCAAGCTTGGACAAAGAAAACCGAGCGCAGCATGCTAATACCTCGTGGTGGCGAGACTCAGGCGTCCATTGTAGCTTCTCGAGCATTGAGGTCTACATTTCGTCCCGAAACCCGCCTCAAGAAACCCATTTTGTGACCTCGCGCATCGACGCCACGCGCGGCCCGTGGCTGTCTTTGTCGGACTGAGGCCGCGGGTCGATCCATCGCACATTGGACCCCACGAGAAGCATCGCGAAACACAGAAAAGCGCAGGATTCACGCATGGCTAACTTCGATCCGAACCGCCCGCCGGGTGGCTTCTCGTATCCGCAAAACTTGAACAGTTATTACCCCCAGGACCTCCCGCAGGACTTGCAGGACATTCCTCGTACCCCGACGACTGTGTACGTGGACGCTTTCCAGGGCGGGTATCCGCAGCAGCAGGGCCAGGGCTACCATGGCCAGGCGCAATATCGCCAGGACCTGCAGGCCCCTGGCCCCTACAGCCCGGCCGACCACGTGCAGGCGAGCTACAGCTATGCCCCAACGGCCCTCCTCCCGACTCCCGTCGCGCAGCACCCCGGCGTGCCGCCCCCGTCCTTTGCGGCGGCCCCCGGGGTCTACGTCTACGCCCAGACGCAGACGCAGGGGTACGCCGGCGGCGTGCCGGTCGCTTACGCCGTGCCGCAGACCGCCCCGGCCGGCCTGCCGTCCACTTACGCGCTGCCGCTTCCGCCGCCGCCCCCTGGCCCGCCCCCGGCCATCAGCTGGGACAACCACATGCAGGGAAGCGTTATGCCGGCGCTGCAGCCGGGCCTGGTGAAGCAGGCAGCCGGACTCTACCCGGGCTATCAAATCGATCCGCATTACGCGCTGCCGCCGTCGCAGCAGCAGTATCCGAACAGCCCCTCCGTGGACACCTTCTCGGCGGCGGCCCCGACGCATGCCGCGCCGGCCGGAAAGAGCGGCCTGTTCGGCGGCCTCGTCAAGGGCGTGGTGAGCGTCAGCAAGCAGGCCGTCGAGGCCGTCAGGCAGGACTACAGCGCCGCCCAGGGCCGGAACAACGCCGCCCCGTCGTCCTTCCAGGGCGGCGTCGGCTTGAGTCAACCGGTGCCGCCGCTCCCCCAGCGCCACAGCAGCCTGCAGCAGGACGCACCGATGCAGCAGGACTTGTCGTACATAGCGCCGCATATTTTGCAGGGGCAGCAGCAGGTGTTGCTGCCGCAGCCGCAGCCGCAACCTAACAGCCCCGTGCAGGTCGCCGTCGGTCCTTACGCCGTGACGACGCGCGAAGCTGTTGCGCTGACGCCGCCGCAGCCGGTCGTCGTCGTCGTCGATCAATCCGCGGAGCAGCAGCAGCAGCAGCAGCAGCCGGCGGCCCCGAAGCAGGAGATCAAGCGCAAGGCCATCGGCGCGCAGGTCCGGGCGATGGGAACCGGCGCCGTCCACTTTGTAAAGTCGGACAAGGGCGCGAGCCTGCTGAGCGGCGCCGCCTCGGCGCTCAATCTGATCGCCTCTGCGGCCGATCCCCATGATCCGCAGACGGCGAGCCTGAAGCTCCTCAACACGGCGGTGCAGTCGCAGGCGCAAAAGAGCAAGGCCAAGCAGGAGCCAAGGGAGGCCGCCGACGAGTCCGGCGCGGCGTTGTCTGAGGAGACGCCGGGTAGTAGTACCAACACGACCTCGACGGCGGCCGAGCCAGCCAGCCGCGAGGTCGAGAAAACGACGACAGAAAATCCCCTCGCCAGGCTGACGCCCGAGCAGCTCTCACTGATCATCGCCATGGCGGCACACCTGCAGCAGCAGCAGCAGGTGGCCGTGGAGCACGCGAACGTTGTCGTAGCTGATCCTGGCGATCCAGATGTGCCTGACCTGAGCACGCTCAGCGTCCAAGAAGACCCGCCAGAGACCAGCATCGAGTATCTTCAGCCGACGCCGCGCGACACCGCGGCCCCCACCGTCGTCGTCGTTCCCACATCCGGTCCGATGACGGCCTCGACTAGAGAGAGCGAGGAAGCTGCCGAGGAGCAGGAGGCGGAGGGTCCCTCTAACCTGCAGAGGGCAGGCAACGTCGGCAAGGCGTACGTCAACATTGCCACCAAGGCCAACACCAACCCCCTCGGCACCAGCATGGCAATGTGGAGCGAGGTAGGCCGGCAGTTCAACAAGTATCGCGCCAAGCAGGCCAGCGGAGAGGGCGTCCCACGGACCGCCGGCGAGAAAGCCTCTGCCTTTGGCAAGGCTCTGATGAAGAGCATCGAGCGCGTGGGTGCGCCCGCTGAAGGTCAGGACAACAGCCTGGCCAGTCTGGCGCAGCGCTACCAAGAGTCCCAGGTCGTGGCTCAGCAGCGCCTTGAAGAGATGGAGGCGACCGAGGCTGCGCTCACGAGCCTCTTCGGGGCCACGCAGCCCAGCAATAGCAGCAGCAGCGGAATGATGAGACGAGCGGTGCTGCCACCGTGGCGGCGCCTGCCGCCCAGGCGGTCAAAGTTGGCAACCTAGAGCGCGCCCTCGCCGGAGACTACAAGTACTTGAAGACCGGCAATGGGTGGCGCGAGGAGAATGCTTACGCGCTGGGCGCTAACGGGCGCTTTTCTTTCTCAATCGGCAGCAGTTGCGTCGCCTACTCCATCGACCAGCGGGCTTCGGCCTACGCTTACGACCGCCGCAACCCGACCGGGACCTGGAAAGCCCAGGGCGACGTCAACAGCGGGACTCTCATCTTGACCCACGACGACGGCAGCGTCGAGCACCGTTCCTACGAGCATGTCGGTGGCAAGTTCTTCGTCAACGGCCTGCGCTGGTTCTCGGTTTGAGCCGAAATGTCAACGGGGAGTCGTCGCGGAACGGATACTTAATGTTAATTCTATCCACAGGGCGCCATGATGGATTAGGACGATAGTGACGCGGTTCATACTTGATTGCTTTTCCTTGTGCTCTACCCTACACTCTCAGATCCTTCCTCTTCTTGGTATTTTGCAAGATCCGTGAGTCTACGAGAAGACGAGCGGTAGGTAACTACTTGAGAGGAAATAAGATATCACAGTCTATTTTGCTCACAAACGCCATGAGGTTACATGTGTTCAAAGTACCCATTGACTTTGACGAACCGATTTACACTCAACATTTGGATAACTGAATGTTCATTGAGCATACGTAACCTGCGCTTGTTTTTGCGCGATTGCAAGAAATTGGTGAGATCCAGTTGGCCAGACCACGGACTAAGTATCTGCACCTTTAGGTCTGTCCATGATGAATGATGAACCAATTCTTGTAGCCCATGCTTCTGGCTCATATGATAGCCTGAGAAGCGTGTTTTAGAGCGTATTACAACGCAAGCTGTGGATAAGCAAAGCCGGAAGCCATCTAGAACAACAGACCTTCCATGCCCTTCACGCTGGACACCTTCTCAGCGTTCTTCGTCCTGCAAGCTGGCGTCAAGTTCGTGCATCTCGTCATCAGCACACCCTTTCTGGCTGTCGTCCCTTGTGAGCCAGCCCTCCACCCCTAGCGTGAGACATACGTATACATTGATGAGCTGGTAGAGGTTGTCCATCACCATGATCGCCCAGATGTTGCGGTAGCCGATCCAGGGGTTCTGCCTATAGAAGCTGAGAGCTTCCGAGGCAGACAGATGTAGCTGGTATGCAAACAACGCGGCCCTTAAAAGAAAATTATCAGTACAATAGCACAAGAGGAAAGAAGACTGGCTTGGACATACGCGAACTTTGGATGCGCCCAGAAGGCATGGAGCCAAACCAGACTGTGGACAACTGTTGTCAGTGGCCTGACCAGGAACCTGGCCACCAGCCTGCCGAAGTACGGATACCAGGCATAAAACGTCCTAAATCCAGGCTCGTGCAGCGCCAGCGCGTAGTAAGTCCTGTACCCAGACCGCCGCCACCGCACAAGCTGCTTGATGAAGTTCTCCGCGGGCTCGACGAGCGTGAGGACCTCGGCCTCTGGGGCGCTCTGGAACGCGAGGCGCCACCCGCGGTTCATGAGGTAGTGCGTGATGAAGCCGTCGTCGCCCGTGTTGATCTTCTTGCCCGCCCACGTGTCGTGCGTCAGGGCGTGGCAGAACTCTGGGGTCTGCAGGGCCGCAGCACGGGCGAGCAGCGTGCGGCCGGTCAGGCACCAGACCACGCCTTCTCGTGCGTACAGGTCTGCATTGGACGCGGCGGAGCCGGCGAGCGCGCGCACCGAAGCAACTTCCGAGGCGGTGACTATGCCTGGCTTGCGGCGCTCAGTTGGTACGAATGCACTTCAAGAGCGAGGGTGTGTTAGTCCATCTTGTTGATTGACTTGTTATTTCGGCCTCTGCAACAAAGCACCATGCTTAGGAGACTGCCTGAAAGGACTCACCTCTGCTTGCCTCCGACACCACCGACTCTGGGATTTTCAAAACCAGCAAGCAGATGGGGAAGCACCTGATTACTGGGCCAGTACGTATCGTCATCGACATATGCAATGATCTTGCCTGTGGCGTGCCGTATGGCCAGACTCATCTGCTCCCTCCTGCCGGGTTTCGGCACGGTGAGCACATGTATGGGCACGGATTGGTCATGCTCAACAGCCGCAAGCAACTCATTGACACGCTGCAGATCTCGTGGAATTGTAACTATGATGATCTCCCTAGGTGCGTTGGCGAGCCACAATCGCATGCACACCGTGAAATCATTGGGAGTGTTGATGGTGGGGATCAGGATGCTGACATCTCTTGTTGAGAAGGCGGCTTTGCCTGTGGGCAGAGGCAGAGGGTCGCATCTTATTTTGTTTCTGGCAGCATATTGGCGTTCGAATACGCCGAGTGCCCTTGTAGGTCGTTGTTAACTAGAGTACTCCCGAGGAAGTGAACGACTTGCAAACGAGAACAGTTGCGCGTCGTCAATTTCTAAATTTACAGCTGTAAATCAGAAGATTGAGAGAACTCACCATCGTGCCACGAGGTATATGCAGGACCACATTGTCGCGTCCGCAGGTGAGTCTGCATGCAAAGCTTTGGCGAATTGTGTCAAGAGCACTGCGCAGATGCGACCTGAGCAGCGCAGCCTTCAGCCATGTGCAGCAGATTTTCAACAGCCTGCAAGGCCATGACAGCCGAGCGCAAGCGCAACACTTTACGGAATCTTTGATAAGTCGCCATGTCTATGCGTCAGCTGCCCCTGCATCAGCTCGCACAGCTCCCCAGATAGGGAGTCCGCCTTTCCAGTCGGACTATGGCCACGGATGCAATAAGAAGAGCTTGCAGTTACCAGCATGTCACTCACTATGCAGTTGATCCTAAATTTGTGGGCCTGTCACAGGAAGACGCCGCCTCGAGCCAGGATGATTGCGGAGAAGCAGTTTCTCCGCATGAGCGTTAAGCATGACCCCTGGTAGTGTGTGGGGACTTCAGCCAGTCCTTGTGGGGTTGCCTGTCGGGAAGGACGGAATCTGCAACGGAAACATCCTCGAACAAGCTAATAGTCCCCTGTCATCGGGCGAGTGATGACTGGGCTTCAGCTACCGGATAGCGGGTAAAGTCAATACTGAGCAGTGTGTGTGTGTGTGTGTGGCGACTACGCAGCATCCAAGCCAACGGCGCCAGTGAAGAGCTTGAGCCAATAGGAGAGTTTATAAGGAGCTTGACTTGCCTCGGCTCAAACACATAGTGTCCTAGGAAGACATTGACTAGCCACCCTAATTCATGGCATGGACAGGGGCATGTCGAATATGCTACCACCAGCGCCTTCCCTACACGGGTTGCGGTAGAATATGGCCTGACATAACCGGCAACTTCCGCACAGCCCATGGTTGGAGTGTCGGCTAATGCAAGTTGTCGGCTTCCCGGGGTCCCCGTGGCCTGACCAAGTCTTCCAAGCGAGGATCCATCACCTCTATACGGTGATCAATAACTTGAGCCACGATTATCCTTGCGAGTATTAACCCTGGCTGCTGTCAGCCCCCCCTTTACACCACCACTGGCGTCGACTCTTGCATCATCACCAGGAGCAACTTCTGGCGCAGTTCGATCCGTGTTTTTTTCGCCGATTGCTGCGACAGTCGTGTCTTCTCCCTGACGACCCCCACTCTTAATCTGAGTCTGCTCTGCATCATCACCGCCGCTCGCCCTGCCTGCCTTCTTTGAGACGTCGATAGTCCTGGTCTCCACAAACCACGTCAGCACGGCAGCCCCGGCTGTTGCTGCGACCGGCAGGATGAACGCGGTAGTAAGAGCTCCGTTGAGCACCTCACGCACTGCTGCCTGAGACGCGGGCTCCAGCGCCTTCATGCTGTCTATCATCTCCTGCAGACCCTGGCCGGCCAAGTCGCTCACGATGCTGCTGTTGCTGCTGCTGGTGCTACTGTTGCCGCCGCTTGCATCGACGACACCGCGCAGACCGGCTTGCAGATTCTGCACGAATATGGACTGCGCGATGCTGATCCCCACCGCGCGCCCGAGCTGCTGTGAGAACAACTCCATGACTGCGGCCAGCGGCATATCATGGGGAGAGACCACGACCTGGATCGCCAGGACGGACGAGTGGATAGCCAAGCCGAACCCAGCGCCAATGGGGATCTCGGAGCCAATGTACCACGCGGGGCCGCTCGTGGTGCGGAGTTGCTGGAAGAGCACGGAGCCCACAAGGTAGACGAGGGGCCCCGCGCGGAGGAAGGGGAGAAAGTGGCCCCACGTGCTTATGGCTTGGGAGGATATGGCGACGCTGATAATGTTGGAAAAGGTGATTGGCAGCTGGTAGACGCCGGACAAGGTGGCGCTGATGTCGTGCACGGTCTGCAGATATGTCGGGAGCAGGGTAATGTGCGTAACGTTGGCGGCGCCGTAGAGCGCCGAGAAGGCACAGCAGCAAGCTACAGTGCGCTGGTTGATTAACCGGAGGGGCACAAGGCCGCTGTTGTGAGAAGGCGCAGGACTGTCAGCAGGTTTGACACAATAGCCGGCTCCGGGGGGTCCGGTCGATTTGGGGGCTGAGGATATAGCTCACTCGTCTTTCTTTCGGACCTGCAAAGCCGCAAAGGCTATAGCAAGTAGCCCCGCGCCGAGCAGGCATCCCCAGACCTGCGGAGACGAGTAGGGAAGACTGCTGCCCCCCCACTCGAGGGCAAGGAACAGGAGCACCAACCAGGACATCAACAGCCCTGTGCTAATTGGGTCACACCTGTTGAGCTTCGTAAGGAGAGGCAGGTCGCAGTTGGGGTTAGGAACGCTGTCGACGACGAAGTGGAACGTTGCAAGGGCCACGACTCCTAGGGCTGATACGACGCACACGAAGACTGTGTAAGCCGAAGGTGCATCCTCTTCAAACGTGTCCAGAACAGGCAACTGGGGAAACAAAAGTGCCCACTTACGCAACTGAATCCAGAAGTTGAAACGCCACTGCGGAACCGAGAAGGGCATGTGTCAGAGAATAGCCGTGATTTTGTGGCAGGCATGGAACATCATTTCCAAAGTAGGATAGACGGTTGTGCCAGCGCGAGCACAGCCTCGCCGAGGGCTTGCATGACTCGAAGAAGTTGTACGCACGGGTGAGTGTGTGTATACGTACGGTGAGATATGAGTCCGTTAGGGCTCCGCTGATGCTAGGCCCCGCCGTATAGGCGACCGACTGCATCGCGAAGAAGAAAGCCATTAGCCGGGGCCGCTCGCGCATGGGTGTGTGCCCGAGGATGGCGAAGCCGCCAGCCATGATGCCCGCTGCCCCGACACCGGAGACTGCCCGACCTAGGATGAAAACTGCTGAGCTCGGTGCCGTGGCACACAAGACCGAGCCAACCTCGAATACAAGCATCGCTGCCATGTAGAACAGCTTTGGCTCGAAAAATCCCAGGACTCGGCCGAAGACGAGCTGGAATGGCATCTGTGTCAGCAGGTAGGCGCTTGTATACCAACTGATATGGTCGAGCGTCCGAAAGTCCGAGGTAATGGCAGGAATGGCCGGGCCTAAGAGTTACATGTCAGTGGAGAGGGCGTTGCAAATACACCTCAATTGCGGAATGGAGATCGGCGTTACCCAGCGTGCTCGAATCCAGAGCTGTGAGCAGACTTGCCAAGCCCAGAGTGAATGTGATCAGGTAGATCCGCCATCGTGGGAGCTCTTCGTTGTTGGGAATGTGCGCGACATTTCCTTGGGCTTGGGCTGCCTGGGTGTCTGTGGGGGTGCGTACCTCGGACGATGCTGTGTCGGTTTTGTTTCCGGTCATTGTGTCACTGTGAATGTCTTTCAGCTTCCTCGGCTGCAGTGTCCATCAGACTCCCAATTCGTATATTCGTCTATATATACAACGCGTTCCGACCCTTGTCTAGAACGCTCGGTCCCGGCCACAAGAGCGGGACATAAGCAGCCGTCAGCTTCTTCAGAAGTAACAGGTGGACCCAGGGAAGAGGTCATTCCCCCGCCACTGTCTGTATTAGCTGTCTGTAGCCTACCTGTGCTAAACATACATCTCACTAGATCGTCAAAAAGATTGCAGACTTCGATACACTGTCGTTAGTACCATTCTGAATTATTTGCGTGTAACACTTACCATCATAGGACGTACAATAGCCACTAGACTTCTCGGCTAGGTGTGGACCTCTTCAAGGTCCCTGAACCTGGTCAGCGGCAGCGGCAGGACAGGCCGTGGATCCGTCCTTACGCTGCGGACCCATCCTTGCGTTGTCAAGTCGGCATGAATCCTGGTCGACAGACATGCACGTCCTTGGATACCCCCACAACCCCACATTCTGCATCGAAGTCTCTGGGCTCAGGGTTTCGACCCAAGCATGGACAAGCAGAACACATCAAATATGCATGTATGCGGGCTCTGTTTGACTTGGCATGTGAAGTGGTGGGATGCAATTATTTGAAATTCCAGCCCCTGGCATGTCATCACGTAGCATCCAGGGAAAGCTATCATCCTTGAATCTTGACAGAGTCGAAAATCAACGCCGGGTCGTCGCTCTTTGCACTCTCTTGTGTCGAGACTACGAGAACCCAGTCGAAGATGTCTCCCAGCTCCAGCTTTGCGGGCAACATGCTTCCACCCCTAGCCATTGCTGCCTTAGCGCTAGGTCTTCTACCGGTCACGATAGCCATCTACAACTTGTTCTTCCATCCCCTGGCCCGCATCCCAGGTCCAAAGTTGGCAGCTGTCACAAGGCTCTGGTTCGCATACCATGCCAGGTTAGGCCGATCTCGAGGCCTCACAAGATGGTTGCACGCTACGTACGGGCCTGTGGTGAGAGTCACTCCAAACATGGTCTGGTTTGTGTCTGCAGACGGATTCAAGCAGGTGTACAGTATGACAGCGGCCCACCAATGCCCTTTCGAAGGGCAAAAACCGAGTTAACTGGACTTCAACAGGAGCGGGATCGCCGTTTGGAAAGGCAGACTGGTACTGTATGTTCAAATTGTCAAGCGCATGCGTAGTAGAGACCCAATCATCTTACTTTGCCTACTTTCAGATGCCGTCGCTGCTGGCCATGGCCCTGTCAGTTTGTTCCCGATGAAACGAGAAGCACCAGATACGCTCGACTTAGTGGCGGAGATGTACATGCCACGCTACCGCGCACAGCGCCGCCTGATCGGACCGACATACAGCCAGGCCAACCTTCAGAACCACGAGGTCGCCGTGGACGAGGTCGTCGAGCGATTTGTTGCGAAGCTTCGCCAGCTCGAGGGCAAGGAGGTTGACCTTATGGAATGGATGCACATTCTGGCCATCGAGTGCCTTACTGCTGTGACGTTCCGCTGGTCGCCAGGTCTGATTGAGGCTGGCACCAACTACGACACGCTGTGGGACGGGTATTTCCAGTTCTGGCGATATGCGTCCGTCGTCGGCTTGTTTCCGCGGATCGTATTGCTCTCGCACAAGCTAGGGCTCAAGTCGAAGCGATTCTTGCAGCGACTTGTGGCATTGGGAGTACCGAGTTGTCCACCACCATCGAAGAATATTTGGATGGTCAGTTAGAAGTGATCTATATTGGTCGCTCGTATTCGAACAGAGCGCTAACACATGACACAGGGAATTGTCGGGCAAATGATGTCCCAGTCAGTTGGCACGAGAGACGTCCAGAAGGAGCCCATTGGCGGCCTGTCCGATGACCTAGTCCGCTTGCACCAGGAGAAGCCTGAATTCAAACAGGAATACCTCAGCGGCATGGTGTCCGCTACGCTATTTGCTGGCGGCGACACCCTGACCGCATCACTCATGGCTGTCATTGCACAGGCCAATCACCTTCCGGAGGTCAAGGCTCGTGTTATGCGAGAGATCGAGACCAGCGACATCAAGGGTACAGCCTCATTCCAGACTGTGAATAGCCTCGAGTACACCACCGCCACGATTAAAGAGTCCATGCGCCACTGGCCTGTTGTCGGGCTCGCCATGTATCGGGAGGTCCCTGCTCGGGGGCTTACCTTGGAAGGGTACAATATTCCTCCTGGCACGACGGTCGGCACAAGCCCGCTGGCTATGCACCTCAGCAAAGAGATCTTTGGCGAAGATGCCGAGGAGTTCAAGCCTGAACGCTGGTTGGACGAGGAATATCGTCTCGCATTGGAGAAGTACAATTTCGCGTTTGGTAGCCCAAATCGGTCTTGTCCAGGGAGGAATATTTCAGAGCAGGCCATCTTTAAGGCCTTCCCGACGCTCATGAAGCATTTCGATATCGAGATTGTCAAGATGCCGCATGAGGATGACATGTTGACGTATGGCACCGCTATAATGAATGGGGTCAAAGTCAAATTCCATCCCAGGGCTTGATCGAAGCTCATAGTTATCTGGAATTCCAGGCGCTCAATTCCATTGCACGTCCTCTGGTTGAGCACTTTCTAGGACTCTGCGTTCACACTCCGGCGGGTTGTTGCCGTATGATTATAGCACAGATTACAAGAAAATGTATTCAGGTACTCGTGACGTGCTTTCAGATCGGATTCCGTCTCATCCGCGAACCGTCTTGACTGTAAATTTTATCATATCTTGAAACACACTTGCTCACTTTACCAGTTCGCTACCAACGCTGCCACCGGTCACGGGACTAAGTATTGTCTTTCCGTAGTCGAGTCTGCTGTGTCTATTAGCCTTTTCCCCCGAACATGCTCGCAAGTTCGGCCATAATTTTCACGAGGGGACCACGCAATGGTGGCTGCGCCTCCTCATGTCTGTGGTTCAAGCTGCATGTTCCTGCCTCGTGAAGTGCATATGCAATGTGCATGCAGACAGGGGCGACGCCCAGGGGTCTCAACGCTTCGTTCCGCTGCAGACAGCGGTATGACCGGGACTACATCACCCCGCGTCGCCATATGAAGTTAAAACGATTACACATCTGCCTTGCGAAGACCCAGCGAATAGTAAGTCACAATCCGTACGGAGGAAGCGCAATAGTCTGGGCCGATTGGTCCAGGCTGACCAAGTACCTGTGCTTCTGCAACGAGGTTACAAATATGCCTCCTGCCAAGTCGGGGTGCAGAGATGTGGAGACCTCCAGGCCTTGTTTTAACCGCTAGCGCAACACAAGCACATCGACGAGACTTGCACCACCAAGCTTTACGACGGACATGCCGGGCCGTCATAGGACTTCTTGAAAAGTTCAAACAGGACCCATGGCCCTTGCAAATTTAGTGGTTAATTCCCGAGCGCTGTGCTAAAGACTGAGCCACCTCTGGCTACGTGTTTAGCTGACCCGGCGGCCCATTGCGGAACGGTGACCTTGGCCGGAAGCTCCGCCATGCGGCCAAGTGGACTGTAGAAGCTAGGTGAGACGATCGGTCCCGAACGCCAGAGTAAGCCGGATGCTTGGAACGTGGGACCTTCTCTCATTTTGGGGAGCTTCTCTGCTTCCTCCCCGCAATTCTAGGTCGAAGATGGTAGGCGGGAGTCCCTCACAGGTAGGCAGTAGCAAGATACACGAGTGATCCCAGGGCTTCTATGCATCCCGTGTGGAGAAGCTCACGACCTGGGTGGGTTGGTATAAAGCACCAACATATGTTCTCTGGCATATATGAGCGGTGATAGCCTGTCTCTCCGCGCCTTGGGTTACTTGCCAACGAAAGGGCCCTGCTTTCTGTGTCACTGATTGTATTCTGCTATCAAGCCTGATCAATAAGCACAACAGGGGATCTCCACTTCTTGCGTCCTCATTGAGTCCGGCTTCGTCAAGCACCAATCCTGCACTGCCACAGAAGTGTAGGTCGTTCTTGAGTTGCAGTCTTATGTCTTCGTTTGCCTAAGACAGTCCACCAACTATGGAAAGGCCAATCCCCATAGCCATCATTGGCATGAGCTGCCGCCTCCCAGGCGGCGCCAACAGCCCTGAGCAACTATGGGACATGCTGTACGAGGGTCGCAGCGGCCATGGCCCCGTCCCACCCACAAGATGGAACGCAGACGCTTTCTACCACGCCGACCCCAACGCTCGCGAGTCAGTGCCCTTCAAGCACGGCTACTTCCTGCGAGATGACATCTCGGCCTTTGACGCTCGATTTTTCCGCATTCCGCCGCGAGACGCCAACGGCATGGACCCGCAGCAGCGGTTGTTGCTCGAGGTGACCTACGAGGCGCTCGAAAACGCGGGCATGCGGCTCGAAGACATACGGGGCTCAAACACCGCGGTGTATATAGCCGAGTTTGCTCGAGACTATGACCGCATGATGTCAAAGGACGTGCCCAATGTGCATAAGCTTCATGTGCTCGGCGGGGGAGACGCGATCCTCGCCAATCGGATATCATATCTCTTGGACTTGAAGGGGTCCTCGTTCGTGCTCGACACAGGATGTGTAAGTTCCGGCCTCATGGCTGCCGAGACCGAGCCCGCTAATCCTAACCGCAAATCTTGTTAGTCCGGCAGTATGGTCGCTGTGCACCAAGCGTGCCAAGCGATCCGCAACGGGGAGACCAGCATGGCGATTGCGGGTGCCTGTCAGCTCGTCCTCCACCCCGATCAGTCCATGTACATGAGCCAGATCAAGTAAGTGCATAATGCTCAATGTCTCTTTGGAGCTTTCATCTGACAGAACCGCTTTCTCGCATAGTATGACAAACCCCGACGGCCAATGCTACGTCTGGGACGACAGGGGCAGCGGATATGGCCGTGGTGAGGGAGCCGGCATCATTATCCTCAAACGTCTCGACCATGCCATTCGGGACAACGACACAGTCCATGCCATCATCGCCAACACTGGCATAAACCAGGACGGCAAGACTGCAGGCATCTCCCTGCCCAACGGCGAGGCGCAGGCCGCTCTCGCCAAGTCGGTGTACGCTGCAGCTGGATTTGATCCTGCCGAGACGCTTTACGTCGAGGCGCACGGCACTGTAAGTCTCGCCTCATCCGTACATGTGTCCATAGTGATGAAAACTAAGGACTCTTCGCTAGGGAACGCAAGCAGGTTTGTCAACACATCCAGGCATGCGAATTGCAACAGGCTTTACTGACTGTATCTATGTAGGTGATAAGGAAGAGATTGCGTCCATATACGACACGTTCTGCAACGGCGTTGATCGGCGCCGAAACGTGAGAGTAGGCTCTATCAAGGCCAATATCGGACATCTCGAGTGTGCAAGCGGTATCTCGGCGTTGATCAAGTCGGTCATGATCCTAAAGAAGGGCCATGTCCCTGGCAACATTAACCTCAAGACCGTCAAGCCATCAATTGCAAAGTTTATGGGGGGTTCACTAGAAGTAAGTCCTGCCAGGGAGTTCAGATACGACGCTGTGAACATCGAGTACTGACAGCTAGGGGTCTGTTGTGTTTTAGCTGCCAATGACAACAACTCCGTTTGCCGATCCTGACTACCACGGACCGCGTCGAGTCTCAATCAGTGGGTTTGGATACGGTGGAACAAACGCCCACGCCATTCTTGTTGCAGCTGATTCAACTGATTACACTGTCCACGAGAACGGTATTGGCCCCGCCATGCCCGCCAACGGCCATGTCAACGGAAATGGCCATACGCACGGCACTGAGCCTAATGGCAGCTCCGACAGCGCACATGCAACCAACGGTGTGAACAAGTCTGACGCCCCCAATGGTGCCAGCAACACTTCAGAAAACACCGCTACAGTGGATCAAGCAACCACAAAAGAGTATCCGCACCTGTTTGTCCTCGCTGCTGCCTCTGAGGTGTCCTTGTCGAGCATGACGGCCAAGCTCGGGCGTTGGCTGGCAGACCACAACCCCGGTCCAGCGAAGTTGTGTGATCTAGCATACACGCTCGGCGCTCGGCGATCGACATACAACTGGCGGACGACAGTGACCGCGGCTAACGCAGAGGCTCTGATAAAACAGCTCGCACTGTCAAAAGCAATCAAGCCCCCCGCCGTAGAGCCGAATGTGACGTTTGTCTTCACGGGGCAAGGTGCACAGTGGTACGCAATGGGACGGGAGCTCCTGCAGTCGTCCGGCCGCTTCTGGGAGTCCGTGCAGCACTCTTCGAGATTGCTTCTGGAATGGGGGAGTCCCTGGACTCTCGTCGAAGAGCTGCTCAAATCCGACGAAGTGTCGAGGCTGAATGAGAGTGAGCTGGCGCAGCCTGCTACCACGGCCATCCAGATTGCGCTCGTGGACTTGCTGCAGACTTTCGCGGTCGTACCGCAACGGGTATGCGGCCATAGCTCTGGCGAGATTGGGGCGGCCTACGCTGCAGGCGCTCTCAGCCATGACGCTGCTCTAAGAGTGTAAGTTGATGACCTCGCCAGCGCTGGTTTGATTTTGTGCGAACCCGGAAGCTGACTGACTCCCGCTGGATGACGATAGATCTTACCTTCGCGGCATCGTCTCAAGAAAAGCCAAAGACTCGAACCCCACCCGAGGATCTATGCTCTCTGTTGGCCTAGGCGAAGATGCAGTCAGGTCATATGTCAAGCTGGCCACCGACGGCAAGCTCGTTACAGCTTGCATCAACAGTCCTGAGAGCACGACCATTTCTGGCGATGAAAGTGCCATCGATGCCCTCGCTGCCGTACTCGCTGACAAAGGCATCTTCAACCGGAAGCTCAAGGTGGATACGGCCTACCACTCACACCACATGCTCGCGGTTGCCGACGAGTACTTACAGGCTCTGGAGGCTGCTGGGTTGTCAGAGATGCCCGCAAGCGGGACAACAGTATTCTTTTCGTCTGTGACTGGTGAGCGGAAGGTTGACGGCTTTGGCCCTTCGTACTGGGTCCAAAACCTGGTTTCTCCCGTGCAGTTTGATAAGGCTGTAGCAGCAGCTGCAGAAGACATTGTCAGTTCACCAGCCTCAGAGACGGGTCAGACTCCTACCAACGTCTTCGTCGAGATTGGTCCCCATGCGGCGCTCAAAGGCCCAGCTCGACAGGTCCTCGCCGTCAAACCGGGCGCCTCCTTTAAACACATCTACGTCTCACCGCTTGTGCGGAAGCAAAATGCCCTTGAATCGACCCTGGATGTGGTAGCCAAGCTCTTCGAAAGCGGCAGTAGCACTCTCAACATGGCCGCGGTGGCCAGCCTCCACTCCGCTACCTCCTCGCTCCCACGACTCATCGCTGACCTGCCTCCCTATGCTTGGGACCACACGTCCAGGTACTGGCACGAGTCCCGCCTCAGTCGCGACCACCGCCTCCGCAAGTTCCCATACCATGATCTGCTCGGCGTGCTCGACGTCATGAGTGACTCACTGACACCACGCTGGCGACACCACATTGATCCCGAGTCCCTTCCCTGGATCCGTGACCACGTGGTGGATGGATTCATCCTATTCCCCGGAACAGGCTACATCAGCATGGCGATCGAGGCCCTCAAACAAGTCATTGAGCTCCGCGGCATGCCGGGAACGCCGAGCAGGTTCCTCTTGCGCGATGTCAAGTTCATCAAGCCCCTGATCATCCCACAGCCCGCGGCCAACGAGGAGAAGCAGCAAGTCGAGGTTCACCTCACGCTTGTGCCTGAAAGCGTCGCCACCGCGGACTCTACCAAAGGCTCAGTCGCCTGGCAGGTCTTCCGCGTGACTTCGTACGACAGGCTCAGCTCCCTGTGGACTGAGCACTGCAGCGGGCGCATCAGCGCGGCCATGCAGCGCCCTTCGGCCGAGTTTGAGGTCGACGCCGGGCTCGCGGCTGCGGATCTGGCAGTGCTCGAGCAGACGCGAGCCCGGGCGAGCGACGTGCGCGATCCGTCGCAGTTCTATGCCCGCCTGGCCGAGTCGGGAAACGCTTTCGGTCCGACGTTTAGCTGCATGACCGAGCTTGTGCTCGGCGACCACGAGTCGTACGGCAGGGTGGTCGTCCCTGACATTGCGAGCACCATGCCCGCAAAGTACCAGCTGCCACATGTGGTCCACCCGGCCACGCTCGACGCGCTGAACCACCTGGCCGCGGCCATGTACCAGCGTCATTGCGGCAACCAGCCCTTTGTCGCCGCGGGTATCGATGAGATTACCATTTCGGCTGGCATGAGCAGCCTTCCAGGCACGGAGCTCGTGATTGCTGGCAAGATGGAAAGCAGGACGAAAAGGTCTGCCTCTGGCACTACTCGCGTGTTTCAGCGAAAGGCCGATCAGAACAACGAGGAAGCCGTCGAGCCGATTCTCACACTTCAGGGCTGGAGGCTGCAGGCAGTCGGTGAGGCCAAGCGCCCTGAGAACGAAGAGGTTCCCTTTTCCAGAAGCATGACCTACCGCATGCAGTGGCGACCCGATGTCGACAATCTCACAAACGAAGCCTTCAACGCTCAACTGGCCGAGAAGAGTCTGTACGCTGTGGGCTACTCGCCAGACTGCGGACCCCTCGAGACGACGTTTCTGCACGAGTCGGCGGCCTTCATATACATCAAGCGGGCCGTCGAGCAGATCGAGAAGAAGGGACTCAGCATCGACACCTCGTCACCGCATCTTGCCAAGCTGTACAAGTGGATGCACGCGCTGGTGCAGCCGGGAAACGAGCACATGATCCCCATCATCCCAGACAAGATCGACATTCCCAGATTACCTCCTCCTGCCACCAGCCCCGAGGAGAAGAAGGTGCGGGAAGACTTCATCCTCGCCCGCGACGCCCTTACCGGCGCCCAGGGTGCGATGCTCGAGCGGATCGGCACCCAGCTCGAGAGCATCCTGACCGGCAGCGTGGCGTCGCTGACGCTCATGTTCCGCGACGACCTGCTCGAGCGGCTGTACTCGGAGGACATGATGGCCTCGTCGTACGCACAGATGGCCGAGTACGTCCGCCTGCTGGCGTTCAAGAACCCGCGGATGCGCATCCTCGAGATCGGCGCGGGGACGGGCGGCGCCACGCTGCCGCTGCTCAACGCGCTGCAGGATCCCGTCGATGGTCCGCTGTTTGGGCGCTACTGCTACACGGACATTTCGTCGGGCTTCTTCGAGAAGGCACGCGTCAAGTTTGGCAAGTGGGAGGACAGGATGGACTTCCGCACGCTCGATGTGTCAAGGGATCCTGCCTCGCAGGGCGACTTTGGCGAGGCCAGGTTTGACCTCATCGTGGCTGCGAATGTGCTGCATGCTACGCCGCTGCTGGACGTCACGGTCGACAACTGCCGCAAGCTGCTCAATACTAACGGGCGCATGATTCTGATGGAGGTCAGCCGCCTGACCTTGGCACTCAACGCCATCTTTGGCACGCTGCCGGGCTGGTGGATGAGCGAGGATGGGAGAGAGAACACGCCTACGGTTCCTGTGCCGGTGTGGGATGGGATCCTGAGGAGGCAGGGTTTTGCTGGCGTCGAGATTGCAGCGCCTGACCGCCAGGACGAGACTGCCAGCATGACCGCGATGGTGTGCAGGGCAATCGAGATCGAGGCGGCGGCCCCCGCGCCTCGGGACCAGAATGGCGATGCTGCGGCGGTCAATGATGATAGCCTATCGCCACCGCAGCAGTCCATCACAGTCCTGCTAGGCCACGACGACAGCCACACAGCTTCTTCTCCTGCCGATAGTATATCTCGTGCATTCACCTCAAGAGGTATTGACTGCAAGGTCGAGCACCTCGGACAAGCCACCATCGTTGATGGAGGCAGCTACATCCTGCTTGACGCCGCAGAGCACCCGGTCCTCAAGGAGCCCAGCCCCGAGGGTTTCGCATCATTCCAGAGCCTCGTCACCGTTGCCAAGAACGTGCTCTGGGTGGGTTTCCATAGCACCGGCGAGTCTGCCAACGTGACGGCCATCAAGGGCATGGTCAACGGCTTCGCTCGCGTGATTCGCAACGAGAACTCGTACATCAACCTCCTCACGCTGGACGTCCGCGGTACCATCCCCGATGCGAACGATAAGGACGATGCGGCTGCCGTGTCCCGCCAGATCGCCAGCATCGCATCCCAAAGCTTCTGGCCGTCATCGTCGTCATCATCATCAGGAGACACCACTGCTGAGCCCGAGCACGGCCGGGAACTCGAGTTCGCGCTGAGCGCCAACGCGGACCGGCGGATCCTGATCCCCCGCGTCCGCGTGGACGACAAGTTCAACAGCTGGGTCGCGAGCACGCGGCCTGAGCACGCCAAGACGACGCACCTGCACCGCTTCCACGACACCTCGCGCGCGATCAAGCTCGAGCCCGAGGTCCCGGGGCTGCTCAACACGCTGCGCTTCGTGGATGACGAGGTCGCGGCCACGCCGCTCGAGCCGTACCAGATACGCGTGCGGCCCGTCGCGTACGGCGTCAACTTCAAGGACGTGTTTGTCGCCCTCGGACAGGGCCCGCCGGGTGCCATCATGGTCGGCGAGCATGCAGGCGTGGTGACCGAGGTCGGTGCTGACATGCTGGACCGGTATGCGGTCGGCGATCGCGTCGCGGGCATGGGCGCCGAGGCGATGGCCAACTGTCCGCGGCTGCACGGGCTGAACGCGCACAGGCTGCCCGAGAGCATGAGCTTTGTGGATGGCGCCTCGGCGACAGTGGTTTTCTGCACGGCGTGGTACTGCTTGGTGACTGTGGGAAACCTGCAGAAGGGGGAGAGTATTCTGATCCGGTGAGTTCTTGGTTTGACACCTGATTTTGTGGGAGACTTTTGGCTGACAATTCGGTGACGCAGTACGTTTGAGCACTTCTCTTGCTGATATCATGTTACGATAACTAGGAGGGAGATACCCGCTAGCATCATCTTCACTCCCCCCTCCTCCTTAGCTTCTTCCATCAACCAGATAGGTAAAAAGGCGTAGTCCATGCTAACGTTCTCTCCTACAGACTCCGGCTCGGGCGGTGTTGGCCAAGCAGCCATCCAAATCGCGCAGTATCTCGGTGCCGAGGTCTACACGACAGTCGGCAGCGCGGCCAAGAAACAGCTCGTAATGGAAGCCTACGGCATCCCAGCAAGCCACGTCTTCTCCTCCGGGTCCACAACCTTCAAGGACGGCATCCTGACGCAGACGGGCGGCCGGGGTGTCGACATGGTGCTCAACTCGCTGGCGGGCGAGCAGCTGCGCGCCAGCGTCGAGTGCGTCGCCACGTTTGGCAAGTTCATCGAGATTGGCAAGGCCGACATCTACAAGAAGACGAACCTCGGCATGGCGTGCTTCGACAAGGGCATCACCTTTGTGGCGGTCGATTTCGTGCTCATCGTCTTCCAGCGGCCTCATCTCGTGCACGAGGCGCTCAAGGAGGTGTACGCGCTCTTCGAGAGGGGCGTATTTCGGTCCATCACGCCGGTCACGACCTTGCCGATGGCGAGGGTCGAGGAGGCGTTCCGCATGATCGCCAACCGCGAGCACACGGGCAAGCTGGTCATGCTGGCTGGGGATGACGACATGGTGAAGGCTGTTGTCCCGGCGCCTTCTCCGCTGACACTTGACAGCAACGGCACTTATGTTGTCGTCGGTGGGCTTGGTGACCTTGGGCGACGAGTATGCCTGCTTCTCGCCCGCGGCGGAGCAGGTTGTGTGGTGACATTGTCGAGGAGCCTCCCTGCCGAGGAGGAGCTTGAGAGGTTCAGGCAAGAGGTTGCGAGCGAGGGCAAGGAGTGCCGCTTCGTGAATATGCTATGCAACGTCTCGGATGCTGCTGCCGTCAAGGCGATTGCTGAGCAGCTGCAGTCCGACTCGTCCCCTGTCCGTGGTGTTGTGCACTCGGGTCTCGCCCTTGCGGTAAGTAACTCCTGCTGACCTCTAGATGTTAATCTCTCCTTTGTTTCTGAAAATGACTGACAACCCGAACAGGACCGCCCGATTGAGCTCATGACCCACGCCGAGTACATGACAGCCGTCTTGCCAAAAGTCCACGGCACCCTCAACCTCCAGGACGCCTTTGGCTCTGACACTCTCGACTTCATGATCCTCCTCTCGTCGTCGACTGGCATCCTCGGCATGAAGGGCCAGAGCAACTACGCGGCAGGCAACACCTTCCAGGACGCCTTTGCCAACGCGCACAACGCCCAGTCCAGCCACACGCGCTACGTGTCACTCGACATTGGCGCCATTGCCGGCTCGGGCCACGTCTCGCGGCTGCCGCTGCAGGGCGTCGAGATGCAGAAGCAGAACATTCTCTTCATGACCTTTGGCGAGGTCGTCATGCTACTCGAGTACGCAATGGGCCCGCTCGCCGTGAAGGACGACTTCTCGCACAGCATCGTGGGCATCACCCGCGACACCATGTCGACCATGCAGGACTCGGCGGCGTTCACGAATCCCATGTTCCGCCTGCTGCCAGAGACCAAGTCCGCTGATGACAGCGACGACGAGAGAATCAAGAACGATGCGGGAGGCAAGAGCCGGGCACAGCAGGACCCAGGCAAGCTCGTAGCGCAGGCCAAGACGATGGATGAGGTCCGGGAGATCATTGCGGTTGCCACGGCAGCCAAGTTCTCGGCCTTCCTGGACATCGAGGTGCCCGTGGACATCCCCATCGTTCAGCTCGCGCTCGACTCGCTCGTGTCCATCGAGCTCAAGAACTGGATGTCGCGGACGTTCCAGGCCCCCGTCCAGGCCTCTGAGATCGCGGGCGCTCTCAGCATCAACGCCCTCGCGAGCCTCCTGGCAGATCGGTCAAGGTGCGTCAGTGACGAAGTGCGCGCTGGTGCTGGCAGTGCCGAGGCATCGCAGCCACCACAGGCGAGCAAGGTTATCTTGCCTGAAAGCATTCCTTCCGAGCCAAAGACGAAGACGAACGGTATCCATGTTAATGGCACAAATGGCACCACCACCGCGGCCACCACCAACAGCGTCAAGACCCCTGAGCAGGACGACGTGGAAAGTACTCCCGCCCCCAAAGCCCACGTACAGCCAGAACATCCCCCGACGCCACCGCCAGAAGAGAAAGCAAAAGGCTGGCACGGCTACGAGTGCTGCAAGCACTGCAAGGTCCTGCCCAAACCACCACTGCCAGACCTCGACGATATCCTCGACTACACTCTCGCCAACACCGGGCACTTCTTCGCGCCCGGTGCCGAGCGCGACGCGTTCGTCCAAGCCCTCGACGAGATGCGCCAGCCCGACAGCATCGGCCGGCAGGTCCACGCGGGCCTGCGCGCGCGCCGCGACGACCCAGAGGTCGACAGCTGGTCGGCCGAGCTGCTCGCCGACGCGCTGTACCTGCAGCGCCGGGAGCCACTGGCGCCGTTCTCGAGCTTCGTCGGGTGCAACGCCGACGGCGGCAGGGGGGAGCAGACGCACACGCAGGCGACGCGCGCGGCGCTGCTCACGACGGCCCTGATGGACTTTAGGACCGCGACGGTCCGGCACGAGGTCGAGCCGCAGTGGTTCTTTGGGAAGCCCTCGTGCAACTCACAGCTGCGCTGGCTGTTTGATGCCTGTCGCGAGCCTGCAGTCGGGAAGGACGTGATGCGGCTGTACGAGGACTCGAGGCATGTGGCGGTGCTGAGCAAGGGGCGGCTGTTCAAGGTGATGCTTGTCGGCGAGGATGGCGAGATGGTGTCCTTTGACAGGCTGAGGGCGACCTACGATGCGATTGTCAACACGACCAGGGGTGGGCATGATGAGTGGACGGGCATCTTGACTTCTGATCAGAGGGATAGTTGGGCGGAGGTGAGTGAACTCCTGTTTCTTCGGTTCAGGTACCCAGGGATGGGCTAACGAAACATGACCTCCTGCTTGGGGCACACAGATCCGCAAAGCCTGCATGGCCCACAGCGCCGCCAATGCAGAATATATTCAGACAGTCGAGACGGCCATCTTCCTGCTGTGCCTCGACGAGGGCTCGCCAGACACGGATCCGGAGCAGGTTCGCCAGGCGTGGTTCGGCGATGGCTTCAACCGCTGGAGCGACAAGACGAACCAGGTCATCGTGTCGGCCAACGGTAAATCCAGCGTCATCCTCGAGCACGGCATGCTCGACGGCATGACCTCGTGGCGCTTCTCCGAGAGGATCCAGCAGGCCATCAACAGCGCTCCATCGCAGCTTGTCACCAGTGATTCTAGCGTTGGTGATGATGGTGCTACTGCTGCTGCTTCCAAGCAACACGATATCCATCTCGAGGAGTTTGTCTTCACGCCCACTCCAGATTTGGACAGCCACATGCTTCTGCTCCGCGAGCGGTACCTCGCTGCGACATCCCGCGCCGACTACGGCAACCACGTCGTCGACGCGTTCGGCACCGAGGACCTGATGGCGTGGAACATGCCCATCAAGTCCGTCCTCGACGCCACGGTGCAGCTCGCGCTGCGCCTGCACTACGGGCAGAACGTCCAGGTGTGGGAGGGCGTCTCCATGGCAGGCTTCCACAAGGGCCGCAGCGACCTACTGCAAGTCACCACCTCCTCCGCCGTCGACTTCTGCACGATGGTGCTCGACGGCGATCCCACCGGCAGGACGTACACGCGGGAAGAGAAGCGCGGCGCCCTGCTCAACCTGGGCCGTGAGTTCAGCGCCCACCTGCAGCGCTGCCTTTCGGGGCGGTCGCACCTGCGGCTTCTCGAGATGATGCGCGACCAGTGGCCGAAGGACCAGCCGAAAGCGAAGCTCTTCGAGACCAACATGTTCTGGACGTCGCCCTTTATCATCATGCAGCACGTTCCCCAGGGCGTGGCGTGCGCAAACATGACGCACGGCGTCCAGAAGGACGGGTGCTTCTTCTTGAGCGTCAGCCCGAGCGACCACAGGTGAGTTTCACTTTTGCATAATGCGTGCAGTGAGAGTGTTGGTAAGGAACGCGGGCTAACGATTTGCAGCGTCTATTTTGCCATTGACGGCACCAAGGGTAACACGAGGCCTTTTGCTCGGCGGCTCGACGAGGCGGCGGCGATCATCCGGAAGATCATTGCCTCCTGATTGCACTGCGCGTTGTCGCTGTCACCGTCGTCTGGCGTTTTGGAGTTCCATTATTGTTTTTGTTCTGCTTGTTGAGATTGCCAGACCGGAGTAAAGGCATATTGAATCTCGTATCACGGTTCATTCTCCATGTTAAGCTAACCACTTGTGACTTGAAGTCACCGGCGTGGTTTCTTTCCCTTTATTCTAAATTACTAAACTTCTTCTCTGCCATGATCTCTTCAGCAAGTGCCCTTCACGTTTTTCGTATAAGTTGTCATGACGATATGCTGGTTTCACAAAACCGTGGACTGGACTGGACCTGGTGAACGCCACTTCCTGTCGGCTTATGCTGAAGATGGTGATCTTACCATGCAAATCCCTGGCCTATGGCACTACATAATCCACCAAAGCGACCGGGTCATCTCCCGGGGAGGCCTTGGCCAGCTGCCCAAAGACTCATACACCTCCCGCTACCGGCCAGGGTGTTTGATGCACGGCTGATATTTCGGGACACTCGAATGCTAACCGAGTAACATCATTCACTGCGATTTCGGAGATATTCGCGCCTGCAAGAATGTACCTTTGCCTCATGTTGCTGTTTGTCGCCTCTTGCGAGTCGTGTGTGCGGGCACCAACCTCTCCCCTGCACAGTAGAATGTCCAGGTATTATTTTTGCTGCATACGTCATATCCCACCCTGACAATGTTGGTGATGTATGGTGGATCAAAGAGATCGCTTTGTCTGGAGATTTCTTATGTGGTATCGGCATGAGCAATGCAGTTGTGCTTCACATACCTGCAAGACAGTTGGTCGCAGGAGGGCGGGCGTAGCAGCAGGGTGCCTTGTCATTTGCTTCATTCCGCACATGCCGCGATTCTCTGTTCTCAGTTGGTCATGTCAGAATGGTAGGTCTTTGTTTGCATTATTCGCCGCGTGCATTCCTTATGCCCGAGCGCAAAGGGGCCTTGGCTGAATCTTTGCGGCCCGGCATAGTTTTCAGGTGCTATTCTCATACTAATAACTACACTCTGTAAATGAACTTGGATGGAATGGCGATTTCACCAAGCAATCACGACGGAAGATAGACGTATCATTCGCGTAAGTTGGTTGCATTTCGCTAGCCCATGCCGAAAATGGTACTCAGAAAGAGTATCAGCCAGCATTGAAAATGTATAGCATGCCACGCTTGGGTGTTGTCAACGCAGCAAAACGTTCTGCCGCTGCTAAATATAGATGAGGCAGGTGCTCGTTGTGGGTCAGGTGCTCCTGTTGGTCGACAATCTCAGTGTTGTTGGTGGAGGTACGTGCGACCGCGTCCCGCATTAAGTTGGTGCCTATGTTACTTAAAGTACGTAGTTTGCTCCTGCGCTTGGTGGGGTAGGTGCCAACTAGAACTTGTTTGGCTTGTTGGATTTGACTCGCCGTTCGCATTCCTTCCTGTGATGTTCATGAGTGGGCAGGAGTGAGTTCTGTGCCCCCGTCATATCATCGGCAAAGTCACGCCCTGTTCTTTCCATACGCATCTATCAAACCATCGGCCGTCCCTCAACAGACATATGTTTTGTCCAGCTTCTCAGTCGACCACTGAAGAGGCACAGCAATGGTTTCCAATCCATCTATAATCAACATGGAGTTCGTCTCGACAGGCAACTCGCATTTGCGAATACTGGCAGGATCTATTGTCAAATACATCACCATTCCGGAAGGCACCTTGACCAGCGAAGACCTCGAGGACCTACCCTTCGACTTCCAAAATATCCTGCCACCTATGGACTACACCGGCAATTGGCAATCAGCAATCGTGGCACGCGATGAGCTCTCGGGCGAGCTCGTGTCCATACTCTCTTCCACACCATTGCCGGGAGTCCGGGATAGGTGGTGCTCTCGTTCGGTAGACTTTTTGTCCCTCAAACGTGTTCGCCTACTCGCTCCTCAAACGGCAATCTTCACCTTGAAGGACTCCACATCTTTGGAGGGTGTTCAAACAGCAGCGGCGACTCTCCTGATCGGCAAGATGGCCCGCTTCGGTGGGGAAATACTTTACATGGAAACCGAGACCAGAGCATATCGTTTGTTGAATGACGCCCGACAGCATCAGCGGACTGTACCGCGTACACCAAGATTCCTCGCCCATATTGAAGAGGGTGGGAGGATCATCGGCATGCTTTTAGAGAAGGTCGAAGGTCGTCCGGCTTGTGAGTCTGACGTCGCTGAGTGTGCTCAGGCGCTGAGGGAGTTGTTTCGCGTCGGAATACTGCAAACCGATTGCAACCGGTACAATTTCCTGGTTAATGATAGTGGTCATGTCACTATCATTGACTTTGGTAATGTAACATTCATCACTACAGAGAATGCTGCCGAGGGGGCGGCAATGCTTGAGGAGCAAATTGAAGGTCTAGAGGAGCAATTCCGGGATACCTCTGGCGCAGGGACAGTTTCTTGGGCTTGAGCGACGATGAGTCGGAAGACGGGACGTCGAACGGAAAGGCTTAAATCCCAGGTTTATAGTATCACTCATTCTGTCTCTCCTTTTGACGTTACATTCAAGTTAGAAAATATGGCGAATTGCTGCAATTTCGGTGCTCATAGAAAGCCTACAATGATTTCATGTCATAACAAAACTCCCTTTTTCTTCCTCTTCTTCCCGCCTTAGCTTATAACAACCTTCTGTACCTTAATCTTGTACGCTGCTATTCAGATATATATTCGGTCGGGCTTAGCTATGTACGCGAGCTGCCAAAGCTTTCGGCAAGGATGACAGACCGAGCCCGCTGTGAACACTGGTCAGTGGATGCATTCCCCCTGTCGAGGCTCCCCGGTCTCCTCCTCGTCTATGCATATGGTAGATTTGGCGCCAGCCAAAAACACGCGGCTTTGTACACCTTCTCATACAGGGACTCGTCCAGCATCCACCTCATCCTCTCATACCCGCGTACCGCCTCGTCCTCCTGCTCGCTCTTAACCCGCCACGAGTCATCTGGCTCGTAAATCATCCATTTTCTCTCGCCTCCCTGGGAGTACTTGTCCCACGGGTCTTTCTCGCCATATGCAAAGTCGAGCCAGTCGTCCGCTATCCGGTGCGCGAGCGCCGCCTGCTCGGGAGTCATGATGTCGAGCGCGTTGAGATGGCCGTAGATGTTGTCGACCGAATGGTGTGCGAGGCCCTTGAGGACGTTGTCCGCCGTGGAGGGCCGGTCAAAGTGGTAACCATACACTGCCGGGCTGTGTGCGGCCTGCGAGGCCTTGTCCGCCATGTTGATTACGGGTATCTTGAACAACACATCGGCGCACAGGTTCTCGAGGGGCACTGACAACTCCTCGCTGCCGGCGGGTGACTCCTTCTTGGCCCCGTACTTTTCCGCGAGTATCGTCGTGGCCAGGTCGTCGGAGCCGACGTGCTGGCTGAGGACATTGTGATACCAGTCATAGCCCCTGTCCCGGTTCATCAGCTTGCCGCGCCATATGAGGCCCTCTTGTCGCACGTCGCCAACCATCAGGCTCTTGAGCCATTTGGGCGGCGTCCACTTCGTCAACACTGGGTTATTGAGCAGCTGTTCCTTGCTGAAGATCGCCGGGGAGTGGAACCAGCCGTCGGCGCACAGATTCATGACCACGCCCCGCTGCCCGCCGTCAATGTCCTCGGTGGCGTTTGCGACATCCACCTCGGGCACTCTTCTCAGCTGCTCCAGCTCGTCGGGCCCGTTCTCGATGCCGAAATACCGCAGCACGGCCTGGTACTTCTTCTCCCACATCTCGAGCGGCCAGTTCTCGATGGTGTCCACCGCGCCAGATAACAGCACCGCTCTCTGGAACCCGGGCGCCTCGTCGCCCTCGGCCCCGCGGGCCAGCATCAGGTGCCCGACCGACGCAGCGCCCGCGGACTGGCCCATGAGCGTGACATTGCCCGGGTCGCCGCCGACGTGGCTGATGTACCTGGTCACCCACTGCACCGCGAGCTGCTGGTCCGTCAGCGCAAAGTTGCCGACGCCGGCGAAGCCGTCGCGCGCCAGCTCGTCCTTGATGACCTGCGAGGCGAGGAACCCGCCCAGCCCGAGGCGGTAGTTTATCGTCACGTAGATGCACGGCTTGCCCTGTGTTGACGAGTAGCCTGCAAAGTGGGCGCCGTCGTTGTTGGCCGTGCCGCCGGAGCCGAAGCAGAAGGCGCCGCCGTGGATGTAGATGATTACCGGGAGGAGGGTATTTGGGTCATGGCCTGCTGGGAGAGGCGGCAGTGCGATGTTGAGGTTGAGGCAGCCGAGCTCTGAAGGCGCAGGGCGGGGGATGAGTGGGTGGTCGGGCACGGGAACGGCGAGGTCATTGTCGATGGAGGCTTCATGTGAGGCGATGCCGTGAGATCGGGGCCTGTGTAGAGAGAGTCATGCCGGTCAGTCTCTTGTGGTTGCCAGATATCACCAGGCTCGAGGCAGGACTCACCCTAGCTTTGTGCCGTCGTGCTTGTTGTCTGGCCAGCTGTCGGCGAGGGTTGCCCGCGTCCAGCGCTTCGCCAGCCGGCCGTAAGGTACACCCAGGATGTTGCGCACGCCGTCGTCGTAGGAGAGACATGTCGCTGTGCCGAGGGGCCCGATTTGCACCGTTGTCGTGCCCGTGGGCGTCTGTCGACCCATGGTGAGGTTGTTGGCGATGGTCACTGCTTGATGGCTATTCGTGATGTGTGATGGGGATAGTGCGGAGTGTACTGGTGGTCTTGACGAGGCTCGTCAATATCAAGTGACGTGAGAGACAGAGAGAGGAAAGAGGGCCCCCAGAAGTCGTGACTGCCGTCTTTGAGCATCCGGGGCCCCAGCCCGAAGGTCTGGTGATGCTGCCGAGAACGGAGATTTTGGCCGTAGGGAAGCGCGCCGAACCCCTGGGCTCGGAACCCCGCGCCTCGGGACAAGTGAGTGACGCGCTGCTGTGGGGGTGGGGGAACGGGAACCCCTTCCCTTGCCCGTTTCGGGCGTGGCATGCGACTCACAGTTCGTCAGGACCTGAGAACACACGCCTTTTTGTGATGGGTTTCACGGCAGTTGCTGCTTGCAGAAGCACATCTGTGTTGCATCAGAGCATGCAATCAGGGTCCAATGTGGACTAGGGAGTTGCAGATCCAACTGCTGCGTTCTGGCACATTTTTCACAATTATTCTAGCATTTCTGCAATTGCCAAAATTTCAAAAGTCTTGTCGCAAACTGGCCGGTGTACACGATCGCCAGCGTCTTTCGCGAATCTTCCACTACCCGCGCGTGCTCCACCTCGTCTGATAGTGTTTGAACTGAACGGGCAGACCGGAAGTGTTGATTGAGCAACTACAATCTCGTCACAATGGCAGCACCATCGATTCGTGAATATGGCGGTCCTGCCTACCAACAGGACCAGGAGCTCAACCCGGTCAGCACCAACGCTGGGCGCTGTCCCGAATGCTGAGCCACTCATGGCTCAGTGAGAATAAATGTTGCTGCACAAATTCAATTCCCTGTCATGTTGAGCACCCGACCTTACCCCAACAGCACAGGGCGCCGCAGACCATCACGGAGAAGCCTCCTGCAGTGCTGCAGGGATTGTTCCATGCATGGAGTACCCAATAACTGCCCGATTCTTCAACAACATCTGGTGAGGTGGCCGAGTTGGTTATGGCGTCAGGTTAAGGTTACCTTAACATCGTAGCATCCTGATGGGGCAACCCGCGCGAGTTCGAGTCTCGTCCTCATCACGATATCTTTTTTGGGGTCTGGGAAATGAGCTTTGCACGATCCTTTTTGTGGTGCCAAGGTGGGTTTTTTTTCAGCGGGCCGATCTCGCCATGGTTGGTGGAGAAGCGGGGCTCTGGTCGAGACTGCGCTTGCCTCGGTTCCCTGGCTGGCAATGCATGGGTTCTCGATTGGTTTGCTTTTGCTCCTCTCTGGTCAAAAGGGGGCGGGCTTCTTCACTTTCTTTAATTGTTTTCCTTCCCTCGGACCTGCGGTTCTTATGAAGAACACAAATCCGCTCGTGATGAGCAGCTTCCTTGGTTACTTGCTGAAGCATTGTTGCACTTCCCGGGCGCGCTAAAACCCAAAGCCTGGGTGACGAATTCTGCCTAGCGCGGGAAGCTGCGAGCCTGAAGTTCCATGAAACGATTTAGTTGCGCACTGAGCTCAAGCGGACTTGAGAGAATCTTGAAAGGCCTGCTCAAGCGCGTCTGAATGGCGAGCAAGCCCTCGCTTAATGCTCACGAACGGTCATCGGAAGTTTGCATAGTGGTGGACCGCTGCAAACGGCAAATGGCTGCTGAGTTGGCAGATATGTGTTGGCAGCGTAGAACAGCACATTGAGCGCAGATGCCTGAGGAAGCACTTTCCGGTGCCGACATGCATCCGTGCCGTTTGAGTGGCGCTACATGTTTGTCAACGGGCGCCCGGGTACAGCTCGAGCAGCTCTGGCGCGAGGCTGCAGTACGGCGCGTTCATCGCCAGGACACTGTCATGTCTACCAGGCCAGTCACAGCACGCAGTGGTTAACAATTGATACGGTCGATCTTGGTCTGTCCGCCTAATAAGAGAAGCAAAATCACTTCGGAACCGCTCTGCGTTTCGGCGGTGTCAAGGCTGTGTGCCAACACAGACCGGCTGCACGCAAGGCTGACTGCCAAGGCACCCCTCCGAGTTGTTGGTCGTCGACCGGGTACAGTTTCCTATCTTCATGCATTACTTCGGCCACTGCGGGGTAGAGACAGTGATCTTTCTTCCTTCTCCTCTCCATGTGGCTTGTGTCACGAACTTCGCAGCAGCGAAGGGGTGGCCTTTTCGCATCCCGCCGCCAATCGCTGAGCCGTCGCCCGACGCATTAATATACACAAGCTGCCTGAACGATAGAAAGCCATGGCGGAAACACTAGGCCTTGTGGCCAGTGTCATCGCGGTGGTCGATCTATCTTCCAAGCTCGCAAAGCTCTGCTTCACATATTCCCGCGAAGTCTCTGGGGCGCAGGACGACATTTTCCGATTCCAGGAGAGGCTTGCCGCAATAGAGGCCCTAGCCAGAAGGTTGCAGGATCTCTTGCGCAGCCCGCAGGCACCCAGGGATAGCCACGCAAGTCTGCAAGCAGTTCTGCATGGAATTCGGAGAAGACTGGGCGAGGCGCAAAAGATTCTCGAGCCAAGCACAAGCCGTCTTATGATGAGCCGTGTGGGTGTGCACGCACTGAAGTGGCCTTTCAAAAGCAAGGCAATGGCCACAATCATCGCAGACTTGCTGCAGGACGAGGTGGCAATACTGGCGTTCCTGCAAGCAGATCAGACGTAAGTCAAGCCCAGAGCAAGCAATCCTGCCTAATCCCTCCTGACGGGTATCCTAGAGAAACACTCGGCGATGTGCGAGCAGATCAGCTACTCAAGCGTTTGCCCGTGGTCCACGAAGCCGCGTATGACTCCTTCGACGAAGCCAAGAATGCAAAGTGCCTCCGCAACACACGAGTGAAGATTCTCGAGGACATCGATACATGGCTCGCGAGCCGTGACTCCAAGCATGTATACTGGCTCAATGGTCGCGCGGGCACAGGCAAATCAACAATTGCTCGGACTGTCGCTGATGGCGCCCGGAACAAGGGAATGCTGGGCGCTACCTTTTTCTTCAAACGCGGCGAAGGTGAACGCAGCAGCGCCGCCAAGCTTATGACGACTCTCGCCTGGCAATTAAGCCAGCAAGACCCCTTGATGGCTCGCGAGATCAAGGGTGCTATCGAGAAGAACGAAGCCCTGGTGACGACTGCTCTGCGCCAGCAGTTCGACGGCCTTATCCTGCAACCAGTCCTGAGGATTTTGAATGGCGCCGCAACAATGTCGCCTCGGCTCGTTGTCATCGACGCGCTTGACGAGTGTGACGAGACCAACGATATGGCCCTGATCATTGATCTGTTCTCGAAGTTGCCCCAACATGCTAATGGTGCAGCACTCAAGCTCCTCGTCACTAGCCGTCCAGAACTACCGATCCGACTGGGCTTCAAGCGGATCGACGGCAAATACGACGAACTCATCCTCCATGAGATCCAGGAGTCGACCATCCAAGCTGACATTGCATGCTATCTCTCCTCGGAGCTGAAGACGATAAGAGACGACTTCAATTCAATGGTTGCAAGTCCACAGCTCCGACTCTCCGACACTTGGCCCAGTCCAGGCGATGCAGACAGGCTGGTCAACATGGCGGTGCCTTTGTTCATTTTCGCTGCCACCATTGTTCGATTCCTCAGCGACACACGGTCTGGAGGGCCACAGAAGAAGATGAGCGTTATTTTCGAACCCAGGGTCTTGGCCGCGGAAAACAAGCTCATTGCGACGTACCAGCCTGTTCTCGCCTATTTACTGGCTGGCCAATCTCAAACAATCAGAAAGCTCATCGAGAGACGCTTCAAGTCCGTAGTCGGATCGATAGTTCTTCTGTTCAGCCCCTTGTCCGCCTCCTCTCTCGTCAGCTTCCTTGCGGGCGAATGCGACGCAGACGACATCTTCAGTATCCTTGAACAGCTGCACTCCGTTCTCGACATTCCGCAATCTCAGGACGTCCCAATTCGCCTATATCACCTCTCGTTCCGCGACTATCTACTCGACCAAGACTTGTCAGGTTCTTCGCCGTTCTGGATCAATGCTCAGGAAGGACATGCCCGGCTGGCGAAGCAGTGTATGAAGGTGATGCAAGCTTTCCTGAAGCAGGACATGTGCAGCCTCAAGCACCCGGGTGCCGGGAGAGCTTCGATCACGCCGCAGAAAATCGATGCCTGCATACCAGTAGAAGTTCAGTACGCCTGTGTGTACTGGTCACAGCATTTGCGGGATTCTGGGCAGAAGTTGGTCGACGGAGGCGACGTAGACACGTTGCTGTCTCTTCACTTCCTGCATTGGGTCGAGGTTCTGGCTATCCTCGGCCGAGCAGGCGAAGCCATCGACGCTGTGAAGACAATGTCAGCGCTGGCTGACGACAAATCTACTCTGTACAGGTTTCTCGCTGACGCCCACCGCTTTGTCATGAATTGCTTGCCCGGTATCAGAGAAGCACCTCTGCAGCTCTATTCGTCAGCGCTCGTCTTCGCACCACTCGAGAGCACTATCCGCAAGCAATTTAATCAGTGCATACCCAACGACTGGCTCAACATTCGTGCAGAGGTCAGACAGTCCTGGAGTCCCTGGCTGCAGTCTCTGGAGGTCCCAAGCTATCCTGTGGGTTTTGGCTGCCCGTTCACTTTCTCTGACGATAGCAGTCTTGTTGCCGTGGCAAGTCATGGACACATTCTGGTTTGGGAAGCTCACAATGGATCCTTGCTACGTGTCATTGAACGGGGAGAGCGCAATGTGGAGGTGTTATGGGCAGGCTTCTCTCCAGACAACTCGCTCATCGCTACTGCGTCGAACACAATTGACCTATGGAGTGTGAGAACTGGCTCGTGGTGCCAGAGTCTCACAACTGATGGGACCGGACTTGGGTATGGTAGATTCTCGAACAAGGGCAGCCACTTCGCGTGGGTGTCTGCGAGGCCCCAATATCACGAAGCAACAAGACCATCAGCACTGTGGATCTGGTCAAAAGACAGTGAGGGCAAATTCCAGGCACACCGAGTCGAAGACTTGACCCGTGAAGTCTTTTGGAATGACTCTCGGTGGATCACCTTTTCCAATGATGGCTCATACGTTGCGGTGAGCTACACGCCGCAAACCGCGCTCTTGTGCCCGTTGAACTCAGAGCAAGAAGTGCGCATCTTCAACCCAGCGGCAACGTGCGATGGGGTTCTGAGAACCATCGGCGTGGCAAGCGAGAAAGACGTCTCGATGTGTATCATGTTCGAAGTACCCGGCAGAATCGACTTGTGGTCGGTGCAAGTTTGGTCAATAGAGACTGGCAGCCTACTTCGCACAATCGAAGTGCAACACCCCCCCTATCAGGGATCATATAAACGTACCCTTGACATTCCACAAATGCTCGGTGGTTTACCCGTCAAGATCATCAAGGCTTCATTGCCTTCTACGACCCCGAAACCGGATCGCAGGTGTGTGAGCACATGGAGGATAAATCGGTCAGAGGCAGTGTCTTCTCACCAGATTTGCAACGTCTTGTGTACTTCGGTGGTTATCGAGAAAGTGTCCACTTGCTGGCCCTGGATGGTATGGCCAGGCCCCAGTGGTCAGCCGACCTGCCAGCTCAATCTGAAGCCGAAGTGGTCCACTCAATCCGCCGCGCAGCTTCTGGGGTAGTTGCCGTCTCTTTCCTCAGGGACAACGTCTCTTCCCATCTTGGGGAAGCTCCTTCGCGGTATCGTTTCGCAATAGTGAAGACTTGGTCAGATGTGGGTCACATGCTCTGCACTATCGACCTTAGGACCGATCGAGCCAGCGAGCTTGCATTGTGCCCAGATGGCACGCGACTCGCAATTGATTCCATGTCTGGTGACATCACGATCTGGAACGCAGAGACTGGCAGCTTTCTCTTTAGAGTCGCGCTACGGAATTCCAGAATCATCCAGCTGTGTTGGAGCGACGATGGACAACACATAGCCGCCACCACATCGTTCGATTCGGTTATGCTCGATCTGGATAGGCTCGATTCGGATAGTCTCGATTTTTATCTGAACGGAGAGGGATGTTTCCGTATGTTCAATGGCGAAACAGGCCAACCTCTACGACTATGGAACTTCTCTAATTGGACAACTTCACCGACCATCGCCATATGCAGCAATCAAGAGTTGGTAGTATGGTCCAGCTATCCGCGGACAAAGCACAGATTGGTTTCCGCGGTTACAGGCGCCGCGGTGGCACAAGACGTCGAGTATCCAGAAGCCCAGGATATCGGCGCCTCCCCATTACGCGGCGCGCCGACGTTACTGTTTCCGTCCAGCACAAAACAGCCGTGCTTTCTCACAGCTAGCCAGATTTCTACAGGGCTCACCGAAGTCAAGCTGTGGAACGGGAGCGCGCAGAGGTTACTCGGCCAATGGCAAATAGGCGGGGACGCCGATATTCTAGCCATTCGTGCCGACAACAAGTGCATCATCACAGACCGTGGGTGCATGAAGCTGCAGGCGCCAGGGATTCAGGGCTTCGACTTTGTCACGCCGCCTGAAACGTTGGAGACCAAGACGCCTTCCATCACGTGGGACGGTGTGGGAGTGAGCCTGGACGATTCCTGGATTACGTGTGACGGTGAGCGGGTGCTGTGGTTGCCGACAGACTACGCGCCCGTGGCAGGAAGGACAGTATCTGGAGACACCACGTGGCTTAGGACAAGAGATCTGGGGCTGGCAATCATAACCTGCAAGACCAGCATCCTGCGCGATTTAATGCGTAGGAGACCTTGAGTGTCCATCAATTAGGAAGATGCAGCGGTCATGGCAGGCCTGGCGCAGGAACAGGGCATCGTCATATAGATTTCTGGCAATTAGCCATAATTATTGCAAACGGAGTTTGTCGCTTCTTGACGCTGAGCCGCCCACTTCAATAAACCATGATTCTCTAAACGTATATTCTAGCACAATTGGCTACTCCATTGAGTGACTATTTCTGAATGTGGCATTTTTCCAAACTCCGCTTCCTGATTTGGCATTCAGCCAGGCGGAGCTGCCTCCTCCGTTTGTGCCCACGCCGCACTCGTGTACCGGCAAGGATGGTCCGCACTTAAATTACGATTTATACAGTGAAATATGCGCAATGCTGTCCTTTTCGAGAGTGGTCTTGTCGACCTGCGGAATTCACGGTCCATGGCTCCGGATCCTGCATGTTTCCGTTGTGCTTGTAGCAGACAAGCTTTCTTGGTATATAGGAACGGGCATTGGCATTCGTCAAGTGAGATTCGATCTCTGCTAGCCTAGCATCTCACGGCTCGAGAAATAGCCTTGCTGACTAGATCCGTGCGAAATGCTTCCTCAAGCGACCCTCGTGGCCCTCGCGGCGCTCCTCCCATTCTCTGCTGCCCAGATCGCAGATGGTTTCGAGAGTGGCTGGGACAAGTCAAAGTGGGCAATTTATGCTCCAGACTGCCAGCAAGGCGGCAGCATCACCCTCGACACCAGCACAGCTCACAGTGGCACTTCGTCCTTGAAGGTTGCCGGCGCTGGTGGCTACTGTGGGCACATTTTCTTTGGCACAACTGCCGTGCCCAGTGGTGATGTCTACGTTCGTGCCTGGATGTCAGTCTCTCCAATCCCTTGTTGTTTTGGGCCGGGAAAGCTCCGAGATACTAATGTCCAAACTTGAAACCACAGCAAAGCTACCACCGCGCTCACGTCCTCCCACATCTCCTTCATGACCATGCCCGACAGCACGACCGGCAAACACCTCCGTATCGGTGGCCAGTCTGGCATTCTCATGTACAACCGCGAGACCGACGACGCAACCCTGCCCAACTTGTCGCCTGACGGCATCGCCGCCTCGTCTCCCTTGGCCACTGGCTCGTTCCAGTGCTTCGAGTACCACCTTGGCACCGATGGCAAGATTGAGACCTGGCTGAACGGCAATCCGGTCAGCGGCCTCTTCGCCGGCCCCGGGACCTCCAACCCCTACTCCTCCCAATGGGGCTCGAGCTACAAGCCTAAGGTCAAGGGCATCTACTTTGGCTGGGAGAGCTACGGCGGCGACGTCAACACCTTGTGGTACGACGACATTAGCGTCAGCTCGACGCGTGTTGGATGCGGCAGTGGAACTGGCACACCCGGGGGATCAACTACGACGACCTTGAGAACCTCCAGCACGACCGGTGGTGGCGTTGGCACGCCATCGACAAGCACTACGACCAGTGCCACTCCGTCGCCCACGGGCGCTGTTCAGACGTAGGTGGTCTCTTGGGAATAATGCAAAGTTTCCATTGATGGTTAGCAGCTGACCTGTTCGACGCAGCAAATATGGGCAATGCGGCGGCAAGGGCTGGACAGGCCCAACTGTCTGTGCAGCGGGCTCGACTTGCACCGTGTCCAACGAGTGGTACTCGCAATGCTTGTGAGCACGACGCGATCGTCGAAGTGGCAACACATCAAGGGGGAAGCGTCAAGGGATCTTCTTTGCACAACGCTTGGTTGGCTAACTTGCATATTTCTGCTTCAACGTTGACATGCATCAGATGGAGCAGCACTACCACATGTTCGGGCCCAGTGGTCAATGACAACATGCTGAGAAATGCCGTGACCCTGACAACAATCAAATTTGGTCATCTTACTTGCGTCCCGAGGATTTTCCATCGGGCTTGCGGCACGTCGGCATCAGTACCATTATCAATAGCCTCAGCCTAGAAATCAATAACAGTTTTCTCGTGGCTCAGCACTTGGCGACTCGAGGAGGGCGGGCGAACTGACACTGCTTATCTGCTGCACCTTTTACTAGCCCTCGCCCTCGGGAATAGTCGGTCACGCGATGAACGAGTGGGGGAGCCCATCTTGTCTTGTTGCGCTCATGCGTTGTCTGTCACTTGCCGGTATTACGACGGACATGCTTGGAGACACCACTCACCATATCGTTCCGCGGTTTCGCCGCTCGCTGCCGTCGCATCGCTTCATGTTCGGCAAATGCCAAGAATGGAATGAGCTTAAAGATCTCTTCCCCCATTAGGGATAGTTCATAGGGTATAGCCAGGACCGGCGGCTGGCATTGTACTTTTGTTCTCCCTCTCGTTCGCATTCGTTATTGGTAGGAGCCTCGCTTACCTCTTGCGCTAGGTTGATCCTCACCGTGGGACGACGTCCAAAGAATGCCCGCTAGTGGCGCCCTCTAAGCAAAGCCACCAGCCTTGAGACACGGCACGAGTCACGTCACCAGCGGCCCACGGGAAGCATGCTCTCGGGACTTACTCGGGCCGTTCTGAACCCTCTCCGTACGTCAAGAAGTCTGCCAGCCTGCTCCGGCAGATGAACGATCCGACCAACTCGCTCCCCCCGCCTGATTTGTGTCCACTGGCGTCTTTATTTCCAAACCTCCCCTGAGGTCGATCACCCGGCCCCGCCAGCCGCCCGGCAAATACCGCCGGTCGGGGAATTGATCGACCGGGGACTTTACCTTCCGGATCGAAAGCCTAAGTCTAACAAAGACCCTTCACGCAGCAGTTCCACCACGAACTAGAGCGTTCTGCCTTGCTCAATCGTTAGCCTAAGCCCGATCTCCCTCTACCTCCGACATGGTGCAGCAGTAGGAAGCCAGACTAGTGAGGATCTGCATTGCATACGGGATCAAAGCACCCGCGCTTATTTTCAAGTAGCGTCAAAAGAGCTATAGTGGATCGGGAGAAACTTGGGCGTGTGACCCCCCTCCCGTCCCCTCTTTTGTTGTTTTGCGGAGCCGGCCGTGGCGCCACGCACCATCTTGAAAGCTTCTCGCTTTCCCATCTCGGTTTCGCAAGAGCAATCCGTGGCGTATGCGCCACTTCGCGTCCTCCTGCCTCTGTGCTTGCACTCGCTCGCTCTTTAGTGAAAAGCCTCAAAGCCCGCCTCAAGTGGGTTACGCTAGTAGTGGGGTTCCTGCTGGTGGAATGATATTGTGCTATGATCATGTTTGCACTGGTCAGGTGGCGTGGGAAATGCTAATTAGTGGTGATTACTGTATGCAGAAAGGCGCTGGGCCACGTGGTTTCCATGATCAGTCTCAGAAAATGGTTGTATTACGAAGTAGAAAGGAGTCTAGAGGATGCGGAGCACCAGCGTGGGGCCGCAAGCACGACGAATTGAGCTCTTGCGCGAGAAGTACGTCCAGAATAAAAAAGGAGAATCTAGAGCGCCGAGCCACTCTTCTGGGCACCAGGGAACTTGCTCAGAAGCCCAGCCAGGATATTGCTCCCGTTGGCCTCGAGCTCGTGCATTGCGGGACACCCGAGGTTCAGCAGCGGCACGGCGACCGCATCAGTAATCATCTGCAGGGGCTTGGCGAGGGTGGTGAACAAGCTGGACAGGGAGTTCGGGGCGAACGCCTTGACAATCTCGAGGGTGAAGCACATGAGGTTGTTGCCCTGCAGCATCGTGTCCACGTTGAACACGCCGCCGGACAGGTTGGCCAGGTCGACGGGCGTAAAGCTGTTGGTCGTGCCCATGTTGCCGCCGATGGAGGCGAGCTCCGGGTGCTTGGCGATCCAGGAGAGCAGGTCCAGGTTGAGCTCGACAAAGCCGTAGTCGCTGCGGGTGCGGTACCAGTTGGCAGGGATGCGCTCCCAGCCCTTGTTGTACTTGAGCGTGCCGTCCGGAAGCGTGGTCACTCCCCAGAGGCTCTTGAACGTTTCCCGGTCTGAATTTTGCGGGGGACACGGCATGTCAGCAACGGTCTGGTGGAAAGAAAAAGACGTCGCACAGGCTGCAACTTACCCATGTGGCCGCCAAGAGGGTACTCATCGGTGTGGTTGCTGAGCAGGCGGATGCCAAAGAGGAATCCCGCGTTGCGGACAATCAGGCCGGTGTAGGGGCCGTAGTAGAAGAGCGGGTTGGTGGCCTTGCTCTCGGCAAGTCGTTTCGCGGCGCGGTCGCCCATGGCCTCGACGGACAGGAAGCCGCCGGCAGGGATAGAGTTGTACACGTCCATGAAGTACTTCATGTTCATGGTGGACGCATCGCCAGTGACGTAGAGGTCGTCGCGGGTATTGGACGAGTCCGCCTCGATGAAGTTGTGGCTGCCCTCGAGGCCGCGCGGAGTGCCTGCGACAGCATTGTCAGCCAACTTGCTTGCCAAGCAGCGAGAACCCCCCTTTCTTCCTGATCACCTACCTAGCAGTCCCAAGAGGTTGCCCAGCAGGTTCTGAGATTTGGCACTCTGGCCGCCGATTGAGAAACCCGGGTTCAGCGACAGAGGGTTGCCAGTGGTCGTGACACCCATGGCAGCAATGACGGTCGCAAGATCGATACCCATCCCAAAGACTGTACGGTGCGTGTTAGTAGACTGACATCAGCCAGACGAGTTCAGAGCAACATACCAGAGTTGATGGCGTCAATGGCCTCGAGGAACTGCAGCCCGGCGGCAAGACGTTCAGGTTAGCCATGGGAATTGATACACGCGATACTCTAGCCGTCGCGAAGACGGGGAGACACCTACGCCGACGACTCCATCACGGGATAAATAGCCGTGGTTGGCGAGAGCATTCAGGCCTGGGCAGGGACCTCTCTGATCACCTTGGGCGAAGTTGGGAGGCCTGAATTCGTGGACGCCATCGACTACGGAGACCATGTGTCAGCTCAGCGTACAAATTGTTGGCTCTCAGAGTCAGGCGTGCCATGCATGGCATGACACGGGCAGGATGGCAGCTGACACGGCACGGCGACATACCTGGAATCGGCGAAGTTGTTGGGTTCAAGGCGAGCCCAAGCGAGAGGCGCTTCTCTCTCAAGCGGGACAGGCCCTCGACAACGCCCTCATAGTCAAGACCATCACGGGCGGCCAGCTTGGCCAAGTTGCCCGGAGTCGCAAAGGCATCCGAGAGACCAGCGAGACAGGTCAGGCCCAATGCCAGACGGCCCGCAAAGCTGGAGATATGCATTGCAGGTGTGTGGTGGTGATTGAGTGTGGGACAAAGCCTGGGACACTTGGGGGAGTAAACGGGAAAAAAGGTCCAAAGGACCAACCAGCAGTCTTGTGGATAAGCAGGCAGGCTGTGGGAGACAGGGGATAGGGGTCCAGGGACTGAGATGCCTGCCCGTCTGCCAAGCCGGCCTACTGTGCCCGTGCTCGTAAAGCCACAGCGGCCAGCCACCCACGTGGGCAGAACAGTGCAGAGACGGCCTAGCGTAGCACCCGAGTCACGTCGGAGGCAGCCGGACGGGGGCCAGGGGAGATGGACTTCCTCGGGCAAGCCCACGGCAGAGCCATTCGGCTCCGGTGTGTTGGTCTTCGGATCCGGGGGCACGGTCTCCAGGGCATCAGGATCGGCAAGCCGGACGCTTGGCAGGCCCCCCTGGACATAGCCGGCACACAGAAGTACCCGGTCCCTGGCAAGTGGCGGGGCGCCTTGAGCCATCCCCGTCGGCCGGGATCTAGGGTAACGGGGCCCCGGCAGACTTCAGACTCCACGCCGGTGCCTTGGCAGCAGCAAGGCCCCCAGTCCGGCGGACACGGTCAGAGCGCCGCCCAGGCATGTTTGGCCCCCCGGCCGGGTTGCGAGCTGGCCGTGCCCACTCAACTCGCGTCAATCTCTCCAGCGCCTTGGTGCTGGAAAATGGCTGCTTGGCGGGACGCTGTCTCGGTCTTTCCCCGTGCTGGTGGATTCGCTCGCTGCTTCAACCAACAACACATGCTTCAGCATACATCAAAACCAAGAGGCCGTCTCGTTGGCAAGTCATCCTAGCCTGGTCCTCGTGCCGACCTCAACTTCAGTTCACTCGGGCAACTTCATCATGTTGCTTTCCTTCTTCTGGGCTTTTCTGGCGGTGTTTTCGGGTGTCGTCTCTGCCACCACGGCGGCTGAGCTCGAGCTCATCACCAAGGCGACAGCACTGTACCCGCCATGTGCCGTGAGTTAACCAATACAGCCTTCGTCCTGCCCGGGCGATATATGACACGGGCGAGGCTAACAAGAGGACCTCAACACAGCTCAAATGCATGACACAGCTCGTCCCTCAGTCGTCATGCTCGCTGACGGACGTGCAGTGCCTCTGCACAAACAAGCAGCTGACTGACGACACGTCAAAGTGCGTCCTGGCAGGCTGCACCATCCAGGAGGGCCTGACGACCCAGAATGTCACCATGACCATGTGCGGTGCTCCTGTGCGTGACAAGCACATGACGCCCCTAGTCATCAGCATCACTGGAGGCACGCTGGCTACTCTGGCGTTCGCCATGAGAGTCGGCACTCTGCTTACGCGAACCAACGGCAGGTCGGTTGGCGCGGATGACTGGCTGGCTGGAATCGCCCTGCTGCTGGCAGCGCCTCCGACCTTGGTGGCCCTTCAGAGTACGTCGAGCCTCAGCAAGTATCGAGGAGAAAAGCAGTTACTAACTCTTTCAACACAGTGAGGGACAACGGCCTCGGCAAGGACATCTGGACGCTGAAGGTCGACCAGATCCAAAACATCCTGTTGGTAAGCCACACCACCACCACCGCCTGACCTGTCACGCAGTCAAGCACGCACAACCAAGGTTGTCTCACTGACATCCTTGCCTCGCCAGTTCTTCTACCTGGGCTCCATCTTCTACATCGCGTCCATCACGGCAGTCAAGCTGTCCATCATCTGCTTCATCCTGCGCGTGTTTCCTGACAAGAACTTCCGCCGTCTGTGCTATGCCGTGATGGGCCTCGTCCTCGCGTACGGCATCTCTTTTGTCACAGCGACGGCCTTGCAGTGCTGGCCAGCCTCGTACGCCTGGACCCAGATCGACAGCAGTATCGAGGGCAGTTGCAACAACGTCCATCTCCAGGCATGGCTCGCGGCGGCGTGCAACATCTTCCTGGACCTCTTGCTCCTGGTGCTACCACTGTCGAATCTGTGGAAGCTGAACATGGGTGTGAAGAAGAAGATCATGATCATGTTCATGTTCTCTCTTGGCATCTTGTATGTGTCCCCCCTTGCCACTTTCTTTCCTCTGCCTAATGCACATGATCTTGACTAACCTTGTTCTTGCAGTGTCACAATCGTCAGCGTCATCCGCCTGCACAGCCTCATCACCTTTGCCAACTCGACAAACGTCACATGTAAGCTGCCTCTAACCCCGCAGACACCTTTGCCTCCAAATGCCAATATCTGACCCACTACCTTTCCTTTCCACAGGGGACTACGCCGAGCCGGGCTACTGGAGCTTGATCGAGATGGACGTCAGCATCATCTGCGCCTGCCTGCCTTACTGCCGACACCTTCTCATCTCGCTGGGCGCGCGCTTCCTGCAGTCCACGCAGCAGCGCAGCGCGACGTACGGCGGCTCGTCGCGGCCCACCTTCAGCCGGAAGAACAGCGAGGGCGGCATCCTGGGCTCCTCGATGGCCAGCAAGTCGACCAAGTCGACCGGCGGCGGGGACGGCGGGGTCCCGCAGCAGCGGGTGCCCAAGCACGGCGACGAGGGCGATTTCGTTCCGCTCGTAGAGTACCCGCACGGCAACTGGGACAAGACCACAAGCGTCACGACGACGCACGCTACCACGGCTAGCAGAGGCTCGGACTGAGTTTTCTGAGCCGGGGGGCAGGGAATAGAGAGATATGCGCACGCATATGAGGATCTGCGCATCAGTTTTTTTTTTTGCTGGCCTAAAGGAAGTTCTGGATGGGTAACGAATCTTGTTATTTTGGGTATTTTCTTTCTATCTCTCATTATCTGTACATATTCCCAGATCCCCTTGGTTGGGATCTCTGCATACGGCAACAGCTGCAGCATGGATCGATCGGAAAAAATAGACCTGTCTTTATCGGCCGCAGAATGCTTCTCCTTCTTCTCCCGTGTTTCTCGAAGCCGCGCTGTTCCGGCTGGCCCCCCGTCGGAAACTGTGCTGAACCCGTCGGAGATGCCATCTCCCAACGGGCGCGGGAACCAGCCAAGCACCTTCCCGTCGCCCGTCGAACCCTTCCTGCAGCTCCAAGCACGCGAAGGCAGGGATCCAGGTTTGTCGGGCAGTCTCACCTGCCATGTTGACTGATACATTGTAGGGTGCGTGTGTGCGCCATAGCGCCAGGCCAGCCAGCCACCGTTGCCGTTAACAAAGGCCGCTAAGGTTAGGATGCGAGCTAAAGTTGCTAGTGAAGAAGCTAGGGAAGAAACACAGGTGGTATCAGGCCACAGCTAGGTAATTAAAGGGCGGGAAATTCCCCCGTAGCGCCGATGTGGGGAGACGAAGTTTGTGCTTTGACGGGCGGCGAGTCAAGCACGGAAGCCAGCAAACACCCCGGTCCGCTGCAGTGCCGATCGCAATTGACAGACAGTGAGTATACAGGGCCATGACACGCGCAATCTTACGGCCGTGGCTCAGACGGGCGCTGCCATGCTAGCCCGGGGTACCCTGCTAGCTGGGGTATCCCGGGGTCTGAGCGTGCATGGGTGGAAAGCCTGGAAACTTCCGTCACCCTCCCCTGCTCCCCTGGCGGGCGGATGGATCGCGAAGGGGCCAAGCCACCGACGGGTAAAGTTGACAACTGGACAAGCCCATCGCGACTTGGCCTGCTCGGAGACCTGGTCGCGAGTTGGCCCGGGCCCCCTATTCCGCAATGTCCTTGCCACACCTGCCAAGTTAAGATGGCTCCGTCCCTGGGGCTCGCAAGCACAAGGAACCCTTGGGTTCTCGACAAGCAAGGGATTGTTTCGTTAATCGACGGATCAATTAAGCTCCTCGGTCGAGCCGTCCACTCTCTTGACTCAGACCTTGAAGCCCTTCTTTTGCTTCTGTCTCTGCCGTGCTGGACTGCTTGGTTGCTTGCCCGCCTGCCAAGACTTTGAGCAGCAGTCATGAAGGTCACATCCACACTCCTGCTGGCCACTGGCGCCGCTGCGGCGTAAGTATCAGAGAAACTGAGCATCATCTGCTGCAACACCAACACAACACGTACACGATGCTGACCAGGTCTTACACGCCTAAGATGGACTTCCAAAAAGGTCCAGGACCAGAACATCTACCCGCCCAATGGCTACACGCACCCGGTGCAGGCCCCTCAGCCCGGCTCGACGTATGAGTACATCATCGTGGGCTCCGGCGCGGGCGGCTCGCCGCTGGCCGCCCGGCTGGCGCTCGCGGGCCACAGCGTGCTGCTGATCGACGCCGGCGAGGACCACGGCACGGACCGGCAGGTCCAGGTGCCGGCGATGCACCCGTTCGCCAGCGAGTACAACCCGATCCGCTGGGACTACTTTGTCGAGCGGCATGACGACGAGCAGCAGGCGCTGCGCGACACAAAGTACACCTGGCAGACGCCTGCCGGCGACTACTGGCAGCGCCTCAACGACACGAGCGCGCAGCCGCCCGCGGGCTCGACCAAGAAGGGCCTGCTGTACCCTCGGACCGGCGCCCTCGGCGGCTGCACCGTCCACAACGCGCTGCTCATGGTGCAGGCGACCAAGAAGGACTGGGACGACATTGCCGCGACCACCGGCGACGCCTCGTGGTCCGCGTCCAACATGAGGCAGTACTTCAAGAAGCTCGAGCGCAACGCCTACCTCCAGGGCGGCCTCCTCAACTCCGGCAGCCACGGCTTCAGCGGCTGGCTGCCCACGCGTCTCACTCCTTCAGCGCTCATCGTGCAGGATCTGAAGATCACCTCGCTCCTCATCACGGCGGCCACGACCACCGGCAAGGGCCTGCTCGGCTCTTTGCTCGGGACCGTCGCCGGCGCCCTGCAGGCCCTCACGCTCGACGTCAACACGGATGCCAGCAACCGCGACACTGCCGACCTCATCTACCAGATGCCCCTGGCCATGAACGAGGACTACATGCGCACGGGACCGCGTGACTTTGTCCTCTCGGTCGCCACCGCCACCAACAGTGACGGCTCCCGCAAGTACAAGCTTGACATTGTGCTCAACACGCTCGTCACCAAGGTCAACTTTGACCAGTCTGGCGCCGTCCCCAAGGCCACGGGTGTCGACTACATCTTTGGTAAGAGCCTGTACCGGGCCGATCCCCGCCCCGCCTCCAACGGCCCTTCTGCCAGCGGCACGGTCTATGCCAGCCGCGAGGTCATCGTGTCCGGTGGTGCCTTTAACACGCCCCAGATCCTCAAGCTCAGCGGTGTTGGCCCCGCGGCCGAGCTCGCGGCCCACGGCATCCCGCTGGTCAAGAACCTGCCCGGTGTTGGCGGCAACCTGCAGGACCGGTACGAGATCCCCATTGTCGGAGAGGCGCCCACCAAGTTCTCTCTGCTCGCAGACTGCACGTTCCTCGCCGCGGCCGGCGACCCGTGCTACGACCGGTGGAAGGCCGGCAAGCTGGCCGAGCTCAAGGGATCGTACACGACCAACGGCATCGCCTGGGGTTACCTCAAGCACTCGTCCACCTCCGGTCCCGACCACGACCTCTGGATCGGCGGCTCGACGGCCTACTTCCACGGCTACTTCCCTGGCTACTCGCGCTACGCGACGGCCGGCGGCAACAACTGGTCGTGGCTCACACTCAAGGCGCACAGCCGCAACCGCGCCGGCAGCGTCAACCTGACGTCGGCGGACCCCCGCGACACCCCTTACATCAACTTCCGCAACTTTGCCGAGGGCGGCGAGGAGGACCTCCAGGCTCTGGTCGAGGGCATGCAGTACAGCCTCTCGGCGTTTGACAAGCTGGTGCCCCTGGACGGCAGCTTCAAGCGCGTATGGCCAGACCCCAAGACGGTCAACACGCCCGCCGAGCTGCGCCAGTTCGCCATTGACGAGGCCTGGGGCCACCACGCCTCCTGCACAGCCCCCATCGGCGCGGACTCGGACCCCATGGCCGTCCTGGACAGCAAGTTCCGCGTCCGGGGTGTCTCGGGTCTGCGCGTCGTCGACGCCTCCGCCTTCCCCCGGATCCCCGGGCTCTTCATCGCCCTGCCCACCTACACCATGAGCGAGAAGGCGGCTGATGTCATCCTTGCCGACGCTGCTGCTTCTCCGTAAACCATGGCAGTCGCCGCGCCGCATCCGCTTCCCGCGTTCGCGTTTTCTATTCTTCAAATTATATATCCTGTCCATAGAGATAGAATCCTTATACTTTAATTGTATAACTCCAGTCTTTACCATACCAGCTACTCGTGGTGGTGTACTGCACCTGATGCCATCGTCACACAGTGCTTCTTTCTCCAGGCTGGTCTTTGTCAATTCATACCAAAAGCCCAACTGTGCCGCGCGGCTGGTTTCCCGTCGGGATGACGGACGAACCAGCTTTCCCCCTTGCCCCCCCCAAGTAACGCCACTCGATTCCCTGCCGATGTCAGTCAACGATGCAGGAAACCCCCCCACAAAGAATACCACATTCCGAATCCGACCTCTTTTGACAGGCTTCTCCCCTGCATTAGTGGAAATTCCTAGGGCTGTCATACCCCGGCCCGGCTCCGCTCTGTCTCTGAGATCTGACAAGGGACAATCTGTCATGAGGTGGGGAAAAAGATTGGCTAGCGCCTGCTAGCTGGATCCCTCGCCGTTAGCGCACCCGTGCCAAGTCGCTTGTTCTAGTCAGTTCGCGCATACCTAGCGCCGCCCGACCATCCAGGTGTATGACTTCTCGCCTGCAGTAGCCTCGAGGCCCGAACGCTCAGACACAGCCCAACAGGGCAGCTGAGATGTGCCGATCCGAGCACCGTTGTCACATCCAGCTCTCCCCCACTCCCCTGGTTTTGGGGGGAGGGGCGGCATGGGTGCTGACTAGCGTAGGAGCTTTACCCCTGGTCTGCCAAGAAGAGAAGCAAAGTGACGAACGTTCGTCCGGGCCCTCCCCTTGTCTCCCGCGCCATGACAGCTCAAGGGGTGGGGGTGTCATGAAGCACGCTACCGGCAACCTCCACCAACCAGGGAGCCGGGCTGTCGCTGCTAGCTCCCCGGCTTGGCTTGTCTGCAGGCTGGGGGGAAAGAGACGACTGTTGCCAAGACGCCATCTCTTTTACTAGGCCACCTTGACCATGCACCATGCCCTGCTACATGACCAGGACGAACCGTGTGCACGGATCATGGGTCTTGGAGGAAGTGCTCTAAGATTGTGATACTACAAAAGATCCAGGGGCCCCTGCTTCCCTGCAGTCACAAATCACCACGCATTGTTTTCGTGGTGTGGCACATTTCACCGGCAAATCATAGTTTCACTGGTGCTGGCGATCAGATCTTCATCGGACGGCCGGTGTATCGGCCCTTTGGCACCAATCTACTCTAGCACGTCGTGGAAGACCTATAGAAGCAGAGCGCTAGGCATCAAAGTCCCGAGAATGGTCTCCCACCATCGGGCAAAGGAAATCCACACACGAAGAACAATGGATGCCCCTGACCAAATGCCCCAAATGCCTGGGACTTGGCAGATGTGGGCGGCGCGACGATCACCGATCCGTACGTGTGCTCCATTCCATTGCCATGGGAGAGGAAAGATAGAGCGGGGGGCAAATGGGGAAGTTTTCAGCTTTGCCCTAGGACCAGAGCTGCCAACACTCGGACCCCCCAAGGTGGCAATCTCAGCTACCAGACCTGAATAAGCGTACGGTGGTACGGCAGTGGTGCTGTCAGGACGAGATTGGAAAGCGGGAGGCAGGCCTTTGACTTGACATCCGCCTGCCACTGCCCACGTGTGCATGCACCTTAATCGCGAAATCCCCGATCTCGTCTGAAGGGGGCATCGGTTTCCTGGTCTCTCTTTAAACATTCCATGCGTGGCTGTTGGTTCCTTCCCCTCGGGCCCCTCCCCTAGAACCCTTCTCTGCCTTCTGGCGCTCATCCTCATTTCAAACCTCGACTCCTGAAGGTCTCAGCCGCAGCCATGGCCGTCCTCAAGGCAGCTCGTGTCCTGTCACTCCTTTGCGCCTTTTCTTCTATCCCGTCCGCTCAGGGCGTGCCCCTTCTTGAGTCTGTCCTGGGCCCGATCAAAGATGCTGTCGGCGCCATTGCGTCTGGCGCTGGCCTTGTCGAGGGTACCCTTGGAGCCGTGAAAGGCGTCCTCGGCGTGCAGCAAACGTGAGTAGCGTTCTTTCGTTTGCTTGTTTACTGGTGTTTTGCTCCGGGGCAGCCTCCGGGCTCCGCTCCGGATCACACCCTATCTACCTGTCACATCTTGAAACCACATCACGGACCAGAAAACAACACATGTGCTGACTCGCCATGCGACTCCGACAAACAGCTTCGACTATGTCGTCGTAGGCGGCGGTACTGCCGGCAATGCCATGGGCGTCCGGCTCGCCGAGGCTGGCTTCTCGGTCGCCATCATCGAGGCCGGCCTCTTCTACGAGCTGGGCAAGCCCGTCCTGGGCACGACGCCGACCGGTGCCTTCTTTGGCGTCGGTACCAACCCGCTCGACACCTTCCCGACTGTCGACTGGGGCTTCATCACCGAGCCTCAGGCCGGTGCCAACGGGCGCCAGATTCACTACGCCCAGGGCAGATGTATTGGCGGCACGTCGGCGCTCAACTTTATGGTCCACCACCGCGCCCCCGCGGGAGCCTACGACAAGTGGGCTGACGCTGTTGGCGATGACAGCTACAAGTAAGTCTCACAGTGGTGGCTTAGAGGGGGACCCGCGAAGTACATATGCTGACCTTTGAAACCAACAGGCTGTCCAACTGGCTGTCCTTCTTCAAGAAGAGCGTCACCTTTACCGGTCCCAACAATGACGTGCGCTTTGCCAACGTCACCACTGCCTGGGACCCGAGCGCCTTTGCGGCCGCTGGCCAGGGCGGCCCTGTCCAGGTGACATACACCAACTACGTGTCTGCCTTTGCGACGTGGCTCGAGCAGGCCTTCAACTCTCTCGGGTTCGCGCACAACACCGAGTTCAACAACGGCAAGCTGCTGGGGCAGTTCTACGCGCAGGCGACGATCCGCAACAAGGACCAGACGCGCAGCTCGTCGGCGTCGTACGTCTACTCGGCCATGTCGTCGTCGTCGCCGGCCAAGAACACGCTCAAGGTGTTCACGCAGACGCTGGCCCGGCAGGTGCTGTTTGACAGCAACAAGAAGGCGACGGGCGTCAAGGTCAGCCTGCTGGGGGCGCTGCCGACGTACACCATCACGGCTCGCAAGGAGGTGATTCTGTCGGCAGGCTCGTTCAAGTCGCCACAGCTGCTCATGGTCTCTGGCGTCGGCCCTGCGGCCACGCTGGCCGAGCACGGCATCCCCGTCGTCTCGCAGCTCGAGGGCGTCGGCCAGAACATGTGGGACCATATCATGTTTGGCCCGTCGTACGTCGTCAGCCTGCCCACGCTCGACCAGACGGTCAGCGACCCGGCCATCCTCACAAAGGCCCTGCTCGACTACACCCTCAACGCCCGCGGGCCCCTGACCTCCAACGTCGCCGACCTGCTCGCCTGGGAGAAGCTGCCCGAGAAGTACCGCGCCCTGTGGACGGCCGCCACGCGCTCCGCGCTCGCCGAGTTCCCCGACGACTGGCCCGAGGTCGAGCACATCTCGTCCAACGGGTACATTGGCGACTTTGGCTGGCCGGCGGTCGAGCGCCCGCACGACGGCAAGAACTACGCGACCGACCTGGGCGCCATGGTCGCGCCCCTGTCGCGCGGCAACGTCACCATCACCTCGCGCGACACCCTCACCCAGCCCAAGATCAACCCCAACTGGCTCACCCACCCGGCCGACCAGGAGCTCGCCGTCTCGTGGTACCGCCGCATTCGCGAGGTCTGGGACACGCCCGCCATGCGCTCCATCCGCCCCGAGGGCGACAAGGAGTTCTTCCCGGGCCGCGAGTACCAGACCGACGCCCAGATCCTCGACGTCATCCGCGACTCCCTCGTCACCGTCTGGCACCCGGCCTGCACCAACAAGATGGGCAAGTCCGACGATCCCATGGCCGTCGTTGACAGCCGCGCCCGCGTCTACGGCGTCTCGGGCCTGCGCGTCGTCGACGCCAGCGCGTTTCCCATCCTTCCCCCCGGTCACCCCCAGACCACCATCTATGCCCTCGCCGAGAAGATTGCTGCCGACATCATCAGCGGCTCGGCTTAGACAAGTGAGGTGTTGTGTCGTGTTGTGTTGTGTGGTGGGGCGTGTGTGTGTATGTTATACATATATACGCACTCGCCTGCATTCTTTTGACAAAGCTTGTCTTTCTTTTTAATCTTACACTTTTAGCTATCTACACGGCTACTTCTTCATAACGTTAATGGGACATGATGATGGGCATGTCAGACTCTAGTTCAGAACTTATATGCGTTTGTTTCATGTCGTCGTGCTCTTGCGTGCGTGATCATGTTGTCCGAGGAGAGCGAGTGCTGGTGATTGAAAGGCCTTTCAGTTTCTTAGCCCCCGGCTTTTGCCTTGCTTTTCCTTTCTTTTTCCAACCCCTGTTCGGCTGGTGCATCACGACGGCTTAAAGGCGCTGATTCCGCGTGTGTAAAGAGGCGTTACTCGATGTGCAGGTGGCTCACCCCAACGCAGAACCCAGAGACGATACTGGCTCGGTGCAGCGAGGCCCATGAGCAACCAATCGAGGATTTCATGGTTTCCGGACAGAATTGTTAGATTGAGCACTGAGCGCCAATTTGAGAAGGCTTCAAACTCTCAACATTCAGCGAAATATGCGGTTGCCAATAGCCCTCTTATATATAGTCTTCATTCTCGTCCAGGCAACAGCTGTTTGGTCCCCGTGTCTGTCCCCTATCTTCGAGTCATGCTTCGTGCACAACCTTCTGCCAGCGCTTGAGCACAACAGTCGTCGCGTCCATGCTGACTGCCAAGCCGCCATTTTCCTCCCTTGTATTCCAATAACTGATGACTGGGCTGTGCCTCCTCAACATCTTCCCTCCAATTCAGTCCCGTTGACGCAAACATGGGCTAATCATCTTCTGCCCCTAGAGCACGGTCCTTCTGCTGACGGCTGGCGACATGCCGCCTTCCTCGCATTTGATGTCTTCCGCCTCGCTCCAGGCAAAGACGTCCAACTTTGACGCTCAAGCGCCCTATGTACATAACGTGTCCTGCTCAACTGGAACCGCCTCCTCGTGCCGAGGATGGAATGCGTGACCCGCGTGCTGGGAGCTGCCTTTGCACTGAGCTCCCCCCCTGTGGACGTGCTCAAAGGCGAGTCAGGCACCATGTCCATCCCCGCCTGAGCTCGCAGATCACACGGCTCGCAATCTGGTCATGCCGTTCCGGCTGACCCGTCTCTCCCCCTTGAATCAGGGAGGAAATTGTTGTGTTCCTCCCCCCGGGGCGGGAATATCCTGCCCAGAAACTTTCGCCAGGTGCAACGGCCCGCACATAGACCTGGAGCAGCGGTCTGAGCAAGCTGTGACTGTACACTCACCAGCCCAAGCCACGCACAGACTTGCGCACCCTGCTCGCTGTTGGATATGGGACTGACAAGGCTGGCAAGACAATCGCCGCAGGGACAAGACAAGACTGTCGTCCCAAGAACATCATGCCGCTCCGCACACCTATCTACGCCGCACCATCAGCAGCAACTCGACGGCCGTTGCCGCATGCTCAAGAGCTCGAGTCAGACTTGGAAACAGCCAGATCCCCAAGGGCACAGTATGCTGGAGACGAGATAGCTCCAGACACACAAGTGACTGGCACAGGCGCAGGCTCAGGCTCAAGCCCAAAGTTGAGTGAGAATCCCCTCTCCCTGCTCGGGTGTCGCTGGGAACCCAACTGCTGTGATTTGACGAGACTCGCCCGGCTAGCAGCTGCCAGGGCAGACGATGAGTGAGATGCATGGCATCGGCCCGACCTGCAGCGACAGGGGAGGCGCAACATGAGACTTCCTGACCTCTGACGCTCGCTCCGACCAAGCCGCGTCACTCCAAGACACACACACCACCACCACCAGACCAGGCTCATAAACCCCAATGGTGACGATGACGATGGGTTCACTCGACGACGGCACACTCGAGCACGGCTGACTGCTTGTCCTCAGAGGACGAGATTGCGACGGTGTCCTGCGGCTTCACCGTCCCTACCACCTGGCCTTCTTCGCTGTCGGCTGTGGTAGTTACAGGATATGTCCGCGGCGGATCTGCTCCTCTGAAAGAGTGTTCTGCTTGCAGAGTGCCTCGCGTTGACGGCATCAAAGCGTTTCCCAATCGCAACCACGGCCACAACCTCGCATGCAGCAGGAGCGCCGCGAGGACACGGGCTTGGCACAGGGGAAAGTGGCGGACAGAGATGGAGATGGCAACTTGCAGTGGTCACACACCATTGCCGACACAGATGAGATTGTCTATGGCTGCGTCCGACACTGGCCCAGAATTCGCGCCATTGGTGAGGTGCCATATACGATGCCCGAATCTACGGCGACAACAACAACAACGTCGCCAGACGAGAGGCGATTGCCTGCTTGGGATTGCCGTCCTCCTGGACGCAGAACACTGCGTGGGAGCAGGAACAACAGACACCACGCCAATGACACGGCATAGTGTTTTCGGAAGGAACTGGTCGCTTCCCCCAAGGCAGGCCATGATACCGACTTGGCGTTGCTCCACGATCAAGCCAGCCGGTGACCGCCTATTCGTGTGTGCCGTCTTCACGAGCCCATCCCGGCGGTCCGTGGCGAGCGAGTGCTGCGTTCGAATACACGCGTGCCGCAGCAGGCCCTTCAAGGTGACCAAGGACCGCCGCAAGCACCCGCAAGGTTGACGAGTAGCACGGCCGCATCAGGATGTAAGCACCGGCGCGGTATCCACACCCAGACGTAGCCATCACCACCTCCCAGCGATGTAGTGCTGGCAGGGGCAACGCCGGTCCAGTCCAAGAGGCAGAACCAAGCCCGACCTGACCATGCCACCCTCGACTCAGGCAGCGGCAGCATCACAATGACCTCCTCACCACGTCATCCCGGCACGCACATTGACTCCCACGAGTTCCCAAGCAGATGGGTGACTGACCTGGCAGCTTTGCTCCAGTGCAAGATGTGAGGAGCCAAGGCTGATACGGGTCGTGCTGGTCAGCACCCATCTGCTGAGATTCTGTAGAGGCCGGGCCGAAACCAGGTCGTACATAATGCTGAAGTGGAAGTCGTGCCATTGCTGTCGCTGCCGAGTATCCGCACGCCCGGGCTCATAACCGGTAGATGCTGGTGGGATGTGTGATGACAGGCGGCAGTGGGAGGATGGGGGGAGAGGTGACCAGGCGAACGAGGCAAAGCCGCAGGACGGACAGCCATCCAGCACGACAAACAACACAGCCTTGACTTGTTGATGATCGTGTCGTATATCGAGTGCCGGAATCGAACTCTGACAATGACGGGCGACACATCCTGTCTCCGGCAAGCCGTGGCGCGGATGTGGCCGCCGAGCCAGGGGGTCTGGATGCTCTAGGATCATGCGAGCTGCCTGGGCGGCGCTGTCACCGCCCTGGACGAGGCAGTGCAGGACGCCGCGCGGGATGCTGTGGGCGATGCAGATGCCCTTGCGCCAGTTGAGTTGAGGGGGTCTGGCGCCATACCGCAGGAGGAAGTCGCACAGCTCGACTGGTCTGCCTCGGGACGCCTCAGGTTTGATGAGCGAGCTGGGGACCCTCTGGAGGATGTGGGCTGGCACGGCGCCGTTGGCGTTTGGGCGGACCTGGTTCGGGGCATGCTCCAGAAGGGTCATGACTCCTCCGTTGTGAACGTAATGTTGGGGTCTACGTAGAAGTCTTCAAAAGAGAGAAAGTCGCAGAACTCGGCGGCTCTGCCCTGGAGGTGCCAGGTCTGGCCACGACGGCCGGCGTCGATGTTGAAAAACACCCATCTGTGTGTGCCTGGCCGACTGCTCTGGAGCCCTCAATTGCTGTCACACATCCGCGCGGAAGGGCTTGCATGCTGACGGGACTGTGTGCCAGCCAGAGGACAAAGGCTGGAGCAGTGACTTGCTGCTGCCCCACCAGAGTCTGAGCTGTCAGATGAAGACGGCTGGTGCTGTGTGAGGATATCCCTTGCCGGGCTCATAACCGGTGCATGACGAAAATGGATGCAGAAGCAGCAAGGGACGTGGTGAAGGGGAATGATGAAGAGGGGGAGAGATGAGATGAGAAGCCACAGTTGTGATGGTCTCCCAGCGTGGCAGCCGGCATATGACGGCAGTGGCAGGGACGGCGTGAATGGAAGTGTTCCAACACCTAGATGAAGCTTTGCGAAGGCGTCTGGGCACGGCCTCACTCGAGGGCTGGCGGTACAATCTAAGTCTCGCCCTCCAGGTCGGTGGCACATCGAGCCTTCTCGCACTCGAGCGCTCGCTCGAGCCGTTCGGTTTCGGCCTGCTGTATTTCCGTATGCTGCGAACGCTCCGCACATGGAAACACCATACCGTGTCCGTGACAGGCACGACGTTTGGTCGCAATTGCCGCTTTCGAATGGCACTCCCGAGATCCGACGATGCCTCGCCCACTGGAAAGGTGGTGGTGGTGCAGGAGGACAGACACCTGCAGAGTCTGTGAGCGTCTGCTGTACATGGTCTGGTTCTACCAGACTCGTCCTTGCTTGTAGGATTGGATTGCCGTGCCGGCGTCGAGGACCTTGGCATTGGGATTTGTGACGAGAAAGTGGTTCTTGTAGGAGGAAGACGCATTAGCAACCACCGGGTGCTGCACGAGCACTCGCGCGTTCTGCACTGTGATACGCGTACCACTTTGAAGCCGGCCGAAGCTTAGCTTCTTCGCGTCAGACGACGAGATCGCAATGAGATCTTCGTCATTGATGTCATTTACGTCCGAACTGCTTAAGCACCGAACGGGCTCGCCAAGATGAGCCGCAGACGCGACACTGCCCGAGCCGCGAGACACGAACTCCCAGTCGCAAATCTCGCTCGAGGGTCTTGCCATTACTTCATCGGTCTGGCTAGACTTGGCAACACTGGTGTTGACTGCGACGTCATCGTCAGAGATGGCGACGCCGAGGTTGTCCTTGGGTGCGCTTGCGCTTGTGCGTGCGTTCTCTTTTCCAATGCCGAATTTGCGTCGGAAAGCACATCTGAACCCTGCGATGTGTACAGCCACTCCTTGATAGTGGCGGTGTAGAACAGACACAACACCACTTCTAGTCGCCCAAGCCCGCGACAGCAAGTTGCGAGTGGGGGTATTGGGCCAAACCGGAGTCTCCGATCTCGCAGCCTGGCCCAGATCAAGAAGAGGAGGCGGACAGCTGGAATGAGGTCAAGACCAACCACGCCTTGTGCGCGGACATGCTGCAGCCCCGTCCAGCGTTAGGGGTTGACAGGCTGAAGCGAGGTGACGCCGAGTACCTCCAGCGGGACCGAGTCGGGCACTGGCGTCTGGAGAACGCCGAAGCTTGGGCAGGAACAGGCTCGTCATTGTTGATGATGTTGTCGACGGGGCTTGTGGTTGCTGTTGTGGTTGTTGCTGTCGTGCTTTGCTCTTGTCCAGGAACGACACGGCACAGCACGAGCAGCAGCACCCACCCATCCACCAAATGATGAGCCTGTTCCAGTTGAGAGTGACGCAGCTAAGCAACAGGCCGAATCCTCCACGCCACCCACCAGACGACTCTCTGTCAGTGCTGGAGGCGAAACGGCCGGTGGCGAGTGTGTAGAGGGAAGAGCGTCAGCCCGCGTGAGACTTGACGGATTGGCCACTATGAGAAGGAAATGGGTCAGTATTCTATCAAGTTTGCCGTGGTGAACCGGTATTGACAACTTACCAACTTATACCTGACCACCAAGCCGCCAGCTGAGCACCTCCTGTGCGCACTAGGCTCGAGGCGACTCCCCAGGCTCATAACCTTGGGTGAGAACGCCAGCTTTTGTGGCCGTCATCATCACCCGCCGCGTGTGTTATCCGGGTTGACAATGAGGCTTGCCGCCGAACAGCCGGAGTCATGGGTGCCTGCATGCTGGGCGGATCGGTCAGGATAAGTATTTCGCAGGGCTGTTAGCTTGGAGAAGGACTTACCTCGACCACCGCATCCTAGGCAGGGTTCCCAGTTCCCCAAACACCTTTCTAGCATCAACCAGGCTCATAACCTGTTTTTATGTGGCTTCTACGCTAGCAGCTCCTTGACCAAGTGGTCTCTGTCAAGACAGATGACGTTTTTGTCAGTCAACATTTCGATTATTGGCACTAGAGCCGGGGATGTAAAGATCCAACATGTGACTTGCCTGCAAAAGCACAGATCTCCCCCAAAAGACGCCAGCCCGAGGCCGCACCGTCCAATCGGACGATGGAACCAAGGGCAAGTCGACCAAGCTAGACGGATGTCTTCAAGGCTGAGCAGTAGCAGCCAAGCAAGAGCTGTCCAGCTGGCCCCCAGCTAGAGCCAGGCGAGGAGTCCATCGACAATGCCAGCGAGGCGCGTCCCTTCCCGCGACTCCAGGCTTGGCGGGCTAGTATGTTTGACCTTGTGAGGTGTCGAGCTCGACACCTATCACCAATGACGACGCACGTGATGCCATCCAGTGACCGGTACAATAGTCTCTCTGTGGAGAAAACATCAAGTCAGCACCGCCTTGACTATGGCTGTCTGTAAGAGTGTGAGACTTACGGGTGATGTACATGTTTGCGCTGTCCGTCACGACAAGCCGCTCCAGACATGGTGTCGTCGACCTTAGTGCGGTTCGTGGCAACTGGCGAAGTCAAGGCAACTCTGTGATGCCCTGGGTTGTCAGGGGCATGACAATACGTGGCGCGTACGGAAGGGTCTGGGCAGCAGGTGGACTTACCATGGACCAGCCGGGGTGGCGCAACACCGCACCTTGCGACGACCTGGCTCATAACCTCAGGTGCTGGTACGGCGGAGCTGGGGCGCCCGCGAAACGAGATGGATGGGGCGAGATGGTAGAGGGGACTAGTAGTGCCGGAGTGGACGAGGTAGTGGGCGGACCGATCCGCGGATGATGGGGGGATAAGGGGGGATGGGGGCTTGCGTGACAGCAGTGATGGGTGAGGTGAAGGGGTAGTGATGTAAGGTTTGTTACTGCTTTGCTGAGTTCCCAGACTGGGATTATAGAATCATGGCTGGTGTATGGGTGCAAGAGGAAGGGATGAAAGCATATAGGATGGGTGGTTGAAGGAGAGCAGAGGAAGAGAAGTGATGTGCAGAAGTGAGGGAGGAATCTGGAAAATAAGCGGGAGGAACGGACATATTTATACAGATTTCCTGGGCCTGATGCCACCTAGGATATCAATGGGACCCGTCCAGAATGGCCTCGACAGGTTGCCCAGGCACGAGACCATGAAGTCCTGAGCCCATTCATCGAGGCAGACGCACAATTGAGTAAAATAGTCATCTGTTGGGAGGGACAGGGGTGGCCCGCTGATCACCTGGGCCAGGCATGATTGACACACATCGTGACCGGCGCCACCGAGCCTCAATGGAGCATTATTGCTGCCTCTGTTGCGTCATTTCAGGCAGTCAATGGTCCTCGTGACCCTATGGGAGGCTGGGGAAGTTGTTGTGGCCTGCTGAATGACCCGCAAAAAAGGGACCTCGCTGGTTCCCTGCTCGGTTGTGAGCGTGGCCAGGCTCTCCTCCTCCAGGCAAACAAGAGGACGAACAAGCCAGAGCGGGTCTCCCCGGAGCCTGGTGACGCGGCTTGAGCTTTGCTGCAGCGGCATTCAGCGGCGAGGCCGGAGTATTGAGCAACTGACTCAGGCCTTCCCGGGCCTTGGTGGACTATCTCCTGGTTCATCAGGCCCAGCGCGGTGTCAACAGTGACAAAAGGGCATGGTCCTATGACAGTGTCAAGAGTTGTTGATACTACTACTGCTCATGTCACTATCGGCGCCTAGGACACCTAGCTCTTCGAGGTTGGATTGGCGAGAGACCCGGGAATGAAGGTATTGGAAGCAATGTCACAATGACAACAGCTACGTCGGTGCCATGGGAGTGGACCGCAAGACAATAGACACGCCAGGCATCATCTTGGCGTTGCCAAGTGCATTTTTGGCCTCGTGACTTGTGCTTGAGCAGCAGTCGCATACAAACGTCGTCAACAACATCTGCGAGCGTCATGGGAACTAACACAAACGCCGGCGCCTTCAGCTATATCAATCATGAACATGCATGTCTGCTTGAATGTCAGAAATAATATGGGACAAAATTGTTCCAACACATGTATCCAACACATGTATCCAACACATGTATCCAACACATGTCCTTGCCTGGATAGGCCCAGGGCTCGCACCGAGCGGCTGCAGTTGGCGCGGCATTCTCGCTGTGGCTTGTGATGTTAATGCAAACACCCAACTCGCTGTCATAAAGCCCTGGTGGTATCCAGGGGGTCCTGATTCTCTCCGCCGTCAGTTCTCCATATTTTGGTGCGCGTTCCAGGTGCGTAGCATGACATGCTATTTGGCATATATTTGGCATATATTTATACTTTAATATTAACTTACGTGATTAATAGCAACGGAAAATACTCAAAGCCTGGCTATATAGCGTATCTATATCATTCCCCCACGCCCGCTTGCTCACTCGTTCGTGCGCGCTCCTTGGTCAATGCCCAGTCCTATACACTCTCAACCTTGCAATCTGCTTGAACGAAGCTCTGCGGCGGAACAACTTTCACAGTCTAGATGTTGTTACAATGCCAGTCAGCTTGTTCAGTCTCATGTGGTATTGGTAAACACGAACAAGGGCTCGGATTCACTTACGGCGCGATGATCGACCATGAAGACTCCGCCTTTGTCGCCAGTAAAGGTACACTGTACCCCCGAGTTGGACTGAGTTATCGAGGCCACCGGGTCTTTGATGACTGCCACGCCCGAGGACGGTCCAGCATCAGCCTCAATCCCATAGTTTCATCGACGGTATTACACTGTGAATCCAAAAGACAAATTACTCATGGTGTCAAGCCTGCCGCTACTCACCGACCGCAAGCCTCGTCACACCCAGGTCGAACCAGTCCTCATCCAGAAGTCCTCCTTCTGTCTGGAAAGTCACGACTGCTCTCGCCGCAGCCGGGCGCGTGGCTAGCACACCATGGCTGTGTTTCTTGGTGCTCGCGTTGTGGCGGTGCGGGGAGGTGTCGTTGCGCATGCTTGTGACTCTGATTGCCCTTGTTGCTATTGGAGCTTGTTCTGGCATGGGGCGAGTGTGCTGATTTGTGCGCTGCGAGGACGCGCTTGGCGAGGGTCCTGTGGATTGCTGGCGCCGGGGAAGGGGCTGCGGCGCATATTGGTATGAGGACTGTGATGCCGAGGAGGAGCGCCACGACCGCTGAGATGGTGGACGGGTGATGGAGCCGCATCTCCGGGGTCTTGTGCTGCTGCGTGGGAGGTCGGCGGTGCGTGGTGGTCAGTTCGAAAGGTGATCTGTGCCACGCACCGTCCTTTTGCCAGTGGAGGCAATCATAATGGCTCAAAGTCCAGCTGCAACTGTCCCTGTTATGAATGAAGCAAACACACCAAATCCGTCACATTATCCGTGGCCCAAGGCATGACGACAAGGCTACGCACCTGAAATTGTCATGAGGGCCACCGTTCCGCCTCACGTGTGACCAGTCTGCAGCTGCTGGCGCCTCACTCATTTCACCAGTGTCGATCTGGGCACGTAACCCACACAACTTGACAAGGATATTGCCCTGACATCAAATTGAGTCTGCCGCTGATGACGGCTGAACGACTTCGTATGCACAGCGGAGCCTTGTCTTGACGATCAGTAGGTTCGATGATACTATTCAAATCAGGAGAGACGAATGAGACGACAGGGTCTGCTTCACCTGTCTTGTCCCTTACATTCCTCGTGCCGAATCCACTGCCAGTCCCGGGAGGAGAGGCCTTCAATCCTAACCAATCTGACGCAATGCCCCTCTTGGGGACCGTCATGCCGATCAGTCATGAGCTGTTAATGTCTACATGACATTCGAATGTGAGGCTGACAAGAACCTACCCTCACAATAGTGCCCACGCGGGGTGGCTGGGCTGTGGGCGTCAAGTGTCTCGGATGCATTCCAGCGCCGGCCATTGTTGTTGCGTAATGCTCGCGTCTTCATCCGCCCCCGCACATCGACGAGACGCCGAGCACGACTGATTTCTCTCACGCCCTTCAAGGTCCGGTGTACAAATGATCAGATTGTGAGTTCATTGGACGTGGTTTCATAGAATTATTAACCTGTTATCAGGTGTACTCTGCATGGGGATGGACATCATGAAACATGAAGACCATCCGAGCTGCTTAAAAGTAAAAACATTGCCAGCCGTCAAGCCAACATCTGCACGTGAGTCAACCGTGTCCAGATGCGAAAGGTATATCAACGTTCAGGCTGCCGTCTGGCAAGAGAACCCCGTCAGACATGTCGCTTGGTGCTAGCGGGTGATGCCGCCTGAGCGGCTAAGGCGCTGCTGCGATTGGCTGTCGCTTTTCTGCGCCTGGCCATTGCGTATGCGGCCAAGGCCTACTGTTGGCACAGCATGTCGCTGCGGCAGCGAGGAGCTGAACATTTGCCTTGCTTGGCGTTGTTCCAATAGAGGAATATGCTGACTTAGTCTTGGGTCAACCAGGCGCACCAAATATGGTGAAATCTATCGGCCGGACTCCTTCTATGCGTGCAGAGCCTGCTTCCTAGGCTTCACTTATAAGCTGTGCAATGTTGTCTTGGTGACACAGAACACAGACACAGAACAACAAACTGCTTCCGCTATTTAGCGATGAGTGTAGGGAACCTTCATAACATAAGCTTCAGGACTTGCCATGGGGTTAAAGTCTTGGGAAAACCCCAAACCGAAGTGCTGTGAACCACAACTTTTATCGAACTTGAAGGTCAAGCCATCAATTAGTCACAGAAATATTGAGTGTCTCAGCCGAACCTCAGAAGCATACAGCTAGAGCTCATGGAGGAGAAACTTCAAGCAAGCCCTGCCACTACCCGGCTCATCCTGGCTGTGCTCAGTGTCGGTGAATACGGACTGCAATGTCGATCCCGGCCGCCGAGGCTGCGCTGACGCTTGGCGCCGACTTGGCCGGCGGGGGCCTGTACCTCCACTCCTCCTGTGCTCGCGGCAGCGCGACAGAGCCACCCATGCAAATCCAAAGATGAGACAATATAGGACATCATTACCGCGATTGTAAGCCCGGCGCGACTGAAGGCCCGAATGCATTCCCTTCTAAGTAAGCCCCCGCCTCTTGGCTAAACTGAACGGGACTCTCGTCGAGATGCTCCGGCTTGGAGATGTACTATGGTAGAGGTTAAGGATGAATTGAGGTTTCGGGATGTGTCGCTAGTTGCGAGAGAAAGTATAAAGACGAGATGTTTCCCCGGGCATAACTGCTATCAAATCAGGAACAACTTCTCTACCCAACTCAGTTCTCAGTTGAACACCAGCGAGACCCAACTCTTGTACTTGACTTTCCACCACCCCACACACTATACAAACATATATCAACATGAAGGCCTCATTCGCCCTGATCACCGTCCTCGCCGGACTTGCACTCGCCACTCCCTCCAATCCCGCTGCCCGCGCCGAAGCTGCCGCCGCCGCTGCCGCCGCAGAATTCGCAGAGGTTGGGGCCCCGAACGCAGAGCAGGAGGCCGAGGTTACCGCCAACGTTGAAGCGCTCGCAGCGCTCGACCCTTCTTGCGTCAGCTGCGTTCGAAGGAACTGCTCAGCTTCGTGGGTCTGCCTGAGGGCCACTGCCGCACCGCTGGTCATTGCGTGCCTGCTGGCAAGGTGCGCCGCTGCTTCGGCCATCTGCTGCGCCTTCTGATTAATCAATGGGCGGGAATCGACGACGGGGGACGATGGGGAAAAGGCTTGGACAAGAGTGTCTTGGAAGCTAAGACGCGGTGGGCAGTCTCCATGAGCCAAATGGAGATGGGAAATCCGATGGTTGGCAGAGTTATGTGGAAAGGGTTGTGTCGGGTGATGTCTCTCGGCGCTCGCGTTTCGAAGGTGGCTCTTTGGTTGTTGTATGTAGTGAGAGCATGCTGCAACTACTAGGCTGTGCAAACCACCCCAGACGTGTTGTTACAAAGCAACCCAGTGACTACAAGGACCTCGTTCGAAAGAGGAAAAAGTGATGCCATTCTAGGCACTGGAAAACAGTAGTGAATACAAGGTCGCGTGACCTGCAGTCAATTTGACAGGCCGCGCACTCCAAACCTTCGGCCTCAGCAGCATTGCACCACTTTTGCGCACACAACCGGTATTGCTGCCGCCACGGCATAGAAGAAAGTCGGCCAACGTCGGTAGACTATCGATCCTCGAGATCTGCTATCACCTCAATATCAACCCAGTTCCAGTATTGAACAGCCCACTGTCGAGCGTTGTCGATGTCAGATACTCAGGGACAATGAATCTCATCAACCAGTATAAGAGCGATACCAATACCGTTTTTGACTTCCTCAGAACAGTTGGAGGCCTTGGCGAGAACACCAAGGTCCTAGACCACGTCCGCACTGCCGAGCAACACCCGGACATTTCCCGAAAAGAAACAAACACAGTGCAGGGAAAATCCGTGCTCTTTTTGGTGGTCATGTTTGATTCGTATGTCAATACAGAAATCTACACGTCGTTGTCAAGCGGCGTCGAGGCAGCGAGGCTGGCTAACCCCGTGTTACCACATCCGTCCACACCTTCTCATACGCACACACGCACATACATCATCCACGCAACTATTTGAGCTACTCTAATGATAGCATTGAACACTGAAAAGATTGACGTGATCAGCTCTCAGACTGAACAGATTGCCACCGCACAGAATCTAGAATTCTGGGCTAGCTCACGCAAACAGACCACAGGCGCCTCGCCGACTTCTAGTCCCTCCCCTATAGATAGCGTTCTAGAGAAGGAGACAAGCACATACGACCATAGGATCAAGAGAATTGAGGGTCCCGTCCGCTCCCCTGTACACAAGCTTGATACCGCCGGACTAGTAGTTGGGTCGGTGACGACCAGCGAATCCCCGGTGTTGTATGTTTTTGTTTTTGCTTCATGCCCTAATGTATTTCTCCCCATGTATTTTTGGTTCTTCTTCAGTCCTATCCCTCCGGTATGCGTGATTTATTTTCTGGAAATTGTGTGCTTGCCTGTTCGGAATTGGTGTTTCTCTATCGTTGTCATTAGTGGCGTGTTCCTCTGCAGTGTGTTGGTGTCCCCATCCGTGCCGCTTTTAGTTGTCGAAGTGGATACGGGACCATCTTCTTCCACCATGCCGAAGTCAATTAGCTTTTCTCACTCCGGCAGCAAGAATCAACACAGTACCACCATTATCAACCTCTGTTTGATAGTAGTGTAATATGCCGGCTTCAGCAGCAGACGTGTTTTGCGGCGGCTCGCCGCAGCACCATTTATCGATGGTGCCGTATAACGTCCTTAGGTGGGACGGCTTGGATGGGCTGTAGCAGGAGATGCGTGCCAAACAAAACAACTCCAAGGCAGTCATTTGAGAAGTTCTATTACATTTGTCCAAAAGTATTTTCGCTGCTCTATCTCTGCTCTATTCCTGCCGTATTCTGGGGCGGCCACCGGACTTCGGGCGTTCCACCGTCACAAATCGAAAACTTCCACCATTTCATTACTGCCATCCTTGACATCTGGGAGCCTTTGGATGTACTCCTCTCCAGATATCTACATATTAAGACCACAGAAATCGCTTCTTTCCTCACGCAATATCCCTCTCCCTTTCTCCCTCCCGGACCCCCTATACCCCGGCTCCTGCAGCCCGATCAAATAGCAGTGCCCCGCTCAACGTGCAGAATCCTCCTCCCGACGTGCTTGCCCGGGTGCCAGACCGCGAGCAGCACGACGGCCAGCGCGACGGGGGCGAACTCGAGACAGGCAAAGTAGACCTCGTTGGTCTGCAGCTTGCCGCCGAGGCCCTCGGCCGTCTCGGCCAGGCGGAAGCACGTGCGCAGGTACACGGCCAGCGCCGAGATTATGAAGGCGATGCAGAACGCCGTCGATGCTGTCGTTGTCGCTGTTGTTGCTGTTGTCATCGTCATCCCTGCTTGTTTCGGTTCTGCTTCTGACGAATGCGGTGATGAGGAGGAAGAAGGCGCCGAGGAGTGGGAAGCGGAGAAGCGCGAGAACATGTAGCTCGCGGTCAGCAGCACAAAGACACCCATGCTGAAGACCTGGTACGCGAGGCCGCCGAGGAGGATGCGGTTCGCGGTCGTCGGATCCTTTCGCTTCGAGTAGCTGACGCCGATGAGCGCGGCGCCGGCGATTTGGACAATGGTGGCGATGACGTCGGAGACGACGAAGAAGGCGATGAGCAGGCGCGGCGGGATGCGCAAGTGCAGGCCCTTCCTCCTGGCACCATCAGCACTACTGCTGCTACTCCCGTGGTCGAGGTTGTTGTCGCGGGTGATGAGGCCCGAGAGCACCGTGTATATCCCCGCGGCGAGGAACACCGGGGCGGTGACGATGAAGAAGTAGTTGAGGATAAAGTAGAGGAGGTGGTAAGGGTCCTGCCTGGCGGAGAGGGAGCGGGCGACGTAGCCGACGACCTCGAAGAGCAGGCCCACGGGGAAGACGAGCCAGTACCAGGAGCGGTGGCGGATTGTGAGGATTGTGTGGGCGAGGAGGAGCAGGAAGAACCAGGCGACGGCGAAGACGGCGAGGGCAAACTTTGGCGTGTAGCCGTAGATGATGACCGGGGTGTCCCATTCGCCGCCGGGGTTGGGGAAGTTGGGGTCCACGTAGGCGTACGAGGTCTGGGTAGGACCTGTTTGTTTTGGCAGAGTTGTGAGTTTTGGTGATGAGACGAAAAGAGGGTAGAGATGGTGTTGGTGTAACTTACGTGGAGGGCTGTCCATGGCGACGGTTTGGCTGTGTTGCACTATGCCAGCAGAATGGTGGTGGTGTTGCTGGCTGCCATGGAGGCCAAGATGGAGTCGGGGAGCCTCGACTGCCGGGACCCAGCCTTATGAAGAAGGGACATACCATAGTATTAGTCTGAAACATCGCAACTCGGGGCGGCAGACAACAACGAGCGCCAAGACCGGCCGCCCTTGCACAGTTGAGCAAGCGCGGTGGAATGACGCAGTCCATCTGCCGATGCAGGACCAGCCAATCACAATCCACGGGCTGAGACCCGTGGGCCCCGGCACTCGCACTTCTTGGCGTCGCCGAGGCTGCTGGACGTGGTGTCAGTCGGCCGAGTGATTTAGTGAGACGGACTACTGTGGTCTATTTTAATTGTGCTCGGGCTCGGTGCGATCGCTCACGACGGGGAGCAGCTCGATCTCGATGGCAACACTGCGCGGCCACGATCGTGATGGTGTAGGCCCATCGTGTCTGAACTGCACATGCAGGCGAGGAAGAAAAGGACATGTAGTACCTTTGCACACCTCCCTCACAAGCAAATGGTATGGATGAAGGGCATGCTTGGACTGGAGATGCAGACACCCGGCCCCGTGCAAACACGCCCAGCCATGAGCATGACAGGTCCTGCGCATCGCGCCATGTCGCACCCCGTGCCCGTGCAGCCAATGCCTGCTGCCAGGTTCCAGGCACGAGGCCGAATGTGAGGCAGAGGTTGTCGCATTAAGCTTGATTGACTGTTCAGCCAATCAATGAACCAACCAACAAACCATGGGACAGGCCAGCATCGAACCGAGGATTGGCCCGATCTGCAGCAACGGCAGCAGCCGGCATCGGCACCCGGCGGCCAGAGTGGAGCCCACATCACGGCCGGCGATCGCGGGGTTGCAGACGAAAGGAGACGGAATACAATAGGGGTCTGTGGGTATCGACGACCTCCGCAAGTGTATGCCAGAATACCACCCGATACACACTCACATAAGTAGCAGCATCAACAGCCGCAGCAGCAGCAGCATCGCCATGTTCTACGAGCCCGGAAAGACAGCACACGGCCTGCCTCACGACCCGTTCAAGGCGTGCGTCGTGCCCCGGCCCATCGGCTGGATCTCGACCACGTCCGGCACCACGCCGCCCCAGCATAACCTCGCGCCCTACTCCCAGTTCAACAACCTCACCTTTGACCCGCCCTACGTCATGTTCAGCGCCAACCAGACCCCGGGCCAGCAGCGCAAGGACAGCGTCGTCAACGCCGAGGCCACGGCCAAGTTCTGCTGGAACCTCGCCACATGGGCCCTGCGGGAAAAGGTCAACATCACCGCCGAGCAGGTGCCCTACGGGGTCGACGAGTTTGAGCGCGCAGGCCTGACCAAGTGCTTCTCGACCACGCTGCCAGGGGACGCCGAGCCCGGCAACGCGGTGCCCATGGTGGCCGAGTCGCCGGTGCGGTTCGAGTGCGTGTACCACTCGACTATACGGCTGCCGGGGAACCCGCCGATGGGGTCGGTCGACGTCATTATTGGACGAGTGGTGGGCGTGTACATTGCCGACGAGGTGCTGACCGAGGGCCGGCTGGATGTGCGCAAGACGCTGCCGATTGCGCGGTGCGGGTACTACGAGTATGCGGTGGTGCGGGAGACGTTTGACATGGTGATTCCGGGCATGAACGAGGCGACGCTGGCAGGGCTCGAGGGCAGCACAAAAAGGCACAAGGCACTGGTGGAGGCTGGCGCTGGTGGTGGTGATGATGAAGACTCGAGGGTGGAGTGATGGTAAGATGTCGAGATGTCGAGATGACGAGGGGAATTGCAGATGCTCGTGGCGTTGGTTAGAGGCTTCATAGACTTGGACTGTTGTGAAGTGTGCGCGCTAGACGGAAGCGAGCAACATCTATGGATGAGTAAGCATATCTGTGTATTCAACCTCAGGCCTCGAGATTGACTACCCTGGTGCACCTGTACCCGTGCCTGTATGTGCCTGTGCCTGGTACCTGCAGTGCGGGTCGACTCGACGTCGAGCGTGGGCGCGTTCGTTTGTCACGGCTGGCGGCACGTGATGCGCTGCAAAGGCCCAGACTGCCTGCCACTCGAGGAAGGTGCGCATTACTCCCCTCGAGGCTGTCCACTCCATGTCCTCCTGTGTAGATGCACACCTGCAAGTCAAGTCTTGAGTTACACTTTTGCCCATGCGTCGGCACCACCACGCCATGACCTCGCAGTCATCGTGAGCCGCTGCTACCACTCACTCACACCCTCCACTACCTTCCTCTCACTCTCCATCTTTCTTTCTCTCTCCAGCGTGTCTTCTTCCTCATCTTCTTCTCTGTCTGTCTCTGGCCAAGGTCCCCTCCGCCCCCAATGACTTCCACCGTGGCAACCCGCGCCCAAGAGCCGGCCAAGGGCGACGCGGCCACTGTCCCGACCCTCGCCCTCGCCCGCCGCAACTCGACGTTCATGGCCCGGTGGACAGCCATTGAGCCCAAGCCACGCTCCTACCAGCACAAGGTGCCCAACCAGTACCCCAGCAAGCTCCGCAAGCTGCCCCCCGACCAGCAACACTATGCCCTCCTTGACGCCGAGGAGTACTGGCTCGAGATCCTCGCAGACCACTTCCCGCCCGCCTGGGTCAGCGCCTCGGAAGTCCTCGCCCATCTTGCCACCATCATCCCCATGGCAGCGCCCTGCGGCACAAAGCCCTACATCGCCCTCAAGACCGCCCTCAAAAAGGCCCTCGACGCGGGAGCCCGTGCCGGCTGGGACAATGACGCAAACATCCGCTGCCCTCCCGTGCCGCTCGCCCTTCTCCATGCCGTCAAGGTCAACGGCAGTGCTCAGGCTGGTGCCGGAGAACTGCCCAACAAGATTGCTGACGATCTCACTGCTGCCCACCTCGGCTGGCTGGCCCAAGAACCCAGCACCTGCGTGATTCCCCGGTGCTGGCGTGTATGGGCAATCCGTCATAACTACCCTCATGCGGCCTACATCGGACAGCCTCCTCCCGCCCAGCCGACCACCGATCCAGAGCCGACTCAGAGGACAATGGTGCAGTCACCGGTTCGGCAAAGGTCGCCAAGTAGACATAGGTCGTCTGCTCGCCAGGAGGACCGCCTCAACATCAAAGGCATCCCTCGCCGCTTCAGTGTGCCACACCGCGTCAGCCCGGAGCTTGGACACAACAGAGAGGTCGTAGACCTGGATGAGTATGGACACGATTACGATGGCAGGCTCATCGAGGACGACGAGTCTTTCGAGCTTTGGGATGCGTCATTCCGCGATGAGGAATGGGATCAAACACATGACGAGCGCAAGCCTGGTTTCCCAAGCAGCGAACATGCTGCCCGAACATTCAGACACGCCGAGGACTTTCGCTCACCATCGCCCATCGCCGCCTTCGATGACGATCAGGCCGAGTCAACCCTGGTCGACCAAGAACCTTCATACTCGGCACACACGCAAGCCCGCAGACCTCCTGCTTTGGCCACTAAGACTGACCAGCAGGCCAACGTCTTCAACATCAAAACCATGGATGACGTGCGCAAGCTTCTGGCAGACCTCGGCTCGCAAGAGGCCATACGGTGCCCGACGGCCAACGAAGTCCTTCCTTATGCCGACAACGACGTGCACGAAGCCTTCACCACATATACCCGCTACTTCAGTGCCAAGGTCAAGGCGGCCATGAAGTTGACGCTGGGACAGATCCTGCTGGCCTCGCCGCTCGCTAAGCTCGTCAAGCAGTCGAACGCCATGCGCAGAGATCTCGACTACTACCGCACCGAGGCCGAGAGTGTACGCCAGGAGCTTCCTGAAGCCATCAGCGCAGTCAAGGACGCTCATGACCGAGAGGTCTCACGCCTGCACAGTGAGATTGCGGGACTGAAGACCGCAGTCAACAAGACGGCCCAGCAACAACAGAGACGCACACGGATGGAGGCCAAGCCGGCTGGCTCGGCGCGCCAGAGTGAGTACCAGATCACGACACGGGCTGCAGCCGCAAGAGGTGCTCGTCCGTCCACAATCAATGCGCGTGGTCTTGGGAGCAGACCAAATGCGGTTCCAGGAGTCGCTACCAGAGCACGTCCTCTTGGCATCAACATGATGGCCATCGATCCTTCCCGCAAGCGAGGTGCGCCGCAGCATTACGACCCGGCGCTACCTGCCCGCAAGCGCCCAATGACCGGCAGCAAGTTGGGCAATGCCAAAAATGTGTATGCGTCGTACTTTGCCAACGACGAGTGACGATGGCATGGGTTTTAGGAAGCATGAAGTGACGAACGGGAGGGTTCTGGTCTTGTACATGGTTATGTGATGGAGTATTGCTTTCCGATTTTTGTTGGGCAATGATAGAGGTGCCTGAAACATGTATGGGTATGCGGGACAGGTTCGACCAGAGTTTGAAGGTTACAATCGCGCGGGAGGGGGCTGATTGCACACAATTTTGCTGCTCGGGGTTTGAGGAGCATCCAACTGGCTACATATTTTATTCGGCAGCCAAAGAATGTACTCAGTATCCGTGCCATGCCCGATTTCCCCACGAGCTCTGTGGTGCACCGCAAGCATCGCCATTTCGAGGTGCTCTTTGATGCTCTGCCGCATCCAGGCACCAAAAGACGGGTGGGTGGCTTCTGCACAAGAATGAGAGAGAGAGAGAGAGAGAGAGAGAGGGGGAGAGAGGGAGAGAGAGGGGAGGGCACGAGATGGAGGCCCAAGGCAGCTGCGATAACCACCACTGGTGTGATTCTCCATGAGTCCGGATCATGTTGAAAAGGGCAATGATAGCAGCAGCCTGGGCCGTGTATCCTATTTGATCCAAGTGCCGAGCATATGAAAACGATGGTGCCTGCATCCTGCGTGCCCACTGGGACGGGAGCGCTATGCCCAAACAATCACCCCGGGAGGCCGCCCGCTTTCAACGGGTTTGTCGCAGCTTGGGAGGGCCGCGGGCCGGGTATGTGAGTCGTGCGTGCAAGGCCGGCCGGCGCTGGGGCTCTTTGGCAGCTCCATAACACTGCTCTCTGCGCTCTTTCTCTCTGCCTTGGGAGGCGGCCTTTCAGCCGCAAAAATGTAAGCCGGCTTCTTCTCGCACTAAGGAAGCAAGCGAGCACCCACCTAACTAGCGACCTTCAGCCGTCATTTGAGACCCGAGAGCTGAGTTGAAGCCTGCGGATTATTGTAATTAGCTACCGAGCTGTGGCTTGCCCATGTGCTGCCAGACCTGTGCCTCTCTTGGTGTCGGGGGATGACACATACACAGCACCACGCCACACAGCCCGCCCCGAGTGGAGCGCGCGAGGCCCCCTTGACGTACTATCGGTGCAGCCCTACGTGGTATCTTAGCTCCAGTATGCGATAGACCAGGATGCGCAACCCCGATAGATGGGGCCATTCAGGACCCCCAGGCAGCAGCCGTGGCAGCCACAGGTTATGTTATGACGTTGCGCCTATCCGCCAGCACAGCCGCCCCCCGGGTATCGCAATTGCCGCTGCCGCCGCAGGGCTTTTTCGGAGGGGGGTTTATGAGGATTGCGGGGTGAGATTTGGGGCGGGAAAGTCAGAGGACCAAAGACCCTCTGTGACGTGCCATTGGGTGGGAGAGAGGGGCATAGGGCTGGTCGTGCGAGTATAAGTAGACAGTGCTCCCCCCCGAGGTTTTGCTCTTCGTGGTCTCGAGACGATATTCAAGATATCCCCCTTCTGCAAAGCTCAATTGGAACAAGAGACTTATAGTCTGAAGGCTGTTGTTGTATTGCACCCAGCCAGTGTTGTGTTGTGATTACGTCGTCGTCGTCGCCAACACGAGAGATACCCTGAGACAAGACGACAACGGTTGGCAGATCGCTGCCCCTATTGCCTAGCGTCGCTGGACTCCCACTACACATTATACAACATCACCTTTCATCTACACCAGACCTAAGGGACCTTCCAGCATCAACCACACTGCATTATACATATTATACCCCATCCCTCCTTCTTCTCCACCCACGCTGGTAGCTTCTACACAAATACACACACACACACACACCCACAATGAGACACTACATCCATGACACCTGGCAGGTGTGCGGCCTCGTCTACATCGACGCGGCCCCTCCATGCCTGCCGCACCGCCTGCGGCAGGTCGGCCTCGAGGCACACACCACCATCCTCTCCAATGCCCAGCGGACCACGTTGAAGCAGACCTTCATCACACCCTCGATATGGTACCGGTCCAGTGTGCCAGCTCCTCCTCCTGCTCCCTATTCAGTTGGCACCCTGTACACAGTACAAAATGCTCCTCCACCACCACCGCCGCCACAACAAAAATACCCAGAGATCAGGTATCAGTTCCCACTCCACGACGGCGTCAGCGTCGTCGGCTTCACCGCGACCATCCACTCCTCGCCAAAACCCCGGGTCATCCGGGGTGTCGTCCAGGAGAAGGCCGAGGCGCGGCACACGTACACCACCGCCGTGGCCGAGGGCAAAGCCGCGGGCCTGCTCGAGCTGATCCCCGAGGCGGCCGACGTGTTTGTCACCAAGCTGGGCAACATCCCGCCGGCCACGCGGGTCGTCGTCGAGGTCACGTACCTGGGCGAGCTCAAGCACGACGCGCAGGTCGACGGCCTGCGGCTGACGATCCCGATGGGCGTGGCGCCGCGGTTCGGGAGCTGGCCGGGGGATCTGGTCGACGTGGATGTCCCCGTGGTGCGCCCGCAGGACTTCAGTGGCAATGATAAAGGAGATGGCGGGCTCAGGATCACCGTCGACGCGCAGCTGCCGCCGTCGTCGCAGATCCAGTCCGTCAGCTCGCCCTCGCACCAGATCGCCGTGTCCATCGGCAAGACGTCCAAGTCTGCCTCGACCGACGCCTTGTCCTTCAACCAGGCCTCCGCCTCCCTCGCCCTCACATCCCTGCCAGCCTCGTCGTCATCGTTGACGACAATAACAACACCGTTCCTCGAGAAGGACTTCATCCTGCACCTGACGGCCAGCAACCTCTCCACCCCACAAGCCGTGCTCGAGAGACACCCGACCATTCCAAACCAGCACGCCCTCATGGCGACCCTGGTGCCCAAGTTCACCCTCCCGTCGTCCACCCAGCGCAGGAAGCCAGAAGTCGTCTTCGTGTGCGACCGCAGCGGCAGCATGGGCGGCAAGATCCCCAACCTCGTCTCGGCGCTGCGCGTCTTCATAAAGTCCCTCCCCCAGGGGGTAGCGTTCAACATTGTCAGCTTCGGCTCCCGGTTCAGCTTCCTGTGGAAGGGACAGCACGGCTGCAGCGGGTCGCGCGCCTACTCGCGCGAGAGCGTCGCGCAGGCCGTGAGCCACGTCGAGACTTTCCAGGCCGACTATGGCGGCACCGAGATGTTCTGGCCGCTCGAGGCCGTGTTCAAGGAGTGGCAGAGCACCCGCGATGCCGACGTCGCTGCTGATGCCGCCCCCAGGGATCTCGAGGTCTTCCTGCTCACGGACGGCGAGGTGTGGAACCAGGCCGAGCTGCTGGCCATGGTGGAGCGCAACGTGCGCGAGAGCGAGGGACACATCCGCGTCTTCTCCCTCGGCATCGGGTCCGGGGCGAGCACTTCCCTGATCGAGGGCGTCGCGCGCGTCGGCAACGGGTTCGCGCAGAGCGTCGTCGACGGCGAGGACATGAGCGGCAAGGTCGTCCGCATGGTCAAGGGCGCCATGTTTGAGCATGTCCGCGACTACCGGCTCGAGGTCAAGTACGGAGGGGAGGAGGAGCCGGACCGCGGCGGCGACGACGATGGGTTCGAGGTTGTCGAAAAGGTGGAGGACATGATGGTCGTTGATGAGAAGAACGAGGAGGGCGGAGCCGCTCCGCCGCCGGCTTATGCAGAGTCGACTGCGTCTTCCGCCACGATGAGCGAGACGACGACGGAGAAGCCGCCGCCGCCGGCCAAGATCTCCCTCTTTGACGAGAACGTCGACATGTCGGTCGACCCGCCCAACCACGACAACCTCCCCGCGTTTGCGGACCAGTTCGCAGACCTCCGGCCCTGCCCGCCCCCTGCCATCCTCCAGACGCCCTTTGAGATCCCGCCGCTGTTCCCCTTCAACCGGACAACCGTCTACCTGCTCTTCAACTCCCCGTTCCCCAAGGACAAACGCGGCCGCGCCCTCTTCCCCAAGTCGGTCGTGCTCCGCGGGACAACCGCCGGCGGCGCACCCCTCGAGCTCGAGATCCCCGTCGCCGTGCTCCCCGAGCCCGGCCTGACGATCCACCAGCTCGCCACGCGCAAGGCCGTCCAGGAGCTCGAGGAGGGCAAAGGCTGGATCTATTACGCCCGGGCAGCGGGCGGCGACCCTGCCGCCGCCGAAGATTCCGCCCGGGAAGTGACCCGCAGCGACGGCAAGGTGGTCGACATGGCCCTGCTGCGCAACAGGCTCGCCAAGTCGACCTTCAGCGCCATGGTCCAGCGCGAGGCGGTCCGGCTGGGCGTGACGTTCCAGGTCGGCGGGGGCAAGTGGTCGTCGTTTGTCGCCGTCGAGGACACGCCGCCTGCTTCGTCTTCTTCTCCGTCTGGAGTGGCCGTCGAGGGCGAGGAGAAGGAGAAAGAAAACAACAAGGGCGCAACGTCGACGACGTACACCCCAAACCGGTCGATGGACCCGGACGTGCCCGATCCTGCGCAGGCGTTCCCGGGGATCCCCCAGCGGCTGGCACAGCCCGTCGCCCAGGCTCAGGCCAGTAACTCCCTTGCAAAGTCCATGGGCAAGCGTGTCATGGGCATGTTCTCCAGGGCGGCGCCGGCGGCCAAGCCCACGACTAATAATGCCGTCATCGGCTACGGTTCCGGTCGGAGAACGGCCGGGGCGGAATCATCATCAGCATCAGCATCAGCATCATTCTTCGGCGCAGCGAGCTTTGGCGCCCCGCCACCAGGAGGAGGATTTGGAGGACAACAACAACAACAACAACTACAACAGCAGCAGCGACAAATGCTGCACATGCTGAATGTCCAGCAGTGCAGTGCTGTGCCCATGCCCTTTGCAGCCCCGGCTGCGGCTGCTGCGGCCCCCCCTCCTCCTCCTCCGGCTCCTGCTCCTGCTCCTGCCCCTGCTGACGGGGGTTTCCACATGGACTTTGCCAACCCCAACATGAGCGAAAATGTTCTGCAGGACTTTGACTTTGACTCGTTCTTGAGCGCCGACGAGGGTCTCGTCCTCGACATGGGCGTCGACGACAATCTCGATGGCGGCAGCCGTGGCGGCGGCGGCGGCGGCGGCGGCGCTCCCAGCCTCTCGGGCTTTGCCTCGCCGCAGTCGTTCGACTTGGCGGCGCCGGTGATGCGGCAGGAAAACAAGAAGAGGAAGAAGATGTACTCTATCAAGCGTGTCAGCAGCAGCAGCACCACCAGCCGTGCAGAGGCCAAGGACGCGGATCAGGACGACGACGATGAGGAGAGCGGGGCGGCCGCCGGTGAGTTCCAGCTCCCTGGGGATATCGCTTCAGCGACGGCCCGGGAGAAGATGGATGCCATGGTGCGAGTGCAGGGCTTTGACGGGGCGTGGACGTGGCGTGATCTGCTGCGGCTCATGGGCTGGACGGAGGATAAGGTCGTGCAAGTGAGCAAGGAGGTGGGCAAGCTGGATTTGGAGAAGCTAGATGCGGCACAGAAGGACTTGTTCGCCACGGCGGTGGTCGTCGTGTGGTTCAGGAAGGAGATGGCCGACATGGTGGACTCGTGGGAGCTGTTGGTCGACAAGGCGGTCGAACGGCTTGGCGAGGACGATGCCAGGCTGCTGTGGCAAGCACAGGGTAATGAAGTGGACGGGCTGCTGGAGGAAGCGACGCGGATCTTTGAGAAGCTCGCGGAAAAGTGAATTTTGGAAGGAAATGCATAGGAGGAAAAGGCAAAGGCATCAGGAGCTCCTGACAGCGTACTTGCAGCAATGTGTGAATACCCGCATTCCAAAATGCAAATGATTGCTAAATGATTTTCATCTTGACTGCGAGAAGTGTTTGTTGCGCGACTCGATTCAACAATGCCCCTGTGGTTCAACTGAATGTCAACTGGTACTGCGGCTGTGACGACTCTCCTACCTACCCCGTGAAGGGTGAATGGGGCAGCCGGCATAGGCCTACACTCGTGCTGACCGCAGGAAACGGTCGACGTTTGCTTCGACAGCCGGCGCGCAACCTTGCGGGGAACGGCGTCGGCCTGCTGCGCTCGCCCGTATCCCTGGGTTCTTGTTTGCGGTAAGCAGACGCTCCAGGCACGTCCTCAGACATGTGTCACTCCTCTTGTCCATTGTGAACACGTGCCGCGGCGTTCCAAGCCCGGGAAGCCCCATTAAGCTCGCCGGGGACAGGCAAATCAGCAGCCTCAATGTCGCCATGCACACCCGCTCGATAAGCAGCGTGTCATGGCAAGGGCCCCGAAACAGGTCAAGCCCGCCCAGAATGCGGTCCCGGCCGACTACCGGACCCGTTGGACACTATAAACTCCAAGCATGCACGGTCATGACACCCTTGCACACCACCCTTCGACAGATTGCCCCATTCGGCAGGGCGCTCGCATCATCTGGTGGGCGGGCCGCTGATTCGCCAGGGGCCGCGAATGGCGACATCCGCCAACATGATCGCGGGACAACCCCCATGCAAGCTGATTTGGCCGAGATAGGGCTCACCTCAGCTGCACGCGTCACACCATTGGAGACGCGGGGGGGCAGGCAGGCATGGCGATGTCGTGGGGTGGCATGAGCCCGGAGGAGAGATGTGGTGGTGAAGCCTATAAGTACCGCCAGCCCACTTCTCGCCGCATCTATAGCAGATTAGGTGTATTATTTGTTCTTCGTAGTCTTTCGGCAGCAACTTTCCTCCCACAGCCAGGTTGGAACTCACAAGATCAGAACTTTGATCACGAAAACCAACACCACCCGCACAGAAGCGTTCCCCACGCACCAGCAACCAACCATGAGCCCCTCCGCCGTCACAGAGACCGTGGCCGCGGCCCTCCCCATCCACACAAAGGCTGCCGACAAGGCTCAGAGCGCCCTCCCACGCCCTCTGACCCTCAGCGGCGCCCTCGACCCTTACGAGAGCTTTGACGTGACGCCCATCATCGGCCGCGAGTTCCCCAAGGCCAACCTCGTCGACTGGCTCAACGCGCCCAACGCAGACGAGCTCATCCGCGACCTTGCCATCACCAGTACGGCCGCCTCCTCCTTTTCTCAAGACACCTTTCGCTGTTGCCCTTACTGACTTTCCCTTTCCTTCTCCCACAGTCTCCCAGCGCGGCGTCGTCTTCTTCCGCGCCCAGGACAACCTCACCAACAACCTCCAGAAGCAGCTCATCCTGCGCCTGGGAGAGCTCACCGGCCGCCCGTCGACGTCTGGACTGCACATCCACCCCGTGCTCAACTCGGAGCGCGACCTGGGCGGCGAGGACCCCGAGATCAGCACCATCAGCTCCGTCCAGCACGACAAGCTCTACCGGAGGCGCAACCTCGAGCAGCCCACCAAGAAGCAGAACTCGGCGCAGTGGCACAGCGACATTGCCTTTGAGCCCGTGCCCGCAGACTACACGAGCCTGAGGCTCGTCGAGCTGCCCAAGACTGGCGGAGGTACGTCTGTCTGTTGGGCACCATGTTTTCCCACGCCCACAATAAAATTCGAAGCAAGCTTGACTAGAAGCTGACCAACCATCACTTTTTGAGCAGACACCCTCTGGGCGTCCGGCTACGAGATCTACGACCGCATCTCGGCGCCCTACCAGAAGTTCCTCGAGTCCCTGACCGTCACGTTCCAGCAGCCCGGCTTCAACAAGGTCGCCGCCGACGCCGGGTTCGAGCTGCACCCGGGCCCCCGTGGCGCGCCCGAGAACGTGGGCACCGAGCTCAAAGCCGTCCACCCGGTCGTCCGGACGAATCCTGTCACCGGGTGGAAGAGCGTCTTCCCCGTTGGCGGACGTGAGTTCTCCCCTCCCTCCTCCCTCTCTTTCACACTTTGAGAAGCGAAGATGTGACCCCGGGGAAACTTGGAGAGAGTGTGTGTGCTGAAGCTGACGCAAAAACACTCTTGTGTGTCTTCAATGCAGACGTCAAGTACATCAACGACGTGACCGAGCTGGAAAGCAAGGCCTTGCTCGAGTGGTTCCTCGAGCTTGTGTACAAGAATCACGAGCTGCAGGTCCGTTTCAAGTGGCAGAACGAAAACGACATTGGTACGTTTTATTTTTGGGTGATAGCTTGCTTGTTTGCCCTAGCAGCCTTCGTGTGACATATGAAGACATCCTCCCCGGCAGGATTTCCTGGCTGACCACCTCTCTTCAAACACAGCGATCTGGGATAACCGCAGCGTCTTCCACACGGCGACGTTTGACTACGACGGGCAGGGTCCTAGGTTCGGAAACCGCGCCGTCGGGCTGGGCGAGAAGCCCTACCTGGACCCGGAGAGCACTTCGAGGCGGGCGGCGCTGGGGATCGAGCTCGAGTAAAGAAACATATTATGCTTGGTTCACTCTGAGATGTAGCACACGCGATGGGGAATGACAGTGTGGCTTGGTGGACATACGACTTCAAAGTCGTTTAAGCTGGCTATCTAGTCTATGCGCTAGCGTCTTGTGTCAATGAGAATGCTGCTCTTGCGCCTCATCCAAATGCTCAGGGTATCCTTAACCATGCCCATGCAGAAACAATGAAGACCATGCAAAATGCCTTGACGCCTCATCATGCCTTGTACAGAGTGAATTCCCAAGTCTCTTCTTTCACAAATACGCTCGGCAATACCAACGTACAAAAGCATTAGACATGCTCATCAGCATTGCCCGCGTCCTGCTCAGCCTGCTCTTCCTCATCCTGGTCGACGGGAGTAGCCTGGATACCGCCCTGGCGGCCATGCAAAATGAGCTGGCCGAGAGGCGAGGCGCGGAGCTGTGCAATCTCCTCGTCAAGCCAATCGTCCATGGCCATAGCGCGCATCTCACAGACGTGCTCAATGTCGGCCGCGAAGTGCGCGAGCACATCGGGCCTGCCGGCCTGCAGGGCCAGGGCGCCGACAGTCGCAATGTCCTTGAAGTTGTTGCTGACGGAGGGCTGGTGGCTCGCGCCCACCATGTGGAAGCGGGCGGCGAAGCGGCGGACAAAGGAGTCGAACTGGAAGTCGGTGTAGGCAAGGGTGTAACGCCGGACCTGGTGCGCCATCTGGTCGTAGTACTGGAGCACGTCGACGGTGGTCCGCTCGGACTCGAAGGTCTCGGGGATCACGGGGATTCTCATCTCGCCCTGCTGCTGCTGCTGCTGCTGGCCGCTGTTGCCGAATTCTCGGACCACGCGCTTGTACTTTGCAATGACGGTCTGGACCTCGTCGAGGGTGGGCTGGCGGGTGGGTTAGCTGTGTCTTCTGAAAGGCCATTCTTTGCGTAATGCTGTCGGAGCACAAAAGCCTGCTTGGTGAGACTTGGGAGCTCACTTACCGTGTTCTGTGTGCTAGTCTGGAGATCTGTGCTCTCAGCCATGGCCTCGAGATGGGCCACGACTGGGTGAGGCTCGATTGCGTGGACAGAGACTCGGGTAGGCATGCTGGGGCTTGGTTGGTGAGACATCGTGAGGTTTTCAGCTGCTGCGGGGCACTGAAGAAGACAATGAGAAGCAGAGGAGGAGGAGGAGGACGACGACGACGACGAAGCCTTCGGGATGGTCGAGACGCGAGAGTATAACGAGTATTGCACAACGATGTGAGGCACAAGAGCCAGAGAAGCTAGTACATAAAGGAAAAAGACTTTCAAAGCTCTCGAAATGAGTCTGAGGATTTCGTAAGGTCTACGGAGGAAGGCAGAAGCACCAGCAAGAGGAGGGGCTGGCTGGTGTTGTTGTTGTCGTAGACAAGGGCAGGGTGGGTCCCGGCCGGGCAGAGCGCTACTGGGCGGCGGGCCTCCTGTTGTCACTCGCCCTTTGCCAGCCTCCAAAGCCTCCCACTGAGAGCAAAATAGAGCCACGACCTTTTGAGGCCTCTGGACTGCCTAATTGTTGTTTCGGTCGTGATAAAATGAAAAGTGGTCCTGGGCGAGAATGTTGCTGGCACACGTGTCGTCCTTCTCGTACACATGACAGCGAAAAACGAATTAGTTTGGTATGTTGCAAAGTTCAAGGTCTCTTGGTCAGTCACAAAATCACACTGGGGCATGGATCGCTTCCCACAGACTCAAAGTACCATCATGGTTTTCAGGCGCATTGAGAAGTCTATTGCTTTCTTCCGCATGTCTCTGGCAAGTCATGCCACCAGCTGATCTTGGCCCTCATCCACGTTTCTATCCATCCATGATTCCCTCTTCCTCAGAAACACATTCATCAAGTGACCTCGACACATCTCTTGTGGCTCAACACCACGACGTCTTCCATAATTCCCAAGGTTGTGTGATGCTGTCAAGCCCAACTGCCCTGACGATGTCTCTGTTATCTGAGAAAATTGTGGCCTTATTCCGATTCTTCCGAGCTGTTCCCATCGGATAGTCGTTCGACAATGTCGAGCATCTCTTGATGCTCCTCCCGCCCGACGACCAGCTCGTCCTCGTGGACGAACTGCCAGGTGCCTTTCGGCGAGCCGTAGTCCTGATTCAGCCCCTCCACAGTGTTGGCGCACTCAATTAGAAGAGCAACAAAACGGTGGCTGGTAGTGACGATTTTGAGCCGAAGCTCTGGCGTATTAAGGACCCCATATGCGAATGCCGCGGTGAGGACTCTCTCCCCATCCGTTGCATTTTCCGCATACATTGCGAAGCCCATGTCAATCATCGTATTAACGAGATGAACAAGATCAACCGCCTCACGGATCTCATCCACCACAGCGAGAATTCTGTTGATGGCGAGGTAGATGGCGTTGAAGCGCAGCAAGAGGCCGGCATACCACATCGTGGTGTTCTTCACAGTGTCCATTTTGGCTCGACTCCGAGGCGCTGAGAGTGTCAGATGCAATGATTTGCATGGTGGCGACGCAAGCTTAGGTGGTAAGTGATGCTTACAAGATGTTTGAGATGGTTGGTTCGCGCAATGTTCACAGACAAGACGGAAGCGTTGAGAGATTGTTTGGCAATGCAGTGACGACCAGGACGGGTTGCGAGGATTGGGCTGAGGAACAGCGACTCGGGAAGTCAAGAATTGATTGATGATGCGTGCTAGCGAGAAGTGAAGAGAAGGGCTGCCCAAAGATAAACAAAGTGGGAATGCTGCTGGCTGATTGACGCACCGGAGGGGGGAATGTGTCATTCAGGCGTCACCTCCTCAGTGTTGTCTGGGAACAATGAAAAGCCAGGCAAGGCTACAGCGACGACAACCTCAACAACACGCCATTGGCCCAGCACGGGAAGAGGGGCGAGGCTCCTCCTCTGCGTGGGCCAAGCCGGGTCCCTTGCAGATGCGATGCTCCTCGACCATGTGCCGCGACAGGGGAGGGGTCCCCATCCCAGCACAACTCCCGGACCCACTTGCCAGCGTGACGAGGGCCGCAGTATCAATGTCTGTAGACAATTTTGAATATTGACTCATAAATGAAGCAGTCAGTCGCTTAAGTCCAAGCCCTAGGGTACGAAGCAGAGGGCACTCCGGCTCGTGCAAGGTATAGTTCTCCTACGTCTGGGTGGGGTCTCCCAGGCCCCCTGCCTGCTCACGAGGCCCGCTCCAGGCGGAGGGGGTGTGGTATAAGTCCAGAGGATCCGGCTTCGGCTGCTGGCAGGTGCTGGCAGATGCTTGGCCCGGTCCAGCAGCAAGCGAGTGTTTCAGGCGTTTAAGTCATTCCGGGGGCTGAACGGCCTAGTGCGAGAGAGGCTCTGCCAGCTATCGGCGGTTGTGGCAGCCTTTATGCGAGCGTGGTCTCGTCTTGTGTGTACTGTTGCCACGCAGCTCACTGCCCGAGCCTGGACTCGTCATGTGGCTTCGCCTTGACTTGTACATCTCGGAGGCTCGAGATGGACACTTCGAAATCAAGGTTTGATGACAATATAGACCAAGCCAGATCTCACAGATGTTCTGGAGCTGAATTTGATGTCCTGTGGCACATTTGGCTTTGGCAATACTGAGGTCTAGGTCCATCGAACAAGCTAGGCACAGAAATGATCATCTCAACATTTTGGTCGGGATCAGAAAGAGTTCCATTGCCAAACGTGCTCATCGAATTTGATTTCATGTCCCTTCAGTAGATCCACATGCGCGTCCTGCAAACGGGCCCTCTTCAGATGATGTACTCTTATCCTTCAGCATCCGAGATGTCCGTGACAAACAGCTGTTTGACTGGGCACTGACATGCAGGAGCCCGCGTGAGGCTCGTGGCCCAGTCCCCCGCCAAGTTATACAAGAAGACGAGGTCATGCTCTTCCTTCCCAACCATTTACTTGTCCTCATTCTGTTCTATTGTGTGTACCAATCTGTCCCTCGTCCTATACACAATCATGAAGACATCCATGTCCCAGAATCGCCAGAAATGCGAAGTCATCGCCACCACTATCGACGAGCACATCGCGGCCCTGCAAGCACTGCGCAACAAGTTCGTCCTCCTCCGTGCCTCGACTGCCATCAGCGACTTTATCCAGGAGGCCACGGAGGGTCTCGCCCGGCTGGGTACTGAACCGGCCAACTCGATGCCCACGCAGGCTGCGGCGCAGGAGATGTTCATCGGCCATCCGCATACGCAGCGGCATATTCGCATGCGCCATGAGCACCACTTTGTGCGGGAGTCGGAGAAGCTTGTCGATCTGCTCGTGGGATTCTTGGGCGAGTGCCAGCAGGTCCGGGGCGGCGAAGCCGGGACGTGGCAGTTTGTGCCCGGGCCGAGTATATCGGCAAACAGTAGTTTGAGAGAGGATAAGGGCAAGCAGCCAGTTGCTGAGAGGTCGGCGGCTCAAGCTCCGAAGCAGACGGCCATGTCATCCGAGCCATCGCGCGCTGCCGGACTTGCGAAGACAATTGACGAGGCGGAGATCAAGGCTATGGGCAGGATCACCCTGGGTGACTGGATAGACGCGAGCATGGCGGGGTTAGATGAAAGTCTGGGAACGACTCCGCTTGCTGGAGATGGCGAAGATGTCGAGATCATGGACACCGAGGTTTGAGGGCTTGTCCGTCTTGCTTGGGTAGCGCGGCTTGATAGCGGGCCTGCGCGTAGTGTGAGGACTGGAAGACTGCCAAGATGTAGCTGTGCTGCGCCTTGGATAAGCAAATGCCAGCGAGGGAGGAGGGAGCGTACGTATGAAGGACAAATCAGGTTTGTGTGTATGTGCCGTGTTGTGCGTGCAAGTAAATCAGCGACATATCTTGAGATTTGCGCGAGTAAAGATAGTGGGTCCGAGTTGTGAACTCGGGGACCAACACATCACAACAGACTTTGGAGTGCAATTGACTCCCGCCCCGTGCCCATCAGGGGATATGAAAGCCTGGGCAACCTGATAGTTGCTAACCTGGCCGCATCTGAAGTATCTCGAAGGTCTATCAGCACTTTCGCGACGAGCATTCAGTTTGGGACATATTCCCCGTGTGAACGTGTTCGAGTTGTGCGTGCGGGAGAGTGTGGGGCCATGCACTTACAGCCAAAAAAGCAGAGGCTCTCGTCACATTGCTCTTTCTGGGGCGTTCTCAGTGCTATCAACAAAACAAGATATTCATTATGGGCTGCAAGGCATTCTTCGTCATGCCTCAATTTTTTAAGGCCCTGGAATCCGTATATCTGGCGTGAAAAATCTGTCACGTTTACCCCTTACCATGCTAGTGGCATGCATTCGCGGCCTCGAGAATTGGTGAGCTCGTGAGCGGGCAGCAAGCGTTTTCGCTTTGCGTACGTAGGTCGAAGGAATGCCGCGGCAATCAGAGGTCTGCACACTCGGTGGCTGACATGGCTCTGGGCGCTGAAAAGAATTTCAGACTGGCAGTGCCACGACACATGCATGTAGCGAGCTAAGAGTCATTGCGCTCAAGTGCGCTTGCGGGCGGAGGGAACACAACGCACTCAAGGTCAGGCAACGGCCCCGAAGGTGCCGAACACGTTCTCAAGCGCGTCACAATACTTTGGACATGCCCGGAGTTCATAGTGGCGGGCGCATTGAATGTGACGACCTTGGAAGTAGATGAAATGGAATTGCAGTGCCTGCGTGGCACGCTGCAGGCAGTCGTGATGGCTCTCGTCCGCACATGTACGACACCTGGGGAGGTTCACGGATATCTAGAGTACAGTAGAATAGCCTCAAGCCATGCCGGAGCATGCCATTGTTCTTGAAAACAGTCATTGGCATACCCTGGCGTCCTAAACGTACTGGCAGCAGCATCATTGTCTGCCGTTGAAAGGCGCTCTGCTTGCAGGTCTCGCGAGAAGTTCTGTCGGCACCGGGGCAACCAGATTTCTGGCAAATTCTACTTAAACCCCCTCCTCCTTCTCCCAGAGCCTCCCAGTTCCCACCGTCCCCTCCTCATCATCTTCTCCCACCACATTGAGAGAACGCTTCTGGCATCCACAACTCCTCAGCACGTTGCAACACGACACACCTCTCTCAACTCCTACATCGTCAACCATCTTCAACATGCCTGCTCGTCCCAACCCTCCGAAGAATGCTGTAAGTAACCCGTCTCTTCTGTCCTCACCTCACCCCCACCTCAGGACTACCCCGTCCTAACATGGCATCCCTCGACGCGAGGCGCGCTGCTTCATCCAAATGGTCGACTTCCGTCGCGAGAAGGATGACGAGCTGGACAAGGAGCATGACGCTCTCATGGCCAAGCTCAGACTCCTTCTCGAGTACTACAATGCCGACCGTGGTTACTGGCACCCGTATCTCGGTGCTCTGTACGGCCTCAAGCGAGGTTCCGAAGACACCCTGATCAAGCTGCACGACCTCATCGGCCGGTACAAGGAGCTTCCTGAGGACGACGCACGCCGCATCCACTTCTTCAGAAGACTCAAGTGTGCCCAGCGCATGGCCAACCGCCACGTTCGCCGTGCTCTGGTCTGGCCTCACGAGGAGGCCATGTACGTCCTCGCAAGTCCCGACTCGCAAAGCACCAGGTTCTATGCCTACCGCTACGTGGATGACTTGGAGCTCCCCAGTCGTTACCGCATCTTGACCGACTCGCCGGCATTGACAAAGCCTCCTACTGACTGGCCATTCCCCAAGGAGAAGACAGGCTTGGTAGCTCCCCCCATCCCTCCCAACGACCAGCTCCGTGCCCATCGGGCACAAGCTGCGATCTACAACCCTTGGGTTGGCACTCACCCTGATGAGATCGAGGCTAACGCCAATTTGCACAACAAGGGCAAGCTTGGCCAGAAGATCCGCGACTTCTTCGCCAAGATGAAGACCAAGCGTGCCGACAAGGCACAGGTCAAGGCCGACAAGAAGGGTGACGATGCCCAGAAGGGTGCTGACGCCCAGAATGGCGCTGACGCTGCTGCCAACGGCGCTGGTCCAGTCATCCCTGAGATTCAGGTCGGCAATACCGATGGCAACCAGGCCGCCGACAACGCCTCTTCAGTCTTCGAGGACATCCACGCCTCTGTGGGCAATGACGCGGGCACTGTTCAGACGGGCCTCAATGCTCACCCGGTTCGCCGCCCTGTTGACGAGTAATCCATCCACCCAAGTTCTGCATGGCATCAACCTCACAGTATGTTCTCACTTTCACTCCTTCCTCTGTTGCTTCTTCCCTTTCAGCATCTCAAGATTGTATACTGACTAAAGTCGTCGCAGCACTGGATAATGTCCCAAGGCTCGCTGTCGCAGACTTTTGGCAGGAACATCTTGGAGCTGGATGAATAGTTCACGGCGTTTGGAAAGGACTGGTCTGTTTTTGACATGGGTTTCTTGATACCAAGGACATTGGGCTGAACATGGAGTTTGTCTTATGCTGGTTACGCATTTGTTTTGCCTCAGGCGTTGGCATGAATGGGCATCACGGTAACATTTGATCCTTGGAGTTCTCCATTGGGCGGTAAAGTCACTGATTAGTACCATGCAATTGAAAGTCTGAGTTCCTTCAGACCTGATCACCATGCCCTCCGCCTCTATCTGCCCAAGTGAACGATCCTGCCAGGGTATGCTGGTACCAATGGCACAGGTCCCCGCCTGGAGAGAATCGTCAGTCCGGTGCTTTGTGGCTTTGAATGGGGTGTGGTGAATGCAATGTGAGGACGCCTGGCTTCGAAACAATGTTTGCCCGGTCCCGAGGGGGCCAGTGAGTCCGTTCTCAGTGAGTGACTGCAGTGTAAGTGGCTCTCTACCACTTCCAGGCACCACCCGTCGAGTGACTGCCCCTCCGCCTCTCTCACCACCCCTCACTCGCGTCGTCGAGCAACACAGTGCCTCTCCACGCAACCTTTTGTGCGCGTTGCTTATTTGCATCGCAATCATATTCTTCGCGTCGCTTCTAAGCAGTCATCTCATCGTACGTGGTCAACTCGACTGTTGCCGCTGTGCAATTAGCAGAACGCGAGCGAAGTCACCTCCCTCCAGCCCCCACAACAGCCATCAACTTTGCCACAAGAACGTACACAACTCTCCTTGGCATGCGGTAAGTGTTTCGTGTTTCTCTTGTCATAAAGATGGACAAGACACATCCACGCGGCTCAACTGTCTCAGAAGTCTAACTATTCCTTCACGCAAGCAGGTTAGCAAGCAAGCATGGCGGACATGTCACCTACCCCCTCAGAGATCTTCGACGCAGAGCAGAGCCGAAATGTCGACCAGGCCATCGCTGTCATCAATGGCACCATGCGTCAAGTGATTGAATGGGACGGCAGTGTCGTCAAGGAGGTTCTTGAGCTGAAGCAGGAGAAGCGTGCTCTCCGGCGCACCGCGGCAGATCAGCAGCGTGAGCGGCTCGACCTGGCTTACAATCGAGAAGACCCGGACGCACGTGTCTATGGCTGGCTGAATGAGGTCCCCCGCAGCCCCCTCGAGGCCCTCAGCGTGGCTTCTTCGCAGTGTGACCGTGTCGAAGCCACTTCTATGAGCCAGGCTGTCGACAAGGACGCTCATGCCCACAGTCTTGGCATGGCCAAGAATGAACAGGCTGTCAAGGCATCGTCAGAGCACGACAACCACAACGCACAGAAGAACGACAAGCCGTCTCCAAATGTCCAGCTCGCCCTACTCGTCGAGCCCCAGGCAGTTGGTGCCAGTATCGATGGCGCTGTCCAAGGCCGCAGCGCACAGCACACACTCAACGACAATAACACGGCCCAGGCCGCTCCGGGTACCAAGCATGACATCAAGCACCCAGCCTTTGATCATGCCCAGCTTGAAGCTGGCTCGCCATCAATCGAACCTGCCAATGGCACAACAAGCAAGGTCCAGCACCCTATCAACCAGAGCTCAGTCGACCCCATTGACAGTAAGACCACTGGCGACGCCATCCTGAAGAAGGAGGACAAAAGTCCCGCACCTGCACCTGTCCACAAGGCTCTGAGCTCTGTCGAGCGGAAGCCCATCTCGCCAATGTCCCCGCACTCGGGTCCCTTCCCTCTGGAGGCAGATCTCGAAAACATCCGCCGCTACAACAGAGCGATGGATCGACTGAACGCAGGCCCAGCAGAGGCTGGTCCGAGTCGTCTCGAGCAAGAGCAGAACAGCGCTGCAGCATGTCTCACTGGCAACAAGGAGGCTCGCGCAGCTCAGGCTGATCTCGCGACTAACGCACTGCCAGCAAACAATGCCGCTGTGGGCGAGATCCCAGATCTCGACGTTTCGGCTGTCCACCCTCCCGAGGAACTATTTCCTCCCGCACAAGCTGAGACCACACACAGCCACCTCGACAACAACGTCCATGGTCAAGCTTCACTCGGATCCCAGGCCCCAACGGAGTTCATCCCCAACGCCATCCCTCCCGAAGAGTACCGCTCCACTCTCCATGCCATCCGTGCCGGTATCCGCGGACGTCGGGACTTCCAGGAGACCCTTACCACGGCCATGGTGGCTCACCGCAACATCAGTGTCGACCGCATCGCGCGGTACAGGGAATACAAGCGGAACCTCATCGTGCCTTATAGCTTGAGTGAGGAGGAACACGAGGATCTCAGCCGTTTCGTCTGGTTCATGGAGACCGTTGACTACTTCCAGGCTACGCAGCGGATGCGTGACCTCGCATATTCTGCGTCCATGGGCATGCTGTGGACATACAAGATGCATCCATACAGCGCCGAGGCCTGGCTTGACGGTGGGGAGCGCCCGTCTCCCGAGGTCTTCCCCGGCGACTTTGTCCTGCTGGCCGATCTGTCGGCCAAGAAGCGGCGCTGAGTGGCGGACACGAGAACTCCACGGCTAGTGATCTCTTTGATGCTCGAGCGGACCACAGGATAGACTCGCGACTTGGAGGCATGGATGCATAGAGAAGAGCAAAAGGCATAGAGCGGCCCGAGATCATGTTTGGCAATACTGCGGGCTTTGATTGCAAGGCAAAAGAAAAACGTTTATTGTAGGATAGCTTTAGCACAGACAGGAGTCTCCTTTCCGGTAACGAGGAATTACTCTTCACCCAAGCTGTTCGACGTGCCGCTCTCAACGCCGTGAATCCTTATGCCTACACTACGCTTGTACCTCTACGCTCGCTACTCCAAGTTGATGTTCGTGTCCTTCATCATTATTATGTGTCCACCACAGATCGACGACATTCCCGCAGCACAACGACCCGCTCACATCTTCGACGGCACCCACTCAGGCTTCTTCTTCTCCGCGAAAGCCTTGATCCCGATCCTAAAGTTCTCCCCCGTCAGCAGCGCCCTCGCGAACCGCTCGTCAATGACCTGCGTCGCCCTCTCCACGCTCGCCGTCTCCCAGGCCTGCCGGAGCCCAGCGCGGCTCACGATTACCGCGTCCGGCGACATCTCCGCGATCCTGCCCGCGAGCTCGAGGGCCTCGGGGATCAGGGACTCCGGGCTGCTGCTGACCCGCGCGAAGCCAAAGTGCTCCACCTCCTTCGCGGTGAGGATCCGGCCCGTCAGGGCGAGATCGGTGGCGAGCTGCATACCAAAGATGCGCACCACGCGAGGGAGGCCACCGGCTGCGGCCCAGAGGCCGCGCTGGGCTTCGGGGAGGGCGAAGGTTGCGGTCGGGGAGGCGATGACGAGGTCGCTAGAGGAAAGAAGTCGGGAGGGTCAGCTAACCGGGTACAAAGCAGAAGAGGGAAGACTGAGTGTGGTCTCGCTTGATTCCAGCACACCATGCTACAGCCTTTGGAAGGGTAGAGATGTTTCCCTGCTCAAGCGAGGGCGTCTGACGAAGGAAAGGGTAGACCAAAACCAGGAACTTACCAGTTCAGGGCAATCTCGAACCCGCCACCAAAAGCATACCCGTTCACAGCCGCAATGACGGGCTTCTTGCCCAGCCGCTTGGACAGGCCCGCGAACCCGCCGGCGGGCATGCTCGGGCGGTTATCCTCGACCGTCGGCACCTTGCCGCTGGCTCCCTCTGCCTCCGCCTTGCCGCCGCGCTTCCGGTGCTGCTCGAGCAGATCCTGGCCCGCGCAGAACGACTTGGGCCCCTTTCCCGTGATGATGGCGACGCGCAGGGTCGGCTCGGCGTCGAACCAGGCCCACAGGAGGTCGCCCTCCCAGTGGCCGTTGACCGTGATGGCGTTGCGGGAGGACTCGCGGTTGATGGTGACCAGCAGGGTGTACGGGGCAGGGACGCTCAGGGTGTAGCAGGATAGCTGGGGCGGGGAGGTCTGAAAGGGAGCCGGCGTGTGCGAGGACATGGCGATGGCTTGGGCTTGAGCTCGGGCTTTAGGGCGGTGGTTTGTGTCGTCCAAGGGGTTGTTTTCTGGTGCTCCGTGGCTACCTGGGCGTGTATTCCGGGAGAAGCCGTGTTCTACTGGCGGGTGCGTGCCTGTCTGGCTGCCCAATTGTGTAAACGTATATGACTCTGTATGGGTGTGTGCTTGTGCCTCGGTTGGCCGCAGCTCGGCGTTGGTTGTGGTCTATGCGCGTGCTCTCGTGTATGCTGCTGTTTGGGAAGCGCTTGGTGGTCTAGCCTGTGCTTGAGAGCGTCCTCTATGTCGCTCTAACCCGAATGCTGGCAAATGCCCAGTAGATGTTGACCACGTCTGGTTGCCGTATGGTGTAGAGTCGGTCCGTGAGAATAAGTACGGGAGTGAGAAGTCAGAATGTGGCGTCAGCATCACACATGGTAAAGAATGTCAGCCAGACCTTGGCGTACAGGCCGGGGCTGGAGTGGAGAATGACACTGTTTGATGCGTGGGCGAAAGCTGCGGGGAACCCGGCCATCACTACCTTACGCTTAGGGGAAGGTCCCCTGCTGGACCTCGGCGATGCGAAGCCGCCCAATGCTCGTCTCCGCGGATTGGCTGCTGGTCATTTTGGTGGAGCACTCATCCTTGCCACAGTATAGTCCTCGTTTACGAAAGCACCCGCCCAGAAACTTTTAGAAAACCAAGTGAATATGTACCATGTGTATTATTCAGACCTCTAGGGGACAATTCATCGCTATTTCTACGCAATGAACACCACAGTCATCACCATAGGCGACCTGCGGTAAGTGCCAACGCGAGGCAACGCTCAAACCACGCGCCCACCGGGAACACCACCGGCGCGCGTTATGAAAAGAAACTCAAGTCTACGCACACACAACTCGCTAGTCTATGTATGATGCAAAATGCTCTTCGCTCGCTGGAAACAAAAAAAGAATCCCCCAAACCAAACCCGGACGGGCAAAAGGGGCCAAGAATGTCTAGAAAGCCAGCTCAAAGCGCCTAGCAGAGCAGCCACAGACTGACAGCCAGCGCCGCCCCTACATCCGCCCTCCGCCACAGACCCAGAGCCGCAGATATGATCCTCGGGCCACCGCTGCCGCTGTGGCCTGGTTGCAGGGCGTGATTGCTGCTGCTGGCCGACGAGCACTCGCCGATGGCGCTGCCCCCGACGCAAGGGGTGCCCGTGCAGTTGAAGCCCTGGAGGTCCAGCGCGTTGCCGCACAGGTACTCGCCCGCGTCCTTGCCGCCGCTGCCGCCCGACCCCGGGCCCGAAAGCAGCGCAATGTCGACGTTGCGGATCGAGATGTCCTCGCAGGGGGCGACGGCGCTGCACTGAAGCGACGTGACCACCGACGAGCGCGAGGTCCCCGTCATGCCGTCGATCGTGATGTCGCGCACCTGGAAGCGCGAGTTGGTGCAGTTGCCGTCCCCGGGAGCGCCCCAGAAGCGCGTGCACTGCGAGATGGTGAAGGCGCCCGCGCGCAGGGCGGTGGCGTGGACGTTGGTGATGGAGATGTTGGAAGCGACTAGTCAGCGGGTGGAGGCTTGGTATTAGCTTTTTCTTTCGTCTCTTCACGCTGAGCGTTGGTGGGAGCTTTGTTGTCTGCTGGCACCACTGATTGTGACGGGAAGGAGGGAGAGAAGTATACTCACAGCCAAGACCGCCCCCGCCGCCGTTGGGTGCGTAGCCGTTCTGATCATTCGTCCATGTCTTGACCCAGGCCTGTATTGGAAGCAAAAAGAAGCGTCAGCTGTGTGCCTTTTGTGCCGTCGCGACTCCATTCCGAATGGTCAAGCAAAACTCAAACGTGTAGAACACAAGGAGCAGCACATACCGCATGTATCGTGTTGTGCAGCGTGATGTTGTCCACCTTGACCCGCTCAATCGTCTCAAACACATCGCGGAACTGCCCGATGCTGCCAAACGCGATCCCGCTGCCGTCGTAAAACACGCTGTTGGTGATGCTCACGTCGGTGCTGTTGGCCTTGAGCGAGATCGAGTCGTCGCCGTTGTAGACCGTCCACCGGTCAAAGTTGATGTGCGACGAGTATATCGTGTCTGCGCCGTCATTGTTGACTAGTCACAAAGAACCGCGTCAGCACAAGTTTTTCAACGTCACTGTGACTGAAGCAACACGCGGGCCATCGAGATGACATGCGGTCGGGCTCTCCGACGGGTGCATTTCGGTTTTGTTTCCGACCAGCCCGCGGGAACTCAGGTCGAGGCTTGCGGGCGTGTGTGAGCTAGAAGCCCAGGCTAGGCCGCGCGGGCGTAATCTAAGGCCGAAACTCTAAAAGGTCGACGCGCGGCGAGTCGTTGGATCGGGGAATTTGCCCCTGGGCCCGCCCCGATCCTCGCCACAAGTTATACCCCCAGGAACGCGCGCGCACTCTGCGCCGATCCGTCCCGGGAATCCGGCACGCACAGCAGGGAGGGTAAGGGCAACGAGCCAGGGAAGGAGAAGGAAAAGCTTACAGCTCTGGACTGTGGTGCCCGTGTTGTTGACAAAGATGTTGTTCAGGTCGACGTAGTGCGAGTAAATGATTGACATGGTCCTGCATAGTCGCCACGCGAGCCACCGGTGTCAGCTTGCACGCGGAAATTGGAGAACGCGTAATCACTCCCCCTCCTCCTCATGGGCGTCTGCCCTCAGCATATGTCTCACGCCCCCACAAGCAGACAGCCTCGCGGGAACACGAGAGATCGAGAGAGAGAGATACGGAGAGTCAGGGGAAAACCTACCACATCTGGCTGCGCAGGAAATTAAGGTTCTCGACAGTCGAGTTGGTGAGCCCGTTAAAGGTAATCTGGTGCGGGCGGCCTGGCCAGTTGGACTTGTTGTGCTTGGTGTCGATCCACCGGTACCACACGTCGCCGTTGCCGTCGAGCGTGCCGGTGCCAAAGCCATTGATGTTGACGTTGTCGCCGCCCAGGATGAAGGCGGTGGACTGGTTCTGATAGCCCACGGGCATCGAGTGCGCAAGCCAGTAGTCAATGTTTGCAGACCACTATGCATGGGGGAGTATCAAGAGTCAGCAACTGAGATTTCCGAAAGGCAGAAAGGGGAAGAGGCGTCGCTGATAGGGCGGCTGGGGAGGATATCGAGGCAGCCAGATATGCTTACCAGCAGAGTACCGTGGATGTCAATCTGTACGTTTTGCAGGTCGCGAACCTCCATGACCGAGTTGATGTGATATATCGTGTCCGCGGCAAAGACGATCCTGCTATTGTTGCCGCAGCGCTCGAACGCGGCGAGAACTGTGGGCGCATCGTCGATGTTGGGATCGCCGGCCGCCTTGACCTCGCATGTCTGGGATGGCACGAAGCTGGAATTCGAGGCGGCAAGGGCGGTCGCTGCAAGCTGGAGACCCGCGGCTATGGCGAAGAGAGGCTGGAGCCTCATGATTGCGGAGTGCCTGAGAAGGCGAGACTGTATCACTGAGAGACCGGGCGCCCAAAGTGAGTGTTGTTTGGCGTTGTAGAAAGCCGGGGTATTGCGACGCAGCAAGAGCGTGACAGAGTGTGTGACAACAAGGACGCGGCGCAGGCAGTGCGACAGCGGCAGTCGAGACACGGGCAACCCAAAAAGACAAGTAACGAGAGGCTGAGACGCAGTGGACGGGCACTGACGTCTTCTTGTAAGGGCCAGCAGGCGGTGGGTTCGTGGACGAGAAGACGGAGCGGAAGAAGAGGCAGAGAAGATACCCCTCGTGTTACCAGCAGCTTGGCGAGAATCCAGGGTCCGCGGGCAGCCAATAGCCGGCGCAATGCACGCCTGGGCGGACGAGGTCTGGACTCTTGGGCCGGGGGAGGATTGGGCCCTGCCCAGGTGGTGGCCGGAATGGCGTGCATGGGGGAGCATGGGGGGTTTGGCTCTTGCGTGCTGGGCTCTGCCGAGCACGCACCCAGACTTTTTGACGCAGCTGAGTAGCGCTCGAGTCAGCTGCGCAGGCGGCCAGAGACAGAGTCCAGCTGGGCAACGGAAAAACATTCCATCCATCCATCCATCCATCCCATTTGTCACCCGATCTTCCAGGGTCCTTCGTTGTTTCTCAATCAAGTCAGCTGCAGACGCCTGTGCGCCACGTCCCGATGCCCTCTCCCCCTCTTGTGCCACGATGCAGCATCGTCAAGCGTGGGACCAGGCAGACTCATGACCTTGGCCCGATTCCACCCCCGAAGCACATCAGCACGCGGGCTAAGCTATTTAGCAACGACCCGCACCCAGGATGGAGCTTGTGCTGAGACAAATGCCACCAAGCGGGGGATTGCCCCGACATGATGCGGAACAACGACGGAAAACAAGATGGACGGACCAGCTGATGCGGTTGTCACGCACGATGGACGACGGTCTACAGGTCTAGATTGTGCAGAGATGGGCCCGGCCGACGGTGCACGTGTTGGCGCTGCAAGTGCCTACATCGAGCACCCATCGGCCGGAAGTCCTTGCCTGGGGGCCGAAGCCACCTGGGCGAGCCCACTCTCACGGGTCTAGAATGGCTTGGCCGTTGGTTGTCGGGGCTGGGCCCGTTGCGGAGAGCGTCACCCACGCCGCCTGGCCCCCCTCACAACGAGGAGGAGGAGGCAAGGGGGACCAGCCGAACCCTGCAGCGGCGTGCTGGCTGGCCCTGCCCCTCCCCATTCAGGCGGCGTGACTGTGCTCCCCTGTCGATCCTGGGCCTTCCTGGCAGCCTGCAGCCTGTATAGACAGCCGCGGGCCCTGATTGGCCGCACGAAGGCTGCTCATTGACGTCGTCGTGCGACCTCGCACGCATGGGGACAATGTGACGATGCTGAGCACACGTGCAGGCAGATAGTAATTGGTATTGTTCTGCACAGCACTATAGATCCCCCCCTCCCCCTCTCATCCTCATCCGGCTCCGGCCAAGAGAGGTTTCTCAGAAGCGGGGCTTCCACCTCGTGCTTTGGCTGCTAGATTGGCAAGGCACCGCCAGGCTGGCTTGTGCAGGTGGGGTGTCGTACCCTTAGCTCAGCAGCACAACGCACGATAATGCTGCACTGGGACTGCTGATTTTCGAGGCGGTCCCGGCCTCGCATCGCAAAGGTAGAATGAGCATGGCAGTAAGCGCAATGACTGGTGATTCTAAATGTGTGGCTGGGACGCGGACTGCCTTGGTGCTCGGCGAGTAACAGCCAAGTGTCAAGCGGGTGTGTGCAGCCTCCCGCAGAGCCGTCCCTGTGCACGCTGGGCACCAACCACCACAGCGGCTGCACCGATACAGCACTTGTATAGTCGATGCTGCAGCGTGGCAGAGGAGGACAATGCCTCGACATGCCCTTGACGGCCCTCAATATGGCTGCAATGGTGTGCATGGGCCGCGTAGATGACATTGATTGACCCCGGCCGGCCTCCTCCAGACACAGGCGTGCAGCCCCGATGAATGCAATGCTCCTTGTTGCCATTCTCGTTGCCCGGCAATGGTCAATGGCCATCCAAGAGCGCTGCGCCGCCGGCCCAGGTCCTCGCTGCGTCACCAGGGCTTCTCCTCCAGAGGACGGACCAGGCAGGCGTGCTTCACCCCCTCCTCATCACCTCACCTCGTTTTCACCTCTCACTTGGTGATCGAGGCTTTCGCCATCAACCACCCCCTTTCCCTTCTGCACGTCGTCAGTGCTTCCCTCTGCAGCCATCCGTGCTGCCTTCAATCCCATCGCACTCATCATCGCCGTCCGTTTGCAAAATCACACACCACAGCTGCCACGCAGCCTCGCCATGGATCTCCGCGAGAACATGACTCCAGCCCAGTGGGCTCTGGGCAATGCCTACGTCCGCCTCACTACCGCACGTAAGCTTCTCAGAAGCACCAAGAAGATCCCCTACTCTGAGCTATGCGAAGCCCGCTGCATCATTCACGTCAAGCCCAGTGGCAAGGCCAAACTGGCCAACTGCAGGTTCATGGGACCGCTCCCCATCTCTGTGGATCTCACAGCCTTGCAGAACCATCACCAGCCTGCAACTGGTGGCGGCGCAGAAAACATCCAGCCAGACCAGGTGGGCTCTCAGACTGCTCAAGAACAGGCTCACCCATCCCCTGCCCCCACGCTGGCAGCAGACCCTTCAGTCAATCACCGCTCTACCGAGTCCCTCGCATTGTCTGACAGTGAGGCCGACTTCGAGCACGAAACTCTGCCTCCGGCCATGGCACCGTCCATGACGATCACCGACATCTCTACACAATACGCTTCTTCAACAAACAAAATGGTTGAGATGCATGCAAACCCTCTCAAGAATAGACAGGTCTTCGTCATGGGTCATCATGCAGAGCCCTCTGGATCCTGTGGTCAGCTCCAGGAGCTGCAGGAAGCAGATGAAACTACAATTGACTCTCAGCTCGCTCATCATGGCAACTCCAACACCATTGAAGGCGGTGTTGCATCGTCTGCTGGCCTTCCTCGGGCTGATCACGACAACACGGTTTACACTTCTACTACTGCTACGGGCGTCCACCCAGAGACAACTTCGGATATCCCCTTTTCGCAGCAAGTTCACAGCTTCATGCACCATTCATCCAACGGCAATGACCAGGCTAGCGAGGCTGGAGGCCCGCAGCTGCCGACTCATCTGGCTCTGGGCAAGGTAAGTTTATAATCTTGCATCCCACTATCTTCTCGACGCTTGCTTCATGGCTCTATGCTTCCTGTGAGATGGCAAATGCACATGGCCGATGACACACGTTTCTTCCGCCTCTTTACATTGTCAATGTGAATTGACACAATAAACTTTCGCGCCACAGGCCAAGTCTTTCCGACAGCATCGAAGAACAAATGCGATCAATGACGTGGACGCCATGGTCAAAGCAGTCGGCGGTAATGTCCAGGAATTCCACAAGGAAGACGCACGCCAGACATTGGAGCGTGGTATGGGCCTGCACAGAGCGGCCACTGTCGCTCACAAGCCCGGTAAGTCAACAGTTCTGATGAATGCCCGCGCTGTTTCCCTGTGAACGTTGCAAAGGCTGACCATGACTTCAAGATGCTGCACACAATGGTGCACAACGCACGTTCTCGCAGGCCAAGAAGCAGCTCCGCTCTGGCAACGTCCCGCCTGAGAGTGAGGATGCGAAGAAGGCTCGGGAATCTGAACAGCGAAAGCAGCACCACCGCAACATGGCTGCCCAGAAGCTCAACGGCACCTACAACGAGCAGGACCAGCCCTCCACCTCCCAGCACAGAATGAGCTCAACTGACAGTGAGGACCCTTTCGCGAACTTCTCTGGCTTCTCGCCTGCTGCGCCTGAACTAAACCATCAAAACGCCTCTGCAGACTCCAGACTTGGTAGTGACCCCATCCGCCGGGACTTTTCTCTTCGGGCGCATGAGGAACCTCGTGTCCGGCAGCTCATCAGCGACATTGGCCCCTCGCGCCTTTCCTTCTCAAACAGCAGCCGGGATTCAGCGGTCGTTGAGGAGTCAATGGCGTTCTCTGAGAGACACCGCGCCTCTGCCGCTACAGCTCCTATCACGTATGAGTCATCGCCCGCCTCCCGCAGCTCAGCCATGCCTGCTCGGGTCGACATTCCAGGCTTCAACAACGAGCAGTCATACAACGCAGCAGTAACCAGCATGAACCAGCTCAACGGCGCCAGTCCCACCCAGTCCTCTGCCGCCGGGACCGCAGCTTCTGGTGGTCTTTGCATTACTCCTTCCATCACGAAGAAATGCAACAACGCCGCCCGCAAGATTGTCGGCAGCAACTTCGCCGCCCTCTCGAGCGCTGCATACGAAGCTCGTGCAGACGACCGCAAGAAGTCTGCCGAGATCGAGCAGAAGATCACACAGCGCCGTGAGAATGCTGAGCAGGGTGTCGAGGACGCGAAAGCTGAGGCGCGTCGTCCCAAGACCACTCCGTACCCGAGCGAGCTCGCCCGTCTTGAGGAGGAAGCCCGTAAGGAACGCTTCCGCAAGAAGCGTCCAGACTTCTGGTGGTGAGTGTTGTGCATTGTGTTTGTTGTGTGATTGATGGGCACTTGGTCAGCAATGACTCCTTTCTTTTCCTTTCTGCCTCACCCTGCCTTGCCACTCATCCCCTTCCCCTACCTCGATCGTCATGTCTCTTCACTTCCCCTCTCTGCTTCGATTGTGTTTTGAACTTGATTCTAACAGCTTTCCACGTCTCTCATAGCTTCCTGTGCTTCTCGGCATGAGTCAACCAACGTTGAGTCATCTCCGGAACCACGCTACTTCAATGCACCATCAGCACAGTCGTAGTATCTTTCCACAAGAGCATCAAGTCACGCGTCTCGTGATAGGAAACGCGGTAAATATCAGGCACTCGGTTCTTTGCACAGGTACATACATCACGCAGCATTGCCCCTCATACGCGTCTCTGTACATCATCTGCTCTTTTTCTGGGGGCGTTGGGTTTCCTCCTACCTTGTTACTTTCGGGCATGGGCATAAGCAATGATACCCCCTCTTCATTTTTGGCGCATGCACATCACGGTGGCGGCGTCTCCTGGTTTGGTGTTTGACTTCAGTTGGGATACGCTTTTGTCTTTAGTGTTTTCCTTCCCTGGCCAGGGATTGGATTGGACTCGTGCCATCGTTACCTTTCAGGCCCCCATTCCTTTCTTGACGCCTCTTGGCGTCTCTTTGTACGAGTCATCACGAGCACACACTCGTCCGCTCTACCATATGCGTCCGTCAGCATCTCACCTACCTTTTCCGTTTATTCTCTTGTCGGCACATCGTCAAGCAGGATGGTAGGAGAGTGTTGGGCCTCAGGGTTCACTGACGCGCGGTAGTTGGGGGGCTAAGGCAGGGGGCTTGTTTTTCTTTGTTTCCATGGTTTTTGATTTTGATTTTGATTGGGTCTCTTGTTAATGTTTTCATGCGCCGGCGATGCACAACGCGTAGGAGCAAAGAACAATGAGGAAGCTCTACGTGAAGAAGAAGAGAAGAAAAGAGAAACAAGAAGACAGCAATGTGCGTTGCCTGATCAGCAGTTTAGAGTAATACACAGAAACGATTACCAAACCGCCATGTCCTCTGCACTGCTTTTCATCCCGTGACTTGCATGGTATCTCTTCCGCGCGTACCCCACTACAGCCAAAGTGCTGCTTCCTAAGGCCGTCGTGATCGGCGTTGATTGGGGGTATGCATGAATTCGCTTGTCTGCGTCAAACGGGGCAGGCTGCTATGAGTATAAGGCTTTATGGGAGTGTGCACAGGATCTGGCCCGGAAGGATTTTGACGTGGTCCACAGGCACAATCGAGTGTATACAAGCAATCATTTCCTGTTCAATGAGCTTCTCCATGTTATGGTGAGTGTTTTGTGGCCATAAGAGCGTGCACGCTTGAGATCTCACGGAGTGTCGGTGGTGGTGATGAGGCGCAAAGTGGGGACGGGACTTCATGACCAGCTCTTGCAAGCCCTAAGCACATCTAGATCTGGATTCACAGCTTTGCGCCAGCATACATGTTAAATCAGTATTTCTCTATCCTGTTTGACGAGGGCGATCCTGGGTCAGAAGTCCTTTACGGCTCAGCGTCCTCCTGCGTTGAGAGGCCACACTCGCGGTCATCCTTTCGAGCGAGCGACAACTGGCACATAACAAGGGCAGATGGGGTGCTCTGTGATCGTTCAGCTTGTATAGTCAATATACCCAACTTCAAGAGGCCGGTTTCCCTGGTCTGTCTTGCCAGAGGTTACGAAATGCCCACCAGGCCCGTGGGGAGGATCGGCTCCGCTTGAGATCAGCCAGCGTCGACGTGTCTGCCTGCGCTGCTGGGGAAACAATGAGCAGCCAGCGCCAGGCATTGTCGCGGGGTCCCCCTCCAGCACAGAGGTGGTCTCGCCTCATTGACTTTTCCTCCTCCGCCTTCACAGTGCCTTTTTCGACACCAAGAGCGACATTCATAAATCTTTACACCTTTGTTCTCGCTCACCCCACCCGCTTGGTCAAAGCAAGGCACCTGCTCGCGCTCTCCAGTAACGATACGCCTCCCCTCCACGAGACTCTGTCCTCTTCGGCTTCAAAGACCTTGAAGTGCCCTCAAGTTCGTTGTTGACGAATCCTGGCACGATCCAGCTCTCTTTTACAGCTTCAGCCAAAGCCGCAAACATTTGCGCCACACTTTCACTCTCAACAACACAGGTAAGCGCCTTCTCCTGTAGCTCAGCGCACCGAGTCAATTATTTACGCTCATCATCCATTTTCCATACACCGCTAACCCATGGACTTCTGTGAACAGCCAGACTCGCTCATTATGAAGAGTAGCAAGATGCTTGCCACCGAGGCTATGGTCGATAGCCAGCCTGAGGTCAACACAGTTGAGCCATCTCGTGCCATCAGCAACAGTGTCATGACAGCCAGCACGGCGGCAGTCGATCAATATGGCGGCGCTGCTGCTTTGTCCCCGGACACCGAAGCAGAAGTCGATGCTTCTGTCTTGGCTGCTCCTGGAAAAAGTTCGCCCTCAATCACCTCCAGCGATGGAACTGGCGATGCAGTGGTTGAGCATTCAGGTGATCGGCTTCTGCCTTCCACTGAGCCTTCCTGCGATTGCTCCGGCGCACGAACCGATGAAGATGGTATTCTCAAAGCCCCAACCCCAATTTAAACCCTCCACCCAGGGCAACAGCTTATTAAAACTTGCCAATCAGCATCGCCATGGTGTTAAACTAGATAGCTGACCATTGTTGTGCCGCACATCTAGTAACTGCTCGCCTGAACCAGCTGAAGAGCTTGAGCATCTTCAACCTGGACGCCGCGACTCTTCGCTCTACGCGTGTGGCGCTCCACCATACCGCCGCGGTCAACACTTGCCTCGGTGCCGGGATCTACTCACGCAAGTATGACTTTTACGAAGCGTTGAGCCGCAGCGAGGTGGAGTTCTGGCTCACCGGCTGCACCACCGCGCGAAGGGCTCTGCCGCAGGTCTTTCATCTCCTCGACGAGATCCGGGAGGCGCAGCGGATCCTCTTCGGCCGCACTGACGATGAGGAACAGGAGGTGCCAGAGGCTCGCATACCTGATGAGCAGGATCGCTTCCCTGATGATAGTACCTGGTTCTGAGAGGTCTTCACGTAGCTGCCCGGTGTGGATAGGGTGAGAACACATACCTGCCATGGATCCCCTTTTGTTCTATTTACAGCACTTGGAGATGTAGATGTGGCAAGCATCAGAATCTTCTTTTTTTCCTTCCATGGATGTTTCCGTGGTCATGTACGTCAGTGTTTCGCAGGCCTCAGTCTGGCGAAGTGGGATCAAGGCGTTCAGGCAGTCATGTTTCAGGCATAGCATTGCATCACAGAGTCTTGGAGACTTCTTTGACTTGGCACGGCGGATAAGGGAGCCTCTTACTCCATGACAGAGAGCCAAAATAATGCAACGCAATCAACACGAGCTCTCCATTGGCATGCTTCTTGTGCTGAGATGGTACCGGCGGCGTTTGGTTGGAGTCAAGTCTCTCCCGGGCCGGGATGGTTGTCCTTTTGGACCAGCAGAACTACTCTGCCCGACCAGCACGCGTGGGCCCGGCGTTGACGTCGACTCTTGGAGGGGCCTGGCGGCGGCAAACTGGCGCCCTTGCGGGGCTTCAACCCCAGAGAGAGCGGCAGTGGCAGGTCTTGTCAACGCACTCGGGTGCTTTTCGTGACTCACAAGTTGTCCCGAACCAGGTCTATAGCAAGCGTCACGGAGATGGGGGGCGCCAAGTCAAAACTTGAGGGGTTATGCCTGTGCCTTGTGCTTCAATGGGTGGAACTAGTCTACTCAAGTACATGTGGTTCCTGATACGGCCTCGAATGAGCCTGCTGTTCCTTGCCTTGCGAAATCAAAATCAATGGTATGCCTGCCTCTTCCCAGAGGAGGACCCTGTGCTACGTCCGAGCAGCGTCAGTGATGTTCTGCGTTCCTTTCTCCATGTCAATGTGTGTGTGTGTGTGTGTGTGAGCCAAAAGCTTGGGCACACAAACTGTAGAAACCTTGCCGTCGTGTTTCTTTTTCTCCTTCTTTCTCAGTTGGAGGGCCACACGGGGGCGGGGTCGCGACGCCAGTTCTGGGTCAGTCTCTTCTCCCGGAAGAACTTGCGCACATACTGGGCCAGGACCGTCTTGTGCTCCTCGCTCATGGACTCGAGCTGTGCATAGAAGTCGTCGGCATGCATGCGCATCTGGTTGAGAGCCTCGTCCTGCTCGTCTCGGTTCGCCTGCATGTAGCTTCTGCAGCCGCTGAGCATGTCGTCGAGGTCGTTGCGGTGCTCTTCCGCGAGAGTTCGGTTGAGACCGCGGCTGTGGCGGATGTATGGGCGGCTCATGAAGTCGGCATACGCGTCCCGGGTCTGCTGGTACAGGCGGAACTCAGAGTCGAAAGCCCGGATCAGGACTTTGAATCTCTGAGCCCACGAGATGATTGCGGGGATGCCTTGGATCTCGAGAGGCTGGGGTCCGGTGGGAAGTCCCAGGCCAGGAATGCCTCGCATGAACTCGACGATGTGGTTCATGGCACGCAGATCGAAAGCAATGGCTGGATCAGATTCACGTTATTGGTCAGTCGTTGGAAGAAAATTTGTGAAGGCAAGGAGCAGAATTCGGGTGTGACACTCCTGCAAATCTGCAAGTGTGGCAACCAGATCAATGCTTGGGCAATGACTTACGAAGACGAGTATCAGAAAGAGGAGCGAGGCGAGAGCCCATCTTGGTCCAGTTGAGAAGACCAAGGTAGGTGAAGACGAGGGCCCAGATGACATAAGTGAAGACGAGCGCCGCCGCGAGGTGAGTCAAGAACAAGAGAACGCGAGAGTTGTTCTCCGTGTTCTCCATGTTCTCCATGATGACGAGTGCAGACATTGTTGAGCGTGCTTTGGTTGCTTGTGGATGTTTGTGTGGGTGTGGTGTGACATGAGAGATGTGAAAGGCACGGAGAAAAGTGGTTGGGTTGCGGGAGGGGCAGAAAAAGAACAATGTGACGAGATCCTGAGTTGTCGAGCCTTGGGTGCGGCCTGGCGCGTTGCCCTGGTGGCCGCCGACTGCCTCTGCCTTTTCTGCGGCCCTCGAAAGCCCGCCCTCTTGTTGACCATTTTCCTGCGGTCGTGTGGCACCTGGTCAGTTGCAGCACTCAATGAGCCTCAGATCAAGGACCTCTTTCAAGCACAAACCCCTTTTGTGATTCATTGCAAGCGCCTAGCCTGCTCATTCTCAATGTCCTTGTGGTCTTGTTGCCGTATCACTGCTGTCACTGCTGTCCGCCATCCCAAACATCACAGCCTGAGTTTCCCTGGATGAAAGAACCCTCTGACTTTGATCGCGCCAACTCGCCTCGTTGATCACGCCACTGCTCTTCTCACGAAATGTGAGCGACCTCTCGAGGAGAGTAAGTATTCCTTACCAGCAGACAGTAAAAGTTCAGCTCCTAAACATAATCATCAACTCACAGAAATCAACTGTCAAGTATTCGCACTCACACAGATCAACTCAACTCAAACAGCCCCAAGGGGACGATACAGACACCACAATGGATCCCATTGACGATGTTGACAAGACTCCGGCGCCGGCAAAAGCCACCTTACCTCATTCTCTAGACCCAGCAGCCGCCCCTTTCGTGATGCGGTCGTCTGTTGCGTCTGAGGATACGCAGTCTGCCCGTATCGGGTTGCAAACACCAACCCCTTCCCAAGCACACTCAGATTCACAAGCCAGCGGATCGTATCACCGTGATGTCCGCACGCCGTCGAGTACAACTTCGTCAGGAACAATAGTGGCCACCCACTTCCTCAACCAGAACGAGGTGTTTTACAGAGCTTTTCAGGGTATCCGCGAGGACCAAGAGCAGAGCCCCATGCTCGCGTTGCCAATTTGGCGAGCCACAAACCTGGAATGTCTAGATCTTGGCTTCGCCGCCGGCATCATCCGCGACTTTGTCAACACCGAGCGCTCCAACATCATCCAGGCGCACAAGCAGATGCGCGAACTGGGCTGGGACAAGGTCTGTCCAGAGCTGCTCCAGAAGGAACTCTACAACCCCGCAAGCACAAAGGAGGCTTTTGCAAAGCTCTGTCTTCATATTCGATCCCAGGTTTCTGATGCTGCGGTCATCATCCCACTACTGGAAGCGGTCTTCAACGAGTATACCGACCTGGCCTTCAGCAGCGCAAAATGCGAAGTCGACAAGGCCTACTGGAGGACTATTGCTTCGGAAGCACAGCAGGAGGTCGCTGAGAAGCACGAGGTTATCTCGTCTCTGCATCAAGATGCCCTTGTCCACGAGGAGGAACTGAAAGACCAGCAGCAGTACGCTGAGCACGAGATGCAAGGTCTTCAAGCCTACCATACGCAGCAGGTTCAAGATCTCCAGGCGAGGCTTTCGTACCAAGAACTGCAGTTGGCAAACATGAGACAAGCCGAGCTTGGTCTCTTGGCGGAGATGAGGGCTCTGCGAGCTGGCAGAGATCAACAACAACACAATGCTCGTGCGGGCACGCCCAGCCTTGGTAATGGGGCAAGGGACCTGCAGGTCCAGGATCTGCAATACAGACTGGTGCATCAGTATAGGCAGCACAACGCGCTTCTTGAGCAGCGCATCGAGCGTGAGCAAAGCCATCGACAAGAGCTTCAGGAGGCTTTCCAGGCGGGTGAGAGAGCCCACGCCGGCCCGTGCCGGAGCTGTGTGCCGCATCTCGTTGACGAGCACGAGGCTGCTTACGATGAGGCACCCTCCAACAGTCACGTTGGCCTGCAATGTATGTGAGATGATGGGACGGATCAAGGTCTACAGAGGATCATTTGGACCTGGCTTTTCGTGGCGGAAATTGGGCGCTTCAGGTGCAAAAGTGGCAGAATTCTCATGCACAATGTGGCGAATGCTTCAATGACCTTTGAGGTACGAGCCGGGCTGCAAGGCACCCAGCAAGCAGATGATTTGACGTAGACAGAATCACTGTGATAGATTCATCTAGAACGAAAGTAGACATGTTTAAACGCTTGGGGCAGCTTACAGCTTGTGCATGTCTGAAACTCCACAACATCCCGTGTACTTTGGCTCCAACGATAGTCATACTGGATTTCTCTGTGAGGCAAAAAGGCTGGCACGCTCGGCTCCATTTCGACAGCGCCATCCTGGTTGTAGTGGCATAGTGATATTTTGCGATCCTTCCCTCATGCCACAATGGCGACAATGGCGAGTGGGGTGAGTCTGGCGTGCCGGGCTCACTGCAGCGGACTGTACTGCTTTGAGGGTCGCTCGTCTGCCATTACGTGCCATTGTTCTGCCGCTATTGACACTCTTCACACGGGGCATCACTCTGGGCTTGTCTGCCTGATGACAGTGGCTAGTCCAAGTCGCCTAGCTGGTTGCCCTGGGCGTCAAGTCTCCTGCTGTACACACCACGCTCCTCACAACAACATTTCGCGTGCCCAATTCAACTTCTTTTCATCTACCCGATCCCGCATTTTGGATCCAGGCGCTCCCCATTGCATCTACCGACATCAGGTCCGTCTCTCCTTTTTGCTGATGGCGCTCGGCGATCCTCCGCTTGCGCTGACCCAGAAACAAAGCAGCACAGCCCGAGCAGTCGACTGCAACGCTTCACTCGCATCCTTTCCATCGAGCACCAAAATGGCACAGAACGTGTCTACCCTCAAGCAGTGTAAGTAAAGCTCAATAGCCCATCCCGCGCTCTTACCGGCGGTTCCTGAGAACGACCGACTCTGACGCCGTTACCCATCAGCCACTGCAGAAGCAAGAAGGGGATACACTGTTGCGGTGCCCTTGATCCTCATGAAACGGCCATCTGTCCAGCAGAAGGAGAAGGTGCCAGCCATCAATGCCCAGAAGTCCACTCCCACTAGCCACGAAGCTGCCAGCAAGCACCTTCCCCTCCGTGGCCTCGAGCTCGCGACCAAGAGCCGTCCTCGCGATGCCAAGCGTGCTGCTAGTGAGCAGCATGCCTCTTCGCGTAAGGAATACCCTCGAAACGAGAAACGCACCGTCAGCCAGCCTGGTGCTATGAGCGAGCCCGCCGCGGCTGGCGGCAGCAAGATCAGTGAGAGGAGCAAGGCTGGAGACAAGGAAACGCTCCCCGACAAGCACGATGAGAATGAGTCCGGCAGCCAGAAAAGGCGCCGCAAGAAGAACCTGAATCCTCGCCAGCGCAAAGCTCGGAAGGCCAAGGCTGACCTTGCTCCGAACCGCCGCCAATGGCATCAGCACGGCCCCCGAGATCTCTACTGCTGCCGCTGAGCAAGAGCCAGCGCCGACCGCCGCTGTCGAGAAGGAGCCCGCCCTTGCCTCAGGATACAAGGTCTATACTGCAGAGTATGTCACCGCTCTGAAGGAGGAGGTCCTGGCGCTCCGGGCGCAGACGCAGCATGGTGTGGACCAGCTCGAGCGTAGCGAAGCGAGGCTCAAGACGCTATCGGACAGCTGCCTCGTCTGGGCAGAGACATATTCCGGCTTCGACAGGCGCCTCGCAAAGCAGGGCCAAGAGATTGACAGCCTCAAGGAGGCTCTGCGAGCCGAGCAAGAGCGCCACGCTGTCACGAGAGCAAGGTACGACGAGACGGAGCAGCTTGCGCAGAGTCTCTTTGAGAGGCTTCATTATGAGCATCAGGGCCCGTTTGCGCAATCACGTTGGTAGAGAGCATTCTTCTGGTGGAAGGATATCAGCTGTGTGTATGGTCAAGGAAACACGTGAAGCATGGAGTAGTGAAACTTGGAAGCCACCCTCATGTTTCTGGAAACACAGCCTGGTGTAATGCTACAATGCAGTGTGGCCAGCCTAGGGATAGTATCACGAGGTAGAGAAGGCAACCAATTCAGGTTCTGTCAACATGTCACATAGTTCTTGGGCTTGCATTGGAATTATCAAGGAAGTTCGTTTGCATTACTCTGCATGCAAACTTGGTCAGGCTATTCCCTCTGACTCATTATTTCTTCTGGTCCTCCTCTCTTGGAGACCTAAGCTGTTCCGCTTTCTGACAATATGAGCTCAATAAGGCCCTCCGCTCTCGCGTCACCATTCATCTTCTCTGTCCATGTGCTGCAAACGGCCTTCGTGACACATCCTTTGTTGACACGCGGGTACCTGCATATGGAGGAAGGGATATCAGCTGCTCGCTCGGATCAAGAAACAGGCCAGGGAAGGAAAACTCTGACTCACCAGTAGCAGCGGCTTCTCAAATGCACGCAGGCAATACTCTTTATGTGACAGGCACCCGGATTTGGAAGCCAGGCTTGTCATGACCTTGCGCCTCGTTACAGCCGACTAGGTATTCCCCAATCTCATCATTGAAGGCGATGTGCAAGCCCCTTACAGAAGCTCCCAGTCGTCATGCAAGGGGTCGCAGTCATCCGAGTCGGAATCTTCAAAGACAGGCGTGCTGACAGCGACTCCTGGCAGCTGCGCGATTGGGCGAGGGTCCTCGGCGACGGTGGCATCCGAACGAGGCCGAATGCAGGGCACGATGGGAGCGGGATGCTGGATTTCAGGCTGAGCAAGAGGCTCAAGTTGGGCATCTGTGAGCTGCTGGTTGACGGACGGCTGGGTATTAGTGGTCTGGCCACTCTCGTGCTGGCCTGGCGGCGGCTGGTGCACTTGATCAGACGCATCGGGCCGTTCCCACTGGTCCCAGCGCGCACGGCGCGACGCAGCAGAGGTTGAGGAGTTATGCATTTGTCGATAATTCCGGGTCCGGTGTCTCTCCTCGGCCATCTGCATTCTGAGGGTGGAATCACTCAACGGGAGATCCTCGTCGTCGACCTGCAGAGCCCGGAGTCTGGCCATGGCCTGCTCCTCCTCGTAGTCAGAGACCGTGTTCATGAGGGCAAGGACTTGAACGATGGCGCGGACTGTGGCATAGACAGTGCCATAGACCTGGATTTTCAAGTAGAATCAAGTGGTAGTCAGCATCTGCGGGCGTCCGGAGGGCTCAGGGAGCAGGGCGGTGTTTGCGTGGGGAGGAGGCAGCTGGGGAACTTACGGCCTGGAGACAGGTGGCGATGACTTGGAGAATGAAGAACATTGTGGAAGGCAACGAGGTTGATTGTGCTCAAAAGAGTGTGTCTTTGTATGTGTGTGTGTGTGTGTCGAGTCTCGAGATGCTGTCGGTGCGTGGGATGAGAGGAGTGGTTGTGTTCTGAGGAACAACTGCGGCCGTAGACCTTGAGGTGTGGATGAAGAGTAGGGCAGGTTGGGTGGATGAGCTCAATGTGAGTTCTCAAAACGGCGTGCAGGCAGCGAGGGAAGGCTGCCAGTGTGCGGCAGTGCACTGCAGAGCTTCCGTGTAGTGTGCTTGAGCCCAGAGCGTGGCCCCGGACCGCCCAGTGCCAGCTGGTCCTCGACAATGACTGACGACCTAAGGTACGTGGTAGGGCACAAGGGCCGCCTCCTGGGCTGCAACCTGCTGCAGGACCGCGCAGTGCTCTGTATTGATATTACACGCCCTCCAGGCTTTCTGTTCTTGTCAACGGACCTGGGCTCATCTCTAGTTGACTGTCTCCTTTCCATGTGTGGCCTTTGGACCGTGATGCATGGGATCGTGCAACTCCTTTTCCTTCGCCGGGTCCTGATTGCCATCGCATCTGATGCCGCCAGGGCTCCTCGTACCCAACAATTCGGGGCCTTTCTAGAGGTATCTTTACCTTCACGACTCGTCAAGAATGTAAGCACCCAGCTTCTCCAGCGATCGTCCCACCACGACGCTCACACTTTTTCAGTCGGCTCCTGACTGCAAACACATCGTTCAGAGGGCTCTTTTACCGTTGTATCGTCTCGAATTCTCTCACATGTATTGACCACCACAGCTCAACGCTCTCACGTCCCGGCCTTTCGCGATAGGTGATCGAACGCGCTGCACCCTCGCCGGTCGAAACTCTCTTCGCACGCGTGGAAACCAGCACTGTCAGTTGTGCATAGGTCGCGTGATCTCTCACACGCGTAGAGACTAGCTAGTCCCTCGTTCTTTATCAAGGTGCGCCAGACATCTTTATGAGTTATCCGAAAGTCCTGGGCTGGCCACAGCGGGTATCGTGCATAGGCGTGCCCAAGCCCACGCCTCAGCAACTTCTCCGTCTCAAGCGTCACGTGACTGACTACGCTATGTTGACCAATTGACTCGCCAGGATACTCTGGTCCGTATACTGGACATCCGCCGCAAGAAGTCTCGTACAGGTGTCAAAGCTGCGTATATTCGCTCCGGCATATTTGACACTGTCGCACGGGCCCGCAGCCGACTGCTCAACGCAAAGCCAACGCAAGCCGTCCGGAGTTTAGCGTTGTGCAACTGCGTGGGATTTCTTACACAGAGTCATATTCTCTTTCCATCAGGCAACACATCGTCTCCAGAGCATCAACACTAAGCCGAGCTGCCGACTAGACAAGCTCCTGTGACTTCCAAATACCGAAAGGATCCCTAACTTTCTTTCCATTGAGAATCGTACAGCTGACGAAGAAACCCGATGATTGCAGGCAACAAAACCCTCGGATCTCTGCCACTCGCGGCCATTGGACCCAGCATTCGACACAACATACACACATCTTCAAGCCCAGACCTCGCCCGCCATCGACGTCTGTCTCCAAACATCAAACGACAAGCGCCATCAAGCGCCAGCAAATAATAATAACCTACAATATTGTCTGCCTCGAAGCCGCCGCAAACCAAAAGGCAGGACCAGCAGCAAGAGAACAAGTGCATCTCGCCCGCACGCAAGAGGAGGTGTGTTGCGAGGCCACATGGATTAAGTATGTATGGAGACCAGGCTTCGCGGTCCAAGCCCGATGCGGGGAGTGTTTGCGAAAGACGTTGAAATAGGCTTGGGGTCTGCGGTGCATCCCTGTCCTTTGGCAAAGTCTGCTGAAGTCACACAGTAACTTACCCCTGTCCAGCCCCGAGGATGCCGGAGATTGAAGTCGGTAAGCTCCGTTCCGCGTCGTGGGCAGAGAGGCACCTCGCAAGCATGTGGTGCTCCTCGTGCTGATCCTTCTCCATGTCTCCGTCGGCAGGAGCAGTCAGCTGCACGCGCTCTTGAGAACAGCCTTCGCGCCTGCAGCCGAGCGTGTGGAGTGAGGCTAGACGAGTTTGTGGGCAACTTGCGACCGCCGATGCCGAGCTGTGTCTGGGGCGGTCGTCAACACGTGTATTCTCGCTGGATTCGTCTGTTGTACAAAGAGGTTCAGGCGTCCTGCGCAGAGAGTGCGCGGCTCGAGCACTTCGCGACTGCATCAGACTTGATTTCCAAGCAGCCCGGATTACCACAGCATGGCGCTCCTCTCGCACTACCCTTTCAAGGCAATCTTCACGCTCTACTCCATCTGCTATGCCTTGTGCACGCTTCCGTTATGGCTTACGGCTTCCATCATCCCCTGGACCCGGCCGAAGCGCGAATGGACCATCCTTCAAGCAATCCGGATGCAGATTACCAGTAAAGTGCTACACTACTGGTCGGTCATTGAGCTCAACACTTCCACGCCACTGAAACCGGGCCGCGAGGGCAGACGCTTCACTGTCGCCCAGCCCGCACCTCAAGAGATGTACTCCGGGCCCCTGGACGACGCAGAGATCCGTCCTGCGCCAGTGGGACTCACATGGACCAAGACCCCAGTCACGAGTGGCAAGACCCTCCCCAGAGACGCCACGTTCATTCTACATTTCCACGGTGGCGCCTTCGTCATTGGCGACGGGCGCGACCACGACACGGGCTTCCTTGCCGCGACGCTGATCAAGCAGTTCGGCATCGCCAGCGGCGCAGCGGCTCCTGCGCACACATGCGTCGTCACGCCGCAGTACCGGCTCTCTTGCCGCCCTGGCGCGCACTTCCCAGCAGCCTTGCAGGACGCAGTGACAAGCTACATCCACCTGGTCCACGATCTGGGCATCCCAGCCAGGCAAGTCGTCGTCTCGGGAGACTCGGCGGGCGGGAACCTGGCGCTGGGCCTGCTGCGGTACATCACCGAGCACGGCGCCCAGTCCAACCAGAAACAGAACGACATCCTTTCCGGTGAGGAGGACGAGGACGGACCTGACACAACGGGTCTGCCACTCCCCGGCGCAGTCCTCCTCTGGTCCCCCTGGACCGACATCTCTGCTGCGCAGGACCCCAACGCAATCTACCAGTCCCCGCAGTATTCTACAGACTACCTGTCCGGCGCCTTTGGGGCGTGGGGCGCAAGGGCGTACACGGCGTTCGGGAGGCTCGACGCCCTGGACCCGTACATCTCGCCCTTGCACGCGCCGTTCAGGAGCCCCGTGCCCGTGCTGATCCATGCCGGTGGCGGAGAGGTCCTGTTGCAGGATTGCGAGGAGCTGACGAGGCGGCTGCGGAAGGCAGGCGGGCTTGGTGCTGAAGGCAGCCAGGAGGATGATGGTGGCAAGGGGGGAGGAGAATGGGAGAAGGTACTGGCCGGGAATGTCGAGCTCATCATGTCGCCCCATTGCCCGCATGATATCCTGCTCGTGGGCGCCATGACTGGGTTCAACAAGGAGGCCAAGGTGGCCGCGAGGAAGGCTGGTGATTTCTGGAACAGGGTAAGGAAGATTGAGTGAGTGTGTGGTCGCCCTGTGTGGGTCGCTGTCTGCTGTTGGGTTCGGTCAATGGTTGTTCTCATGTTATCGGGGATTTTAACCTGTGGTCATAGATTGTTTTGAAGGAGAGGTATGCCCATCCACACAAGTGCCAGGATTAGATCAAGGCTTGTCGGAAGATTCATTCTTGGTCCTCTGCCTACCGCACACTGCGACTTGAAGAGACAGTCATACATACCTGATGGTGCATAAGAGAGAACAAGCAGCTCCTTCCAGTCCCATTGGCCAGTCTCAAGTATCTTGCCTCATCCCCGTGCCATTCCCGCAGTCTAGGCCGAGAAGGCCCGCTGCGCCCCCACGAACGCCTCATCGACTTGCAAGGGCCCGCCAGCCTTACGAGGAACAAACACGAGGGTTTCGAAACCAGGGACCTGACCTGGCCCGTCGTGCTCCCGCAATCCGGCGGGGCGATCACCTCACGATATTGAGTCATGCTGCACCAGCTGCGTGCGAGATCGCTGGAGGGTCGACGCGGCCTCCCACGGCATAGTCGGCGGGCAGACGCGCGATCCACTCTTGCCCGACACCGCTCCCTGCCATGTCTGATAAGAAATTGGGGGCCCTCACAAGTCCTGTGGTCTCGTATGGGAACACGCTGGCGGGGGGGATCTGGCGGCTGAAGCCCCAAGCCTGGCTCGGCACAATCCGAGGTCCCCAGGCGGAAAAGCCGATGCTCTTGTGGTCACGCAGGTATACACCCACGCGCGGACGTACGCATATAAGACGATGTGGTAGAGCTGACTCGTCTCAGGACTGGCGGTGACCAACCAGACTTGACAATCACTGTTCCCATTGCGGTCTCCCCCACCAGACCGACAAAAAGCACTAATCTCTTGAACACGCCTCCCTTGCAGCTCCTTCTTGACCCCCAAGGACCAAGGACCAAGGACCAGCACATTAACCCACCCAAGAACAACAGCACCACCGCCACCAAAAAATCAGCCAAGATGCGCACGCTCGGCCTCCTCGGCGGCATGACCTACCACGCCACGGCCGAGTACTACAAGACGATCAACGCGCGGGTGCAGGAGCGGTTGGGCGGCAATGCGTCGGCGGTGCTGGTCATGCACTCGGTCAACTACGCCGACATGATCGGGCACTTCCGGGCCGGCAACCACGCCGAGTGCAGCCGGCAGCTGTGCGTGGCCGGGCGCAACCTCGCGTCCATCGGCGCCGACGCCATCGTGCTGTGCGTCAACACGTCGCACATGTGGGCCGACGCCATCGAGCAGGCCGCCGGCGTGCCGCTGCTGCACATCATCGACTTCACCGCCGAGGAGATCAAGCGCAAGCAGCTACCGCAGCCGCAGCCGCAGGAGCCGCAGGGCAAGAAGACCGTCGTGGCGCTGCTGGGCACCAGCGCGACGCTCGAGGGCGACTTCATCAAGGGCCGGCTGAGGGACAGGCACGGCCTCGAGGTGCTGGTGCCGCCGGCGGAGGGAGGGCTCAGGGAGAGGATGGACGCCGCCATCTTTGGCGACCTGCCGAGACATGTGGTCACGGAGGAGTGCAGGGCCATGTTCATCGATGCGGCCAAGGACCTCGTCGGGCAAGGCGCCAGGGGCGTCATCCTGGGCTGCACGGAGCTCATGATGGTCATCAAGCCAGGCGACCTGGGCGAGGACGTGTTTCTGTACGACACGGTCGAGCTGCATGCCAAGGGCGTCGCCGATTGGGCTGTCGAGGAGGACAAGCCAGCGGCGTAAAGGGAAAGGGGGGATTGGGCCTGCGCAAGCCGATCTCAACGGGATAGAGGGTCTATCGAGATCTGTAGGAGCGCTGTTTCCTGACCAGATTGAGTCAGCTTCGAGGTTTCACACCGTACAGAGGAGCTGTGCTTGAAAAGCGCAGAGCGACATTTCCGATGGACTGCTAGCTTAGCAAGCACATCATATACCTCGTGCACAGGGGAGCAGTCCCGACCCTTACACCTGTGCCAGGGCAATGGTCTGATGTGGACTTCTACGTGGTTCTCATCCGCAACACTAAGCCGTCGAGCGAGAAGGGAGCCGAGGAGGAGTGAGAGTAGAGAAGAAATTAGTCACCGCTGCGCAACTAGCGTCAGTTGCTACAAATGTAAAGTCTGTAGAGATCACTGAGCAGAAACAGAAGCTGCAAACGTCAGATCGGCGATTTGCAAGCCACGGCCTCGCAGGGAACAACGCCGGCATCATATAGTTCTTCAGAGACTCACGAAACAGGCAACGAGTGTTGGAACTGCATCCGAGGTTTATGGTGAGGTTCTGCAAGCTGGCAGCTCGTGAATGCCGGGACCGTGCCGAGGCCGTTGTGGTCGCCAGAAGGCATGTGGGCATGCGAGGTGTGAAGCTTGCCTAGATCGTAATCGTACACGTCCATTTGCACAATAATGACGACACTGCCGCTTAATTTGCCTGGCCAGATTGTATCTGCGCCCCTCAGCGTCAATTGTTATGCATTGTTCAGGACTTGAACATGTTAAAGCAGCGGGCTTTGACGTTGAGCCGCGTATCCACATCCCTGCCTCTGATCGACGCGAGCAAGGGTGAGTACCTCGGCACATGCGGGCGATCTCAGCAATCCACCGAGCGAGTTGAGTTCAAACAGCCCCGACGGTAGTCATGAGAGGCCTACGTCATACACTGTTATCATCAAGTGCTAAGCAGAAGTTCCGTGCCCTGCACGCGCCGTTGCCGGGCCTGGTATCGGCAGAGCACGGTGCTGCTCTTAGCCTAGCCTTGACAAAGCGGGAGCATGTCTTCCCATGTCTTGGCCCACGACGCAGGGCCAGGACTTGCAGGAGTGGAATCTTTGGGGGACGAGAGAGGATCAGCTCACGTGCACATGTGATGCCGCTGTGCGGTTTAGCGAGGCGATGACGAATTCGCGCTCGGTGGTCGAGACATTGCTTCCGAAACTTGCAGCCCTGGCTGCCATCCCGAGTCATACAACTGTCTGTATGACCCTACGTTCTGTATAAAGAGGCCTACCTCTGCCTGCGAGACTTGCGACGCTGTTCTCGTCCGATACTCAGTTCGCCAGATCCTTACTATTGCTTCCAAGCATTCCAGAGCAGCAGGCCCCGCCGCCAGGACACCCGAGCCACCTTGACCCACCCTTAAGATGCACAGCTCTGCGCCTTTGTACGTGGCCCTTGCAAGCAGCCTCTCACAGGTTGGCACTGCGCTGGGTACCAGCCCGACCGACATCACAACCACAATCTATCCCGGCGCCAATCCATCCACTGTCTCGAGTTACGATCTCGGTGGATTCTGGAGCAGCTTTCTCAGCGGCCTGGGGACCGATCATGGGTCCTCGCACACAACCGGGGCGCCGGCATCGACAGCCCTGGGCACGGTGACGCTGAGCGAAGCACTGTCGACCGAGTCGATCAGCAATCTTGTCACCAGCGGCGGCGGGCCATCCCTCACGACGACGCTGGCGTTTTCGAATCCTACGGGCGCGGCTGTGGCGGGCGCTGGCCAGCCAGGGGGTGGTGTTGTGATGGGACTTGCTGGAGCTGTGGTGGTGGCTGGAGTATTTGTGTAGTTGGATCGGACGGAAGAGGATGAGACGTCAAGCAGAGTAGAGCAGCTACGCTAATCAACTCAACCCATCCTGATGGTATAGTCGTGGGTGGCAGGGACCTACCCTGGAGCATGCGGATACAGTGTGCCTGTACAGTGCGGGTCTCTCTGCCCAACGAAACCAAACCTTATCGCGGAGGATCGCCCGGCAGGCACGACCGACCGTGCACAGGGATCTGGTCTGGTGTGAAGTGATGTTGGCCGCCGCTTACTGCACGTGCAGCTGCCGTCAGACAGACAACCACACACCCCCAGACACACCACCACCACGGACCGGCAGTTGGGTAGAGGGAGGTATCGTCCACCTTGCAGCCCCCCATCTCTGCCCCTTCACCCCGTCCCTGTCTCTGTATCCGTCGTGCCTGCCCTGCTGCGACCCGTGGCGATGCGCCCGGCGGCCCCCGCGGCCTCGCCCACGCTCCTCCTGCTCCGGCCTGCTGGGCCCTCGCCGCCGCCGCCATGACGGCCGCCCGGGCCTGCGAGAGCTGCCACAAGGACAAGGGCAAGTGCATCTTCCCCGACAACTCGGCCGCCTGCTCGCGATGCCTGCGCCTCGACCGCCAGTGCCGGCCCCGCGTCGCCCGCCGCATGGGCCGCCCCCCCGTGGCCCGCACAATGTCCCACGGCAACTACCTCGTCATGGACCTCGACTCGCCCTCCCCGGCCCCGGCTGCTCCACCACCTCCGGCTCCCACTCTGGCTGCGGCTGCGGCTCCGGCTGCGACAGCATCGACTTCTTCTCCTGGTGGCCCAACCTCTGCCGCCGGGGGCCCAGCCGGGGCGGCCTTGCTGCTTCATCAGTCTCAGCAGATGCAGGCTGCTCATCAGGGGCGGCCCTACGGCTCCCCATCGGTGACATCGGGCCACAGCCAGCAAGGCCAGCAGCTTCTCGACGTCAGGACGCCAGACAGCCAGTCCGGGCTCGACAGGCACACGCCGTACAGCGGAGTGGGCGGCAGCGACTCGGCCAGCGTCACCAGCACGAGCCCAGACTCGCACCGCCAGTATCAGAATCACCACCATCAACACCCCTCCCAGACGCAGCAGCAGCAGCAGCACAGCAAACGCGTCTTTCACGAGATGCCGCCACAGGTCAGCGCCTACTACCAATCCCATCCCGCACACCACCCGCAGCAGCTGCCCCCCATCAACCAGGCCATTCCCCAGTTCGCCTCGACCGTCGACGGGCGGCCGACTCCCCCGCTGGACCTGACCATTGCCCTCGACTCGCCCCTGGGCGACATGGGCCGCCGCGTCCAGGAGCTGCTCGAGAACCGCGATGGCTTCTTCCATGTCCACCGCCACTTCATGTTTGGCCGCAACTTTGCCGACGAGTATCAAGCTGCCGTGAAGCGCCTCTTCAAGCACTCACCGCACACACTCGCCGCCGCCTACGACGCGGTGCTGAGCCAGCTCGACCTGAGCAGCATGCAGGTCCGCGAGGACGGGCGGGCCGGACAGGACCTGAAGGCCGGGTCCGACTGTATCAAGGCCCTCATCGAGGCCTCGTCGTCGGTCAATAAGCCCGAGGACGCCGCGCTCGTCATGATGCTCGCGCAGATCCTGTTTGTGTACAACATGGCCATCGGCTGGCCCGCCGCGCACATGGTCGTGCGCAGCTCCCTCCTCGCCATCAAGGACTGGTACCCGGTGCTCACGAGGACGGCGACGTTTGACCCCATCGTCATCACGCCGGTCCTGCTCGACACCATCGACTGCCTGGTCAAGCGCGAGATCCCCGTGGTCCGGCTCGACTGCACCGACCGCGTCCCCATCGACCGCCTGCTCGGCCTCTGCGCGACGCTTCTCCCGCTCATGTACGACCTGTGCGAGCTCAGCCACCGCGCGGCCTCGGCCAAGAAGGAAAGAGGGCCCCACGCGCAACAGCCGCTCGCCTCCAGCCCGCAGGACTTTGAGGCCCGCTACCGCGCGACGTACTACAACGACGAGTACACCGACATTGAGCAGAAGATCACGGCCTGGTCGCCGACCTGGCCCGCGCACTTCCTGACGGCGTACTCGCCGGTCGAGGTGGTCGCCATGCTCGCGCAGGCGCGCCTGTACCGCACCGCGTCGCTGCTCATCATCCACCGCCTGCGCTTCCCCCTCGGGGTCGAGGACCGCGTCGCCCGGTGCCACGCCGACGCCATCCTCAACGAGTTCTGCAACATCGAGGCCTGGACGAGCAACCCGGACCACGGGCTCCGGTTCGCCACCGACTTCCCCTTGCTCGTGGCCACGCTCGAGCTGCCCGAGCGCGGCGGCGCCATCGTCGAGAGGCTCAAGCCATTGCGCATACAGCCGCTCAATTCAAAGGGCATCGTCGAGTTTGCGGACGTCGCGCGGCGCGCCATGCGGGAGGGGTACATGGGCTTGTGGTTCGATCTGGCAGAGAAGAGGCTCAATGTCGATGTCCTGCCGTGAGATGCGTGTTTTGGGGGGGGGGGGATGCTTATTGGAGAACCGTTGCCAAGGTCCGGCCGGCACGGCACGGCAGGAGCCGTGGGCGGCGGGCATTACCACAAAAAGAGTAGACGCTACTTGCCGAGACAGTGGTACGTGTCTTTGTCCCTTGCGTGGGGACCCGCCTGTCCGGTGCACGTGGGGAGGAGTATAGGAACAATATCATCATCGGGACGTCATTGGAACGTCTCAAATGAGCCAAGCGTGTGACGCGAAAGGCTCATTTATACGGGCACTATAAAGCGAGTATACACTCGCCCAAGAGATGCACTCGGGAGGGAAAAGCTCGAGCAACATCACCACCACCATGACGCCGCTCTAATCCGGTTTGCAGGGGCCAGAGAACTGGCAGGAAAATATTTGATTGTGGGAAAAAATCATGCTGTCAAAGGCATGTCGCAGCAGGCGCTGCTCAGCGGGCGTTGTTACTTTGTGCCGGAACTGTACTTATTTGTTGTTTTTCTCAGACGAGTTGACAAGATAGCTGTAAAGGAAAAGCTGCGCTGATCTGGTCACTGCTGTCACTGTGCTTCTACCCCACCTGCACATGGGGGTCGGTCGTGGATCAAATGTGTCGGGTCTGCTCAGCTTGCTGAAACTCGTCGCCCATGAAGGGATGTCGAGAAACCGGTGGTGACCGTGGGTGGGATTTGAGGGATTTGGCGTGATCCTGACACATAAATGCTGTATAGTAACGTGCCCAGTGGCCAAAGCGTGGTGCTTTTCGCCTTGGGGAACAAGATCCGTGCGTTGTTACACTTGATCACGGCCATATTCACGGCCCATTCCAGCAAGCCTTCAAGCCTTCGAGCTTGGGATCTGCAGCAGAGACGCAAACCATCAAAGCTGGCAACAATCAAGTCCGCACACGCATTCTGTTCGTCATCTTTGCGGCATGTAGACAGATCTAGAATATATTTTCGTGATCAAGGTTCCTCAAATGAGGTGACAGGGTATCGCAGTAACCAGCTATGCAAGACGGGGAAAAAGAAAAGAAGCAAGACCACGACCTGTCCAGTGCGCTAGTACTCTTCTCGGAGCCAGTAGGCTCAAACAAAGGCCGCCTCCTCTCTCATCCCACCATGCTCCAGTAAGATCTTGTTTGTCCCACCATGATTTCTAGCGCCAACGGAGAGAGAGAGGGGGGGAGAGGCTTTGCGAATATGCCTATCGTAGACAGCCGTGTGGATACAAAGAAAAAGGTATATACAGGGCAGCACGCTTGGTGCATTTAAGAAGAGCTCTCGGGGAGTGAGTGCCATTTTACAGCTTGTTTCAGCCTTGGGGACTCTCCCTTTCGATAAAGAAAGAAAGATCGGTGCATCCTGTTCATATGAGGAACGCCAAGTTCATCCTCCCGTCTGACCCCGAAGGCAGCGTCGTGCTTGCATAGGACGACACGCTCCGGCCGGGCAGCGGAGGCCTGGTCAGGGACGGCAGGGACGAGGGTGATGGCGCTGGAGGCGACGTGCGCTTCGCGGTCTGCGTGCTCGGGCAGTGGTACGAGTGGTGCCGCTGGTGGGCGGCGGCGCCGGAGGGCAGCATCGGCGGGAGCCGCACAGCCTCTTGCGGCTCTAGTGATGATGAAGATGATGTCTTGATCGGCGGAAGCTGGGGCCGCGCGATCTCGGGGTGGTGCTGGGTCTTGTGCGACTCCATGGAGTGGGCGCGTTGCAAGGTGGCTATTGCTGCGGCCGCGGCCGTGTATGCTGGATAGGAAGGGGTGGAACAGGAGGAGGAGGAGGAGAAGGATGATGAAGTCACTGTCGTCGCCGAGGAGGGTGGGGAGGACAGCGAAGGGGACGTGGACGAGGATCTCATGATGGCTGGGAGCTGGAGCGAGGGCAGTGACGATGGCGAGGTGGGAGAAGTCGGCGGCGTGAGCTCTACGCGTGGAGCGGGGAGCTGCACAAAGCCCGGCAGCAGTGTCCGTTTCTGCCGCTTCACCAGGGTGTGCTCAACCGCGTGCTGCTCTTGACGCGAGAGGTGGTGGCGTGAGGAAGGGCAGTCGAGGTGGAGGTTGTTGACAGAGTTGTCGAGCCCGCTGGCTTGGGCGTCCCGTATTGTCGGGCTCGTCTTGCGCTTGCGAAGGTCGTCCACGGTCGTCATCTGCCGCGGCGATGTGGGACTGCATTTTGAAAAGGCAAAAGGGCTGCTTCTTGGTACGATCTGCCCCGGATGGCTGCCTGGTGGTCCATCTTCAGACAGAGGTGTAGTAAGGCCTGTTGCTGTTGTTGTTATTGGGGAGAGAGCTGGCTGGCGAGGCCCTGAATGCGGCTTGTGCTGAAGGCCCGCCTCGTGCAGGTTTGGCAGAACAAGGCCCGGCCAGTCACGATAGCTGCCTCTTGGTGGTGAAGCGTCATGCTGTGCCACGCTGTGCCTGTGCTGCTGCTGCTGCTGCTGCTGATACCGGTCCGTCATGCTGCCCGAGTACAGCCCTCGTGCGTCTGGCGACCTCGCTCCGCCTTCAGATGGCGGCGTAGACGACCGTGGCGACATCAAATGCATGACCATTGTCTCCGGGTCCGTTCTGCGTCTCGAGCTCAGTGGCATGCTGGGCAGGCTTCTCGAAGGGTCCGAGCCATGCCGGAGGCCCGTGACGCCGGCTCTCGACTCTCTGGGTGCGGCCTCTGGGCCTTCTGGAGAGCCTGCAGCGCTGAGCGAGCTCTTCTTGTTGCGGCGGTTGACAATGGGGCCCGAGCCAGCCTTGGGGTTTGGTGGGGTGCGCTCCCGCTCGACCTCGCACTCTGTCGTGACGGCCTTTGCAAGGCGCACAGACAGCCTGCTGACCTTGAGCAGGGCCGCGTGGTAGCCTATCCGGACAATGGCGTGTTGCAGCGTGGTGCTGAGGGCGAGCTTGCGCAACGTGTCGAGGATGTTGTCGGACCAGTCCTGCGGATGTTCGAGGTCGTACTGGTGGGGGCTCTTGGAGGAGGAGGATGTCGTCGTGTTGCTGCTACTGGATCTCTCATACATGGCGACGGGGATGAGCAGCTCCCACGGCCATACCCCCCAGAGAGCATGTATACGCTGGCATGCCTCAGCCTGTCGCTTCTTGAGCGGTCGGTGGAGCGGATGATTGTGCGGCAGTGCCGTCTTTTGGGCTGCGACGCGAGCCATGGTGCTGTCGTCGTTATGGTGTGCAAGTAGTCAGGACGGTGACGGGCCTCTGAAAAGGCGTGGGGAAGCCACTGTCGAGGATGCAGATGTTGGGCCGTGCTGGCGGGCAGACTGTACTTGCCGCGAGTGAAGAGGTTGCCAAAGAATATAAATAGAGAGAGTGAGACTGCTCTCCCCAACGGCGATGTGGTCAGGTTTTGATGTGACAATGAGTAGCGCCAGAAGCCATAGCACAGCGGCGGGCGTTGTTGGCTAAGAGGAGGAATGGTTGCTCCTCAGCGACGGATCACCTGGGATGCCAAGGCGAAGCTCAGAGACAATCACCGATGATCGAAGACATGGACGAGCAGGAGCCGACGGGCGGTAGACGTGGACGGCCGGATGTGAAGAGGAAGGAGTAGGGTATATGCTTGCACGAAGGACGCGGATGGCGAAGGCGTTGGTGCAGACGACGGCGACAAAGGTGAATCCGTGGAGAGAGCGTGGGCGCCATGGGAAAGGCAGATGGCCATGGTCTTAGTCTTGAGCATATCTGCGGCGAGGCGTGGGAAGCTCCGAGGGAGTGACATCGTCTCGGTGCCGGCACAGAAAAGCCACAAATCTTTTCCAGGTGCGTGGCCAGCGAACGGGGGGGTGCGCCGGCAGGGCGGTAGGAGTGGGAGCCATCACAGGACGACAGGCAGGATGGTGGCGGCCACGGCTGCCGCCTCTGGCGTGTGGTTAATAGACTACCGATGGGACTATAGCGAGGCCCAGCCCATGGCTGGGACGCGCAGGCCAGCCAATGGGGCCCCCCATGCCAGACAGACAGAGGGCCGTGGAGCGGGCGAGACCTGCGCCCCCTGCGCGCCAGCCTGAAAGCAGAGACGGGCCCATCTGCCCTCGCTTGGCCCTGCCATGTGAGCCTGTGCTGTCTCTGCAGCTGAACCCGCGGAAGTAAGGCAGGGCTAGGCCACGCCGGTTGGGGTCCTAGAAAGCCCACTTCGCCCAGTCCGTTCAGCTGTACCGTCCTCCGGGCCCTATTCCGCATAGCTGCCCACCAAGACAAGCTTTGTCGCAGCGGACAAATGCGGCGGCCGAGCTGTACCACTTGTTCCTCTGTCTCTTTTGCTCTCCTCTCCCTCCAAGGCGTGCGTCCGTTACACCTCGAGCCCAGGCCTGGTCTTTCTGCTAGGCCGGGATGTCCAGATACTGGTAACAAGATGACGGCCTACATAGCAGCAGCTCTGCTCCTTGGTATCCCTACCATGACAACAAGGTGTACCCTTCCGACGGCCTGTGTCGAGTTGCAAGCTTCTATCTAGGGAGGAAAGTCAGATCGCCGGCCGCCATCTGCACGCGGCAGCCTGGCGCGAAGAATCTCCCGTTCAAGTTTAAGCTTCGCGACTGGCACGGGCTCCCGTCTGGACAGACGGGGGATCCGCGAATCCAGACAATCGGGCCCCTCCTTGGTCTCCTGCCGCTAGGGCCAGCTCCCGCGGATCGATCGACAATGCGCACATGGCAGGCCTGCGCCGGCTGCTCCTGGCCGCGTGGCTTCCAAGACGGCACAGTACTCCCACCGGCTTGGGCAGCTGTCGGAGCTGGCCTTACCCCCATGAAAGGGACACAGTAAAAGTATGGACGGCCTCTTCCATCACTTCGGGGCTGGATTCGTGCTGCTGCGCTGCTGTTGCAACCAGCTGCTCGCGAAGTCCTCTGGTGTCCTCCTGCATCTCAGGCGTCCACTGCGCTCTCGCACAAGGCCGGCAGGGGCATCTGCAGCCGCTTGCCTTTCACAGACTACGGGCCAGACCCACGTCTGTGCTCCGGCGTTGGCTTCCATTCTTTTGGGTGACTTCTCTGGGAAACCTTGTTGTGCTTGTCGTTTGTTCCAGTCTTTCTTCTGGTTGCAATTTGCGCGATCGGCGCGCAGTAACGACCAAGGTTGGGAACGAGCTGGAGATCGGTGATCTTATATCCTTGACGAGCGACGCCGATTAGTGGAAGAGACGACACCACATCACCAGTTTTACTCCCTCCAGACACAGGAGGCTTGTGATCTAGCTAGTGCTTCACGATAAATGACACGAATCATACGATGGAGGGTGGCGTTGCCGCACGCCGCACCATAGCAGAATGTCTAGACGAGGAATGAGGGAGGATGAGGAGCTACCAGTGTTGCAAGGAGCCTCGCTGTATTTCGCGGCCCAACTCACAGCATGTGATTGGTTCAGGTGCTGGCCCAGTGCCAGAGGCCAGCCATAACAATTGTGAGGGGGGTGATCGGAAGGAGATCAATCGAGCCCGGCTCCCCGAGCTGACCAAGCGGCAGTAGGAATAGCGCCGCCAGAGCAGTCTGGACCATTCTGCAGCCCCAGCAGTCAAATCGCAGACTCCGTCGGCTTGAGTGTTCCACAAGGGCCCAGAACCTGGGGAGGGTGAACCAACAACTCGGCCGAATGAGCGCACCGCTATGATGGCGCGCACACATCATGCTTTGATCGATGCTCCAAGACCATGGCGCCGTTCTGTACCGTCCTGAAGAAACGCATTCGGGCGGCCGCCGAGTCCAACTGCCGGTACTGCATTGGGGAGCCATCTGGTTGAATGCCACACACCCTCTGCACCAATCAGTCATTTCATTCCTTCCAGGCACTAGGCCTCGTGTCGTGGCATGGACAAGATAGGTGCGTGGCCCCGGAGGCGCAGAGATGAGGCGTCGCCATCTCATTATGCGCTTGCCAATTTCCAGCGGTGGCTGAGGAGCCAAACTCACTGGCGCCCGGCGGTGCTCCATCCATCAGTGATGACGAGGTCCACAGCCCATGTGGGAAAACGCCTGGTCGTGCTTGAGCCACACCAATAGCGTCTCTGTCTGGCGTCGTCCGCTAGCGGCCGCAGCAATGCCTTGCCGACTCCAGTCAGCTTTCAGCTGCCCCTGACGGCGCCATCAGGCGCCATGTCACTTCCGCGGAGATAAGTCTATCTTGTTGCATCACAAACGTGGTGCCGGAGACGTGAGGAGAGAAGGCATCAAGCCCCCCTGAAGACAGGATGAAACCCCGCTGCTGGTGTGGCGGTGGCGGCGGTCACGAGGGCGGTGAAGAGTCGCAACCGTGTCCGAACACCACTGATCTGCGACTGGGGGCCCAGGCACTGGACCCAGTGCCGAGAAGCATCACAGCCAAGCCATGCTTCCCCTGTCCTTCCAGGCGTGTTCCATGGCATAGCACTTGGACCAAAGAAGCAGGATTGCCTGTTGATCTCTCGCTGTCCCGTCTGAGACAGGCAGTCCGCGTCAGTGGCATGTCGTCGCTGATGGCTGCGCTGCTTCGGGCGAGACATGCGTTGGAATGCGCGTCATGTCCTGGCTAACTTGGACGCAGACCCTGGCCGCGCTGTCCTTGTCTTGGAGCTTTGTCCACGTCAGGCGTCCCATCCATTCGGGTGCGGTTCACACCTGTTGCCGCCCTGCCATGACTAACTCCAAGCACTGACTTAGCCACGCGTGACACCCGGCGTTCTAGGTCATACTATGGACGCCAGTTGAGAGGCTGGGGGACAACCATGCTGCACCCATTTAAGTACGAAATGACAGGCCTAGTTCAAGGCACTTGCACACAGGCACGCTCCTTACGGGGTTCGACATCCTGTCCAGTGCCAACTCGGCCTGCCTGCGCACGTAAGCCTCCCCGTTGCCGTACCTGATCCGCGGAGGCGGGGAAATTGCCCGCCTAAGACATGTGAGTCAAGTGAGACTCGCCCGGTACAAGTGGGCGCATGTCGCTAGTCGCAGAAATGTGGATATGATCTCGCGCTTTGCATGTCGAGATACGTCAACCTCGCCTCCACAATGAGTGGCCTGACACGAAAACAAAACCACGATTGCGTATGTTCCTCCCAAGAATGCAAAAGTTGGACCATGTATCAGGCCGCATATGAAATGCGTGAAAACTATCTCCTAATGGCAAGTTCCGGCCAAGGCTCGCTTCTCCTTCCCGCAAATGTTTTCCCCCACCCGGGTTTCTGGGGTCATTCCCTAACCAAGGCTGACCGGGCCAGATTCCTGCCTTTGTTTCAGAACCATCAGTCTGGACTGGCCTGTCCTGCTTTCAGTCTTGACTTTTGTCTGACTCATGCGTCGAGACAGGAACCAACTCAGTCGACGACAACTTCCCACGGGATGGGTACGATAGTACGATGCTAGTTGTTCTTCTCGTATGCTGTAGTACGGGCAGGCGATCTTCGCAGACTTGTTTCCTGGCAGCTTAGCTGGTTGCAATTGCAGTGTCCCAGTCCTGACTTCTTTGGTTATTGTATGGCTATGACTCAAGTCTGCTTCTTGCCAATGCAGGCTCAATTGCTTCAGAATTATATGCGGGAGCAGCCTGTATATCAGCATAGCTTATTTTCCCATGCACCAGCGACAGCCTTGTGTTTTCTGGGTTTCCTATGGCAATATACACGGAAAGCTCGGAGAGTTTATGAACCTAGGCGCAGCTGCAGGTTATCCTCGCTCGCGGTTACACGAGTAGTGCTCGAATGTGATTGGGCACTCTACGAGAATCTGCTCTCGGGAGGAGTAGGTTGAATATTCCACCCGCAGGCTCCAGACTCTGGCCCACTGCAATATTGCAGGTGCTCATGTGCAGCAGACCTTACTTTGTAATTCTTTCTATAGGTCGAGTCGAGAATGCAACAGCTTTCGGATGAACAAATGCTTTGTGCGAGCAGGCCAGCTCGGTTCTGTTCGTGCTTCAGAAATGCCAGGGTAGCAGCAGCAAATGCTCCAGCTTTTGACTGCCAGCTGCGTGGAGACCTCTGGAATAGTCAAACCTCAGCAGTTCAGACTACCCTTTCCGATGACTCCGATGTTCCTGGAATGTTGGCAGCCGATGGCTTCTTACCGCTATTAGTGCTAATCGGTATCATTGCAGTTGTTCTTCGTCCCAATGCAGAGTTGCGTTTATACGCTATAGGACGACCAGAGCATCGGTCCATAAAGTCACGTGAAGGTGATGCCGTAGCACTGACCTCAATCCCACGTCAGAGGCTCTTTCGGTCCTTTCACGACTTCTTCGAGAAGTGTCTCGGCTGGATGCATGGGACAGCAAACGCATCCTCTTGCTTGCGTACTCTATGAGACAGGTGAAGGCTGGCCTGTGCGTACCTTTTCACGTGCCCAGACGACGGGGCGAGTGTGTACCGCCTAGAACGCCCAGAAAATAAACCCCAAGACATTGCGTAGGACCGACAGTAATGTCTCACACAGCGCTGCAACTCCGCATTTCCAAGCAAAACTCTTACCTGAGACTTGCCATGTTGGGCAAGGAAACATTTCCAGGGTATATTTACCCCCTCCCGCTCTGTTGCATAAATACGGACGTAGAGACGGGAGCTGAGAGTAAGGGGTCTCACCTCCACCCAACAGAATGCTCAAATCGGCAAATGCTCTACGTATGAGGCTCTTGGTGAAGTGAAACCCCGGGAAGCCCCTAGTCATAAGTCCTAGGTCAAAACATGACTTTATGCACATCACTCGCAACAGGTCGGCTTGATCTATATACATGCTACTATGGTAATAGCGCAAGACTGCTATGCTTTAGGTGTAGTGTATCGGCTAAGGGTCTCTAGGCTCTCAATAGGCTCGTGGACTCTAATCAATCACTGGCATGAGTCGTGATGCTCCAACGCCTGGTGCCTGAGCACGCTTTTCATTGGCAAAAAAGCGTGGCGCAGCCATGTTGATCGGTCTTGATGCTGGAGACACAGGCTGCACGAGCGCCACACTTGAGGCCTGTTTTACAATCCGGGAACAGGACAGGGTCCTGTTGTGTGGCACAGCGAGACACTACCGTACAGGCTTGCCCTCGTAACGGCTGCCATTACAAAGGTTCCCACCCTTGATAAGCTTAAAAGTCGCAAAACTTCGGCGCACGATCGGTGTCGCACACTGTTCCAGGTTCCCTGAGCAGCCGTCAACTTGCAGCCCACAGGCACATACAGGCCATAGCAGCGTGGCATGGTGTTGGGCGGTCAGCCGTGAAGGGTGTGAGCCCGGTCGGTCATCTACCGAAGTTACTTTTAGACACTGTCACGAGGAAGACAAGAAGCCTTGTCTAGGGTCGAGCATAGTGACACATTTGTGCACAGTGATGGTGAAAGACAATCGATGCCCATGCCGGTTGCTGAGGCATCATCACAGCGGGAACTGACATATCCATTCATGCTTCGCGTGAGTCTTCTTAACCTCGAAAAGCTCAGAATCAAGAAAGGCACAGTTGCGAAGGGATTTCCCGGGTCTCATTTGTGACGTTAGCCAGCCACATGCGGGTGATAATTTGACTGAGACAATCGTACACATGCAGGCTGAAGCATCTCAAAGGACGTACATTCAGCATCGCATGACCTTCTAAGCGTGCTGCCTCTGAAGCTGCGAGTTGACATGGTGGCCCGTGGCTCATCCTGGCAGTCGAGCATTACCTCCTCGACAGCCGGAATTGGCCCAAGCACGTGCAATTTGACACACAAGACGACTCCTTAAAAAAGCCACGCATCCGTGCTGGATTTGCGCAAGTTCTGCCGTGGCCCAGCCTGGACACGAGCACGCCTTTGGTAGTCCCCACCAGTGAGAAGATAGGTCGAGCCTTGGATTATCAAGCCTTGCCCGCCTGGGCAAGTCCGGCACATGTCTTGGATACTCTGCCAAGGAGATACTCTGCCCTGCCCCCACCTCCCGCCAGTCATTGAGCAAAGACACCCCGCTCATGAGGTTAATATCTTCCGAGAGTGATTAGAGGATTGCATTCGAGACAAGCAGCACCTAGTCTCTCACTTCAGGACATGCTGGTCCACGCCAAGTAATACAGGAGGGTCCGATCGACAGGGTCCTTTGGCAAATCTGCTCGCATGCTCAACGTTGCCCTGGGACCCCTCACGATCCGTGGGAATAAAGTGGCTGCCCCGGGCCGAGTCCATCTTGCCGCAGATTTACCTGATCAAATCAATGTATATGTGTGTCAGCCTGGGATCCTGGGGCTCATTTCGAACGCTCTGCCGTGAAGCACGCCGCGGCCACGTCAGATGAGACAAGCTTACGTTGCCAAAGTTGAGGCGTACAGAGAGACAGGCGGTCTGTCCCGACCCCTGGCGACTCATGCTCTCAAAGTTAAAGATTGGCTCTCGTCCTAATTTGTGAGTGCCCCTCGTGCGGGATCTTCCACCTTGTCTCCTCTGTTTGAATGTACTGGCACAATCCGGCTGCACGTGGTAGGATGTCCACTGGGTGGAAGAGAAGGCCGTGATTTTCCCGCACTCAGGCCAATCTTGACATGTATGAGTCCCATCGGCTACGGCATACAACACAGGATGTTTTACTGCGTGACTTCATGCAAGAACAGTCACTTCAGACACACATGCAACATTAACCGTAGTCTCGCTTCGGCTTTGACAGTGAGGAGCAAGCATCTTCAATATGCAATACAAAAGATCTTGCCCCTCTCCTGCGTAAAATGGCCATGTCTGTGAAACCGCCAAGTTACCAAATCCCATGGCGCGCGGGCCTGTTTTCCAGCTTTGCCTATCGGGAATTTGCTCAAAATTACATCAAATTTTACCGTGGTCTTGACCTGCCCGAGGCGGCCTCATCAAACAGGCGCAGAGGGACACCAGTGTTCGTCCCTCTTCTCCGGTCAAGTCCATGGTTTCTTGACTCGTCGTGTTCTAGACCTCACATGATTTCTTGGGCATGCTCGTTCTCCCTTCCTAGCAAGTAGCGCCTATATACGCTGCAGCGGGCCATTTTAGTCGCCGTAGCATCGACCAGCAGCATGTTCTTCGTAATCACCAAGAAGGCACATTCTTTGTCGTCGAACTTCTTTTTGGTTTTTTTTTATCCCACCACCCCAACATGCTTCACGAGAGCCGAAGATGACACGCAAGTAAAGATTTTGTGCAACAAGGTCTATTCTCTGGTGGAACTCTCTAAATCTGAATGAAGTCAATGTGTTTGGAAGCCAGCATGGCGGTATGCTCATCCATGAACAGCCCAGCCATCCGACTCCAACTGAAAGTAAGAAGGAAGAAGGGCCCGATCACCGTAGTCCCCTTGACACCAAGCCATCTCTCATCCCCATTTTGTGTGTAAAGTGTGAGGTAAGTATATACTTCTCGAATCGAAAAGGTAGAAAACGAATGTGTAGAATAGCTAAAGTTCCTCCGCCTGCTCTACTGGTCGTGGTGCAAAACGATGCATCCCCTTTCTCCAGGCGTATCCAGACTGGGCAGCCAAGTGATTGCCCCCACAGAGGCTCGATCGAATATGGTCTTATAGCGAGACCATTTAGCTGCGGCCACCGGCCCAGACCTCGAGAAGCTTGGGCGCGGCACCGGCGACGACACCCGCGGGGTTCTGTCCGTTGACCTCGACGTCGTCGTAGCTGAAGGCGTAGCCCTTGCCGTCGACCTCGTACTTGTGGACGAGGCGCGAGAAGTGCGAGGTCGGGTCGACCGTGTAGTACTTGGAGCTGCCGAGCGAGGGGGTGGTGTTGCCACCAGAGAGGAGCAGCTCAGAGCGGTTGAAGGCGGCGCAAAGGCGGGCGAGGATGTTGCGGTGCAGGTCGTCACCAGTGTTGGCAAAGGGGCCCGAGTTGCAGCCGAAAATGTCGCGGCTTGTGGGCTTGGGGAAACCCATCGAGTCGCCCTGGCACTTGAGAACGTTGCCGGAGACGCGGCATGGCACCTTGCCCCTGGAGCCCTGCGTGTTGATGAAGAGGTCCTCGCGGCTGTACTTGTCCCAGACCTGGTTGACGTAGCTGTCGTAGTAGTTGTCCATGTCGCGGTGGAGGTCGGCGTAGATGTTGGGCGCAAGGACGCGCAGAGCGGTGCCGTCGGAGCGGTACATGCAGTGGCTGGCCCACGGCTTGCCGTCGCGGGCGGACTGCTCCTTGAGGCCCTGGCAGATCTTCTGGATCGCGTCGCTCTGCAGGCCAATGACTTCTTGGGTGGCGCCGGAGCCGAGGGTGAGCTTCATGCTGAAGACGAGGCCGACAAAGTCCACGAAGGAGATGTTGGCAAAGACGCCGGCGTCGTTGAGAGTGAACTCGACGAAACCCCCTTGTTGTGGAGAGCGCCGCGGTTAGCACAAGCAGCAGGAGTCTTATACCCGGGTGGGGGCGGCCGGCACTTACAGAACTTGTTGGCGTTGACATCCTGAGGATCGACAAAGGCGGGCTGGACAAGACTCATGTAGCCAAGGTCGGACATGACGGCAGAAAAGGTGAGCTCGCCCTCGGACACGTAGATGCGGCCAGAGCTGAGAGTGTCGGGGATTTGGATGTCGACGTAACCGCCCTTGGAAGACAGCTTGTGGCCGATGGGGGCAGAGATCTTGGTAGGAACAGGCCCGCTGACGCGCGCCGGGTAGAAGTACTGGCCGTTGCTCTGGAGCACCGTGGGCACGTCGTTGCGGTCGCGCCCAATGAGGTATGCGTACAGCTGCTGGTTGCTGTTGAAGTTGTGGTGGATGCGGACCGTCATCGTGTTACCCAGGGTGGTGATGGGGTTCTCGACCAAGGTTCCGTTGAGCGTGTTCAGCTCGGTGACCATCATCTCGGCGACGGTGCCGGGATCGACAACGGTGCCGGCCGTAGCAGCCGAGAAGGTCGGCTTAGCCATGACACCGCTGAACATGGCAGTGGCCGCAGCCACCGCGAATCCGATAGCGCCCTTCATGTTTGACAGTTGATGAGTCGTTGAGAGGCAGTGAAGGAAGGTGGTTACAAGTATATACTGAAGAGAAGGAGGGACGAGCGAAGCTCAGGATCAAGGAAGGAAAGAGAGCGCTGAGCCTGTGTGATCTGATGAGAAAGGAATGAGTTGATAGTTTGGGAGATGTACGGCACTTATATATCGAGACGTGGGATGGTGAAGTGAGGTTGATCAAACCAGATGAGGGCCCCTCAACCGCGGCCTAAGCTGGGCCAGACACATGGTAGCTGTTCTCGAGTCTCTCCAACAGTGGCTGGCCTCGCCTCGATCACAGTTCGCGGGACCTGCCGTGCCAGTTCGTCGCAGGGAGACATGGGAACGTTGCCATTGGCCGTGGGCGGTAGTCAACAGTCTTGCCTGTGAGAACGGGCCCCGCTGAATTCTTCGGAGAATGGTAGCTCGGCTAGCGAGGCATGAGGTCAACCAGGGCGGACAGCGGTAATTTCACGATACAGCATGCTCGTCTCGCGGTTGCAGGCGCCCTATTGTTGCGAGGTTGCAATGTGCAATGTGCTCGGCATATTAGGCTCGCTGGGGCGGTCCGAAACGCATCACGCTGACCCTGGACCCTTGCCATTTCCGGAGGACAAAGGTACAAGGGTATGGCACCTCTGCTTGGCAACATCCGAGAGTGGAAGCTGAATCTAAGTATGGTGGCGCGCGCCATCCTGGCAAACCTGTGGATGACCCGGCTAGCAGGGCTATTATTGTGTGGCGGGACTCGACGGCAGGCCACCACACCAAGCTGCGGTGTTCGAAGCCGGCATCGACGCCTCTTCTTGTCTTCAAGAACCACATGGGACCCTGGCTTGTGGATATACATGGCTTGGGATTGTGCACGGCGCGCCTTCGCTTAGGGGCTGTAAGCATGGACCCCTGTCCTTGAAAGCCGCAACGTTACTGGCACCACAATTCGTGAGCTTGGGGTACACTCCAGTGCCGACAAGTCTGCAATTGTTGGCGCCTGGGCGACGACCGCTGGTCAATACAGCTGCCTGTGACTCGTTACGGTTAGGCACGGGCTTGCACACATGTTTGGTGTTCAAGTATGTGAGCTTGGCGGCGTCGTCTGAGTTCAAGTGCGACGCCCATACTCCCAGGCACCATCGTTGGCTAGGAGCCATGGTGTGTTGTTGCTTCGCAGAGCTCTCCCAAAGCAGCCGGATGCATGGGCTCCGAACAATCGAGAATGGCAGGCGATAGAGACACGAAACTAGTGCTAGCCCGTGAGGCCCGGGCGTCTGGCTACAACGTTGATGGTGGGCTCGTGGACCGGAGAATGTGGGGTATGCCGCCAGACTGCCAGGAACAGAGGCAGCAACGTGCTTGGCGGACACTGGAACGGTCACGGTGCAGCAAGAGGCGCAGATGATCGACGCGAGGCGCAACCCAGGCCGGCGGCGTGGAGCCCCGGGAACGTCGCTTGGACTACGGTATCGTGAGGGCGGCTGAACGCCCCTCGATCTTGGGGCCATGGCTGTTGCGTGGGAGGATGCGCAACCCTGCCTCACGTGGCCCAACCGCGGGGCCATTTCCCGTGGCTGGCTTGGCTGCCGGCATGCTCAATGCAGTGTGACGATGTCCTCGATATTTTCGTCATGTTTGCACCTCCGTCGCAGAAAGGTTGGAATGTTGCCTACTGGCAATAGACTGTTTGGCGAAAGGCCATGCTGAATGTGCCTCGAGTTGCTCAGGACTGTGCCAGCACGAAAAACGTTCGTATCGGAAACGCGTTTGCGTCCTATTGCCGCGACGCTGCTACAGTAGTGACAAACACTACCGGGTAAGGAAGGAGTTTTGGCATAACAAGCGCTTCTGTTCTGCGTTCAAACTTCATAGGAGTCAATAAGGTGCGTGCCCTTCAACAAACCACAATCCGACCAGATGTCCACATCTGGATCCACAGCTCGGTTAGCTCAGTTGGTTAGAGCGTCGTACTAATATCTTATCTTTGGATGAAATGTATAGTAATGCGAAGGTCATGAGTTCAACCCTCATACTGAGCATCTTTCTTTTTGCCGTTTATAGCTATAAACGTAGCCCTGGGATCGATATTGGTGATCAGTTTGTGGTTGTTGATTCACGATCGTCGTTTTCGCTTCTTTCTCCTTTTTTCCGTCGTGCCTTCCCACTACGGCCGCTTCCCGTAACGACGGTCGCTCCTGCCAATCCTGCAGACTGAGAACAAACGAATGATTTTGCCCCCCTATTCTTTTTTTTTTTGGGGTTGGGGGGGGGGGGGGGGGGGGGGGCAGATCTACTCGTGCTCTCAAGCCCAACATCTCAACTTCGTATGATACTGCGCGCTCCTCCTCTGTCTTCATACACGTACAACAGCATTTCTCCCGCGAGTGTCACATGAGCTGTGACTGCCAGCGACGCAAATGTACCAATATCAAACTCGATCTGGTAGTGGGTCGCCATTGAAACGCGGTCGTCTCCATGTCATGGCGGAGCAACAGCCTGCTAGCTGCATATCTGTGCAGCAACCCACCACGACATACGACGATCCTGACCATCTTGCCAAAGCAAGCTTGCCCCAGCGGTCATTTACCTGGCGGACACATCAGCTGGAGGATGGCCCAGGCACATGTAATCTAGTCGCTTTGGCAATGTGGCGCGCTGGTAGTGTCTCAATCAAAAGATCAAGAACATGGCAAGACAACAAAGCAACGTAGCCCGGCCTCTCCAGGCTTGATGATGGCTGTGGAATGTCGCTCATTTAGCCAATGAGGCCCCTTGCGATGTAGGGTCGTGGCTGTTTCGGCGGAGATCAGCACATGAGCATACGTGCATGGGTAAACCAGGATCACGGGCCCGTTCACAGATCCACGGCCCACGGAGCAGGGAGGATCGTCACATCACGATCGGAGTGGTTGCAGGGATGCATTGTTGCATCATCGTGCCCTGCCCTACCCTATGTACAGTATCTGCGTACAACTGCAGTGGGTAGTGGACATGATGCCCTCGCCGCTGCAGATGGGCGGTCTGAGCAGCAAAGGGGAACGCAGTCCCCCGACGCATTGTGCTGTCGTGGTTGCTCAGCTCGTGCGGGTGGTGCCTCGAGGAGGCTGAAAAGAATGTGCAAATGACGTGGGTAGCGCCTGGGCGGCCTCGCCCCCCTTGCCCAGGCCGGGTAGATCGCTCCGGCGAGCTGGGGGCGCTTCGATAAGGCGCGGAAGCAGGCTTTTTTCTCTGGAGACGGCACGTCAGATCAATCTGGACAATCTCGTGCGAGGGGCCGAGGGCATGTGTTGGCAAGGGATGTCTTGGGTTGGTGTGGTGAGCAAATATGCCACAGCACTGCTTTCTATTGTCTGTTTGTTGTGCGCAGCCAGCAAATAGGCTGTAGGGAGGGGGATGACGTCACCCCTCATGTCCCTCGCCCGCCGGTGCTGTCAACTGGTACCACCCCAAGGTATGTACATACATGGAAGCACGACCTCAGTCGCCCAGTGCAGAGTCTGCATTGTTTGACAGACCACCCGCAGGAGTTGGACTAGCGGGTGCCGAGCAAAGCTTCATTCGCGGTGCTGTAGCGGGTGACAGCGGGAACGGCGGAGGGGAGGGAGGGCGGTGCCTGGCGCGGACTGGCTGCCTGCCGCCTGGCATGCCCGCCACCACGTCATAACCTTAGCAAGAAGTTAGCACCTGCCACGCGGGTTGTCGACTGGACCCGGACCCCTGGCAGCCCCTGGCGCGGCGCTCATTGGTCCCCACGGCCGCTCTTTCCTTCTTTGTCGCGACGCAGAATCTGGGAAGTCGCCCGGCCGGACCGGCATCCACGAGCATGGGATGATGTGATGGTTCGCACCCTCCCTTATTGCCTCTGGTCGCTCTGTTGCTCTCCTCCGCCTTCTTTCCTCCTCCTCCCTCTCCCCATCATGACGCGATACCGTCGTCGTCCTCCACCACGTCCCCCCCCGAACGGCGCTGATTCTGCAGCCCGTCGCCATCATGACCACCCGGGCCAGTACCCTTCGCCAGGCCGAGGGCAACGGCGCCCGCGCCCGCGTCCCTCGTCCGCTCGTGCCGCAGCAGTCCGCCATCGGCCTGCGCCGGCTCAACACGAGCACCCGCGACCAGCACGCCCGGCACACGCAGCCGCCCGTCCGCTCCATGCTCAATGTCGGCAACCCCAGCAGCGACGACAGCGATGCCCGTCCTCGCACACAACCGCCCGTCCGCTCCATGCTCGACATCGACTCTGGTCATCCCCAGCAACGCCAACAACATCCACAGCCCAGCATCCCCAGCCCGGCGCCGCCGCCTCCCGCGCAGCCTCGACGGCAGCACACCCTCATTCGCGTCCCTTTCCGACACCGCAACCGTGTCGACGAGTCCACCACTCTTGACAACCCAGACACGACCGCCCAGGCCCAGAATGGGCATCCCACTTCCAGCATGCTCGATGTCGACAACGCGCCATCGGCCGGGAACCACAACCGCCTCGCCCGCTTCGGCCGCCGCCGCCTCAACCGCCAGCAGGGTGACGACGATGCCCTGCCCCGGCGCCCGCAGTATGAGGACTATGACCAGCGCATCGTCAGCATGCTCGACGTCGTCGACCCCGAGGTCGCGACCCTCTCGTCCATCACAAACGTCCAGAACTCGCTCTTTGTGCCCTCCCTTGGCCGCTGGGTCAACCGCCGCCCGACCTACGACCTCACTCCCATGGACAGCCACTACGACTCCCGCCCAGCAAGGCGTGCCGCGTCGCCGTCTGGCACCGTCCGCTCTTCAGACGCGGCCAGCATCTTCTCCTCGGCACCAACCGCCACCCAAGACTTTGCGGGTCGTCGAGAAAGCGTCGCCACCATTCCCGAGGACAAGCCGCTGCCTGTGCCTCCAAGTCTGGAGCGCATCCCAAGCAACATCACCGAGCGTTTCTTTGCGGTCCGCCCCCATGAGACGTCGCTTGCCGACTGGAGCGACGAGGATCTTGCTCTCCTCGACGACCATGTCCGCCACATGCTGCACTCCCGGCGGTCCGCGTTCGGACGTCGCATGAGGGCCTTCCGCCAATACATCAAGCGGCCACTCGGCTTCTTCGTGACCTTGTACGCCACTCTGATCACACTCTTTGGTCTCGCCTGGGTGCTTTTCCTTATCGGCTGGATCTACGTCGGCGATCCGGCACGGCAGCTCTACGTCATTGACGTGATCGATCAGGTGCTGGTGGCTCTTTTTGCCATTGTCGGTGACGGCATGATCCCGTGGCGCGCCGTCGACACGTACCACATGATCTTCATCGCGCACTACCACCACCTGACTTGGGACACACGCAAGAAGCTCAAGGCGCCAAAGCTCAAGAACAAGAACGATCTCCCTCATGAGACCGTCCACCAGGAGCCAGACATCCAGGAGGACATCCCCCGCATCCCTACCCCTGACCTCGAGGCTGCCCGTGAGCTGCACGCCAAGGAGGAGCTATCAGTTCTCACTCCCGAGCAGCAAGCCAAGCTCGAGCACCACCAGGCCAAATTTGCCAAGTCGCACACCTTTTACAAGCCACACGAAACCGAGACACATTACGCCTTCCCGCTGCGTCTGCTCGTCGCCATTGTTGTGCTGCTCGACTTCCACTCGTGTTTCCAGCTCGCGCTGGGCTTCAGCACGTGGCTGATCCCGTATCAGGTGCGCCCTGGAGCCCTGACCGCCACGCTGCTCTGCTGCTCCATTACCATCAACATTACCGCCGGTATCCTCATCTCGATTGGTGACCGCAAGACACGCAAGAAGGATGTCGTCGAGCGCATGTTTCGGCAGGAGCTCACCAAGGAGGCGATGCGCCGGGTCCAGGAGAATAAAGACAAGGAAAAGACCGAGAAGGACGAGATGGAGCGCAAGAAGAAGAAGGAGTCGTTCTTGAAGCGGATCGACGAGATCGAGAAGCTGAGGTCGAGCCTCGACGAGCCCAGATCCAGCGAGTCTGGATCTGCGCGCAAGTCCCTTGATACCGTGGGCAAGTTCAGCTCCAATGTGAGCCCTCGAGACAGGAGAAGTCCCGAGACATTGCCCGAGTCGCCTGCGGAGCCCGAGCCGTTCCCACGGGCGTGAATGGAGATCAAACACTTGGATTTTAGGACAGATGAAAAAAGCAAGCAACGAGACGCTGTCAGATACCCCAACTTGAAGTTATTGCATTACCCCGGATAATGAGGAACGACCACACCTATCGGTACATCAGTAGAAAGTATACATTAATAAATCAGGTTCAACATGATAGATTCGGGAGACTCGGTTCATCCTCCTAGGCTCTTGACATGTAAGCATGGCGCTTTCTGTACATGGCCTGGTCCTTAATATCATCTAGGGCTGTCCACCCATCCTCGATGTTGGCAACGCTCCATAACCCGGAAACTCTCGAGAGATTAACTTTGCACATAGGCACCCACACACAGGGTGGTGACTGCCATTACCTTCTGCCTGGCCAGAACGGGAGTTCTGAGAGCGTTGCAATTTGCAGGCTTCCTGGCTGCTGGTGTTCATGGTGGAGCCCTCTCTTTCTCGAGAGGCGAATCACTGCGCAAGCGGGAGGCGCCGAGCTTATCCACGACGCATGAGCTCCACGATTCAAGCATCGACTGTTTTCTTCAAGTAGGATGGCTACATGTCCCGTTCCATCGGCGGCGGCATATGCACTGCCCTGAAACTTCCGCCTTTTCTTCTCGATTCGGGCACACCCATTCTCTAACGAGGCCAGCTATGCTCACTCCTAAAGGGTGTGATCACGGCGGCTGAATCGCCCTGCGACACCGCCCTGCATCAGCGACCAGAGCTCGCAAAGTAAGCAGAGCCTTCTATTGCCATTGGAGGCGCTAGTTGCTTTCCTGTGGCAGCCAAGTGAGCTGGAGGAAGTCCGATACTCCCTTCCTACATTATCTGGAGGCGCCATTCTCGTCATCATGTGTGAACAGCTTCGAATGCGCGAAAGTGACACGAAAACACATTTTACCATAGAGTAAGTCGCTAGTCTAGTATTAGTATCGCGCAAAGAATCGAATTATACTTGCCCAGCTCCGTAGGCTTTCTCCACGTCCATCATGTATTTTTCATCGTCGGGCCTACCAGGTCAGAGGCGAGGCCAGCGAAGCGAATACTGCACATTTCACGGACGATGGCTAAGGCCGCAGTATGGAACTTCATGGGCGGCCTGGTGGCGCAGGGGAGGGGGGTTCGTTGCCCCTCGAGGATGGCTACGTCGCAGCTCCGAAAGACCACTTCCGGACTGCTATCCTTGAGTGCGTTTCGCTGTGCGGTTCGCCGCAGCAGGTAACGATGAGTGGTTCGGCATGGCTCGTCATCTGTCGCGGTCTTCGTGTGGCATGGCATATTGCATATCAAGTATGTGACATAACGATTGCCTGTGCTTCGAGTGAAGGCTGTGCTCTTCTTTGCCGTCTCCTTGGGGGAAGAGGCGAAGAGCAAACGCGGACGGGTGTCTGAGTGATTTTGGCGTCGTGCTGGGAAAGGGACAAAGGCAGGCACTTGGGAGCGAGTCGGCACCACCCTGAAGCATTCATGTCTCATGCGGTCTTGAGAAACTTGGGATGCAGCGTTCGCGAGCCAGCCATCTTGGCTCTGAGACGACCACGGAACTCACCCCGGCGTGGCAGCCTCGAGGCCACACCCCGAAAACAACGTGGACGGAAAAGTTCCGGGTTCTGGATTGGTCGGCTCATGGTGTTGAACCCGACACGCGACTCTCTGACCATGAAGTCGGGCTGGAGACCGAGGGATCCAGCCGACCAGGAGATATCGCGCTCATGTTGTAAACGCGGAAAGCGTGGGAGAGGGCGATTAATGGGCCGGGCTGGGGGCGCGCCAGGGGGGCCTGGGGCCACATCGACGGGCGCGGTTTGGGGTGCCTGAAACCACCGTGGGGGAGGTCTCGCACGCAGAGAAGTCGCAATCGGGATGCGACCTGCGCTGTCTCGAGGATGGACTGAAACAGGTGAAACAGTGCTGGCGGCGCATCAATGCGTCGCAAGTGGAGGCTGGCTGGCGGCTACTGCCGCCATTTTTCTGGGCAAACCGGTGGTCGCGCGAACGGGCCACATTGCGGGGATGCCAAATCGTGACGGCGGTGATCCTTCCAGATTGTTTGCCGCCAAGTCTGATCCAAAAGCTTAATCTGCACAGCCAAGATATGGGGGCGGCCAAGAACTCCGAAAAGCTTGTCTGTCTGTGGCAGTGCCCATGAAGGCAACAGAAACGTGCCGACTTAGCCATGATAGAACTTGAAAAGCCTCAGGGAAAGCGACGACTACGTGGCATCCACCCACCCAGCTAGACAAGGGGGCCGGCCACCTGTAGCCGAGCCACGACGGGGACATTGACGATGCTCCTGTTCCTCCTCTGTCGCCTTGTGATCCCGCCGGCCTAAGCTCTACGTTGCGTAATGTTTGGGCAGTGTTCAACCGTTTCGAGTACGTCTAATGCCTCATGACACTTCGCTAAGTGGCAGGGGCCAAGTTGCATACGTAGGTAGAGGTTGGAAGGGGCTGACACTTCACTGCGTTTCAACACTTACTCGTGTTACAAGTAGGGTCCGCCGAAGCCCAGGCCGACTTCGCCCTTGGAAGGCTTGCTGATTGGCCTTAATCCTTGTAGACTCGGGCGATTCACGCTACTCCCGTTCGCGCTTTGCGGAAACCCTTTACGAAACATATCGCCTGTACCGGTACTGTCCGTTTCGAGGTGGAGGGTCTAACATCGTGTCGGGCTTCGTGCAGGGAAGCAACCTGCCCAAACAGCATGGCTCTGAGACTCGGGGGGACCAAGGTCGCGCGATGCGGCCTTTACTGGCGTTTGCTCAGACAGACAACCGCCATGAGCTCGAGAGGATATAAAGCCCTCGTGCTCCTCCGACTCATCCCATTAGCATCATACTCATCCCCATCATCACCAGCTTCTTCACCAGCCGATTGACTCGGTCTGCCTAGTTTCTCTTCTTTAATCTCCTGTCTTACCATCCTATCTTCACGTTAAACCTTTCTTTTCAAGACTACTTGGTTGATCCAATTTAATCTTCAAGATGTACACAAAGTCTATTCTCGTTCTTGCTCTTTCTGCTGCGGGCTTGATCAGCGCCCACGGCAATGTTCAGGTCGTCACGTAAGTCCTCATCGAGTTTCCCATCTCCATCCCTGGTCCCTAACTTCCATCCCGAATAGTGGCGACCAAGGTGGCAATGGCACAGCCCTTGGAATCAAGGGTGGTGTCATCCCGAGGTTCGGAAAGAACGCCGCGACTGAAGCGGACACGACAGTATTTGGCGGCAAGGCGAACCAGCCTATGACCGACGGTCTTGGCAAGACCACGGCCAACGGCAAGCTGCAGGTCGCCGACCTGGCAGCTGCGATGGCCCTCTCAGGCAACACTCTGCCCCAGGTCTCTGCTGATGGCGCTGGCACCATCACCGGCACTTGGCGCACTGTCACCAGTGACGGCACCGCGAATGACAAGCAGGGAAACCTGTTTGCTGTCCTCGACACCACCGGCACTGGCAAGTACTCTGCGGGTACACAGCTCGTTGCCACTTCGAGCATGGTTGGAAACGGAAAGGGAAATGTGGTCCAGAGGGCCGTGGACTTCGTTCTCCGGTCCGTCGGCATCCAGAGGCGCGCCACCAACGTTGGCGCCGACGCTGTAAGTCAAGACTCGACTGCACCAAGAACAATGAGCTCCGGCTAATCATGCTCCTTAGGCCTTCACTGTCAAGATCCCAGCGGGGACCACCTGCACAGGAAAGGATGCTGCCAGCGGACAGAGCAACTTCTGCCTCTTGAAGGTCGTGAACAACAACAATGCCGGTCCTTTCGGCGGTAACATCGCATTCCAAATGGCCGGTGCAGCCGGCGCTGCTCCTGCAGGCGACGCCGCAACCCCGGCCGCCGCCAAGACCAAGGGCAAGGGCAAGAACGCCAAGCGCTTCCAGGCATAAATATAACTTATCTGATTGAGAAGGCTCAGTGAGGGTTATCGACCCTACAAGATGGGGATGATGCGGCTTTGGTATGGATGGGGAGCGGTGTGAAGTCCCTCGATGGAGGGACTTCAATCTGTTTCAAGGAATGGGATTGAACTCTTATAGCATAATCCACAAGCATATAAACCGGCTTCGCGCATTATCAGCACAACTAACTTGGCTATCTTCTCGAATTGAAAAGAAAATGACCGGTATTTCATTCGACCAGCAAGTACTTCCCTACATGAACTACTACTGAACAGTGACTGGCCACATTCACAGAATTACCGCCGCGCTTTGGTGACAGGCCCTTGTAGAGCAGACTCCAGGATTCGTGTCTTCGTTTCTGCCTCCCAGCTCAGCCCATTTCCCAATTAATGAAAATACAACCGTGACATGGCGCTGATCTTCAATCGATGGGGTAAGCTCCCTAGTATATGTCTAGTGTCTGGACATGACGAGCCTTGTTCTCCAGTATATACCCACCGTGTAGATAGCACTCGCTCACAAGCCGGAACCTCTGCACGCTGGACTCCTTCACGCTTGTGTAACGTTTCCCACTGCCACATATGCTGTTGCTTCCACTCGTGCCGCTGTCATTGCTGTTCGCGCGGCTCCCAGGACCAAAATCATTCTCGGGGCCGCCCATCACCCGACCAGGCGAGACCTCATGACATGGCTCCCTTTTGAGGACGAGCGGGTTCCTGCGTCCTTTTCCGCCGTCACTTCCGCCCGAGCAGCGGAGGTAAGCAATATAGAACTCCCCGCCTTTCGCAAGCCCAGGGGCCGCAAGCCCGACGAAACCGTTCTTGGTCGTAAAGAGGCACTTGCCGCGGCCGTGGACGTTGTAGCTGCGCCGCCACAGCCTCTCGAGCTCGCGGAACGTCTGGGATGACGAGTACGACATGCGCTCGATGTATGCCCTGCCGGGCGAGACTTGCGGCAAGTCGATGTGGGCGGTGAGGGTTTGCAGGAGGCGATGCGCTTCCTCCTCATGGAGGGCCTGCTCTGTCCTGAGGGCGGTACTGGAGTCTGAGTTCGTGGTCGTGAAGATGCTATCAAACGGCCGTCCGACAGAGCGGCGGAAGGAAAGCCCGTATTCCGGTCCCGCGGGCGTGTTTTCGGCCCCGTCAAGGGTCCTCGAGGTGATGAGCGTCCGCCAGAGGACCTCGTTGAGGGGCTCTCGCGTCGGGTAGGGGGACGCCGCGCCTTGGTTGAGCATGTCGACGGCGTCCAGCATCCAGTCTGTCCATGGTGCTCGATTGTGCTGGTCGGCGGTGGTAATGTCAAAGTTTTCGCCAATGTTGGGGCACGCTGTGGTCATGAGGAATTGGACCTTATCGACCACGTAGCCTTCTGCTCTCAGTGTGGTTAGGTCGGGTCGTATGGTGATGACTTGGCGTGCAGTGCCGGATCCAGCTGGTGTGTTGTTTACAGGTCTCAAGTTGTGGTGGAACAGTCGTGAGTGTGTTTGTTTGAGGTTTGCCGGAAGGTTGCTCCAACTGGGCACCCAGGATGGTACAGATGAATTTGCCGTCCCCCATCCGATTCCTGCCAGTGACAGTATTTCTTCCGGTCTTGAGCTTGACTTAAGCAGATGTGCTGCAAGCTTGATTGCGAGCTCTTCTTGGGAAAGGCCGTAGTCGCGTGGTAACGCCGTCCTGTCGCTTTCTGACGCCAGGCTCAGCAGGCTATATACGCGGTCACGTACATCGAGCACCTCGAAAGACCTCGTGCGCAGCAATATCTGCGTGAGATCGATGCCATGCCCGTCGACTTTGGCATCGCGCATACGGGCCAGCGCGATGATGTGACGGAAGCCGGCTGGCCGCAAAAGTTGATTTCTCCTGTCTATATGGCAGAAATTCCTCTCCAGGCCATACTTGACGATGGCTTCGCAGACCTCAGCAAGCACAGTCCAAGATATCATGTGCGAGCCAAAGGCAAGCTGCACGTTCTTGGCACAATAGACCTCCAGCACCAGCCAGATTCTACTGAACCAAGGCCGGGCGAGCAGCCTGCTGACCGGTCCCCACGACCAGTCCTGGCTATTTCGCTGGTTTCCGATGTGGTATCGCAGCCTAGCTTCCACGACGCTGGCGCTCTCGTTGACTTTGGCACTTTCGTCCTCCGTCAGGCCTTTGATGTTGTTGATGCGACAGCCGTTGGCATCAAGCTCGTACACAAGCACCTCTTTCGTGCGGTGGGCATAAGGTACAATGGGAAAGCGCAGCTCCTTGCGCTTCATGGCCACGCCGTAGCGGTCTTTGTTCTGGACATAGGCCTGGAAGAAGCCGTGCAGGCTGTGAATGTCCTTGAGGCCGTCTCTGTCGCTGCGGCGGTCCTCTTCGTCTTCCTCCTCCTCCTCTTCCCCCTCTTTACCCTCAGCCCCGTTCTGCCCAGGACCCTCCGCGAAATCCTTGATGGTGCCCAGCCAAGCTATGAGAACCCACGCCTTCTCGTAGACTTGGCGCATGAGGCCGACCTGGATGCCCTTTTCCACGACATCCTCTTGGTTGATGCACAGTTCGTCGATCCAGAAATGGTTGCTGCGCGGTCGGCAGTACCGCTGCAGGTAAGCGAGCAGGTCTGCCAGCGTCTGTGAGACATTGTGTGCGTGGCCGTTGACCAGTATCGACGCCTTGTGCCGTGTGGCGTCGCCCCAAGCGTGCGAGATGGCAATATATGGTGGTGCTACGTCCAGCAGTGTCTCGAGGAGCTGGCATGCCAGTTTCCCACTGGTTTCTTTTCCCGAACTCGCTTCAGCTTCTTTTGCCTCTGCGAGAGGTGCAAGCTTGACGAGCCGAATGCGCCGCGACTCGGTGCAGTGTAGGGGCACGTATGCAAACGTTCCCATGGTCCCCGTGGCGGTGCTGCCAGCGGATTGTGCGCGGTCGAGGCATGTTCGAGGCGCCGTCACCTCTGTCTGCACGGTTCCATGGTGTCCACACTGGCTGTGGCCCGCCCGGCGCGATCAAGGTGTATGTAAGGTCCGTCGTCGATGTCTCTGGTAATGTTGTTGTTGTTTGATGTTCTCTTGTTGCTGCTATAATCAGGACATCGTAGCGAGGACGAGGGGCAGGGGCCCCCAGCGGAAAAGCAAAAACCCCGCTCGGCACGGCGAGGCTTCTGGCTGCGCGCGTGCTCGTGATTCCTCGGCACACCAGGCGCAAGGCTCGGCATGCAAGCCTGCCGCCCCATCCGTTGAGCTCCGCCCAGGATCGCCCGCTGGAGGCCTTGCCACTCTAACCTCCATGCATCCAGAGCGCCCAAAAGTTCCAAGCTCCGCACCCCGGCCTTTGTCTTTGTTGTTGCCCAGCAGCTCAGCGTCATGTTTTCAGCAGACTGAACTTTGCATTCAAGAGCAGGGCGATTGGTTACTTTGTTGGCTGAGCGGATCTTGCATCACTCACTCGCACCTAGTCGATCATCACCGCAGGCAATGTTTCCTAGTAATCTTCGCAATCGCGTTGCTTGTGGTCCACATGACAACAACATTGAACCATGTGCCCGACTTTTCTGGTTCGCCGCCTTTGAAATCGGTAGCATCACTATTCTCTGGTGCATCTGCGAACTTCGTGTATTGTCGGTCTCACTCTTGCACGTCCTGGGCGTAGAGAGGATATCTACCTTCATGTTGTGCTTATTGGCAGCCTTGAACAAGAATGAGTAAGGGCACAGCACGACCTTTGACGACGAGGCTTGGTGCTTTTGTAGCGTAAGATGTAGTCGTAGTGGTCACTCGAAACAAGAGACCTGTACAGGTCTCAGATATGTCTTCCGTGAGATGGGAGAATGGGCGGGGCACAGTCCAACTTCACCCGACAAGGAGTGCGACCGCGATTGTGCATGTTTGGGTTACAAAACATGGAGTGGAAGTCTTGCGGAAGCCTTGTCGCTACATGGTGAGGAAAGGCATTCTGCAGGCTTAACATAGTTGATGATCTGGTTTTAGTGATTACGCACAATGACAAGGAGAAAATATATTCCTCCCACAACATGAAGAGCGCACTTTTAACTTCTTCTGCCGGACGACGACTTGCCAATGATACAAGAGCCGTGCTTGGCAAGATACGTGTCTCTGGGCCTGCTTTCCTTGATGAAAGCACAGTGGTGTGGCACGGATTGGTGTTGGAATAGTGACCGTTTGCACATCATGCGAGAGGCCAACTTTAGCTCCAGGTCGTTCGTCTCGGTGATGCAAATAGGCTCGCCCAGCACGATTTTGCAGGATTTGTAGGCCGGACTTTCGGCTCTACAAAGAGACGCAAGACTCTGTGCGCTCATCACATTAAACCCATCGCTCTGCCCAACCTCTAGCCCACAGCGCAGCAGTGTTTTCTGGACGTTTGACTTACCTTCTCGTCCTTCTCTCATGGCGGTCAATGAACGGTCACAACCATTACAATGATTTCGGCTCTCCGTCCCGTGAAGAAGAGAGCGGCAGCGGAGCAATCCTCCGCCATCATGCGCGAGTATATGCCCTAGCAGACATGCACGAACTTACCGCGTTTCGTGTTCCGTCCATTTGTGACCACCAAGCTCAGCCAGGCATGTGCAAATAGATGCCACGGTGATCAGATTGACACTGTTGCATTCGAGGTATACAGCACTCGAGATTGTGGTCGGAAATGTGCTGCAACACAACATGCTCATCGACAAAGCTGAGCGCCAGATCGTCATGCAGGCGACACATCTTGGCTTCGACCTCATTATTGCAACTTATCGGGAACCCTTCAGCTTGTAACTGCAAGTTCCCGGCACTCAATTACTTGAGTACGCCAACCCACCACACATTATTACCTAACCCTTTGATGCAGGGGATTGGAGGAAGCAGACATCGGAAAGCGATGGCTGCCTGCCCACTTCCAAAGACAGTGCACTGTGCAGGATAAATCGGAGTTGTCTGCACCTTCCACAGGTTGCCATGGAATGAAAGACGGGAGGACAATCCAAGCGTGAAGCTGAGCATCGCGCCCCATTCAGTGTCTGTCGTCCGAGCGGACCGAGTCAGTGCGGAGAAGAGCCGGGGCTTACCCCATCTTTTGCACGTCTGCCTCTTGCACCTTGCCAGATCGAGCGAACCCGGGTGTCGTTTTCCCCAGCCCGACGTGCCCTCAAATTGGGGACATTGCAGTCAAGGTCGCGAACGGGACAGGCAATACAGCAGCAATTGAGCACGAGGCAGAGCTGAAATGCACTATTTTTGTGTGGAAGCATCTCTTTGCTTACTTATCAGGTGACGCATTGTATAATCCCAGATGCTCTTGAGATGCAAGAATGGGTTGGCAAGCCGGACACCCGGATCTGGCGTCGACGAACGCCTCGGCAGCAGTAGTTGGGGTCAGTGTTCCTGGACAAACGCTAGACCAGGGGCCTCGAGCTAAATTCGTACTAAAGAAGCAAGTCGCGAGATGCGCAGCCCAGCTCCTAAACATCGTCTCATCTCCCCCATATCCCTTTCGCCCAGCTAGTACGTCTTTTCTCTGCCATCTTGCTGCACAGGACTGCAATTTCTGTCTTCGATTTGTCCCACCACGATGCCTGCTACATCCCCCAAGCCGCCGCCCTTCGACCCGGAGCTAACACCTTTTTTCGCGGCTGTGCCTCCTGCCGACATCCCACCAGAGGCAATCCCAGAGCTACGCAGGATCCAAAACGAGGCTGCGACTTTGCAGCTGGCGCTCAAAGATCAGCCTTTCCACCACCACGAGCGCCACGTCGACGGCCCTCATGGAAGCGTCCCCGTCTCCATCTTTGTCCCCAAGTCGGCCCCGTCAGGCAGCACGCGTCGGCCAGCCATCTTCTTCATCCACAGCGGCGGCATGATCTGTGGCAATCGCTTCACTTTTGTTCAGGACTCGCTACGCTGGGCGGCAGTCACCAATGCTCTTCTTATCACGGTCGAATATCGCCAGTCTCCTGAGCACCCGTTTCCCGTTCCGCACGACGACTGCTGGGCCGCTCTCAAGTGGGTAAGCCAGAATGCGTCCTCCCTCGGCTTCGACCCGGCCCGGCTGCTCGTCGCGGGCCAGTCCGCAGGTGGCAACCTTGCAGCCACGATGGCTTTGAGGGCGCGGGATGAGCAAGAAAGCGCGGTCCAGCTGGCCGGCCTGCTCATCGATGCGGGTATGCTCGACGACCGCATGACGACATCATCGATGGCTGAGGCTGAGATGAAGGGCACCTGGACGCGAGGATCCAACATCACTGCGTGGAACGCCTATCTCGACGGCAGTAGCACCACACCGAGCAGACGCGGCACGAAAAACGTGAGCCAGTACGCCGCCCCTGCGCGAGCAACGGACTTATCCAAGCTCCCTCCTACTTTCGTTGGTGTCGGGTCTGCCGAGGCTTTCCGCGATGAGAACGTCGAGTTTGCGAGCAGGATGTATGCTGCGGGAGGGGTTGTGGAACTACATGTCTGGCCAGGAGGCTACCACTGCTTTGACCAACTGTTGCCCAACGCAGAGGTGTCGAAGCGGTCATTGGCGGCGAAGACGGCGTGGGTTGAAAAGTTGTTTGCGCAGGAGGCTGCAGCGGTACAAGCGAAGCTGTGACCTGATGCGATACATGTAAAGTAGCTTTTGCTCTAGGCTGTCCTGAAGGGGACGGACCCCGAATAGACACTTTTGGCATTCCGTGGTCTCGGGTCTTTTAAAAGAAACGTGCCTGGAACGTTGACTTGGCCAAAAGCCGTAGACTCGGTCACAACTCCTTAAGCAGCCATTTGTGGCCGAGAGGAGTTCAGTTGCACATCGGGGACGACTTCGTAGTATTGGTCCAAGTTGCAGTTGTCGTGCATGTCATGCTTGCTTGCGATGACCGCCGCAGGACTCAAAGAACCAATGCACCGTTTTACCATGTTTGCAGGTCAACCTTTCTCTGTGACAACAGGCCGGGACGCCCATTGGCTTGCGTGGCAGCTGTGAGAGCCAGGCTATTTCACTTTCCAGTGTTGCCCTCGGTGTACTCAAGTTGCCATGGCGACTCAACACAGCTGAGCAAACTTGGAAGCGCCACTCTCGCCTCAAGACACCCGACCGCCTCCAAGAAGCACATGTTTTTCTATAAACACGATCTCTTGCCAGACCTAATCCCAGAACGCACTGCGTCTAACGCTCTCGACCGTTTCTGTGTAAGCCATCTGTCTTGCAGCAGCCGCCACCCCGATTCGCACGACCAGCACTGTCGCCACTTCGTCGTTGCTGGCAATACCTCACTTCGTGATCATTCAATCTGGTAAGGAAGCGGCAGGCTCTTCACGTCCGCGAAGTTCTTGATCGTTCTCGGCTTGTCGTGGTCTTCCGTGTAGACGACTGTCAGCAGAAACCTTGCACGCCAAGTTTCACCCTCAACTCACTACGCCAACACCATCCATCCCAGTGTCTTCAAGCACGAGCCTTGCGTCTCGGAGGCCTTCAGAATGGCGCTGCACGACGTGTAAGTCTCCACATTGGAAGACTTCCGGCACGGGCAAAACTTCCTCCTGACTCAACGTTACTTCCTACAGCATCTTGGGTTTGGACTTGGGTAGCACTAGTCTGAGGGCATATCTCCATTATCCTGACAAAGACATCGGCCATTGTGTTGAGAACCGGGCCAGCATCAATAACACGCTCCGGTTCCAGCGTGGAGACTTCTCGTCCAAGGGACATCCTTTCGACCAGAGCCGCTCGTCTACACAGGTCCTGCCGATCTATCTGGGCAACGAGAGCGACTCTGACAGACGGGCAGTATCGCTCAAGTTTGCTTTCTACATCTTCGCGGACGCGGGAGCGGATCAACTGCAACATTACTACGCCGTCCGCCCTCTCTTGCCTCGCAAGCATGACGCCCGATTCCGGTCGAGACTCTGGCGCGGCTTGCACGAACTCTTCGGCAAGGTCAGAGACCGTGTACATGAAGTCTGCCAGGCCAAGCGGTTCAGACTCGCCTCGATCGCCATCACTGTGCCCGTGCAGTGGACACTCGACCTTGCGGACACTTACCGTGCTCTTGTCAGCCAAGTCTTTGAGCATGAAAAGGACCAGATCTCGTGCATTACTGAGACGGAAGCAGCTGCTCATTACCTTTTCAAGGAGTCGCTCCCAGAGTTGCTCGCCCGTCGATCGCTCAACAAGAATGATCTCGTTCTCTTCCTCGACTTTGGCGGTCACACCATGGTATGGTCATATACACGATCGCTTGGAAACGCTATTACTAATTGCATCGTCCAAACAGAACAGCTGTGCATTTCACGTTGAGCATGACAGCCAGCATGATCCTGTATTCTACCAGGCTGTGAAGCCTAGTGGTGAGTCGAATTTGGATCATCCCTCTTTGCGAACCGCACGACAACATTTCCACTGATAATGATACTGTTTGACAGGAGCTGGAGGAGGGAGCGAGCACTGGGAGTACTTGGTTGGCGAGGCTTGCGCCACCCTAGTTGCAGAAGATGCGGCCGCGTGGGACGCGCGAACCTTGAGCACGAAAGACAGACAAGCTATCCTTAACAGTTTCCATCAGCAGATAGACTTGTGTGGACCTGGCAGCAACAAAGGCTTCTACTTCAGAGCCAATGAGAAGGATATGCGCCGCTTTCATCTGAGCTCTGCAGTGATTGACGACTGCTTCGAGAAAGCACTTGCTGGTCCACTCCGGCGCGCCGAGAAAGACATGATCAAGGTTGCCGCACGATACAGCCATGATGTCCTCGTCGTCGTCACAGGTGGTACATCGCAGCATCATGCTGTGCAGGACCGCATTCGACAGATGTGTGCAAAGCACGACATCGAAAGAGAGCCCGTCTTTGCAGATAGCCTTGAAATCGCCTATTCGTAGGTTTTAACCTCGCATGAATCGTTCGCCTCTGCGACGTAGAAGCTAACATGGAGGACACAGGTCTGCCAAGATCGCCAAGGGAGCCACATTCGCCTTGAGTAGCTCGCAATCTGTCAAACAGTTCCTAGAAAACGGTGCTGCGATTGGCCTGCAGACGCTTCAAGATGGCAGCAAGAAGAACACACTCTGGGACGACATCGCCCCTTTTCTCATGAGCAAGGTTTGTTGGCCCTTTCCCGCAGCTCCACGAGTGAACTCGGTCTAATGGCCTGGCAACCCACTGACTGCTGAGCTGCAGGACCGTCAAGACTTCAAGTACGAGTTCTCAACCAATGGTGCTGATGAGTTCCGGCTCATCTGCGATCCATTCTTCGAGCGACACTCCTTTGGAGGCAAGTTTTTGCACCACAGCAAGACCTACGATCTTGCAGATCTCGGCAAGCTCGCAGCAGGACGCTGGGCCATCACGCTTTCGCTCGCGACAACAGAGCCGACTGGGGAGGTCCTCCTTCGCGTTCAGGCCGTTCACAAGCGTGTTGCTCACTGGAGCACCGGCAAGGCTATCTCGCGGAAGCATCGAGATATTCCCTTGTACTACAGCACGGGTGCCAACAGTGTTCTGCTACGCAGCGAAGACATGGGCGAGGCTGCACTGTGCACGACCTTTGGAAACGGCCGCACAGAGGCTGCGACTCGGAGCCCGTTCTGGAGCGACTGGGATTCATTGGTGATCACGACGCCTCCTGCTGCAGCATCAGCCGATTGGCTGGCTGAGTCGCACAGCTTGTCAAGCATCTCCGTTGAAACAATTGATGACATTGCCTGTGGCTCTTCAGTGGGAGACTGTTCGCCGGTAATCACGAGCTCTCGTAAGGTACGGATGCAGAACCGCGTTGTCAAGCCTTCACGGCGCAGTCCCGGCATGCTGGCGCGCCGCAAGGCAGCCTCGCCATCCAAGTATGTGATTTCTCTGGGATCAAGTCCCATAGCATAAGGCGCTCCAATACTCCAAGATAGTGAGTGAACTCTAGGCGGGATCGCTTGGGGATGGCGATCGTGTTACTCCCTGGGGCAGGACCTTGGTCAGTACTGGTGAGAGATAATACGGCCCGTTGTTGAGCCGTCTAGATCTGCAAGGCTTGTGAGATACGCCAGAGTCTGCTGATGACTTTGGTGTTCAGGAGGTCAAGATTCAGAAACGGGGCGAGAGTTACAGCATTGTGATGGAGCGTGAGAAATCATTTTGCGGTGCAACGCACAGAATCATACGGACGGAGGAACACGAAGGCAAGGACTAGACGGGAGATGCTGCAGTCACGTTTGTGCCGTTCGAGTAGAATAGAGAATCATGCCTCGCACAAACTTCAGACTGGAGAGCTCCTCAAGCTGGCACTGCTTCGAGTCAGCTCGGCTCGGCTCGGCCGAGGTCAGCTCGGCTCGGCTCGGCCGAGGTCAGCAGTAGCTAGGTCGGGTGTGAATTAGGTGAGCATCCAGAGAATAGAATTAATGACTACAGAAATGCCTGCTCCTCTGACCCATGGCCTGCGTCCGCACCCGCCCGCGCCTGCAGCGTCAGGTGCCAGAGCAGCAGCAGCAGCATCTTATCAATCAAATCAGCCCATCCTCGCCGAGCCCGAGCCGCGACGGTTGATTATACGCGCGACGCTTGGTGCTGCAGGCACTGGTGCTTATCGCGGTGCCTAGCCCGACATCGGGACGAGGACTGGAGGGGCAACTGCTGCAAACACGCCCCCGGGCGCGTGCTTGGACAAGCGACAGCCGTGGGCCGCCCACATGGCAAATTTGCAAAGGCGATGGAAGCCCAGCGAAGGGCCCCGGCCAGTGGCAGCTGCGCTGCCCCTCCATCGCTGCGGTCCGTGGCTGCTGACTGATCAGGCACCTGAGGCACGCAGGCACGTCACGGCCTCTCGTAGCTGCGCCGAATGGGAAGTTGCCCCTCCGTCGCAGGTTTGTCTGGGCGGCGCAGGTGCGGCGGCAGCACCGCACCACGGACGTGCTTGCAGGCCCCTAAAAAGAGTCCGTTCCCCGTTCGACAGCCGCCGCCATCTCTGACATTTAGGACCCGAGGGGCATTTCCAGACCTTGACACGACTTCGAACCGACCGATCACGAAGCAGAGAAGAAGCAGCCAAAACAAACAAAACCAAAACCAAAAAACCACAGCCACGATGCACAGCAAGGTCGTCGTCATTGGCTCTGGCCCTGCCGCCCACACGGCCGCCATCTACCTCGCCCGCGCCGAGCTCAAGCCAGTGCTGTACGAGGGCTTCATGGCCAACGGCATTGCCGCGGGCGGCCAGCTCACCACCACCACCGACGTCGAGAACTTCCCCGGCTTCCCCAAGGGCATCATGGGCGGCGAGCTCATGGACAACATGCGCGCCCAGTCGGAGCGCTTCGGCACCCAGATCATCTCCGAGACCGTCTCCAAGCTCGACACGTCCTCCCGCCCCTTCAAGTACGAGACCGAGTGGTCCCCCGGCGTCGTCCACACTGCCGACGCCGTCATCCTCGCCACCGGCGCCTCGGCCCGCCGCCTCAACCTGCCCGGCGAGGAAAAGTACTGGCAGAACGGCGTGTCTGCGTGTGCCGTCTGCGACGGCGCCGTGCCCATCTTCCGCAACAAGCCGCTCGTGTGCATCGGCGGCGGCGACAGCGCCAGCGAGGAGGCCCAGTTCCTCACAAAGTACGCCAGCCACGTGACGGTCCTGGTGCGCCGCGACCAGCTGCGGGCGAGCAGCATCATGGCCCAGCGCCTGCTCAACCACCCCAAGGTCACAGTCAAGTTCAACACGCACGCCACCGAGATCAAGGGCGACGGCAGCCTCATGACCCACCTCGCTATCAAGAACTCCAAGACGGGCGAGGAGGAGACGATCGAGGCCAACGGCCTCTTCTACGCCATCGGCCACGACCCGGCCTCCTCGCTCGTCAAGGGCCAGGTCGAGCTGCACGACGACGGCTACGTCAAGACGGTGCCCGGCACCACCAAGACCAGCGTCGAGGGCCTCTTCGCGGCCGGCGACGTCCAAGACAAGATCTACCGCCAGGCCATTACCAGTGCCGGCTCCGGCTGCATGGCCGCGCTCGAGGCTGAGAAGTTCCTCGCCGATCTCGAGGTGGAGGGCAAGGCATAGATGGGCCAGAGATGGAAACGGAGATGAAGCATTAGCGCATTGGGAGGTTCTGCATTGTGTCATTTAGCGACAGCCTGTCTCACGTCTAGATATCAAGAGGCATAGACATAGAAATAGAGCAAGAGTCCAAAGAGCACCGCCGGCAGGCCATTGATACATTGTGTTTTGAGTGGCAGTGGGGGGTTGATTGTCCAGCACACTGCCCAAAAGGATGTGTCCCTCAAGGTGTGTGGAAGGAGTGTGTACGCGGGCGGGGATCTCATCCCAATTGCACCAGCATCTGCTCCACTGACTGCACACTGCGCCAGGAACCCCTGGTGAACACGAGTACACTGCCTTTGGCAATGGTTCGACGAAAGTTGCGTCTAATACAGAAGAATGATACTAGTGACGTTGTCGCTCCTGACATCCTTGGCAGCACTCGCCCAAGGGATTTCGCCACTGGCGCATGTGTCAGGACATGCAGGGCCCATCCTCTTTGACGTGGCGTCCATCAGCCCACGCGGTGCCTGGCCGGGCCGGCCGGTGTCTGCCGGCCTCTGCTCTGTCTCTGCGCCCGCCCTTGCAGCAGCACATCATCGTCATATCGCACCACGGCTAACACTGCTAGCCGCGTCCGACGGACTCCTGTCCTTTTGCCCAGCAACGCCCGGTGAGAAATCAGCCGCGCCTTCTTTCGGGTTGGGGCAAGAGTCATCTTCCCGGCCTGCTGTCCTTTGAGGACAGACAGCAGGCCCATATCCCGGTTCGCCTCCCGCATCCGCACCCGCACCGAACCGCATCGAAACTCGTTGCTGTCCGTCCCACCCTGCCCGCTGGGTATCGCTCCCTTACAGATGGAGTGCCATGATCCCACTGCCAGCAGATGGCCCCACCAGCCAGCACTCACGCACACATCCCACGCAACGGCGGTGCCTCCGTGACCGCTGTTTTGCCCTCGCTCGCCTCCGGGCGCTCCAGTCTTCGCCCTCCGTCGGCTTTCGTGGACCTGTCATGGGCTCACGCCCCCCCTCGGAGGAGGCACGAAACCTCAAACACACGCCCACAGCTCCGTCGCCGCTACTCCGCCCGCCCGCCCGCCGCCCGGGCCCTCGTCCGACGTGTGAATGCGCTTCGTCCTGGCGACGAACCCTGTAGAAGCTGGGCCCCAGTTGTCTGGAGGGATTGTTATCTTGCGCTTTAAGAGGATCGACCTCCCCCCGCTTCGGCCTGCTCGAGACGCCTCTCTGTAATTCCTTGCTTCATCGTCACAAACTCGACCTCTATCTTCACAACAGTCTCACCCACAACACACAACACACAAACCGACAACATGGTTCTCAAGGCTGGCGACGAGTTCCCCGAGGGCGTTTCCTTCACCTGGATTCCCCCGGCGCCCGAGACCTCTGAGTTCTCGGCCTGCGGCATGCCCATCAAGTACAACGCCTCCAAGGGTACGTTCACCTTCCTCAACACTGCCATGATCGACCCCTCTCCGTCGCACGAGAGAGTCCCAGACTAACAAGATGGTCCCGCCTGCAGAGTTCAAGGACAAGAAGGTCGTCATCTTTGCCCTCCCCGGTGCCTTCACCCCGACCTGCTCTGCCTCGCACGTCCCCGGCTACATTGCCAAGAAGGACGAGCTCAAGGCCAAGGGCGTCGACCAGGTCATCTGCCTCGCCTATAACGATGCCTATGTCATGTCTGGCTGGGGCAAGGCCAACGGCGTCTCTGACGAGTTCCTCGTAAGCTCTCCCTTCTCAACACCCCCTCCCCCAGACCTTATCGCCAGCAGGCGGCAGGCACGCAGACAGCTAATCATTGTATCTATGGTCCAGATCTTCGCCTCCGACGACCACGCCACCTTCTCTAAGGAGTTCGGCTGGATGGCCGAGGACGGTGAGCGCACCAACCGCTACGGCATGATTGTCGACCACGGCAAGGTCACCTACGCCGAGCTCGAGCCCCACCTCCAGGCTCTCGAGGTCTCGAGCGCCGATGCCGTCCTCAAGGTCCTCTAAATCTTTCCAATGTGTTTGATCATTTATTTGCGACTAGACCATGATAGAACCCTAGAGAGACTTAGACGCTAGACTTCCGAGCCGGATTGACGAATTGAAATGAGTAAAACGTTGAAACAACAATGATGCCTGGGCTTTGCCCTAGTATCGACGCCGCTGTGCTTCCGAGTGTATGCGTGACCAAAGATTGCCATCGAGCACATGTGCTAGAGCGCTCGGTGATCCATAAGATCGACGTGCTTAGACATCTTGTCACACCATCTCGCGTGATCATTCTGATGGTATGATCCCTGACACTCTTGGGCCCGTCAGCGCCTTCTTGTGCTGCCAGAAAAGAAACCCTCGGCATCTTCCCTCCAGGGCGGTGCTTCCTGGCCGAAAGCGAAATGTAACGGGATGAGCGCCTGGATCCCGTCGACAGATGACGCCTCGGGGCCTCGGGTGACGATGAGCTCCGTATGGTTCAGAACCGCCTTACGGCGTCGCGCAGCTAGGAACGCCCTCTTCTCGCGTAGCCATGCGTCTCGCATGCCACTTGTTCCTGTGTCGACTGAGACTTTGGGGAAGACGTAGTGCGCAGTCTGGATATGTGTCATCTCCTCCTTGTCGTCCGGCGTGCCGCCCGACAAGTGGTGCTCATGGTCGGAAGCGGTGACCTCGCGGTCGTTGCTGCTGAGGACCTCGTGCATGCACAGCCATACCAGGAATTTGCTGCGCGACGTGGTGATGAGCAGCATGGCCTCGTGGAAAGGCCGCCGGATGCCAACTGGGGCAGTGCTCTTGGAGTCTTTTTTGTCCCCGACGTGCGCATCGTCATGAGCATTGCTATTTTTACTTTCGTCTTCCCGCGATGGACTTAACTCCAACAGGCTACTGTAGGGATCGAAGTGGTTGGTGATTGCCAGGTTGATTTCGTTCGGCTTGGCGATAGATCTGGTGTCCACCGACACGATGATTGGAAACGTGCCCTTGCAGGCTTGGTTAAAGGTGAGCAGGAACGCATATGGCGAGGCTAGGTTCGGGCGCCGCACAGTGCTGATCCATTTCTCAGGGCTCGGGGGGAAATAGAGGCTGCGGTACGACGGAGCCCAGGACGCCGGCATGACGATTGGTTCTGCCGCGACAGTGGCACGACCGACGATGCCCTTGTCCAGATTGCCGTCAATGGGCACGCAGAGACGCTGGTCATGGTGACGGCGGTTCGAAGACAGATTGGCATCGAGGACAATGTAGTGCGACCGATAGCAGTGGATAATCGGCACCTCAATGTTGAGCCCAGCATTCGTCCAAGCAAAGGCCGGGTTGTGGCCTCTCGCCGTGGAGAATTCGACGCTGTAAGCCGTGTTGCCGGCAAACTGCTGCGGGCTCCGGGCGAGGATGCTGGGCACCTCATGCCTGTTGACGGAGGCCGTTTCATCGGTCCGCATCCAGGCAAAGATGGTGTGATCGTTGGTCCGGCGGATAATCTCCTCCTGCAGCCGCACAAAGGCCCGTGGGCCCTCGCCATAGAGTAGGGGCATGTTGATGCGGAAGATGCCCAGCATGCAGTAGGCCATGTCCTCCTGGCGGGTGGTCGTCCGCCCGGCGAGCCACGACAGCTTCTCGGCCACGCCGGCGGTCCATAGCGGATTGTCCTTGCGCAGGTAGTGGGCCGAGATGCCGGTGATGGCACTCAACCGAGTCTCAAGCGTCGAGCCGGTGCCGACCTGCTGCCAGTCGGCAGAGTAGAAGATCATGCGGCGTGGCGCGAGCAGCTCTTGCAGCGTCCAGCCTCTGCGGAACCACCGGCTCCTCTCCAGATCCGGGCCGGCATCGACGGAGCCGGAGCCGGGGTCGGGCCCGGGCGCGGACTCAGAACCCTGCGGAACGGGCAAGGCGGCGACGTCGGCGAGGTGGACCAGACAGACCTTGCTGCGCTTGTACCATGTAAACATGGAATTGATGGCCTCCGACAGCTCAGCTGAGCTCGACTTGTCGATGCAGTTTGTATCGACCCAGAGATAGGCGCAGTCGTGGGCCTGGGCCTGCTTGACTGCTCCGAGGATCTTGGCATAGCCGCGCTTACTGCTGATGCAGTCCCGGGCACTCGGGTCCGTGCCGGCCGCCAGCCACTCGAGGTAGCTGACCTCCTCACGGCCTTCCCATGTATGGGAGAGGATGGCATAGGGCGGGGTTTCGTGGCTGCTCACAAAGTCCTCAAGCTGGAGGGTGGCGACGTTGATGAGCCGCATCTCGTCATCATCGTTGGCTGAGGCTCTGGCCGGGCTCGTTACAAGCAGTGCCAGTGATGCGCAACAAGCCCCATGCTCAGCTGCGAAGAGACGCAGTCCGGCTTCGCAAGACGTGCAAGCCGCGCTAACAAGTCGGTGGGAGCGAATTGTGGTCTGCCGGGCGGGCAATAAGCAAGCTGCAACGCTGTCCAAAGGCCCTCCAAGGCGGCCACCACAGATAAAAAGAGCTCGGTTTGTATAGTGTCGTCCTGTTGATGAGCTGAGCTTCACCACTGATTGGCGTAGAGCCGTTGTCGGGAGTTGACCAGCCGCTTGGGAGCAGTGCTCAAGTGGGGGGGCTTTGGGAAGCCCTCCCAGTACAGTGGCCGAGCCAGGCCATCGTCTGTGCTCCTGGGCTATTTTTGGGGCTGCGGTTGAAATGCTCGTTGTCAGGCTCAACCAGTTGGGACTTGACGACTATCGCTGGCAAACACATATCGCAAGACGCGCTACTTTTCACCCTGCGTAGTGGGTGTCATGCATACTTCTCGGACTCAGACTCGTGTTGACACTGGTGGCGAAAGGCACAGCCCCGGCGATATTGCGCGTCAAAGCACATGGTGTAGCTGCTGTGTGGCTGCTGGCCGATGATCTCCGTGCCAGGTGCCGCCGCTGGGCGTTGCGCATGCTGACGGCAGATCCGCGATTTGCGTGCAGGGCGATTCGGTATTTCTCAGGGCTTGACTGCCTTGATGGACCAGCAAACAGGCAAACACCGCGAGGATGCTTAAAGGGAGGATGGCGTCCAGGACGGCGCCAGGGACACCAGTGAGCCTGCTTCGTGGCGGCGAGAGTTGGCGCGACGGGTTCCCTCCCTTGTGCTGGGCACCAGGAACATGAACTGTGAGGACGCGCGCTCCGGCCATGCTGGGACAAGTGCCAAAGTCAGTATTGCCTCGAGTCGGATGTCCGGCTAAGCCACGAGCCGCAAAGTGCAGCTTAGCTGAGCCCTGTTTCCTGGTCGTGTCTTGCTGGATGCAGCTGGCCTATCCTCATTACCACAAGCCACTGAGAGGGCGATCGCTGCCCCTCAGAAGCCCCAGGTGGGACATGCTCCAGCCTGTAAGAAGCCTACAAATGCGCCCGCCGGCGCCTAGTCAGGGATGACGGCAGCTCGATCGGCGCTTCATAAAGCTTGGCCAGATGGCAGCCTGGTTTGGGGGGCCCTAAGGGAGGTTTGGAGGTCTGGAAGGGGGGAAAACTGCCGCCGTTGGCATCTTTCGGCCGCTTGCTGGCTGTGTCAGCACCTCACAGCCACGTTTCAGGGGCCTGATGACGCGCTCGCCCAGTCACCCCGTCTCGATTGGCCCCATTGTAGCGTTGGCCTCCCAGTGATACTTGACTGAAACCCTCCCCTTCAACCCATTCGACCACCACTTCCCGCCGACATTGAGCATCGTAATCACCTCTTCAGCATCTTCATCCGCCACAGCTGCTGCGCCAACCGTCACCCTCCTCCATCCGTCGTCGAGCCATCTCCTTCAGAACGTCATGGCCTCAAGCACCCACTACGATGGTGCACCCCCGCCCTACCCCAGCGGGCCTGGGTACATTATGCACAACATGGACTCGACTAGAGACTTCCGATCAATAGATATGACGGCCCCCGAGGCTACCGCGGTACGAAGCGATGCCGGCACCTATAACGCGCACCGCACGAGGAGCAATAGCGACGGCCCCATGCCAGATCCGGACGAGTCGCGGGACAGCAGACCGCTAATGCAGGGCAACAATGGGCGGGAAGAGGAGGAGACAGACTACCAGCCAGTAGACTGGAAATCTCTCAATAAGAAGATGCTCAAGCCCAAATACATCCGTGAGCCAAGACTCGGCTGACCCATTACGCTTGACCACGATCGAGACTGACCGAAGCGCCTGCGCATGCTGTAGCTGTGTGGATCCTGACACTCGCTTTTGTCGTTTTGACGATCCTCCTGATCGTGTACCATGATCAAGCAGTCGAGGTACGTGCCGACGGGACAACAGGCCTAACTGAGGCGAGGCAAGATGCTTGCTAGTCAAATGCTGACCAACTTGGCGTACCACACAGAAATTGCGGCCGTGGGCTGAGAAGTTTCGGGACTTGCCAGCCGGCTGGCTCATCCCTATTGCCATTCTCTTTGTCATTTCATTCCCGCCACTTTTCGGGCACGAGATTGTCGCGCTGTTGTGTGGCGTTGTCTGGGGCCTCTGGATTGGTTTCGGAATCGTGGCCGCCGGCACCTTTGCGGGAGAGAGTAAGTTTTGTCGGCCGTCCTGTGTGCATAAAAAAGATACGTTCTCGCTGACTGTTTCTGCCCTTGCCCAGTCGGAACGTGGTTTACCTTCCAAAAGCTCCTTTGGAAGCACTGCCGCAAGCTCGAGCGGACCAACATCAACTATGGGGCTCTGACACGCTTGGCCCGTGAGAGTCGCTTCTGGGTGAGTGCCAGCCACAACAATACTTGACTTTTGTCACTCGCTGACGCCTGCCTGGCAGTTCATCTTCGTCGTGCGATTCTCGGCGATCCCGCAACACTTTTCGACCGCCGTGTTCGCCAACTGCGACATCAACTTCTGGATCTTTGCGCTGGCGACATTTCTCACCTTGCCCAAACAGCTTGTTCTCGTATATTTTGGCACGCTCATTGTCAACCCGAGTGACACCAAGAACACCGAGTTCTGGATCAAGACATGCGTCACCGTCGGCACCGTCCTCATCACCATCGTCATGGGCGTCTGGGTGTATCGCAAGATGAGTGTCGTCAAGAAGCAGCTCATGCGAGAGCAAGAGGAGAGGCGGGCTCGCAAGAACAATGGACTGTACGCGACAGGATACAGCGCGGCTGCTTACGGGCAGGTGTAAGGCGAGGAGATAATTCGTGAGCGCCTGGTTTCATTTTGATTGGATTGCTTGAGGCAGGAGTTCGGTGATTTGGATTTGGCGCATGCCAAACAGGCGCAAAGGTTCACGCGGTGGGACAATCTTTCGTTCAGATAGACAGGCAAATGCATCGCAGGCCGGAGCACAGGTGACAACTGCTGCGGCGAAATATAACGCTCGACAAGAGCGTCGTCCTTCAACAAGCAGTTCTAACAAAGACTGCCCGGTTAGCTCAATCGGTAGAGCGTGAGACTCTTAAGAACTCTTCAATCTCAAGGTTGCGGGTTCGACCCCCGCATCGGGCTCAATTCCCGGTGCATCCTCCCAAGAGGATAACATCACCAAGCGACTCTTTTTTTGGCCATTTCCATGGCCACTGCTAGTCGCACTGAATTTTTTTTCCTAGCCCGGGATAGACTCCACTACCAGTGTGTGGGTCTAGGTGGGGCCTGCCCTGGAGGTATCCTCGTCCAGCTGGGCTTCTAGAAAAGGCGTTCTTCATGTAACCTGTGCATGGCTTGGATCGCTTGCCGGTTTCTTCTTGGTCGCACTCCGTGCGTGGCCGATATGCTCCGTGTTTCACAATACTGACGAAATTGGCGTGTGACGCTATCTGCCTGCCTATCTTGCGTCCTGCAAAGTCTCGTCTGTAGGCTGTGGATGGTGGTAGCTGCTAATTACCTGTGAAGGGTATCCAAACGCCAACTCGGTGCTGGTAGTTCTCGTACCTGCTGCCATGCCTGCGCACCAGTGCCTCCTCCTCGGCATGGATCCTGCCCGCAAAGAAGCTCCATAGCACTATCACGAACGCCAGTAGTGACATGCGATTCGCGAGGATGAGCTGCGTGCCAATCGCCCACCAGAAGTAGCCAAAGTAGGCCGGATGCCGTATCCAGCCGTAAATGCCTGTTGTAACGAGCTGGTGATCTGCGTCGACGCTGTCGTGGCGGCTGCGGCAGCAGCGGCGTTTCTCGCCGAGCGGATACGATGGCCCGCCATGCAGAATGGCTAGCACGCGCACGAGCTGGCCACCCACGACCATGATCCAACTCAGCGGCCATACGATGGGGTATGGGAACCAGTTCGACAGGTCATAGGTCCAATACCAGTGTCGCAAGACGATGCACTCGGCCGTTGCAAAGGCGTACGCCATCACGTAAACCCGCCTGACGAGACCAAGGCGTTGCGGGCGCCTGCTCACCTGACTGGGCACGCAGCGGGTTGTCGCCCACAGGTCGAGAGCGTGCATCAGTGCGGTGGCAGCGAGGAAGAAGGGCGTTCGCCAGTGCGGCGACGAGGGCCACTGCGTGCGGATCCAGCCCGTAACCAGCACCGCTGACGCCAGCAGCATGCCCAGCGCAAAGGCATTCAGCGCGAGGCGGTCAAGAGTTGCTTCCACGTTGGGCCGTCCGTCGTTATTTCTCTTCCTTGTCAATCCGCGCCGGCCGCTGTTGTGTCCTGGGTCAGCATCGTGGCGACATGATTGCCCGCGTTTGTTGTTATGGCACTGACTTGTCTTCGTCATCAGAGCATTCCGAGCTGTCCGTGTAGTCCATCCTGGTGGTGCAATGCTGGATGGGCATTCCCCAAGTATGTCGACGACTTGAAGCTTTGGTACTTCGCGGGTGGCCAGAAGCACAAGAGAAGGAAGTGTAATGGCAAAGCAGGCAGCGATGCCTCGTTCTGGACGTCTCACAACCAGCGGCCCCTGCCTGTGGGTCCAGCGAGTCCCGTAGACTTCTGACACTACCAAGACCGCACTTGGATCGCGAAATCTTCAACTCTTCCAGGCCATGGATATTACTCAATTCAGCACACCATTCTCGTTCAGAACAGCGTTGATGAAGAGAACCCCCACAGCGACATGGCGGGCTCCAATAACAAAACCATGCGTTGTGGCTTCCTCGGAAGCTTTTTGCGGCGAGCAGTTGTCCAGAAACCCATGGCAGCTACTACACCGGCTGTCGTGGTCGTTCAACAACCCAAATGCTTGGTTTTGAGTGTGCACAACATTAAGTATCTGCAAAACAGATAGCAAGGCCAATCCGTCAGCTTTGCCCGCAGAGGAATGCAAAATTACCAGAGATGCTCGTCACGATTTCATCTATCTTCCTATCTTGACAGGAACTTGCCAAATTCGTAAACCCCTTACTCCGAGCCGCGCTTCCATTGAGCCTAACGAGCTAGTCGCTGGCCAGCTCCCACACGCTCAGCAAAAATGGCACGACGACGATGAAGTACTCCTCCAGAGTGAACTTGCCGAGGTACTGGAGGAAGAAGGAGAGGAGTATGGGGGTGAGGATGTAGACAATGCTGTACTGCTTGCGGACGACGAGCAAGGCGATGCTGGTCCAGAAGAATGCCAGCCAGGTGCCGATAATCTGCAGCTCGCTAGGCTTAAACGAGCCAATGCGGATGTCGTTGAAGTCCCCAAGGCCGATGTAGTCATTGATAAACTGAAGTCGCATAAGTCATGGAACAGATGGGTTCTGCTGGGGGAGGGAGACTTACATCAGCGATGCGCTGCATGACGGTGCTCAGGGTGTGCTGCTTGGATGACAGGTAGCAGCCTGCCACGCTCAGGGTGCTGATCCATAGCACTCCGACAAGCAGCGAATTGAAGACGCGGGCACCGCGAGACTGCGGCGCCGACGGTGTGTTGCGGACTAGATGCGTCTCGTGTCAGTCATGGGTGGCCGTGCGACGCTGGGATCCATGGGTAAAGTTGCGGCACCGACCCTGGGGAGGCTCGACCACTGAAGAAGCGTCTTTTGGAGCGGGCGCCGCCGTCTTCGGTTGACGATGCTGGGCCATGATGGACAGTGACGAGTTGATCTTGCGGACTGGTCTGACTGGAGCCTAGGTGTAGCGGACCAGATCAGACTGAAGCTCCTCGAACATAACGATAGAGATTCGCACACTGAGATTTTGCCCTGTCTTGGATGAAGGGCAAGTCCCTAGAGCCCTGCACGTGTGGTTCAGCGCCGGCCTGATTGGTGGGCGCCCGCCTGCCCGACACCGAGGTACCTGGAAGGGGGAGTACTTTGCAGAAACAGAGAACTGCGCCACAGCAGTGCAATCGTCGGTCGTTGTGCTCAAGCCACAGGCCAGAGCCGGGTGCGAGAGATCCACATGAACACGGCGAGGTACACTGGAGCACAGTGCTGGAGCCCGCTGTGGCACAATGCCAGTTGTGAGACACCCCCGACTTGCGCATGGGCCATGAGGTACCCAGACGGACACCCGCGCTCGGCAGGGCAGGCCCACCCTCTGCTGTCCACGGGGCCTTGCCACCAAACATCGTGACGGAGCTGCTTGGGGACTCGGAGACGGGACAGGCAGGCGGCCAGCTCGTGTTGCCAGGGCTGAAGAGAGTGTGCTTTGGCATGCCATTGACATGGGCCCAGGGATCGTTTGCGCCGGGACCGGGACCCTGCCGGGGCGGGTCGTCTCCTCGCCGACTTGCATTGTGGTCTATTTGTGCAATGTGCGGAGCCGGCCGCGATGCGTGCGTCATGCAGCTTTTGGATACGGGAGACGAGCAGCAGTACGGCAGACCCACTGGCGGTGCTCGTGCCACGGAGTTCTACATGTGTGTGCCGTGCGGGTTCTCCTATGTTGGAGCACCCATGGATGCTGTAGGCCGGGCGGCGAGGCATGTGACGTCAAGGATGCCCGCTGCCAACACGAGATGATCGGCACCTTTCCCAGCCCTCTTGACCGTCTTCCCACCCCACAGCTGGCATTCCAGGGCAAACCTGAGCACCGGCACTCGCCCGGCTGTTCTGCCGTTCGGCTGCTGCTTGGCTATTATCGAGGCTCGTCCTCAGGGGTCTCCTTGCTTGCCACCGAGCCAACCGGACCCCAGGCTTCAAGAGATGTGGCGCCGTGGGTCTGCCATGACTTCACGCCCAGTACCACCACGGCTACAACGTGCCGCTGGCCATGTATAAGTATCGCAGGTGCCTTGTGTTCGCTTTAGATCATTAAACCCAGATGTCCCTCACCAAGAAACAGCATCTTTACCCACATCGAGACACTGAGATCAAGTCCTTCCTCCATCTCAACATCACGACGAATCCTCCACCATAACCATCGCCAACATGAAGTTCTTCGCTCCCCTCACCCTTGCCGCTGCCGCCTCGGCCGCCACTCTCGAGCGCAAGCAGGAGAAGACCAAGAACATCGGCGAATTCTCCGCGGCCTGCATTCCCCACTCCGTTATGTGCTCGTACTCCTTCACCGTCTCGAACGACCCGTCGCTGCCGGTCAGCAACTGCGAGGCTTTCCTCGCTGGCCCGGACCGGCTGCCCCCTGTCGACGAGGGCAAATGCGCCGATAACTCCGCTTATACCTGGACCACTGACCGCACCACCGACGGCGGCCTCGACTTCACCGTCTCCTTCCCGCTTAACTCGCGCTCCAACATCACATACTGCGCAACCCTGCCGGCCTCCGACTTTGTTGTTGACGACAACGGCTCTGTCCAGACTGAGCGCTATACCGGCCCGACCGGCTTTGCCGCTACTGTTGACGCGTGTTTCCAGTAGGCGAGTACGACATGAACCGGCCAAAAGACCTTAGGCTCTGTACATATATTCTAAGATAGTATATAATCAATCATTCCGTGATGACATCAGATAGCGCTCTCATGATGTTATAAACGTGCACGCAGGTTGTTCTGCGCCTATTTACCGTCCGGGCCATCCCCACGCCTCGTGACAGACATGCGAACGAGAGCCCAACTCAACGGCCAACCGAGGAGTGATAGGTGGCCTAGACGTCTAGGGACTTTCCAGGCTCTGCTGAGCCAAACCAAGGCGAGTTTGCTCTGCGCTAACTGGTTACTGTAAGTCACTCTGACTACTTGGCTGAGGCATTGACCAGCTCTGCAAATCTGGAACCATCTTCTCTGGCCAAGAGCGTTGGACGACCCACCTCCACGATGTGCCCCGTGTCCATGACAACAACCCTGTCAAAATCCATGATCATGTCGAGGCGATGGCTTACAGCAATGATGGTGTATCCCTCAAACTCGGCCCGGATAATGTCCAGCATCGTCTTTTCCGTGTCCTGGTCGACGCTCGAGCTCACTTCGTCAAGCAGCAGGATGCCGCATTCGGGTCCTGTGCGGCCCATCTCGGCGACTTGCCGACTGCGAATGCGGCGGCGAAGTACAGCACGACCGAGGGACAGCAGCTGGCGCTGCCCAGCACTCAGCACCGACGCATTCATGGGAGCAGAAGGCCCTCCCCGCTGCGTCACAAAATCCAGCAATCCGACGTCTCCGAGCACGGCTTCGCACTCTTCCAAGGTCGAAGCACCGGTGGGATCAAGATTGATTTGGAACGAAGTACCATCTGGCAGGAATACTGCTTCCTGGGGCACGGCAATGATTCGCTGACGAAGGGTCTGTCGGTCGAGTCGGGCAAGTGGGCTTCCGTCGATAAAGCATGAGCCCCCAGAAGTGCCCGGTAGTGGGTCAAGAAGTTTGAGCAGCAGCGCGACCAGACTGGACTTGCCGCTGCCTGTGCGGCCACAGACAGCGACCCTCTCACCGGCCTCGATGGACAGACACAAGCCACTTAGCGCGAGCTTGGGGCTACCTGCCGAGTCGCTCCCGTTTCTGATCAAGGTCAGCCATGTCCACATTGCTCGAGTCTCTCGTGTCGAATAGGAGGTGAATGCAATCATTCTCGACTTACTCATAGCTTGCCGAAACTTCCTGCAGCTCGATTGCACCAGCATTTGGCCAGTCTATCGAAGGCTGCAGGTCCTCCTCGGGACGATCTTCAGGTTTCACATTATCTTGGAACGCCTTGAGTCTGGCCACCGCACCAATGGACGTCTCTAGTCGCGTATAGAATATCACGATGCCTGAGAGGTTGTCCCCGAATGTCATGAGCGAGACGAGGGCGGCCCCGGTGAAGCCAGAATTGGAATGCAGGCGTACAGCCATTGTGGTCAGAACAGCAGCCAACGCCATGACGACCAGATTGAGCACCAGGTTGAGCCACTGTTGGACCATGACTAGCAAGTATGCTGGACGCTGGCTCGAGTTGAGCAGCCCAGCATTTTTCTCGACATCCTTGGACATAAAGCCTGTGGTGCAGCAAGTGGGCGAATCAGTAAACGCTACGAGGTTTCACTCCATGCGGTGTGTGCGAGCACCTACCAAAGGCCCGTAGTGTGGTAATTCCCTTGATGGTATCAATGAAGTGGGTGCTGCAGACGTGCGTGTGCACGAGTCAGCATGTGTCCATGCAAGTGCCCCCAGCTACGATGTCACAACGAGTAGGGGAGGAACCATACTACAGTGGGCTCTTGGTCTCCAGGTCTAGCAGACGTAGCTGCCTTGACGTTCGAAGATAGAACTTCTGCACGACGTAGAGGAGCGCTATCAGGAAGGGGTAGCTGGCGGCCATGTACGGAGATGCAGTAAGCATGATGATGGCTGCGCCAATTGCTTGTGTGACCTAACCAAAGCTAAATGAGTACGAATCCATGGACGGGTTGACCAGTGACGAGTGGCTCACTGCTTACCACAAATAAAACATTCAGCAGCATATTGGGTAAGTCGGTATCGATGAGGTTGAGATCTTGCGAGAACAGATTGGTGACCACCCCTGTATCAGTCATGGTGAAGAATGCCAATGGAGCCCTGATAAGTGTGTCGAGAGTGCTCTTGTGGAGATTGGCACCAGCCCGTTTCGTTGAGACGATGAAGATGGTGATACCCAGGAGGAGAAGGGAAATCATTGCGCATGCTTGCAGCAGCGCATAGATGCCCGCATAGTAGGCATAAGTGTGCGTGGGAGCCTCCGAGTAGACATCATCGGACCAGTATTTCAGCCCTAGAATGAACCTCGGTCAGCAGCAGCACTCTTAGATCAATTCGGGGTTGATCTTTGGACTCACAGATGGTTGGAAAGCTGGTGAAGAAACCCCAGCCCGCAGCAAAGCAGAAGCTAGCCATGGCAACAAATACGCCCATGCTCTTGAAATAGTGGACGTAGACTTTCTTGTCTCCGATCTGGCGTGCGGCATCACCGCTGGTTTCTGAATCCACAATACTGAGCTCTGGCTTGTCACTCCATACCGTCAGGTCGAGTCCTTCCTCTGGCGCTTCCGAAGCTACGAGTTCAGAGGACGAAGGACGACTGAGATTCTCCGGCGTTTGTTTTGTCAAGCCGAGGCTGTGCACATATCCGTGATGTGCCAACAACGTCTCGAAAGTCCCCTGCTCGGCAATACTGCCCTTGTCCAATACTACAATGTGATCGGCCGCAGGGAGGTGGCGAATGCTGTGCGTACAGAGCAGGGCCGTGGACTGCCGCTGCTTCAACAACCCCCTCGGTCCAAAGACGCGGTCAAACACTTTCTCCTCTGTGTCTGCGTCAAGTCCCGTAAGGACGTCATCCAGCACAATAAGATCAGTCTGCAGATATAATGCGCGAGCGAGTGACACACGTTGCTTTTGACCGCCGGAGAGCGTAATGCCGCTCGATCCAATATTGGTGAGATCGCCATTGGGAAGTCTCTTCAGGTCGAAGTCCAGCGCTGTTGCCTGGATGACCTGGGCGAAGCGCTTGGGATCGAACGCGGAAAACCCGACAATATTGTCCCGCAGCGAGCCGTTGCACAAAAATGGTGTCTGGTCACAGTACGCAACATGGGGGAATCTGGTGCTCAACGTGATCGATCCGGAAGGGTTGTATGGCATCTCGCCAAGCAGGGCTCTGCAGAGGCTGGACTTGCCCGAGCCGACCGAGCCGATGACGACCGTGAAAGTCGAGCGATGAAGTTGAAGGGTCAGGTCGTTGAGGACTGTAACGTCCTTTTGCCAACCAAAGCTCGCATTCTCGATGGCTACAACAGCTTCATGCCCATTCATGGTGTGCTGCTGGACTGAGGCGTCGGCTTCCAGTCGAAATTGAGCCTTCTCCGCGACTTTCTCGTGCACCTTGTCGTTCTCGATTATGCGATAATCTTGGACAGTCTGCCGCATCAGGAATGTCTGAATCCTCCCAATGCAGGCGATCGCTGCAAGCAGTGATGGTATGATTTGAAAGACCTCAGAGAGCGGACCTGTGAGCAACAGGAGATACGACAGGCTCGTGAACATGGTCGTGGGGTCGAGTCTGGTCTGAGCAAAAGCGTAGGTCAGAGGCGGACTGAAGAGCATAGGGATGAAGCCGAGGATGGCAGCCAATATGTAAATCTTGCGAAAACGAGCACCGGCGGCCAGTTCGTCGACACGCATGTTCTGCACAAAGTCGCCGACCAATTGGCTCAGACCGGAGAGCTTGAGGTTTTTCATGTTGGCAATGACCGTGGCCGTCAAGCCCACGCGTCGCTGGACCTGTGCCATCCACTCTCTTTGCGAGTCGCCCGTCATGTTCATGAGCACGGCAAGACCCAGAAAACAAGCGGTCACGATGCCGATCGGAGTGATGAAGACCAGGCCCAGTTGGCGATACAGCATCCAAGCAGCCAGCCCGGACTGGAGCAGGCTAGCCCAGACATCATGCAGCAAGCGCAGGCCGAGGTCAATTCGCTCCAAGTCCGTGCTCATGAGCGTCAGTGCAGAGTTATCGCCATCGTCGGTGCCCTCCTCGCTAGGACGAGCCTGTGTGGCTTGGGCATATATCTCTGTGACAAGGATCGACCGCAGCATCGCAAGCATGCGGCGGTGTAGATAGTTGTAGAGTGCAGTCGAAATGGCTATGCCCGCATAGATGAGAATACTGGCGCCGATGAGACCGTACCCCACATTGGCGTCCACCTCTGGCTGCGCAAGGTGCTCCAGGAGTTTCTCAATGAAGAGTGGTTGGCAGAATGTGAATGCCAGCAGGGCCACGCGGGGCGCGATAGGAATTACCAGTGGCAACCACAAGGTGCGAATGAGCGACTTGAGGAGGCTAGAAGGGTCACCTCGCATCGCGGTGTAGTCCCTCTTCGGCGTGAATGTATCGTGGAGCCTCCTTGCATCAAGAGCGGAGTCCAGAGCATATAGGTCCGAGAGCCGCAAGACTTTATGGTAGCCCTGCAGGAATAATTTGTTGAGCCAGAAAAAGACCCCCAGGGAGAACAGATTGCTTGTTTCCTCGGGACTATGTGACTTTTCATGCCAGGATGGCCTGCAAGACTTCTTCTGCCCTTCGAGCAAGAGGATGGCGACCTTGATCGCCAAGGCAGCGCAGAAGAGAGCACTATAAGTGAGCTCGGGCTTTTCATCCTCCGAGGCGAGAAAGAGCGTTCGGCTTTGAACAATGTCCAGCAACAATGTGAGGAACAGGTAGCCGCTGAGTAGGATGGAAGGTCGCACACTCTTGCTGTGGTCCAGCATACTCACAATGACCATGGATAGTGCCGAGATCAGCTTGAGAGCCGAGGCGGCCAAGAAGAGTGAGGTTACGTGCAGCGAACCGACGGCTGCGAAGACGAGTAGCGCCAACTCTAGTCCCGCATACATGGTGATGCATCCCTAATACTCGTCAGAAACTGGCGAGTCGGGAAGCCCTTCGGGTGCACGGCTTACCACTTTTATGATCTGCAGCATGGGCGCGTCAACGACTGTTGGCTTGCGCGTCTGGAGAAGAGCCCGCCATATCGAGGAGCAAATGAACAAGACCGACGGAAGAATTGAGAAGAAGAGCTGCTCAAATTCGATATTGAAGTCGAACGCAGTCTGGCTTGGCGGGAAGAAGGCATTGTCACCACTTGAGAATGGCATCTTGCACAACAGAGCACCAGGAAAACGGCGCAGGAGAAGAGCAAGAAGGTATGCAAGACCAAGACGAGAATTACCAGGAAGACCTTTGGCGTTTTGACTCTGGAGAAGACGGCCGGACTGCCCAGGCAACAAACAACAAGCATCGAGCGTCCCGCCGTCGGACTCGGTTTCACAGCATCGGACTAACGGCAGATTGGACCCATATTACTTGGGATCAACCACTCACAGCCCCGTCGGAATCGGCTTCGGCACTGGCCAGTCAGCCAACGCTGACTGCTGGTGCCTTGCATGATGACTCGAGTCATAATCGCACTGGCTGTCCGCAGTCATTCTTTCCGGTTCCGGACTGCAGCGATTGTGATTGCGAGACGCGCGCTTCACAGAGTCCCGGTCGTGATGCTGACCACAGTGCTGCTGCTCTGAAAAGCTCGCGGCCTTGCGGGGGATGCACCACTCACTCAATTTGCACAGCAATGACATTCGTGCCCGGGAAGCACGATCGTTGCCCCAGCACTATCGATGACAAGCAAATATTGGTTCGGACTGCATAAAAAACCTCTCGTATTGACATAATGGAAATATATACCTGTCAAGAACTAATCTGCAAGAATGATAAAAGCTCCCGTCCTCCCGGCTTCCACTTGCCAACCAGACCTAGATCATCCAAGGTCGGCCCGGTTTTGTCATTGTAAACGGATCCAGCAGTGCTGCAACATTTAGCTGCGGACCAGAGTGAGGCCATAGGTGGAGAGAATCTCGTTGACGGGCTGGAAGTAGGTGGTGCCGCCGCTGTTGCAGTTGCCAGAGCCACCAGAGGTGACACCCTGAGCCTGGGCACCAGAGTAGAAGGAGCCGCCAGAGTCACCGGGCTCGGCGCAGACGTTGGTCTGGGTGAGACCAGTAACACGGCCCTCAGCGTAGTTGACAGTAGCGCCCAGAGCACGGACGGAGCCGCAGAAGACACCAGTGGTCGAGCCAGAGCGGCAGATGGAGCCACCGACGGCGGTGACGGTGCTGCCGGTAATGCGGGCGCTGGCGCCAGCAATGGCATTGGTGTAGGTGCTGCCGCTGGCAGCGCGGATGTAGCTCATGTCGGCGCTGCCGGGGAACACAGAGCCAGAGAAGGTGCCGAGGGCAGCACCGGCGCTGGTGGTGGCCGAGGAGCCACTAGTGCCGCAGTGGCCGGCCGAGACGAAGCCGGTGGTGACGGCGAAGCCAACGGAGCAGCGGGCAGAGCGGTTGATGTAGTAGGGGTCACCGCCGCGGATGAGTGCAAGGGTGGTGGGCATCTCCTGGACGGTGACAACCTCGAACTCGCCATCGGCAAGGCCGACCTGGGCAGCGAGCCCCTCGGCGTGGGCAACACTGCCGGGGAGAGCCTCGATGACGAGCTTGTTGGAAGCCACATCGACAAAGTAGGCAGCAACGCCAACAGCCTCGGCAGTCGAGTCCAGGGTCTGGACCTGGTCAATGTCGATGCCGTCGAGAGCCAGCTTGGCCTGCTCGAGCTTGGTCAGGCTGTTGCGCACGAAGACGGGCGTCGCACCAGCAGCTTCGACCTCGGCGGCGCGGGCCTCGTTGGTGATAGCAACGTGGATGGCAGCGCCGTCGCGGGCAACCCAGGCACCAGCAAAGTCGTCGCCGGTCGAGCGGCGCGCGTTCTCGATGACGTCGGTGGCCGCAAGCTCGCGGGCAACGCGGGCAGTTGCCTGCTCAGCGTCAAGGCCAAGATCACGCTTCATAGCAGCCAGGATCTCGGGGTGAAGCTGGTTAGCCGCCTCAACGGGGGCACCGTAGGCAACAGGCAGGACGGCTGCCATGACGGCAAGGAACTTGGTCAACTCCATGTTGATTGTCGAGAAGATGGCGAGTAGACGAGATGACGCGGGTGCTCTGAGGAGCAAGTTGATGGCAGTCTAGATGAGCTGAGTTGCAATTGCTGCTGCTGCTGCTGCTGACTGGAGAATGAACCTGTTGAATGGAAGTGATCAAGGCCCTTACTTATACTTGTCCGTGGCCCAACCATCTTGACCATCGCGATGTCTTTGTTTCAGTAAGGTGAGTGCTCTTCCGCGGCAGTGTTTGATAGCGGCCTGCTGATTATCGGGCACCTCCTTCCCGATTGACTATGATCCCGGCCTGCGACGTTGCCGCTAGTATAGCAACTTGCCTAAATAGTCCACAAAAGGCAGCTGTGAGGACTGCTTATACCCCTGTCCTATGCAATGGTACGTGACCCGGCGCGAAGGGGGGCGCACGGAGCGCAGGGATTGGGCACAAGCTTAAAACAGATAAGGTCATGTAACTCAACGCCGGCACAGACCGGCGAGCGGCAGTCGGCCTGCATAGTGGGCGGGTTGTAGCAACTGCCATGTCAGGTCCAGAACTCCGGCATTGCGGGGAAACCTTGCATTTGCTACAACATGGACACGAGGTGGCTGTTTGGGGGCGATCTGGACTCGGTAGACAGAGTATAACTCGACACAACATGGGCCCATCAAGGTCGCGTGGCGATCGAGGCGGACAAGCTAGGTCTCCTTTGCTACATGCGAATCAATCGGTGGAAGCCGACGGCGTCGAGGCATCATCTGACTGGCAGAAAGAGGCCAACAGCTGTCGGGTTGCACGCGCGTTGGAGTTTGAGTAGCACCTAACTCGAGAAGGCATGTGACTGCGAAGTGGTCAGTGTAATAGGAAAGAGGTTAATCTTCACATCCTCTCCCTACATTTCAGGGGTAAGGTGAGAGTGCCAACGGGTGCAATCCTCCATAACCTAAAATAGAAGGAACCTACTAGTGATTGGACTGTGAGCCACGCACAGATGTCGCTGTAACCCTCCTTAGCCTGAAAAAGCAGGTACTGCACCTATAGGCTCAGTCATCCCACTCACAAGTCACGCGAGATCGGCGTCTTTGCTCCGGGGCAAGGCACGTCAAACATACCCGGCGAGTCAAACATACCTGGCGACAGCGCGCCTTGATACCACAGCCAGCAGTAGTATCTGCCTGGGGCAGATGGAACTTCACTTGCCGTGGCTGCGCTGAATAGGTAGCTCAACAAGGAAACAGATGCCATAGGGATTCCTTGGCCGGGACTGGCAGCGACAAGGGCCGGGCGAGCTGCTCAAAATGGTTGATGATCGACAAAGCCAAGGATGACTCTAAGCATGATAGAACATGCGCCTTCTCAATCTGTCGGCTTGTCCCGGGGCCACATTCGCGCAGTTCTGGCTGGCATTTTGTAAGATCTCCATGACTGCCGCAACGCTCTGATGATAAGAGAGTCCCTAGGATGATGATGCCCAGGATGTTGATATCTGCACTGATAGAGACTATCTCATCTCACTAACCCACGCTGATAAGAGGTCCACAGTCATCTTGTAGCATCACATATAATTGCCCGGCGACCTCGATAAAAGTGCGTTTTAGTCCTGACTTTCTTCCGCTCTGCAGATAGTCATTCTCACCATGAGTCGCTATAATCAGTTACCGCCCTGAGTGGCCAGATCACGGAGCGTGTACGTCCGCGCCATCTGCGAAGCGATGATCCACAGTCCTGGCAGGACCAGCGGGGTGCCACAAAGGCGCTTGCATAGCCATTCCTCACGGCACTTCGAAGCCCCCGCATTCACAGTTCCATCCGTTGCCACCTGCCTGTTACGTCAACCTGCTTGCACCACCAGCCAGCACATAATGCGTCTGTGTCCAGCACCACAACCTCGAATATATCTATCCGCTAGCGTGCAGTGAAGTAGAGTGTCCCCACCCGGCTAACATGGCCATCCTTGTTTGGTCGATGATCTGCATAGCCGAGGTGGCCAGCAGGGTTCTTCCGTGGCGCGGACAGCATGGGCACTGATAACTAGATACGCCTACGACCTCTGCGGACCACCAGCTTGACTCGTAAAAGACCGGTCTGTGACCAAACAGAAACCGCTTCAGCCTGTGTGATTGGGCTCGGTGATTAACAACGGTCAACCCGCGGACCATGTTCTCAGCCAGTGACTGTTTTGACGCGTGCGTGTGAACAACGGAGGCTGGCACTCTGTTCTGCCGGAAATGCCGTCCTTGCGGTGCGAACATCTAGGGATAAGTACTGCATGCATTATCAGCGAAGTCTTGAACGGTGAGCAGCAATTTAATGTTGCTATTGTGTGTACGAATAAGCCTTACTAATAGTGGTAGGTACATGATGGGAGCCCGGTGTTTGTGAGACGCCAATAAAAGTATGATTCGGCATTGAACAACGTAGTGCTGAGCATCACGCAGATCCTCTCGTTGTCAGATTCATCAAGCAAGACTGTAGGAAGGCGCGCCCTGGCGTCCCATGTGGACTTGCGCGAGCAGGGACTGCATGAAACATGCGTACTGCCCACAATTCAATTATTATACATCGCATCGCCATTGTGGACGCCAGAGGAACGACACCATTGACCTTTATATTCTATTGGACACGTAACGGGTGAACCTTCTTTTGCTGTCCACGACAACACCGATCAATATTCTTAACTTCCAATCTTTTGAGTTAAGAACAACAAATGGACATGATTTATCCCTGCAAATCAAAGAAGCGGTCGCTTGGAGTCAACAGTAAGTATTGCTTCACATTTATCAGGCCATACTCGATTAGTATTATTCGATCTCGTTTATTTGTAGAGCAAGTGTCTCTCGCCTTCATACTTCACCATGGACCAGTACTTAGCGCTGTCGAAGCAAAGAGTACCGAGGGTTCGAGACTCCATGCGCAAATGGACACGATGGTGCTATGCTTATTATCTCTACGAGCGTGTATTGCTAGATAGTAGATAGATACATACCTATTAGCATTTACTATAAGACTTTGAATTTGCTAGCACTAAAGAAAAAGTGGTCTGCACACACCGAGTTGCGAAAGGTTAGAATATCGGGCAAGAACGAGCAAATAACAGCCGGGACTCTACTATAACTACCTACAGTACACACAGAAAATAGAGAAAAGGCTTGAAAGCAAGTTGAGAAATTTATCAGCTACTGTCATACATAGCACAAAACACTAGAGTAATCGTCTTAAGATGTAAATAGTCCGTCAACTACACTAATCGACCGTAATCCGAATAAAGGACGAACAGCTACAAACGCTAGCTTCGCCGAGGTTTCCGATTCGGATTTATGCAGTGCTGAGCGCAAAACAAGTGGCGGAACCAGAAAGGAGGTAATACGCCTGCCAATGTCTAATCATATCAACTGATCTGGGGTGGTCTATATGCTTGCGGGGACCCACGTCATCGCAAAATAGCCCCTCTCCTCCCAGGCTTTGAAGACGAAGGAAGACCGGTCCATTGAAATAGGCAGGCAACACTACTACAGGTATCCTGTTCAGGTCTCTCTTCAATATTGGCCGAGCAAATGTTGTCCGTAATATGGTAATCGTTATTTGTAGCTTGCTTTCTCTCACGTTCTCTCACGTTCTCGTAATGTGGGAGTATATTATTGGTATGCTTTATTCACTACGCAATAGCATAGCACGAATGCTCGTTATAGAAACTGGCTGCTTGGGACAATATCGCTTCAAATGCGCATCAGGTTTTAAAACTCTGTACGAATCACACAATTAATTGGACGGATAGGTGGACCAAAGAGGGCTTGTCTCCGTAGACTCATGTCGATGTCCGGAGTCAGATGAACGACTGGGTAGTCAGATTGTTTCGAGGAAGCGATTACACGACGATCTAGCGTTGTTCGTTCTGGAGAACTCTGCCAAATTCTAGGACCATCTATTGTTCACTAGCACTAACGTTGACAAGAGGAGTAATACTAAGCATAAATATTGCTTGTGTGCAGTACTCGAGGCACAACGGCTATGGTCAATTTGGAGCAGAGAGCAGTGCAAGACAAGGGCATGTATATAAGCTCTTTTTCTCACTAGAGTCCTGGAATGATAGACTGTTTCGTTTTTTCTCTTTCGAATTAGCACCAGAACCGGCTATAGGTTTCTCTTCCTTTGAAAAGTTCTTTAATCTGGGATATTCTGATATTATGGATCTCTAAAAATCACTCCCACATATTCGAGCGTATTATATGAGTCTTCGTAAAAAAAGATAACAGAGTCCGGACTTTTGCATATTGAAAGAAGCATACATAGTAAGTAAAGCACTGAGCATAGTAGCTACATCTGTGAAACCCTTTGGCTAAGGTGTACAGAGAAAGATTTTGTCATAATATCGAATTATTGATTGATTGTATCAGATTTGGAGTAAAAATATCCCTACGTTGAAAGACGTAAGTCAGTCACCAATGATAAGTATGAGCATAACTCTTTTAACAATTATGGAGAGTAACAGAGTGATAATCTATGAATATGACAGACAAAGGGCAATGATTTTAAAGAATGCTCACCTTTAGCAACCAGAAAAAGGTTGGAGTGGGTTCCGTGATAGGTACTGCATCTTTCAAATGACAAGTGTAATTGATCTCGGAACGGGAAAAGACCTTGCCCCCAAAAGTTTTCAGAGAGCATGAATAATTCTAGAACTGGGGTTCGAGCGATATACCCGTGCTTGAACTTATTGAAAGTCCAGGGAAGACAAATAAATACATGAGCTTAGAAGAAGCGTTCATCCCTTCGTGGCAAACAAGTGCAGCCGTGACTTATGGCAACAAAGATCTGGCCCGTGTATACCAAAACACGGCTCTAGTTTTGAGTAATTACAGTAGCGCAGTGCAGTCAGTTCGTCTCACTTAGAAATCATCGGACTAGCTCCCAGGCAGCACCTGTTTCCCTGTCCAAGGGGCTTGTCGATTAGTTGACGAATGTTGCTGGGAGATTTTGGCACTCACTCGCTTGCCCTAACTCAACTCCCACTGTCAACCTCAGAGACACGAGAATCTAAGGGTTAATCACTATCTGGGGGGAAACCAAGTGAAAAAGTGTCGATAGCCATATCAATCAGCGTTGTGAAAGAGTCTACACCACCCATGCATATCTAAGGAGGTGGAGTGGGCGGTGTCCCAGAAGTAGCTGCTGATCCTTTTCAGATTATGAATGAAGCGGTTGCCAGAAAAGTTGTCCAGCCTCCAACAAATTGACCCTGGAGTCCCAAAGGGTGTGTGTACTGATCAAGCTCATGGGGTTTCAAAACACTGAGAGAGAAGCGCGGAGTGCATTACAGGAGGGTCGCAGAACGTGAAGTGGTCTAGCGCCTCGAGCGAGTAATTCCTGGGCTGTTGTTGCTCGCCAACCCTTGGGCTCTACTTGGCCCTCTGCTGGAACGAATACACAAGAAGAGTGGTTCAAAACGCGAGCATCAAAAGAGAACTCTACAAGCCTACCAGGACCAGGTTGAATGAATTGATATTCCATATAGCCGTGGTGATTTCCCGCAGTCAGTGCGGGGAGGGGGTTCGTAACATCAAAATTATCCCAGCAATGCTAGTTTTCTGGTCGACAAGTGACACAGCGAGCTGCATGACCGCCGATTCAATTGCCGCGACAGGAAATGCGGACATCAATTAATATGCCTTACTAGATATTAAACATGAGAGAACTAAAATAATCCATTGTGTACAACTGGGTGATTTTGCTCGATGACCTATGATGTATCCTAAAGACTTTATCCAAACTATTGGTTATTCTTTGTAATATAGCGCGGATACGCGTATAATATCAAGACCACCATCCAAAATCCATGAAGAGCAATATATTTCGAGGCGAGAGCTTGTTCATTTTGAGCTGATTGTGCTAAGTACAATATGTTTCTGGAAAACCATTCGTCTCCCACTAAAAATCTTTTAAACCGGTTCGGCCCAGGTGTGAATGAATCACCTGGTTCTGCCAACCTGCTTTCCAGTAAACCGATTCTCAGTAAGGCCATACAATTCATAGATTATTGAGGTCAATCGTTCTTTTACGGCTTTTCTTTTTTGGTAGAAAGTCTTTTTTGTAAAAAAAAAAAAAAAAAAAAAAAGCCAACCAGCTCGGCAGCTCGTTGATGGGAACTGTGTATGGGTGGAGAGTTTTGACGCCCATTTCTTGTGATTTCAGCCCCCCGGTTTATTGAAATTGCGGGGCATGAGGTGCTGATATAGTTTAGGTACAGAGAGAATTCGGCATTACTTTAATACTCATAGTGTCACGAAACCAAGTCCGTAACAAAGAAAAGCAGATACTTGAAGCTACTAACATACTAGCTTAGATTATGAATATTGGCTTGGAGTACGGCTTCATGTCAAAGTGCGTAAATAAAATATCAAGCTAGGAAGGAGCCCCGAGCCGGTTACGTGCGGAACAGCATTTTTGCAGTGAATACTCAAGCTATGCGCTTGTGTTATTATTTGGCGGGTGAATACCTTTGAATTTGAAAATGTTAAAGCCAATAATAGCGGCTTATCTACGCTTTGCCAATTTTCTGTACGACTATGTGCACGTGCTTCACGATGAGATACATAGAGCATGCTTGCAAGCGATAAATCAGTCTTGATGGTTTTAAGCTATTAAGCATAAAGCTTGTCTACAATTATAGTCTGGAGAGAACTTGTTCCATTGGTAAGCCATGTAGATATATCTATACCATATTATATTGCTCCTGTTTGCTCCAGGTGATAGCAAGGTACGTACGATTCCCATGTCAGCGGAAGTCACCTGGAGTCCTAACTAAACCTCTGCAGCTGGCCTTACTTGAATGTTTTGTTTGCTTTAATACTCCCTCCGTAATTTAGACAAATTAAAACTTGCGTCATCTACAGCCAGAGACTCTTCTTGAAGCATATTCTCTATCAACCTCTCTTTCATTCTATTTGAGCCGAAGTGCTATAAACACTCTCACCCTTCTTGTTGCTGAGACCCATACAATATAGTAAGTATCCTGCGTCTCGGTGCAAGATTTCTTTTCAATATCGGAGCTATGATACATGGCGAGCTCCACAGTCAGATCGAGGGAGTTCAGGTGTGGTGTACCAATCGTACGTCTGGAGTGTAGACTTCACTGATCTGCTTAGTTTCTTGATTGGTGTGACTCCACATGGTAACTACCGCCAGCGTGATGCGCAATGTGAACCTTAATTAGAGTTTCTTTCACATCACCAAACGCATACCCCTCCCTCACCTGAGTGAGCACTTCTGCAAAGACAAAAGTCAAGGTAAGAACTATGACTAATGACTGCGGAAGTGTCAAGGTATAAATTGTCTGGGCATTCTTCCTTCCACTATTGGCAAGCCTTCGGAGCTCTCTGCACAACTGCTGCTTTTCCTCAAAACCCATACACACACTAGAACATCCATTGGTCTCGAGTCAAGATGTCCGATGACCGAAAGCCCGTGATGGACCAAGCCGAAGACGACGCTTACTTCCCCTCCCCGTATTCTCTCACCCAATACGTCACGGCAAAGACTGATTTCGACGGCGCTGACTACCCTAACAAGTACACGGGTGGGAAGTGGAAGATCTTGATGATTGGTACTCAGGAGCGATACCTGAAGATGGCAGATGGCAAATTCTTCTCAACAGGCAATCACCCTGTCGAGATGCTCCTGCCAATGTATCACCTCGATGCCGCAGGTTTCGACATTGATGTTGCTACACTCACCGGCGAGCCTGTCAAATTTGAGATGTGGGCATTCCCCAAAGAAGACGAGGCTGTTAAGTCAATCCACGCCAAGTACAAGGAGAAACTCCGCAACCCAATCGATCTCTCCAGGCTCTGGGGGAAGGGATTTGACAAGCAGACGCCGTACCTGGCTGTGTTCATTCCTGGCGGACATGGCGTGCTCAATGGCGTTCCGTTCAGCCAGACTGTTGGTGAAGTCCTCCGCTGGGCTCATAAGAACGGCCGCTTCTTCATCACTCTGTGTCATGGGCCAGCGAGTATGCTGGCCGCGGATATTGGCAAGCCGCCCGGTGAAAAGTACATCTACGAAGGTTACAGCATCGATGTATTCCCAGACTCTCTTGACGAGGGCGCAAATATCGACATCGGCTACATTCCTGGGAAGATGGACTGGCTTGTTGGCAAATCGCTGAAGAAACTCGGTGTAACTCCAATCAACAGCAATATCACGGGTGAATGCCACCGCGACAGGCTTTTGCTTACTGGGGATTCGCCTCTAGCGTCAAACAACCTGGGCAAGCTTGCAGCAAATACACTGCTGGAAGAGGTTGCGAAGCTCGGATGAGAGCTTTTATGGACAGCTTCTGGTGCTAACATTATTGGGGAAGAATCGCAACATGAAGCAAAAGTTTTATACTTTTATAACCATTCTGTGCTATGCAACCCTCGGAGCTTGAGACATGCTTGTGCCAACATAAAAATAGATGTCAGTCGTCAGTCATACAGAGCATGGTGCCATGCTACTTAGGCATGAAACCCAGATGTACCGACCGAATTGGCTGACCTCTGAGGTTGGATTGTAACACCTATCTCTTTAGTACTTCTCTCAGCTCGGTCATGCAGCTTGAGATAATCTCGGACATCCGCTTTTCCCAAGAAGATGAGGGGTATCCCTTTATTTTGGATTGCTTGGAGTGGACGTGCTCCTAATACATAGAGATAAGAAATATATTCTAGCTCAGGTGCACAGATTCCGGGATACTTAGAAGGGCAACACCAATGCAATAACATATGTGGGTTCACTAAGAGGGTGCAGTTGAAAGCCAGGAGGTGGCGCAGACCTAAAGGTGTGCGGAACGGGGATCAATTTATAACGATTCAGAAAGCAAGCATCTGGTCACTGACTGATACATTGTTTATAGTCGGTTTTCTAGGTACTGTGCATAATACTACAAATCGAAGCAAGAAAGTTCCTGCTGGAGGAGACAAAACCCTTGCTTTATAAATGCTAAGAGAGCTATTATCAGATATAGTATAGACTGCAGACTTGGTAGATCTAGTATTGAAATCCCGGCAAACCTCTGGATGTATAATACTAGATAATTGTTGAAAAGTGCGCAATATTATGTTCTTTTCTGGATACTGTATTGGCTACCTCTAAGAATACATACCTTGCGAAAATATGTCAACCAAACAGCCCTCCTTTGCGCTCTAAATGCAGACTGAAGATCAATCACTTTCTTCAAATTACACAGCTTAAATAAACTAACAGTAACATTTCCAAAACCGTCTTTCAGCTTGATAATGTTATGGCTTCCTCGAACACACTGGATAATAGTGCAGGATCTATGATGTTTTGGACAAAGATTTTCTTTCCTCTATCTGTCAATTCAGTTGTGCCGTAGGGTGACGAAAGCCGCGCAAACGATTATTAGCATGTATTTTTTTTTTTTCATTAGGTACGGATTTCGTTATTAAGTCAGGCTATGAACCTGCACGACCGATACGCGCTAGATATTCTTAGCCTCCTGGTGCGTCGTGTCTCATAACAATTCGTTATAACTGGTCAATTAGTAATGTCTGCTATTTTACATGCACGATATTCTTCTGGGCTTACGGATCCGACGGCTGACAGCCAATCGTATGCTCAATTTTGAAGGCTGTATCGTTTGGTTTCGCGGCCGATAATCATCAGGGCTACTTGGCTCCTGTTATTGGTTGCCCACTATCGTCATCTTTTCAATATGATCTGATGGGACATCATGCTCCTTCTTTTCAATCTGTATGTGCGCTGTCGAGCACGTCCTCCTATTGTATGTCTTCGAATATTCTGCGACCAGACTTCATCAGTCAGCTCAATGAGTAATTTGTGAAGCCAAACTGTAAGTAGTGAGTTGTACTAGGATAGTCGATAACTAGAAAATACCATTACCATTATTATTTTATACTTGATGTCTGTACTGATTTGGGCTGGTACAATACATACATACGTGACTTACCCCGACGACTTATCTCCTCTTCCTAAATCCTCGGCTGCTTGTGACTCCCGGGATGAAATCGGCGTTTGGAAATCCAAGAAGAATCGGCCTCGATATCCAGCGTGCGGGTCCTCAGAAGACAATGCTTGGGACAACTGTCAAGTTTATAGCGGCTCGTCTAAGTACAAGTCAACTTGAAATCATAGCTAACCTATAGTTGAGTGAATTGATTAGGCCCTGTAAGTGAGCTGCATGATATTTTGGACCCAAGCAGGGCGGCACCGGGCGACTACGTGTAGTACAGCTTTTGTCTTATAATGATGGTCTTTTAGTGTACGTGTCGCAAGTCCGACTGACTTAATTTACTTGAAAAAAGTGTTGCGCCAGATTCCGCTTCCGAATGACAACGGGTCATCGACCGACTCAGTTCCACAGCACCTCATTTCAGTCCTTGCTTCCGTGGGGTTTGCTATTATCTCCAATGGGCATTGACTACTCATCGTATAATCTGACCGAAACCTACTTGAGCACGACAATCAAACGATAATCAACCTAGAAGAATGAGATAGGCCATCGGTTGGAAAACCCACGTATGCCTCTCTGGCAAATGAAGGAAGGGACAAAAAGAGGCAATGAGGGAGTGCATGGCACGCTCGAGCGTGTTGGGGTAAAAGATATATGACCACTTGAAATAGCGCCATGTGAAGCCACCATGTGTCCCAAAACAGATTCAGGGCATTTTCAAACTTCCACTTCGCGATGTGGTTGAGGAACAGCAACCAGTCCGTCCGTAGATGGACGGCAAACCTGGTCACCGATACTGCATAAGTCCCTGCCACCTCGACGGCGCATGCCGCAACAGCCTAACTGATTGTAGTTTGTGTGAACGCCTATGGGAGAGACGTGGTGCCAATACTTTGATAACCTAGACACGAGGTTTCGAACAAGTAGGCGGTTTCACTCCCGGGTGGTGACTTGCCAGGTATGGTGAGCATCATTGGGAGGATGACATGATTGCTTGTGACCACGGAGGGATCCGAGGACATATAGAACGGATGGATACATGACGCAATAGACACGGGGGAAGGAGCTATGTTTAGTATTATAGCGCCTGGGGTAAACTAGGCATTTCGGCTTAGTCGCTGTGCACGGCTCTAAATAATACAGCTGGAACCGAAGTTCGTGTCACAGCTACATATCGAGACTACGATAATCATGGCTGGTTTTGTCTTGAAACTTGCCCTCGGTGATTGAACTGGCTGCTAATTTTCCAGAGCGTCGAGATCGGTTGCTAGACTAAGACTAGCTCTGCCGACCACCATCTGCCTGCCACGTACACATAAAATCTACATCGATTCCATATATAAAGCTTTCTGGATTCTGGAAGCATGGCAGCATGTTTGACTCCGAACCACCTCTTTGCCGACTAAAAGACCAGTCATCCATCCACATGCCTCACGAAGCGTTCTCGTGCTTTGCTCAGCATGCCTACACCGCCGTCTCTAGGTAGGCCAGACAGCACCATCGACGTGTAAGCGTTCACTTGGCCCAGGCCCACTACGCCGCTCTAGAAAGACTTCCCAACGGCGACAGAATGAGTGCAATAGCTTCTTCTTGTTCTTCTCGCCGGTGGCATCATCGCTGCCTTGAAGTCATCTGCCATAGAGTGAGGTAGCTTGCGTTCAGTAAGGAGCGGTTAGGCGGAGCACGTTAACAGGGGCCAGTGTGAGCCGAATGTTGGCTGCACCGCAACCGAGGTCACATAATAGAATGCCGGGAAGGAGCCAATAGTATCTCGCCAGTCCAGCTGTACAAACGCGAGACCGTCATTACTCTCCGTGGGACCGCTCTCGCATTCATCACTGTCTATCGACCTCAGACAGCACCTTGAGACTTGCCCTGAAGCATTTCGAGATGTGATTGGAATCGCCTCCACCCAAGAAATTCCTACCCAGCTTAAAGTCTCATGCGGCATCTTCTAATCGTAGCAAGCCTCCCTTCAGAAACCGTTGCTGTTGTGACCCTCAAACGACTCCAGTTCCAGGCAAGTTGGACAAGAAGTACTGGCCAGTTACTCCCACAGCTTCACGTGAGCATACGACATTCCAGAGGTTCAGAGTATTGTTCAGAGTATGAACTGCCCCTGTTGTGTTTGTAAGCGATGTGTGGTCAATGCCAAGTGTCTATAGTCGTCGTATGGCCTTACGAGCACGTGCAATGAACCATTGCTCAAAGTCGTCCTACCGTGCGAGACGAGGAAAACCCATTCGATGGTGTCTCGAAATTTTAAATACTCCGAGCTGTCATTATTGAGCTAACTGTTCATATTGTTCTTGAAATCCTGCTTGTGGCGGGCAGGTGTATTGACCCGAAGGGCTGTACGCAGTGAAACGTAGCTCATATTACTTGTGGACACCCTATGCCAGGAACGAGGTTACGTGAGGCCTATAGGCACCGAGTCAGACGCACGGGGTCAGTCAAGCACTTCCATGCATACTTCTACGAGTATGGATACGCGCAGTGGCTTTCTTACTGGCTTGGTGTAGTCAGATATGGAGGAAGTCAGGCGTCACGGCCATGGGTAGTTATCGTGAACCACTCGGGGAGCAAACGCAATATTGCGGAAGAGTTGACTGAGCCCGACTTGGTGCAGGGGGTTGAAGTTGCGCGCAACGGTGGCGACTGTCTCGTGGGCCACTGGTAGAGAAACAGCTAGCTGACACCCTTTGTCCCTTCGCCCTTCGAGATGGAAAAGACGTGATACTGGTATGCCACTGGGCATTATCTAGGTGCCTTGCTTTGGACAGTGCCATAGCCACGATGCTTTCTTTTCTTGATAGGACAAAATGTGTGTTGTTTGTGGGGGCAGGCGTTCTGCCACCGCTTGACGGTTGACAGGCTACGCGTTAGGGACTGAGGCAGTCACAAGATCAACCTCTGTTACTAAATGTGACCGAGCTCTATCTGCTTCACGTGTATTAGGGCATGATCTCTATTCCATGATCACCCCTCTTGCTACCCCAACGGTCCTTACATGGTATTCAGGTATTGCCACTGCTCATTACTAGTCCGCCACCCTTTCACCCTACAATCACTATTTGGCAGCCACGAGATCCATCTGATGGAACGAGTCCCACTGCTAAGCGTCGGAATGAGGCCCCATTGCAAACGAGCACCATGGCTCAGCCGCGATGGCTTGCTCCTGTGAACTCCCGGCTCGCACTGGCATTTTCTTGAGTCGACCACATGACGGCCATCGTGACTCTGATCTGTATTGCCATCAGGCTGAGCATCGACGCCTTAGACTACGCTAAGTTGAGCGTTCCTCATATTGTGGAGGTAGATCCATTTCTACCGTTGTACGAGGGCTTGTGTTCAATCCACGACCCTGCCTGTGGCGAACCTCTCGCGACAGTGTGTGATAAACACGTGCGCCCTCTACAGGAGGCACTCCTAACAGTTGCATAAGTTGCGGATCGCGCGATGCCCTGGCCATTTCTACTGGCGTGACCTGGCCCGCCTGATTCTTGTCTGCCCCCTTCTCAATCAAGAGCGCAACAACTTCTGGCTCGCCGTACTGAAGGGCGATGAGAAGTGGCGTTCTCCCCCGATTGTCTGTAATATTTGGCTGGGCGCCTCGGCTCAGGGCTACACGGAAGAGTTTCCAATCTTGCCTGTCGAGAGCGTATGTCAACAGTGTAGGGTACCCCGGCTGCTTGGTCAGTCGTTGATTAGGGTCTGCGCCGTGCGAGGTGAGAAGATCAACGACACGAAGCTCGACATCGGTCAGTGGCCCAGTTTTGGAAGCGGTATTGGCTACGGCATAGTCCAATGCGGTGACACCCCAGTTATCCGCAACACCGCCCTGGACTCCTCGCTGCGTCAGAATCTCAACGAGCGCCGCTTTGTCGGTGGTGGACAGGCTCGTACTCGTAATGGTATTGATGATGAGGCGGTTGCCATAGATGTCTGTCGAATTGACATCGGCACCCCTGGTGATCAAAGCCTTGACGAGCGCAACATTGCCACGCTTCAGCACTTCCACGACTAATGGACTGCCATACATATCGGTCCCATTGACATTAGCTCCTCGTTCAAGTAACAATGTCATGAGATTGTCGCGGTCCTGCTGTAGGCATAGATGCACCAGAGGCGTGCCGTACAGGTCTCGTGCGTTGGGATCAGCGCCGTGGGCTAGCAATGTGGCCACTACTTCATCGCCATCTTCCTTCTTCTTGCGATGTTGCAGGGCCAGGGCGATGGCAACTCTGCCACTGCTGTCCTTCGCGTGTACGCTGGCTCCACGGGTGAGGAGAAGTGCAATCCAATCTGCAGATGCCGCTCCTGTGAGAAGGTCCAAGAACCAGTCGTCGCTCCCAGCCATAGATGCCCCGTTGGTGAGTAGTAGATCGACAGCTGGCTCGTATTGCGCCACCGAGGCGTGGTAAAGAGGTGGTTTACCCTTACGCCCTGACGAGCGGATCTTTGGGTCTGCGCCAGCCTGGAGAAGATATCGCGCGGCCTCGAGCTGACGGGCCTGGATAGCACAAATGAGCGCAGTCAAACCAGCCTCATTGTGGCCATCCACATTGACGCCCTCGCCCAGCAAGCCTTGGATCTGCGGTATACTGCCTCTTGTTGCTGCTTCGCAGAGGGGCACAACAAACGGCTCTGGCTTGAACCTTATGGCCGCGGTCATCGCCTTGAATGAGCTGGTCAGCGAGTCGAAGAAGCCAGTCGCGCTGGCTGAATCCTTGTTCTGACTTGTACTGGCACTTTGACTGCTGATCTCTGGGACATTGGTTCCTGGGGAAATGACAGCAGGCATCCTGTCCGAGTATTGGGGCAGCTCTGAGCATGTGAGTGGCGGATGCTCTCTCGCTTGCGGACCCTTGGCCGGGCCACCGTTTGCATCACTCCGTGTGGTACGCGAAGAGTCAGCGCCGCTCAAGATATCGCAATTGCGGCTTGCATGTCCAGCTGCCGTCTGGACGTCTTGCAGAGCCTGCCGCGCCTCTGACTCTTTGGCCTCAACAGCCACGAGGTCGCCAGTGTTTCTGTATGGTCTTAGCCCCGACTGAATGACACATGAAACACATATCACGGATAAGGCATTTACTAACAGGAGCCCTCGGAGTATAATATACAGTGTGATTGATGACTTGGTGAAGGCATCAAATCTAGAGACTGTAGAGACGTCGATCTTGTGTCTCGGCGTGTTCTCGTCCAAGCGAGAGAGCTGTTTTATCACAACAGCCAGAGTATATTCGCACAAGGGTAGTGCCACAGCTAGTTCGGTGCTCAACTCTGCTGACAGTGACGACAGGCACGGGTCTGTGGCCAGCTCACCGGGGACCTGGCCTGCATGATACTCGAGCTGTCGTAGTGATACCGAGAGCAGACCCAGCTTGTCGAGCTCCGTCTTGATCGTGTCATGACTGCGGGTGCTAAGCAGGTGGTCGATGCTGTTCGATCCAGCTTGTGCCTTGCTAGCAAGATGTGAGCTTACGGAACTCAGCGCGGAGAAGGACATGCCGGACATAGTTGATGTTTTGATAGCGGTAAGGAAGCTGTAGGGTTCTCCGCAGCAGCTGCAAGCTACACAACAACATGACCGCATGTCCTGCTTCCAAGCTTCCCCGTTATAAGCGACTGAGTTATCTGGCAGCCTGCTGATCAGATTACATGAGGGCCTGTCAGCCTCGTACCCCGCGCTAGCACATGCACAGCCCTAGCTGTGGGGTGGTCCTCCCGAAGAGGTCATTCGTGTATTCCCGCAAGGCAGCCATCTCAGCGGTCTGACACCTGGGCGCCCTCAACATGAATGGTCTGGAGCTGAAAAAGTGCAATTCTCTTGTTGTACGGTATCGAGGCTGAGGCCTCTTCGCTCCTCTTCGTGCCATTGCTAGCGTCGCATGTCATTTCCAGGGATCTTTGACAACCCCGGTCGTGCAATGACCGATGATGAATACACTGCGGTCGGACATGGTAAGGTGTCTCGGGTTTCGGACTACCCCTGGATTCCATATTGATTGGTGGAAGTCCTAAATCGATCCACCGTGACTGGGGTTCATGAAACTTCCATAGCTCAGTGGCCGCTTTGGTTGACCATGATTGCACACGCCGAAACGATAGGTACATGCGTCATCACAGCGTACCGCGTGCCCTGGACTTATCACTGGCCAAGATTGGAGACTGTATGTATAGAAGGTATATGTCGACGGCTGGAGATAATGACTATGCTCTTCAACATGGCTTGTATGTTGCCTTGACACCTTTCAGATCTTCCAGGTCCATGGACTCCGTTTGCAACACAAAGTCCTGCTTGACTACGATGTCTCCAAGGCTTCGCTGGCTTGCACCGGACGATTCCCGCAGCGGCCATTCCCCGCTCTGCCTGCGTGACATGGATTTTATGTAGCCATTGTGGGGATGTTGGGAATGACTGGTGCCGCCAGCGGCTGTACTGTGTTGTCCTTTGAGTTTGCGAATGAAGGCAAGGGCTGGTACGCGGAGCACAGGTAGGCATGCCGCAATCACAGTGACGGCGGGCTCGGTGAAGTTCCAGAGGGTGACTGTTGCAGATTGGTCTGTACGATAAGCATCATTATGTTAGTGAGCCAGTCCGGCACGCCGGTGAGCACAGGACAATTGACTCACAAGTAACGTCCTTGGGGTCGAGGGTGCTCAGGTTCAGCCACTGGTAAAGTCGGTAAATACCGACAACGCAAGTGCTAAAGAAGAACCGTGGTCAGCCAGTGTGTCCAGTACTTGTCTTTCTCCGAAGAAAGACAGGGCCCCTTCCTAGATGTCAGAACTTACCCAGTACCAAGACTCATGGCGAAAGCGAAGCCAAATCGCTCGGTGGTCTTGAGTTTGAGCTTCCACACAATCTTCCAGGGTAACAACGTGAACCAGACGTCGATGATGATTGACACCACTATAAGGACAGAAGTCAGATGAGGTTAGAAGCTAAAGGGACACTTGCCGCCATGGAAATAAAGCCAAAATCCCGAAGCCAAAAAAAAGAATGTGACATACCCTGGATGGCAATCTTGAAGTTCTTGAGCTTCGGGTACTCGATGCAGGGACCTGGGATGGCCCACTGCGCGTACAGAGGGTTCTGGTCGCAGATGATGGCGAAGCCGAGGATGGCATGAGGAAGTAGCATAGCACAGACGAGGCCAGTCAGGGCCCACGTCGTCCATTTCCACCAGCCGAAAGTGCATCGTGTAAGAACCACGGCGATCGATGTCTTGCTTAGAGCTTGCGTCAACGAATACAACATGACGTTGGTCTCGGCAAGGTATGAATACAGCCGCAAGTCGATGTCCTCGTCGAAGAGGACGCGAGTGTACCAGCAGATCAGAGGGGCATGACCAAGGAGCAGGACCTGTCGAAGAACCGTCAGTCACCTGGGTATACAAGGAGCAAACCAGAACTATTGTCCTTGAACGAGGACTACGCACAGTCGCGGCGATGAGAAGCCAGTCATCGGCGAACAGGGTCCTGTTGGCGTTGATCCGGGTCCATAAGCGCAGGGCCAGGAATATGACAGCCACGGACGTGAGAGTCCAAAGGGTAGTGTCGATGAATGGCGTGTGGCTCGGTGTAGCCCAGCGGGGAGTCAACGTGACGGGCATGTTGGCCAACTCGAGCGGACTCATGATCGTCGCTGGCCGACTAGCGAAGCGACCAGTGTGCCCCCGATGTCGTGTCCTTGCGTCTCTGGCCACACTTGGCGTTGATTTGGGCACGACTGACTGGCTGTGCCCGTGCTGGACTGAGCTGGGGCACGACTACCAGAGCCCCGGGACTGAGGATCGGCAGACCATTTGTACCTTACATGGAAAGCACGATCTGGTTGTGGAGCGGCAGGGCAGCAAGATTAAAAGATTTCGGCCCCGACAGGGACCATGGGGGTACGTACGGGGCCGGAGAAGCTTGTCAGGCAGGATCGGGTGGCGGAGACAGCGGATCGAGGGGCCAGAGGCGAGAGAGGGTCAAGCAACTTGAGCTCCGTAATGCTATCTATGCCCTGGGTAAGCCACAACGCGAGTGGATCACAGGGGAGGGCATGGGGGTTCCGGAGTGATGGATACGCTCCAGTATGGGGACGACGCCAGAGATGTTGCTGGAAATTGTCCCACCCGGCCAAAAAGGTCCTTCCTTCGTGGTAAACAGCCGTGACAGGACAAGGGTGGAGCGAAAAGCGAGCAGTGACAGCTCCGTCTCCTGCCGCGTGGCAGACAGGCAGGCAGATAGCTAGGGCAGATAGACAGGCCAAGTACCCTTGACGCTGATAAGGAATGGGACGAGGACGACAACAGGCTCGGCAGGGCAAAGAGGAAAGGGTGTCGTTTAACATGCTCGACAGGCTCGCACATGCGGCCATTGGCCACGCAGCGTCATCGCATCACCGCAGCCGGTCAAGACATGATTAGGCTGTACTTTGTGGCTGGATGGTCTGGCTGGCTGGCTGACTGACAATCCCTGTTCTCCGAGTGGCAGGCCATGGGACGGAGCAACACAGAGACACGAATAACGGGCACGCGAGCCCTCACCCAACTGGCTTGCCGGCGCCAGCCTGTGGGTGAAGGACCGTTGGAGCTTGTCGAGGTGACGCGGGTGCTTGACCAGATTGGTTGTAGGCTGCAGAGGATGCGGCCGGAAGGGGAAGGTGTATCCAGGGGTCCGGCCCTCATGCCCAAATCACCTGCCTGGCACACGCAATGCCACACTGCCATGCCGTGCGATCCCGCGCCTGTCATGTGTCTGCGAAGGAGCGTGTAGTGTTCTATCGAATCTTTGCACGCGAGCTGAAGAGACAGACCCCTGGCCAGCCGTCCGGTCGCATGCCCCAGCATCTTCCGCACGGGGGGCGGAACAACGCCATCTTCGCGATAGTCGGCCGCGCCAGCAGGAGTGCAGCAGTCAGCTCCGTGATTGAGGCTTGACTACGGACATGACATGGCCCTCTTAGCCTGGGCTGGTCGTCTTGCTCGAGTAGCCTCATCTGTGGCCGGCATCGGACATGGGATGGTGGAAGAGGGCAACCTCCTCGAGCTCTTGTTCTAGGCGAGCAACACAAAGCAGGATAGCAACCCGAGCAACCTTGACAGCGCCGAGATAAGGCCTGGTGTGGCGGGGCCTGCCCGCCAAACATCGTAGCCTCCCCAATCCTACTGGCAGGCGATGCGCAGTCCAGATCGCCGCTAGCCAGGGGCCTGCCGTTCAGCTCGGCGCTGTCCCTGGCGGTCCGCCGTGTCCGCATCTCACGTCCGTGGAGTACATCCCCAAGGCCCACCCCAGACGGAGTAATTTGGCAGGAGCCAGCCACCAATCCTCTCTCTCCTGGCGCGGGGCCTTGCCTGGCAGCGAGCATCGCAGAGAGAGAGAGAGAGAGAGAGAGAGAGACACACACAGATACACGCTCAGCGGCAACGAGATAACGACCAGCCGGGCTCCATCACCCCCTGCCCTCCCGCTAATAATAGGATTTCCCAGGACCTGCACGCGCTTCGGGGACGTAAAGCCACAGAGCCCCAGAGCGCTACAGACTTGTCTCAAACCAGATCAAGCTGCGAACCTGCATCTCCCACCCCTGCCAGAAGTTTGGAGAGCCAACGTGCACACGTACACAGTCACACATGTTGGTGGCTGCAAACTCCAGCATTTGCCTCCGTTCCTGGACCCGTGACGGGGCCGGTTTAGCCTGTTTAGCAGTGGCGCTTCGCTTAACAACTTCGGCAGGGGCCAGCAACCTCCCTGCTGCTTCGCTCGCCATGCTTCTGATTGAATGCCCGCCTTCACCGGTCCGTGCAACTCGCTGAGCTTTTGCTGCTGTCGTGGCTGCTCCGGCCGACCGGAAACGTCAGCAAGGGCCTGTCAGGGCACGAGCCGAGCCCAGGCACTGCCGGAGGCCAGAGATGGCAGGAATCGTCGCTGCGCAACGTGGGGGACACCGGTCTTCCAGGCACGCACCGCTGCAAGCAAGCACGCTCATCCGTCCGTGCGACAATCGATCTCTTGCATCGTTGCATGCAGCGCATATGGTTCCCGGTATCGATGCACGCCAAGCATGTCGTCAGCACGTGGCAGGCCCATTGCCCTTTGTGTGCCCAGCCGGGGGTAATGGTGAAGCGCTGCCCGCCGTTCAGCTACGTGACCGTACCCTTATCTGATTGCGTTATATGTCCTACTAAAGCAGAAGCTGGTGCACCTCGGGAGCACGCGCCGTTGGCTTCAACGCCGAGTAGTGCACCGGCCTCGAAATCAGTCATGACACATTGCCTGGCCGGGCCAAACGCCATCGCCACGGGGTTCTCGTCTTGCACCGTTATTGGCGTCGGCTCTACATCCAATTTGGGCACACTATGCCGGCCGCGATCGCAGTGTGCAACTCCAGCTTCTTCTAAACCTTATAACTCAATCCCTGGTGGGCCCCAATTATTCTTTTTATTAATAATATATCTATAGGAGGTCCGAGACTGTCCTAAAGCGCGCCTTGTACGCAGTCGAGCCTGGGGTTCGGAGTCTGCTATTCGTTCTTGAGCACTTGGGATACGGAGACCGGCGGACACCACCAGCACCCCAGGCAACCTGCTACAAGTGACACCAGCGTAGCACTGGTCGGCGAGGCGATCCGGCTCTGGAGCTAGTGCCGGCTTCTATTCCGTGCCCACATGGGCCACTGTCCGTCAAGCGACAAGTCATAGTGTCTCAGCCTCTCCTGAGCTGTCCCCCGTTGTTCGCAAGGAGACTCTACGACTGAGTGCATGGACTTGAAATGCCACGTGGGATGGCTCCGATGGCTTGAATCGAGAACAGGTTGAGAGCTGTCGATCCTCTAACCGCCCCAGCCTGGTTCCGACTTCGCGAGTGGCGCTCACAGACGACCGAGCACATGCCACCATCTTGGCCGAGGTCGGCTCCGTTCTGGCTGGACTGTCGTTCACGTGTAACAACGTTTGCCATTCGGAATACAATAATCCCGCCCTGGAGGACGCATGGCTATCCAGGACCTGCGACTGTGCCAGCTCGAATGCTGCCAAACCCCAGATCTTCATCTGATCATCCCCTTGCTCTAAGGTGCTGTGTTATAATTGTTTCAGGTGTGCTGGCCTGTAGTATTTTCGCAGACTCTGCGGGCGGCGCAGTAATACCACGTTGTTACAGCCAGGGGATCGTCGCATGGCACGACCTAGGCCGTGCATGGTTTCAGCCGCACACTTGTTAGATTGTGAGCGCAATCACTGTGATCTTGAAGGTCCCTCTTGCAGCTTGGTCGCGTTCGTATTTCACGAAAACTCCATAAAGTCTTGCGGGTAGTGTGCCACGTGCGTGGCAGGGAAGCCGAGGTTTGCCATGAAGAGGGACTCGGATTCAATCATATCGGGGCGATCTATGAGCGCGAGGTCGTCCAAGATGGCGTCGTGGTCGAGATTCCCAGTGCTACCGAAACTGGGCCGATGCGCGGCTAGGAATTGGGCGCCTGACGCAATGCTGTTGGCTAGGTCGACTTGATCAAAGAGCACGGAATTATCCATATTGGGAGGGGCCATGCCCATAGGGCCGGCGTCATGCCCGTAATTGAGCAAGCTCGATGTTGGTGGTGCGGCCTGGAACGCGTCCCTCGTAACACCTGCCTTCTTGTAGTTGGCCGCATCCGAGATGGCGTCGGCCTGATACGACGTGGACGTGGGTGTGGGGAGCTGCTGTTGTGCCTGAGTTTTGGAATTGTTCTCGAGCAACAGGTCATGGAGACCCTGGGGATACGGACTGTGGCCTGGGTGCGTGGCAGCCTGCGCGTTGGCCGTTCCGGAAGGATCCCAAACCCTCCGCGCTGCTGCGGGCAGATCAGCCGAAATAGGCACGAGCTGAGGCGATGCCCCATCCCTGCGAGAAAGCTCCCCTGCTATGTAGAGGTAGGACGAGAAGAGGGGTGGAAGCCCGCATATGCCAAAAGTCTCGACATACTGGTTGGCACAGGCAGCCAGCGTATGAGCTCGTGCCCTCGCGTTTTGGGCTGAGCTGATTCGAGCCTCGATGCACAGATAAGCCAGTCGCAGCATATATGCTGGAGGATTTGGTGCCGCCAGGGGTTCGCCCGCAATCACAAACTCGCGATAAGCCTGCTGGCTCAGTGGCTCAGCCAGATATGGAGAATCTGGGGGGAGCAGCTCTTCGGCCATCAAGCCGGCCTTGTGCGTTGCGGGGCGATGCAGCTGCGAAGTCAGGACTCGATGTAGTTCAGACAGAGCGACGAAGGAGCTGATGGTGTGTGCCGGATTTCGCGAAAGCGCGGCCTGCGTCCCTGAGCTGCCAAAGCCAACACAAGGGTTCCATGGCTGCCACTCGTCAAGGTCGCTCTCTGGGGCAGATACAGCCACAGACACGTCCGATGAGCGCAGATGCGGCGGCGAGCTGAGCATAGCAGAGATCAGTGAGTCTAAAATAAAGCAACCCATGAAGGCATGCGTCTGTCTCCGGCTTTTGCTGGGATGTGAGGCCCGGTGGAGGCCGAGACGGAGAGCGATGCGAACAGCCATGCCCGTCAACATCCATGCTGCCGTCAGGTTCTGTCGTCCTAAGCTGATCTGTGAGAGAAGGACCAGAGCATTGATATGACCAATCTCGAAGGTGCCATTCTCGAGAGGAATCAGATTTCGTGCGGTCCGGTAGATGTCGTCCGGCGACTGCTCAACACCGTGGCTTTGGCCCTCTGCAGTCGTCCAAGCAAAGTCCTGATGCGCAGCTACCGCGAAAACGGCCCAGAGCTCCGCGTGGGCGCCCGATCCTTGCTCATGCCGCGTGAGTGAAAGACCGTGGCTTGGGTATGCATAGACTGTCCGAAGCAGCTCGGGCTTCTCCGCCACGGGAAACCATGCGTGTGTGTAGGCAAAGTAGACATCGAGGAGTCTCCAATGGTTTGGGGGCAGCCTCAGAGGCGGGAGCTGGGCATTCTGCTTGTGTAAGTGTGAGTGCGGCTCGGCTGGCAAGAGGACTAGTGAGGGATCTGTCGTGCTGTTCATTCCTGGTGCTTGCTGTGACTTGCCCGCCGGCAGCGCGCTGTCTTCTGCCCGACCCGAAAACTTGATATCCATCTCGATATTGCCAAATGCGCCATCGTCAGCCTCGTCTGAGCTGAGCTGCGCGGACATGTCCTTGGCCAGTCCTCGCGGTGGCCGTGCGCCTTCTTCGTCGTTGTCGCTGCGGCCAGAGAGTGCGAGGTCGATGTCCTTGCGGACCGAGCTGCGCATCCAGCGGCGGTGGAGACGGGAGCTGGAGGGTGTCTGGCGGTCGGCAAGGAGCGCGGCGCCCTGGCCGCCCTGGTGGGTGATGAGGCCGTGGAGAGCATCCTCAGCGCCGGGGAACTTGTCGAAAATCCAGCCTAGAGAGGCCTCGAGGGTGCGGATGTAGCCCGTCTGGACGCCGCGTTTGCGGTTGGGCTCCTGCCAGGTACAGTCACGGTTCTGGGACGCGCAGGGGAAGCACGCGGGCTTGATGCCGTCGCACTTCTCACGGGCATTGCGGCACTGGTCGCAGGCACGAGAGACGCGCTGTCGCTTGGCTGGAGGAGGCGCCGTGGCGGCAGTCGATGCGAGGCCTGGCGCCGGCTCGTCTGTGTCGGTCTTTACGGGCTGTCCCGGGGCCGGAGGACGCTTTGCCGTGCCCATGGCGGGCGCGCACGTATGGATCGTGGCTGTGGCTGGACGCAGCGGGAGATCATTGTCTACCAGCCACGCGCTTCCGGGCAAGGGGCCCAATGGCGATGACGGCGGTGGTGGTGATGGCGGTGGTGCTCGTGGTCGGGGCGGTGTCGACAACGCGGACGTTGGGGAAGCGGGGGGCGATGGACGACCACTCAGCTGGAGACCGACGCCACAGTGTTGTCTTCAGCTTTCAGCGTGGTGCGCAACACCACGGGGGCATGTCGTCGGCTTGGATTTCTGCAGGCCAGTGTTGTCGTGGAGGGGGTGCCCAGAAACTCTGCTGCTTGAGCATGCCGCAGCTGCGCCGTGCTAGGACGGTTTGGGGATCGTCGGGGTCCTGGTTTGCGGGGAGCAGCATGGAGAGCCTACCCTGGGGCATTACCCCACCCACCGGGTAAGCCCTTTGCCGTTCGCCTTGGCGGAAGCTAGAGCCCCTCTCCGCGCAACACCAGCAGCAGCAGCCAGCACGGCAGTCGCGACTGCCTCGGGCCGGCCTGTCTTGAGTATTCCTGGACTCGTCCTGCCGCCTCACGAGACCAAGACGACCACCACGCTCGACCACCCGGTACCACTCAGCAGCATCATCCAAGGTACACTCTGCTTTGACTGCAGCCCTTGCACCTCGTAAATGCAGCAGCCGTGTCTTGCGCTCCATTGCGCCGCGACAATGGCCGCAACACCCGACGCCAGTACACGATAGTCCCCAGCAGCCTTCTCGTGCCCTCTGTCGGTTCACAACGCACCCCTCACCACCGCGATCATCCACCACGCCGTCGAGCCGTTTGCACGACATGGCCTCGGGCGTTGGCGTCAAGCGGCCCTTTGCCGTCCTTGCCGGCGCTGCCACCGCCAGCACCAATGGCCTCGACCCGCGCGTGGTACGCTCTCGCAGCAACACGGCCTCCCTCGACAACTCGCCCACGCCCTCGACGCCGCGCCGCGTCGTCGTCGGCCGCCCAGCCTTTGAGCCTCATGCCTCCATCGTCCTGCTGGGCGCCAGCGGCTCCGGCAAGTCAACCCTCGCCGTGATGGCTGCCACGGCCCTCAAGCGCCGCATCGCCGATACAAGCAAGCTCTTCCTCGACGCTACCGGCATGTCGGCCGTCGTATATAAAAAGACATACGGCAGCGCCGACTACCAGCGCCGCGTCCACAGCCTTTTGCAGAAGACCCTCGCTACCAATGCCCAGGACGCCATCATCGTCACCTCCTGGGTGGACCGCAGTGCCCTTGCCCTTCTCCAGGAGTTTGCCGCCACCCACCCCGTCATTCATATCGTCAGGGATTCCGCCGCCATAAAGAAATACCTACGCGTGGCCGACAATGTCAAGCTCGACGATATCCTCCAGTACTCTGCGAGAGCCTTCCGCGCAGTTATGAACCATGAGTTTTTCAATGTGTCGGAGGATCTATCGCAGCACCAGGAGCCGACCGACGCCGCGCCTGATGTTAAAGCCCCAGCTCCATACCTTACACTCAAGCGTGCAGAGCGGCATTTTCTCAAGTTTCTATCCCTGCTCATGCCCAAGGGCTCAATCCCTTTCTTCGAGTCTGCATTCCCGCTCGCGCAGGTGCCGCTTGAGGCTCGCAAGACGACATTTGTGCTACCTCTGCGGCTCTCACAGCTCGTAGCAGAGGATCTCGACATTGAAGCACTGGAAGGGGGCGCTGACGCCATTGAGATCGTTGTTGATGATTTGTACGAGGGCGCTATGTCAAGCGGAGGCAGCACACCAGAAACGGGTGCCCTGTCTAAACAGCGGACCCATCTCGCTCCCGAGCGAGCCTCCCAGATTAGCAGTGCACTGGCTCGCATTCGGAGAAGCACGGTGATACCAATCATATACCACGTCTCGTGGCCCGCTGTATCGTTGACTACCACCATCTCGACTGAACAAGTCATGACTTATCTTGAACATTTCCAGCACGGTCTCAAGCTCTGCCCGGAATACATCACCGTCGACATCAGGCTGGAATCAACGCTCTTGTCGCACCTGGTCGCCCTCAGGGGACACTCGAAAGTAATTGGTGTAGCTCACATTGCAGACCACACGCCCCCGGCATGGGAAGATCCCGTCTGGATATCCTTTTACCAGAAAGCACACGCTGTGGGTTGTGACGTGGTCAGACTTACACGGCCAGCAGTGGATTTCGAGGACAATTTCGAGGTGGCCAAGTTGCGACACACCATAGAAGCACTGCCAGGGATCTCCAAACCTCTCCTTTCAGCTTACAACACCGGCATACGTGGTCGTCACTCCGCTGTGTTCAATCCACTGCTATCGCCAGTCCGGCCAACTTCATCTGTCCTTGAATCGAGCGAAAGCATGATGACGACTTGCCCATCACCGACAATCACAGTCCAGCAGGCCAATCACGCCCTGTCGACATCCTTTGTCCACGATGCCCTGAAGCTGTATGTCGTGGGAGCACGTGTCAGTTACAGTTTGTCACCTGCCATGCACATGACGGCGTTCAAGGCTTGTGGGCTGAGTCATACATATGTGCCGTACTCGACCACATCCCTCAGCACTCTGAGCAGTCTTGTACACGACCCAATGTTTGCAGGGTCGTCGATCGGATTACCTTTCAAGGTTGAGGTCATCAGTCTCACGCACTCTCTCAGCAGTCATGCGCGGGCCATTGGGGCAGTCAACACTGTGATTCCCATACGGCGACTAAACCCAGACGGTAGCGTGCCCGACGACATGGCCATGTTCTTCAACTCGTGCAACCGCTCCGGTCCTGTCCTCGCGCTGTATGGCGAAAATACTGGTGAGTAGTTCCGCATCCGCATCCCTCGGGACTCGCCAAGCTAACGAGCGCTATTCACATGCAGATTGGGTTGGCATTCGTGCCGTCATTCGCCGTGGCCTGTCACCAGCCAACGCGGTACGCCCGGGCACGTCTGGGCTTGTCATCGGTGCCGGCGGCATGGCTCGCGCTGCTGTGTATTCGATGCTGCAACTCGGTGTGACCAATATTGCCATATTCAACCGCACACGGGCCCGTGCCGAGAAGCTCGTGACACATTTTACTACATTAATAGCTCGCAACGATCTGCCACTCTTGACCAAGCGATCCGAGGACGAGCGGCACCGCGAGACCCGTTTCCATATTCTAGCAACGAAAGAGGACCCTTGGCCGGAGGATAAGTTCCGGCACCCGACCATGATTGTGTCGTGCATCCCAACACATAGCCTCGTCGAGGGCGGAGGGGGGCCGTCGCCCAACTTCACACTGCCAGAGAGCTGGCTTCAGAGCCCTACGGGAGGCGTGGTCATTGAATATGCCTACAAGGACGTCAACACGCCGCTCTTACAGCAGGTTCGGGCGGCCGCAGATCGCGGATGGGTGGCCATGGATGGCCTAGACCTGCTGCCAGAGCAGGGATTTGCACAGTTCGAGCTCTTTACGGGCAGACGGGCACCTCGACGCTTGATGAGGGAGGAAGTATTCAGAGCATACCCGGGCGAGTCTGATGGTCGTTTTCCAGAACAACTCAAGCCTCGTCTGAACCAGGTCATAGATCAAGGCCTGTGATGACATTGGGCGGGCATGCACACCCATACGGAGAGCTTTGATATCTACAACATGCTTGATACCCTTTCTTTTACGAACATGCACCTAGGCGTGTGTACCCACGTGATAAACAGCCACGGACTTGGCCATGATAAAGGGGCCAGCTTAGAGGCAGCAAGACCAGGGCCAAGGCCAGTGACCTCGGAACCCCGCGCAATTGGCACCCACAAGCAGGTGGGTACGTCATGTGGGATAGAGAGGCGGCGCTTGAACACTTAGCCGCCCCAGATTTGATGCCCCTGGGAGTTGGAGCCAAGGGTCTCTTGGGGAAGAAGAGCTGGCGGGGCCAGACTCATCCGCACACATCCACCGAGTGTAGCCGTCGGGGGCATGCTGGGCCGCCGTCGGGACCGCCGTCCTGCGCCGGGCTCCCCATCATCTCGCGTATGCGTAGATCCGGGCAGGTGGCCGCATCGCCCACTTATCTGCAGATGGTCATATGGGACATGCTGTTTCCCTCTCCCAATCCTCCATGTTCGTAAAGCATTCCCTCCCCCATCACAACCACATCTTGTTCGCCACACGCTGCTAGCGACCCAGATACTCTCTTCTATCTCGCCTGTGCGAGTGACACACAATTCGCCCGAGCCGCACCTTCCCTGCCCGCACACCAGCAGCTACTCACCACTATCGCAACGCCCACGCAACATGCCGTCGCAACTCGGAATATGCAGCATATCGCTGGGCCGCTGCTTCGCCGGCCACTCGCTTGAGCACAAGCTGGACATGGCGCGCAAGCACGGCTTCCAAGGCATTGAGCTGTTCCATGAAGACCTGTACGACATTGCCCAGAAGCTCCCAGGCGGCGCCACGCCCGAGAACGAGCTCGAGGCGGCCAGGGTTATCCAGCGGCTATGCCAGGAGCGCAACCTGGCCATCATCTGCCTGCAGCCCTTTTGGCACTACGAGGCCCTTGTCGACCGGCAGGAGCACGAGAAGCGGATAGAAAAGCTGCAGTTCTGGTTCCAGCTCGCCCACGTGCTCGGCACCGACCTCATCCAGGTGCCGTCCAACTTCCTGCCGGCCGACCAGGTCTCGGCCGACTTCAGCCTGGCCGTGGCGGACCTGCAGAAGATGGCCGACCTGGGTCTCGCCCAGAGCCCGCCTTTCCGCTTCGTCTACGAGGCCCTCTCCTTTGGCACGCGCTGCGACACGTGGGAGAAGAGCTGGGAGACGGTCCAGGCCGTCGACCGTCCCAACTTTGGCCTGTGCCTCGACACTTTCAACATGGCCGGCCGCATCTACGGCGACCCAACCTCGCCCACAGGCTGCACCCAGGATTGCGACCAGGCCGTCGCCGACAGCATCGCCCGCCTCGTGTCCACCGTCGACGTGCGCAAGCTCTTTTACATCCAAGTCGTCGACGCCAAGCGTCTCGATAAGCCCCTTGTCGAGGGCCACGAGTTCTACAACGCCGACCAGCCACCGCGCATGAGCTGGGCGCGGACCAGCAGGCTCTTCTACGGCGAGACGGAGCATGGCGCATATCTCCCCATCACGGCCATATCAAAAGCCATCTTCCAGGGCCTCGGCTTCCAGGGCTGGGTCAGCATGGAACTGTTCAACAACAGGGCGACAGAAGAGGACCCGGCGGTGCCCGCGGAGCTGGCGAGCCGCGGTGCGAGAGCGTGGCAGAAACTGATTCGTGACGTGGGCCTTGAGGTTGACAATAACACGGTTCCTGTAGACGACCGCGTATCTGCTTCATTATGAGCAGTATGCCTTCGCCATCAAGGTGTTTATGCATTTACAGGTTTCGCATGAGCGTATTCTTTGGAAAATAGAATTCAAATTCTTTACACAACATTTGCATTGAACCTTTCAAGGCCCGATCTTTCCAACATTCATCCCCTTCCACGACCTCTGCATCTGTGATTCCAGCCGCCAAGTGGGCGAGGCCCATGCAACCTGTTTGATACACCAGTTGCGTAACCCCCCTAACGCGTAGGCCGTTCGTGCTTCACACCCTGCTTGGCCTGCTCCACTGCCTTTCTCTCCTCATTGGAGTGACCATTGGCCCTGATGTTGTTTTGAAGTGCCGAGAGCTCGCGAGTGAGTGGGAGCTTCTGTCTTGTCAAAGGCGTGCCAATACTCCATGCCTTGAAATCCTCTTCAGGCGTGAAAGCTGCTCGCAGTAATGCAAGCAAGTAATGCAAGCACGATCCAAGCGGTGCCGTTGCCTGCGCAGTGTACCGTATCGAGACGAGTTCCCGCTCGGACATCATTTGGAAGGGAAACAGCGCTGATGCGAGTATCAATGCCAAGATTTTCGAGGACCGTGGTGAGGCTGGGCTTGCCGCGAGCGTCTCCCAAAACTCCGAGTCGTGAAGACCAACGACAGCATGTGCCTTATTGAAGCAGTCGAGGCCATAGTCCTCGGCCACACGCGCCTAGAATTTCATGTCCCAGGTAATGATCAAGGGTCGTCTCTCACCCTCGCCCGAATTCTTTATCTTGAGCAAGGACAGATCCTCGAAGGCTGCCTCCAGCTTCTTTCGCATCTCAAACTCATTGACGACAGAATGCTTGCCAAATAAGAATGTCTCTCGGCGCGGCTGCGTCTTCCAGTAAGGCTGGCCTTCTTGGCGATGACCGGGATTCGAGGAGGCTCTCGATATGCATCTTCGTCGACACTAGACAGCCGGCTTTGTGCCAGCCATCTGCATTTACTTCGGGCGGAACCAGCGGGGTGTGCTTTTTGCGGTTCGCATTTTTGGCACCAAGAATTGCAGACAAGGAGTCGAGGTATTTACAACCGGTCTCGGTTACGACGTCTCGGCCAGTCTGAGGCTCTTTGACCTTCTGGAGCTGAAATTTGCGAAGGCCAGCACCGGCAATAGTCTCAGAGTCGACAGCAAAGAGGATGGGGACTGAGGCGGAGTTCTCCACGAACCACTGGGACTGGGGGGTGCCGGACGAGGCCTTGATGTCATCTAGGATGCGGCCAGGCTTGAATCTGGCAAGGCGGACGATCTTCACGAAACCGTCCTCGAGGGGTTGAGGATCGCCCCGGGGGTTTGTAACTGCGTGGGCAGTGCTCGAGACTGTGGGAGGCTCGGCAGCAGTGGTCGACAACTCGAGAAGACGCAGAATAGGAGGCGATTGCGCCATCTCGATGGATGATCCTCTGATTCGGGACGAAGCCATCTTTGGGGAGGCCAATATCAAGCACGTGCACTCTCGAGAAACACAGTGTCAACCACCGTTAAGGTGCAAGTTCACAGTGTATGGTCTAGTAACACAGACATGTTCAGGTGTTAATCTACGTGTACCAAAGTGATACATCTAACATCTAGCACACCAGTCACCACATGACTCCAGACGAGCCTCACAACGGAACATGACGTCGTCCAACCACACCAAACTCAAGGAATGCTCTTCCCAGCCTGCATATGCGCACAGGCCCTTATGCAGACTCGACATGGTCGGTCTTCTCCTTGATGTTGGTGAGCCCCGCACCATCAGCATTGGCGCGGAACTCCTGGTCGCGCTCACGCAGCTCGTCCATGACAATCTTGTTGGCGTTGCGGATGGGCCTGATGGCAAAGAGCCGGTCCATGGCCTCGAGCGGGACTGTCTTGGTCTCAGGGACGAGATAGAAGACGAAGACGACAGAGAGGATCATGAGCGAGGCGAAGAAGAAGTAGACGCCGTATTGCATGCGTAGGAACATGTACGGGGTGGCCAGGCTGATGGCCAGGTTGTAGAGCCAGTTAGAGGCAGCAGCAGAGGCTTGTCCAAGAGATCTGAGAGAGATCTAGGTCAGTATGTACATAATCATCGTGCGCTGCGCTGTGATGATTGGCCGTTCGCCTACTCAAAGCGACAAGAATTGTAGTGGCAATAAAACGTACCTTGTATTAGCATCAAACATTTCACTGTTTAAAACCCAGGGCGTCCCGTTCCAGCTAGGGCTGTAAAAGGCTGTCCAAATGTAGAAGATGACAATAGCAGAGATGCCAGCTCCAGAAAGGTTGCCGGAGGTGTTGTTCTGGGGTTGAGCGATGGCAATGTAAGCACCGAGGTACCTGTTGCGCAAGGGTCTGTCAGCGATGGTAGAAGAGACGGATCACAGAGTTGCCAGTACTTACCACATGCAGATCGAACCACCTATGGCACCGATCATGAGGAGCTTGCGACGACCGAGGTGGTCGACGAGCCACAGCAGCCACACAAAGGTGAGGACGGTCTTGATGACACCGAAGATGCCAGTGGTGAGGAAGCCAGTGTTGACACCAGTGATTCCCAAGCTGCGGAACACGGTCGGGCTGTAGTAGTTGATGGCGTTGATGCCACTGCCGTTCTGCCAGAGGAAGAGCATGCTGCCCAGGAAGAACCGCCAGCGGACCTGGGGCTGCTTCAGTGCGGTGAACGGCTTGAAGAAGCCCGCGCCGACCTCGCGCCGGTACGTTTCAAGCTCCTCCTCAATAGCAGCGACCTCCTCGACAATGTAGAGGTCAGAGGGCTCTAGATTGCGGATCCAGCACAGATTCTTCATGGCTTGCTCGCGCTTGTTCTTGGAGAAGAGCCAGCGCGGAGACTCCTTGATGAAGAGACAACCCAGGAGCAGGAGACCGCCCGGGATCAGCTGAACGGCAAACGGGATGAGCCACTGGGCGTGGCTTGGAGCCATGGTGGTGTTGACACCATAGTTGATCCAGAACCCGACAAGGCCGCCCATCTGCCAGCCGAGTTCGTAAATGCCGACAAGTCGGCCACGAATGGCGGGTGGAGAAAGCTCAGAAATGTCTGATAAGGCCATATGTCAGAGGAAAAGATCTTCTTGCACGCTTTCCTTACTCGGGTTGACTTACAGATGGGGACGACCATGGAGCAGGCCCCGACAGCAATGCCGGCAAGGACACGACCACCAATGATGAGACCTAGGCCCCGCTGACCGTTGGCACCCAACATCATGCCCGCGCCGAGCATGAAGATGAGAGAGTAGAGCAAGAGGGACTTTTTGCGGCCGATGAAGTAGGTCGAGGTATAGGCGGACAAGCTGCCAACAATGGCGCCAGCCTGGTAGACGGAGACCACGGTGGAGGACATGGCAGCCTTCTGATCAGGGGTCATGGTGTCGATGCGGAACTCGGAGACGAACGAGGGCAGGGCGAGGGTGGTGCCGATAAAGGCACTGTCATAGCCAATCATGCATGCTGCGAAAGAGGCTACCATCGAACACCCATAGACCCTCCAATTGTAGACGGCCTTTGGCGTCGGCCTGTCCTCCCTGAGGGTGAGGATGCCCATGATGGTGGTGGCAGCCGCGTTGGCGTCGTGTCAAGGGAGGTTGAGGGAAGGGCAGGGAGCAAGATGGAGAAGGGAGGACAATGAAGACCAGAGGAACAGAGGACCATAAGGGTACGAGAGGAACAGCCCGAGGAGTTGAGACGCGGGGATTGGGCTGGCCTGATATAACGAGCGCGGCCCCGGAGCCGGCGACGGACCAACGAGTCAGTGAGGGGGCAGAGCGCCAACTCGGGGCGGCGACGCGGGCAGCGGCCTGGGGCACGATCTGGGGTAATTGGGGCACATCCCAGCACGTGGGCAGCAGGAAGTGTGTTGACCCTGGCCAAGGCCTTGGCGGCGCCGCACACAATCAAAGGGAAGATGGGGGCCTGGGGGTTGTTTTGAGGCTGGCTGCCCAGTCCACCAGCGAATTACTGACGCTTAGCGTAGCTGCCTTGGTTGGAGCGGTTTCCGGACGACTGCAGTCCATTCGATCTGCCCATGGCCAGGCACGCGAAGATAAGCTTAAGCTTAAGCTTCTGCTTCTGTGACTCTGGCAATGTCTTGCCATGCCCGGGTCTTTCGACTCGAATGAAGCCCACTGGACCTCCGCAAGTCGATCTCCTTGCTGGTCCTGGAAAGTCTGGGGTTGTGGGGGAGTCTGGGGAAGCGGCCCAGAAGAGATGATGATTGTGCGATGAGTGGATTCTGGAAAGGGGCCAGACTGCGCCATCCATGGATGCTCCACGAGAAGCCTCCAAGGGCTGCTGCTGTGGCGCACCATGGCGCCCCGGAGCGTTCCTCCTCCACAGCGCCAGACAGGGGTCCGGCTGAAGACTTACCCGCCGTGCGGGGGGAACCCGTGCGCCAGCCAAGCCCTGGGAGGCTAGCCGGCCCGGCACCGCAGGGGTGCTGGTGGCTCTCTGTTTTTCCACGACGACGACGGCGACGGCGACGACGACAGTCCCCACGCGATGGGCCGCCCCGCACCATTTTCCTCAGCTGGAGAACTGTGCCTGATCGTTATTCCCCCCGCGCGTGCCAACCCCTCCTCTTGGCCGTCTGGGGCCAGTTGATGACAGTCCGCGCGGCCTTCCAAGGTGGTGAGCAATCCATTCTCTCGTCCAGACCGACCCTCCCCCACGAAGCTGCCCGCCCTCTTGATATAACATTACGCCCGTCTCCGCCAACCCTCCCCGCGCTATTACTCACAATGGCCGCACCCCAACAGACATCGTCTGCTCCCACAGAGACTTCACAGACCGCAATCCCCTCTTCCTCCTCAGCCATGTCTGCCACCACCACCCAGACCGTTGCGCCGCCCGCGGTCGCCGTGCCCGCCCCCGAGCAGAAGCATGGCTACCTCTTTGGCACAAAGCTCGCCGCCTCGCTCTCGCCCATGTTCCACGGCACCATCTACGCCGACCTCGGCCTGCCCTGGGAGCAGCACCGCCTCGAGTCGTCCGACATCCCCGCCTTCCTTGAGCTCCTCCAGCAGCCCGCCGTCTACGGCTCCGCCGTCACCATGCCCAACAAGGTCACCATCATGAGCCACCTCGACGAGATCACCGACGAGTGCCGCGACGTCGGCGCCTGCAACACCATCTACTTCAAGGACGGCCCCGGCGGCAAGCGCCTGCTCTGCGGCACCAACACCGACACCGCCGGCGTCCGCGAGTCCTTCTACCAGAACGTCGCCAACCCGGACGCCGTCTTCCACGACAAGCCCGCCATGGTCGTCGGCGGCGGCGGCGCCGCCCGCAGTGCCGTCTACGCCCTCTGGCGCTGGATGCGCGCCACCAAGATCTACCTCGTCAACCGCGACGCCTCCGAGGTCAAGGCCCTTATGGACGACTGCACCGCCCGTGGCTACGGCGACGTGCTCGTCCACGTCTCCACCCCCGAGCAGGCAGAGGAGCTTGTCCGCTCCGGAGCCGGACCGGGTGCCATTGTCTCGTGCGTGCCTGACTTCCCGCCCCAGACAGCCGAGGAGAAGACGGCGCGCCAGATCTTTGAGACATTCCTGGCCGCCGAGAGCAAGGGCGCCATGCTGGAAATGTGCTACAACCCGACCCCCTACACGCAGAGCGGCGCCATTGCCGAGGGCCAGGGCTGGCAGGTCATCCTCGGCACCGAGGCTCTGATATGGCAGGGTGTCGAGCAGGACATGCTCTGGACAGGCGTATCCCGCGAGAAGCTGCCCGTCAAGAACGCCAGTGACGCCGTCAAGAAGCGGGTCGCGGAGATTGCGAGCGCGAGGAAGTAGGAAACCTAGACCACCAAGATCTGACGTAGACCACATGTGTTTTCTGTACATACTCTCTGCATATCCCTCACGCAAGGACATTATGGAAAGGGCCCTTGCTGCATTTCGGCGTTGCTCGGTAGCGGTTTGCTTTTGGATCAAGGAGACAAATAAAATCATCAGACAGTATCTTCAAATCATCATTCACATGCTTATGCGAGTCCCCAACGGTAATGCGTTGGTGCCGATTTATGTAAAACCAGAGCATATTACGCGCCTGGCCTCGAGTAGTCCAAGTTCCGGACCCTCTTCCACACCTCCCTGACCACGCGCTCCTGGGACTGGCGGGCCGTTTCTGAGCCGTTTGGACCTGCAGGTCTGTTGTCACGAGCGAGTCAAGGTTAGCTTCTGTTTGTGCACTACACTGATATCGCATCCGACAGCGTGACCTTACCTGACGGCCAGATACAATCGGCTTCCTAGCCGCACATCTGGGACGTCCACTGTCTCGTGGTCTGCAGGCGGATTGGCTGTCGTGACAAGGCCACCAGCCTCCTTTAGAATGGCAATGCCAGCCGCAACATCCCTGTTTGTTTGACAAGAACGTGGTCAGCACTGGACGTCAAGCAGAAGACGTTCTTTTTCCCTCCGAACAAGCATCAAAACACTCACCACTCCCAGCAGCCGCCTTCCCACCAGATATCAAACGCGCCCATGGCCGTGTACGCAAGGTCGAGCGTGGCGCTGCCCAGACTGCGCACGCCATGGACCATGCCGCCCTTGCCACCACGCCCGCCAAGCTCGGCCGCCATGTTCATGAAGCTCTCAATCTTGCGGTGCATGTTGCCGTCGGGCGTGTCCCTCCTGTCCTTGCCCCACTCGCACGAGAAGATGCACCCGCCGGGCGCTCTGTCGGGAATCGCGGGGATCTGGGGCGTGCGGATCAAGGGCAGGCGCTGGGTGCCGTTGAGCCACGCGCCGCGGCCCTTGCACGAGGAAAAGGTCTGGTTGAGGAAGGGGGCGTCGATGACGCCAATGACGGGCTGCGAGTCGACGATGAAGCCGATGGACACGCAGAACATGGGGAAGAGGTGCGTGTAGTTGACGGTGCCGTCGAGGGGGTCGACGCACCACGTCGGCTCGTCGTCGATGAGGTAGTCGCGCGACTGGCCCTTGGAGTAGCTCTCCTCGCCAAGGAACCTGTCAGGCACTCACTGGATCAGTATCCGAGTAAATGATGTTGTCGTGGTTGTGGTCGTCATTTTCGAAGAAAACAGGGGGAGGGTGTCGAGACGCGGACATACTTGTGTGACGGATACTTGGCCTCGATGGACGATTTGATGAAAGCTTCGACATCTGGGGACGAGGAACATGCTCGCGTCAGTTACGCGGGTCCATGTTTGCGGCAGCAGAAGACCACAGACGCACCCTCGTCTGCCTTTGTGACAATGTCTACAGCGCTGTCCTTTTCCGAGAACTTTTGCTCGGCACTGGCGCTCTGGTCGGACATGCGGGCGTTGGCATAACTCATGAGCAGGCGGCCAGCCTCCTTGCCCAGGTTGGTCGCAAATGTGTAGATCTCGTCGAGCTCCTCGGCACTGATACGACCTGCCATGATGGAATGTGGGCGGGCAGGCGTCCTGCAGGCTCCTAGGTGGCGTGAGAATCGAGGACGGTGAGCACTGGCGGACAGGGTTTGGCAGGGTACAAGAAGAATTGCGCAGCAGCTGTTGCTGGTGATGATGGGAGCTTGTTTCGTGGTGTTGTGTGACTGAGCATCTAGACTAGGAATTACAGAGGGGTAGTGCGATAACGTGGAGCGCTATCGGCACACGACCTGAGTGCGGGTTTCTGTCACAACGCGGCAGACAGGGTTCCACAGAGAGCCGGTGGCAGCCGCTGCTCTGCTCCAGCTGCTGCTATTTCCGCCCTCGAGGGGTCCTGGCAGGCATTGTTCCGCACCGATGGGGGGTTGGTTGTTGTTGGGTGCTGAGTGATGGAGCTGGAGGAGACGACGAGGGGCTAAGCGTTTAGCCAAGGGGGGTGCTTGGCTGCTCCGCGTTCGCAGCCACACCACCTGCTTACCCCTCACTGCGCCTGCGCGGGCTGGCCGGGGTACCCCAAGATTTCGAGTCGGCGCCGGCGCCAGCCCCCGGCACCGGCAGGGCAATTCCTGCCGTCCGTCGAGGGGCTCCCACCCACCGGGACCAGACATCACCAGCATTGATCGAGCGGCGTCTTGTGCAGATACTTGTCCATTGTTTGCCCACCGTTAATTTCTCTCCTTGCGCTCTCTGCCACCGTCAAACGCCGCCGCCGCCGCCATGTCCCGCTCCATCCTCATCATCAACGGGCCCAACCTCAACCTGCTCGGCACCCGCGAGCCGCACATGTACGGCAACACCACGCTCGCCGACGTCGAGCGCTCTGCCCACGAGCAGGCCAAGTCCCTGGGCGTCTCCGTCATCGCCATCCAGTCAAACCACGAGGGCGAGCTCGTCGACGCCATCCACGCCGCCGCCAAGCCAGACCTCTTCCCCGCCGCCAAGCTCATCCCGGCCTCGTCGGACCCTTCGTCCCCGCGCAAGCCCATCGACGCCGTCATCATCAACGCCGGCGCCTTTACCCACACCAGCGTCGCCATCCGCGACGCCCTCGCCGGCGTCGACGTCCCCTTTATCGAGGTCCACGTCACCAACGTCCATGCCCGCGAGGAGTTCCGTCACAAGAGCTTCCTTGCCGACAAGGCCGTCGCCGTCATCTGCGGGCTCGGCGTCTATGGCTACACGGCTGCGCTCGAGTACGCGGCCAAGCACCTCAAGCTCAAGCAGAAGGCGTGAGGCATGAAGGGGAGGCACAGGTTGTAGACTTGTAGTAGTTGGGTGAGCCGGAGGAGAAAGCCGCCGCTGGTGAGGCATGGGTTCAACCGGCAGAGCCCACGGCAAAACTCGGAGATGACGAGAGCTCTGGCAAATTGCATTGTAAAGGCGCGAAGAGGATCGCTCTCACGCAGCCCCGAGAGCGAGAAAGGGCGCAGACGAGAACAGGAAGCCAGGCCACACCGCGAACACGCGGGCCTGGTGATACGTGATTGACAGAATCGCCGCTGGCCGTCGGTCGCACGAATGAATGCCGAGATGACTCGTCGGACGAAAAGCACGTAGGAATGAGTTTGGGTTATTTTTGCAGCCCTGCCCCGTTCATGCTTTGTTGCCATCTGTGACCGTATTGTCCGAATCCGTCTGCTTCTCAAAATACAAGTCGTAGTGCCTTGCGCAGCCCGGGTTGAATGCCGCCCGGCAGTGAGGACAGGTGCTCTCGCAGGCCAGGTACTGGGCAATGGTCAGCTCTGTGCGGCATTTCCCACAGAGCACAGCCTTGGCCGTGTGCCACTCGCTCTTGGGCCAGACCTCGGGGGCATGTGTCGCGAGGGCCTCGTGGCAACTGATGCAGGCGTAGTACTCGCCGCAGCACCTGTGCCGGATCGCAATGACGTCGCGCGGCGAGTGCCAGTGCGCGCACTGCGTCTGGGCGGTCGTGTCGATGCCGTGGACGACGGGCGACGCAGCTGGTTGAGGTTGGGCCGACATGATTGGAGATGTCCCTGATGTGTGACGAGCGTCGTAATGCGAGGCACAGGACTGTCCGTGAAGGGCTGGTTGTTTTTGTGTGTCACTTGTGTTGTCAAAGGCGAGTTGGTGTTGGAAAAGTGCGTGCACGAACTGTGCATCGTGCAAACCTCACCAAACATTGATTGCCCCACGGATCCATGGATAGCTCGAAAGCAACGGGGCAGCCAGGCAGCACGCTGCGGCGTCAATTACCAATACCCATTCAACAGCTCCAGAGGCGACTCATCTAAGCTACTTAGGCACAAACTTTGTCATCTACGTACCTACTACGATACAGGGCCGTCACAGCAGCCCCAGTCGCTTCCAGACATAGGCACTGCCGCCCAGCACGGCCGAGACTCCGGTGTACACAATCAGCGCGCCGTAGCCGCTGCCGTAGCCTCCGACCACACCGCCCGCCCATGGCTGCCCCGAGATGAGCACGTCGCTGAGGGGCCCCGAGATGACGTTGCCCGCGCCCCGGCCGACACACAGCCAGCCAAAGATGAGCGTGGGGTCCGTGTACTGCGGCCCGCCCGCGTCCTCTGCACCCTCCTCGTCCTGCCGCCCGCTGGACCGGCTGGCCAGCTCGCGCATGATGCCCGGCCATATGGACGTGTAGCATCCCGCAAACAGGCCGTACACGACGCAGAACGCGTAGAGCCCCGCCAGAGACGACGTCAGCCCCCAGAGCACGAGCGTCGCCACGGCCGCGCCCGCGCCCGACACGACGAGGCACGTCGTCGCCGGCACCTTGTCCGACATCCAGCCCATCGCGACCGACCCGACCGTCGCGGCGACATTGACCAGCAGCACCGTCAGCGCGGCGAGCAGCGTCGACGCGCCAAACATGGAGCGTGCATACGTCGGCAGGTACACGGCCGGCAGGAAATACCCCGTGGCCTGCACCACGTTGGCGACCTGGTAGAGCAGGAACCGCCGCGACAGCAGCGACTGCCTCACGTTGCGCAGCGGGTTGCGCACCTGCGTCGCCGCCGGCACGGGGATCCGCGGCTTGACGTACACCGAGATGGGCACGCCGAGGACGAACAGCGCGCACGCCCACGCCCGCAGCGCCGTCTGGAAGCCAAACTGCGCGAGGAGCGTCTCGAGGAGCAGAGGCAGCACGACGCCGCCAAAGCCCGCCGCGCTCCACGTGATGCCATACGCCATGCCCTTGCGCCGCACAAACCACTCGTCAATGTACAGTATGCAGGGGCAGTAGGCCACGCAGCCGGCAAGCCCAAACAGGACGCCCTGTGTGGCCACCAGGGCGCCTGCCGTGGTGCTGAACGAGCTCAGAGCCATGACGACAGCCGCGGATGTCAGCCCGCCGAGTGTGAACCACCGCGCCCAGCGCGGGCGGAAGCGGGCCAGGATGAGGACGACCGGTGTAGCCATGTACATGACACCCTGCAGCTGTGCTCAGCCAAGTCTCTCTTGCACTCCAACAAAACAATGCGAGAGGGGTCAACTTACCAGCGTGGTCGTGCCCACAACGGCGATGTTGCCAGTGCCCTTGAATGGCAGGTGAGTTGTGTAGTAGTCCTGGTCGTAACGACCAAGCGTCAGCGCTGCAAAAGTGCGGTAGGCCTACACAGAGGACGTCCGACATACCTGGAAAACGCCAAAGGAGAAACCAAAGCCTGCCCCCCAGTTGTGTCCAATGTCAGATCGTGTGCCGCAAGTCTCGTAAGGGGAGAGAGGGGTGACGAACCCCAGACCAGAGCCTCAACGGCCCAGCACGCTGCGAGGAAGAGCCAAGCATCCTTCCCGCTGTCGGCAGGCGGCAGCGAGAACTCTGGTCTCGGCGGCGCTGCCAGTGGGCTGCCATACTCGGGAGTGCTCGCGCTCGTTGTCGGAATTCTGCAGCTTCCGTCTGCCACGTGGCCTGTCGGCGAGTTGCGTGTTTCGAGCTCCATTGCATTCAAATTCGTACCGCGTGGCATTGTGAGAGAGTGGAAACTGTGTTGCGCGACATGAAGTAGAGGAATTTATACTTTTGTTACAGACGGTGTGCGCACAACCTCGAGGGTGAATCCGGCCATCTCCACTTCTGTCGATCCAACCCCAACTCGTGCCGCCGCGCGCCCTTTGATTGACAGGCAAGCGCTTATGATCGGCTCTGTTGCATCTTCAGAACACTTCACTCATCATATTTCCCCTCCACCTCGACACTTCCACAACATTCCAATGTGCAAGGTGATGAACAGCCTCGCTGTGGATCCCTACTCGTCAAGCACGGTGCAGGTGGACAGCCTCTCGCCCCAAGGTTTACCTGCTGCTGACCCCAAAAATCCATTCCTCTGCCTGGCCTCCTCGGGGTATACAAGTGCAGAGCTTCCAATGGATCCATCTAGCACTCATTCCGTCGGTAAATGAGGTGTTTAGGCGCACCAACCAGACTCAGATATGCACTGCCAAAATGGCCATGCTGGACGTCTTGACATGCACGGCCCAGCAGCGCGGCCCGAGTCCTGCTGGCAATGCGTGCCTTGCGCCGCACAGCTCGCAGATGACTCGTCACAATGTGCCTGTGCTCTTCTTCTATGCGGATGTCCGGACAGCCGTGGACGCGCTCAAAAAGCTCTCCACGAGAAATCTGCGTTTGTTCGTCCCTGAAGGTGGAAACCAGCCTGCTCTTGAGAGGTGTCTTTACGTTCCTGGCGACCACAAGGCTGGGGGATCGCGCGAGCAACAGACGTGATGGCACGGGGGTTCTGAGTGATCTCGTGGCATCCCATGTCTTTGATGGGTTGTCGTGCTCTCGCAGGCTGACAGACTTCTGCTTGCGGTCCAAAAGCTTCAGAGGGTGCCGGCCTGGAGTACTCGGCGGTGTCAAAGGCAGGTGAATCTTGCTTGTCGGTTTGTTTGGCGTGCATGGCCGTGGCAGTGACATAGTGGTGATGGAGATGACAGGTGGCTGTGACTCAGCGACGGGGAGTGGTGGCAACCGCGAGGAATTCGGACCAGCTAGTGGTGCCGCAAGCTCTCCTACTGACGGTTTTCTTGTAGACCTCGTCGACGGTGTCTGTGGGACTGTCCGCGGTGCATTGGGGAGATGGCAGAGCTCAAAGGAATGAGAGGGCTCACTCGGCATGCCTCGCTTCTGGTCTATTGTGACTGATATGCGTGGAGCGAAGACGCTGGAGTTTGTGATCCCTGATGGCGTCTGGGCAAGAGGCATGAATCTCGCTGGAGTTGCTCACGTTCGCGATGCGTACGTTCTATCGCGCGCGCATATATTCTGCTGGGCTCGGCCCACGATATGCATCCAGCTTCTTTTCCGACCGCAAGTCACATCGAGGAAAGCTGCGGCCAAGTTCGGGATGACAAGGAGTTGCCAAAGCACAATAGCCTGCGGAGGTTTTTCTTGTGGGCAAACTACTGAATCGGTCAAAATGATTCAGTCCTGAAGTACACTTTAAAGATAAAGATGTACATTACGATCTGCGGCCGCCACACTTAGAGAGTTGACACAATGAACAATACACTGACCACAATACTGTACAATGGAGCTGACTTGGCAGGGGACGCCCTGGCCTGCCACCTTTGGCCGGCGATGGAGTCCAAACCACCATCATATACATAGGCCCAAGAAGCCCTTCCGAGGACCTCCACTCCCGTCGACTCAGTAGCGAGAAGGTGCTTGCCATCCATTCTGCCCACTGTTTGCAGGCACCGAGTGTTGTCCGTACGCCCCCTGTGGCTGCCCATATTGTGTTACATTCTCAGTATAGCCTTGACCCTGCTCCTGCTTCACATCCGGATCGTAGTGGATCCGCTTGAGTGTCGTAAAGACGATGGCTACGATGCAAGCCACGGCAAAAACAAAAGCCAGAGCACTGGCTGCGGCCAGCTTGGTGCTCCGTGTAGTGGCGTAGTAGGCACCAAGTGCAATGCCCGCTGTCGCGCCCAGAGCACGAAAGATCCCGGTGATGACAATGAAAATCTTGCGGCGCTTGAGCCACTTGTCTCTGTGGCTCGTACGTGTGCGTACGTACTTGTCGACAAGGCCGAGGGCAATATACATGACGACACCTGCCACGGCGGAGAACCAACCCTATAGCCACGCGTGATTGTTAGAGCGAGTTACACTTAAGCATACAATGGACGGCTCGATAGTTTGGAACTCACCAGGCCAGTGCCAACCCAGAGTGTCAATAGCCACGTCCTTTGCCTCTCGAAGCTTGCGTAGGCAGCGTTGGAGGCAGCGTTGAAGCCTGAGCTGGTGGACGAGCCGCTCCATCCCGAAGACGGCCATGACGAGGACGAAGGCCGTGAAGGGAGGGTAGGGACGTTGAAAGCGGTCACGATGCAAGCTATGGCCCACGCGCCTGCTGCCAGGATGGGCAGCGTCTGCGCGACGTGCCACAATACCTTTTGTGCTGTCATGATACTTTGCTGGACAATGTAGAGCTGGAACACTGATAGGCCAACGAAAATGTTGCGCGGTTATGTGAGACGCAATCTGCGTATCTGCACACCGTTAGTTGTGGGCGAGTGCGGTCTTTTGTATTCATTCGGCAACATTATATTTTTGCAGGGCAGGGCAGTGCCATGCCGGAGGTCAGCCCAGTGACGGGCTATGAGGCCTCTCGCCCGATTGTGAAGATGCGGTCACTGGTCGAGTCCTACGAGGAAGCGTGGACATCGTTATCCAATCAACCACCGTGCTAGGGATCGGTGACTCCAGCGCACTGCCCCAAGTTCGCAGATCATTACCACTGGCACTACATGGCAACGGGTTGTCCTGACGAGACGTCATATCACGGCTTATGGGGGCCTTGGCGGTCGATCAATCACTCCTATTAATATCGAGGTCAGTCGGCGCAAGTCAGCGGCCGCACAGCCGCTATGTCGACCCACAACCACCCACAGGGAAGCCAGGAAGTAAAGCGGTGTTCGTAGAATGCTGCCTCTTCGGGAAGCAGAGTTGCACGCTCTTAAAAACATCTGAAACTCGAGCTTCATCGGCTTTGCGGTCAGTAATGGGTAGACTAGTAGTAATCGGCAAGCTCACAAGCACGATATGCGATTTCCACGCGCAGCAGGTTTCCACCATGCATGCAATGAGAGTTCATTGTTGCAGGACGCCCAAAAACTTATTCGAGGTGAAAGAGTGCATGGGAGCCCTTGGAAACCCTCTACACCGGCACAGCAGGCCCTCCGCTTGCCGCACTGGCCACTACTAACGGTATATCTCACCGTAGCATCGACTTACTACCCCGAGCATCATGGACCATGGCAGATAGTACTTATAGTCAACAGTGCTCCCCAGCTCCGACCTAGACCTGACCCGACCTTTTACCCTGTTAGCGTCTGCGTAGGAAGCGTATCTGTGTTGCACGTTCGTGTCGCGCAGGCACGGCTGAAGACAGTAGCGACCCATGCTGCACAGCACAAGTCTTACAAATCTCGAACCACTTCTGTATCCTAGGCCGACATGGCAAGCTGTATCTCTCAGAAGCACATGGCGCATGGGTAAATAGGAACAACTGCAGCTCCACCAGCTTGGGAATCGGCCCAGAGCCGCAACATCCTGCGCAATCGCCCTAGCTGTGCTCTGTTATCCGATGGTACATGTAGAGGGCACGACACACGAAGCATCATGCCGACACCATGGCCATGACGAGCTGATCACGGGTACAAGTTACTCCGTAGTGCCGTATAATAGTGCTATACGGTCGTCCGGGACATCAGTTCATGATCATTGCGAGTCGATGGGCTCATGATTCTTTTGTGGTGCTGATAGATGACCACTTAGCAGTGGACAACAGTGCGGTGGACGACGATGCCTCTGCTGAAACGTAGGGTCAACGATATCCCCGAGCTCATTAAAGGTTGCTCATGCCCGAGCCGAAAATGTTGGCGTACCAGCATTAAATCTACCCTTTTTCATGACGATGGCTTAGACCCATGGATCCATCACGGCTCGTCACGTTAGCTTGATGCCCGACAATGGCCAGTCACAGCTCATACCGCCCAAAGTAGATTATGCGGTAGCGGCTGCCTGGTATAATGTTAGGGACCTGCCCGTGTGGGAATAGCGAGGTCTGCTCGGCTTGCCTCGAAGGCAAGGTTACCACCAAAGAAATAGTATAGTCCTGGACAGATCCAATGTTTCGTGTCAAGGATTTCTCGACGAAGATCCAAACTACGGAGAAAGTAGACCAAAGGAAAGTCTTCTCTTGTTACATGCTAAGCACTACGTACTTGCAGCCAGCTATGACTTCCACGATCCGCGGCGCGTGGGCGGCTGGCGAGTTGCATTACGGACATCCCTGTACTACCAGCTCACCATCTCATGCTCTTGAGGCTTCTTTTCCTTCTGGGCTCGTGCTCTGACAATATAAACATGCCTATAACTGTAAAAAATAGATAGATGCTTCTCATCGTTGGATCTGCCCAAAGGCAAAGCTTTTGTTCTCATCTGAGAAACTGTGCTAGCGCAGTCATAGGAGTTCATATTTATGTATTGCTATTAATTTGAACGGACCAGCTGAAGGCATGAACAGTCCCAGGCACACATAGCACTTTAGAGAGAGGTGGGAGGATGACCATTTCTACCTCGCTCAGGACCGTACCTGTGCATTGTCTAATAAGCTTACATCATATCAACGCCGCTTACAAGAGCTTATCTTCAGTGTTTATAATCATCCAGATATCATTGACAGTTGCCCCGCGTGACAATGGCTCGGCCAAGAGATTGCGTGTTTCACCAAGAGGGCGAGCCTTCATGATCGATGGCCTCACCAACATGTCTCAAGGAAGAAAACCCTTCGCGTTCATAGTAACGATTTCTGGTGTCAATGAATACAACCATAGAGGAGGACGACTAAACTTATGCATGTTTGCAATACAGGGTATCCTTCAAATCAAGATATGTCCAAACCCAGACGTACATAGGCGCGCAAAACCCAGAGCGCGACGAGATACAATGTGTGAAATCAAGAATGGTTGTAAGAAATGGTTCCATCCGCCTATAGAATAGGCAACGCCGCTTCCATCCCTTGTGAGTAATGTGTGTGTCGTTCCCAGTTCGCCGAAAGGTGTGCTTGATGGTGAGTACACGCGCGCGAAAAGCAAGTAACATGAATGATGCTGTGCCCTATATGTTTGACCCTCCGTTGTAAGAAAAGCAATCCCGACCAAAAGCAAATTGTCCGTCGCTCTGAGCGAAAGCCCCTTTATGTCTATGTCCCGTAACGACCCGTGATGCTGCCCATGCTGAATATACCATGACAAGGAATCATGTGGTAAAAAGATAATGCGAGATTAAACTGTGTGATATGGCTGAAGCAGGAAGGTGTGGTGGTGAGGCGGAAGGCGGGGGCGATCAAGCAGTTTGCTCAATCATGTCGAGGACCTCCCAGCATGAAGTGATGCCCGCGTGCTTCTGCTCGTCAACGAGCGCAGTGAACTCGCGGGCGTCACCGCTCTCGAGGGTAATCAGAATCTCGTCCGGGCTGCGCTTGCCATCGCGGCATACGCGCGTGGAGGGCTGGACGAGACCGTATGAAGCGCCGCCATAGCCGGACGCAACCTTGCGGATGCAGTCAGGGGCCTTGGGCGAGGAGAAGCAGGGGAACTTCCAGCGGATCGGGGTGACCCGGTCCCCAGTCTTGCCCATAAAGCGCCAGGTGTTGAAGATGAAGACGTACGGGTCGGCCTGGTCGGCGCTGACCTGGATCCGCGAGGGATCACCGCCTTCGCGAAAGTAGTTCTCAAAAGTCTCCTCGTAGGCTCGGCGGAACTGAGGTAGGCGCGCAGTCTCGACGGCCTTGCTGATGTGGATCTCGAGCTTGCGGACCTCGGCAGGGTCATCGAGAGCCTTGATGAGTCGCGAAACGGGGTACGAGACCTTGCTGTAGACCGCGCGGCTGCCGAGCTCGTCATCGGCACGATTAAGCCCGACCGCGAAGAGTAGGTCTGCGAGCGGCTCATCTTCTTCAGCATCGGCCTCGATGCCCGTGGTCATCTCATGACGGCGCTTGAAGCGGCCGGCCCGGTCTCGGGAGGTCATGGTGAGGATCCAGGCCTGTGCTGCTCTCTTGCAGAAACGAGTGCACGAGGCGTCGTCCGTGCCAGGGGTCGAGACTTGGACAAGAAGCTGTGTCAGGGGTCCAGGAGGTGTCGTGGTGCCTCGGTGAGCAAGTGGCCCAGACTCGCAGCCCTTGGCCGCGTATGCGCAGTGTTGGTCAAACTGGACAGCCTCATGCTGCCCATGCTGCCTTGAAGAAGCCGACGCGGGAGCACTGCTACTGGTCGAAGGTGCAATCGAGCCGCGGCGGACCATGCTCTTCCAGCTGGGCTCACCAAAGCGGAGCTGGCGGTGCCGTGGTAGCTTGATCTCGTCCCAGGTGACGGCCGCCAGTGCTTCGATCAGGTATTGGCATGAGAGTCCGTCTGCGACAGTGTGGTGGAGGAATGTCAGAACGGCGAAACCGTCCTGGTACCAGCAGATGGCAGCCCGGAAGACGGGGACAAATTCGCTATTGGGAGGGGGTACCGCGAACTCGGGGTTGCAGCAGTAGCTCGGGCCGTAGTGCTTCTCCTCTAGGTCGGCGAATGAAACTTGCCGGCAGTCGATTTCCCGTATCTCGATGTCGTTAAGCTCTGGCACAGGCCGCGAGTGGAAGCGGATGAAGGCCGTGTCATCCTCAGACAGGACGCCACCAAGGCAGGGCTGGACGGTAATGAGATTCCGTACAGCCTGCTGCAGGTGTGCTGTGATACGTCTTGTGTCCTGGTCGGCTGATGTGCGGAAATATTGGGCAACGCTGACATAGCAGCGAGGTGCGATTTGGTCAAAGACCGAGGCAAACTCTCCGGTCTGCATCGTGACACAGTGCCGAAGGGTCGTAGAGCACCGTGACGTTCTACAGGTATGTGAAGATGGATATATATATACGCGTTTGTATGGCGATGGTTGTGATGATAGTCGAAACGAAGGGCGACCTTGGCGAGTGTCAATGGCGTGGGTTCGGTCTGGGTCGTGTCGTTAATGTCGTTTCTGTCTTGGTCTGGTTCATGTGTAGCGTGGAAAGGTATGGCAGGCGATCTTCGTCAAAGAGACTTGGCTCCTGTGCTAGAGTGTTTGGCGTGTAGGTTGTGAGGGATCCGGGACTGTTGTTCCAGGCCTGGTGTGGAGAGTGACGGAGGGGGGCCGGTCCTTATAAGCTGGCGAGGGACCAGAGCCAGGCACGAGAACACAGGCACAGAGCCTCAAAGTGACACAGAGGAGCCTAATGAGCGCTGGTCCCAAGTAGCACCATGTAGATCTCACCGGGGAGCGTCGTGGCACAGGAAGGGTGGACCGGACTCGGGGAAAGGGGGACCAGGGGGGGAGGGGTGGCCGTGGTAAAGAACAAGCAGAAAGCGCGGTGGAAGGA